TTACCCAAGTTTGAGGTGAACATTAGATCTGACCCATGAAAGTGGTGTCAAGATAAATTTTGGAAAAGCTTCACTTCGCAGAAGCAAAAGATAACATGTTGAAGTTTGATAATCTTATTGAGAAACGAATTTGGCTCTTTTTTTTAAGGAGGTTTAGTTTCTGAAAAGAAAGTGGCGCGGGCCTCGTGAAGGTCGGGCGCAAAGGGAATTGGGCCCTAGAAGCACGTAGATGGAGTTGGTTAAATTACCCAAGTTTGAGGTAAACATTAGATCTGACCCATGAAAGTGGTGTCAAGATAAATTTTGGAGAAGCAAAAGATAACATGTTGAAATTTGAGAATCTTATTGAGAGATGAATTTGGCTCTTTTTTTTAAGGAGGTTTATTTTCTGAAGAGAAAGTGGCGCGGGCCTCGTGAAGGTCGGGCGCAAAGGGAATTGGGCCCTAGAAGCACGTAGATGGAGTTGGTTTAATTACCCAAGTTTGAGGTAAACATTAGATCTGACCCATGAAAGTGGTGTCAAGATAAATTTTGGAAAAGCTTCTCTTCGGAGAAGCAAAAGATAACATGTTGAAATTTGAGAATCTTATTGAGAGATGAATTTGGCTCTTTTCTTTCTAAACGGAGGTTTATTTTCTGAAGAGAAAGTGGCGCGGGCCTCGTGAAGGTCGGGCGCAAAGGGAATTGGGCCCTAGAAGCACGTAGATGGAGTTGGTTTAATTACCCAAGTTTGAGGTAAACATTAGATCTGACCCATGAAAGTGGTGTCAAGATAAATTTTGGAAAAGCTTCTCTTCGGAGAAGCAAAAGATAACATGTTGAAAATTGAGAATCTTATTGAGAGATGAATTTGGCTCTTTTCTTTCTAAACGGAGGTTTATTTTCTGAAGAGAAAGTGGCGCGGGCCTCGTGAAGGTCGGGCGCAAAAGGGAATTGGGCCCTAGAAGCACGTAGATGGAGTTGGTTTAAATTACCCAAGTTTGAGGTAAACATTAGATCTGACCCATGAAAGTGGTGTCAAGATAAATTTTGGAGAAGCAAAAAGATAACATGTTGAAAATTTGAGAATCTTATTGAGAGATGAATTTGGCTCTTTTTCTTTCTAAACGGAGGTTTATTTTCTGAAGAGAAAGTGGCGCGGGCCTCGTGAAGGTCGGGCGCAAAAGGGAATTGGGCCCTAGAAGCACGTAGATGGAGTTGGTTTAAATTACCCAAGTTTGAGGTAAACATTAGATCTGACCCATGAAAGTGGTGTCAAGATAAATTTTGAAAAAGCTTCACTGCAGAAGCAAAAAGATAACATGTTGAAAGTTTGAGAATCTTATTGAGAAACGAATTTGGCTCTTTTTTTTTAAAGGAGGTTTATTTTCTGAAGAGAAAAGTGGCGCGGGCCTCGTGAAGGTCGGGCGCAAAGGGAATTGGGCCCTAGAAGCACGTAGATGGAGTTGTTTTAATTACCCAAATTTGAGGTAAACATTAGATCTGACCCATGAAAGTGGTGTCAAGATAAATTTTGGAGAAGCAAAAGATAACATGTTGAAAATTGAGAATCTTATTGAGAAACGAATTTGGCTCTTTTTTTTAAGGAGGTTTATTTTCTGAAGAGAAAGTGGCGCGGGCCTCGTGAAGGTCGGGCGCAAAGGGAATTGGGCCCTAGAAGCACGATGGAGTTGGTTTAATTACCCAAGTCTGAGGTAAACAATAGATCTGACCCATGAAAGTGGTGTCAAGATAAATTTTGGAAAAGCTTCTCTTCGGAGAAGCAAAAGATAACATGTTGAAGTTTGATAATCTTATTGAGAGATGAATTTGGCTCTTTTCTTTCTAAACGGAGGTTTAGTTTCTGAAAAGAAAGTGGCGCGGGCCTCGTGAAGGTCGGGCGCAAAGGGACTATCAACCCGGGTAAGGGTACTTGGAAACAAGAGAGATTATCTGCTAAACCCCATAGGCTTCTGAGAAAAAGCTTTTTGAAAATTAACAGTTTAGGCTTGAAAATTATCAAATATTTGCTTTCCTCCTTCTTTTGCCTGGAAAAAAGTTTTTTAGAGTTTATCATAGTCGGGTCATTCAAGGCGATTGTATTAAAATATAAAATAAGGTAAAAAGAAGTATTTTGGAAATTTTCAGGCCTAATTTTCACATTTTCTACTAATTTTTTTTCAGTTCTCTATCGGGTTTAGCAGATATTCTTTTTTGTTCTCAAGTATTCTGACTTGGATCTATAAACCACTAAAGTTTGAATTCGATCCGCGATTACGAGTTCAAGTAGTTCCCTAGTCAGCTTTTGCTATATTTCTATATTTTTGGTGATATAGTCTGTGTGCCACGACTTGAAAGTTTCACTGAACGACATCTCGCTGCGTGCGTTCGCGAAGCGTCTTTCGAATTTAGGTCACGCTTTTATTTGATTTTTATTACTGTGGGAGCACATGAAAGTAGAGTAACTCAACAAAATTTAAAAAAAGAAACTAAAAGCGCGTCCAAGGTTCGCAAAGGCGCACAGCGGAATGTCGTTCCGTGAAATTTCAGGTCAGTCGTGGCACACAGACTATAGCATAAAATAATGAGAATGCTTTTTCGGCTCTTTCAGTTCTGGAGAACTGAGAAAGATTAATCATTCGTTTTTTTTTTCGTATCGAAAAGATGGAAACGGTTGTTTATGTCTGATGATTAGGTTTTTCTAAACTTTTTTTTCCGTTTGGAAGAAACTAATTGGCTAGTGGGCGCATTGTGGTAACCAGCGAAGTGTTTGTTGGACAGGACATCAGGTGCGAGGCAAATTATCCGCTTACTTTCTTATTTTCCCCAAGAGGTTTGCGTGGCAAAGAGAGCCGGCGCGGCAGACTCCGCCCATTGATCTCCGCTTCGCTCGTTTTTCGCTGTGAGCCCTTCCTCCCTCTCTTGTCCATGTTATATAGTTAGCTAAGCAATATTCATTAATAACGGCTGTTCTGTTGCGGAAGCTCGACGAGTCTGAAACGGTTGGATGCGACCATTGCCAACTTTCGCATTAATAGTTGTTTTGCTGTTCTCAGACGTTGGAGGTTGGTCTTCCGTGTTTAGGTTTCTTTTCAAAATCAAATTAAAAATCAGCGAAAATTATCCGACAACCCTCTATCTCTGTGTCGAGAACGACACAATTTCAACTGTAGGAGCAAAAAGAAATGAATGGAAAATGCTCGGCCTCCAATGTGACCTTTCAAAGAAAATTTTTTTTAACGCTTACATCTCGGAGCCAAAAAAGGTGTGATGCATTGAATGTCGCTTTGAAGCAATTTCTTTGCATTTCAAATCGACGGCGCTTGTCGCAGTGGCGCGACTAATACGTAATTGTACTCGTGACTCACTCCATTCATCAGCTCTTCAAGTGACAGGTCTCGGGCCTAATGAATGGAATAAGTTTCCACAAAATAAAAAGCCAAAGGGCGACACTTTGAGTCCATGACAACCATTCTTTTCTCTCAGCAGAAACCTCTTTTTCTCCCTTCAGTCAGATTCTAATTCAATATAGTCTGCGTGTCTGATTCCTGAGGAGAAGGTTAAATTCGATTCTCGTTGAGTCTAACTCAAGAAAAGATTTTCCAAAGGATGTCAAGCGTTAAAAATGGGAATAGAGAAGAAAAAAGGAAACGCGAACCCTTTCTATTTAATTTATGTAAACGTTTTGTTGTGCTTAAGATTATCAACTGACTAGGTTAAGTTGCCTTAGAGTTGGTCTTCGATACAAGTGTTTTTCCACCAGCTGTGCCATAAGCCTTCTCAAGAAATTGAAAAAGAAAGAGTGACCCAACGACGGCTATGTTTTCGGGCGGCCAGCCACAGCCTTGGGGGCCTAAAAGATGGATGGAGCAGTATTTTGTCCAGATGCCACGTCTGGAACCACGGGCCTTACCGCAAAATTGCGACTTTCTCAAGAAATCTTTAAAAAACCATTTCACGTCTTCCATCTTTTAGTAAAGCCTACGATGTTTTTTTTTGCTCTTTTAATTGCTTCAAGTGGAACTCTCGATCGCAAACTTTTTGTTAAAAGGCAAACTAATTTAGACCCGCCTGGAAATCTCGGTTTTCTTTTCTACAAAGCAAAAAAATTCATATATAAACAGGATCGGGAAGAATAGTGTTTGAAATTTTGAAGACTTTTTTTTGCCTTGCTCCATGCCGCTGATTCCTAGAAGACCATTGCAGTTTTCTGGGCTTTCTAATGCGAAAATGTATATTTTATTTGTAACACAATATTTCTCATCTGAAAATTTTCCAACTAAAGATTTTCGAACTACTGACCTGAAAAAAAAAAACATGCTGCTGCAAGATCTGCCCTCTTGAAAGTTAACTTGTCTTCTCGCAAAACTTTTTTTCGGACTGTATTCTTACTCTATTCATCCTTGAATTTCTTGAAAACTTCTGAACTGAAAATATTGGAAACTCGACAATCACAAGGACATGCTTTGAATACCCCTGTGCCGAGCATTCGAGTTCCGTTCTGGCGATTCCCGTGATATTTTCCTTTTTACCAATTTTTTTTTAACTAAAAAAATCTTTTCCCATATTAAACTTTGTTATAAGGTCGAACTCTTATAATCAAAAAAAGAAATATCGGTCACCATATTGTTAATAAATAAGTTAAGAAAAACGGGAAATTTTTTTCAAGAGGAGGAAGTTATCATTTTTTTGATCTTTTTTTCTTTCTTTTGAAAAACTTTTTTTCAAATTAAAAAAATTTTTGTAAAATAGGAAAAATAATACTACGTGACCAAAAACATCTCACATCAGCACGCAAGAAATTATTTGATTTTGATTGATTTTACCTGCAGTTTTTTTGTTTATTTTTTTCATGAAAAAAACTTTCAAAAATGGACTGCAGCAATTACTATTCCGTATATTTTATAGGTTTCTTACATTCTATGAAAAAAAAAACCACACAGACCGGAAGTGAACCCAAAATGGCCCGTTTTTGGAAAGATGAGTTGTTTCTCATTATGGGGCTTCTTTCAAACTCCTAGTTAGCATTCATAAGGAAGAAGTCGCAAGAAGCGCGAGCCGGCGTTTGTCTTTTCAACGCTCATCGGCCGGAAACAAAGAGCTGGGCAATATGAGCTGCTAAGAGCAACAGAGCCACCTTTCATTGGAGCTGAGTGACGGCCGTCGTCTGTTCCTGCGATCAAGCCAGCCAACACGAGGCTTTCGCTTACGCTTTTTATGTGTCGTAACTGGAGTTTATCCTGCCAGATTAAGTATCCGCAGATGAAAAGGGATATTCAGAATATATTCTCGAGGAAACAAGATATGACGAACGCTGATTTTTCAAAGTGGTTTCTCAGGTGGCCAAAAAACCCGAACGAGAATTTTTTTCGGTTAAAAGGAGCATTCAAACTAATTGAAGGTTTGAATAGTTCTTTTAAAGAGCCAATCATTCTTTTTTTGGTGCAATTGTCCGCTGCTCTAAGACTGAACAAAAAACTTCGAATTTGAAAAAAAAACCGTAAAATGCGAAAAAAAAAGTATGTGAACGAAACACATAAATATTGGCTGCAACCGATAAAGTATAATACGAGACTCAAAAGAAAAAAAAAGTCAATTTTCTTGGGTACTAAGTCGACTTTTTAAAGATTACTAGTGCGTGGTTTTTTTCAAATTCTTATTCGCCTAATGTCAATATTCGACATTCAATATTCAAAAAAAAAACGGGATTTTTTCATAATACAAATAAAACACTAAAAAAACAGTCTATCATAGCTCACATAATTTGGAAAGTGTTTCAAGACGCCTAGGTAACGCAAACCGGGCGTTTCTGAGTGTTTCTAGGGATCATATGAGAGCGCTGAGGCTACTATAGGGGTCACTAGAAAATCCACTCATGATGGCCAGATGTCCCCACGAGTGTACCCGATTATACCAAAGTTTTTTTTAGGCTGTTTGAGTCTCATTTGTGCTAAAACAGAGGAAAAACACGGGTTTAAGAAAAAATAGGTGACCCAGATGTGTCCATTTCGAAAATCGGTGACCCAACTGTGCTAAAGCGGTGGCTCAGCTGGGGCAAAAGTTGACAAAAGTTCAACCAGTGTTGCTTATACGGCTTCATTTTTTAGATAAAGCCTGCGCTTAAAAAATAAAATCATAGTTTATGTTGAACGCTAAGTGAAAAATAAGCAAAAAATCTGTCGTAAAAAAGCCGGATATTCGTATTGAAGAAACTTTGAGCTTTTCGGGCCGGGACGGGTCGGCCATGTTTGCTTGAGGCCTCGCTAAGGCCGGGCCGGCCTTGGAAAATTGCCGGGGGTCGATGGGCTGACGGGCCAGCCCTCGCACAAGCCTTCTCATCAGTATGAGCTTGGACATTGGTAATTACCGTTACGTAACGCGAAACGGACGTGTTCCGGCCGTTTCTGAGCAACTCTAGGGATCACTTAAGAGTGCTTACGCTACTATAGTGGTCCCTAGAAATGCCGAGAAACGTCCGGAGCACGTTCGTTTCGCGTTACGAATGTCCGAGAGATATCTCAGACCTTGGTAACGCGAACGGGACGCGAATCGGACGTTTCGGGGCATTTCTAGTGACCACTTTAGTAGCCTCAGAACTCTTAAGTGAGCTCTAGAATCGCCCAGAAACGTCCGGAGCACGTCCGTTTCGCGTAACCAATGTCCGAGATCGTTCAAAAATTTCGAAGCTATAGCTTTAGAGCGCGATTGCTGTATTTTTTACTGAAAGTCAAATTTCCTGAACAGTTCTTGGTTTTTTTTCCCAATGTCCTTTTCGTTTTTGATGCCGTGTTCAAAGTTATTTCGCGAAATTCAAAATTGCGGTCCGAGAGTTAAAAGATAACTCAATTTTTGAGATTCACAGATGAATTTGAGTCTCGCGTATTACGTTAAACTTAAGTTAATGTTGAATGTTGTTTCAACGCAGTAACTGAGACCGTATGTAATAAAGTGGAAATCAATGATATTCTATATCTAGCGAGTTTCAGACTTTTTTTATTTTCAGGAAAATGCCGAAAAATAATTTTCCACTTTATTGTATACGGCCTCTGCATTGATGCATGTGCGTAAAACAAACTTGAAATGACCATATTTATAATTCGTAGGTCGTGCAGAAAGTCTGGAAAAAAACTTATCTTGTCGATTTTTCAGGGTTCATTGCAAAGAAACAAAAAACAAAAGGCAGCATAATCGACGAGTCGCTGAGTCGCCGCCGCGAACTCGACGATGACACTGGCGGACAGGTAGTCGCCGATCCTGACGTCGTCGGCGACCCTCATGGCAGGTATCCATCCTCTGGTTTTCTTTTGAAACAATTTTTTTCATTTTCTTTCGTTTTCACTCTTTTTTTTAAATTTCTGATAGCACTTTCTTCTATATTGCCTTTCTTCCATATACGTTTGCTTCTCCTTTGTGGAATATTCATTTTCTATGTTTCTACAGGCGAATCGGGAAAGTACCATAATGTGTCCACAAATATACTTCTCAAAATAGATCGTGAATATCCCATAATATGTCCATCGTGAGACCTCCAGCATACTTTTCGCTTTTTTCTGAGCCATATCGGAGGTCTTGAGAGTCTACCTCAAATTTATCTCATTTTTTCTGAATGTCCACGAAGATATATTCGAAGTACCATCGTTAGACTTCAGACCTTCCGATATACCTCAGTGAGTATCGCGTTACCCTTTCTCGATTCGCCTATGTCAGTAAATATTGATCAGATTTTTAATGATTCAGAAAGTTTTCAAAAATAAGAGTCAGCTTAACCTCTTTTTAAGGTTTTTTTTTCTACTAGCACACAATCTGTCGTTGAACCTATTATACTTGTTTCTTTTCTAGGATATACGATTCGCCTGTTTCACTTATATGCTTTTTGATACTGGAAAATTATTTTTCTGTCAACCCAATGTTTTTCGACGATGAAAATGCGCGTCTTGAGGTTGGCTGCCTGGATCCGGTCGCACGCTCGACACCACATTCCTCTGAAGCATCCGAGGACGCACCTCGACGTTTATGTCTCTGCGGGTCTCTACCAGATCGTCGACCTCGTCCGTTCTTTTTCAACTCTATCCAAAAAAAAAAATGGGATTTATCCGAACCTATTTTGGGAGAGCTGGGAATGTTTTTTAAGAGACTAATAATAGGAATCGGCGAAAGGTTACGTCACGTCTCCCCAGAGACTATTGGGCGACGCCGCGGAAGATGGCGCCCTTCACGCTATTCGATAGCCGAACGAGGGCCAAATACGGCTCTGTTTTAAACGTCTGAACGAGATTTTCAACAGACTCAAGTCTCTCCAAAAATATTCTGTCTAGGAAATACTTAAGTGTTGAGCTAAACTACAAATAATAACAAGCAGTGGTTCAGTTTTTTTTAAAAAATGAAGTAGTAAGTATAGTTTTGTGCGAGCTCAGCATGTAGAACTTTTTGAATTTTTTTTCCTTTTTTCATACATTTTCTCAAAATTTCGGAACACGAAATTCGCTCACCTTGTGTATGATGTGTCACGTTATTTAAAAAAAACGAGGAAGGTAAAAAAAAAAAGCAAAACGGCTCGAATACGTTTCAAAATTTTCATATATTTTGCTTCTCGAAGAAGTTTTTTCTATTTCTTTCATACAGCGAACTTTTTTTTTGAATTCACAGGAGAAAAATTTCCAGCACTGAGGGTTTGTCAGTTTTCTAAAAATCCTTTTTCTTCAACTTTTAAATAACTTTTTTTTGCTTTTTATTCTGGTGTTAAGTTCAAAGTTGAGTACCCGAATAACTGTATTTTGCTGAAGAAAAAAAAAAGTGGTTTTCTACATTTATGTTATGTATAGTCCGTTTTTGGCGACTTGAAAAGGTGGGATTTCTCTGCGCCCTCCTCGTCTCTCGACGACCATCTCTTGTTGACGCGCTGTTTTCACGTTTCTCTGACCTCGCCGGTGAGGGAACAGAGAGACGACACTAGAAAACTGTCAAGTCGCGGCGGACGGACTATATGTGAAAAAGCTTCTATTTCTCGAATAAGCTCCTAATTTTTTTCCCGGTTCATCTGAAACAAGTAAAAACTTAATGGTACAAATCAGTTGGATCCGAAACATAAATAGGCAGACCACTTTTAAAGGCCGCCAACCATGGTTTTAAGTGTTTTCTTAATTTGAGTCTGTTCTACCTCCTGAGAAAATAAATTATATCTTGTTAAGAGTAACAGGTTAATAATTATCAGATTTCATGATTTCTCGAAACTCTAACCCTAGATCGAGTTGTTTACTTGTCTCATTCTAGGACGAAGTCTGATTTAGGACCAAAAGAACAATTTGGCGACAGTTTCTGCATATTTCGACGTGTACTGGTTGGATGAGTTCCTGCAGTGGAGCCCTGAAGACTTCGGCGGCATCGAGCGGATATTCGTGCCCATCAAATGGATTTGGAAGCCAGAGTTTTACATGTATCACAGGTTAATGCACTGGGTTTTCAAGAAAAAAAAAGATTTTTGCAGCGTCTATGGACGCGTGCCGGATTATGCGCCCGACGCTTCGGCGGAGCTCTCTGCGTCAGGCCGCGTCCGCATGTTCGTCGCCATTTCTTCCAAAAGCTTCTGTCCCATCAACTTCAAGCGGTTCCCCTTCGACTCTCAAACCTGTTCTTTTTCGGTAAGTCCAATTTTCAGTTTTCATTTATTACTTATTTTCTTTTTATGAGTGGACAAACGTTTTTACAAATACTGCGAATCATAGAAAGTTTCAGTAAAGAAATAAGGATAAATCAAGAATCATAAATGAAATAACGAGGATGGAATAAAGCGAACAGGGCGAAGATTGTTCGAGGGGTGGGAACTTTTCGACGACGGATACACATTGACGAGAAGCTCGGTAGCTCTCAGAGCCGACGCGAACCGACGGAGTCAGGCACAGTTCGTCGCGACAAATACTGGTCGTTGTCGCGTTTCTATCACAAAAGTGCGACTTCGAAGATGTCGGAGCGACGGAACAGAGAACGTCTCCAACGTCCACCTCAACAGCTCTCTCTTCGTTCAGATCAAATCACCCATTTTCACACGAGTTTCGTTTTTCCAGCGTTTCATTCTAACCTCGTACTCTGGCTGATGATCGTCCAGCAGGACGTTTACTGTTGAATTGCCGCCACACGGACTTTTCAAGCGAATTTTGATCTCGTGGTTGATATATTCCGGCGATCGAGAAATTCTTATGTAGGAAGTCGAATTCTGAACATGTCAAATAAGAAAACTTACTGTTAAAGAACAAAGGCAGGGCATGATGTTAGGATGATCAACTAAAAGAGTATAAGCTCGGGGAGCTGTTTCAGCTGTTTTAGTTACAATAGCTTCCGAAAACGTTTTAAGCACTACCTTTTTTAATGTGAAAAACGACGTTTTCAGTGTTTTTCTTTCAAGTTTTTGGGTTTAATCTCATTTATGATGGTGGAACTTCGGCATTTCCTCACCGTTGAACTATTTCGAAAGTCATCATCGCTTTGTCCTTGAGAGGCAGGATGAAATGAAAGATGCACAAATGGAAATTCGTCCTTGTGAGTGAGGCTCTTATTTAACAAATCAGAACCATTAAAGGGGGGATCTCCGGCGAGGGAATCAACTACGAAGTTGGCTTTGGCGTTGTAATGAAACGGCTTTGTCTGCAAGAACTTCCTTCTTCCAAAGTCGGAGTTTTCTCGTACCATGGTGTACTCGTACTTGACAGCAAACAGTCCGTCTCCCTCCAGGGGCAAGACATAACGACCGTCGAAAAGTCTGGTATTGAAGGTCTGGTGGAAGACCTCCGACTGGTTAACGCCCAGAAAAGTCGCTTCCAACTTGACGACGCCGTCCTCTGCGTTGCCCAGCTTCTCCGTCTCCACTATCAGACGTTGATCTTGAATCTATGAGGAAACGAAATTTAGACCGCTAAGTGAAAAAAAAAACCGTATAATTGCTTATTTCGCGCAAATGAGCTGTCCTGGTGGTGCCCGCGATCTGCTCGCAGTGCTCCTCAACGTTCTGCGAGAAGTTTCCGAATAAAGAGAGAAAGACAACTTTCGATTGCCAGCAAAGCCTGGAACACTCTTTGGTAAGGAAAATCCTGAGGTCGACACCTGTGACACTTGTGAGGTACAATGTGGGCCTCCACCAAATGCGTTTTAGCGTCGACCTCTTTGATATCGTATTCGTGGTCTATCTAGAAATTCGATCAAATATCATTTAATTGAGAAGGAGAAAAAATATTGGAAAAGAAAAGGTCAACTAAATTACCGTAATTTCTACCGTAACGGTGTCTTCATCTCCTTTTAACCGAATATCCTCTCTTGTGTCTGAGTCTTCACATAAAACCCGAAGTTTTACGACTCCGACTGTGATATTTGATCTATAAAATGTATTTTACTGGTTTGATAAGTTTAAGTTTAAAATCAGTGAGTCAGAAAAATGACAAGATAACCGTTCGAAATCTTTCTTCCATGCAGCCGTAACATACAAACTTTCGCCGGTTTCATCTTCTCCATCCAGTTTCCTGTGCAATTTGATCTGAAAAATATTTATAACTCAAGTATTTCATGTATCTATTGCAACATGCAGAAAAATTTTTTCGCCGAATGTAGATGAGTCTTTTAGATGTTGTCTAACACTCTTACCTCTATATGTTTGTCGTTGGGAAGTAAATGAGAACTCAGTCCTTGACTATATGGAGAAGAATCCAGTCCTTCTCCATGTGCTCCGCCAGCGGAGCTGACTCCTTGAGAGCCTCTGGCGGCAGTTCTCACGAGACGTTCTTCTTCATGTACAATGTTTTTCCCCTCCAAAACCTTCTCGCTTCGGAATTTCAACCCATACCAGGCATCGGGTCTCAAAAAGGGTACTGTGTACCGACCTGAGTATTTCGATCTATTCAAAACAATAAATAAAGTGTTACCTCTGGTGACCATTAAAAGAAGACCATTAAGCTGTAGGGGAGCCAACTGAGCACTGCGTTGGATGTCGACTAGTTCAATGGAAATCTTCAAATTTTCCAGACTTCCTGAACCGACGAACATTGGTTTTACGAAGCCAAAACATTGATTGGACCTTGTTTGGTGGTAGTGATTACAATTTGAGTTTCCTCGGCCTCAACATGATCTATTTTGTCGATAGAATCCTCGGGAAACGTGAATACTGTCGGTGAGAGAAGGAGCGCGAGAAGCCGTACGGACCGCTGGAGCATGGCCCAAATGAGCCCGCTCCGGAAGACGGCCATTCACCGCCAACGTCCTCGGCAATTCATCGATCTCCCTTCACAACTTTGTCGCATTTTCGCTTCACCGCTCGATTGTTATACACATGATGTTGACCGCAGAACTAGTCTTGACCCCCTGGGGCGTTCCAAACTTTTTTTTCTCAGTTTTCAAGACATTTTCACTTACAGTTAACGTTTTCAGTGTGGCTCATGGGCTTATCAATCCGACATAGTCAACCTTGTGGTCGAGCGGCAAGAAATCGCTTTGGAAGACTTCTATGACAATCAGGTAAACATCCCAAAAAGTTTCATAGTTTCTAGGTAAACCTCAATATATGACTCAGGCACTTGGCTCAACTGACTGCCAAAAAGTAAAAAAAAATGTTACAAATGCCGATAAGCTTTCTTTCAAAAGTTTTTGATAAGATGTTTCAAATATAGCATTTATTTCTTTGTTTTCACGTTTCCCTTCTGCCATTCTTACTTAAATAATAGTTGATTCGTATTTCCAAATATAGAAATGAGGTTTTGGTGTTTAAAACACCCTCTTCCACATTCTCTCGAAGTTTCAGCCCGCCTGAAAAATTAAAAAAAAAACTGATCATTAATAAGTTTTTCATAGAAATGATCGAAGAGCTGTGAAAGTATCTCAATAATTGTAAGTTTTGAAGGAATGGCTGCTAATGGACGCGAGACTGTACAACGGAACCACTCGGAACGTTTCCGAACGCGAAGAATCGTACAGCATGGTCTACATGCAGCTCGACCTCAAACGCCAGAGTTTCTACTACGTATTCAATCTCGTTTTCCCCACGACTCTTGTGAGTTCTTCTTTGCTGAGAATAGTTGCTCATTTCAAATAGGAAATTTCTCAGCTTATTTTTTCTTATATTTTTTGTTTAAATAGTTCAATTGAGTGGAATAATCCTTTCTCAGGTCTCTCTGGTCGCCGTGATAGGTTTTCATGCTCCGATAAACGCAACCGGAAGACGCGAGAGCAAGTTCCGCCTAGGTTCGTTTTGTTCCTTGTCGCGACCGAAAAACTTTTTCTTTTTTTTGCGAATGTAGGAAGAAAATTTGGTCCTATGGAAAGTCAACTTAAAATCTTACATCAAGTATAAAAAACCTTCAAGTTCTCATTTTTTCGGAACCAAAGCTTTTCTTTTATTTGTACGCTACGTATCAACACGCTGAAACTGTTTAAAGTCCTTGAATTCAACGAAACATGCGAAAGCCTGGAAATTCGACCATTTGAAAGTTTGAGCGATAGGTGGGCAAGTGCAAAACTCATTCAGCCCGGAAGGAGGGGTTGGTTTACAAAATTCTTAGAAAAATCGGAATAAAATCAAGTTTCAACCATAAGAAGGTATTTTTGGCCCCAGTTATACGAGTTTCAAACAATTGCCTGTCCATGTATGCTTTGTGTTTTCATAATTTTGAAATTTTTGTTTTCTTCCCCTATCTGTATTCAAGCCACGAAGATCCTATGTGTTAACTTCGAGAGTTTTTGAGATATCGCTCAATTTGAAAAAAAAGAATTTTCTTTTTAAATTATGTATTTCCCTGAATCTTGCGAATTCTTAGGCATAATGACACTGCTCTCGATGTCCGTTATGCTTCTGATGCTAGTGGGCGAAATGAAGTTCGCCATGGAAAGTGTTCCTGGACAACGAGGCTCCTTCAGCGACGTTCCACTTATGGGTGGGGTTTCCACTCTGCGAGCTTTATATATTGTTTAATCTGACAGGAATCTACTACATGACTTTGATCTTCATCATCAGCGTGGCTACGTGTACGTCTTCTATTTTCGTTCATCTCGAGAAGTTTGCTCTGCGGAATCCGTCGTGGCAGGTCCGAAAACTCTTTTGGATAGGCGGCACACCTTCCAGTTTCAGTCCATTCCCTGGTACCTTCGCTGGCTCGCCGCCAAAAAGCTCTTCTGTTGCTATGTGCCTCCGGCGTTCCGATACGACAAGGATGACGTCGTCCGCAACAATAACATCCAGGTCCAGTTCGATTCGAAACGCTAACTTATTTTCCTTCGTTTCTCCTTCGAAGAGCTCATTTTGTGAAACTATTTTCTCAAAAAAATATTTTGCAGACATTGTCAGTGACTTCAAGTCCAGATAGAACAGTTATGAAGAACTTGATACCAAAAGAGGTATTTTAGATCTCAGGATCACTTTGTTATTTTTTTTATTTGAGGTCAACTTCACAGAGGTCGATCAAGATGCTCCTCTCCATGACGTGACCGTCCTTGAAGGTGTGTTAAGAACCGTCATAGGGATTGCTAGTGGGATGTTTGAGGCGGAAAAGAGAAAGAACAGAAGATAGAAAGGATAGTGAGTCTGTTGCGGGACATCATCTCGATGAAGGAGAAGATGCACGCCGGCGGACAGCTCACTTCCTACTGGGACAGGATCATCCGACGTCTCGAGAACGTGTCTCTCACCACCTACTTGCTCATCATCCTCGTCAACTTGCTCATGTTCCTCTACCCTGAGATGTGGTACTAAACATTCTTACTCTTTTTTGATTTCTGGCGAACTGCCACGCTCTTAGAAAATCGGGTACGTCTATCGGCACGTTTATTTGCCGTTTTCATCTCTTTTTTTTAGTCTGCGTTAGTTGAAGATCACATTTATTGCTGATAGTTGATGAAACTTTGTTTTCAATGATTTCAAGCGCTTTCAATCGTTGTCATGAAATTCATGACTAATATCTGACTTGTTTGTGACTTTTTTTTTTCGAATCTTCCACTGTTATTTGCACTGAATCGGTCTATAGGGTGTTGATTTCCACAATTTCTTTTCGTTATCTTGGCATTTCATGTTTGAAAAATCTGAAGGCTCTGTGAAAAAGTTGTTAATGGTTTTCCAAAAACGATAGGTTGATACAATTCAAGTCCAGATAGAACATTCGCCGTTTCTTTTAGTGATACGGGGTACTTATATAGCAATCCATTAGGATTACCTTTTCCGCAAAGAAAGTAATAGAAATAATCGGTTGAAGAACCATTAACCACTTTTGTCATGCCCTCTATCTCTCTCTTTGTGTTTGAAGGCTGTGATAACTACATTTCCGAGTGATAAATTGCACAATAAATTTTTATTTCAATGCAAATCCCTGAGCGAAACAATCAAAAACTCGATTTTTTTTTTATTACTCAAAACTTGAACCAATTTTCAAAATTTGCTGCATCAAGCATAATAAAAAAAAATCTGTGCCCGTAATTTTTTCCGGAAAAAACGCATAAGCGGTCTAGAACAGTTCTGTCGAACAGGATCTTCACTAATCAAGTATGAAATAAACGTTAGAAAAAAAAACGAAAAAGTGTTCATCTTTTGAGATTGAACAGCACCTTCCCTCATATCTAATTTTATCGATTATCGATCGAGTTTTAGCGCGACAAGTAAAAATCATTCAAGCTGCTTCGTTTGACCACTACTGTTTTCGAAAGACCGGTTATGAATCGTAGTTTACCTATTCAATAAAGGAAAGTTCAGTCGATGGATAGAACTATTGCGACGTAGGTCAGACAGAAAACGACGTAGGACGTGGCGACGAGGAGAAGCGCGACTCTCTTCCGACAACCGAGCATCGCCGTCGTCAGCTGTCTTTGGATGGGACTCTGCAAAGTCTTCGGTCGAATCCCATCCGAATACGCTATTCTCGAAAGGAAGTACCCACCGGGCCTGGACTTGCTGTGACAATTGTCGTGGAAGGTCTGGGAGAGCCTTGCCGAATCAGTTTGTCGAATACTCGTGTGATAACTCGAAACGGCGTCGCTACCTCGGTCTCATCTCAACAAAACAAAATTTTCGTAAAGAAGCACCTACAATATTATTGAATATCTTTTGCCAAGTTGAATAGCTGTCTTCACCAACTTTTAGTCATGATCTGGACGGGAGTAGCGCGCTGATTACTCGAGTCGACGTGCACCATGAGGGTGTAGCGGACCCGGCGCGCCGGGAGCGTCACGTCGACGAGGACGAGGAAGACGCAGTGAATGAAACTGACGCTCAGCCACAGGTCCATCAACGTCGCCACCGTGTAAGGACGCTGCACACACATCTGCAAACAGCCGCTTCTGGTTGAGAATCAGCAAATACGGACGACTGCAAAATGACTTCTCAGTAGTGCTCCGGTAGGTACTTTCAGAAAACCTTTTTTCATGATTTGCTCTATTTTTTTTTTCAGATTTTTGGGTTTCACTTAGCTACCAAAATAAGGACTAGACGAGTTTGAGGTGAACTTTTTTACTTCTTTATTTCACAGTAGAGGAAAGTCTGCAAACGAACCATTATGAGTACGCAGACGACGGCTGCCAGAGAAACGACAATCTGAACAAGTGAGAAAACGCGAAATAAAACTATTCTCACTTGGATTTTACGGCGTTTCCACTGAGCAAAAAAGACACAGGAGACCAGAAGAATACACGGTAAATACGACGATAGGACCGCCCGAGGCCACTCAGCCTTGAACCTGAAGACGACTCCGCACCTCGGAAAGTCTTCTGAAATCGGTTTTGACTCAATCAACTCGAATCCCACAATCTCACGAAGCAAGGCAGTCGTCAGCAGTTTTTCTGCTTGCGAGCGCATGTCATAGAAAGTTGGGATCGTCAGGATTTCATCTGAAGACAAGTTTTCAGCACGTTCAGGAAGATTTTTGAGTTTTTAGTAATATTCAAATTGCTTTTTGCGCGAAATGATCTAAAAGAGATCTTGCGAACTAGAAAAATAAACCGCAGCAACTACGCTACACCTTCCCGAAACTGTAATCTTGAATATTCATCGGCAGATCCTTTTCAAAGGTCGCCAACCCCTTCTCCAACGTCCTTCTAATATATCCGTAATTCCTCTCTGACTGAGATTGAAACTTTTTTTTTACTGTTGCCACAACTACCTCCCTCACTGTCGACGGTCAAAGAACATTCAAAATGCTCGAAGGGATATTTCCAGCCGTCAGCGACACAGGCAGCGCTTTGTTTGATGCTGAAGTAGCTGGAAAGAAGACCCGTGGCCGGCGCCAGCGAGGAGTATTGAGACGACAGCGGAAGCGAGAAGACGAGCGAAGGTCTCCAGGTAAGGAAGTCGTTCGAGGGCAGCTGGATCCGATCGAACAGCTCCCGCAGTCGCAGTCGCTCATCTACCCAGGTCGCCGTCATCAGAACGTCCACCCAGAGCTCCCTCTGAAACACTATCATTCGCAAGAGATAATTCACAAAAACTTGCTTCCTTCTCAAAAATGACTCTTCTACCAACCTTATGAAGAAAAGAGGACGCCTTATTCGAATAATTCAAGACAAAACCTTCACCTTCAACAAAACTCGAAATCGATCTCTTCGTCAAAACTATATTCTGCTCTACTTCTAAACTTTTTTGACTTCATAAGACCTACCCGCTTTGCCTATATTCTATTCTATTTATAATTTTTCTCTTTTTTTTATTTTCTTTCAATTTTTTTCGACTTCATTCCCAAACTTATACGTTAGAGTAGCTTTTAAGTTTAAAAGATGGTTCAGCCTACGATCCGTTTTTTTTTTAGAACTTCTGCGGGTTGATTATTATTTTAAACCATTATTCCCACATCCTTTTTAATACCGTTGTTCAATTTAATTTTTTTTCTGTTCTAGAAACGCGATGTTTTGTTTTCTACGTTGAAGATGTGGCACATTTCCAGAGGGACGAGGCTTTCTAATAATCCATTTTTAACGAAAAATTTTTTCAGTCAATCAGCTGTTCGGACTTCCAGAAACTCAGACGGCTTCAAAAAAAAAACTAGAAATTTTAAATTAGCTCAATTTGCGATTTTTCGAACAAAATGAACAACAAACATTGGTGATTCGTGTATTGAGAAGATGAAGATGCAGCGGAATGTTGAAGAAGGTGCCGTTTCGGTTGGAAAGAAAGTTCTCCGGCGCCGTCGGCCGAACTGCAGCATGGTAGTACTTGAACTTGCGAGAAAGCTCGTTCAGCTCGTTCTGCGAGAGTCTGCAAAAGATTATCTTGTCGTTGCTTTGCCAGAAATCCTTACCCAAAAGCCACTGTGATGAGCAGAAAAGCGGAGAAAAAGAATCGCATGTGATCAGATTAATGGTTTTTATAGGAACGCCGAGTTTTTCGAGGACATATTTTCCTATCAATGGTCGAGGACTAGCTAGAACTAATTGAACCTGAAACCAATTTTAGAATTTTTGTGACAGATGGAGCAACAAAAGAGAGAAGATTCGAGGTCGTAAGTGCGAAAGCAGTTTGTCGGAAAAAAAAGAACAAAAAGGAAAAAGGAGGGTTCAAAACATGCATGCAACTCCTCGAGGCATGTGGAGTCAATAGAAATTCAATCTCCATGAGACAAATACATTATTATGTATCTTTGCAGCTGAACTTCAAAAATGTATATTTATTATATTTATTATATATATTATAATATAAAAAAACTTAATAAACATCTAAGAGAACTAAAACTTCCCACCTTATTTTTGAAATAGACTTGCGACCAGGATAAATAGTCTCACTCAAAAGGTCCACGACGAAGGGAGACCATTCCCATTCCCTAGTGAGAGGAAAAAGCCTTTCAATAGAGTCAATCTTCATATCACTATGTCCTTTATCTTGTCACATTTTCTCCAAGAAGCTTTTTCGACAAGCTCAATAGATGGAACGGTACGAGAAAATTCAAATTAGAATCAAGAAACATTAAAATCTATCAAATAAAATAATTTTTTTGTTGTTTTAGCAAGATGCAATCGACTAGGCGGTGAACGAGAACATTTGAAGCTATAACGAACAAAAGCCTTTTTCGAACTAGATGTCCAAAAGTTTGGTTGATCAAGTTGAAAGCATGGTCTCACGGTCCTTCGTCTCGTTTTTCTGCCCGTAGTACATCCAGTTGTGCCTTGACGAGCTCAGAATGTAGTGGATCTTGTTCTGGAGCCCGGAGATCAGCCATATCGCAGTCATTTAGAGTGAATACTTTAAACGGAAAATCCTTGTCAAACATTTTCAACGAATTTTTAATCAAAAATCAAAAAATTAATTTTGCGTTCTGATGTTTCTAGAGGTACAAACTATTCATAAGCTCTGATAAACACGATTTTAGCACAAAAAACAATGGAAGAACAGGCAAAACTTGAAATTAAAAAAAAAAATTAAAAGCGCCCGAGATCCGCATGGGGAAGACGCTTCGCGACCGCGCGCAACCACCTAGCGGAATGTCGTTGTCGATATATAACTCTAAAGTGTAGCGCAAAAAAAAAATTTAAAACATGTTTTTTTAAAGCTTTAAAAGGTTCTAGTGGATTTGATATTTGGGAATAGCGCTCAGTAACGCACGGAAAACTAAGTTCTTCGAGCTCACTGGAAAAAAAAAGAAACTTTGAGCATACATGGTAGAAAACGAAAGCAAACAGGCATGTTGGCCGTCGAAAAAGTTTTGTCGAATTTGATGACGCGCGAATTAACTTCAACTGCCGCGGAAATTTGTGAATGTGTGCACTGCGACACTCGAAATCTACAGTCCTGTCCTTTTTAGTCGGCGGTTGGGGCAAGTCGCGCGGAAACTCATCCGCGTCGACGATTCCAGTCCTCCGAGCAGAAGACTTGGCGCAAGAGCCAGGCCTTTCTGAAGGCCTTTCTCTAAGCCTTTGTCCCAAACGGTTCACCTATTTCGGAAAGAAACCTTTGAACAATTTTTTGAGTTTTTTCTGGATTTAATTTTCAAAAAATGTTGAGCTTTTTGCGAAGTCCTCAAATAACACGCGAATAATTTAGGTGCAAAAAATGAAGATCATCAAAAGCCGCATCGAGCCACGATAGCGACTAGGCCTGAACCGGAGTTTTTCTTTTCGACTTGAGAAAACTCATTTGAGAAACAAGTTTCCCTCTGATGAGAAGGTTGACACAAAAATTGCAATCAACGGAATTTCGAGTTTCAATCAAAGATAGTGGACGGCGAATTCTGGAAGTTGGAGAAAGCTATTAAGTCGTTTTGGAAGAGAAACAACTGCCAGGGACTGTGCCTAGCCAGAAGAACTGGCTCAGACCCATCATTACCACTTAAAGTGCCGACCCTTGAAAGGTGGGTGACGCGGCGAAATAGCGTCGCCTAATGCGATTCGGATTCATAAATACTGACTCATTTAACACTCCTGATCGAGAAACTTAAAACTCTGTGACTAACGAATCCAGAGACAATTGAACATGGGAAACCCGTTCGTGAGATTTCCGGAAAAGTTGGATAGCTTTTTTGATGCGTTTATAGTCTGTTCAGATTTTTAATGTCAAGTGCAATGACGTCATTCAAAAACACTCTGTGGATGGTTCGCTCTCCGATTGGTTTACCGCGCCATTATGGGCGGGACTTGAGCGACGACTTGACATTCAAAATCTGAACAGACTATAGAAGCTTGGAAAAAACTTAATCCTTCTTGAAAATTCAGGAATTATTTTTGTCTCAAAAGAATTGCTTTTTCATCTTCTAGGCCGAAGAGAACTGTAAGGTGAAGGCGGGTGACGTCACATCATTTTGTTTTGCTGTTCGACTTTCTGGCGGCTGTCGGAGCTCGAAGTTCAGCCCACGCGAGGACCACCTGCTGCGATCAGGACTCTGCCATTCAAGTAGCGCCAGGCTTGAAGCTCTCCGTCTCGAGATTCTCTTCTCATTTTTATTTTTATTCTATGGTTGATATTCTGAATTTCGAATAAAAAAGTACGAATAAACTTTGGAATGTTTTTTTAATTATTGAAATTGCGAAAAATTGAAGAAAAGCAAAAACTTCATTGTTTATGTGTAGTTTATTTGCGGTAAGAACAAAGCGCGGCAGCCTCTTGACTCGTTTGGATTGTCGTTTTCGCCAGGACACATTACCCTCAACTCGTGAAGCAAAGATTTTTCCAGATGTGATATAAGTATAGTTTACGAGGATGAGTCTCAGCTGTTGTTTAGCACCGAAGAAACGCTGTTCCGAGGCTCGGACGTTCTTTTGATCGACTTTTCCCTTCGATTTTCCCTGCTCTAACTTGCTTTTTTGAAAGTACATTATAATGAAAATTTCGACACACTTTTTTTTCGAATTTCTTTCTTTCTGTTTTTTTTTCTCCGTGAGCGCTAATCGGATAGAAACGACTCATAATGCTTGTCCTAACTCTTTCCCGGCATAATTTCCTCCCTGCCGTTTTGTTTACATGAGGAATTGCATTTTTTGAGATTTTTATAGTTTAACTCTTTTTTTTTCATCTTTCAGATTGACTATCCAGTTCTCTTCAAGGCTCTCAAAGCTGAGCAGTTCTATTTCTTTGAGTTACAGCTCAATTTCTTTCGAAGCATCTTTCATTTATTTTTTTTTCTTCTTCTCGAAAAGTGTAGGCGGGCATGTTTGCTTCGCTTTACATCGAATTCATCCAACCTCAATACTTTTTTCTATATCTGCTCGGAATCTCGGCTCATGTGGAAAATATGTCGAATCATTTTCAGAAAAGCTTCCTTCAACCTCGGACTCTTTTTGAGAAGCTAACTCAATGGCTTCCTATAATTCTACTTCTTCTTACAACAGAACCTATGAAAAGAAGGTTGGTCTGAAACTTTTCGAACTTTGGTATAATACTACACCTTTGCTCGCGTTTGATACTGAGAAAAAACCGTGAATCACTGAAATATTCAAAGAACTTGATAAAACTATCCAATTGTCGTACTCTTACAAAAAAAGTGTAGCCAACAAGTTGCAGGTTATCGAAGAAGCTCCTCGAGTGCGCATCACGACTCAAACTCACACGCCTTTCATCGGTGGTATTGGTCTCCCGGTCAGTTTTTTTTTCTTTTTAGGACTTGCTTTGGGCGAATTTTGTGCTAAATTCAAAATAAAACCAAACTTTTCAATCTCATTGAGCTTTGGCATTTTTCTGAGAAAATGTTGAAGCATTATCCGTTTTGCAGATGCAGGAGCTGAAAATTCAAGGATTGTCTCCGTTCATTCCAACCTCAGGGCTGCAGTTCCACGGTTCGGGTTGAGATCATCACAATTTCAAAAAACTGAATTTATATTATTCAGGACAAGTATCTTCTTTCCACGCCACCGACGACTCTTTCTTCGCCAGCCTCGATGTGAGCGCCTACGACGACGATCTTATGAAGGTTCCTTTTCAAAAAGTCTCATTAGAATTTCTTTTTCTCTCTCAGGTCTCCGTAGTCGGTCAGCAAATTGTAGTTGAAGCTCATCAATCTGAAAAATCAGATGAAATGGGAACCATCGAGAGGACTTTCACTAGGTTTTCATTGTTTCTTTTAACACGCCAAATGAGTTTTCTAGAAAGTTCGCGCTTCCAAAAAACGTCCAACCAGAATCCGTGACCAGCCAACTGACTACCGACGGCATCCTCACAATTAAGGCCTTGCCGCCCAACAAGGTTAGTTTGTACAAGAGTATATTCATCTGCAGTTGAAGCTTATAAGCTCTTGTGTTCTAGGAAACGACGCCAGCGCGCCAGATCCAAATCAAAATAGTCAACAACAATCCACAGGAAGCTTCCAACGAGAGTGCCAAAACGACGGAAGGGGAACAAAAATGATAACTTTCCAGTTCAAAAATCACTTTTAACGCTCAACATGCTTGAAAAATAATAAAGATTTCCGACTGCTCATCAATGACTATAGTCAAACCTTCCCGACTAGAAAGGCGAGACGGGTAGATCGACGAAGGAGAAGCGTTGCGTACGCGACGCGGCTTTGACCGAGGTCAGACATGATCCCATCAGTTCAGACCTACAGGGACCCGTCCGGTTTGCACTGCGCCGTCTCCGCTGGTCATACTAGACCATTTTTTCTATTTAATAAAATGAAAAAGATTATTTTCGACATAAATAGAAAATTACAGAAAAAAACGACTTCTTACTTACTAGAGACGGATTTCTCAAATTAACTAGAGGACGTTTTTTACCCCCCGGTTGAAATTTTGATGAAACTTTGCTGAAGTGTACCTTAGGACCCCCTGATTCCAGAACAGTAACAAAATTTCTCGCAATAGATTTCGTTTTCGAGTTAGGACACTTCAAAAGCCCGAAATAGCGCTCTTTTGGCCTAATTTGCGTATTTTGCACACTTTGAAGCTCCATGACTCGGAAACAAGATCTATTGCGAGAAATTTTTTTCTTGATCTGGGATCAGAGGGTCTGGGATTTTTTCAAGACTTACTGTCGTTTGCAACTCAATTGTAAAAACAACTTGTTTCATTGAATTTTCTTATTGTGTTTTTCTTCAAAATTTTCTTTTTTGTTGTGCGAAAAACTCGTTATTAACGAAGATATCGCCTGAAAACCGCAATCGGTGTATACACAATTTAGGCCTACAGAGTGCCAAATCGGACGGGCTGAACAGGTGAATCGATGGTACGACAAAATCTCAAGTCCGCAAATCTCGAGGACCGTAATCTTGTGTACGCAGATCTAAAGTCCCATAATCTTGGAGACCAAAATCTTGGAGACCAAAATCTTGGAAACCACAATCTTGGAAAGTAAAAAACAACGCTTTTGCGAATAGATTTTATCAGAAATTGTATTCGGTGATCCAAACGAGAGAATATAAGTAGATAAAGTGCAATAAAGAAGACTAGAAAGGAAGATTTTTGCTTTCCAAGATTTTGGTTTCCAAGATTATGGGACTTTAGATCTGCGTACACAAGATTACGGTCCTCGAGATTTGCGGACTTGAGATTTTGTTGTACCATCGATGAATCGCGATTCACCTTCACCCAATATTGTGGACTATATCGCATCGAGAGTAATGCTATACCGCGCGCGGGGAAGCCGCGAGCGATATCGCTCGCCTCTCGCTGCGACTTCGCAAACGTCTTGCGCTATATCGCTCTTTGAAAAAAAATTTTTCAAAAATGTTTTTTTCTTGAATTTGATCGATTTCATCATTTCATCATGTAAGTCAAAAATAAAGCAAAAAATTTTTTTTCATATTACAAATTTTTGAGAGGGAGCGATATGACAGCGAGACTTTGACTAGGTCGCAGCGACATGTTGACGAGATCGCAGCAAGAAGCCTTGGCTATATCGCCTGTGGCCCGCTGCGATATCGGCAATTATGTTGAGTGTTTGTTTAATAAAATGAAAGTTTATTTTCGACATGTATAGATAAAAAAAAATTACAAAACTACGATCTTTTACTTACTGAAGACGAAATTGATTCTTAATCAAATTCGGCATTCAAATCATCTTTAATTTTTCCTACTCTTTCCTACAAGAAATCTGTTAATATCTCTGAATTGGAGCGCCAAATGGGCGCCACAACTCTTTCACTGACATACACTATTTCGTCGTTTTCTCGCAGCTAGATAACGACGAAATAGTGTGTGTCAGAGAAAGAGTTGTGGCGCCCATTTGGCGCTCCACATCAGAGATTATATAATAATGCATTAATGGATATCCGATCCGGATTTGAGGCCCAAAAACTGCGATCGGTGTATGCACACTACAGTGTGCCAAACCGGATGTACTTAACAGAGCAATCGCTCAGGCCGGACCCATAAGTTGACGGGCCGGCTCTCGCACAAGCCTGATATAAGGACGTTTTGAGGCTGCGACTGGTTTAAAAGAATCAAACAAGCGTCAACTGAACTGATGAAAAGGTCATATAAACGGCCGCGTATCGATTGAGGGGGAGGAGGCGGTTCACTTCACATTTGCTTTGGCGCGCGAAATCCACCGCAATGCCGCTGGCGACAGCACTTCCGGCCGTCGTCGGCGGTATCTGTTGTTTCGCCTGTCCATTCTTTTTCTCAACCGGCCCGGGTATTCTCTTTCTACATTTCCTGATCGTCAACGCCGTTATTCCAGGTTTTAAAAAAATTTTAGTCCAGACATTAACTCATGCCGTGTTCAAAGTAGTTTCCGCGAAATGGTCTCTGACTCTCCTAAATTCAGTTATGTTTTTCTTTCTCTGATGGCTATTTTTTGCAGGATCACTTCGAATACGGTTTTAGAATTTTTTTTTTAAAGAAAACAAAAGATTTTTAGTTTTTTTTTTCACTTACTTTAATTTTTTATAAGGCAATAACTTCAATTTTTGAACAATTTTCACTTTACAGATGCTTCCATTTCGGTTGCTCCGTCCTTGTTGCTTCCAGCAGCTGCTATATTACAGCTTCTTGAACAAATTTTGAAGCTGAACAAGAAAGGTTCAGTTTTATTTCTTGCTGTGCCTTTTCCTAGCATGATGCTGGAATGAAAGCAACTGGTAACAGAATTAACGGAAAAAAGTGGCTTAAACTTTTTCAAAAACTTTTTTTCAATAGAAAAGTTGCAAACTTGAGTAATTCACTCCTTCTCCTTGAACATTGTCCCTCTACACCTGACTAAAAGCTTTAGTTCTAGTTTCGGTTTTCTTTTTTCTTCATAGATATATAACACTTATTAATTAGGCTCCAGAATTATAATTCTGGAGCCTAAAATAATTTGAGGATATGAAAGAATGGTTTTTTATAGAAAAAAAGCTTTCTTGGTACTGGACGATAGTCTGCTTCGCTTCGCTTTACCTTTTCGACTACGTCATCGTTTTGTTGTTCCGAATGGCGTCACTGGAGACGTCGCTTATCCTTCTGTTTTTGCTGCTCATCGTCGGCTTTTTCGCTTTTGCCGAAGATCCCACTCCGCAAGCGGTACCTTTCGACGTTAGTTTTTTTTTTAGCGCATTGCAAGTATTAGTTATAAATAACACTGAAGTTGAAATGAACTAAACTAAAAATAAGAGAAACGAAACATCTTCGATCAACTGCAGTATTCTAAAGGGAGATACGCAGAGATGTGTCTTTTACATGTATTTGTTCTGTTATGAAAACAATTAGTTGAAAGAGCAAGGCGAGAGATTATATGTCACGATAAAATTTTTTTGGAAAAAGGTGTTGCTCGATTTTAGCTTTACACCTAGGCGCAATTTAAAAAAATATGGAAATAAACGACGAGAAGAAGAGATAAAACATGTTTACAAATCATCGATGAGTTTTCGTATGTTTGGCGATTCAAAGGCATACATTTGACAAACACAGATTTCGGTCTCCGTCGCGTGGAAACGAGAGAAAATGTTTGGAAAGAAAAATCACAACATATGAAACGCCTTGGCTATGAAATTTAAAAAAAAGTTAACTTTCACTAGAGCCGCTATTTTGGCTTATTAAAGAGTTGGACTCGCGAGAACATTGCATGTAGGCACCTTTTTTAATCACTCAATAAATCTTATACGTTGTAAAAAAAATCATTAACTGTTCTTCGTAAATACTTTGTTAAAGATACTGGTTGATGTGGAATCATCGGATTTGTTTCGCGAATCTGGACACCCATTCCATTGCTTGGGCTTCTGTGGCACGTACATGTACCTCGTTGTTTTGTTATCGTTTGTTCTCCACGTAAGACTAAAATTAACTCAAAAATTCTCACAGAAATTTCAGGTAGACTTTTTGCGCAGTGAAATGGCATCTGGGCTCTGGAACGTGCTTCGCGGTCTCGCCTCAATGGGAACGATGCTCACGCCTGCTTTGTTCGGCGGACTTGTTCATTCTCTGAAGACCGCTTCCCAGAAGATGACCTCCAAAAAGTGTAATATAGTCCATGCATAATTTTTAGAAACACTTGATAATCGAAACGTGTGCTCCCTTCGATCTACGGGCTCTTTGTTATTTTTGAATTTATAATTATGAGAAAATGAATTTTCCAAGTCCATTTTATTTTTTTCTTCCAAAGTTTTATTATTTTGAGCAATCGTGAAAATGATGATTTTAAACGTCTATATCAAAGTAAGAACAACTTTTCAAAAAAAAAAAAACAATTAGTATTGATATTTTATTACTAAAGCAATCATATACACGTATTTTGTACGACGTCAGTTTTGCTGCGAAAACATTTTCAGATTGCTCGGTACTGAGCTTCGCAGATCAGCCAAACAATTGTCGAAATTGAAGAGGGGAAGTACAAGTCTGGTACTTATTGAAAAGCTCCCTTCCCCTGTAATTAAACTCGCTTTGAAGCAACGAAAAGCTCAAACTGACCAATGTCAATCTGAATGCTATGAGGGTCTATTCCGCAGTTCTTGCTCAGCTTGACTCCTTTTCCATAGCTGAGTTCTTCGATGGTACTTTTCAGTTCTGGCCAAAGCATGTCCATTATCATCCCTGAGAGCTCAAATTTTTCGCAGCTGAGCCGTAAGACGCACCTTTTATAAGATCGCCCATGAAGAAAGCCCATGTTTTAGGAAAAGCTCCTTTCTCCATGACGATTACCGTGTCCAACAATTGCACTTGTGTTCTGAATAAATAGGATTTGTATGAAACAGTCCTACAGTATAACCTCAGTGTGCCGTCGTCAAAGGTGGGTCTCAACTCAGCTTGAATCGTGAGGATCAAAGAAACAAACACCGAGGTGGTGTTTTTGCCAGGGTTCACCACTTGGAGGTGTATCCGATCAGTTCTGAAATCGGAATGAGAAGGATCATAGCTCTATACTGACTTGGTGAGCACGAGAGATTCGTTGGTCGCTGCGATCGATGGTCTTCCCTTGGCGTTAACATTGACTTGGAAGTAGCACTCAGTGCAAAGAGTAGAAAGGAACTCTCTTAATTATATTTGTTTCAAATTTTTCATGCTGTTCAGCCGATTAATCGGGAGAGCGAAACTTTTTTTTTGATTGGCCACTCTCAGGAAAAGTACCTTGAGTCTTGTGGGATTATAGGGCTCGACACAGCAATTTGCTCGTTCATCCATTCGAAGTTCCAGTCAATCTATCAATAAAAGTTCAGAAAAAAAAAGAAAGGCAAATGTTCACCTGATCCAAGATTTCGTTGAGAATGGCGTCTTCAAGCCAGACGGTGACCACGTCATCTCGCGTCATCTGCATCTCAAGAAGCGAAGAGTTACTTTCTGCTGTTAACAGCTTTGAAGCTTCATCATCAATTATCTGAACAACGCGTTTTTCAAAGGAAACGAAATCAATAAGGATGAAAATTCACTCAACCTGCTTCTGCCACTCGATTTGAGCTCGAAGAGACATTTGATTCTCGCTCGCTTCAATATTCTCCAACCTGAAAGATGGATTAACAAGGAAGAGGTTTTTTGGAGTACTTATAGAAAAGAGTGGTGTTCCTTGCTGCCATGTGATCCTGCACCTTTTTTGGCAGATAGTCGTAAACTGGGAATTTCCTAAAACTGATAATATAAACTGATCTTCAATCTTCAGTGTTTCTAACCTTTCACTGCTGTGCTTCAAATCCGATATGGATGAGTCAAGAAGGGTACATATGAAGGATTCGAAAAGCGAAGACATAACCGAGCTCATCGCAGAAATACCCTGAACACTCAGCATTGACCAACATTGTGAGGTAAGAAACGAGTCTCCAAAATGCAACCTTGTTGATGATCCAGCTGTCCCGAAAGTTGAGGTCAACCAAGGGGGAATACAAAGAACATTTGGCCAGGGACATTTTGTTCTCTTCCAACTTCAACTTCAGATAGCCGTGGTCGATCTAAAGAATGAAATAAATCGGAGCAAAGAAAAAATAAAGATTGCCTTGATGTGGGAGTTGACATAGCTATCAGAGAATATGATCGGCCACGAGACTTCTGACAAATTCGCCGCAGAATTCACGTGTAACCTTAAAACGTAATTTCAGCAATAACAAAAGCATACAGAAAATTTAATCTAAATGCTGAAATCAGCTTTGTTCATCTGAAAGAGTTATATCAGCGCACATCTTCCCAGAAAAAAAACCTTTCAAAGAAGATCTGAACGGCATTGGGATGGAATCGAATCGAAACGTTACGGTAGGACACTACACTGAAAAGGTCGAGCTGCGCGATGTTTCCGAAGGACGGCGAATCCCTCGTTTTCAACAAAACCTGAAAACCAACCCTTTCAACTCGGAAAATTATTGTTTCTAAAGAAAAACAACAGGTAACTTAACAAGCTCTTATGTCCTTTTTTTGTCTCTGGGTTTTTTTTCCCATGGCGAGTTCAATGACTGTATAGAAAATCTATGGGTTAATTTTATAGTTGGTATGCAAAAAGTTTCTCCTGACGGAGGTTCGTGGCATTCACTATGCGCAGAAAAATAAAAGAGGGTTTTTTGCAGTTTTTTATGGAGCCGACTAATTTCACGCAGTAATCTAGTTCTCAGAGCTAGCAACTCTTTGATCTAAAAAAAAGGATATTGAGGTCAAATCTCACGTTTATCTTGTGGACCGAGTCTCTTCGTCTTGCGAGTCTACAAGGTCATCCTGCCGCCAGCGCACTAAAACTTGCGCGGTCTCACGAAAAACTAAACAATCCCCAGCTCGAAGAAGCGGTAAAACTTTGGCTACTTGAATCAATAAAATTTCGAGGCGGCTTTTTTTTTTTTGAAGGTTTTTCACGGGAATCAGATTCAGCTTAAAAAGAGAAGAGGCATTGGATCATATAAACCGCGACGCAATCGATTTGAGGACAGGTTCTCGATCCACACAGCGAAAAGTAGCTTTAAAACATTGACTTTTCACAGAAAAAATGGGATTTTTTAACAAAAAAAATGATAAGAAGCATCTAGCTGATGCATTCGACCACAGAAAAGCCTTACCGAAAAGGCCTATCGAAGATCTTTTTTTTAATCTTTTCCTGCATTTTCAGACTCGAACTCAGGAAAGGAAGATCAACCTCGGCGACTCGCGGATTCTCGAAAAACTTTGCGGCAACATGACGAACGAGTTGTGAGACGGAAGTATCGCCAAAAGAGACTCCGAACTGCGAGGCTTGGAGCTGCAGGAGCTGGAGCACAAGCACTTGGAGCTGAAGCAGGTGAAGACGCATCGCGAGTGCTTCTCCTCCGCTGGATCAAACACTTTTCACGACCATTCCCGCCGGTGGCAGATAGAGCCTAGCCTGCAATAATTGTTTTTGTTTGAAGTCCGTCGCGATGCATCGGATGAACGTCAAAATCAAAAATTCAGTAATTCAGGAAAAACAATCGGGTAGAAAAACTTTTTTAAATCAAACTGTTGGAGGACCGAAAGAGTGCGGCCTTCAAAATATAGCCATGCGAAAATTTTGCTGCGTTCCTCAAAGGCGCAATACATCTGTTTAGTAGATCACTGCTCCAAGACTGAAAAATATTCTGATCTTTAGTCACTGAAATTTAAAAGTTGGCGCTTTCGAAGAACCAGAAAGAGTTTCGAAAAGGCTATAAAAGGTCAAATATGATTTATTCAACGAGGAAATTTATTCTCGAGTTATATTACTTTTTTTATTCGTATTAAAAGACACTTTCAACTTCAACAAAAACAAAAAATGCCAATCAGAAACTTCCAAAAAATAATTTTTATCATAAAAGGACCTTCATTAAACTTAGAAAACCTTCTTATTTACAAATATCAACTTCCAACGCATATTACAACAGGAAGAATGAGAAAAAAAAAACCAAAAACTAGCAAGTCAGGTGCTTTTTTGAGTACGAGTTGAAAGGAAAAGAACTCGTCCGAGGGTTGCGAAACGGTTGGGGAAGAGGAAAGTCGCCAAGTGGAACAGGCCTCGAGCGGCGGCCAAGGAACGAAGGTGAGGGGGCGGCGTCGGCCGACGGCAGACATGAGAAGATGTTTCTCCGCGCCGTCGCCTTCCTGGCAGCGCTGCTCCACGTCGTCCAAGCCGTCGACTTCCATCCTTTGCTCGCGGCTCCGAGGACGCTGCCCGGAGTAAGAGCTCGGATCCTTCCTCGAGGCATCGCCTACGTCAACCAGGTCGGTCTGCCATCGACTACCCAATCTGGTCTTGCAGATCGCCGACAATCTTCTGGCCGAACAGCTTCCGCGGCTTGTCATTCCTGACGTCCAGCACTTCCTTCCCAACGACCAAGGCGTGATCTTCATCTCGCGAATCCGTCTCTCGCGGTGATTCATTTAGATGGAAGATAGGCCGTGCCAAAACGGGTTTCCTTATTAGTTATTAGCTGCGTTGGCCTCATCACGAAACGGTTTCTCTTACAGTTCAGGTCTGGACGGCTGTGATCCTAGAACGGAGATTTGAAACTTTTTTATTGTTTTTCATTCACGCCGGCTTTGAATGATCATCATTCAGATTGCAAAAGCGATTTTTTTTTCCATCGCGGTTTTTTTCTATTTTGATACTGGCTAGGGAACTACTCGGACTCGGGTACGCTTTTAGAATTGAAACTTTGGTGGCTTATAGACCCGGGTAAGAGTACTTGGAAACAAGAGAGATTATCTGCTAAACCCCATAGGCTTCTGAGAAAAAGCTTTTTGAAAATGAACAATTTAGGCTTGAAAATTATCAAATATTTGCTTTCCTCCTTCTTTTGCCTGGAAAAAAGTTTTTTAGAGTTTATCATAGTCGGGTCATTCAAGGCGATTGTATTAAAATATAAAATAAGGTAAAAAGAAGTATTTTGGAAATTTTCAGGCCTAATTTTCACTTTTTCTACTAATTTTTTCTCAGTTCTCTAATGGGTTTAGCAGATATTCTCTCTTGTTTTCAAGTATTCTGACTTGGGTCTATAAACCACTGAAGTTTGAGCTCGATCCACGTACCCGAGTCCGAGTAGTTCCCTAGTGAGCTTCATCGAAACGATTATAACGAAGCAGTTAAGTCTTCGTTGCGATGTCTAAACTATTCATTCTGGTTTATTAAAAAACCAAGTTAAATAGCAAAGAATATCTTTGAAAGAAAAAACACGGAAATGGGAGACTCTCTGTTGTCGAAAAATCGACCTTTCAATGTATTTCCGAAGAAAAACACTTCCTCTACAAGATTGTATTGGTTCCAGGTTCCGTAGAGCGGTGTTCCATAATATATCTACTTCGGCTCCAAACAAGATCTCATGGACAATGCAGGACTTGGATCTGGGGTACAATTCTCGTAAAAGTTAATTGATTTTAGTTTCCTTTTTTTGCAGGTTGATTGGCGACTTAAGTGGATCTGTAAACATTGTGGTTCCGTTCAACCTGACTGGCCAAGTCGAGATTTTGGCCAATGGAATCACTTTCCATTTAGAAAACTCGGTGATTTCTAGTTGGAAAAAAGTTTGACCCGAAAAGCTCAGATTTTGAAAGGAGAACATGGTGCTGGAAAAACGACGTCTTTGGCTTGTACAACAACAATACGTGAAGTTGTAGTCACCAACCACAACGGCGGTCTTTTTGGCTTAGCTGTTTCAGTCTTCAAGGTTAAGGTTCCGAAATGTCCTAACTCGAGAATTTTTTTCCAGCAAGGAGTGTCCGATAATGTGCGCCAGTTACTTCAAGGACTCATCTGCAAAAAAGTGACTAAAGTAGACTTTTGAACGAAATCTTCTTTTTTTTCAGGTGCGAAAGTACATAGACGAAGACCTCAACGAGAAGCTAGCAGAAGCGCAGACGACGAGTCGTCTGGCGGACGCGATCGAGGCCAACGCTTTGCGAATGGTCAACTTCCCTTCTGACGATTCGCGGATCCAATTAACCGAATTCTTCCCGCCGGTACCCAGAAAAAGGCTACTTCTAAGTGTCACTTGTTCAGGAAATCACGACCGATTTCTTCATCGACTTCAGACTCAAAGAGCATCCGCAGTGTGGAGATAACACGGTTGAACTGGCCTCTTGGGGGGAAATATCATATCTCGGTGAGCGACTCGAAGAAGTAATCATAAAAGGGTAGAACCTTGCTTCTACGGAAACAGTGTATATCGATGCGAAGAAATAAATGGTATACATTTTATCCAAATATTACTTCGAATTTCGCCTCATTTTTACAATGTTTTTGAAGGTTAAACAAGTGAAGCCTTCATATGACACAAGACTTCTTTCTATGAAAACGACTAGTTTTGAACGCCCTTAAAAGAACTTTCAAGCTGCGATTATGATTCATTTTATGTTCGTTTTGAGGCTCTTCTAACACGCCATTTGGACCTGTCGACTCTTCTTGGCCGGGAAAATCAGCATCTTCCTTTGAGCGATTCACAAAAGCATTCTCGCAGAGCCAACAGGAGCCAATGATTGAACTCATCATATCAGATTTCCTTCCAAACTCTTTTCTCTATCACGCTTACATGTGAGTAACGGTTTGGTCCACAAACAAACTTTCGTGCAGGAACCGTTTAATCCGCGTGCTTCTTACCAACGAGACGAGCGGAATTTCCTCGTTTCTGCATACGACCTGTGAAGGCTCCTTCTGCATCGCCGACGTCGCTCCGCAGCTCGCCGAGCATTTCCCAAACTCGACGGTAGAGCTTTCTCTCACAGCAACAAGAGCGCCTGCGTTGCTTTTCAGTGAGAAAGATTCAGGTAGGTCGTCTTTGATAGTCGTACTGAACAGAATTCGACAGGAGTGATATCGGTCAGCGCAGGGGCCATGATCGTGGTCTTCGCCGTCACCGGGTCTCAGAAGCGCCAGGCCATAGTCATGGACATGGATATTGTAGCAGATGCTCGTCTATCCTTACAGGCAACCTTTCATTTCGATGTGTGACAGTGAAACAGCGGTTACAGGGCCAGAACGTCAGTGGAACCGTCGTTTTGCGCAAGTTTGAACTCAAGAGAAAGGCTGGTCCGATTCAGATATCTAACGCCGAGGTTCAACAAATACTTCAACAGCAGGAGTAAACTGGACTTTTTTAGGTTGATGATATCGCTTTGTTAGTAGGAAAAGTGCTCGAGGAAATGTTCAACAGCTTGCTAAAAAACGGCCTACCTTTACCTTTGCCACACGGTAAATATCGTATCATTAAACTTTGAAAATAAAAGTATCACCAAAAATTATTTTAGTTCTGCGAATCCGAGATGCGCAGGTTAGTGTTCTCAGCCGCCGCCTTCATCTGAAACTCGACGTTGAGGTTTTCCTAGCCCTCGATTTTAATCATTCAATTTTGGAGGTCGACGAACGGCGTCTCTCTCGGATCGCCGCACGTACTTTCTTCAAAACTCCACAGTTTTCTCAGTCTCCCCACATTTTTCATCACAACGTTCGTCGAGCACTTCGACCAGTCACCCTGCCAGCTAGTCGAAGAAATATTACACAATTCAATTTTGGAAACTGGTCTCCTGACACGGTGTAAACGTTGTGTCACTCATTCAGCAGAATACGGGTCATAAAAAAAAGATAAAGTCTTTCAGAAAACTATTTTCTGTTATACGCAATTGAAAGCTCAAGAATCCTGTCGAAGTATAAAAATGAAAGCTCTCTGAAAAAAAAAAACCTAGTAAAAAAATATAAAAAGAACAACACAATGTTCTTTTCTCTTTCAATCTGACCAATTAATCTGGTGAGACCGTTTGAGACCGTTTGCTTTGAAGATTGAACAACGCAAATGCGAAGGTGTAAATGAGTCATTTATTTAACACTTCCATTATAAAACGGGAAAAAAAGGTTTAAAACTCTCCAAGAGGAGGGAATTTCAGCAATCCGACGAGTTTAACAAAAACTACGATTTGAAAAGTAAGAATAGTCTTTGGGAAAGTTTTTCAATGTAATTAAAAATTTTTTCAAAGCCTGGCCTGCTTGCGCAGGCTTTTTTCTTAAAAAGAAAGCCCAAAACTCGGTCCCGCCCGACCCGGCCCGACGCACAATTGTACAAGCAATGTTGCCTGTTGCGGAAAAAGGCATCTGCGCTCTATCGTACAGACCATCATCGCCGCGAAGAAACAAAATTTGAATTTCATGCGTCATTTATCCTCCATTTACAAAATACTTTCAACGCTTTCATTATTGTATTTTCCGCTTTCTTCAGGTCTGGTTATCAGGGTTAGCTCTCGTTCTATCCCCATTCTGTAAAAAATTGGAGATGTCCAACCGAAAGTGAGTTTACATTATTTGAAATATTTGCCTCACACGTATTTTACGGAAATTGTCTTCTTTGTCTTCGTGGTCGACAGTGCATTGTAAAGTTTTTGATTAATCAAAAAGTTCATTTCTTGTTTTAATATACAGTATCAATTAAGCTTAGAGAAAAAAAAGTTTTTAAAAAGTAAAAAAGGAATTTTAAAATTGTGAACGAAAATTTTGGTTTCAATAAAGAAAAATCAATCAATAGAAATAGTTTTTTCAAAGCAGAATGTTTTTTAAAGTTTTTAGTTCCGAGCTTCTTTCGTTATGAATCATTTTCAGACGAGGCGTAACACCCGGCAGAGATCGCGAACGAGATGGTCGTGTTAGAAGGAAGAAGGCGTCGGATATGGATTCTATAGAAGTTGTATGCCGAATATGTCCGTTTCGTGGTCCAAACGCCTGTCTGGAGGTGGTCAATGATTTTTGCGTGAGGACAGTTGTTCCTCCGAACTCTTACCGCCGCGAAGGAGCTTCTACTGTTCGTCCTTTTTTTTTCTCCCTATTAAAGCATACGAAGACAGGTCGATAAATGCTTCTCTTTTGGTTGTGTTTTCTCGGAGGAAGACGGACAGTCAAAGGTCTTCGAAAGGACAGCGGTTGATCTTATTAACAATTTGGTGGCTGGAAAAAACTCACTTTTATTCACATATGGGGTTTGGTTCTTTTCTTTTCACCTCTTCTTCAGATCATGCTTTAGGTAACTGGCAGCGGCAAAACTTACACGATGACGGGGAAACCCACCCCAAACGAAACTGGTCTACTTCCTCGGACGTTAGATGTCATTTTTAACAGTATTATGAACAAGTCAGTTTTTTTTTAAATTGATACCCGATACATCTTTTTATTCCCGAAGATAGGTGACTCAAATTTTGATGTTGATAATCTTAGAACCTCGTTTTCATTTCTTCGTTAATTTTAATTTAGTTCTAACTTCTTTTTTTTTTTGGTTAAGCTGTTGAAAATACCGATTCTTTTTTGCTCTGCTGATTATCCTGAACTAATTCAAAAAGTCGCTCAAATAAATTTGAGGCTTATCTGGAACAAAAGCCTAGATTTTTATTTTTATATAATTTAATATTATCAGATTTTTTTGTAAGAAAATCTGATGAACTGATCGTCCAATCTCTCTTAGTATATTCTGAAAAACACGACAGAAAAATTTTCAGAGTAGAAAAATGTGTTTTCTCGCAAGCTGGCATGAATAAATTTGAAATTCGCCCTTCTCTCGACGCACTCCTCAAGCGCCGGCAACTTGAAAACGAAAGGATGCAGACGAGCCAAGAAATGGCCGACCGCTACGTTGAGCGGCTCACGGTATACCCTATTCCAGACTTGTTCGAAGGCCCAGAAAAGATATTAAAAAATAATCGTGTAAAGAATATGTATAGCTATCCTATTTCACTTTTAAAACTTTTCTCGCGCTTCAATCACTCTAACAAGCTTTTTCGAAGAAGTCGATAAGGACTCTCAAATATGGTGGGGTTTGAGGTCAGCGGATTCAATGAAGATTACGTTTGCTCCGTTTTCGTGTCCTATGTCGAAATTTACAACAATTATTGCTACGACTTACTTGAAGACACGAGAAACAGGTGGAAAAAAGTTGGATGATCCCAAAATCACTTCTTTTTTCCAGCGCACTCACAAAACGCGAACTTCGTCACGACAGAAACCAGCAGATCTTTGTCGACGGAGCCCGAGAAATGGAAGTAGATAGCAGTGACGAGGCTCTCGAGGCCTTTTGTAAAGGTTCTCTATTGATTATTGGAACGAATGAAGAAACATACAAGTTTTGAAAAATTTGCCTTTACACCGGTCATTTGGAAATTTGCGACAATGGTGGAATTTTCTTCAAGGCAAATTCAAATCAAACTCGATAGCGATTAACTCATAAAATCTTCTTTAAAAAACAAAATGAAAAGGGTTTGAGGAGAGGAAAGGCGCCGAGTTTCTTCGACTCTTCTCAACAAAGATTCCTCTCGCTCACACTCCGTGTTCACAATCAAGCTGGTCATGGCTCCGCGGGAATATTCGAGCAAGTCCCCGATGCCTGTAGACGATTCCGAGGCGATCGTCGTTTCTCAACTCTGTCTCGTCGACTTGGCAGGCAGTGAAAGGTGAAACTTGTTTCTCCACAGGTATATTTGTAGGAGCTTGGAGAATATTGAAAAACACGATGGCGCATCATTTTGAAGTCACATTAGTTGATTTTTTTTTAATTTTTGATATGTGTAAAAAAAGAACGTTAACTCGGACTTTTTGATTTATGATCCTTTTCCAAACTTTTTTTCATCTAGACTCAAGAAATATTCGTCCGCAAATATAAGTTCTGATTTCAACTTTATCCTCTCTAGAGCGAAGAGGACAATGAATGTCGGAGATCGTTTGCAAGAAGCGAGTAGCATCAACCAAAGTTTGATGGTTCTCAGACAGTGCATCGACGTCTTGAGGTTGTTTTCGACTGGAGATTTAGAGTTGGAACTCGATTACATTTCAGACGCAACCAGAGGTCGAGAGTTTCGCCCGACCAGGTGCCGTACAGACAATCTAAACTGACTCATCTCTTCAAAAACTATTTGGAAGGCAACGGCAAAATCCGCATGGTTATCTGTGTCAATCCGCGTCCCGAAGACTACGACGAAAATTTGGTAGATCACTGATTATTCTCTAAAGAACATTTGAAACAATCAAATTTTGTTTTCAAAATGGTTTTTAAAATTTTTTCTTCTTTTTTTATTGAGTTCGATTGAAGCCATTTTTCATGATTCTTTCGCTCTGTAGATTGCTTGCGAGTAAAGAAACTCAGTCTGAACTCACAACGGGATTTATGAATGAGACTAGAATTGATAGAAGTTTAATTCGAAAAATAGCCGCGAAGAAAATCCTCTGGCCCTACCACCTATAGCTGATAAGGCCAGAGGATTTTTACACATTGTTGAATATAAAACTACCATCCGAAAATGAGCTCACTTTGGAATTTTTACTATTTTAATTATGAGCATTCATGATTTGATCTCACATACCGCCACGACTTTTAGATTAGGGTTCCTTTTTTTTCTACGAAATTAGGATTGCAGACCAATCGCTTGTTAATGTGAAAAGATTTTACATCTTCAATTTCCATGATTTTGAGCTGTTCAACTTTTTCCCCAGTTTCACATGTTTGTCTTCATTTTTTTTATCTATTTTAGAGCGCTTTGTCTTTCGCGGAAGAGTCGCAGGCGGTGAATGTGAAGAAACAAGTGGACAGAATGAACTGCGACCGAGTGCCCCACAGGTTCCACTCTCAGTGGAACTCCGAAATGGACGAATTCCTCAAGCAACTGGGAAACGAGAGATCTTCGACCCCCATTTTGCCTTCCTTCGTGCTACACGTTCGAATCCGTCTTCGAATAGATTAATATGAACTTTTTCCAGGACTACAACGATACGCGAACGATTTCTAACCTTCGCTCGTTCTTCGAAAGTATCATGGCAAATCAATCAAGTCTCTCGTGTCTGATTGGTTTCACATTAATTTTTGAAATTCAGATTTCAATTTAACGTTAGTTCGAAACTACATGATGAACGCTGACTTCAAGGCTGAACAGTTTGAGAAGATTTGCAAAGAAAGAGAGGAAAAAGACGAAGAAATCCTGGAACTCAAAGCTAAGCTTTCCAAGAACAAGGTGAACTGATTCAATTCTATCAAGCTGTTGACGTCTGAGTCTCTTCGCAGAGAGAGATCGCATCTTTGCGGGAGCGGGTCGTGAATTGCGAGGCAGACGAAGAAGAGAACAAAGCTGCGATGGAGAGACTTCGAGAGGAGAAACTGGAAGACAGGAACATCATTCTCAATCAGAAAAAAGCTATCAAGAAGGTTTTGTGTCTTTGGGGATCAAACTGGAGATGTTCCATTTTCAGGTTCAAGGTATCATTGAGAATTCGTCGCCTTCTGTGGCTTCACTGCGCACAAAGTTCGATAAGGAGAACTTTTCTCCGGGAACGCGAGTTTCCACGGTACTTACACCTTGCCCTTTTTATAAATGAGAATAGTTTGAAAGCGAAAAAAAAGGATCCATGATTAATAAGTTCAGTTTTACGAATTAAATAAATGGGAAGAAGCGAATATCTCTCAGTTTACAGAAAAAAGTGACAACCAAAGTGACAGAGACACGATTCGCCTCCTCGTCTTCGTCCAATGACCTCCTCGAAAATGTGGGCATTGCGTCGTCTAACGGTCCCGGATACTTCAATCCTAAATACCAAAGAAGGTTTCGCTTTTTATTTGTCTCGTCTAGAGAAATAATTACTCGAAGTCATGCAATTTTATCCCAAACTACCCTTCAAATCGGAATTTTTTTCAATACTATCAACCCTCCACCAAACTAAAAAATTATCTTTTTTCGGAAGTAATTTTATAATTATGTATAATATAGCTCGAATTAGTATGTGTTAAATTTTCCTAACAAGTTTCAGCGCTTCATTAGAAGCGAAACCATTTGATAAAGAGTTCAATTATCTGAGAAAAAAGAATAGAAGTTGAACTTTAATATATGAAGCTTACTGGAATAACTAAAACAAAATTACTTTGGATGAGTCGGGATAGAAACTCGCAAAATGGAACTCCCAATGATTGAAATGTTTGAGGTCGAAATCGGCGTCGCGAGTGCTCGACCACCAGCCCATGCACAGAGTTCCAACTGGCGGAATTTTGCGTTCTCGCATGCCCCCGAACTCGACGCGAGTCACGAGACCTGAGGTACCAAATATCCGTTAGTCTCCCATCAATCCGTCATGCTCCCAGCTGCGTCAACTTAACAAGTCTTCGGAATACGTACTCACGCACCAAGAAGTCGACGACGATGGAAACATCAGCACCAACATCATCAAGGTTCCTATCACTTCCTTTTTTTCGTGTTGCACATTCAACGAAAGCATGTCTCTGTCGTCTTATACATTTTCGACATAGAAATCAGAATCCGATTATGCATGGGGTTTGCCTTTTGAAGTTATCATAGAAATTGTTCTAGGAGTATTCAATTTTTTTTTCTTTTTTCATTTATTTGCACTCATGCGGGCGAAGTTCCGCAGGCTTTCTTGGAAACTTTGCGAATATTATAAACAGGAGAACTTTAACTTCTTAAAGGATTCCTGAAAATGGGAAAATTAATCTATTTCATGGTTCCTTCTTAAGGAATTATCTATCTGATTTCCAGTATCTCTTTCTTTGCATCTTTCTTAACATCTTTTCATCTTCGAAAACGGCTTTCTAACGGAAGCTGCCAAAAAAAAGAAACGTTTCTAGATTTGGCCCGGCCACTTTAAAAGCACTTCTGAGCACATTTGCAAGCATGCATTTCAGGACTCGTCTTTTTACGGAGAAGAATCGAAGGCCGTAACCCCCAGCACTTCGTCTCCCGACTCCGTTTTGCGATTTTAATGCACTTATTCCTACTGCACTTGTGTCATTCAAATAAAATGAAATTCAATAAAGAAAGTTTTACAAGAGGTTTTACAGGGCGATTGTATACCAACAGCTGGCGGGGGAACTGCCGTTGTTTTTAACGACATCGAGAAATTGTCACACGAGTCGCCCGCAGTCCGTCGTTGAATTCGCTCTACGCAATATTTCTTTTTTCTTTTTGAGTTTCGCTTGTAGAAAATTTTTCCTTTAGAACTTGTATTATATCGTGAAATTGGTGTCCCTTGAAAAGTGGAATAAATGTTTTTCTATTCTGTCATTTTTTTTTTGCATCAGCTCCGTAGACACTCCGACGTTAGGAAGTATTTGGATTCTCTATTTGAAAAGAATTTTGTGTACGTATGCTCGTATAATATTTTGAAAGCCTTTTTTTTTGATAGAGCAAAAAAATTTTTGAATAGTGATTTTAAGACTCCAAAAGTAACGTTTAAATATCTAAAGTTTGGAATATTTTCAAAAAAACTTCTTCATTGAAAAACCGTCAAGAGCGGAGAAGTGGAAAAATATATTCAAAGAAATTGTTAAATTTCTATTTAAATACGGATTTTATCTTGCCTTTTTTTTAATTATAAGATGCTAGTTCTTGATAGAGTTCTATTGTCAAAAAATGCCAGATCATTTTTCAGTATGCCTCGTAAAGGTTCTGGTAGGGGTCAAAAAAACCAACGTGGGCGCAGTAGAAGAGAAGCGGAAGAGCCACGCCTCAGCCAATTCAATCGCCAAGAATCCGACGAAAATGATTCAGAAGCTTCAGCAGAAGACGAAGATGAAGATGAGCAACCAAAGTTTGTGATGCCATTCAAACTCGCCATGTACGACTTCAACCAGTGCGACCCGAAGCGATGTTCTGGAAGACGACTTCTTCGCGTCGGCCTCATCGAAGAAGTGCGACTCGGCTCTCGGTTTCCAGGCCTTGTTCTCAGTCCGACAGGAGTCTTCACTCTTGCTCCGCGAGATCGTGCCTTCGTCGAACATAACGGTCTCGGAGTCGTCGACTGCTCCTGGAAGGAAGTGAAGAACACGCCGTTGAACCGAGTCAAGGCTCCAGAACACCGACTACTGCCGTATCTCGTCGCCGCCAACTCTGTCAATTACGGTCGACCTTGCCATTTGAACTGTGCCGAAGCCATGGCCGCGGGTCTCTACATTCTGGGTTTTCCAGAAGCCGCTTCTGAGCTCATGAAGCCTTTCTCCTACGGTCCTCACTTCATCGACCTCAACCGCGAACTACTCGACATTTACGCCGCCTGTCACACGCCAGAGGAAGTTATCGAGAAGCAGAACGCTTACATCGCGAAGATTGACGCTGAACGGAGTCTCAACAAGGAAATCGACTACCCTCCCAGCGAGAGCGATGAAGAAGAAGAAGAAGAAGAAGAAATCAAACCTGGAATCAGCAATTGATACAAAGATTCCATGAATTTTTCAACGTTTTTGTCTTTTTTCGTCTGGACATATATAACTGGATAACCACTAAGGAGGTATTCGTGGACTGAAAAAAAGATCAAAATTCAAACTGATTTTTTCATTGAATCTATGTTTTTCACATCAAATTTTATTTCAGAATTTCATTCAATTCTATTCGATCCGAGTATTTTCCGAACCTTCTGACATGCTCATTTAAAAAGTTGAATAACATTGAGAATACTTTGAAAGAAGCATTTTTTTCATAATAAATTTGTGTTGAAAGTTGTTATGATAACTTAATTTTTTTTTTTGTGACTTTTCTGTTCACGTTAGCCTTATCGGCTTTTTGTTGTTTGTTATGCTTTTTCGTTACTTGGAGAAATAAATTTGTTTATTTCAGAATGGAGGGAAGCGACGAAATTGCAGAGCAGGGATTCGACTATTCCATCGAGTCGAGCAGCATGAAGCAAGGCGCCGAAGCACGACTTTTCCGATGCGTTTATTTGGGGCGGCCGGCGATTCTCAAAGAGAGGTAGACGAAACCCCAATTTGCTTTCTAGGCATGGTTCAGGTTCGAAAAAAGTTATCGGCACACGTTACTCGACGGGAAGCTGAACAAAGCGCGAACGCGCTCTGAGTTGAAAGGAATTTGTCGCGCTCGAGAAGTTTGTTTTGTTTTTTACTCCAGACGCTTTTTTTTCGATGGGATACGAAAATCTTACAGCTCCTTGTTGAAACGCCGACGATTTTTTTTGTCGATGGAGAGAAGAACAAAATAATCATGGAATTGGTGGAAGGACCAACGGCCAAGGATTGGATCGAGAGTCGACGTGCAGAAGATAGTTTTGAAGTTATTCCAAACTGTTTTCCTCTTTGAACTTTGATATGAAGAAGGTTGTCCACGAATTCGGAAGACTTCTTGGCGGCTGTATCGCCAGATTGCATTCTGGAGGTCTGGTGCACGGCGACCTGACCACTTCTAACGTCTTGCTCCGCGACGGAAGCTCGGATCGTCCTGTTTTCATTGACTTCGGTCTCTCTTCTCAAAAAAATGTGAGTTGATCGTTCTATCTCTGTCTTTCTCTGTCTTTCTCAAGCTTTTTGCAAAGCTTAGGGAAATCGTTTCACTAAGGATTTGAAAATATCATCAGAGAAACAAGAAGGATAACGACGATTCCTGGCCTGAATATTAATATAATACATAACATGATATAATTTAAAGAAATATAGTAATTTAGTGTGTTCTAGAAACGCTTCATAGAAGGTTTGCAGACAAAGGCTTTTGAGATCAAAACTGCAAAGCCTCGAAATAATATTCAGCCTTTTATCATGAAACCCTGTTCAAAACTTTTCGAGAGCACAATTTGGAGAAAAAGAAAATTTTGTTGCAAATTTTTAATACAAAGCATAGTATTACTCATTTCTAAAAAAAGATTTTTTTAAAAAAATCGCTTTTTTTCTGATTTTAAGGACCGAGAACCTGGTATTTCATTTTCCTAAAGTCGATTTTTTGTCTAGATCGTTTCCTACAGAATTCTGGATAACCAGGTGTCGGATGCAGAAAAGTAGTGAAAGGTCTACCGAAAAGTGGTTAATTGCTTGAATCCGCAGAATGTTTATAAAAATGTCCTCAGTCTTGTTTAGAAGACTCCCATAAAGGTTGTGAATGGATGAAATTTTATGATTTACTTCTATAATACCAATTTGAGCTAGTTATCTATATGAGGTGAATCATTGACCACTTTCCTGTTTACTGCTTCGAGATATGATTGAACACAATTATTTCACATCAAACTAACGGAAATTTTATAATCCAGGTAAAATGATTCCTAAAAGACATTATTCTGCTGCGTCCGGATGATCAAGTCATTGAGTGATTTGTAGGTGACACCGGAAGAGAAAGGAGTCGACTTGTACGTGCTGGAAAGAGCTATCGCGAGCACACACGTCGACTGCGAGCATATGATGAAGGGGATACTTGAGGGATACCGGGCGGCCGACCAGAAGCAGAGCGGTGCCGTCACGAAAAAGCTGGACGAGATTCGACTGCGCGGTCGCAAGCGGGACATGGTCGGATAGGTACCTTCAGTGAACAGTTCCATTCATTGTTCTCATGTCCCAATTCTTCTCATAAATTTTTCGCTCTCATTCTAATATTCGTGTTCGTCAGAGGGTTTAGTCCATTAAATGCCATTTCACCACGCAAATGAAGCACTGCGCTGCTCAAAGTTTTCTTTCTTCAGTAGATGAAGCGCGGAACCGACGAATCGCGCGACGAATGCAATTATCCGAAAAAGAAGAAAGAAGACACTTCTCCAGCTCCCTCTCTTTTGAGTCCCGCTTTTTATTTCACACCGGTCCGTCTCTCTTTGGTCAGGTTCTCCAACGATCTTTTGCAGGTGAGGCTTCTGCCAGACCGTTTCAACAGTCAAGCGTTATCGCTTTCGAATGTTCTTGAGCTCGTTCGGCCCATCGCTTCCCTTCATTTCAATTTCATGGTCGATTTATCCTGGCTTCTTTCGTACGTTCCTTCTGCAATGATTCCTGCGAAAAAAAAATCCTTCATATAAATCAGCAGTTTTGCGAAGATTTCAGATGCTATCCAGTCGCCTGTCGCCCAACACCTATCACAATCATCGTGGGAGAAAAAACAGGAACAGACGCTCGAACAATTAGGACTGTTAGTTCCATCACTTTTTGTAGATACTTCGGTTTTGCAAAAGTGGTATCGTGACTAGGCAGAAAAAACCTGCCGTTTACAAAAAGTTAATTTTGAGCCTCATTTTGCTGTGGTGATATAATAACTTTGAGATGGATTCAAAAAAGCATTTTGAATTGAAGATTTGAAATAAAAGGAGAATAAAAAGTTATTGTTAAGAAAGGCAAATGAGAACATATTTCTTTCACAAGATAACTGTTTTTCCATTTCCATTTTATTATTTTGAAACTATTGCTCTTGTTGGTTTGAACGAAGAACGTGATTGAACAGGAAATCGCGGCGAAGAAGCTGGAAAATGTGGCGATTTACCCTGCGCGTTTGCCGATTCCTTTCGGGACTCATCACACAAAACTGACGATTCTGGAAGCGGCCGGCCACATTCATGTCATCGTCTCCACCGCCAATCTCGTCCCAGGCCTTTCTTCTTCGTCTTCCCTTCATTCCATGACATTTTCAGGCGATTGGGAGGCAAAAACTCAACTATTTTACCATGTGGCCGCGCCAATCGTTGACCACGATTCCGAGTAGGGTTTTCGAAAAAGTTTTAACGGAAAAAGATAGAACTTCAGAGTTGGTAATTTGCAAAAACATCATTTTGGCCAGGGCAGTATGAATATTTTAATAAAAGATCGGCGTTCTGGTTTTGTTAAAGATAAAAAAGTGCGCTGATTGTGAAAACTTATAGAATCAGGAAGAATAGCAACAAGATAAAATGTTCTCAAAAATACTGTAAAATACTTCAAGAAAATGATAGAAAAAATTGAAAAAAAAATTCAGTTTTTTCGAAATCTGTGTCGCATGCTCGTTGTGATTAAACTAATGTTGAACGGTGTTTCCCCTGTTTAAGAAGCGTTTTCTCCTCGGACCTTCTCAAATATTTGAAAGCTTACAACATCGAGGCTCTCTCTTACTGGATCTCGCGGATACAGGCGGCCGACTTCTCAGCCATAACAGATCGTCTTGTGTTCTCTGTGCCTGGCTATCACTCGGGTGCGATGCTCAGATCGGTTCGTTTTTTAAGAATAAGAGAAAAAAAAGGAAAAGAAGCAGAAGCCAGTTATTTTCCAAACAACTTTCTTTTTTTAGCCGTAAGTATCTTTTTCAAAGAAACTATGATGATTATTGTTACTGTTCCTTCTTTCTTTCTTTCTAGATGGAACCAACAAAAAAGAGGCTCTGTTCTAGAAATTTAACTTCATTGGAAACTTTCCGGGTTTTCTCGACCCGTGCAACCGATAAGCCTGAACTAGTTCGGTTTTTAAAAAAAAACCAGAAGACTATTTGAAAAAACCACACATTAATTATATTAGGCAATCTCGCGATTTTTCGATGAAGTTTTCGAAGCAGATTTCGAAAAAAAAAGTCCGTTTATTACGAACCATTCTTCTATTTCAAAATATTTTTTCAGTATGGTCACTTGTCTCTCAGGAAGTTACTCGCGTCTCAAGAGAAAAAGGAGGAAAAAGGCAAAAGTGTCATTTTCGTTGCTCAATGTAGCTCTATTGGATCCCTTGGCAAAGAGATCAACACCTGGGTCCGCGGACAGTTCCTCACCAGCTTGAATGGCGGAAACTCCGATACAGGTTTCAGTCCGACCGCAATTTTTAAATCAGAAAATCACGAGGACTTTCTTTTCACTTCACATTCTCAAGTTATCTGTAAATTTGCTCAATATTTTTCATGTACCAGGCTGTCCAATAATTCCTGTCCGAAATTTTTTAAAATTCTATAATTTTCCTTAGAAGTGTTATAGTACCAGACAAGTGTAAGAACCTTCTAGAAGGTTCTCCAGAGGTCCACGCTAGGGGTACATAAGGCGCAGTCGCCGCGCCGCGTCTAGCTACCAATACAAGCTAAAATGGACCAAGGTCGAAATCGTACGTTCGTGTACTCCTCCTTCGTCCGCATCGCAAGGAGTGTCTCGATGACCTGGTCACTGGAGAGGAGAGCTGGGCTCTTTACGACACCGTCGCCCGCTGTGCCGTCTGGATCCCGCGCGGAGAAGAGCCGCCGACGACGCCGAAAGTTGCACCCGCTGAAGATCATGCTCGGCTGCTGGTGGGACACCAAGGGCGTGTTGTACTTCAAGCTCCTCCCGCAAGGCAGGACGGTCACCGCCTTTATCTCCACCTATCAGCTCGAGAAACTAGCCGCCGCCATCCGAAAAAAGCCGTATTCCCCAGACCTCGCCCCCCTTTGACTACCACTTGTTCCGCCCGCTGAAGCACCAAGAAATTTAACAACTACGACAGCCTCAAATCCGACATCGCGGACTTCTTCGAGTCACAGCCCCCGGAGTTCTGAGCGAAAGGGCATCAGACCTGCCCAATAAATGGGCCATTTTCGTGGATAACTGTGGCTAATATTACCATTTCTGAGCGGTGAAATGTAAATTTAAAACATCGAGGCATCCTAAAGGTTTAAAATTTCTATTTTCGAAAACTTGTAAAATGAGCACATTGAGTTTTTCAACGTTTCTGGTACACAAAAAAAAATCTTCGAAAAAATCACTTTTGAAAAGCAGAGTGCAAACTGAAATGACCTTTCTTCTCAGCTCGAAAGAAAATGGATGAAGATTTCATTGGTTTTCTGCTCACCAACTCTTTCAGGATCTTCTCGCTTCTTCTTGGTTTATCCATGCGTTGAGGACGTCCGCAACTCGATTGAGGGCTACGACGCCGGCTGCTCCCTGCCCTACAGGGCGGCGACTGACGTCAGACAGCCTTGGCTTCGTCACGTCATGTGCAAGTGGCGGAGCGAGGCCAACGGTCGCAGCAAAGCCATGCCCCATGCCAAGGTCCTTCTAAGTTCAGATACTCGGAAAATGCGTATAATTTGAGCCATCGGTGTATGCAGCCTGATTTTTTTTTTATAAATTTTTACAAGTAATTTTTATTGGGAAAAGAACAATATAGTTTTTTCTTTAGAGACACTGAGGTCGAGGTGTTCATAAAAGTAGAAACTCGGGAAAAAAGAAAATTTATCCGCTCGGGGATAAATGGCAGACAGAGGTTTTTAAATTTAAATATTTCATCAAGCCAGATATAATTTTACAAAGAAAAATGTGTTCGAACCAATTTTTATGCAGCATACTAATAATTGAAAACTTTTGTTCAGACTTTCACGAAACTTGTCGACGGAACTCCTCAATGGATGTTAATCACCAGCGGGAATCTTTCGAAAGCTGCATGGGGAGAGCTTCAGGTGGGCTTTAGAAAGAATATCAAGAAATTTTGACGTCAGAATAAAAAATTTTTGAATTTATTCACATTTTTTCTCCACACAATAGTTTTCTCACTTCCAGGGCAACAATGAAAAGCTTTGCGTGCGATCATATGAAATGGGCGTACTCATAACAGATCCTGAACGCATGAAGCTACCTTACGATTATCCTTTGGTCAAGTCAGTGCAATGAAAATTTCTTTGGTAAAGTTTTTTGGCAGGTATTCGAAGACGGATGAGCCCTGGGTGACGGACAAAAACTACGCGACACCCGACTCCTGCGGGGGAACTTGGATCATTTCCTAATGCATCTTTTTCTGTACATAGTTTGCTACTAATGAAGTTTTACGCTTCTAAGTTTTCTCTTTGTTTTTCTCGAAGTTTCATCTATTTATCGAGATCCTCCAGCTTTTACCGTGTCCAATTTTTTCTAGGATCATGTCCTCTGAGGGCGAGGCGAAGATACTGTCTTATGGAGACGTCGTGCTCCATGAGGACGACCTGCAGCTCTTGAATAATGGCGGTTGGCTGAACGACCGACTTCTCTCCTTTGCTGCCGACTATATATCTAGCGAATTGCCTCAGGAAAAGAAGAGAAAAGTTGGCAAGGAGATACAGTCTCGTCTGTCACGAAAAGTTCCAGATGGCCATTCTAAGCCCTCCGCTGACCGAAATGGCGAAGAACATCGACGACCGACACGCGATCGCTTCGATTTTTGCGGAGCTCGATCTTCCCAATAAAGAATTTGTGGGTAGTACTCGGATAGTCTCTTTTTTGTTTGGCCTCGACTAAACAGTCAAAGATTGCAAATTTCGAGATGAAATTCTCAAAACTCTAGAAAGGTCATGTCAAAATTTTTAGAGAGAAGCGTCAGATGGTTCTGCTTCTCACAATGATATTCCTAGACATTTGATAGGCCGTATCTCTAAGTCCGGTGTTTTGAATTTTAGGATTTTTTCTCTTGTTTGCAAAAAATTTAGAAATTTTTTAGAGTTTTCTCATTTTTATATATAAAATGTTTCCCTTTATATACATCGGTAAGTTTTTTTTGATGGTTTACCTTGAATATGCTTGATAAATCTGAAAGTTCCAAAAAAAAGAATTTCTTATAGATATGCAATAGCGTCAAGGCAATAAAGATCTTTAATAAAACTTTCTGAGAAAATTCCAATTTTTGAAGAAACTTTTGAATTGGAAATGTAGGCAGAGATTTGATGAAAACAAGTCATTTGAGGTGTTCTTCATGCTGAACGACAACGCGGACCCGACACGGGCCAACGGAGGCTCCCATTGGACGTTGCTCGTTTACGTGCGAGAATGCGACCGATTCGTCCATTTCAACAGTTCTCCCTGCGTTTCTCTCAATGAACATTTTGCTCAACGCGTCTGTTTCCGTCTTCTACCTGATGTACAGGTGTCTAATTCAGGTAGCAAAGAACGTTGGCGTCGCCATCGGCACTCTAAAGCGAGAAGTCGAAATGGGCCCTTGTCCAGCTCAACACAACGGCTACGACTGTGGAATATTTGTGATAGAGTTTCTTCGTTGCATCGTAGAGGTGTCCTTTTGTTCTTCATTTTCAAAAGTTGTTCCACAAAGAATTTCTTCGAATACTTCATAGAAATCCACTTAATTTTCTCAAAATTTTTTCAGCGCGAAAATCTCTCATCCGTGCAGCTTCTGTCAGCAGAAAAAATTTCTTCGAAACGAAAAAATTGGTTCGGACTCATTTGCCAACTTTCCGCCAACGACGCCAGCTCGAGGTCTCCAGTTGGTTCAATCAGCGAAATAATTTGAAATTGTTTGAAAAATTAAAAATTATTCCCACTTTTTTCCATCATCCAATTATTTAACCTGTGAAAAAATGTGTACTGAAGTGTGATCTCAATTTTCTCGAAGTGTCATTTCTTTCTCATTACTTTTCCATGAATAAATCTCCTTTTTTAGCGCTTCTCGTGAATGCTATTCCCGTTTCTCATATAACGCGGTCTCATATTTGATTCATCGAACATTCTTGAACAAACATTTTTTTTTCGAGCATGATCACGCCAGTTTTTTGGATCTCCCAAGACGAAGAGTTTCTACATATACGGATACGAGCTCCACATGCAAATATTGCTGAGCTGGAGCTCGATTACGGCGAATTTTTGTTCTACTTTTCTTGCGCACCTTACTTTTTGAGGTTTCCTTATAATCTTTTTTTCCTTCTTAAATTTGAGATTTCAGACTTCATTTCAAGCACCTTGTCGAAGAATACGCATTTGGAAGAGGAACAGCGAGTTACGATTCAGATAGTGGTATTCATCTAACTAATCCATCGATGAGTTTCTTAGGCGAGTTCATGGTGAGAGTGGCCAAGAAAAAGAAAGGGGAACACTTCGAAGGATTGGACCTTATCACGGAATTGCTACGGCCGTCAGAAACTATTTCGGCGAGAGAAAAGGTCATTGAGGTCGAAGGCGATGAGGAGGAAGAAGATGGCGACTGTGGTAAGTCAGACGGCGTTTATGAGCCCGAATCTTCTTTCAGACGGGTCGGAATACCTCACCGAACAAACGATTCAGGACGTTGATTCTGGCATCGAAAACAGCAGAAGCCTTGCGACGCTATATGGCTATGGATTCGCATGGCGGAGGACTGGAGTTCTCGGTTCGTTCATGATGGAAAATTGCAGTCGGGAGGTTTTCAGAGCCACTTCAATCCGAAATCGGACGGCTGGTTGATTTGGAAGATTCTGAAGGAGTGAGCATTGAAGATCGCAGAAACGCTTGTTTTGAATTCGATAAAGAACACTTTGATTCTGAGCGATACTTGTATGAAAGTAGAAGGGCCTCCAGAATATCCATACGTCTGCAGAGCCGACTCTTTGCAGCCAGAACAGGAACTTCTCGATGTCATCTCCGCTGCTTCTCAGTGCTCTTTTATTCTAACGGAAAGCAACAGAGAGTTTTTGAAAGAGCTGCCGAAGAAGAAGTTGTTAAAGTGGCTCATCTCTCAAAGACCCGCTCAAAATGGATTTCAGACTTTCCGACGAAGAAAATCATCAAGTAGCGTTGTCTCTAATCGATATTTTGTACGCCTATGCCTACGAACTACGAGTTAATGATGGCGAGATGAGTTGCGAGGCTGGCTGGACTTGCTCCAAGCTCTCTCCGTCTTTTTCGTTTCTCTGTCGCTGGCAAAATCCCAAGCAAGTCGGTCAATAAGTTTCTTTTAAAGGAGATATCAATCTTTGTTTGGGCGCTGACCAGTGCGATTCGTCGAAGTCTTTCTTTCCCACTTTATCGGAATTGGGATCTTTCCATGAAAATATGCCGTGACACGAAAGAAATTATTGATCAAGGTACGTGATACAATTTTTCAATCTGCGCGGGGTTTAAGTGGCAGATTGAGAGAAAACTTTTATGGTAAACTAAAACGGTAGAAGAAAAATTATCTGCTAACCGCTATAGGGTACCGAAAAAAGAGGTAAAAGAGATGAAGGTTATATTGTTTTCAATAGGTTTTTTAAAATTAAGATTGTCAAGAAAACTGAAAGAATATATCACGGGAATAAGAAGAATTACTTTTGACAGGAAAAAAGTTTTGGAAAAGTTAGCGGTCAAAAATGATATCTGTTTTCGAGTACTAACTTTCACTGACCAGAACTAGCTGACATATAATTTTTTCAGAATGATCTCTAAAAATATGGTCGCGATTCCAAAAAAAAATGTATTCAGGTCGGACTTCCATCCTTCATGTTCTTTGCGAACTTCGTAAAGTTTTTGCGATTTCTGGCAATTTTCGATATATTCTTAACGATCTTTTCATTGACGACTATTGCCATTGGATCCAATCTGTCGAAGAGAACATAATCAAATGGCTCCAAAGCCACTTTTCTGATTGCGAGGTTGGTAGAACATATTTGAGATGTGTACTGTTTTTCTTTCAGATCGATAAAAGTTTTGTCGGCTTAGATTTGGAATCCCTCGAGATTCAAGCCAAAATGGAAGAAATGAAACTTACGACTATTGACAGCGACGATGAGAACGTCTGAAATTTTTTAAAATTCTTGTTATGTTGTTGAGATGACTTTGTTATTTGTTTGTGCGTTTGATAAATGAATAACTCTTCAAGTTTTTAGAATTTTTTTTTCGAAAGTTGATCTCTTTCAATATTTTTTCATCTCTTTTTATCTCTTTATCTCATAGTTTCAGAAATGTCGAAGCACGTTTACAAGCAGTACCTAAGGGTTATGAACCAGTGGCCTAAAGACGCGAATAAAAAGCCCGGAACGGTTAGAAGCTCTCAAACTTCTCTCAAAAAAACATGTTTTTGTAACGAATATGAAGTATTATTATATATTTAGTTTGATCATGCATGCGGTCTAATAACTTTTTCAAAGAATTAGGTGACAAAAACACTTGAAATGAAAAAATGAAATGCAAATTAGGCTTTCTGTTTTATACTATATTTCCGGTCTAACTTTTCTCGTTTTAGGGATTTTGCTGCTCATTTGGACAAAGAGATCGAACGACATTTCCACGGCAACGTTGCGACTTTTGATAATGCTCTTTGTGAAAGGCGTCTCGACGGTTTTCAAATCTATAATCAAAAAAAAAAACGTTTTTTTTTCAGCATTGAAGAAGTTGCAAGAAAACGCAGTGATGCGACGTTTCCCCCATGTTCATACTTCCGGTGTATTCGGATTACGGCTAGCAGATCTGGAGGTCCTTTTTTTCCCATTTTAGAGTGACTTCCTCATGTTTCAGAAGGCAAGTAGCGACGAGAACAGAAAACAAATGGGTCTCAACCAGAAAAAAGGAGTTCTTCGTCAACTTTGGAGCAGTGTAGTTAGCAAAAAATCATGAAATCTTGAAGCTTTATTAGTTTTTACTATACAACATCGACCTATTGAAATAATCTAGTATCATATTTCTCAAAAGTTTGTTTTGCGACTGGCTCGAGCTATTTGGAACAGGGTTTCGCAAGACAAAAGCAGACATAACCACGTTTTTTTGTCTCCCAAGGCAGTCGTGAACAGGCAATTGAAACTGTTGAGGGTTATAAATTTCATGAAATTAATAAATGTATATTATTTTTTTGGTTTTTTTCGCTTTCTCTGTTCTATAAAAAACGTCATTCCGTTAATATGTATATTTTGAACGAAAAATCTGGTATCTTCAACTTTAATTTCGCAGGGAGCGCGATGTAAAGTGAAGTTATGAAAAATTGAAAAACTTTCTTCTGAAATCAAAGCGAGCGAAAGGAATGTATTTTATATCCTTCCTTCACATCAGTCACGTGGCGCCTGGTTCATGTAGTCTGATTATGAACATTCGACGTTCTGGCAGAAAAGTAGATAAGAAAATTTCAAGCTTGAACATTTTTAGCCTCCTTTTTTTTGCGATACTGTATGGGAGAATACGCGATACTGTGAGTTCAACTGCATGCATTATAATTTACGCGCATAATTTTGTTATATTTTTGTTTTGTTTTATTTCTTATTTCAAAAGTTCTTATAAACGTTTACTTTATAGCTATTTATTTTGCTAACTCATCATTTTTGGTCAGGTCTATTCAGTATTTTCTTTCCGTTCATCAAAAAAGAAAACTTGTGTGCAGTAACTCATGTATCTTTAAGATAGTTTTTTCGTGATATATTTTTTTTCTCAATGATCTTATCATATGAAGAACTAGGGTAAAAAAGTTTTGGAATTAATCGGTCTCTGTGATAGTCGGTTTCGGTGAACAGTGGCGATGAAAGCTAAAAATTTTCATTGACATCGGTTGTCTTTCTGTGCTTTTTTTTTCCAGCCTGTGAACTATTCGCGTCGCGGTCTTTGTAACTGCGTTTTTTTTAACATTTTGAATTCAAACTTTAAAAAAGAATTTCGATATTTTCACACTTTTGTTAATCTACTATATGGTTCTTAAGTTCATCTAATATATTTTTTTATCTGTGAATATTGTAGTTTAAGTATATGAAGTGTTCCGAATTTTGTAGTTATATTTTTAACGCGTTCAACAAAAAAAAATAAAACAGTTTTCCTTAGCGTCTCAAAGTAAAGTTCTTCCAAGTGGCACTTTTGTGTTTTGAAGAACTGTTGTTTGCGTGTTGAAAACTTCTCTATTACCCAATGAGTTCAAGATGTTTGCAGATTAACTCAAAACTGTCACTTGGAGTGTTGTCCTGTGGATACACTCGAATCGTGTGACATTGCAAGGGTTTTTCATGATTTCGCATAGTATTTAATTTGAATTTGATCCAATCCTTTTGTATAGTGTTTAAGACTAATTCATAGATCGAGAATGCGAATTTCCTCTTTTCACTTGAAAAACTTTTGAACTCGTTTTTCTATAGTGAAAATGCTGGTTTATTTTTCATTCCTAGAACAAATTCAATTCATTTTTCAAAAGCTTCTCGAGTCGCTGCATATTTCTTTTCAAATAGTGAATTTTAGAAAATGTTTATTTATTCCAGAGAAGAGAGAATCATTAGTTGATGGGAGGGGTGGCATCGGCGATGCCTTCAATAAGGAGCGCCAGGCCACCTCCCATAGGCGGTCAACCACATCAAAAACGTCGTCCGAAACTCCCGTCTGTTGACCTGCAGGAGGCGCTTGATCTCATCGCAAATTCGAAAGCAGCAATTGTTTTCGATGGACCGGATGAGAGAATTGCTTCAGTTGGTTAACATTCGAATTCAAATTCATAATTTTTTTTTAAAGCATGTGAGTATCATCGAAGAAGCCAAAACTGAAGCTGGGATGACCTTTGAAATTGCGAAAATACGCGTCAATGAAGAATCTCGGAAGCGCTTGAGCTATCTGACGCTGCATGAGTCATGGCCACTCGTTTACATCAAAGTACGGGGTTTTTTGGTTAAATCTAAATCATCATCTTATGTGCAATTATTTTAATTATTATCGAGCTTGTAATTAAAAAAAAACGTTCTAGGGTGATCCTGTAGGCGGTATAGAACATCTGAAGAAAATAGCCGAAACAAAAGTGTTGACTGAATGGCTGAAGGACCATTCCTACGACTTGATTGTCATCGGCGGTGGCTCCGGAGGCCTGGCTGCTGCGAAAGAAGCTGCAAGGTGCCCATTCTCTTGTATTTTATTTTAGCTATGAGAATGTTTATGGAAATGACACGCCAAGCAATAATTTTTTCATGTGGAGGCTTTTACAGGCTTGGGAAGAAGGTTGCCTGTTTGGACTTTGTGAAGCCATCGCCTGTCGGAACCACGTGGGGATTGGGCGGAACCTGCGTCAACGTCGGTTGCATTCCTAAGAAGTTGATGCATCAAGCGTCGCTTTTAGGCCATTCAATTCGTTAGTTTTGAATTATTTTCATTCTTCTTGCCTATTTTTAAATTTTTTTTTTAAAACAGAACTAGTTGTTTTCTTCCTGGCAAAGAGTAATCTCTAAGATTTTTTTTGTCGTTTTGTTAGTCACACGGTTTTACTTTCGATATATTTTCTAGTGATACTCCGTCATTTTTATAATATAAATCTTTCTCCCCGGCTAAACTTTTGAATTGATTTCCTGATTACCATTGTATCATTCTGGTAGATATTCAGATGACGCAAAGAAGTTCGGATGGAAAATACCGGAGGGCGAAGTCAAACACAGCTGGAGTTATCTACGAGATTCAGTTCAAGATCATATCGCCTCGCTCAACTGGGGCTACCGAGTGCAACTACGCGAGAAACTTGTCACTTCCTTCATGTTTATCACCCAATTCATTACAAATTTTTAGGTTACCTACGTCAACTCTTATGGGAGATTCACCGGCCCCTTTGAAATCACAGCGACCAACAAGAAAGGAAAAGAAGAGAAACTGACGGCGGACAGGTTCTTAGTGGCGACCGGCCTCCGACCCAAGTATTCGGAAATCCCTGGAGCTATGGAATATTGCATCACAAGGTTCCTTTCATTTTAAATGAATCCTCTAATTTGTGTGGACGGAATTTCGTTGGAGTCTCCGTGCCTTTTTATAAAATCAGTTTATGATTATGTAAAATTTCGGCACATTTTTATTAAATAAAACAAACAGCAAAAAAAAAAATCGTATATCCTGTCCGAGGTTCAATATTTACGACGTTATCAACTTTCTATTCCTAACACCAAGTTTTTGATTGCTGTCCATAAAAATTGTCTTGAGCGACGATCTGTTTTCCCTGGCCTACGAGCCTGGCAGGACGTTGTGTGTTGGTGCGTCGTACGTTTCTTTGGAATGCGCTGGTTTTTTGCATGGCCTCGGCTATGACGTCACGGTCCGTTTCTCTCCTCATCCCTCTTGAAATCAAATAATTTCTTTACAAAATTAAAATGATTAAGGTTATGGTACGATCAATAATTCTTCGCGGTTTCGATCAGGACATGGCGGAGCGCATCCGAAAGCACATGATTGCCTACGGCCTCAAGTTTGAAAGGTTCGCTTACTTTGTTGAACTTTCCAATTTGAAAAACTTTTCAGTGGAGTTCCGAAAAGGATAGAAGAAATTGAGCCGAAAACAGATGAAAAAGCCGGTCGATTGAGGGTTTTTTGGGATCGAAAAGGCGAAGATGGGAAGACAGAAGAAGTCAGCGAGGAGTATAACACGGTACTGTACGAAAAACGATGTTTCGTTTATAAGTTGTTCAAGGTTTTGATGGCGATTGGGCGACAAGCGATGACAGATGATTGCGGTCTTGATCTGATTGATGTGAAAAGAGCCGTCGGAGGAAAGGTTGTGCCATGAAAATTATTGTTCTTTGCTAGAAAAAAACTGCGTAACAGACAAAGTTGAATCCGTTCGAACAATCAGGGGATTTCCTAGTGTTCAAACTTTTTGACTTGTTTCCATTTCTCACGCAAGAACTTCGCCTACTTAGTTCGTTAGAAAATTATGCTTGAAGAAGTAGAGAAAATTTTCATAAAAAGTTTGGAAAAAAACATAGTTGTTAGAAGAAAACTCAACGGGATTTTCAAAAAGTAATTTACATTCAAAGGAATATTTTTTTCAACTGCGGCAGTTTTACCTATGCTCTTCGTAGTTTAAAAAGCTTTTTATGAATAAACTATATGTAAAATGCGATAAAAATCAATGGAAAACTTATTTATTGATTCACGCTACAGAAATTTGAAGCAGTTAAAATGCGAAAAAAACGGTGAGGAAAAATTATAATTTGAAAAAATCTAAATATGAAGTAAGAGTTTTTCAAATTGAAATGATAGTCTAGTCACTGAGGGTACCGTAAGTCGTTCGCGTCAATCGTGTTTTTATTGATTGTCGAAACACGACTTATTTGTTTCCAATTGTGCTTTGAATTTAGAAGCTCATTTACTGATTCACTTCAGGTAATCGGGCGTCGCGAGCAATCGATAAGCTGTCCTTACGTCTACGCGATCGGCGACGTGCTCGAGGCGACTCCAGAACTGACGCCAGTGGCGATTCAGGCTGGTCGCGTCCTCATGAGACGCCTCATGAGCGGAGCCGATGAATTGGTTTGTTTTCTCGCTGCCAAACCTGCAGGGTTATCTTCTCAGACCGAGTATGACGAAATACCAACTACTGTTTTCACGCCTCTGGAGTACGGCTGCTGCGGACTATCTGAGGAGGCAGCTGTGGCGAAATTCGGAAAAGAGAACGTGATCATCTACCACAACGTCTTCCTCCCGCTGGAGTACACAATCGCCGAACGGATGGATAAAGATCATTGCTACCTGAAGCTGATCTGCTTGCGCAATGAGAAGGTTTGTTTAATTGTTGTATCCTGCATCTGACATGCTCAATTTCTCAGGAGCGTGTAGTCGGCTATCACATCTTGACGCCGTGGGCCGGAGAGGTCACTCAAGGGTTCGGAATCGCGCTCAAGCTGGGAGGAACAAAGGCCGATTTCGACAGGCTCATTGGGATCCATCCAACCGTAGCTGAGGCTTGTTTTTACTCAGCTTGATATCAATAGAGCTTTGGTTTCTTTTTTTGCATCCGGAGTTTTTTTTTGTCACTTTTATGGGAGTGGGAACCATATTTTTCTCAAAAGTTTACGAAAAGAAAACGTTGATTCTGAGGCGCACTGCATAATTTGATTAAGAAAACAGCTTTCTTCGTTTTATATTCAAAATTTAAAGGAAATTTGAAGATACATAAAATTCTTTGCGCAAGTGTTCACTTAGGGTATGCCAGTTATTGTGCCTCCTCACAAAATTATCTAGAAAAACGGTTTTATACATCACGACTGCCGGAAAAATCAGTTTTCAATCTCTAACAACATCAATTTCTAGAACTTCACGACGCTGACGCTGGAGAAGAAGGAAGGCGATGGTGAACTGCAAGCGAATGGTTGCTGAGGTTAAGGAAGGTCCGTAGACGACACAACCCCGAAATAAGCCTCGGATCTACCTGTCGTTCTGTCGTCGCGGACCAGCTCGGCGAGACGAATACGTGCAGCTTTGTGACGACCACCGGCTAAACTCCTCAGGAGCGCTTGCGGTCCGATGCGCACCGACGCGACTTGCCACCCCAGCTCAAGATAACGTTCCTATTTCATAGAGTGACTCTTTTTAATTTTCATGTTTTTGAATTCACAGATTTCATTCAAGGACGTTATCTTGAGTGTCATTTCTTTTCCACTAAAATCACAGTGCCAAGTTTACCGCATCCATTCTTTGCTACCCTTATGTAAACTCCGGTTCCAAATTTACTTCCAACTAGATATCGTGTGTTTTTGATGCCTTTCAATTTTTTTTTGTGCCTCTGCGATAAACTTTGATTAACCTGTCATTTTCAGAAGCAATAAATAGTTGAAATCAGCTTTGAGATATATATTTGACTTACATACTCTTATCTTATTTCATGATTTCATTACATTTCTTCAACGGAGTTCTGTCTATACTCTGCTCTATGCATGTCAAGGTCGTGTGTCTTCGAAAATCCTCTCCCGCGTGGCTGGTCATTGTCCAGCTGCTCGTCCAGCGTGTTTTCCACACATGACCTGTGTACCCTATCTTCCTTTCTCTCACAAACCCCTTATTGCACCCGATTTCTGACCGAAAAAGCTCCGTTTTTTGTTTCTTTTTCAAAATTAATCTTTCTAATATTTTCTGCTTTTTTTTTCTCGAGAAAACTAAACTTGAAAGGAGGAGGCCTTCGGAGGAAAAACCCTCACAAAAGATCGAAGATTTTCATGTGACTTTCTTTACCAATCTCTCCGTTTCGCCCTTGAATGACGCTTGATTTCTGTCGCTCTCCTCTCTATTTTATTGATTATTATTGCGCAGTATCGTTAATTAAATTTTTTTATAGTAATTAGAACAATGTTTTCTTCACATTCTTGTTTTTAAGTATTAAAGTGACCGGTACCAGAATTTTTTTAAAATTACTGGCTAATATTTGAGTAACCGAATGGCGGTAACTTGAAAAAAACTTGGTTTCAAAAAGAAACAAGATTGATTGGGTAAAGGTTTTGGCTGAACATGAGCTCCAATCGCGCTGGGAAATTAGATAATCTCATAAAACAAAGAAAAGATTAAATTGATAAAGGGTTTGGAAATTCTATAAATGTTGATACGTGATTGGTTCACTGCTTTCATAGAACTTGTGAAGACCAACAAAAAGTAATAGCGTTATAGAATATTCCAGAGCGTCCGTATAAAAAAATTCAATTTTTGTAACACTTGTAAATTCAATCAGATTTTTCATTCGGAACATAATCTTTCACTTTTATTTTTTGGGAAAACGCAAAACTTTTTGAGCCATTGCGGGCAAAGTAGTTTTTGATGAAGAGACTGGTAGGCGAGATTTTTGAGTGAATATAACCTGAAGAGACAATTCGAAGCGTAAAAAGGAAATTTTTGGTCGGTTCAAAAGTTCTTTCAATCCTCAAAAATCAAAACAAGCTGATCAACTTGTTGATAAAATTTTTATATTAAATTGATTTAAAAAATTTATTATGGTTACGATGGTTTTTCGAATATTTATAACAGGATCGTTTGATTTTGCAGGGTTCCAGGTTCAAGACTGACGCTCGAAACGAGATAAGCGGCAAAAAGGCGGAGAAGATAGCGACGATGGGGTCGACGTTTTCCTCGGCAAGCTCTGCCGCCGCCGCACCCAGCCCCACAGCCATGAAGAATCTCGAGCAAAACCTCATTCACAACAGGTTCCTTTCCATCAAATCGGTATTCACTCAATGAGTTCTTATTGAAAATAATATCGTTAGTCGTTAAAGTTCAGATGAAAAATTGCAGTTCTTTTTATTTTTTTTTCAGTTTTTGTTTTCTAAAAAAAAGCTCTTCTAATAACTGTTTTCGCAATAGAAAATGAAACATCCTTTTTTAAAGTTTGCCAAAGAATGAAAGTTTTGCTGAACAATATTAATTTGTATGGTAATTCTTCTCAAAAGAATAAAATTTTTTGAAATTTGGAGTGAACTCATAACCTTATTTGGAGGACAATCACCTTTTTGATAAGGAATTTTTCTTTATCAAAAGTATGTGGCCTAACAATGTTACTAAGAACCTTTTTGGAACTTTGTTTTATGGTAAAGTAAAAGTAAATTTAATGATAACTTCACACGGCCAGAATAAATCTTCCTGAAAGTTTAGTTGAACTGAGCAAGCGGTTGCGTAAAGAAACTTTTTTTTCATTTTTTTTTATTTGAAAATTTGCGATGAGCCACCCACTTGACACCATTGCGCACGTGGGCTCTCTCATCATATCTGTTTTCCTTTTTTCTCTCCATTTTCGTCAACCTCTCAAGAACTGTCTCATATTCCAACGTTTCCAGTGACCCTTCTCTGAAGATTGCCGTTCCTCCCGTTTCTAATGTCATGAAGGAGAAACTCGATTTTCCCAAAGTTTGAAAATCTTCGGAAGTCTATATTTTCCGTAAGTTTTAAGGTGGAGCTGCATTTGCACCTCGACGGATCCATCCGTTTCTCCACTCTTCTTGACCTTTCAGAGTTTGTTTTTTCTTTTTTAGCGATAGCCTCTTTTTTCAATAACTGATTTTCTCATTGTCAGTCTAAAGTACAACTCATCGATCTTTACTGTTTGCAGGAAGAAAGGAATTTCCTTGGGCGGCGCCAAGACTGTAGAAGAGCTGAAAAAGGTGCTCATAACGCACGAACCGGCGAACCTCGCCAAAGTGCTTCAAGCCTTCGAAATTTTTTTGCCGGTTGTCAGGTTTTTCGACGGAAACCTTATATTTCCAATAGTTTTGCTCAGAGGTGACCTCGAGGCGATCGAAAGAATCGCTTATGAGCTGTGTGAGGACCAGGCGGCCAACAATGTCGTATACTTCGAAGGAAGGTACTCGCCGCATCTCCTGCTGGCCACGGAAAAGCCGGTCAGTTTTCCCGCGACTTCAGCATAAAGCGAGAAGAGTTGATCAATCTGTCTTGTAGTCAGTATTTTTCATTGGAAGAAAAATGCATTTTTGGCAGTTTGTTTTTCTCAAAATTTCCGGTTTCGTAGAAAGATTAAAGATTCTTATGTCTCTTAACTATAAAGTCCGCTTTCTCATCAAAAGTTTCTTTTTTTATATTGAAAAAAATCTAGAGCATTTTTAAAGAAAAGAGACGTTCGACAATTTTGAAAGTAAAAAACCCAAAAGTTGATTACAAACTCAAAAAAAATCTGCTTTTTCTGCAAAAAACGATGAAAAAACTGTTTTTTGTGATTGGCACTTTCAGTTATTTTTTTTCAAAAACACTTTTTCCGATCCTCGCAGGTAGCAACTCATTTGAGCCACCCCGGAAGCAAATGAGGAAAAGAGAATTTCAAAAATCTGTGAATTATTTTCTCAGTGAATTATTAAAATTGCTGGCTATTTGGTCTTAAAACAAGTATCATAGTAAAAGAAAGCTCAAGGATAGTTAAGACAGCTTTTCAATGTTTTTTCTGTTCAACTTTGCGAAACCTGCCGGATTAGGATTAGAAATTTGGTTTTAAACACGCGATGGAAAAGAAAGACGGAAATTGTGTCGGAAAAAGTTATGGCTTGACCTTTGTTCATAAAACCGAATTTTTCGGAAAAGACTTATAATTGTGTACTTGAAAGCCTATCGAATGCCGAAACATGTTTTGTCAAATAATAACAAAATCTTGAAGGAAGTCACGGCGGCTCACGTCGTAGCTGCTGTGAAGAAAGGCTTCGACCGCGGCGAGGCTGATTTCGGAGTGAAAGCGCGCTCCATCGTCTGCTGTATCCGAGGTCTCAGCCGCCAGTTCCCACAGCTCATTCTGGAACTCGGTGAGCACCTGTTTCATGCTCCTAATAGCTCTTCCATTCAGCCACTGAGCTGAAAAACTTGGGAGTAGTGGCGATCGATGTCGCCGGTTCGGCTCACGGAGCAGATGAGCAGTATGAGCCAGAGGTCATCGCAGCTTTCAAGGTGATTTCTCGAAGTTTTAGTTTAGACCTTTATAAGTCCAGACAAGTCAAGCTCGCAAAAAAGGAACTTACAAGGGAAGTGTTTTTGGTGGCCGGTTGAACTTTTGTTGAAACTTTGCTGAAAGGTACTATAAGTCCTCCTCTTTCCAGAACACGAATAAAATTTCTCGCAAAAGATCTCGTTTTTGATTTATGAAGCTTCAAAATTTGCATGCTGAATAAGTGCTGCAAGGCAAGAGGGAATCTGGGATAAGTTTTAGGGGGCCCTATAGGGGGTAAATTAGGGCCCCTTGGAGGGGTCCCTAAATGAAACCCTATAGGGACCCCTACGAATTTTTAGGGGTCCCTTTAGGGGGGCACGGAAAAATTTCTGAAATAGCTCCGGGAGGAAATAGAGAAACCCTTATTGAATGCGAATCGTTAACACATCCGCAGTAAACTCATCTCATCGCGTTTGAAACTGTTTCCAAATTTATTGAAACGAATTGAAAAACATTAAAAAGCAATCAGGATCATCAATGGAAACAGATAGACATAAGTAACAAAAACAACGAGCAAAAAAACTGAAGATATGTATACGTAACAGGATATTCGAGGAAGCAAAAAAACTTTTGGCCGTAAAAGACCCGTATAAATATTTGACACGTCTAAATCACTGCCAACGGAAACCGTATTGATCAATCTAATAGGAGCTCTTCAAGACAATAAAGATACGCCTAAAGCATATTGATATAAGCGCTACTTGCAAAAAAATAGAAGAAAAACGCATTGTGTCAAGGCAGATAATTGGGCAACTTTCAATAAAAAACGTTGGGACTTCGACACGGAAACGGTTGAAACTACTTACATAAGAGCAAAAAGTTTGGCACATAAAAAAAAGAACAATTGAACAGTTAGCAAAAAACAACCAACGTTGACATTTGAAAGCAACTTATTGAATTGCTCGGCCCGCGGTAATCTTCCGTTGATTCTGGTTCATGTGGCGGCTCAAAATTTCCGTCGGCTGATTCCGTGCTTCTACGATCATTTATCATTATCAACATTTTCGATATACCTTTCAGAATCTTCATCGCTGCTGTAGAACCAATGCGCATCAATAAAAATCGCGACTCCGCGGCATCTTAATAAAAAAATTAATCCTTCTTTAACGAGCAATAATCAAATAGAATATATAAACACGCATTTACATCAAAAAAACCTCCAACAAACATCATCTACCGGTGAATTTCTAACGGTTTCACACAATCCAGTAGACCAATTATACATAGACGAAACTCTGAAAATAGCAAAAATAAAAAAATACTCTGAACATATTTACATAAACCAATATATCAATTGTACATAAACGAAACACTGAAAAATACTGAACCAATGTACAGATTGCCGTGTTAACTTTTATGGAGCACAAAAAAACGCACAAATCATTATAATACAATTTGAAACCATAACGAAAAAAATCCTACTGACAACTCGTTCGTGAATAACGTATTACTTCCTTAAGCACCACAGAAATTGATGAAATATAAATACAAGTTATAAAGTTAAACTAAAAACTGAGTCGACTGAGTCAACTCAAAAACTTAGAAAAATGGGAAAGATATTTAAAAACCACGTTCGTTCCAAAGGGGTGTTCGCGACCCCTTGAGGGTCTTGCAATTTTTATGGGAGCGATTTAGGACCCCCTATAGGGGGCCCTAGGGATTTCCCCTAAAAAGACCACTTGCAGACCCCCTATAGGGGCCCCCTAAAATCGCGACCCCCTATAGGGGCCCCTAAAACTTATCCCAGATGTGGCTCGCGTACGATCTCTCTACTCCAGTTGGCAGCGTGGTGTAGTGGCTAGCGTCCTTGCACTGCAGGGTTTATGACCTGGTTCGAAACTTTTTGAAGAAATTCGTTTTTGCCAAAACTTTCCTAGGAAGAATTTAACGACATTTTTAAAATCAATCAAAATTTTTTCTCCGAAATAACATATTTTTCCATTTTGTTTTGGTATACCGCTTAAAAAGCTTTCTTCCGCTTATAATAATGATTATTAGATTAATAGTCCCTTTTTTGGGGAGAAAAGTTTTACGTGTAATTGTATGAATGTATTCAGCGCTTCAGTCCAGTTGATAATTTAAAAGGAATGAATACGAAAAAATTTACGCCACAGGAAGATGAGTGAGTCTCCTCTAGATTATTGGCAAAAAATACAGAAAGCGATCTATTGATCATGCCTATGGGCCGAGGGAAAATTTTTGTCGAAAGTCTTAGTAAATCGAGTGAAATGAGAAGCTATGTTGTTTTGGACAAGAAGTTTTGGTCCATTTCCGCAATTTCGATAAATTCCTCCTAGGAAAGTTTTGGCAAAAACGAACTTCTTCAAAAAGTTTCGAACCTAGGTCATAGACTCCGCAGTGCAAGGACGCTAGCCACTACACCACGCTGCCAACTGGAGTAGAGAGATCGTACGCGAGCCACATTCCCTCTTGCCTTGCAGCACTTATTCAGCGTGCAAATTTTGAAGCTTCATAACTCAAAAACGAGATCTATTGCGAGAAATTTTATTCGTATTCTGGAAAGAGGAGGTCTTATAGTACCTTTCAGCAAAGTTTCAACAAAAGTTCAACCGGCCACCAAAAACACTTCCCTTGTTAGCACAGTTCTTCAAAAAAACCGGCGTAGTCTGCAAAATCGAAAATCCATAACAATTTATTAGTCAAAAATTCCGACCTCTGCTGCTTAAATCCATGGCGTTTAATAATAATAATAATTCATTGACATATTTCATTTTCATTAGGCGCAGACTTGTTCTGCGCCATTTGGGTTTAGGATGAGTTGGAAAAAAAAAATGAGCGTTAGGGTGAAATTTTCTCTAAATCAGATATGTTGGAGAACACGATTTTTAGGATTTTTTGAAAAAAAAACAATATCATCATTAGACCTTTATTTATTGAAAGGCAGTAGTTAGGAAATTGAAAACAGACTTCACCTCTTACTGGTTAGGCAAAAATTTTGATTCAAATCAAAGAAAATGCTGTTGACTGTTTGATTACAACTTTTTAAGGAAGCTTACAAACGCGGAATTCACAGAACCGTCCATGCGGGAGAAAGCGGTGGTCCCAAAGAAGTTATCAGAGTTTGTCAACAGTCAGTGTTGTTTCTGATGTGATTTGGCAGGCGATAGAGGAGATGCACGCGGAGCGGATCGGCCACGGCTACCGCGTGATGCGCGACGACGACATGTACCAGTCGTACTTCGTCCAGTCGCGGACCGTCCATCTTGAGGCGTGTCCTTACTCGTCGGTCATGACTGGAGCCGTGCCACTCGACTGGAAGAACCATCCCATCTCAAGGCAATACTCGTCATCTCCGCAGTCTTACCCCCCAGTCTTCAGATGGGCGCAGGATGACGTCAACTTCTCGGTTTCGCGCGATGATCCGACTTGCTTCGACAACTCCATGTGCAGTGAATTGGTCCTGGTCAATAAGGAAATCGGGGTTTCCCTTCATCAGCTTTGGAAATGCGTTAGTTCAATCGAAATTCTTTGTTTCTATCTCAGTTTTTAGCAACTCAACGCTGCGGAATCCTCTTTTCTCGAAAAAGACGAAAAGAAGAAACTCATTGATGTCATCAGAGCTGCAGAGCCTAAAAATTAACTCTATTCCATTTCGCATTTTTACGCAATAAAAAGTAAAAAAAAAGCATGGTAACGCACAATTATGGCGCTCGTCGGAACTTTGTGATCAGATCAAGGTTGATTCAGAACTTTTGCACCGAATTGGATGGTTAGAGGGAGAAACGCGACGAAATACACGAAGGGCTGTAGTCCTAGAGTCCGATAGTTGTCGCCAAAGTGCAGGAAGGCAACGGCGGAAAGTCGAAAACCTTGTAACGGCCACGGCTCTTTCGTCCTCCCTCTCCTTCACCTTTGAACTTGGGCTCTTTTCATTTGGTCGGACTAAGTTTTGTTTTCGAAGTCGAGAATTCAACGAGAAAGAAGAGTTCGAGGAAAACTTTGAAAGAAGACAACTTTGAGAGCCAAACTTTTTTATTTTCAAAATTTTTCAAGATTTTCTTTTCTTTTCAGCGCGCTTTCTCAAAATGAGGAACATATGAACGTTCGGAAATTTCAAGAGGCTTCTACTTCTTTTTTTTTCCTTGTTGAAAGCTTCAACTTGGAAATTCTTTCAGAACTTTTGAAGTGAAATAAAAAAGTTGCCTGGTATTCTGGACAAAACAGACCAAAGCGAGCGGACCGTGGCGCACGTGAAACACGCGTGTCGCCGTCGTTTCCCGCCTTCAAAGTCTCTGTCCGAATCTCATTTTTCGACAATAAGTTAGAAGGTTCAACATTTCTGTCTAGATTTGAATTTTTGAAGAACTTTCTCCTTGTTGAAGAATTACATCTGCAATGGCTCTTTTCTATGACATTGTATAATTAGCCCTTGTTTGAGGGTCAATGATATAATCGAGGTTCAAAATCTGTATAGAGCTCCTAACTCTGCGCTTCTTTTCTTTATTTATTCATTGTTTAGTCATTATTTATTCATTTATTCATTTATTTATTCATATTGCATAACATATACATAAAAATAACTTGGATTTTCTCCACTTTTCACTATTAGGCAATTTGAAAGTTTTACGAAAAATATAGAAAGTTCTCTATTTTTCCTATTCCTATTCTCGATACAAAAAAAAAGAAGAAGGAGAAGCCTTCATGTATTTTAAGATTTGGGTGAAGAAGGAGGATCTTTCTCGGTTTTCAGTCTTTTGTTATTTCCTTAAGGTTAGGAAAACAGGATAAGAGCGTTCGTTGTCTTTTAGTTTCCGACCGGACGTCCTCGAGCACTTTTCCGCCGTGTAATCCTTGCACTTATCACTTATCAGCGGTAGACTGCCGCCTAATCTTCAGACTCGACTTCTGGTATTTTTTCTTTTGCTTATTTCTATGCTTTAAAGCCGTAATCGGTAAATTATCTTTCCAAGCTCTTTGCGACGAAAGTTCTCCTTCCAATGAACGCCTTGACATGTTTGAATTTAGAGGAGAAGTAGCAAAATTTCCCATTTTCTCCACTCTAAATTTTATCATGATCGTACGAAGAAGCTTTTGAGCTCATCAGGCAGAATAATTTTGCAGCTGAAGCAGTGAATCTAGTGAATATGAGTACGGACTTCACTACCGAGCTCGGTAGGGCTTCAGACAGCGGACGATAGTAATATGTTTTCTTTCTTTTTCAGAAAACTTTGGAAGTTCGAGTTGTCTTGTGTGCGGCAGACTTTCCAACACCGGCCACCACTACGGCGTCGTCGCCTGTCTCGGCTGCAAAACCTTTTTCCGTCGAGTTGGTCTTTCGATTTCAAAACAAACCAAAATGATGAGTGTGTACAAGTGAACGAGGTGGAAAAAGAGCTGAACTGAAGATTATAAAGGAAGTTGGAATAACTTGTCAGCAGTTATGTTGCAGATCGTGATGCGCGGAACATCGCCCAAGTGTAAGTTCAAGAACAGCTGCCGGTTGGAGAAAAGTAAGCTTTTGGTGATGTCTCGACGTCATCTTCGCTTGCAGATGTCAACGCAAAGCGAATATGCCGAAGCTGCCGCTATTGGAAGTGCAAGCAGATCGGAATGCGAGAGGAAGGTTCGTGGTATCCCGAATATATATCCTTCTAGTCGAATTCTGGTCAAAGTTTTTTTAAGCGCTTCATCCTTCTCGTGACGTCATTGGACGTCGTCGCCGTCCATCGGCCGAATCCCCGCCGGACATGCACATGGTGTTCTATTCACTGACTCTCCTTTAGTATTCGCCTTTTCGTAGAAAACTTTGTCCGACGCCGATGAAGAAAACTTGCGATTGCTGGACGAAATACGAGAGATCGACATTTCGATCAGAGCCAGGACGGCTTGCATGCTCGGCAAGCAAGCTTCCGAAGACGAGAAATTTTATTCGACGGTAAGAAGGAGCCGAAAATCACTGAAACATCTCCTGGCTCCAGGACTGCGACTGCTCGAAAGTCTCCGTGAACCACGAGATGGGCCGATCGCTGAAGGTCGACCTCCATCTTTTGGGCGAGTGGGTCTCTAGAGTGCCCTACTTCCAGAAGCTCAGCCCCAAGTTCAAGGTTCCTTTTCCTCTAACTGTACTCAGATTACATTTGAAAAATCTCATTTTTGACTCTCCGAATTTCAGAAAGTTCTTCTCAGACGTTTTTGCCTCCGATACACGGTAATAGAGCACGGCGTTTATACAGCACAAATGCCGCAGTATGAGAACGTCTGGTGAGTCAGCCTTCCTTTTGTGAACGAGTCAGTGTGCCGAGCTTTAATTTTAGCTTCTGACAATTCCAGTCGGCTTTTCATTGAAAGGAGAACTTTTTGCGTGGTTTATTAATTCATCTCATTCAAACACTAACATACAATACAGATTAGAAAGTATTTGAGGGAAGTGAAATCCTATGTAGAAACGCCCTTACGAGCAATTTACTGGGATGGAAGTCACTTATTCAAAATTGAGAACAAGATAACTGTCTTCGTTAATTCAAGTTATTTTGCCTGTTTAGAAACGAAAATAAAATTTTCACAACTATTGGAGTAGAACAGCCAACTCGTTGCCGAGTTCGCTATAAAAAGTGTTTGGGCTCAAATTCCCAGCCTGTAAGCTAGTGGAAAGCCCTCATGATCCTTGAATAGTTGACAAAAAGTTGAAGCATTTGATGTATTGAACATCTTCGTCACTCAAAAAGAAAATTCAGCAAAACTCAAGAAGTTTCCAGGTTTCTTCCGGACCAAACTTGTCTTATACGGGACTTCGTCGACATTCCGTCGGAAATTCGTAGTCATTTGACGCCTTCTATCATTGAAGAGCAGCAACTTCTTTCGCAGTTCACCTCAATGCTGATAGATGAAGTGGCGAGTCCTCTGCGCAATCTGCGACTTACTTCCATGGAGGTCGCTGCTCTCAAAGTGCTCATGCTCCTCAGTAGGTCCGTCTTTTCTCCCAAAGCACAAAGCTTCTACAGAGCCGACGCAGCTGACGGAGCCGTCTGGAGAGGAGATCGCGAGCCGCGAAGACTTGACCATCATTCACGACGTGCGCAACCGAGTCATCAACGGTCTTCACGCCTTCTACGAGGTTTCTGAGACGGCCGACGCCGAGGTCCGTCTCGGACAGGTCCTCATTCTGACTGGAGGCGTCGAGGTCTGTGCCGACCGAGCTCTCGAAGAGATGCAGCTCTTGCGCGTCTTCAACCTCTCTTCCTTCGACCCCACCTCCGCCAACATCATTTTTGGCAAAGCCACTTTTTAAATTCCTTTTTATTTAAAAAATCAACGCATTTTATGGGCTTTTTTATGCAGTTGTATGTGTTTATAACTTCAGAGTAGAGCTAGCCACTTTTGTGCTACTGGTGCGAAGCTATTTTATGTGCAATTCCCCTCCTTTTTCCATATCGAAAGTTGTTATGAACTGTTTATTGATTTTAATTTTAGAAAAAAAAAACTTTTTTAATTTTCATTCCGCAGGCAGAAGAAAAATGGCACCGAATCGTTTCGATTTGAATGGCCCAGCGTTCGGGTCTGTTGGCTGATATAAATTGGATTTTTTGCTATTTAACTAGTTCAAAACCTCGTCGTTGTCCACAAAAAGCTTCATTCGACGCTCGGGTTTGCTCAAAGCAGCCAAATTTCCGTCTTTCCCACGGCCCTCTAGTTTCAGCTCCAAAAAGAATTCCTTAAGTCAAGAAAAAACTTTACTTTCAGTTCATGCATCGCTTGTTGCTTCGCGTAAGCTTTTGCTCTTTTCTTCAGGTTGAACCGGGGAACCACTGTAAAGAAGAATCATTACGAGGCAAATTAGCTCCCCACTTTCAAAGTTTGGTTGAAATGTGATCGCAGTGCCTCCCCCTTCTAAAAGATGTCGTTAGAATTTTTTCAGAAAAAGTAAAACCTTCTCCTTCGCCACCACCTTCGCCTTTTTTCTTACTTGATTTTTTTCCTTTCTTTTTACTCTTTTTGCTCTTTTTCGTTTTTCTGGTTTTTGAATTTTTATTCTTTGAAAACTTCCCGCTTTTCGATTTAGATTTGTTTCGCGATTTCCTGCCACTTCTTTTTGTCTTACCACTAGTTTTAGTTTTTGCGACCTCTGTAAATAGTATATTCACATCGAGATAAATAAATTTTGAAAATCACTTCCTCTGCCTTTTGCACCGCCCATTTCGTAGTCACATTAAATAGAAATGAATCCAAGATTTCGTGAATAACTTTTTGAAAGATTTTACTGGGAAACTTTATTTTCCGTGTATGTTACTTGAAATATAAACATTTCGGCACAGTATGAAATTTGAAGGTTGCGACTGTGCGGATGAGTCAGCAAAGTCGTTCAGAAGAGGTCTTGCGTGACCCAAGACGAACCAGCTTGTTGTGGAACAACAGCAGACGGTCCATATTCAGCTAACAGCGATGTTGGCTCTCGGCTCTGTCAGTCCCCAGGCGTTTTTGGTGGTCGAGAGAGCGTGGCATCCCAGGAGACGCAGACACACATCTCGACCATTCGTGAGAGGCGTCCATCTTTTCGCCAAACACTCCGATTTCGCGCCACCCTGGAAGATGATTGTAATCGAGGCGCGCCTTAAAAGGACTCGTCGTTGCGGTTTCCGCCATCGGAATGACGGTCTCTTCGAAAATTGTCTTCGTCTTGCTCGCCCTCTGGGCCGCCGTCGCCGCCAAGCCTTTCCGTCATCATCGGGTACCTTTTTCCAACTTTTCTTTCTAAATAACAACCTTTCATAACGAAAGGGAATTTCATAATTTATTACACCCTATCTCTAGTCTAGAAAGTACACCTGCAAGCTTCAAAATGAAGTGAAAATTCGGTGTAACGGTTTGATCAAATATGACCTCTGTTGAGCTTTAAAATGTTATTCTTTCTGAAAAAAAAAATAATGGAAAAAAAGTTTCTATTTAAAAGATCTCAACTGAAGAATTATATTTTAATCTCCAATTCTTTTCAACGAGCCGAACTATGATATTCTTTCTTATTTACTAATGTGATCAATAACTTTCATATCTATATAAACTGTGCGAAGTGGAGCTTGAATATTATATATTATAATACTGAACTTGTACATACGAATCAGTTCACCGTAATCATGAAATCAGGAATAATTATAAACCGATCAAAATTCAATAGTTACAACCGAGTCGGCCTTTTCAAAACCGTTTGACGCGCAAAGAAAGGGTCGTTGACTTCTCTTTTCGCTCCTGTGTAACAGTTCACCGGTCGCCATCCGATGGTTTTTATCACGAAAGTGTCGTGATTTCAGGGTCCTCCGCCATGTGGTCTGCCACCATTCATCGAAGACCTTCCTGAGGACGCTCAGAACAAAATCAAAGAGATTTGGAAGAACTGGAAAGAAGGCGACAAATGCTACGAGGAGCAAGGACTTACACACGAAATTGTGAGAATTTCACGTCTACGAACATTTTCCCTTTGGCTTGCCTTTCTATATTATATGTTTCAGATGGATTCCTTGCCCAAAGACACTCGCAAGACGATCTTCAAAAACGGCATGATGCCTTCGTTCCTGCGCCAGGCGCCAAAGGAGGTCCAGGATCAGTTCAAAGCAATCTGGAAAGACCGCACGATCAGCTTCGAAGAGAAGCCCAAGAAGTTCAAAGAACTGGCTGAGAAAGTCCTCACCGGCGACCTCCTCAAGCAGTTCAATGAACATCATGCCAAAATTGAGAAACATGTCGAGGAGTACAAACTAAAGGTAAATTAGTCAACTTTGCTTCAATCCTCTTTCTTCCAGGCTTCCAAACTGTCTTCCGAAGCCCGCGAAGCAAACGAGAAGATTGACGCTTTGATGAAGCAGAAGCACGAGATCATCAACGGTCTGAGCGAATCTGCACGTGACGAACTTTTCGATTTGTGGCGAGAACGGTTTTCTGGACATCACGGACCATTCGGCCACCACGGACCTTTCGGAGGTCGTTAAACTCGAAAAGCTTTCATAACTTATACCTGTACATTATTAATTAAATAAATTTCTATGAACTGGTGTTTTTTTTTTTGTTTCAAAGAGTTTTTAACAGAAGAAAGATTCAAGCCAACAAACATAATTTCAACTTGAAAAATTCTACATTCTTGGAAAAAAACTATCCAAAGCTGTTGCAACAAATATTCACTTTATCATGTAAATTTTCCTATCTTAAATTTTCTAACTTCTCAAGCGGAAATTAGTTTTTTTTTTTTTTTGTATTTTTGAAATTGACTGATTTTTGGTTTTTTCTGCGTCTCAAGAACTCTTCACACCGAACCTCGGTGACCGAGGTCGGACTCTAGAAGTTGAGAGACGTCCACATTAAGGTCACACCACACATCAGAGATCTAACAAAAGTTGAAAAACATGAAAAAAGCAGCGTTGACCCCTAGGAAAAAGTTTGGCATGTGGAAGAATGGAGACTCATCGTCGATGTATGGCCGAATGCATTGGAGACGTTCTGATCGATGGATCTCGAGAGAGCTGGACGGCTCGAAGACGCAGAGAAGCCGTAATGAGGAGACAGCTGTCGGGCTCCGAGACGCAGAGAGACCCCTTGGAGCTGAGTTTGAATGCGTCCGTCCACCCTTGCTTTTTCTGGCTTTTCTCCGAAATCACCATTCATAGCTCTGCTAAACTGAGAATTTGAGTAAGTTATTTTGAATAAAAATCGCCGCTAACTAACTTCTATATTCTTTTTCGAAATAGTTACTTCTCATGCCCTTATATATTTTTCGAACTCGTTCATTCATTAATTTTTCGAATTTCAGGATTTCGTATTGATATCCATTAAAAAAATAAGAAATTGGAATTTAGATCAAAAAAAGTCGGAAATTTTTTTAAAAATCCTATTCAGTCTTTTTCAAATATGAATTCAGATGACGTTTTTCATCGGTGAAGTACTCAGAACTGGCGCAGAACGAGCCTGAAGAGGAGGAGGACGCCATGTTCGCCGACCCACAGCCGTCGGGGATGGAGTACGGTAGTCCGGCAGGTACTTTCGACTCCGTCTTCACCTACGCCAATTACAACGACCTCGACCGAATGGGCTACGAAGCTCCTCGAAGGTAGTTCAAAAACTGAAATGAAACTCAATGATTATAATAAAAAAAAAACCAGATTAAGGGCTTCGGTTTTGACGCATTCGGTTCTCGGCTTTTCAAATTATCAAAACTAGAAGCTCAATTAGTTTATGACGATTTTTTAAGTCAACTTAGCGTTTTAGTTCAGTATCTTTTTAAATAAAAACGTAAGTAAGTTCAAAGTGTCCCTCTTCGCAACAAAAACCGCCATTTTCGTCGAGGATCTGCGACGAAACCCTGAAAAAATAACTTTTTGTCCTACTTTCTTCCGTTTGTTATCCTAGAAAAAATTCTATTTTATTTCATACATGCTTAAATAAGGCCAAAGTCGAAGGTTTAACAAAGTCCTACCGTGCCTCCGTGACCATGATCAGGTATACTGCTATTTCTGAATTTCCCACCAGCGTTTTCAAGATGTTAAAGCATTTTTTTTTCAAATTCAGGTATGGAAATACGTTAGGAAATCGATATAGTCACTACACGTATACGAATCTATTCAACGACGAAGAGACAGAGGTCAAAAACTAAGTAACCAAAAAAATGATATACTTTTTCAGGTGAAAGCCATGAGCAGTGTGGAATTGGTCCTTTACCTGTTCTCGGTCGTTTTTGTCGTCCTTACGATGCCTCTTTCGTTATTATTTGCTGTCAAGGTGAGCTTCCTGATATTTAGTAAGCCTCTCTGGATCATTGCGAAAATTACTTTATCTCTTCAATATTTTTTCAGACTTTTTGGACTTATTTCTGTCTTTCAAAATTTTACTTCTGTTGGAAAAAACTCATAAAAGAATTTCTGAGGAAACATAAACTGCTTGGAAAAAATTAGATCATACTTTTTCTGTAAGAAATGAATTAGAGCAGATTGCAGTTTATTTCTTCTTCGGAACGGCTGGTGGTGATGAGACTTGGCCGAGCTCAGAAGACCAGAGGACCAGGCGTCGCGATAATTGTCCCTTGCATCGACACTTTCCATCGCGTCACCACAAACGTCACCGCCTTCAACGTCCCTCCGCTCCAGGTATTACACGGGAATCCGAAAGATTGAAATCCGGCTCAGGTGATCACAACCGATCGCGGACTCATTGAACTCGGGGCGACTGTTTTCCTCAAAATACGCGACCCCATCGCAGCAGTTTGCGGAGTTCAGGTTTTTTCCTAATATTTGGCTCCGTCCTTCCTCTGTACAGATATAATTTATAGGACCGAAATCACTCCATCAGAATGCTGGCCAACACGATGCTGTACAGGTACGTGAGCCGGAAACGCGTCTGCGAAATTTCCAATGGACAGGACCGTCGTATCTTGGCAGCCACTTTCAAGGTTGGTGAAGAGCTTTCCAGACTTTCATCTATTTTTTTTTTGAAGGATGAACTCGGCAGCTTCACTGGACGCTTTGGCATCGAGATCACTGGCGTAGAAATCTCAGAGGTCAAAGTAATAAAAGAAGGTGAAAACATGGGTCTGGCCGCCTTGTCCTCTGTCGTGAAGTCTGACGCAGGAAAGAAGTTGTGGGAGGTGACTGCGTTCTCCTCAACTTATTCAGATTTTGTTTTCAGGTAATTGGTCCGACCGTAGAAGAGTTCTCGAAGCAATGCGTAGAGACGAGAGAGGAGACCAGCGAAAACCTGACTGTTTTGGACGAGATGCCTCAGAAACCCGACCAGGAGTGTGTAGACGTCGATCACTTGATCGACGTCGCCAATCTTGTCATTGACGACCACCTCTCAAGGCTCATCGGCAAAGTATATCAGATCCATCTATCAGATCTTGAACCGATCTTCGTCGACCTAAGAAGCACGCCCGGCACTGCCGGAAAAGGAATCAGTCCCAGAAAACCGGACGTCATTTTTGAGACGAGCCAGTCGGTATTCTCCAAACTAATTAGAAAATCTATATCTCCCATGAATGCGTACATGGATGGCTCTCTTAAAATAACAGGATCGATTCAAGACGCTCTTTCTTTGAAGTATCTTGTCGAGAGGATGTCTGAATGGATCTAATATGTTGACCTCGCCCTCCATTGTAGTTTCTAAACTTTCGAATTGTGTTAGATTGGCATATTCTAGCATTGTAATATTTTCCTCCGATTTCATTTTATTTTTCACGGTGATTTTTTTCGATAAACCAGTTGCTGTTCAACTCTCGATCCCTTAAAAGTCACTTTAAATTTTAAATGACTTTATACTTTATTATTAAATAAGGGCATATGAACTAGAGCTTTTAACTGTGTCATTTTTAAAGGCCAATTTTTATGAACCTTTTTTTCTCTTTTTTTTCATCTTTGTGTTTTTTTTGAAACATAATACTGTACAAAGTTTTCTTTTTCGTTGAACTATTAGCTTATTTATGCGGGATGTTATCTTTCAAAAAAATGTCAAGAGATTAAATTTACAATTAATAAACTAATAGTTTTTTTCAAATTGTATTATTATGGTGAAAAAAATAGAATAAAAATTAACTACATACATATTTCAACTAAAAATATATATATATATAATTGAAAAAAATAACGGAAAAATTTCCCTGCTGGCGGACAGCTGTCGCCGCCCTTTTTTAAAGGCACATAGCCCTTCAAAAACATCTGGTCCCACGAGGAGGCCAAACCAATCGAAATTACACGTGTGTGGCGAGAGGGAGGTGTTCTACGTTTCGAACGAATTCTGGATTTTCGTTCACATTCTTCGTATGTTTTAATTCATTTCTTCGAGTTGGGTTCAATGTAGGAACTAAAAATGTTTTTTTAAGCGAGAGCTACGTTCATTGAGTGCATAAAATTACAAAAATAAAATAAATTATTTTCTCGCTTCAAAGCTTAGTTTTTAGACAGCTTTATTTTCTTTGAGAACCTTTGGGTTAGCACTTTCATATTCAGAATTGAGTTTAATTTTTATTTTTTTAATTTTCTATTCCATTGTATTTCGCAATTGACGTGAAATTTTTTTTGAATTGTGAAATTACGTATATTTTCTTCTTTCCAGGTGTTAAATCGCAAAAAGTTCATATGGGTTTGACTATTTCTTCCCTTTTCAATCGCCTCTTCGGCAAGAAACAGGTTCGTGCTTTTTTTTCGTTTTTCATAGTTTGGGCGTTTTAAAAGAAATTTTTTCAGTTTTGAAAAGCGATAGTTCTATCAATTTCATGATGCGATTCGATCCTCTTTTAACAAACATTTTCACCTTTTCTCTGTTTATTATTTTTTCGCTGTGGTTTATTCGATTTACATATCTTCAAAATGAAATTTAAAAAAATTCTCTATTTTTCCGAATTTTTTTTTATATTTTTAGGTTCGCATTCTGATGGTTGGATTGGACGCTGCCGGTAAAACGACGATTTTGTACAAGCTCAAGCTCGGAGAGATCGTTACAACTATTCCCACGATTGGTTAGTGTCATCTTTGTTTTGGTATTTTTTATTTCTGAAAGCATATTGTTCCTCCTAAAGTTTACTATAATTTAAGAGAAAAGTTAAAGTTTTAAATAATTTCGGTTAATCGAATATGGACTGTATTATATAACGAACTGAAATTAAAAATTCTACTAGAATAATTCTCGAAACAAGAAATAAGTGGTTTTTTTTCTCAATTTTGAGAATTTTTCAGGATTCAACGTTGAAACTGTTGAATACAAGAACATTTCGTTCACCGTTTGGGATGTCGGAGGTCAGGATAAGATCCGCCCGCTGTGGAGACATTATTTCCAAAACACCCAAGGACTTATTTTTGTGGTGATACTTTTTTGTCATCGGTTTTTGAAAACATATTAAAGGTTGATTCTAACGACCGAGAACGTATCGAGGAATCAAAGGATGAGCTGCACAAAATGCTCAACGAGGACGAACTTCGCGACGCCACTCTTTTAGTTTTTGCTAACAAACAGGTGTTCAACAAATTTTTTCATAAAGTCAATTCCCATTTAGGATTTGCCAAACGCCATGACGGCAGCCGAGCTCACCGACAAACTTGGTCTTCATAACCTCCGCTCAAGACAGGTATTTCTCTATTTCAAAGTCAACTCAGCGGATCGTCAATTTCGACGAAATTTTGATTTTGAAGATCTCATATTCCCTTCTACTTTATACTCACTGTTATTCCCCGACATCTTATAGCTTTTTTTAAAAAAATTCTGTTTTTTTCTTCACCACGCTTTTTTTGAAAAATCAGGACTAGAGAAATTTCTTCAGAAAGTATAACTCTTCATTTAAAAAAACTTCAAGACTTGTTAGAACCGCAGGAAGAGTTCTCGTTTATTTATTAAATATTAATATATTTAGAAGTGGGCTCAATGCCGTGTTCAAATGAATTTCGACGATTTCGAGATTGACGCGTTATTCGTTTAAAAAGTTAAGCAAAATATGCAAAATCGAATTTCTGCGAGACTTCAAAAAATTAGATCCTAGAACGGTACATCGCGATATGCAACTTTCACGGTGACTTACAAGCGTGAACATGAAATTTTTGTTGAAAATTTTGGAATTTGAAGTTTCGCGCCCAAAAGTCGCTATCTAGCTGTAGGGCCCCAATTCGTTCAACGGCTTGAATAACAGTTTCGCATATTCTGCGAGATCAAGTTGAAAGAATAACGCGGCAGTTTTTAGTTCGTCTAAATTACATTGAACACGACATGGATCTTCATTTATTTTTAACTAAAAAAAAGCTGTTATAAAAGGCTGTACGCTCGAAAAATTAGGTTCAGAAAGTTTCGTATTACTTTTGGTGGTTTTAACTATTAGTAGTGTTTTTTTTCGGAGCCATAAGTTTGAATGCCATGTAATCGATTTTTTTCAATTTCTAATTTATTTCTTTGTCGTTTTGGATCTTTATTTCTATTTTTTGTTGAAGCAAGAGCTATTTAAAGCAACTCTCAATCTCAAATGTGCAAAAAAACTTATTTTCCCAGCTACTGACAGATAAGAAAAAAAGCGGCTCTACACATATTGAATGTTTAAAAAGAAAGAAAAAGAGGTAATTTTTGAAAAAAATTCGGAAATTACTCAGTGCATTCTATAGAAAAAGTTTTTTTTCATAGTTAGGCCTATATTTCCAGTCTTCACTCTTTTTTATTCCATAAATCCTTTTGATGCATTGTTTTGAGTCGTTTACAAATAACTTGTGTGCTTTACTCGAATTTGGTTCTCATAATTTGGGGACGACGTGAAATCTTTATCTTCGAAAATGTATTGAAAAAAATTCTATACTAAAGTATACTTATAGAAGATTTCCAATACTTTTTTTTTTCGAAGGATTCCTTCCGACGCAAAATTCAAAAGAAAAAAAAACTGAAACTCTTTTTGGCTGATTTTTCCCATTTTTCAGTGGTACATCCAAGCTACTTGTGCAACGCAGGGCCATGGTCTCTACGAAGGTCTCGACTGGCTCTCGAACCAGCTTTCAAAGACCTAACTCGTTCATTTTGTGCAAATTCTTTCCCATCGCTAACCTTCCAACGATGGGCTTGCCTATGTGTAATAAATGTATTTGAAAGGATGTTCATTATAATTTTGAAACTTTTGTTGCATCCGCTTCACTGCTTGTTTCGTTTCTTGTAACCTACCGGCCGGGCATCTTTTGTGATATTTGAAACCGACTCCGGTCGCTTATAGTTAAAAACCTGGGCCTCTGTTTAAGCGCCTTCCAACTCTTGTATTTTTATGTGTAGGACATTCTTTCTTGTCTTTTCATTCTCTTGGTCCTACAGGTCCCCACGTTTTTCTCTGGTGGATGTTCGATGATTATTTAATTAATAAATTTATTTATACTTTAGCAAAGTGCGGAATTTCAAAATGGTATATTTGTCGAGAGATGTGAAGCTTGAAGCGTGGATGCCTGGCAGTTGATTGATTGAGCTACCAAAGAGGCTTGCTCGAGAGGATGTGCGCCTTCCGAGTCTTGGCCTGATGAGCGCGGTTGGACAAAGCTCCTTGAGGCGTCTGGTCAGCCTCGACAGGAGCACTCATCGCGTTTCCCTGAAGCTCGGCTACGCATTTCGAAAGCGGTGAACGGGAGGCAGAACCTTGGACGGATGTCCGCTGATGGCGTGCTCGAGCCAACGTGTGTCCGTCGCTCCAGTTCCGATTCTGCGTGGAGTTTGCGGCCGTCGCCAACCTTCCGGAGGCGTCTTCGCGTCTCAATTCCGGCTATCAGCAACTGTTACTGATGCTCTCTCACTCATTCCGTTCTCGGCGTACACTTGGAACAACTCATCGAAAACGACAAAGTTGGTGTTCTGCCAGACGGGCTTCTTCAGGTCGAACTTCTGACTCATGAATCCCAGCAACGTCACCGAGGGATTGTCCAGAGCCAGCTGCGCTGATTGTAAAGATTCAGACAAAGATTCGCACCTGATAAGGCTGGGCGTGCTCGTTCTGCAGCATGTAGTCGATGATGGCCTTGCCGACGCCTTGTCTCTGTGCCGAGAAGTGCACGTAGAAGTCGAGCAGACACAGGATCTGCGATCCCTGATCTTTCGGATCAAGAGTTCAACTACCTCGCCTTCGTAGGTTTGCATCTGGGCGTCGTAGAGGAAGAGCTTCTTTCTGCCGACCTTGGCAAATCCTAGAAGTTTGCTGACGCCTTCGTCTCTGAAACGTTTTCGAGGCTCCGATTCAGATGAGAATCCGAACGCACTGGTCGTATTTCCAGCTGAGATAAAGGGTGTTGTCCGAATCGATGAGTTTCGCGCAGGTAGTGAGGGGCGATCGGAGCTGCATACACTGGGCCGAGCCTTTGGCCAGTTCGTCGATCGCATCGTAGACAACTTGTGATCTGCAAGAAGTTGAAGTTCCTTTTTTCCCTTCTACTTTTCTGACGGTTTTGCAAAAAAGGAATCCCTAGTTCTCCATTGCAATCACTAAAGATAGCTGCCGAGTCTGGCGCGAGATCGGTGGCGGGATATCAACGAACTCGCAAACATCTCGCGTTTTTCTAGGCGCCACCCTACATTTATCTCGATTTCCTCACCCATTTTAAAATTTCCGAAGCCTAGAAAAATGTGAGGTCGCGCCTGAATCCGCCGAAGACGAAGCGAGATGTTTCCGAGCTCGTTAATGTACCGCCAGCGACATCGCGTTTATCTCGACAGTCTTTCTTAGGGATTGCGAATGGATATTTTTCCCGATATTGATCATACTTTCTTCAAGTCGTTTGAAGTCAAAAACTTCTTTGAAAGAGTAAAACGAATTGTAAAAGTAGAAAGTACCACTTGAGAGAGAATCCAATTGAAAATCGAAAGGAATTTAATTGAATAACCGTTCTTTTCGATTTCCCTGACACTTTTGATTTAGTGAGAGATGTTTTTCTAATGGCGTTTGCCGTTTAATTTTCTTGGTTAGTAGATGTCTCGAAGTATTGAAAACGGTCTTTTGAATTAGTACTTTAGGGAATGGCTCACCATTTATTTAGCAGACCAAGTTCCTTCCTTCGCGTTTTACTTTGGCTTTGGCCTTATTAAAATGAGTTTTCCTAAAATGATTTTCACAAAAACGAAATTAATGAAATAAATTCAGTTTTTGGACGATAACTGGTTCAATTACTTTCCGATTTGTCTAATTGAGGAGTGATGAAAACAACTGACTGGAGCTGCTTGATGCGCATGGGATCCAGACGGACGAGGTCGGGACCGAGGATCGGACGCAGGTCGGCGTGCACTTCCATGGCTCCTAATGCCGAGGCTCCTCGCTCGGCCGCGAATCCTCGTCCTTCATGCATTTTTAGTTGCGGAGTTGCTTCTTATTCTCATGCATTGATGAAAGACCCAATCCATAGCTTTGTCCGTCCTTCCTCATCATCCAAACGCCAGTAACGTAATAATTTATCAATCATTTTTGCACAGAGATCATATCAAACAACGTTAGACAAAATTAACTCAAAACTTAAGTGAATCGGACTATGAAAAAGAAACCCGTGTCAGAGAATCAAGAAGATATAACTATCGAAACAATCAAAGTGACTTACATGACCGTATTTTCAAGGCTCGAAAAACAAATACACTCGAGTAGGTTAGGAGCAATCAATCAGAAAATGTCTATGGAAGGCCGACGAAGACAAGAAAGACTGAAAGAAAAGGAAAAAGAAAAACACCGATTTCGTCAGAAGCACTTTTGGGTCATTAAGAATCACACGAAAAAAATCAACAAGAAAAAAAAATGAGAAATACTCGCAGAAAAGATCCTTGATTAAACGGAGAAATTAGTGAGGCTAGACAAAGGATGAGAAGCCGTTGGCGAGATTAGGAGCTGGATGAGTGGGCCAGGCACTTGAATCGCTGCTGTCGACAGAAGAAGCGCGACCTGACGTCGACGGCGGCAAGACAGAAGCACGTGCGGAATCGGTCTCACGAACGCGTCGCCACGTGTTCTGGCATTCTTCAGCCGTGCTGTAGTGACGGATGGCGTCGTCGGTTCTTTCGGGGTCGGAGAGTCGTCGAGGAACATCTCCGCGAATCGTGCTTCCGCAGACACTCTCTTCGTCTTCGTCGTCGAAGGAATCGTTGAACTCTTCTTGATGCAGCGGCGGCGGCCTCGGCGTTCTTTTCATGTATTCAACACGACCGTAGTCTGATCTATAATTCGATAAATTTGAATTTTGAATACTTTTCAATAAAATAAAAACTGCGAAGCGCTGAATTTTAGACTCAAAGGCTTAACAAACTCTGGATCTTTCTCAATTTCATTCGTATGCCGTATGACTTGCCTCGTCGCGTAATCTGAACGAGTGAGGTAGTCGCCGTGACCTCGATCTGAACCACGGGCCGAGGAGACGTAGCCACTACCGCCGCCCACGTCCCTGCCGACTAGCGCAGATAATCTGAGAGATTTCCAAATTGGAACTCGATTCCTCAGAGGCGACCAACCGTTGCATAGCTTCTGCATTGGGGAGCGCCGGAATGACATCTGTAGCCAAGCCGTACATGTTGACGACGTTCTGAGAGCCGTGATCTCGGTCGCTGAGAACGCTACCGTAAGCGGGTGGCTCGCGATCCGAGAGCCAAGATTGCGTTGTGCCAGGTCTCGTGGGAAGCTCTCTACAAACAAATGAACGATCTTCTATCAGCTTGAAAGCGAATGAAAAGAACTGACCTGCTTCTAGTCATGTTCGAAGGGTCTCCTTTCAGCTGGAATGATGGGAAGTTGCCGTCTGCTAGATGAAGGCTGTCCACTGAACGGGCACGCTTCTCTCTACGATACTTTGAAGCAGATCCTAAAGTTATTATTATTATTTTTTGTTTTGATTTTAATCTCCATTTTTCATTATACACTGCGTTCAATAAGGATAGGACCCCCTCGATTTCGGACCTTCTGCCAAAATACGGAACGAGACCAAAAATCTGTAAGTACCATTCGATTCAAAGTGCAAAATAACCCCCAGAGCCAAACTTTCATTATCCTAGCACCTTTCCTACAAAAATGCCATCGAAAAAACGGTTTTTCGACCGTTCAATAAGGATAGGACCACCTGGAAATTTTGACTTTCATTGGTAGTTTTTTGTCAATTTCTCTTTTTGATGAAGGGTTTTTTTGTTCTCATATCATTTTTTATCAAGTTTTCTACGGTTTTTCTTTCATATCTTCCAGGTTTGAAAAATATTTTATATCGAAAATAGGGAAAAATGACGTTTTTTTTAGGTTGCATCATAATAGTCGAGCGAATGAATTTTTCCAGTACTTTGAATGAACTTATCCTATCAGAAGAGACATTTTAACATTTGGAAAAACAAAAAGGAGTTCGAAAAACATTCGTTTAAAAGTTAGAAAACCAGTTACAAGATGGTGTATCGTGACCAAATTTCAGACTGTCGTCGTTTTCGACCGTTTCTCTTTCTGTATGTAGTCGGAATGGCGGTGAACTTTTTTTAAAGATTTGTGAAGGTGCTCCAGCCACAAAATAACACTTAGTTGGATTGGATAAAAAATGACGATCCTCGGAAATCAAAGAAATATACGCCCTTCCGACTGCTACTCGAACTTTTTGCGGTACTGTATAAATAAATCATAAAAAAAGTTTTATTTCTAATGAAAAATTGTTTTTATTGCACGTTTTCATTTTTTTGTTTTATTTAGTTGACTAACTAAAAACCCGCCAAACGCTCTATTTGAAACAATACCTTCGATGAGCGCGGGTACCAATTTCTCTCCACATTTTCTCGGCATTGTACGTGGTAAATATAATTTTTTTAGATTATCTTGTTGATGAAATATGTTTATAGTACCTTCACAAATCTTTTAAAAAAAGTTCACCGCCATTCCGACTACATACAGAAAGAGAAACGGTCGAAAACGACGACAGTCTGAAATTTGGTCACGATACACCATCTTGTAACTGGTTTTCTAACTTTTAAACGAATGTTTTTCGAACTCCTTTTTGTTTTTCCAAATGTTAAAATGTCTCTTCTGATAGGATAAGTTCATTCAAAGTACTGGAAAAATTCATTCGCTCGATTATTATGATGCAACCTAAAAAAACGTCATTTTTCCCTATTTTCGATATAAAATATTTTTCAAACCTGAAAGATATGAAAGGAAAACCGTAGAAAACTTGATAAAAAATGATATGAGAACAAAAAAACCACTCATCAAAAAGAGAATTGACAAAAAACTACCAATGAAAGTCAAAATTTCCAGGTGGTCCTATCCTTATTGAACGGTCGAAAAACCGTTTTTTCGATGGCATTTTTGTAGGAAAGGTGCTAGGATAATGAAAGTTTGGCTCTGGGGGTTATTTTGCACTTTGAATCGAATGGCACTTACAGATTTTTGATCTCTTTCCGTATTTTGCCAGAAGGTCCGAAATCGAGGGGGGTCCTATCCTTATTGAACGCAGTGTATATGATGATATCGGATAGTTTCTTTCGAAAAATTCTCCGTCGCTATCTGCACATATATCTACTACGCGGAATAGATTCTATCAACGATATTTGGAAAATATCATGGTAATGGCAACTATACGCGAAAATAAAACATCATTTCCGTGAGCATAAAAAAAAATTTTCCTTTTTTTTTAGTCTGAATGGAAGATCAGTAATTTCAGAAGAAAAAAAAAACACCGCGTATCTGGATATAACTAATCTCGCACTGTCCATATTACTTTTAGAAACAAAAAAAAGTGATGGAAACGTAAGGAAAACGGATAAATTGATCTGAAAAGGGACAAAGTTAATCTGCTTCTTCACGAAACCTACCGGTAATGCAGAGCAACGCGATGAGCACGACTATGCAGACGAATATGCCCATGGCAACAATAGACATGAACCACCACGACGTGTAGAACGGATCTTCGGGAATCGATTCGGGCACAAACAATTGTTCAGATTCAGCGCTGGCAAATCCGACGCCTCGATTGTTGCGCGCAAAAACGCGGAAAACGTAGAAGCTCGAAGGCTGGAGCTCCTTGTAGCTGATGTGTTCGCGGTCCTTTTCGTCGTCGAGGATCCTGAGAGTCACCCATTCGCCGATCGTGTGCGTCGGTCTCTGTTTCTGCGGCAGAGCCTCTGCGGCGAAAATGAAGCTTCTTTTCGGCCTTTGAGAGATGTATCCTTGCGCCGATTCCTGAATTTTTTATTCATTAAAGTTGAAAAATAGAATCAAAATAAGAATATAGCACTTATGGGCAGACCATTTTTCAAGCCGCCGACCATTCTCCCGAGTTTTGATAAATTAAAGTCATTAATACCTCCCGATGGTAAAAATTACTTTTATTTCTCTCAATACTACCTCCCTGGGGTTAAAACTTATTTCGAACTTTAGTTTTAAAGTTTTTTGTGCGTCAATTCCTCGCCTCGGACTCAGTGAGTTCTTCACTTCCATGGTATAGAGGCACAAGAAAAATAAAAAGATTTCGAATTATATTATATAAAGCACCGAATAAACTTCCAAATTTTCATTCACAATTTTTTTGTTTTATTCCCCTGAAAATCTCATTACTATATCAGCTGCTATTTTCAAAAAAATTTAATTCAATTTTTTTGAGCTGTGTTACCATAGAGCTAGTAGAGAAAAAAAGACGACTAGGGGACGATTATTAAATTTCTCTCAATAGGTCTGGTTTTCGAGTTAAGTTGTTTTAAAAGCTGGAAATAGCGCTTTTCCTCATAATTTGTGCATTTCGCAAACACAACTATTGAAAAAAGTTGGTAAATTAAAACTTATGAAAATAGGGAAGAAAAATAAAACGAACGGCAGCGGAGACGCGTTTTGCCTGCAGCAAGTGGCCAGTGACGTCTTCGTCCGGCATGTCCTTCCACTGAAGAGCCACCGACGTCTGTCCAGATATGACGACAGGTCGCGACGGCGCCTGAGGTCCTTCCGAGCTCGGGCCGATGGTCACGTTGCCGGTGCGTTCATCGCCTCGACCGGCCGCCGTTTCGGCCCAGACGACAAAGTGGTAAGTCAAGCCTTCGGTGAGTCCCGTTGCATGAAAAGAGTTCTTAGTCGTCCGTTTTTGATCCTCGTTCTTGAGCTCCTCCTGGAGTCGGAAGCCTTTGTAGTTGACCAAGTAGCCGGATACGTTTCCGTTCGGTTGAGATGGAACGTCCCAAGTTACCCGCACCTTTAAGGAGTAAACGAAATTTCCGAGTATCTGACGCAGAAACTCTACCGAGTCTAAGAGAACATCTGCGAACTTGAGCTGTCCCACGCGGCCCGGAACGTCTTCAAGCGTCTTCGTCCTCAGTTGAGCCATGTTTCCTTCTCCAGCGCGGTTGTATGGCGAAACCGAGATCTGATATCAGGAAATGAAGAAAAAATTCAGAAAGAGACAAAAACTTGATAATCCATGAATTTTCGGAGATCTTTCAAGGTACAGTTATTCGTGTCGACGATCATCATTTCTTCTTCTCCACTCATCGGCGATAGCACAGAAGTTACTGGCACATATCGCACCTGAATCCCATTCACATTCCTTTGCTTTCCAAACTTTTTGGTCCACCCGAATTTTTACAAAACAGAAACGGAGTTCTGCGACTTTCAGGAAAAAAAAAATTACCTTGAAAGAGGTAGTCGCTTCGTTGTCTTCGTTTTTCCAAGGATCCCAGCGCACAGAAACTGACGTTGATGACAATGGCTCAGCTACCAAGTTGCTAATGTTTCTGGGAGAGGAAGTCGATTGTGTGAAATTTACATAAAATAAGAACACTTTTTGGGAATCGAATAGCCGACGTAGACGATGGCTGGATTTGAAAAAGGTCCGTCGCCTTCAGCGTTGAAAGCTCGCATTCTTATGATGTAGTGTCGAAAACTGAAACTCAGACCGTCTCCTTTTAAATTCTACTTTTCAGTATAATGCAGTTATCATGATCTGTTTTTTGCAATAAAAAAAAGTTAGAAAACTTGAGCTGATCTTACAACACTAAGTTATCTATTTCTATCTGTGCACACTTTTTTTTTCTGTAGCAAGGAACATTCTAGGCGCGGAATGAATCTGTTTCTGTATACTCCAGAAAAAATATGAATCAAAAAAAAAAAAACGAAAAATCGAACGGCAAGAGCTATGAGTGAAGCCAAAAAAAAAAAACAACTCCGGTTGGCAGCGTGGTGTAATGGCTAGCGTCCTTGCACCGTGGTGTCTATGACCGGGGTTCGAAACTTTTTGAAGAAATTCATTTTTGCCAAAACTTTCCTAGGAGGAATTTATCGACATTTTTAAAATCAATCAAAATTTTTTCTCCGAAATAACATATTTTTCCATTTTGTTTTGGTATACCGATCAAAAAGCTTTCTTCCGCTTATAATAATGATTATTAACTTAATAGTCCCTTTTTTGGGGAGAAAATTTTTACTAGCCATTACACAACGCTGCCAACTGGAGTAGAGGGATTGTACGCGAGCCACATTCCCTCTTGCCTTGCAGCACTCATTCAGCGTGCAAACTTTGAAGCTTCATAACTCGAAAACGAGATCTATTGCGAGAAATTTTATTCGTGTTCTGGAAAGAGGAGGTCTTATAGTACCTTTCAGCAAAGTTTCATCAAAAGTTAAACCGGCCACCAAAAACACTTTCCTTGTCAGTTTTTAGGAAAACCAAAAAACTTCTTAAAGATTAAGAAAAACAGTTTTTTTTTCACAAAGGAAATCCAATTGAAAAGCACTAACCTAACCTTTTTTTACAGGAGTTAAACTAGGGGAATTCAAAGTTTTTCAAATAAAAAGTATGATTAATTATACGACTACAATTATTCGAATCAGATACAGACCTGATCAGCGAGTGTAAGATCTTGTGTTCTTCATCTGGTCTTTCGGCGCTGGGCGGGATCTCTTCGAGTTGCCAGGTGTCGTTAGAGGGATAAATGCGGTAGAAGACGCGGTAGCCGATGGCGTCGGCGTTCCACGTCGTCTTGTGGGGCACGATCCACTGCAGCTGGACGCTGGTCGAGTCGAACGGAGTCGCCTGCAGAGAGATGGGCGAGCCCAGCGGGGCGGCCGGCATCGTCTGCATCCAGTCCGACTCTGCCGACCAGCTTGACTCCAGGAAGTCGCCCGAGTAGCGGATCCGGAAGCGATATCGCGTGTTGGGCATAAGTCTGAAAAACCTGGTTGAGGAGAACGCTCTGCTAACCATTTCACTCTCCGAAAAAATGATGAATCATAATATATAGCACGTCTCTTCTGAGAAAATGAACAGAGCTCGATTATGGAGTACAACTTTAATTTTTTTTTTTCTCAAATCCATATTCGTGGTAAAGGTCCTGCACAACCTCGGTAGTTAAGAAGACACCCTATTGTGAGGCTCCGCCCACTCCATGGGGTCTATAGAGAAAGTACTAGGTGATAATGTGCAATACAACAGGAAATCTTTTTTTTTTAAAGGCAGTTGATACTCTTTTCATAGCTCTGTGATTTCTATTTTTAGCACATTACAACTGCTCTCTTCTAATCACTAGAAAATGTTAGATTTCAGCCCTCTGAAGTGAATTTTTCCTTCAGTCTTCGAGTTGTTACAGACGGTCAGGAGGTCAAAACATCGTAATCTTCAATTGAGGAAAAAAGTATCAGCTTATGGATTTCAAAAAAAAATTGCTGAAATTTTTTGAGCGCCGTGGTCATGAGAAAAAAATTTCACAACTTTTTCCTTCGAGCCGTGTTATGGCGCTCTAAAATATTGAGTGCAGTGGACTAAAAATATTCGCACGATAAAATACATGTTGACGGCAGGCCATAACTCTGGTCCAAAGTAAAAATAAAGACGTTTTTTGGCTGTGATGAGGGTGCTCTTAAAAAAACCTCACTAGTCAGGAATAGTCTTACCAAACGAACAGGATGGGTATTTCTGCGCATTAAAAAATCGGTGAGCGACGTACCGTTTAATGACAGTTTTGCGGCGATTGAAGCTAAACTTCTTGGATACCGTAACCCACTCGTCGTTCGTTTTTTGGTACGACACCTGAAGATGACCTTAGCTTGAACTGTAACTCAAAACGGAAACCTGCACTAGGCGAACGGGAGCCTCGACGTCGTCCCCCACATTACTCTCGTCCCAGCGAACCGCGATGGCTTCCGAAGAGTGCGGCAACTGTTCGTCACGAAGCGGCATCGGCGGATTTCTGACAGGAACTTTAAAAAAACAGCTTTTATATATTTGTCAGGACAAACCTCGTGTAGAAGTGGTGACGACATCTGCTGCCGTCTCTTCACTTTCGCCTTTCTCATTCACCGCCCTGATGGCGAACGTGTACTGTGTGTTGGGTAGAAGGTCTGATTGTGAGGGCTCTCATGAGTAGAAATCGTGGAAACTCACTGGTCGCCGAAAACATCAAAAGGTTTCCAAGAAGCGGCGCATCGATAGCCATAGAGCGCGAATCCACAGATTTCCAGTAGGAAATCACATAACTCTGATCAAAAAAGGTCAATCGTCACGAAGCAACACCAACTTTGATTGGGCCGCTCGGCGTCGATGGAGGGAGCCATTTGAGACGGACCTCGTTCTCGCTTATGAAGGAACACTGGAAGCCTTCGGGAGCTGACGGAACTGGAAAAGAAACTGAACGAGCTGCAAAAGATGGACAACTACCGTCAGAACCCGTTTCAAAAGTGGTCGGCGAGGAGTTCTCGGGTCCATGACCAAAGATGGTATACGCAGAGACGAAGACTTGGTAGGAAGTAAATGGACGGAGGTTCGAGATCTGAAAAAAATGAATAGAAACATTATGGGTTGACATTTCCATAAGTATATTGAATTTAATTAACTTATCCAGCTTTTTTTCAATTTTGAAAAATTATATTTTCATCTTCCCTACTCGGAATGAATTCTCCACAAAAAGCCAAAGAGAGTCCTTTTGAAAAAAATATTCAAACCCCCCTTGTTTTTTTAAATTTGAAAGTATATGTGAGATGAAAAAGATTCTATAGGGATTCTTATAATTGTTTCACTATGAATATCTCGAGTTTGAGCAAGAACAGAACTACCGATTTTTCACCTTGTTTCGCCAGAAATTTGTTATTCTCTACTCTTTTTCGTGAGGGGAAAGATTGACCTTCGTTGTAAGCGTGGCCGCACCGGCTACGTCGACAATCTTGATGTCCTCATCGAGTGAGGCGCTCTTCTCAGGAACGATTCGGACCTGAAGGTGGATTACTGACGAAACTATGTTCAGTTTGCCCACTTTGTAGCCTAACACTTCTCCGTTAGTCGATATATCCGCTACCGTATCCCAACGAACGAGCGCCGATCGAGGAGAATCGCTTTCCGCCCTAACATTCCGTGGAGATCCAGACGGCGCGCTCTCAAATGTTCTACACTCTCCGATGAGATTTCTCGTCCGAAAAAGTCTCAACCTGGCCTGCACGGCTTCAGAAGACTCGCTGCGTCCGAAGAAGTTCTCCGCAAACACGTCCAGTTCATACAAGGAGAAGGGACGCAAGTCTGAAAGCGTATACTCACTGGCTCTCAACGTCGAAGTACGAACTTCTCTCTACAAAAAAAAAATGGATAAAAATTGAGACGATGAAATTCACCCAGTCTTCGTCGCCAACTTCTCGGTACAGTATGAGGTAGCCTTTGGGCTGGCCATTCCACTGCGACGCTATCAGAGGCGTCCAAAAAACAGAGATGGAAGTTGCGGAGATGGGTTCCGCGAATAGACGCGCGCTTGGCGACTCAGGATTCGTTTGCAGAGTCTCAAAACATTTTCTCAGTTTCACCTTACGAATTCGGAGTGAAACATAATTTTCTGTAAAAAAAAAAATCACGACCCACCTCGAAAGTTCGGCTTGGTTCGCTAGGTGCCCCTCTACCTTTGACATTTTCCGCAATCAGGCGAAATTGATACTTGGTGAAGGGCCGAAGACCAAGAACAGTAATGGACTGAGCTCGAGGAGCACTGAAAAAGCCGATAAGAAGATGAAAACCAATCGTGCGGAAAATAAATAGGAAATCAAATAGTCCTTCTTTCTTGTTTTCAAGTGATATTTTCATGTTTCTCTGACCTTGCCGATAGGTAAAAAATAGTTGAATCATTTCCAGATTTGACGAATGAATTAAAAGCTTGGTAAGAATTTAAAGAACCTCACCTAATGTTGAAAATGTGTTGATAGACACTGCCATCAGCGACTTTCGCCTCGACAATCCATTGTCTGACGGCAGTGTGGCCATCAAAGCCTGGAGAGAAGTGAAGGACGGCAGAACGCGCCGTGACGTCGGCCACGGACAAGGAGTTGGGACGACCAGGAAGTTCTGCGAGAAAAAGACAAGGTGAACGGGGGTTCCGAGAATGATGGTACCTGGAGGTACTCCAGATTCGAATTTGGTCTCTTCGATCGGACCGTCGCCTTTTCTCGTCGAAGCCATCACGTCGACGCGGTACTGCGTCGACGGCTGCAGACTGTCGATCGTGATGTTCGTTTGACTCCCGTCGATTTCTAGTTTCGTCTTGGCCTCTGGCATCGACGCCATCCAGTGACGAATCTGAAACTCCGGAGAATGAGCTGACCATTCCAGATTTTAAAATCTGAAGTATTCCTTGGAGTCATATTTCATCCAACTAATCTAGTGGTTAATTTAAAAATTAAAAATATACAGAAAATAAATGGTGTAATAAAAACAGCTGCTTACTTTTTGAAAGGCTATAAAATAGGTAACTTCTTATTCGCTTTTTTTAGGATAACCTTTCTCCTTAAGGATCTCAAAAAAATTCTCCTTCTAGGCCATACAATGTACTCCGTATCGAGCCACAAACCGTGTATTTCGTAACGACGCCATTTGGATGCAAAGGCGGACTCCAGGCGACGACACCGCCGTTGTACATGACTTCGACGACGTTGAGGTCATCGACAGGTCCTGGGACGTCTTCTTCCGTCACGACTTCCACTGAACGGCTCCTCGGACCGTCACCAGCCTTCGTGTAGCAAAGCACAGTGAGGTTGTAGTGTCCAAACTTCTCCAGGTCGTCCACCACCACGTGAAGCTCTTTTCGATTCGGTTCCAGCCGCAGTTCCTTGTATGCAGACGATGTTTTCCCAGCCTCACCTTTCCAGAATTGCAACTGAAAACATATGCTTTATAAAGGAGGAAGCCATTCAGAGAGCACCTTGTAGCCCAAGTTGACTCCCGGAATTCGTTGCTGATCAGGAGCGAGAAAGTCGATCTCAATAGCCGTCGAGTTCAAGACAACAAAACGAAGCCCTTTAGGAGCTTGCGTAGGAGCTGAAGCGACAAAAAATGAGATAAAAACAAACGGAAAATGAGTCGGACCAGCTTCGGCGGTGGACACTTCGATGCTCTCGCTGAATACGCCGAGGCCTCTTTTGTTGTAGGCGGCGACCTGGACTTCGTACTCTCGCCATGGAATCAAGTCGCGTATGATCGCGTTTCGGACATCCTTCGACGTCATATTTTTCTCGTTCCACGGCAAGGAGCTGTAGCCAGCCAGACGGTATCTGAAGCAAACATATGTCTCGGAAAGAAGCAGCTCAATTGTTCTTTTAATATTCGTATCTGTCTCGAATTGAAGACCGTATGAAAATAAAAATGGAGTTTCCTATTTAATTTATATTACTTGAATTTTGAAAATCAGCTTTCTTCGTTCATTTGAAAAAAAAAAACTAATTTTTCATTTACACTAGAAACTGAGAGTTCACAAAATATGAAACTGGTTTTTGACTTACCAAAATATAACTTCGTTTAAGAATTATTCTATATTTCAGTTCACAGTTCAATTAAAATTAGTGAGATCGTCTTTTTCACATAATTCTACTCTTGTTCGTACACAATTTAAAAATAGTGTTTTTCTTTGAACCGGTTTCATGAGGCCTCATGTTGAACCTTCTAAAAAATCTCGCATGAAAAAAACCTGTGGAGAAAATAATACAAAAACTTCAAAAACATGATTATGAAAGATTTGATCACCTAACAACGTAGCCGAGAACATCGCCAGTGGACTGGTCGTCGCGCGGCTCGTCCCACTGCACAATCAGACTGTGTGCGGAACTCGCCGTCGATTTGACGCGTCGCGGAGCTTCTGAAGGCGGCTGCTGAGGCATCGTGATGTTGCCTGCAGAAAAGAGCGATATCGTGAAGAAGACGGGCAATCCCTACTTGATGGTAGCGAAGCCTTGCCGGGGCCGTGTTTATTGGAGGCGATAACGCGGAACTCCGCCGTAACCGAGGGTCGCAGATCTTCTATTTCAGCGCTGCAGCACGGTTTTCCATCCTGTAAGGTGGCGGCTGTTTTGGTATAGAAAACCGAGGCGAATTATAATTAAAAGAAACTTTTTGAGGATAAAGCTGAGCTAAAGTATACCATTCTGCAAGGATGCAAAATTAAAAAAAAAAGCTCAATTTTGTATGGCTTGCAATTGAAGTGCATGTTACAAAGACACTGTAAGGGTAATATTATCTTTCAACAAATTTTATTTCGAGGAACATTTCTCGAAAGTCCAGTTAATTTTTTTGGCCAAGTTTGGTATAACTCCGACCAATTTTAACTAAAAAAAAAAAGGGTTCTGCCAATCAATTGAACTTTACAAAACGAATTTTGGACTTTTTTTTTCTACATGAATTTTAGATTTTTTTTTTAATGAGATCAGACTAGTGCCGTCCAGCGCGCACCCTGAACATTTTTTTTCACGCTTTTTGCCAAGTCCCCTCCCCTTTTTCAGGTCCCACCGAGACTATCCCATGTATCAATCAATCAATATTTATTGGTTGTTTTAGTCAGGTGGAATCGACTAGGCGGTGAAAAAATTGCTCTTTTAAGCGGCACTAACACCGCCTTTGGCGAAAAAGAAGTCAAAACGTGTAGTCGATTGAATTGAAAGCATGGTCTTACGGTCCTTCTCCTCGCTCTTCCACAAGTAGATCCCTCAGTTCCGCGGGTACGGGCACGGCGGTGATGGTGGGGATCGCGCACGGACGCCGTGTACACTCTAGGGTAGTCTCGGCCGATTGAGAGAGCTACCACTTCGAGTGAAGAAAATACACGGAATGAAGAAAATACACGGAATGAAGAAAATACACGGAATGAAGAAAATACACGGAATGTTCAGGAAAAAGACAAAACACACTGGTGTCATGCCCTTTTATCAACAAGTTCGCACGGCTGTATCAGCGATTCAAAAGAGATAAAGGTTGGTAACCTCTCTCGGAATGTTGTCGACGACGATGAACCAATCACTCCAAAGGCTTGTTGGTCCGATTGTGCGCATTTCGATAGCGTGTCTGAGAAGAAAGAAGTTGCAAATCGCTTTAATTTACAAACTTTATGATGGGCTCGTTGCCGTCGAACCCTTCAGACCACAGAACTCGGACTTTGGCTGGCGTCGTCTCATTGTGCAGTTCGGCGCGAACGCGTACAGGCATCGCTGGCTTCTCTGAAAAAACTTCTTTCAAAACACTGTTTAGATCGAACATTTTCAATGGGTTTTGTTTCTATGTATGATAAAATTTGGTTCTGAAATTCGAAATTATTGCAGAAGCGAAGCATTTTGAAAACTTTAACACCAATTTTCAAGCTTGCTCATCTCAAAAGTTTTTCTTATTTTTCACGCTGCTTTTTCAGCATTTTTCAGCATTCAGCACTTTTTCAGCATTCAGCACTTTTTCAGCATTCAGTATCAGCATTCGGAAGCTGTATCAATAAAGAAAAAGATTTTTTGCAGAAAACTCCAAAAGACCAAGGGGTTTGGGGAAGCTACGCCAAACAGATAAACTGAAGACGAACCTATGATTCGGAGAGTTGCGCTGGCGGACTCTGAACGTCCATCAGCGGCTACCACACACTGGTACTCGCCAATGTTGTCGGGTCCAACTTGGCGAATGATCAAACTTCCTTTTCGATTCCTCGAAATTCTCAAAGCGGGATTCCCGTTCTGCTGAAGTTTTTCGTCCTGGAACGCGTACTCGGTGAGGTTCTCGACACACTTTTCCTCACATTCAGAAACCAGTCGAGCTGTGCGCGCCGTGCATACTGGTCGTTGACTTTGCAGGAAAACTCGACATTCGTCCCAATAAGACTTTTCTGATCCGCAGGACCATATTCTATCAGGTTCTTGTCTGGAACTTGGAGCGAATCGTTTAGTTTAGTCATAATCATTTTAGTCTTCATAATTTCTGGGCAGAGTGATTTTGCTGATAATTTCTCCAAGTCGCCTTCTCTAGAATCGCAGTGATCTTGCCAAGATTTTAGCATCCTTAGAATCAAGTATCACATGATTGCGAATATATGAATGTGTGGTAATAAATTAAAAATGATAGCTTCGCGCAAATTAGTTTTCATTAAATACTCGTTGTCCCATTCTCAACAGAAAAAATCGCCGGTTCTATCAAACTAGGAAAATAAGCCGCTCCATTTTCCCACAATTGCTCACAGACAAAACCTCTGTGCTTGTCGCAAAATAAATCCTGCAAAATAAATCCTCGAAAAATTTTTCCGCAATAAAATTATGAAGACGCGAATCCCAACCGGAAACGCGAAGAGTCGCGGCCGCACTGACGACGCCAAGCGAGTTTTTTGCCTCGCAGATGTACTCGCCGTCGTCCGTCGAACGCAAGTCGTAAATCGTGAGACCAGACGGCGAAATTTCATACTTGACGCCATCCGAGACCAGTCCGTTCCCTTCAAAAAGTCAATATGAGGGAAAATGAAAGCATAGTTCTTCTTCTTCTCAAAAGTTATTCATAATTATGATCAGGACTTTGAAAAGACACAAAAGTAAAAGCATTTGAATGAAAGCTTTTTAAAATACTAAACGAAGAACCCTACCGTTTAGAGACCAGGCGACCGTTAGAGGAGGAACGCCAGAAGCGGAGCATTCCAATGTGACGTTTTCAGTTGCCGAGGAAACCGTAACATCATCTGGTTTTCTGATGAAAAACGGTCCTTCGCTCCCTGAGGGATGCTGAAGGTCCGAAGGAACTGGCGCAGAGAAAAGTACACGATTTTCTGCCGCAACTTCTTCGTCGATCGACGATAAAACTGAAAAAATTATGCATTTTCAGCAAGCTAACAAAATCCCAAATGAAGAAGGCAAATTTGAATTGACATTTAGGACTCGGAAATTAACAGAATTGTTTTCAAAAAAAAACTGCACAGGAAGAAAAAAACCCTGGTAAATTTTGCAAATAACTGCATTTGAAAGCTTTTTGTCTAATATCATTGTTAAGCGAACTTCGAAGCAAAAAATTTAAAAATCAGGATTTTCCTTCAACACTGGGTATAGTATAAGTAATGGATTAACCTGGAACATGATCTCCTTCTTTCAACCAGACATCGCCCATCGCAGAGCCGGCTTCGTTCGAAACCTCGCACTGGTACAAGCCGAAGTCGCTGTTTTGAATGTCTTTGATGGCCAGGCGATCTTGTTCCATTCTCATCTAAAAATCACTTCCCAATAGTTATTCACAGCAATTTTTTTTGTTTTTTAATTAAATTATGACAGATATCCGATACAAGAGATGTTTCTGCACAAAGAAAATCTTTGAAACCAGCCAATTAAAGGCATTTCAAACATAATTCTATTTCGTCTCTCCTCGTCGCCAATTTCGCCCCCATCAAGCAGATCGTCATAGATTTTCGTCTTTTCGACTGCTTTCAGCAACATGTTTTCGTACATCTCGAAAAAAGAAGGCGGTAAGTTCTTGAATCGGCAGCCTCGTCTTCTTCGTCGCAGGATGTATCGCACTTGCGGACAATCGCTAACCGATAATTTGAGCGAATAAGGCAATTTGAAGCTTCAGAACACAAGTTTTTGCAAAAATTAATGGAAGCTAACATTATTGAGTGAAAAAAATCTTGAGTTCATTGAAAAGGCAACATTTTTCAACAATTCAAGTTGAGTAAACTTTTTTTGAAAATTTTGTGAAAACACTCCGATCCGACTATTTCTTGTGTCCGGTTAAGGTCGAGATTTTCTTCAAAACTCCTCACATTCTTCTTTTCTTTTTGGAATTCATTATTCTGAAAATTGTTCTCACGTTAATAAAATAATTTTCTCGAAAAAAAGGGTAAAAATGAACAAAAAAGAAAACCTCAAACTTCCTTTTGGTTTAATAGGAGTTTTCCAAATGGGGCAAAAATCCAAATTATTTCCCTTTCTTGAGCTGCCTCAACGTTGAGTTCACTTAAACTTTAGAGTTCAAAAAATACGACTCAAATTAATTTGTTTTTTCTTGACGAAAAATGTTCATTTATAAATGAATCGCCGAATATAAAGCGACGGTGTTTGACTTGCACCCGACGATCGCCTGTCACAACCATTTTGACAGGTACGCGGCGAGGATACGAAAGAGAAAGTAGGTCCCTCAGCTGAGTGCGCGGATAATCCGAAGCGCGGCCCTTGAGTGTCATTATCTTTACCTGTCTCCCGATGACCACGCGCCCAAAAACTCAAGGAATCCTCGACATCGATTTATGCAAAAAGACGACGGGACTGCACGAGCCGCGGCTGTATGAGGTCACGGACAAAAGGCCTTCGCAAGGAAATTAAATCCGGCTTGTTAACCCCCGAAAAAAGTAGAACAAAGTTGGTAAATCGCGGATAAATGTATCGTGTGAGCTGCCAAATTAATCCAGGCTTGTTCGTATCGTCAGCAGAGATTTGCGCAATTCTACATGTAAAAAAAAAGAAGCGTTTTTGTTTTTGTTTTTGGACTCAAAATTGTTTTCTGAGCTTGCAAAATACAATTAGGACAGTTTTGGCCTATAAAAACTCATTTAAAACAGCTCAAAGCTGTATAAACTTGAAGAAAAAAAAATCATAAAAGCTGGAAATTCAGAAAAAATTGAATAAAAAACAACATTGAAAAATTAATATAAATGAGTATCTAATGATGTGAAAATTTATGGAATATCCGTTATTCGGTTCGATTGGAAATTTCTAATCGATTTGACAAAAACAAAAGACTATAAGAAAACATAAAACTTTGAATCAACTGACCGGAACGCCGTTGAAGAACCATCGGACTTTCACAGGAACGAATTTTCCTTTCTTCACTGCACATTTCACGTTCACTTCTCCATGCAAATGTTGAGATATTTCCGAAGGAAGCTTTTTCAGAACTGGCTTTCCTGAAAAAGAAACAGTCAGCAAAAAAATTTGAAAGAGAAAAAGACCGATAAAAGTGAAATCGACAAATTTCTTGTCTTGAACTCGTCCCATTGACGCTTGTGCCTTACATTCAACCTTATGCTGGCCCTAAAGGAAATCATCAGTTTCAGAGAGCAAAGGAAAAGGAAAAACCGCAGTGAAGGAAGTTGGATTTGTGAGAACGAGCCTGCGATTGGCCGATTTGAGGAAAACTCCAGGCTCCGTTCCCGTCAACATGATACCATCCAAGAACCACGTCAGACCAACATTTTCCCTTAGATTGGTATGATTTACGAAAAACAAAAAATCAATCATTACTTTGTAGAAGTGACGCAGTCGAAAACTTCCTCCTTTGGTGAAGACTTTTCGATGAAAAGCTTCTTGGGTCGAAAATAAATGATGGAGAAGGCTTCAGGCGTGTAATCATCTCCGTTGTCAGTGACGAGATAAGTTTTCGAGACGACCTCCGGAAGATCCTCGCTGGATGCCACGACCTAATCAAAAAATATGTGAAAGGTATGTTTATGGCCCCTCCGATTGAACCTCAAAAGTATTTATAAATCTAAAAAGAAACACCTTGTACGTTCCAAAATCGGAACGACTTGCTTCTGTGACGATCAGATCCCCGTTATGTGTGATGTAGTGAGAACTGCTAGAAGTTATCTGCAAAAAAACAAAATTAAAGACCCTTTTTATTTGATTCATTTCGTTTTTGTTTTTTTTTAACTTCTTTGGAAAATCTCGAAAAGCCAGCACTTCACTACGTCGACTCATTCTGTTTGCCAAAGTTTTCGAAACGCGGAAATTTTGCACGGCCACTTCATCGCCTGCTTTTCACATTGTTCACTTTATTTCATTCCAAAATGACCAAAAAAAACGTCGCAACCTTTTTGTTCTCTTTGAAACTGATTTGAGAAAAAATGAATTTTTAAAACTCGATAAAAAGACCGATCTATAGTGACACTCTGAAGACGATTTTTTTTTCCAATATCGCAAAATGTCTTTCGTTTCTTCATCTGTTTAATAACAGTTATTATTATTTTCTTCTTTTGTGGCAATAATTTCCAGTCGTGCCAGTCGTCTGGTTTCTAGCACAGAGACAAAGCGAGAAAGAACGGGACATATAGGCCCACCATGTGGTAAAATTGAGCCGTTTGGCAAACATTATGGAGGGTCGATGGTCAAAGAATGGACATAGAGGTAGCAAATCAGGTGGACTACATGCTGTGGGTAGCGAGACGGAGAGAAAAAAGGAAGGTGTGTAAGTAAGGACAGCAGGTAGAGCTTTGTTTGGCAGCTAATAAGGCCGATGGAACCAACAGGAAAAGACAACGACGGCAAAAGGAGGTTCGCAAAACACTTCGAAAAATAAGATATCAAATATGAAATTCATCGAAAGTGAGCACCTGCTGTCTGTCGTCTTTGAACCAAGAAAAAACGACGTCAAGGTCTGAAGACGCTAGAAGACGTGGACGGCGAAGGATGAAACTTCGGCCGACGCTGGTCGTCAGTTCGTAGGAAATGCTCTCGTCGTTTTCGTCAAATCCGTCCAGATCTAAAAAAATTCAATGCAAATTTCGCTAACAATGTCTCAAGAAAAAAAGGTAGCGGTTATTTATAACTAAACTGCTTAGCTCCACATTTATTGGGTCAGCATGGTTCTTTAGTACAATTTTTCCTCTTATAAAAACTTCCAAATCGATAATAATAGCTGAAAAGAAAACCAATCCGTTCTTTTCTTCAGTTTGTTTACATTCTTTCCGAAGCCGAACAAACATAAACATTAGTATCCATACAACTTATTGGCAAACGTAGAAACGTGCACTTTTCCGAGTAGCCCACTGAAACGGTCAGTTCTGGAGTGTCGGAGTGCGTCTTTTCTCCTTTCAGCGACTTTCCTCGCGATCACATTGCACACACACAATAATCCTCTTGAATTTCTTTCAAATCCAACTTTGCGTTTACCCAAATGTCAATAGAAGCTGCAGAGCGCAAAGCATAATGAATTGCGAGGTTTACATTAAATGATTTCTTCATTTCCCCCATGATTCTCGCGGGGAGAAACAGAAGAATCAAATAATAAATTTGAACCAGTTCATCGCACGAAGTTTTTTAAAATTAACTTACACTTAACAAGAAGCCGAGTCGCCGGAGATATAGAAGTGGCGACGCCGTTTCTGGCAACGCAGCGGTAGACGTTAGAGTCGTTGCGAACAGCGGAGATCTCAGTTTGAGAGTCTGAAGTCGACTGCAGCAAGTTGCCGGTCGCGTCGGCGATCCGCCATTCAAACGACTCGGCCGACGTCGCGACGCACGACATCGCCACGGATTCTCCTTCCACTGCCGAGATGATCGTGTAGTCGGTTGGCATGTCAAAGGTCGGCGGACGGCCGCGGACCAGCTGACCACAGGCTGGCAGCAATGACGTCATTAGCAAGCATATCGTCGGCAAAGTTCGAATGGAATTCAGCTCTAGGAATGGCCCAAAGTGCCAAAAATCGATAACTCTTCATTATATATATACAGGTTTACATGACAATGTGCGACTACCTGAAAAACCGAAATAGTTACAAAAAAAAACGACATAAGAAATCGAAGAATGATCAACCTCGCAACGCGGCAAGAAACAGCGATTGCGATAGAGCCAATGAAAGGCAAATATCGTCGATAAAGAAGGAGCAAGGAGTGGAAAGTGGTCGAGTCTAGGGAGGAACTAAGAAAAAGAGTATCAGCCAATCTAAGGCAAGAATGATGGGATCAAAGCAAACAGAAAAAAAAAATTGCCGATAAGATAACATAAACAAAGAAATAAAAACGAGCGGGGGAAAAAAAGAAAAGCGTCCAAGACTCCTCGTCTACTAATGACCCGTCGAAATGTCCCGGGACAGGGGACGTCCCCTCGTCCTCGCAAAACTTGAAATGATGCTGTGAGACATTAAAAAAAGCATCAGAATTATGGATTGCATCGAAATGAACATCATTTGAAAAAAAAAACAAAGAGAGAACAGGGTTTAAAAAGCGGCAATTTACTCTCTTCGCTTGAGAGAAATAACCGAATTTCTTGTACTATGCAGGTGAAGAGTCTTTTCAAGCGTGAAACTATTTTCAGTGACTTCAAAAAGAAGATATTATATATACGAATCATCGATTTTTCTGTTGAAAAAGCCATCATAACTATTTTAGAAACGTTTTTGAAACATTTTTCCAGAATTTTAGATCAAAATAGACGAAATTTCTTTGAGGCGGGCCTGAAAATTTTCAAGAGCTTATCTTTCAGAATAAATAAATATGTGAACAGCAATTGATTTTTAAGTTTGAATTATTCTAGTCAGGAAAAAAAAAGAAGTTAAAAACAGGAATTTCAAGAATGAGTCATCAAAGTTGTTTTAAATTTTATCATTTGGCGCGACTCAGAAACAAGAACAGGTTTGACGCTCTAAATATGTGCAAGCAGGATTTGACTGGAGCGAGATCGAAGCAAAGCGCATAGGTAACGGAGAATGAGGTACACCCGACGGAGAGCGACGCGCGGTCGACACTGTCTGCATCAAGGACGCCTCCCACACGGCCAGCGAGCGGCCACCAAGAGAGCGCAACCCACGGCTGTCGCAATCCTTGCACCTCGAGTACGTCTTCAGAAACACTTTTCCATCGACAGAATGCCATGAGGACTGCCGCCTTTTTCTTTTCAAGACAACGTCGGATTCAATTTGTGGCCTTCACAGATTAAAGAAAAACTTGAAAAGGTAAAAAAAATATCTTGAAAGATAAAAACAGAACTTTTTCACAGCTATTTATTGAGGGGTCCTTTATAGGAAAAATTTTGTTAAAACGCAGAACGCGAGGATTTTTAAACTCATTATCATCTGTTTGATAACATCAGCGAAAAAATAAATGAATGAAGCATCTGGGATCCGAAAAGTTTTGCGCCTGTTTTATCCATACCAGAGAGCTGCACCTTTGTTTTGAAATTTCTTAAAAACTTCTGAACGCATCCATTAAAAGAAAAGTTTTCTTACTTGTTTGATGACAGAAAGCTGCGAAAAAAAATCTAGGCGCTGAAACAGTTTTTTCTAACAAAGAGAGGAAGAGTAAGCGATTGAATAAATCTTCCGTATTAAAGTTCGAAAAAAATATCTAAAAAGTTGATTCCGAACTTTCCTTTCTTCTACTCAATTCTATATTCTCAACTTTTTTTAAGTTAAATTATCTAAAAAAAGAATTTTTTTAATTATTGGATACAATAAATAGCAACTAAAAAAAGTTAGCAAATGTTCTAAAAAAACGCGAGGTAAATGAGCCATTAAAAATTAAAAAAATATCACAAATATTTCGTTAATAACTGACCTTAAACACATTATCCGCAATTGCGAGCCGCTATTGTAAAAGAATGGCTTCCTATTTTCGAAAAATGAAATATTGACCCAATCGTCAATTTTGACTTTGGATTCGAAAAATACTGCATGGAAATTAAAAAAAAAACGCTTGAGTCAGTTCTTCAAGGACAAAGGACCACGTTTCATTCTTAAGCTAGACGTAGGAGTTTTGCGGAGTATTCCAAAACATTGTGGGTCTTTATTTCAACCGTTTTTATACCTTTTTTCATCATGTTTCTGGTAAAACAAAAAAAAAAACTCAAAAAACGACATTTAAAGCGACTTTTTGAAGATTTTTTGTCTTGACACACTTACGGACGAAAACTTCGAAAAGATACTAATTGATAAATATTTTATTCTCCCTAAAAACACAACTTCATATCAGAACATGATAGAAAACAAAAATCTTCGGAAAATTCCATGAGACTTCAACGCATAAAAGCGTCCATTTTTTTTTTTTCAAAACTCCGTTGCTCAAAGATCCTACGTCCGTTATTCCAGGTTACCACTGCTAAGAAATTGAGCAGAAAGCCTCATTCCGAAGTATCCAAAAAATTAGATTACACGATCTAAAAATAACCGGAATAAAACTTTAAAATTCAAAAGGATCATGAGAAAGCAAAAGAAAGGAAAGTCAAAGAAGAGGTCCTGACTTTTGTTGGTCTTCTTTCGTTAAGCGAAAAAAAATGTCTCAAAATGTAGTTGGAAAATTTTTTGAATGAAACTGAATGCGTTAGGATGACAGCTGTTGTCTTTCATTTGCATGAACTTTTAAGGCATAGTAGTAATTCAAAATGGAAAAAAAAACTATTAATAGTTCATTTTCTTTTCTTATAATAAATTATTAAGCCTAATGCATGCGAATGCTGAAAAAAACTCTTCTTACAACTTGAGATCAATTTAAGTTTTTTTATTCGAATATTTCGTAACTGTTTATGCTTCCATATTTTCATTTAATCAACAACACAATTCTGTATAGAAGCAAAAAGATTCTTACAATTTTTCATAGCGAGGTGAATAGGATAAACTAAAAAAATTACTTGATATCTGAAATGATGTTAATAGGACGCACAAAAATTTCACACAAGTGTTTGCTCAAGTTGTAAGAAGAATTTTCTGAAAAAAGTATATATAATGCAATCTAACTAGATCCTCTTTGACAATTGAACAAGTGAAAAAAAAACTCTGAAGAAAAAATGAACGAAAATCAGGTCCTAGAACAATATATCGCGATATGGTGGCTTTTTCTTGCGCTTGAACACCACCCATTATTGTGAACTATATCGCAGCGAGAGTAGTGCTATACCGTGGGGGAGCCGCGAGCAATATCGCTCGCCTCTCGCAAACTTCTTGCGCTATATCGCTCTCCCTTGCTTTTAATTTGATCGATTTCATCATAAACTTCAAAAATAAAGCAAAAAAATGGTTTCTAAATTCCAATTTTTTGAGTGGGAACGATATGGCAGCGAAACTTTGACGAGGTCGCAGCAAAAAGCCTTGGCTATATCGCCTGAGGCCCGCTGCGATATAGGCAATTATATTGGGTGACTTTTTTTAATGAATGTAAAATAGATTTCGAAATTTGAAGCTTTGCAAGAAAAATTGCTGCCTCGTTATCATTAAGAATAACTGCCGAGATAAACGCGAGACGCTGGCGGTACATTGACGAACTCACAAAAATGTCGCTTTTTTTCTAGGCGCGATCTCGCATATTTCTCGGCGCGACCTCGCATTTTTCTCGCATTTGTAAATTTCCGAAATGCAAGATCGGGCCGAGAAAAATGCGAGGTCGCGCCGCGAGAAATGCGAGACCGACGCGAGATTTTTGCGATTTTGTCAATACCGCCACCGACCTCGCAATTAATTGCAATTCTCTAAATACCCGTTAGAGAAAGGAAAAGATCACTAAATTTTGGAGAGTCAGAGATCATTTTGCATTGCGCGGAATCAAATTGAACACGGCATCAGACTCGGCAGTTATCTTTAGTGAAAACGTCAAGATGGCATATAGTCTGTTCATAATTTTTAATGTCAAGTGCAATTACGTCATTCAAAAACACTCTGTGGATGGCTCGCTCTCTGATTGGTTTATCGCGCCATTAGGGGCGGAGCTTGAGCGACGACTTGACATTCATCTGAACAGACTATAGACGATTCACGGCTAGCTGGGACGCAAAAAGGCGTGGCCTGTCTGCACTCTTCACCAACCAGGGCACTGTCTCGTCTCTTTGAGTGGCAGGACCCTTTTCTCGATGGCTCAAGCCAGCCGTGAATCAGCTATATATGATATGTCACGCAATCGGCAAAAAAAACGAATCTCTCTCTCTCTTTCTCTTTCGGAGGATATAATGTTTTGACCGTAATGATCAGGCCGAGCGCACAATAAACAGTGTAAAATACGCTCAAAGAGTCGGAATGGGTGGAATTCCAGGATTTTCCGGAAAATGCCGTGTTCAAAGTAATTTCGGCGATTTCAAAATAGACGCGTTATTCGTTTAAAATGATTTCGGGAAATAGGTAGAATTGGTATTCCGGGAAGGCGATCAAAAAGTGAGTCTTACAACGATATATCGTTGGATACGCATTTTTACGGTGAGTTTTACGCGCGAATTTGAAATTTCAGTAGAAAATGCCCAAAGGACTCCAAAATTTTGAGTTCCCGCGCAGAAGTTACAGTAAAAAAGGCATATAAAACGATATATCGTTGTAAGACTCACTTTTTCCGCGCTTTCCCGGAATACCAATTCTGCCTATTTCCCGAATCATTTTAATGCCGTGTTCAAAGTAATTTCCGCGAAATGCAAAATGGTCTCTGACCCTCCAAAATTTAGTTATCTTTCTCTTTCTCTGACGGCTATTTTGAATTTCGCGGAATCACTTTGAACACGGCATAAACGAATAACGCGTTAATTTTGAAATCGCTGAAATTACTTTGAACACGGTAAAAGAGGCTCCATAGAAAGGTTCCTTTCAGGGAGACAAATTCTCTTTTTTTGCTGCCTTTTTGCGCCATTTTATCGGCTCTTATGCACCATTTTTGCTGTTTCTCTCTCGTTTCCCACCATTTCTTGAGTCGCAAAAATCCCAGAAAAAATGGAAGGCTCTATCGAGACTTTGCCCGATTTCGAAGTAATTTCAGCTATATTCCAAAGGTGACGCGTTAATCGTTTGAAATTATTTCGCTAAATGGGCTAAATCAAAATTTCACAAAAAATTTTAAAAGCGAAATTTTGACTTCTCAATCTTTAAATGCATTTGAGTAGTGAAAAAAATTGGGTTTTAAAATGAATTCGCCATTTCTTTCAAATTTTTTTCGCCGTTTTTTCAAATTTTTTTCGCCGTTTTCTCTCAAAAATTTTTAATTTTTTTGTCATCACCAAAAATCTTTTTTTGTCGTAAAAAAACTTTTTTTATTTATATAAAAAAATTTTTGATCGCGCAATTCTTCTCTGTGGAAAAATTGAAAAATTTTATGCAGCTTTCGGTTATAATTATTGTTATTTTATATATATATATATATCTTATATATAGAGATAAATACTTTATTATAAATTATTATCGATTCCCTTGCGTTTTTCTCCGTGTGTGCTTTTTTTATCAAATGATATATGATAGAAGAAACTCTTTAGTTATTTCTCCCAAAAATGCGAGTCTAATGACACGTTCGCAACATCGCGTGAACAACTACTGTAAACAGTTTTCTGTACACCACCGATCCAAAACATTCCTCAAAATTTAAATGCGGGAAAATAAAATCTTTTTTTTTCGAATTACTCGTATCTCTGGTTCAATAAGTAGAACGTTCAATTCACATGAAAAATCTCTACAAGATACTGATTTAACCTCAAAAAACTTTTTTTTTACTGCCTATATGCCTTCAATAAACTTGCGCACTCGTTTAGTTGATTTTGTGAAAGAAATACCTTCACAAGCTACTTTTTTGATTCCACTTCTATCTGTTTTAAATTAAAAGTCTCCAAGATTGAGGAGTCATTAATTACTGCATTGACGAACAGAAAAATTTTTTTATGTAAGCCACCCATTTTGAATTCCTCTTTCGTTTCCATCAAGAAATATGCAAAAAAATAATTTTAAAAAAAGCATATATCGGAAATTTTTTTATGAACGTTTTTTTATTTTCGAAACCGTAAGTAAAGCTATTGATAAATATTTGTTTCAAACTGTTGAAGTATCAAGAACAATGAGAGATATATGTAAATAGAAAAAAATGGTTGCAAAAAAATTTTTTTACAAAATATGAGAACACATTATTGCTTTAAAAGAACTCGTAAAAATATTTTGATCTCAAGATATTTTGAGGGATTGTTCAAGATAAAAGAATGTTTATAACTTCATAATGGACGTTTTCGTCGAAATCCATGACTACATCTGAAATATACTTGTCATTCATCAGAAGGGCGAACAACTCCCGAAGGCGCTTCTGAAAAATATTGAATATCTTTGTTTTTCACAGGCAATCCTAACCAATTCAACTTCAGCGGCACTAGCAGAAGAATTATTTGATGTCGAATGAGGTTCTTTCGTTGTTGTTTTGACGGTAGAAGATACAGACTGAAAATAATTTGAGTAAAACCTAAGTTGGAAAAAATGCTGTTTCAAAACAAAATATTAATTTCAAAGCATTCCTTTGAAGTTTTCGTTTCATTTTGAAGGATAGTTTTAACTTTAAGAAGAGACAGTAGTAAACCTTATCATCATCCCGACATGAAGAATATTCTTCTTCGCTATATGAAGACTTCGAAGGACGCACTTCATCCCAAGAACTTCTATTCGAGGTCCCTCGAGGGTTTGTTGGCGCCGAACAGTACGAAGAATTGCCCGAGTACTAAAATGACTCAGTCAAATAATTCTTTGAACCGAACTGACTAGTGCAAAAAGACTGAAAATTTTCGAACAAAAGGCAAAAAATAGAGGTTGCAAAAAAGCATAAATAAAGAGGTTAGAAACTTATTATTGAAAACTTTGCTGAGTCTTCCACTAAAAACAAAAAAGAGAAAGAAAAGACGATGCTGAAAAGGTCCACATCGACTGGCGGAAAATTAAGAAAAAGAAAAAAGTATTGAGAAATACGGCGCCTTTTTTTGCCGTGTTCAAAAAAGTTCCGCGAAATGCGAAATAACCGCAAGAGAGCGAAAAAAAATAACCAAATTTCGGAGAGTCAAAGATAATTTGATCTTCGCGCAATCCGTTTAAACACGGCATTAAAAAGCCATTTTTGAAGAATTAAAACTGTAATGATAAAAAAACGCACTATATTCAAAGGCGGTCCTCGAATGCCCCATCGGCTCACTTGACTCTCTCTTCTATGGGGAGCGACCCAGGTTTCCACACTATAAATTGATTAATTATTTGAAACCACAAAAAAAAATCACAATTTTTGAAGGTGTTTTTCAGACAAACTAAGAAAGGAGTTTGTCGAAAAAAGAGAAACAGTTACTTACAATGATCCTACTTCCAGAGAATCTGGTAGAAAACATCTGAAGTCGACGACAGAACCAATATATGGATGTTCAAGCTTCAGAAGACCATCATCCGAATCTCCGCAGTACTTCAAATCTACACGAACCTGAAAAACTGTTTTAGCCGAAATCATATAGGATAATCAAAAAGAAAGAACTTTTTTTTAGAATGATCCCTCAAAAAGGAAAAAAAATAATCTTTACAAGGAATGGGCGCAACAGTTCCGCAAACGGACGAGAGAATTTTTGTAGGGAAGAATTTTTAACTAAAAAAGTGGAAAACTTTTAAACTATGCCTATTTTTTGATATAACAGACTAAAAATAACTTCCAAATAGGCTACCTCAATTCAGAAAAATCCCAATAAAACTCAAAAAAAAAAAAAAATACGGAACGCACAAACGTTTGCTGTTTCAAGGATTTCTCTATGGAAGCCTAGTTAGAAGGTGGTATGAAAAAACCACCAGCGAAAATTCAAACGGCGACTTTTCCGATTTTTTCATATCGCTAGGGAACTTTCCGACGGCCACCTTTCCGACGGATCCCTTTCCGACTTTTTTCCCTTAATTTTTTCGGTTTCTAAAACATCTATAAACATTGTTTTTTTCTATTTCTTTGTGTTTTAATCATTAACCAACTACCTACTTTATATAGGGAGATTTAAAACGAAAAGTTTATCGAGAAAAAAAAGTCGGAAAAAGATTCGTCGGAAAGGTGGCCGTCGGAAAGTTTCCTAGCGATATGAAAAAATCGGAAAAGTCGCCGTTTGAATTTTCGCTGGTGTTTTTTTCATACCACCAGTTAGAAATACTTTTTTCCTTTTTTATGTTCCCCATAGGCATATTAGGTTGTCAAGAAACGGATTTCGTTTTTCAACGGTTGACTTCAAACAGTCATTTCCTATATTTTATGCTAGATTTTCCGGCTCCCTCCTGTCAAATGACAAAGTAATGGCTTCTGTTTCATTATTAGATAAAAATCAGCTGGCTAAAATTATGTGAACTAGCCTCAAACGACCGAAAGGTCGACAAAATCAATTATTTTGGTGGATTGTTTCGGGGGACTTTTTTGAAGTCTATGGAAAGTCTAATAACTGATCTGACGCTGCGGCTTGTTCAAAAGCTTTTACTTTTCATTTTGGTTTTTGATTTGTTGGAAAGTATGCAGTATTTGTTGAGTAACTGATGAAAAAGATTTCCGGCAGGCGTCAAGATTTTAAAATGGTTGTTTTTATGCGCTAAATGTTCCCTTGACATGCTCTGTCTGATAATCCGTTATCAATACATGAGATAAGTTTTTTTTTGATTTCTACAAGCCTTGTAGATGTTTAATAAATAGGTATTCTCAGAGGTGCAATCGCCAAAACTTTGAAATAGTTAACGAAAGTAAGACATGTTGAAAAACAGTCGGGCTTTTCCGCGGTCTTATATCTCCTGATCGGAATTTTTCCGACCACTGGTTGATTAATTTTTTATTAGTTCAAAATTTGTTGCACACATTTTGAGCATAAAAAGCCGTCTAAGCTTGAACAAAGAAACAATGCAAAATTGCAACTTTTTATGCTAATTTCACACGGCGAAAAAAACTCACTCGATTTTGTTTGAGAGAATCTCTTATGTACAATTTGAAACACAGACATCGAGCTTCAAAATGATATATAACATTCCGGTATCAAAAAAGATTTTTTGTACTAAACTCCTCGTCAAAGTTGAAGCATCAAAAAACGAAATCCGTTTCTTGACAACCTAATAGTTTCGCAGTTTTTTTTGCTTACCAAAATTCACTTTTTTTTGCGGAGAGGGCCCAGCTCTGAAATTCACGCAACTAGGGGTTAGGATAAATATTGAAGCTATTACACAGTCTCGATGATCTCAAGTCTTCAGAAAGTGATTAACCCACTGACCAAAGCAAATCTATCTTTTTCCACTTTCGTCTCTATCAAATCATCGATGACTCCATGAAACTTGCTAACGAAATTACGCTTCCCAGCACCATGGGTCACTTCGAACTCGATCCATTTCCCAATCAATTTGCTGATTTCTCTGAAAAAAAAATCATTTTAATGTTGAGAAGTTCGAGTCAAACAAAAAAAAAAAGCTGTATACTTGACATTTGGAAAATGTCAAATTTCAGAATGGCTAAAGTAATAATTGCACAGAAAATGTAAAAAAAAAAACTCACACTGGTTTGTTCAGAACGACATCGTCATGGAAATCAACACACCAAACAAAACGGACGCAATCGGCTTGATGAGAAACAAGTCCGCGATAGATTTTTCTCGTATTTCCAGAACTCTCGTTTCTAGAGAAAACATTGCGTGATGGGCGCTAAAGTAAAAGATCAACTACACTTCCAAGAAGGAAAAAAGAAAAGAAACAAAAGGTTTATAAAAATTCAAAGTGTTAATCTCATTGTTAATTTAAGTTGTAATCAGCCACCTTGATTTTAGAAAAAACGTTCTTATTATAAAAATGCTTTAGCAAGTGTGAAGAAAGAATAAATAAGTTGACAAAAAAGTATATAGGGCCTTTCTACAGGCGTACACCTTTTTTTTATAACTATGTAAATAAATATCTGAATCTCGCAAGCGTGCTGCGTATCAGTTATAATCTTAAATATTTATATTCAGCGCTATAAATTTTTTTCTTCTCTTTTTTTCGACTAAATTTCTTACTGGTTAATAATAATAATAATAATAATATTAACGATAATAATAATTTATTTACAGATCAGTGTGAATCCCAACGAGTTCACTTCGAGCTAAAATTTAAACTTCAAGGTCTCAAAAAGCCGTAGTAAAAAAATATTAATCATAAATAATTTGCATGAATAAGCAACTGATTAGCACTGACATTTTGAATCGTTCGGATTATGCGTCTAGGAACGAATATGGAAGAGTATTTGTTTAAGGGACTGGAAACGCACTGAAAACTTTCAAGTTATTTCCCTGACTGGCCTCAACTACAAACCGTAAATTCGAACTCGACAAGATCGCCGACAGTTCCTCTAGTGATTCCATCCAAATCGACGAAACATCCTACAATCATTTCAGTTTCCATGTAATAAAACAATAATTTAAAAAAAAAAACACCAACCAAAAACTTCGTTCGACAGCATTTTGACTCCATTTACCGGTGGCTCTACTTCAGCCGTTGTTTTCAACTGAAAATATATCCATAAATAGAAAAATAATTTATTGCTATGTAACAAAAAAAGACCGCAAGAGCTAACCGTGGTAATAATTGTTCTCACGAGGGAAGTGTGAGGTGAGCATCGCAGATATGGCTCAAACTTTTGTAGCAGGTAGTCCTAGTTTACTAGTGTTCGAAAACAGAAATAATGACCCGCTATATAAGCGCTATAGGGTACGGAGAAACAGCCTATCGAAAAAGGGCACAAAAAGCACAAAAACGAATTCTAGTTGGGTTTTTGGTGTGAAGTTTCTTTTTCGCGTTTCTTTTGATATAGTGAACAATAGTAGATGTTTTGGAAAGCTAAAAGCCAAAGAAAATTAGTTTTTGAGCTTTTTCCGTACATTTTCGACACACTTTTTCTCAGTACCCTATGGCGCTTCGCAGATATTTCTTTTTATATTAGTTTACTCACACCTAGGACTATCCAACCCAGAAGTTTGGGTCAGTGCTCCTCTCACGCACTTTCCTTGTCAGACACTACTAAAAATGTATCTACTGCAACTTTTGGATTATTCTTCCAAAACTCTTAAAATATTCATAAATAGGAGATATAATGTTTGAGTTTTATTTTATACAACTGGACAGGTGATTCGAATAAAGCTGAGCGAAACTTTTCAGAAATTCGAGCAAAAACTCTATTGCAAAAAAAAAACTTACTACCACTTTAGGAAACCTTTGAACAACAATGGCAGGCGGGTCTCCAGAGAAACTCTCATAATCAGTGATACTATGTCTTGCACGGTGGCTAGGATTATGGCTTTCAAAGTCACTGAAAATAAAAGTATCCCGCAGAAATGCAAACGAGTTACCTCAACAAAACTTTGAGAAAATCTCCAGGCTGCAAATTGGTCAGTGGACCTTTTATAACAGCAGTGAATCCTTTTTTCAAAATTACACAAAACGTAAGGTTAGAATGTGCATCGGTATTCGCAACAAAAGCGACATCGTAATCCTTCAACCTTGATCTCGTCGACATCGCCGCAAAAGTTTTAGAAATGGCATTGATGATCTATCTGAAAATTTCAGTTGCAAAGAAAAGAGTCGAAAATGAATAGAAGTATTGAAATTTGATTCTTGACTTTCTTTTTTCTAATTTTTTTTTACCAATATTCAAGGATTTTTTCCGACACAAGAATTTTGGACATAATAGCGAGTTTTCGAGATTTCGTACCTCTATTCTGAGTTGGTCGAGTTTTCGAATATCAGCTGACAAGGGGTTCCGCCCAATTCCTAAAACAGAGGGTTTACGTATTCACGCCGTTCTTTCAAATATTTAATAGAAATAATAAAAAAAATGAATTGATACTCCAAGAGGTATTGAAAAATGTGAACACCCAGCCTATTCATCGTACTACATGATATATGAAAACTTTCAAATTATTTTTTACAAAATTCGACGATAAGAATAAAAGATAGTCAAAAAAAACCGAAGAGTACTAACACGAATAAATACTTCCATGAAAAACTTCCGAAAACGGAAAACTATCAATGTGACGGTTTAATGGAAAAATTTTTTTCCATGAAACCGTCACATTGATAGTTAGTACTGTTGGAAACAAAAATTAGTACTGTTTTGAAGCAACTTTGGCGCGCCAATAAACACGATTTTTTGTTTTGAAGCATGTTCCGTTTCTCCGATGAACACGCCATAAACTTTTTCAGGTGGTATAGGTAGGGACCACAGACCTATTTTCGAACTCAAGCTAACTCCTCGTTTTTGTTATAAAAATAATGATTTTAACATGTAGTAGGCGAAAACAGAAAAGAAAAACCAGAAATATTAAGAATAAGAGGAGAAAACAATATTTAAAAGTGATTGAAAAGCAAAACTTTTTGCACTGAAATTTTGGTTTTGCGAATTCTCATGCAATCTGCGCGCACCCTTATTTGCAAGGTCGGCACGGTTTCAGGAGCCAAAAGAGAAGGTTTTTGTCGTGTTCAAAGTAATTTCCGCGAAATGCAAAATGATCTCTGACTCTCCAAAATTTAGTGATCTTTTCCTTTCTCTAACGGGTATTTTGCATTTCGCGGAAATTACTTTGAACACGGCATTTACGAGCTGTAATTCCACTTTACCATCATTTTCGTTTCAGTGACTGCACAAATACAGCCTACAGTGCTCTTTGAATCCCATAAAAATGTTATTTCGCCTACTTTTATTCACCTTTATTGTTGAGAAAAATTTTTCGGCGATCTTGAATTTTCGATTTTATTGCTTTATTTGTTTGAAAATTAAAAGCTCTTGTAAATGAGTAAGAAAAAACGCGTGTCTTCGACCGGGAAATGTTTCAAAATTACTCCCAAAAAATTCTCCACCTTTTTTACCACTCAAAACAGTACATTTGCTTGTAGTTGTCAACAAGTATTATTCGAGCATTGTTTTTCTCAATATGAAAAAACCATAAAAACCTTCAAATACTGCATTGCAATTGAGAAAACAGTTTTTGACTTTGCGCGCCTCTCAATTTTTTCGGCGATCATAGAACTTTTATTTTTTTGGCTTAAAAATTTTCATTTACTGTTTATAAGTAGTTTTCAAAAAAACAACTTTGTCCGCGACGTACATTAATATCAAAACGCCAAACTAAGTTTATTTTTCGAACTCGCATCACTGTTCCGTACGAAACTCCGTTGAAACACATGGAAAGTACCTAAAAAATTTTTCAATGGAAAGAGGAACCTTTTCTACATGTATGCTGAAATTTTCATCATTTTTCATTGTTTCTATCGGCTGTACGAAACAATCAAAAACGGAATACCAAAAAATGGCCTTTTTTCCCTCGCGAAAAGGGGCGGGGCTTTGCGGTCGCTAGGTATAGGTCATTCCGCGCCAGCTTGTCACGATTTTAAATTTCCTCGGAGCAAGAGAACCCATTTCGGCGCTTCGCTTCGATGCACTCGGTGTTCCCCCTTGCGTGCCCCTTTAATAAAACTCATTATTTCCGAACTTTGGAATTTTCTTATTCTACAAAAACAGTTGTAACATCAAATTTTATATCAAACTAACCCAAAAATTATATGCAAGAAAAGCTCGAACAGTCGGTTTCATTAATAACAATTAAAAAGTAATAATTCAATCTTTTTGATTTTCTTTTTTTCAAATCCAGCACAGAATCTGAGTGTGTATAGTTAAAGCGAAAAAAAGGAAACCAATCCATTAAAAAAACCTCGTAAATTAATAAAAGAGATAGAGAAAAATTGAAGCAATATCTTGATTAGAAATAATGTTTTATTAAAGGCGCACGCAGGCATTATTATTATCTCATTTCATCACGTCGACTAGTCGGTCTCATTGCCGCTCTCGCATGGGATAATATTCCGACGCCCGTCAGCCCTGGACAAGCTGGGCGCCGTACTGTTCCAACATGGTGAAGCAGTTTATTCGCTGGTACTACCAACGGGCCCACATTATTTCTCAACTGTCACGCCGGGACTTATTGGACAACGATTGTGGACCGAAACCCGCGCCGACGACTAACTCTTCGAGTATACCATGATTCAGCAGAGATTTTCTTCATCTTACTCTGAAGACTGAATAAATTGATATGAATTGATTGATTGAAAGGCGCACGCAAGGGGGAACACCGAGAGCATCAAAGCGAAGCGCCGAAACGGATTCTCTAGCTCCGAGGATATTTAAAATCGTGACAAGCTGGCGCGGAATGACCTATACAAAACACGGCGTTCTTTTGACGACGCTCCTCCCACAATTTCCGTAATATTTGACGTCTCTGGTTCATACACAGAACGGCGCTAACTCGCATACTCATTAAATTCGAAAATAATTGTTTTCTTCGAAAAATGGCGTTTTTTCAACACTATAGACGTGGAAGAAATTGATTCTTTCACAGTTCCATTTTCTAGTTGACAAAAAAAATTTGGGTGAAAGTTTTCCTAACTTTTTGAACACTTTTATTCCTCATCAACCATAAACATAGTCATAGTTTTTGAGGATGACCAAAGGAGATTGGAAGTTTTTTGCAAAATTGGTTTTTGATACGGAAGCTGCAAAAATCACAAAATGATTCAACGTTCCTTAGTTAGATTCGACCTAAAATATTTTTGAATTAAGTGGAACTTTATCGAAGTGGAGGCAATTGTAACTTTCTTGATTCTCTTCCTCCACGCTACAGATCTGTCTGTGAGCGAAAATAATCATTTCAAAAATAGTTGAAGTGCTTTTTTCAGTGAACAACGTGGAATGTTGTGCCGCAAATAACTTATTGTGATTCTATGTTCCTTTCCCCACTCATAAAAAATTTTACGGAACACGGGTTAAGGAAAAGAAAAAATTTTAGAGAGAAGAAACGCGGTTTGCAGAAAAGATTTTTTCGAATCTATTAACAAGAAAAATACCCTGTGAAATTAAACCAAAACTATCAAAACAAGTTCACCAAAGAAAATTTTTTGAAGAGTAACTTGAAAATTTTTCGAACAAAAAATAGCCAGTGAAATTTGAACTTCATATCCGATGGAAATCATAATGAACTTTCGTAACCTTTGACTAAACTTTGGTGGAATTCACCGTATCGAGGAGCTTTAAGCCTCTTTCGCAAGGGCCAGGCTATCAGCCCCGACACAGAGAAGAGTCTCTCTGACTCTTCGAATGTCGATTGAAGCTGGGATACTTCGGTATTGGAATTGAGAAAATAGTTCTACTGATAATATGTAGACAAATTCTGCTTCATTATTGTATCACTCACGACACCGAAAAAGCGCATTTTTCTGTCGAAAGACGTTTAAAATAGAAGTTGAAAAAAAAAAATTTTTTTCTAGGAAGACGGAACACGGGTTCACGCATGTTTGAGACAGTACTACGGCGGCCGGTGGCCGGTCAATATTGCGCAGTCAGTTTCGGAGCCAGAAAATTTTTTTAAATTTTCTTTCTTTTTTGCATTTCGTTAAAGACCTATTTCTCGAGGTTACAAGGTGAGTTACGTCACAAAAAGTACACAAGATTTCATTTTATTTTTGAAAAACCTATCAAAACTACCTTAATACGACCGGCCACCTTAAACAGGCGTATGTCATAGAACAAAATGTTTTTTAAGGAAGACGGAACACGGGTTAAGGAAGAGACATTTATGCGGAAGACGGATAACGGAATTCCGTGCAACCCTGGAACCCATGCCCACTTCGGACGAAATTTTTTGTTTGCATTGCACTGCGGTTTTTTCTTTATTCCATATAGTCTGTTCAGGTTTTAAATGTCAAGTCGTCGATCAAGCTCCGCCCATAATGGTGCGATAAACCAATCAGAGAGCGAGCCATCCACAGAGCGTTTTTTACATGACATTCAAAATCTGAACAGACTATAGCGCGCGTGTGAAAACAATAGTATACTCGAAAACGACATCTTGTTTTATAAAGCGTAAAAACGGCGATTCTTTAATGCAAATGATTTCGAAAATAAGCACCATTACGCGCAAAATTTAGAAATTCACAAGCGGAAAGGAGAGTGGTACGCCCGACGGCGGCCATCCAATTTTAGATATCGTAACTGTTTCTCTACTTTAACAACAATAAAATCAAAAAACGAGTCTCGCACCGACGCGCATAAAATATAAAATGGTGACATTTGTATTTTTCTCGAATAAAGAGTGTGCAATATTACGCGCGCGTGATGCATTTTGCGTGTTCCAACGAAAAATATTTTTTAATTTCTAATACAATAGTCATTATTTTTTTCGAATTTAAATCGTTTATCAATAAATATTCTTTTTCAAAAAAGTTGGAAAATGTTTCCACAGCTGTCGCGAAGAAGAGTTTGTCAAGGGAAAGCTTAAATAATATTCATCATGTCCTGTTATTGTTGACTAAAATAAAAGATTGAAAAAATGATGAATTCGTTTCATTTTTCATATTTTGTGGTATTCTGAAATTTTTTTCGAATATCAGGAATGTTGTTGACCTGTTAAAACTAGCGAAGTATGAAATTTACATTTTGCTTTTTTTCTTGTTGTATTGCTCGGATTAGGGTGAACTTGAAGTTTTCAGCTTCATTTCAAGAAATTAACCATTTTATACACCCAATTTTGTGGACTATATCGCAGCGAGAGTAACCACCCAGTTTTACGGACGAGGTCGCAGCGAGAGAAACGCTATATCGCGGGGGAGCCGCGAGCTATATCGCTCGCCTCTCGGCGCAAGGTCGCTCACATCTCGCTGCTATGTCGCTCTTTCAAAAAAATTTTTTTAGCTCGATTGGGCTTTTTCTTGATTTGCTTTCTATTCTTCATACTTTTATTGGGTTGTAAATGATAACATATCGGTCTTTATCAACCTTCTTTACTTTTTTTATTTAATATAAACAATATATTTTAATGAAAAACTTGAGAGCATTAAAGAAATTTCCAAATAATTGATGATACATTTTCGAATTCGAAGTAAACTGAAAGTATGTACAAATCTGAAGAAGAAAAAAAAAATTGAATTGAGGCGAAAGAGTGAAGCTTCAAGTAAGAATAAAAAAGGACAATATGAGGAAAAACATGTGTATCGTTCACTTTTTCATAGGAAAAAAATGTGACTAGGAAAAAGAGTAGTTTCAATAAAAAAACAGAAAAAGTAAACCGATTGTAAGCTCGTAGATGATCTTTAAAAAGTTCAAATTAGAAAAAAATGAATGAGGGAGGCTCGAAATGAAAAATGAAAGAAGTTTTTGAAAAAAAGAAAAATTAAGTTAAACAATCAGATTGACCCTAAGTTCCCTTAAAAAAATGTTACTGTAAGCTTTGACTCGATAGTTTTTCGGCATATCCTTCATTTGCTGCGTCAAGAACTTTTTCTAAATGATAAAAACCGGTAAAAAAAGAGAAATACTGAAAAAAAGTCCAACCTTGAATAAGAGAATAACTCACAGGAGCGACTGTATCAAGACAGCAGTTCGTGCTTTCTCGAAATCATGCCTCATTTCTTCTTTTCCTTACCCATCGACGCCAAAGTGCAAATCATATCTTCAAGTAAAAATGGATATACTGTTTCAAAAATAGTTTACCAAGAATCTTATTGATTGTATCCAAAAGCAAAGTTTCGGTGCCATCTCCCACGGATCTTTCTTGACTTTTATTGATCGAAAAAAAAATGTTAGATGCCATTTTGAAATACTAATAACCTGAAATTCTTGGTTAAAAAATGAAAAAAAAATGCGAAAAAAGGACTTTCAAATTCAAGAAAGGTGTGCAGTTCCGTCAAAATATATACAAAAACGCTTTTTTTTTATCACAACTTTCTTTAATGGGATTTCACCCTTTGAAACTCTCTGGAAATATGATGACTGTTGATTGTAACACCGTGGTGAAAAACTTAGAAACACAGCTGAAAAAAAGTTTCAGAAAGATTGAGCTCTATACGAGGAAGTTGTGAGCGAAAAAAATATTTTTCCTCTTCTGACGGTACTGTATGAGCGTTACATTAGTTGTAAAATTAACATTTTAGAAATATTAAGTGAAAAATAGACATAAAAATCAGAGAGAATATAACACACGAAAAATAAAAACAATTCAAGTAAAAATTTTGATGGCACGTAAATAGTGACCAATCGATAATCCGCGACCTCGCGCCGATATCGCGCCGGGAGTTTGCTAGAGCTGAGCGAGATGGCAGCGAGATATGTCGCTGCTATGTCGCGCCACTCTCGCTGCGATATAGTCCACGAAACTGGGTGACGCTATACCGCGGGGAGCCGCGAGCGATATCGCTCGCCTCTCGCTGCGACCTCGCAAACGTCTTGCGCTATATCGCTCTCTGAAAAAAATTTTTTTCTTCAAAAAAATCTTGAATTTGATTGATTTCATCATAAAAGTCAAAAAAATAAAAGCAAAAAAATGTTTTTTTCAAATTTCAAATTTTTTTAAGAGGGAGCGATATGGCAGCGAGACTTTTGACGAGGTCGCAGCGACATGTTGACGAGATCGCAGCGAGAAGCCTTGGCTATATCGCGTGCGGCCCGCTGCGATATCAGCAATTATGTTGGGTGTAGGTTACAAAAACTATCGGAGCAAGAATTGGAAATTTTTTCATATCAAATAACTTTTGTTTGAATTGTTACTGGTTCGATTGAACAACCTTATTATTTTTATCGATTAGATCTTGAATTTTTTTTGGCTTTACTGTTTTTATATGGTTCTTTATATGGCGATTTCATCGCAACATATAAAATTACCAAAAAGTCTTATTTCATTTACAGAATCGTGTTTCAAAAATTTTTACATCACAATTTGTAAGCGCGCCCGAAAGTTGCATAGACACCTCCCATTTTCCCTCCTGTCTGCAGAGACACACGGTTCAGTGCTAAAAGCGTTCCCGAGAAACCCTCACTTTTTGTCGAATTTTCTCGGCGTTCATTGAACTTAGTGCCGAGATTTTTTAGGAATGTCTGTTTGAGGATATTAGCTAACAGAAAACATAAAATTTAAATTTGTATGATCATTTTGAGAAAATGAGTTGCGGTCCCTATCTATAGGTGTTGTCCACTTAAATTTTTTTCGAAATATTTCAAGTTTATAAACATATATTTGGAAAATTTTTGAAATTTTATTCTCACTTTTTTCAACAATCCATTTTTTTTTTTCAAGGTGCGCCGATTTCTTCTTATGTTCGTGCAGGAATCTGATGGCGTTTACTTCGAATTATGATGAGTCCGAGGTTTGAAATTTTTTTCATATTTTCAATCATTTCCAAAGGATTCCTCCGGTTGGAGTGTTGGTTTGGTTTCAAACATCGAGGCACATAGTGGCTATATATTCGTCGTTATCCTGCGAAAAGGCGTTTCCGCAGTCCTTAAGAACATTTCCAAATATTCACATCTACGCAGAGGCGACTTTTTAAATGTAAAGTACAGGTATAGATTTTTTTGAATATTTCATTGAATTTAGCCATTTTTTTTAGATTGAATATCCATGCACCTGCTCACTATCGCGCTCGACACCTTGTCGAAGACTTGAAACCTGCTGAACCATTAGCTGAAGTTGTCAAAGCTCATCCTAAACTTATTGTAAGTTTTCGCGATTTCATATATTCAAAGATAATTTTGATTGTTTTTAAGCTAAAAACAACGGCCAAGGTCGAAAAATGCCGAACGAGAGAAGACAATGCACTTCTTAGCAATGAACATTTTGGTGAATATATTTTATTAGTTTCATCAAAAAATGTTCATGGCAGGGTATTTCGTCGATCTTTCTGGCTTGGTGAGATACGAACGCGGAACTCTGGTCGAGTTCGAGTTTGTGGTTTGTTTGATTCAACGAGTGCCATTTTATTTCAAATTGTTTCAGACTATGGCGAGTCCCCGAGATAGAATCTCTTCCATCTTTGTGCCAACTAGAATCATAAGACGGATCGAAAACGTATTTTTTTTTCCACATCAATTTATGTCAAAGTGTTTGTAACTGCTGCTGACTCCGCGTTAAATCGCAAACCGCTACTCTGACATGACGTCATTTTGACATGGCGATTCGCACACGCAGCCATATTCTTTGATTTATTTTTCACGTTTCAAATTTATAAAATTAGATTCGACGTGAAATGTTTCCAGTCACATGAGAAACAGAAAATTATCACATCTAAAAATCCCCTTTTGATTGAAAACTTTTTTTTATTTTCCTATTTTCTTACTTTTTTTTAGAAACCTTTAAAAGGTTTTATTAAAAAAATAATCGAATATTCGAAATAATTTTTTATAAATCGAATGTTCGAAATATTTCATAAACCATGATAAAATGGGCTTAAGAAACCCATCGGCATTTTATGAAATTAATGACACTCCCATTTAAAAAAATTGAATATAGGGAAATGGAATAATAATTAATGAAAATATTATAAAATCTTAATCCACAAAAGTCAAAACGTTGACAAACGAAATCCGGTCGCAGTTTTTATGCAAAGGCGCATTTCAGGCTCTTCCTATTCTTCAATTTTTTCACGTAAATGAAATAAATATATAGCCAATTTTTTTGATTACGCTTATTTCTTGTGATCCGAATGATGTCATTAAGTGACGTCAGGGAGTAGCGGTTTGCGATTCATCGAAAACTCTGCTGCTTACGAAATCAAAAAAATTTTTGATTTTACATTGCCTTTGTTTCACTCTTTCACTTTTCATCATAATAGTCATAATAACCATTCTTGTTTCTCGATTGCAATGGTAGTCTTTTTGGTAGTTTTTGCTCATTATTCAAAAAAAGATGAAAAAGGTTTGAACTATTCATCAGTTAGAAAGTCCTTTTTGTTCAAGGGTGCTCAAAGCGTAGGTTTTCTATTGGAAATTTCAGCTTTGGACTTTTTTTGAAGTTTTCAAATATAATAAAATAAATTCAGCACGAAGTCGATTTCGATAACTCTAATAGAAGAAGCTCAAAACCCCGAGAGCGAACCGACGACGAATTTGAAAGAGACACGCGCAGTTCAGCAGTTGTTTACTCCGACGATGAAGAGCTTGCCTCAAATACTTCAAATTTGCGAATTTGTTCAGTAAGTTCCATCTAGAATTCTCCAAACTAAAACTACCTTTTTTTGCGTTTTTTTTTCCTCAGCTCATCACAGACAAAGTTCTTTCTTTATGAATATGTTTTGGTGGTATTCCAATGTGTTCAAGGGAGAACAACTATGAAGTTTCTTCAAGTCATAAGTAAACAAAAAAGGAATTAAAGGCTTGAGAATTTGATGAATGAAACTTCGCTGAGAGTTGCTTCCTGATCTGTTTTTAGATACGTTAAGATTCGATGTACAACTTGTCTCGTATGGAATACATGGCGTTTCAAAATTAGACATCCATCCATCACTGAAGCATGACTCGCTTTCAATATTACAATTTTTGAAGCGCCAAATATCTGAAATGAGACGAATGGTTCATTCAGTTTCAACTGTGATCAAGGGGTCCTGAAGCACACAGCAGCGAAGTTTTCTCAAATTTTCAATCTTTCCTCTTCTCCACTCGTAAATTATTTTTTTTAAATGTTTTTAAATGAGGCGTGAAAGTTGAAGAATGTTTTATTTGTAGAGGAGCTTTCTCATAAATTCCTTTGCCACTCCCCAAATGTGGTTTTTAGGGCATTCGGTGTCTTGAAAAGGCACAAAAAGATTGTTAACTTTTTTAATGGAAAAGTGAACCATTTTTAGAGCGAGAAAAATGAAAAAAAGTATTTTGTCCGTTTTTTTCAGTACCTTGTAAGTATGTGAGAGGCAAATGTGATATTTTCAAGATGGATTCGACGTTCGAAGGAAGGAGCAGCTATTGCCACGAACAAGATCAGGATAATGAGGATAATGCTAAGGAAGAAAGATCGCGACAGGAATTGGTAATTTTGTTTATCTTCCTTCGTGTTTTCACCTACTCTGGAGCATCGTCTCTCAGGTAGAACAAAATAATAGATCCTTTATAGTTAGTTGCAAGTTCTGAATACCAAGTAGGAGAGACGCTTTCCTTTTTCAAGTTTTTTTTTTAGAAAAAACTTCGAGAACTCGCCGCCCGTATGATGAATGATGCCAAAGTTTCAAAGGCTATCAGAGCTTTTGATGAAAATATACACCAAGAATTGATTGAGATTCTCTTGTCTTAATTTGAATATATATTTTTACATTTTTTGAATCGCATTATTCATACTACATTGCTCAAATCTATTGAATATACGTTTTGATCAGAGTGCTTCGTAGACTACCTTGTGGTTTTGACTATTTAAATTCGTGTGTGCTTTCTCGTTTTCAATGTTATCTACTTTCCTGTTTGATTTTTGTTCAAAGATAGTTTTTACGCATTCTGTCGCTGCTATTTCTTCGTAAATACCTGTGACTAATATAGAATTTGCTGAAAGGTTTCATGTAGAATAAAGCTTTCATTTTCTGATTTACTAATTTTCTATCATAATAACAGTTTTATTAAACTGAATGTTACTGTGTCCATGTTGATGTTTTTTTCCCAAAGTTGTGAAAGTTTAAGCTTCATCTAATAAGTTATGATAGCCCGTATATAGTCTGTTCAGATTTTGAATGTTAAGCTTTTCTGTTGACTTTCATGAAAATACGAAACTCAGAAATTTAAATTTTTCAGTCCAGTTGGAAATGACGAAAGCAATCAGTAAACCTCACATAATTGGGGTTGCTGGAGGAACAGCTTCTGGCAAGGTTTGAATTGTTCCAGACGTTTTCATAAAGTCTCAAAATCTTTTTCTGATTAATATTTTTTGCAGTCGCTAGTCACGAAGAAAATCATCCAGCGATTGGCGAATAACGACCAGAGGGTTTTTTTTTAAACGGTTTTTGATGGAAGAAAAGAGAAAAAGTTTCAGGTTATCTCGATCCAACTTGACTCTTTCTACAAAGATGTCAGTGCAGCGCAACTTGAGCAGGTGGATCTCGGCGAGTATGACTTCGACCATCCATGTGAGAGTTTTCACTCCAAACAGTTGACAGTTCTGTTTGATGATGGTATTTCCTTCTTATAGCTGCGTTCGATTTCGATTTGCTCGCTGATGTCCTTGAACGTTTGATAATTGGCGAGCCCGTGGAAATTCCTAATTACGACATTTTGACGAATTCTCGGTCAGTTACCATGATCTAGTCATATTCTTAAAATGTTCAAAAATCTTACAGACAGGGGGTTCGTACCGTAGAACCTGCCGACGTCGTCATTGTAGAAGGAATTCTAGTTTTCTACGATGAACGTATACGTCAACTTTGTTCCACGAAACTTTTTGTCGACGCGGACGCCGACATCCGTCTTTCACGTAGAGGTTCTAGGAATGGAAATAAACAAATTTAAAAAAAAACACATTTTAGTGAAAAAAGACACGGGAGAACGGAAGCGCCCTCTCAGTGTAGTTTTATCGCACTACGTGAACAAAGTGAAGCCGGCTTTCGAAGAGTTTTGTCTTCCGACAAAACGATACGCGGACGTCATCATCCCACGTGGCGGCGAGAACGACGTCGCCATCGACCTGATCGTCGAGAACCTTCAGGTGCAATCAACTCTTGCCAGTTTGGATATTACAACGGTGGTCGGTCTGGTCGAAATCAATTTTAAGAGTTCTGCGAAGGTTCCATCCAGAATAGCTAGCTAGTAAAATCGTCAAAAATGATCTTGAAAGGAAGGTCATTTTACTTTGCGGTTGGGAATTTTTCGGGAAATTGGCCAGAATATTCAATGATTCATTGATGTGCTAGAAGAAGGTTCTGAAAGTCTCAACCTGCACAACTTCTCAGTTTTCGAGAAATACGAGCACAAACGCCCCAAAACAGCCTATTTTAACGGTTTTCGATGGTTTTCTTTGATTTCAAGACCATTTTCTCGATAGATAGAAAGTTGTGCAAGTTGAGATTCTCAAAATCTTTATCCTCTACACCAAGAAATATTTTTGGCAATTTTTAGAAAATTCCCAGCCGAAAATCAAAACGATTTCCCTTGTTAGAACCAGAAAGCTTGACTCACCTCGTTGAGTCTGGTTTTTCTGAGGATTTGTTGTTCCGCGATTTGTGAAAAAATATTCAAACGTGTTGTTTCTCAAGTTCAACGCTCTATTCCCGTGGCTTAAGTCTAAGATAGAGATTTGAAAAGAAAGGTTGTGATATTACAGTATTTAAATTTTTTTCGATATTTCTGAAAGTTTATAGTTGCACTCACTGAAAAAAATGTCTACTCATTGTAGAAAATTTTATCTGCGCCCATACTTGGAATAACCTCGGTTCGGCCGCAAACTGGAGGGGACTTGACAAAAATTAAAAAAATTTTTTTTTAGGTGTGTTTCATTTCATCATTTCGAGTGTTTATTCGCCATTCCGCAATCAGCACGACAAATACAAAAAATTAAACATCAAAACAATCAAATAAATCTAACAGCTGATCTGTGGAAACGGCTGGAGGAAAAAGATTGTCTGAATAGACGGTGCTAACCCCCATTTGGTATTTAAGTTTGTTCTTTGTTAATAAGTTAGAATTTTTTTCTAGATTTTAGTAGGATCTAATGATTTTAAAAACGATGTGTTTGATTCGAACCATGAGGTGAGCATAATCTGAAACTTGCCGATTTCGTATTCAATGATAGTTTCTCTCTCCAGTTGGTTCCAAATGGGTATGACTCTATGATTTAGGAAGCGTTGTTTGATCAATTCATTCATTGGTTGAACAAGTCTCATTACATTTCCTCTGAGTTGATTATTTCTACTCGAATTCATCATTAACTTAACAGGCGACTCACTCCAAAAAAATCCATGAATGTATTTATGAACGCAACAAACGTCTTTAAAAAGTCTTCTAGTCCATAACGTCGATAGTTTCAGTTTGGCTAATCTACTGCGATAATCCAATTTCGGATATAATCTTTTGGTAAATTTTCTCTGAACTGATTCTAGTTGATTTATATCATTCAAATTTAGCGGGCACATTAGTTCGGATCCGTACTCAATGATAGGCAAGATTTTGGCTTTATAGCATTTTAGAAAGTTATTTTGAGAGAAATGAAAACAGCGAAATAAATTATTTATTATTTTCATACATTTTTGTACTACTATACTCACATGGTGCCCCATTTTCAGATTACTCGTGAAGAAGAATCCCAGGTCTCTGACATTTTGTATAGTGCTAAGAGTTTGATCGTTAATTTTGTATGTACTGGGTTCTGTCTTTTCTCCAAACTGAACTAACATGCACTTCTCAGGAGATATTGATAGTTGACGGCCCTCTAACCATTGGTATACATTTTTTGAGTCTTCTTGAAGTTTGGCTTTATGGTTTGTTACATTACTAGATAAATACAGTTTACAATCATGTTTTTCATCAAATCGAAAAATAATTGTGATTTCCGGGTTCAGCGTAGTCGATTTAGTCTGGAAACATGTAAAAAATTTAATTAGAGTGGATGAAAACGCGAGAGAGTAAGTTGGAAGCCGAGGCTGGCGCCAGGCTCCAAGTACTGCGGCAGGCTGGCGCGCGCCATCCTCGGCTTCCAACTGACTCTCTCGCGTTTAGGAAGCTTCTCCATGTGAGAATCCGGTTGACACAAACTAAATCGACCACGCTGAATCTGAAAACAACAACAGTTTTTGTGTGGGACCTCTGCGAACTGAGATATCTCATTAAATGCACTATAAATAAAAAGTTTTTCAAATCGAGAAATCATTGTTTTTTTCCATAATTAATGTCACTTTTCAATTAATTTTTTTTATTTTTCACGGGCAGGGGGAAGGGGGGCGGGGAATTGACTGACGCCAGGCTCACTCATTCCATGTATGTCTGCGTCACATTCCCCTCACGAAAATTTTGTTTTGACCTCGTTAATCGAAATTTCTCATAAGATTCTTCAGGATTTTTTCCGTTCCTCGGAAGAAGATGGCCAGACGAACGGAAAATCGCCACGGCCGCCCGTCGAATTAAAACGTTCGCTTTCTCGTCCTCACTAGGCTAGTTAGGCCGTCCAATCATTCAATCTGTTACGGTGAAGAGTTTCTCGTGTTTTGACATTGTCATTTTTGAATAAGAGTTTTTTTTTCGTAGTAATTTAGACTCCATCAAATTGTGACCTCTAAATTAATTTTCATAAGATTTTGAGCTTAAATTTGAAGCAAAATTTCAGATTTTTTTTTTGTTTTTCAACAAATTTCGCATCATTCTCGATTTAAGCACCCCGCTCTATAAGCATAAACGTGTGTGGATCTTCATATTGAATATCATTTATTCATAACAATAAAAATTATTAAAAAAGGTAGTTATTGTGCTCAGTTTGAAATAGTTAGAGTATCAATATCACATCAATTGGGTACCATCGATTTGGAGATCAGGGATTAAACCAGGTAATCAGTCAATCATTATCTCATCGCCTCGCGTCATTGGGTTCTCTTTGAGGTCGATCCGCTGCTTCATCGCGAACTGAAAACAAAACCTCAATATTCTTATCAACCTCGATTGATTTTTCGTTTGGCTCTTACATGGGAGGTCATTTTAGCGTAGGGTTCAGAATTTTTTATAAATTTGCTCAAACAATCTTCGATGGACTGGGAATCGATCCCCCATAGTCGCTACCTGCACAAACTTTTTGTTTTGGAGATATGATTTTTCAAAGTTTTTATCCTTAACCATGTGACGCCGTTTGGAAGGAATGTGGCCGCGCCACCAACCACTGCATGGCAGCTAGGAGCGTAGTGCAGTGGCTAGCGTGTAAGCCTGCGGAGCCTGTGATGAAGGTTCGAATCCTTTTTCCGCTAACTTTTTTTTGCCATTTTTTTTAAAAGAATTCTGATATGAATATTAAAAATTTCATGAGTAAAACCTTTCCAAATAAGTTCGATAGCTAATTTCTTTCTAAAAATCGCCTTTTTTTGATGGACAAAAAAATTATGAAAAAAATTTCTAAAGTTGTGGCGATTTTTTTGAAAGAAAAATAGCTATCGAACTTATTTGGGAAGGTTTTACTCATGAAATTTTCATATTCTCACCAAAACTCTTTAAAAAAAATGGCAAAAAAAAGTTAGCGGAAAAAGGATTCGAACCTTCATCACAGGCTCCGCAGGCTTACACGCTAGCCACTGCACTACGCTCCTAGCTGCCATGCAGTGGTTGGTGGCGCGGCCACATTCCTTCCAAACGGCGTCACATGGTTAAGGATAAAAACTTTGAAAAATCATATCTCCAAAACAAAAAGTTTGTGCAGGTAGCGACTATGGGGGATCGATTCCCAGTCCATCAAAGATTGTTTGAGCAAATTTATAAAAAATTCTGAACCCTACGCAAAAATGACCTCCCATGTTAGGAAAAAAAAAACTTGTTTACTTGGAACTGGCAGTTTCCTTTACTGATGAGACGGACAAATTTGTTCTGATCGATGCTCACAACTTGTTTGATCTGGAAATTGAAAAAAATCAGTTCACAACTTATCCAATACTACAATTTTCTGTAGTTCTTCTCCGAGAAAAATTTAACGTTTTTTTAAATAAAAAAACGGACTTCTTTTTGCAATGCGGACTATCCAGCTGTGAACGGAAAACTTCAACGATACCAACACGAATCGGCAAAACCAAGGCGTTGTCTTTACGTCTGAAAACATCTTTTGAAGTTATAATTTTACAATTTGTTAGATGAACTTTCAGAAAAAAATTTTCAGTTTTTAAATTTTTCTCTTGGCAGTCGCATCCAAAGAGGTTTCTATAGGACTGGCGATTTGCGACAAGTTGTCCGAGGCGCAGATTCGACAAACAAAACAACGGTTGGTTGCCAAAATGGCTCGCATTGTCAAGGGCGAGGCAGCCTTGACGGACTCTGACTGAAACACCGACAAAAAAACTCCATTGTGAACGCAACTCCACTTCCTATTCCCCCCGCCCTTTATCGAAGTCAAAATCGGATAACTCGCGAAGCAACCGACTAATGTTCCGGAAAAGTTTGAATTTGGATCCAATTCCTTATTCATTCATTTCTCGGTATACAAAAAAATAAACGATACAGATCGGCAAGCTTACCTGTAACATATATATTCAAATTTTGTGAAGAGCAAAATCATCGATATTGCAGAAAAAAAAATGGTGGAAAGGTACAACTTCATGTTGGGAAAGGTTACTTTTTTGCATCATGAATAGAAGAGGTTTCCTATCAGCTCAAACAAAGCTTACTAAGAGAGGAATTGAATAAGTACCTTCTGATAGAAACAACGACGTTGCCGCTCAGCCGCGACACAACCGAGTAGGAACCTCGATAGTTCATCTCTTCTATTATTATGGAAGCTTCTGTCATATACCGTGGAGGGACCTGGAAAAATTCAGAATGAAAAATGACTTATTTCAAATCAACTACTTGCACGTTGCTGTCGACGCCCCACGTTAAAACTTCCGTTTTGCAGTTTTCGCTGAGGTTGTTAAAGTGCATTTCGTGCTTGAACCCAGCCTTCATTTCAGCCACCTCGCCTGAAAAATAACCGTTCCAAACTGACCATTTCTTTTTCTTCTACTTTATCCATTCTCAATCTCGACATTTTTAATAATAACTCTAAATCGTTGCAGTTCTTCGCTCCGTTCCCACTCGAGATAAATAAAGAACGAAATGAAGTGCACGCATGGGAAATCCCAGAGCCTATTGGTCGATTAAAGCAGCTTTTGAGGCTTCACAAATTGCGAATCGGACAACCTCTGTGCGAGATGGAACAAAAGGAGTGTGGACAAACATTACCCACGGCTTCTTTTCGATTGTCAAAAACATAGTTGTACCAAGATTTTTGTTTAAAAAAGAAGATGCAAATATTAGGAATTTTAATTTAATGTACGTCTTCATTATGTAATTCAAAACTTTCGAGTCAAATCGAAAAAACATTCAACTCACAAGGTGTTTTGAGCGTGAGTTCTGCCTCGGTCCCAATCATGAAGCCTTGTTCTCGTGCAACTGAGACCAGGGACTCTGTGGTCCTTTCCGTCTTGAAGGAGTACTCTTGTGGCCTTAAGATGAGTTTTTGGTCATTTTTCCAATTATAAGCTTGGGTGGCCACAAAAGTTATGAAACAAAAAAAAAAAGTTAACCTATTGGTACTGTTTGTGTAGACGGACTTGAAGAGAGTATAAGGCTTGGCGCCTGCGGGAGCGAAATTGGAGTACTGCGGGTCCTCATTCAGCACTACGAGGTGTTTCCTATTCTGAAACAGTATGAACCCTTTGACGAGAAGAACGAGAGGAAAGAAAAAAACTACAAAAAAGAGGCAATTTCTAATATAAACTTTAATAGCCAAACTTAATTTTTCTCTCAATTCCTATTATTTTTTCTTCTGAATTATGATGATTCATTTTTCAAATATCGTAATCTCTACTAAAATCATTCGGGTGATCAAAGGTGCAAAAAATAAGAAAGAGAGGAAATACTGAGAGTGACGTCATTTGCGCGAAACAGTGACAGCACGAATGACTCACTCTGAAATTACAGTAACCCCTCGTTTCCGTTAAGTGGTGTGAGAGAAAGCGCATGAGCTCGACGAGCATTATCGTTGGCACCTAAGCGACTCCCTCGGGAACCCCGTCGCCCGCGGAAAGAACGGAAAGGACTCACGAAGCCAATAATAGTAGTTATTAGAACAATTTAAAACTTGAGAAGATAGATGTTTCTGAGGAGGCGATTTTCGGATTGCGTACCTATGAAATAATCAAATCAGAAGAGCTCATTGTTGAATGATTAGCTGAATTATCCAACTTGTCTTTTTCGGCGAAGAAAGTATGGCGATTTCAGAGATGTTCCTTTTTTATTCTTTCTCTTTTTACACAGAAGTTGACTTCCACTGCCGTTCTCAGCCCAGCCGAAGGAATGGCAGGCAACCTTCGACTGAGGGATCATCTGCGGATTCGAGGTCTCTCATTAAGACGAAACCCCACTGTGCGCGAAATTCTTTCTTCCCTCGCAACACAACTCGGAGAGAAGGCCGATGCCGCATCAGATAACCACGCATCCCTGTTTGTTTTTTCTTTCAAGGTCACGTTCCGGAATGTCTTTCTGTGTGAGAACTCATGTTTCGTGTGTAGATGTCGACTTGAACATTGCTTCCTCCAAAGGTGCTGGCCGTTTACTTCAATTTATCACAGATATGTGCATTCCATGGATTCATATAACTGGATGCAGCGCCGAAGGCTCGGTAATTCGATATTCACGGGAGCCGAGTGTGGAAAGCGACCTCCGTGTGATATTAAACCCCAATTTCCAACCCTTTTCGGGCCTACTTCAAAAATAACTTGCATGGTTATCCCTTCAAAGAACGGAAAAAAAAATGTCCATTAGTGGTATACAATACTGAATTTTTCTATCAAGTTTTTATCGTACATTCTCTCGCTTTCGAACACGAAAATTGTGCGTAGGTTTGAGTGGAAGTTTGGGTCAATATGATAAGAGAAGAGATAAGAAGGAGAAGCCTCGTTAACGCCGATTCTTGAGAGTCCTCGGTCTTGGACTCGCGTTTGACTATTTGTTGTGTGGAGTCTTTGACGGCTAGTCGGCCCATTATAGCTCTATTCACACACAATTTCTCCAATAGCCTTTAAAGCGTTCCGTTTCTACTTGACTCCCTCAAAAACATTCCGAGACGTCCTCCCAATCGAGAAAGGTTGGTCTGATTGCGGCCAATGAAACATGTCTCACTCTTTTGTACTAGTACTAGTACAAAAGAGAAAACGTACACGTTCTGAACCAGAGAAAGAAAAAAAGGGTTTGAAACAACGGCAGGGCTCACAACAATAGTTGCAGTTTATGCTAATTCGATGACTAAAATCATTGATTCAATTTCATAAAGGTGAAGAAAGATTGAAGAAAGATTGAAACGAAATTGGAAAGAAAAACGTACGATGACGAACTCGCAGTCGTCCTTGTCAAGAGTCTTGAAGTCGTCGAGGCGGGTCTTCCGCAAAGACTGAAGGTCTTTGAACTGATGCCACGCATAGTCTTCCAGCACCTGGTCCACATCCACGTGGTTCATTCCTCTACAAAACGAACTTTTTAGCTAAGCAGCTTAAAAACACGGAGGTAAACGTTTATCTTCTGTATAAAAAAAATTTAAAATTGTGAGAGAGATATAAACGATTGGATGTTAACTTTCAAATAAAATTTCCCTCAAAAAAGGTCGGAGGAATATTTTTGCAACGAAATTCTTGAGATTTATTGCTACTCTTGACAAAAAATGTTATCGTTCACTTTTTACACGGCAAAGGAAGGAATTTCTGTTGAAAGAATAGTTTATTATGAACAAAATGACGTCACAAAAATTTTTGAGAAGTCCTATTCCAACATTTGTCGACCTTCTTTCTATTAAAATCATCCATGGGTAAAAAGGAATAGAAAGAAACATTTCAAAAGTTATTTATCAGTCATAATTACGCAATTCATAAGCAAAAAATTCTCCAAAAAGTTGAAAAAATGTTCAGATGAAGTTTTTCTTTTTTCCAAATGGTAATGATGAGAAAAAAAAGTTATTGATTAAAAGGGAAAAATGAAAATTTCAATGATGAAGGGACGCGGCGTAAGCCAGTCTTAGTGAAGCTTACACTTCTTATTTCCCATCCGTTTCGTTCCTCATTATCGATTTTTCAAATTTATGTCCTCCATATGATTCTTCTCCAATAAAAGTTCGTGATAATAGTTTCAAACATGAAAAAAAAATTATAGAAAGAGAAAAAATTTAAAAAAAAGGAAAACTTGAAAACTTGAAAACTGAATATCATGAAGCTTAACTTTGTGATTTTTAAGGACAACTTCTTTAAAATAGAAGATGAGAAAAAAAACGTTGCTATCATTAAAAAGGAAAAGAGGTGAAAGCGATCGGTTGCTAAGACGAAAAGTGTAGAGGCGTTAATAATTTGAAATAGACGAGTCGGAGAATAAAAAACATCTTGAAAACGCTGTTTTCAATATTGTTTCAAATCTTAGAAGAGCGATTTTCAAATATTAATAAATCACTGCGAATACAAAAGACCCGAAAGAAAAGTGAGAAAAAAAGTTAACAGGATTGAAATGAATCGAATTGAGCGGCGCCGAAAATCGATCGCCTTTGGCAAAAATGTCTCAAAAAGTGGAAAAGCCTCCATTTTATTTATCTCGAAACAGGTAAACAACTCGGCACCGTAACCCAAAGAATCGATAACGTCAAAAGAGACGTGAGTCAGGCGATTTGAGTAGCGGAGGGCGGGGCCTCAGACCGCACAGATGGGTGGAGACTTCTTTTGTTCTGCTCTTCTTGGAGCTCCGTTTCGCAACTTTGGATTTTTAAATAAGCTTGTTTTCCCGAGTTTTACTAAGTCTGATTATTTCAGCTGAGAGAGCGCATCATGATCTATTTTACCAGACGGAAATCAGCTTAAAATACAAACATACCATAAGAACTACTTGGATATGACGAAAATCCATTGAGATTTTAGTTTTGATTCAGCTGTCTTTTTTCAGTGTTTATACGGTCACTCTACTTTTTCATTACGCAATATTGTTTTGAAAACATTTCTTCTTTCTCATTTCTTGGATATTATATTAAAACAAAGTTACAGCTTTTCTATATTTTCAAAAAATGTTTCCTTATTACTTTAATTGTCATGTGAGCACAGTGAAGACTTTCAAAGATTGTAAAGACTTTAAAATAAGGATAGATCGAAGAAAAACCTTTTTGGAAAAACATAGCGAGCCGAAAAGTGAGAACTAAACGGCTGCGTCGAGGATAATTTTTCTTTCTCCATAATTGCCCAATCGATCTCTGCATGGAACCTGAACATACTCAAAAGCACTTTTATTCCATTTTTTCTCTTCTCTCGAGTCTAATCCGAAAAAAACATATTTCATATAAAAAAAGTGAAAGTCGAAAAATTTTTCTCATAGATAGTGATTATGAACACGAATAAACGAATAAAATGCTCGCCGATTTCAGTTTTCTAATTTCTGAAAAAAAAAGTTCTAAAAATTACGTTTCGGATAAACTGAACACGACTTTTTGATGCGAGGTCAATCAGATCATTTTTCGGTAGAAGAGCGCTCTCAACGAAAGTAAACCTCAACAAAAACTATCTGAAAAGAGAAAATTACAGCTCTTCAGAAAGAGTTTCACGCAAAAAAAGTTTGGAATTTTTCATTTGATGACATTAAAAAAGAATGACATCCTTTCCTGAAAAACTAAAAATTTTATTATCATTTTTTTGTAATTCGGTGCAGAAATTACTGAGGCCCGAGTAAAGACATAATAATGTTTTAGAAATAACCTCAATACGCGTATTTGATTCGATGAGATTGAAAAAAAACACGATCAACTTCACAAAGATTAACGGGTTTAAATTAAAATTAGAAGAAGTTATCACAGATATAGTACATGAAAAAAACTTGAAGTTGAAAGTTAAAGTGTTTGAGTTGACATTATTCAATACTCTAGACACTTTTTGAGTATCGTAAAAAAAAAAAGATGACCAGCGAGTTTCACTCTGATTTCTTGAGATGAACTAGGTCGGTGCTCTGCCGCGGCACCCATCCTTTGACGTGAGGATCTGTCTCGACGAATCCATAGAGCCATTCTTTGCTTCCCCGAGTGCACACGAGCCGATCGCCGGTCTTCATCTGCACTTTCTATTAGAAGGAAGAAGTTGACAGAAGACACACCGGCAAGGTGGATCCGTCGATCAAGGGCTGTCGTAAGAAAACACGCCAGCCGTAGACGCGAGAAGCGCAGAACCCGCCTGGGAAGTCTTTCAGAACGGAGACGACCCGCGAGTGTTCCTGTTTCCAGCGCTTCAGTCGCAACTGCTCCTCCTGAAGTCTCCCGATAGACGGAGCACCCGATTTCGACTTGCCGTGAACGTAAATTGGTCGCTTCCTTCTCTCACTGGCCACCACGTTCCGTTGCCTTTCGTCCTGAAGTCATAGAGATGAAAACGGGCCGATTCTCACGGCCCAAAACCTTGATCTCAAGTAGTCTAAATTGGATCCAAAAAGTACATCTACGTTAAAAAGTTGATTTTAACACTAAAAAGGTCTAGAATTGCTGAAAATTTTGGAAAACCCACACCTCCTTTTGAACTACGTTATTTTCCTACGTACGGCTGTACGCAGGAAATAGTCATGAACTCAAAAGTACTATTCGACTAGAAAATGAAAAGTTCGAAACTTAAAATTTACGCGTGAACCTTCTGAGCTAAAGGGGCTGGCTATGAGACGAAATCGTTATTTTTCTCCTAAGATCTTTTATTTTTTACTAGTCTCATGGCTATAATCTCAATAAATGGAATGCTTATAGGTAGGAAGATTATTGACAGACTCGCTAGTCGACCTGGGAAAAATTTTCTCCTAAATCATGAACTTTTGAAATGCATCGTTAATTTGGAATACTATTAATAATTAGAAAAAAAACTCCTCAGGGTTGGAATCTAGATTTGGAAACGACGTGCATGACAAAAAAAAAATGCAAAAAAAGTATCTAAACCAGCCACACCCATGTTCTGAAAGAAATTTTTCTGAGGTTTTCTAGTTTTAGACATTTGCATGTCCGTGATGAACGGAAGAGATTTGCGAAATGGATGGAAATTTCTGGAGAGTACAGTTTTTTCATCGTAAAAAGTTGATGATGGTTAACCAAGGAGTGTTTGGAAGATAAAAATCAAAAAATGTATTTTAATTAAGCTCTCATCGTTCAGAATCAACCGAAAATAGCAGTTCCTTCGGTAAAGCTGATTTCGGACTTTTTGTAACTAATGGTGCCCTCTATAGAAAAAAACTTTTCGATATGTAACTTCCAAATGCACATAACATCACTATTATCAACATTTCGAAAAAAAAACTTTCTCTTTCAAAAATTTTGATTCAACTGCAGTTCCGCAAATATCTTCCGTGCAACCCTGGTGCATGTATGATGAAAATACAAAAAAAAATTGAGGTTTCTAACTCACTCTCCTCTGAATGAGCCGAGCACCTCGAGAAAGTTGCGCTTGAAGCCAAGATCGTAAGGATAAACCCAATGTTCATCATCGTCGCGACTGCTATGCGCTTTCAGATCTAAGAAAGGTTCAAAGACCAAATTGTCTTGTTTCCAACTCACCAATGTACTCTTCGATGCTATTTTTGTTTTTCAGAATGTATTTCAGTTGAAAATAAAGGAGAATGGTGAGAGCAATTGCAACGCCTGCAGAAAAGGCCAATGCGGCGACAAGCGCGAAAAACCCGAAAAGGTCCATGTAAATGAGCGGCTCCGTTCCGTCCCCGTACATAATATAGTAGTTCTGACGAAGGATTGGAACAAATCATCCAATTAGAAGGGAAACACTACCACGTTGAAAGCGTAGTATACGGTGAAAAAAAGGATGGTGAAGGCGTGAACACATCCGAAAATGGCACCGCCGAGAAACCGAACAAAATAGGCGTGGTTCCGATGGCCCACACAATTGTTTATCCAGGCTGTAATAGAGAAACTGTTCTACTTGTAGTATTAATTACCCTCCTTTAATCCTAACTTTTTGGAAAAATGTATTAAGGATTAAAAAAGATAAGAAGTCACCTTGTAATGTCTGAACAAGGGAAATCCCCTGCAGTATGACAAACCTTCGATCAAAACCATTCTTCAAATCCTTTCCTTCTGCTTGGAAAAAAAAACTTTCTTCCATTACGTTTCGAAAATATTTACATTTTTCGGTTACTGGTATCAGAAAAAAAAAGTGGAAGACCATAAGGGACCTAAAAACAATACCTTCGCTATCAACTTTGGATGTGGTCAATACTCTTCATTGAGAAATCTCGAAACCAGAAAGCACTTAAATTCGAAAATTTCGAGCCCCTGTTTCCATTAACTCGCTGACGCGGCAAATTTGATGCGTATGTAGAATGGATTAAACTGACGACAGTGGTGATCCATCTTCATGCAGCAGCGGCGACATTTCGAACAGTGGTGAGACCGAGGCGCCTTGTATCCTCCACACGGCTCGCAGAACTGCAGACGGCCCTCGGCTTCCTTCTGCAAGTCTCTGTGTTGAACTACCGCGAAGAGAGCCTTGACTCTTTAATGAGCTAATGCGATTGAGGCAAAAAAGCCACCTGTGATAGAAAACGAAAATTTGGGAATTACTGATGATTCAGAAAACTTGTGGTAAGAAAAACATTTTCCTCATGAACACTGGATCTAGTCTAGCGCTAGATTAAAAGGTAGTGGGCACTTCATTTTCGATTTCAAATCGCGTCATAGTGAAAGTTAAACTTTTTAGAAGAAAAAAAAACAATGAAGAAGGGTTACCCAGAGAAAAGTTTTCTTTAATTGTATTTATCTCTATTATTTCCAAATTAAAAAAATTGAATTGATTTGAAGGTGGTTTAAGCCTGTAGAAAGCTTTTTTTTAAACAGAAAATTGAACTTTCCGCCCAAAACAAAATCGTTAGCGTATCAAAACTTGTGAATATCCTTTCCATTACTTTTTCAACAAGAACTTGTATATTTAGCCATTAAATTTGAAACTTTGCACAAAGTCTTCAAGACCCATTTCTATTCCACAAACTTTGCTTCGGAAAATTGAAAAGGCAACTATTTTCCGACAAATTGAACTGATTGACTAATGGAAGCCGAACCGATTGGGGACGCCATCCGCGCGGGACGTATCCGGGACCTACAATAGAGGCCCGCACAAAATTGTTCAGAGTGAAGTAATTGAAGAAGAAAAAAGTGGCGAGATTGCAGAATCCGAATAATTCTGTCAGCGACATCCACTGTATAGCAAAATACAACGTCGTTGCACCAATCTGAAAACTTTCTTCTTCAATTTGCTACATTTTAAAAGCTGTTCTACGTTTAAAAACTGCAGAAATTGAGACGCATTTACAAAGAGGTTCGGATTTAAATAACCAGTGAAAAGAGATTTTCGCTGCGACAACTTTCCCCCTTTCGCACTATGCTGTTTCATAAAGTTTTAAAATCTGTTGAAGAATCTGTCGTGAAATTCCTTTTTTGTGCTCGAAACTTCTTCAAAATAAAAAACGCACAAAGGAGATAAGAACGAGGGCGATGAGAGTTCCCCAGAAGAATATTCTTCTGAACATTCGTTTCTCTCCGATCTCCATCGGAGGCGCCGGCCAGTTCGGCGGTTCGACGACGCGAATCGTCTTTCCTGAACCACTTCATTCCCTTCCGTTCTCCATTCTGTATAAATCCTTACCACAATCCGCCGTAATTTCAGCTTCACTATTTTCCTGATCATCTTTTGCTTTCCCCATTGAATCTTCGTAAAGCTTCTGTTTAGTTTACATTTATTCTACACGATATTGTAGCGAAGGAACAAATCGAACTGCGAAACTCGAACAAAAAATAAAAACGTTTTCTCGGTGACATATTTATTATCCTGGGAACAAAACGATAAAAAAGAACAGGTGATGGAAAATAAATTAATCTTGTAGGGTTATCAAAATGAACGTAACGAATTCATGAAAGTTCAAAAACGGGAGAAAACAACAAATAGTACACAAGATGAGGTGGGATCAGTGAGATTTTTTTTAAGCCTTGCGCTTTGACATGTAGGCTTCGAGTTCTGCGTCGAGCTCTGCTTCGCTTTTTTTCGACTTTCTGAAGGGATTGTGTCAAAAGTCTCATCGAAAAAGTGAAAAATATACTTTTCGTTGAACTTCTTGCCGCCTGCCTTCCGAGATCCAATAATGCCTTCGTGAACGCCACTACGAAGAAAATCTTCGCCTGAAAATATGAAACAAATAAAAATCGTAATATATTAAGTTACCTCTTTAAAAATGGAAAAAAGAAAAACTTTTGTTTCAAAACATTTCTTTCTTTCAAAATTATACTTTCTTACGAAACTTATGAGATAATCTGCGAAAATTCATGGAAAAAAGGAGAAAAAAACACGGGGAAAAAAATGCATTTTTTTTGTTTTTATCAACTTGTTTACACCTTTTTTTATTATTCTTAAAATACAAGTAAAAAAATCAGCGATTTTTTTAGATGTCTGAATTCATTAATATGTTTCTCACATTTTTGAATTATCACACAGAGAGAAAGAATCCAACCAAAATGAACAGTTTCTTACTTCGTTTCAAACCGTCTCCACGGCCTCGTGAAGGTCTTTTGAAACGAGATGGTTGAAGAAGACGTTTTGCCCCGAAATCCAAACGAGAGGCAATTCCTTGACTTTCATCCACCAAAGCGAATTTGAGTACCTTTATCAAAATGGAAAATGCATGACTGCAAAGAAAAACTCACATGTTGATCAAGAGCCACGCCGGAGAACTGCTTGATCAATTTCTCGGCGTCTCTCTTTTTGAGCACAATGTCTCCAGTACCGAGAGATTCTCCTAAATTTATTTACTATTCAAAAATCAGAACCACCCAGAAAAACCTTGTAGAACAAATTTTATATCTTTTATGTGAATAAATTCAAAAGTTAAAGTAATTCTTCATTTGAAAACTGTGATACAGATTTTCAATTTCGAAGTTTTTCACGCTGACCTCTCTAGTAATTAGAAACTTTCAGTGTTCTTATGAAAGTAAGACAGTTTTTTCTCAGACAGGGAAAGAGAAAAAAATAAGATTTAAGTTCCAAAAGTCAATAAATATAAACAAACCGTGTGAAATCACTCTGTGCTAAATTTTTTTTAATTCAGAAGGAACAAAAACGAACCGTGTTCGTTGTAGTTGACGACGGCAGTATCCAGTCCGTAATCGCCGAAAAGCTCTTCCAGATCATTGGAAACCACGCTGGGGGCCAAATTTGAGATGTTTACACGAACAGTCTTATTACCACCTTAATTTTACGATTAAGAAGCGAAAAGAAATCACTGAAACCTCCAAGTCTGGGCAACTGTTCCGGGGCATCATGGTCAACATATCCTCCACGGTCCCCACCTTTGCGCAAACCTCCGCGCCAGTGAGAGTTAAAGTCGCGGCCCCGTGAGCTGCTGAAGCCACCACTGCGTTTACCTGGAAGAAAAATGAATTGTTCCCTAACCAAAAAAAAAAAGAAATAGAAGTTATTTATTATAGATTCACCAATGCTTGACTTAGTCTTTCTAGTCCTTGTGATTAAATCATCGAGTGGAACGTCGACATTGGCGAACTTGGTCATTGCGGCTTCTATAAAAACCGGAGAGTTTGAAAAATGTGAGAATACAAACTTTAAACAAAAAGAAAAGATCCGTGAAAAAGTAACAATAAAAAAACAAAACATTTTCGTACGAAGTTTTTCGAGATGATTGAATATATTTTTTTAAAAAACTGCCGTTCAGAGCGTTTACAAAAAAACGATAGAAGTATCAATTTAAAAAAATATAATAAAAATCATGAATAAATATGAATAAAAAAATAGAAGTAGAAACGTAATTAACTTTTTTTGAGGCGTTTCCAAAGAACTATCAGCTATACGACCTAAACTTGAAATATCAACAATTTACGCATTTATATTAGGTACGTTCCGAGAAAAAAAAAACGAGTGTGGCGAATCGAAACTTTATTTTAATAATTTTTTTTACTTGAGAAATCTCAATATCATTGATCGGAAGTATAACAAAAAATTAAGAGCGAAGGCAGTGGCAAGATGGAATAGCAGTACATTTGACTGGATTTACTGTTGCTTATAAGCTTAATAGATGACTCGCAAAATTCCGTTTGCTACATAGTTATATGGAAAATCAAATTAACGATTATAAAACCTGGTGACGCGAAAAAAAGAGCGAAAAGTGGCGAAAATTTTGAAAGCACGCCGCGGCGCGATCGCGGTGGGTCAAACAATCTTTTTCTCATTAGGGCGCAAATACTGACATCGTTTTAAAAAAATTCCGTTCAAAATTTGCCGCCTCAAACTTGGTTTATTTATATAGGCAGTTATAGAAACTTCTTTTTTTTTTCTCGCTGTTGTCAACGATTAATATCATTCATATTCTATCGAATATATCATCGGTTGCTAATTTTATATGATTAAAAAGGATCTGTAACCAGCTATCTTAGTTGCAGACTACAAAAATGGCAGTAAGTTACGTGGTGTCTGCGAAGAAGTCAACATGCATTGTGCAGGGAGCAGTTGGAAACTTCACAGGTGAAAATGGATGAAAAAAATAAGCTAGAACTTCAAATTGCTTTAGACGGAGAAGACCTGAACCTTATAATGGGTCTTGTGAACAGGCTCGATATTTATTTAGTTACAAATGAAGGTCTTCGCATAATCGCAGAAGTCCCGATTTTTGGGAAAATTGTTTGCATGAAAATTTTCCGGCCAAAAGGAGAGGTCAGTTCGCCCGAAGGACGAGAGGAAATTCGGTTTCGACCTTTTTTTCAAATTTTTTTTTTTCAGAAATCGGATAGCATTGTGATTTTAACTGAAAAACACCACGTGGCTATAATTGGCTGGGACGCTGAGAAGAAGTGTGTGGTTACGAGAGCTGCAGGCAACGTGGCGGACAGGGTCGGCCGAGTGAGCGACCACGGCACAGTCCTCACCATCCATTCTTCCGGAGTAATATTGCAGTTTTTTGCTTTGGTAATAAGATTTCAGCTGATTGGAATTCGTATCTACGATGGCACTTTCAAAATCATACAGTGGTTGGTCGGCAGCACCGATCTCAAGTGCTACAACGTTCGTTTTGAAGATTTGCACGCTGTTGACATCGCATTTCTTGATTCTGCTGGTTTGCTTTGATTATTCCAGGGTTGTTCCAGTCTCTTTTTTTCGTTTCAGTCGACATTTTTCACATTTCCTACATCGTAAACGACGCTAATGGGAGACACTTGAAAATCGTCGAGTTGAATATGATTGATAAGGAGTTGAAGCCATTTTCTAAACAGGTGATTTTTTTCTTCTTTTATTTATCGAAGTTTATTTTTCAGGAGAACATTGAGAATGAGGCATCAACTTTGATTCCGGTGCCGTCACCTTGCGGAGGAGTTATAGTCATTGGCCAAGAATCTATTTTGTACAAAGCGTGAGTCTTCGCAACAGAAAGTAGCTGATTTTTGGCTTCAGAGACGACAAGACGAACCCGGCCGTCGTGCCAATGTCTTCGCCGCTGCTCAACCAGACTACCTTCACCTGTTTCTGTCAACTCGACAAGAGCGGAGAGAGGTTTTTTTTCGTTTTCGGTTGAATTTTGTTCTTCTTTTCTAGATTTCTTCTGGCCGACGACCATGGCCGTTTGTTGATGCTTTTACTGGAAATCGTGGAAAAGATGGACGGAGGAGCTTCCGTCTGCGGGATGAGAGTATGTATTTATTTTTATCGCCGATAATATTAAATACTTCGTGTCTTTTCTCATGAAGTTAGACATTGATCAGATCAATCATTTGGTATTCACCAGCGTCTTTTTCCTTGAAAGAGCTCACCTAAGCAAGTCAAGCGCAAGTGAGAAAGTGAAAAACATCAGGAGATATTACTGAATTTAATTTATGAAAACTCGATAGGAGGGTTCGGCCGCCTAAAAAAAGATCTGCCCCATGTATGGGAAAGATTTATTTCTTTTAATACGTTTTCGTTTTCAGCTGGAGTTCCTGGGCGAAACTTCGATAGCAGAGTGCATAACATACCTGGATAACGGAGTCGTTTTCATAGGCTCCCGAATGGGCGACTCTCAGCTCATCCGTCTCGAGACAACTCCAATCTCTTCCGACGGCACTTTCGTTAAGGTTTCATTTCAACTTTTTTATTTTCTATCAGGAAAAAACCTTGAAAGGTTAATCTCAGATTCTGGAGACTTTTCCGAACATTGGGCCTATCAGGGACATGGTTTCCGTGGACTGCGACGGCCAAGCTCAGCTGGTCACCTGTTCTGGTGCTTTCAAAGTCCGTTCGCGATGGATTCTAATGCATTTTCTGGAAACCCAAAATTTTCAGGAAGGATCGCTGAGAGTCATTCGAAACGGAATCGGGATCCAAGAAAAGGCCGATGTCGATCTTCCCGACGTCGTGGTTTGCTCAGAGACAGGGAATTTTCTGAAAACACTTTTTCAGGGGATGTACCCCCTTCGATTCAACTCGGCCTTCGACAATCATTTGCTTGTTTCGAACAAAACGGAAAGTCATCTCTTGAGATTGGACGGCGAAGAAATCGAAGACGTCGATCTGCCCGGTCCTCTTTTCTTTCAAATCCTCAATCTCTTCGGTTTTCCAGGCTTTGACTTCAAGAAAAGGACGGTTCATGGCGGAGGGCTCTTCAGCCCGGAAGCTGCCGTTTTGCTCCAAGTTTTTTGGGTTTTCTGTTTTGTTTTAACATAAGAGGTTCAGGTCACTCAAAGTGAGGTTCTTCTGATGCGTCAAGGGAGCGAAACGAAGAAATGGACGGCTCCTGGCGACTCGCCTTACATCAGCAAAGCGGTCGCAAATAATCGTTTTGGACAGGTAATCCGACTTTCTTTTCGGATTACAATTAAAAGTTCTTTTGTAGTTCTTTGATTTCTGTTTGAATACAATTTCATCTTTTTTGTCTTTGAAATGTTAATAACTTTGGAGATTGAGACTCCATCCCTATTGGAATGGTAGATGTGAAGTAACGATGAGTTGATTGGTATCAATTTTTTTATTATTTTTTTCCGGTGAGCTTTTCTCAGGGAAGATTCACTTTCACTTCATCTTTCGAACTTGAACATGCGGTAGTTAGTTACTGAACCGTCGATACTGAAGATTCTTGATGTCTAAGAAAGAAAAAAACTCGTCCTCGTTGACAAATCCAATTGAATTTTTCCAGGTGGTCGTCTGCGACCGAGCCTCTCTTTATTACTTGAAATGCTCCTACGAAGAGGCGAGTGGAGAATTGTCCATCGACCTCATCAAACAGATAAACATGCCCAACGAAATCGCTTGTATCGATATCAGCAACAGAAGTAGGGTTTCAATGGAATTTCTTCTGGAATCGTTTTAGTTAAGAAGACGACTCGAATTCGGAAGCCGAGTTCATTTTTGTTGGTCTCTGGATTTCGATCTCTGTCGTTGGACTTTCATTGCCCGACCTCAGTCAGGTGAGATCAGACAGCCCACTTAATCTACTACCTCCCTCGGAAAAGGGCTGAATTTGTTCGAGTTCTTCTCCATCTACTCTCCCTATTGAGGTGCAAAGAAAACTATGAGCTTTAAAATGTGTTTCGAAAAAGTTTCCATCGACGCTGAGATATTTTCAGTTCATGGAGGTGGACCTTCCTTCGAAGATTCTGCCTCGGTCTCTAATAGCTACAAACATTGAAGGAGTCTTCTACTTACTCGTCGCAATGGGAGATGGAATTTTGCTATATTACAGGATTGATCCAACGACCGGTATGTTCCTAGTCCGCGGGGAAAATCTGAGAATTTTTTTGAAGAATGATAAAAATTACGCATTTTTTCGAAGATATTTCAGTGGTATCACAAGCAAATAGCAAAGAAACGAAAAACGAATTCTGTTTTATAAGAGACCATTTTCAAAGATCGAAAAGGATGTGAAAATAATTTGTGGCATTGCCGCTGAGCAAACCAAACCTATAACCTGGTCCGAAGAGTATTCACTTCCCTTGACTCGCCTGTCGACTGCAGGAACCTTGGGAGAAGTGAAAAAAGCGAGCATCGGAATGAGACCCCCGCATCTGCAACGCGTCTCTTCCGGCGGCAAAAACCACATTTTCGTGTGCTCCGACAGGCCGATGATCATCTTCTCGTCCAATCAGAAGCTCATACTCTCGAACGTGAACGTGAAGGTTGTCCACGCGGTCTGCTCGATTCAGTCATCGTTTTACAAGTGAGAACTTTGAACAGTTTGTTCATCTCCATCACGTCAAGATCGGCTCCAATTCTGGGATCGTTTTAGAGATTGTCTCATTTATTCGGACGGCAAATCGATGTTGATCGGAATGGTTGATGATATCCAGAAGATTCATATCAGGTTTAATTCCAAACTTTTTTCTCTATTTCTCTGTAAGAAAACTTTTCACGGTGGAAGCTAGAGCAGAGTTTTTTTTTAGTTTTTTTTTTACAATGTATTATCTGTTTTTGGTGCATTTTTTACTAATAGCTTTTGTAGGTGAACATTTGCAACACATGAAGACTTTTGTAGTTGCCAAAGATTTGATAACAAGATTATATGAACGTTGATATTATTTTTCGAGTTCGAAATTTCTTACGAATTCCAAGATTTTTTTCAACGGAGAAAAACAAAAAAATAAATGGATGTTGAAATTTTGCGCTTAATCAAAAAGCTTTATTAAGTACTATTCTTTTTAAGAAAAAGGTAACCGAGCTTAATAAGAAAAAAGAAACCGTATCAATTTTAACATTTCTCTAAATTCTCGATCCTTTTAACTGTTTGGCATGAATCTTCTAGAACCATTCCACTCAACGAATCTCCTCGACGGATCGCCTACCAGAAGAGCTCGGGAACCTATGCGATCCTCAGCTCCCGCGAAGAGGTTTCTCAGCTTCTTACATGAGTCAAGCCTTCTTCTTCTGCTTCCAGGGTCCATTTGCGAGCCAACGGCTTCCGGCATCTCGATCTGCACTAGAAACTTCTTTCAGCAAAGCAAAATGTATAATTTGATCGAAGCAGATCCAGGAGATTCCCGTGTTTGATGAAACGTTTCAGCTCATCGAACCGACACGGGAATGGACGCGAATCAACAGTCGCAGGACGTTCACAGTGTCCTCATCCTCGACCAAAATAACTTCCAAGTTCTTCATTGCCACGAACTCGGTCAGAACGAACACCCTCTCAGGTAACGCTCTAATTTCTTTGAAAGAAAGTTCCTAGCTGCAATATAACTCTTATCATACATCCGCAGTTGAAGATTTTAGCTTTCTGTCGTCGTAACGGCAAATTTTCTGAGTAGAACAGGAATTATATATTTTCTGGTTGTATTAAACTAAGAAAGCAGTAAGTACTCAATATCCAGCGAAAAACACATATTTGAGCCTTTGGCCGGGTTTAGTTCTTGTTTTGGAAAACACGCCAGAGAGATGAAAGTCCTAGCCAGCCTCGGACTAGCCTCTTGAACCTTAGTTTCCGAGCTACGAGTTCTTTTTGAACTGCAAACAAATGAACGGATGGAAACAGTTTATTCGTCTTGCTCTTCAGCATCGTTTCTTCGACGCTCGGAGACGATCCCACTACCTACTACGTTGTCGGAATCGCCCTTGTCTATGCCGACGAAAACGAGGCCAAAACGGTTATTCACAGCGACGAAAACGGTCATAGGCTCTTTTTCAGGGACGTATCATAGTTTTCGAAGTTGACCTGGAGGACCGGACAAAACTGCGGAAAGTTCACGAAAGAGACGTCAAAGGAGCACCTTATTCTATGGACGTCATGAACGGGAAGCTCGTTGCAGGCATAAACAGGTCGTTCTGAGAAGTTCTCTCCTATTCACTGGTTCGAATTCCAGCTCTGTCCGTCTTTTCGAGTGGAGTTTTGACAAGGAACTCAAGCTGGAATGCTCTCATTTCAACAATATCAGCGCTCTTTACGTGAAAACAAAGGCAAGGAAGCGGATTTTGCTCCATCCAGAACCTGCAATTTTTCAGGGAGATCAAATCCTCGTCGGAGATTTGATGCGATCCATTCAGCTGCTCAATTACAAAAGTAGAGAAGGAACTTTTGAAGAACTAGCCAAGTATTTCTTCGACACCGTTTTCGAGTGCATTTTTCTCTTGAGGGATTGGCGCGCGATGTGGATGATGGGCGTCGAGTTCATAACTGCTGATCACGTCATCGGAGCCGAGTCTTCGGGAAATCTGTTCACCTGCGAACTCGACAAAACGAAGCCCGAGAGCGACGGCGGCCGATACAAGCTCGTCGTGAGTTTCTTCTATTTAAAAATGTCGCGAAGAGGTCAACAGATGATTCCGTATAACTGATTCCAAAGAAGACGTTTTTCAAATAAAAATCAATACTTCTTATCTGGATTAGCAACTCGAAATCGAACTTACCTAATTAAAACAATATTTTGCTGACCAGAGATTACATTCTGACTTTATCTATCACATCAAAACTTTTCCTCACATTTTATTGACAATATTTAATTTTTCTTCGTTTTTCTCGTTTATTTTGCTCTTTTCGAATGAATTTAGGACGCCTACATTCACTTTTTGAAAAGAGATTATTTTTCAATTGACGAAGGAAATTTATGACGATGGGTCGCTCCATCATTTTTTGTTCATAATTTTCCGCCTCATAAAAAATTCATATTCATCTTTCAATTGACACCTATGCCTAGTAAGATATATATACGGATCGGTTGATTAGCTCTATTTATTTTAATTTATCAAACAAATGAATGAATCGGTGTTTTTTAGCCGAACGGCTTCTACTACCTGGGAGAGGGCCTGAACGTTTTCCGACGCGGGAGTCTCGTTCCGATGCCTTCGGATGCGCTGCTCGAGTACGACAATTCGCTGCTATTCGGGACCAGCGAGGGCACTGTTGGCATAATTGTTCAGTTCCCTGCCAAATACAAAGAGTTTTTCAACATTCTAATCAGCGAAGAGAAGAGCTTGGCTTAAGATTTTTGGAGGCGGTTCAAAACGCCATCGCCGAGGTCCAGAACAATTGCATGCGGATAGAACATTCCGTCTATCGTCAGTTCGCCGTCAACAAGTGGAACGAGCCTGTATCTTTTATTTCTTTTCCATTTCCATCCTCGCTCCGCCACTATTTTCTCAAACGGAAGACCTTCAGGCGAGCGGATTCATTGACGGCGACTTGATCGAATCTCTGCTCGATATGCGGAAGGAAAAGGCTCTGGAAGTTTGTAAAAAGCTCGTCGGCAAGTACGAAGGTAATTTTTTTTTTTCTTCAAACCCTTTTACTTTTCTCGCAGACAATTAAAGCTGAAAAAGAAACAGTTCAAAATAATATCCCATTTTTTTTGTTCGAAGTCTAAGACTTTATTTAAAACGATGAGGAAACTTTGATAGTAGTTTATTCACTGCCGTTATTTAACAGAAAAACAATATTTTAAACAATAATTTGATTTTGTTCAACTTTTTTTGTCATCCTTTTCGTATGGAAAGTATTATTGTCCTTTTCAAATCAAATCAAATCAAAATTTTTTTATTTCTCACACACAAATACTAAAACTCACGGAATAGATGTACGGAGAATTTGGGAACATATGTTTTAATATTTGATTTGATTTTGATTTTTAATTTTTAATACAGTGGGAATTTTTGAATCTAAATAAAAGAGGGCACTAATTTCTTGTTGCTGAGTCATTGGTTATCAAAGCTAAATTTTTTTAAAAAAATTGTAAACGAATTTTTCGCTGAGCGGTTCCGATTTTCTGCAGAATCAATCGAATCGCAATTTTTTTATTTCTCACATAAGAAAAACTGTAAAGATCGCTCACCGTCTAGTCGAACAGAGTTAAGGATGATTGAAGATATAAAATCAAAAAAAATACAGATACAAATATACAAAAAATAATAGATCTTTTTGTTGCTATATTTGCTTTAGCAAATATAGCAACCGGCTTTTTTTTTCTTTTGAGATTTACCTAAAACAAAATATGTTCAAATAAGAAACTTTTCAGGTTTTGACGACCCCGAGGATATAATCAAAGCCGTAGAAGATCTTGCGCGGTTGCATTAAAGTGATAAATTGTTGATTTAGTTCTGATTTCAATTGTTGACTGTTACAACCCGTTGTTGCCTTTGAATAACTTGGAAACGAAACGTCGTATTTCTTGATTCTCTTCTTGATTCGTCAGGCGGACGGTAAAGGCTGCCTAATAGAAATGTTTAGCTGACTTTCGCACCTTTGTCACCATTTTCTTATTTTATCTTGTTCACCCCGGTTCGAAATCCTGACTACCATGTGAATAAAATGAGCACTTATTATTGAAGGCTTTTCGGGTTGTCGAAAAGAAGCCGTCAGCTCGGCCGGAGGCGGGTGACGAAGCTCGATTTTCCAGGTGGACGAGCTCGGCGACGCGCTATCACGCACCGTTGGCCCATGAAATCCAAAACGGCCAGCTTCTGGCCCCCATTATCAACGTTTGAAAGGTTGTCGTTGCGCTCAGGCGTGTCGAATTTCCTATTTGCTTCTGATGCGGCTACCAACTTCCTCCTTCTTTCATCTGGAATGATATCAGATCGAGTGTGTCCACTGGAATGGAAAAAGTCTCTTTTTGGTAGAAGCTTTCAGCTGGCCCTTTTATCAATCAAAAAAAAGTATGTCCGGAGTGATGATGGTATTTTTTGAAGTCAAAGTCCTTTTAGCTCTATGTAAAAATAAAAATTTCTATTTTAAAAAAAGTGCAGTTCCATCAATTATTCAGGAATTTAATTAACAAAACATTAAAAAAAGAACCAATGTCTTTTTATTTGAAGTAAAAATCAAGCTGAGAGAAGACCAGACCTTGGATGTGCGCTTGAATAACTGTTGGAGCCTGACCGAAATAGCCTGAAACGACTGGAAGAAAAAGTCGCGCGACGAGAAGCCACAGCTGCGCGCTGTCGCGAGCTATCAGCTTCTCGTCTTACACGGCTGCTGATTGTTTGATCGTCGCACCTGCCCGCCGAACAAAGTGATACCTGCGGTTACGGTGTGTTTGCTTTGCTCCGTCCGCAGTAGCCGACTCACACCTCCGCGAACATAAGCGTAAACACACAATGTCGCGATATCGGCGATCCATCGTGATATGTATATCGAGCACTTTACGAAATGTCCCTTTTTTCTTTTTTAAACTACAAGAGAAGTCGCAATTGTTCCAGAGGCTATAAGAAAGACTAGTCTGACAAAAGTTTCAGTTTTCGCTATTTTTAATCAGAGAATTCAGAAATAAAGATTTTCTCAGCAGCTCATGAAAACTCGATTTTGTTGTGTTTCTAAGTTGGATTTCTAAAGACGATTGAGTTTGAAGTGACAAGGGATGGTGACTCGAGAGTTAAAAGTTGGGAATTCGATCATTCTGCAATTGGTGACTCTGTGAACCCTTTTTACGGCTCATCTTCTTCGCGAAGGTCGACTTCCATGCACGCGAACCATGAATGGTCTCTGAGCGAAAGAGCCCCCAGCGAAAGGGGGCGGGTCCTCGAGCCACAACGATTTGAACTCGTGATATATTGAGTCTACTTCACTCGAAACCGATTTGGGAGACACCCATTGTCGGACTTTATACTCGCCTTTTCGTCCACGCTTCAATTCATTCCCCCTTTCGCCAACTTTCAGCTGCAGGTGCCTTTCATCCTTTTTTCCAAGACCAAGTCCGCTGAGACTCGTCTCTTTCAGTATCTATTTTTTGAAGTCAAGATATCGAACTTGTGGTTCGTCTTCCCCGCAGTACACCTCTCGCTGTTAGTTTCTCTATCTCAATCTTTTGGAACTACCTTGATTCTATCTCAAGACTTTAGATGAAACTTAGTGACCTCAGCATCTACCACCCATTTAGAATCTTCGGTAAGATTTATAAAACTGTGAATCGGTCTGAATTTTCGAATGCGCGAAGATTCGCTTTATTTTCAAGTGTTCCTCCCACTTGTGTTCTCAGAGCACTCAAAAATTAGCATGATCTTTCTGGACGTCTTACAGCGGAGAACGTTCTCACAATTATCTTCAAATAAGCCGGCAGACGCAATTTCCACAGCAAACGCATTAAAACTGCTAAGCCGCGGTGAAACCAAAATAAAGAACCGAGTGGAGGATAATTATGGCTGAAACCCGCCAAGGCGATTTCGGGACGACGTTTTTTTTGCCGAGAAACGGCGTCTGATACCGACTGACAGCTTCTTCTCAAATCTTTGGCCTTTTTATTTATTTATTTCGGAGCTTACGGTAGTTTTCTTGAAGTTTTATAAATTCCGGTGCCAATGCAAGAGGGTAGATGAAAAGCGATTAGTCGATGAACAGCTTCCAGGACTGGATATTTCTCCCGTGGCTATCAATTGTTCCACTCATTTCCTCATAGGGAGAAGCTTGTCTGAGAGACCAATAATCAAAGTTGGATTCTGCTCGCGAGGCGCTCGAACGGACATGCCGGCCATTGTTCCTGTGATATCGGATGTCGTCAGGGTCGGCCACATGTCGTCTGCAACTCTGCGGACACGCTTTTGTCGGATCTCCGACAATGAAAACCTTGGTAGGAAGCGAGTCGTCGAAGAGAATTACCGTCTGCAGAGGACGTGCTGATTGGTGGCAGATGTCCTGCTTCTCCGAGCCTCGCCAGCACCTGTGCCTCAATAGAAGCCATATCGATCTCAACGTCGAAATTTTCTTCTCTAGTCAGTAAGTCCCCTGTCATCGACTGTGTTGACAAGATCCGCAATATATATTTTTTTATCAATTTTCACCAAGAGCAAGATCATTTTCATAGGAAAAGAAGATTTTTCCGATTCGATTTTCTTGATGAGTTTTTCGATTCTCCCTGGAATAAAAGCTTTCTTACTTGCAAGCCCAATTAATTATCAGAAGAAGAGAACACCTGGAGGTAGGTACTCCTGGCGGCAGTGAATCGGGCGCTCGTCGCCGCCGTAATTAGCCTCTCTTCGTTTTGGCGCCTGGCCCACTTTACTTGTCTCACATTATCTGCGGCGTTGGATGGTATGAATGGCCGGCCGAATGGACTCTTCACGGATATCGTATCCTTTACCGTAGTCTCTCTATGATCATGCACCAAAAACACAAAGAAACTCGTGCAAATATTTTTCGGAAACTCTAATCTCTTTCCGAAACTAAAGGAACTTTTGAGAATATCTGAATGAAATTCTACTAGCTTCACCTTATTAACCATCCTAGTCTTTCAAAAATTTCTCAGGGTTAAAGCAAAGGGAAAGATAGTTGATGACATGGGTTGGAAAGGAGACTCAAATAACTCGCGCAGGTTGGTCGTACGGTCCATTTGCAGAGTAGTCAGCTGCCAATTCGACCAATTGCGCGGAACAGCTCTAAATTAGGAGTTTTCGTGTTAACGTGCTGTCTCGCTGGAATTGAGAACTTAAGTGGGTGGAACCGACGCCGGTGTGAGAAGCAACTGAAGGTCAACCGTCCCATATTTCTCGAACTCCTGTATTAACTCGCCCAACTTCCATCACACTTCAACTGGACTCCGAAAGAGCTTTTTTGGGTCTTCACAGCTCCTCGCGAAGGTTTGATCGGCAGGCTCGTGCAGGCAGCCGTCGTTATCCGGAATCTTGTCTGCGTGAATGCCCCCGATGTATCAAATGTTTATTCAAAACGCGTAAGTGTGTCTATCTTGTGTGTCTTGTTCACTTCTTTGACGCACTCTCAAGTACTTCGGCCTCCTTCTTCTCGCTGCCCCGATTCCCTTTCTAACAGCGTTTCATTTCATCAATCTCCTGGTTTTTGGGAAGCCACTACGAAAAAGAGTGGCCAAGATGAAGACGGCAGATGGCAGTCTAATCAGGGACACGTGCCACGTCGAGTCCTTGATAAATCCTCTATCTTCACTCCGTTTCTTGAGCATGAAACATGCCAGGAACCTTATGAATGAAAAAAGAGGATCCTACATCTCTTACAGCTACCGAAGTTTTCCAAAACGTTTTTTTTTCAGAATTCGAAATCTTTCCACCTACTCCGACTCAAGCCTGATCTCTATTGACCAGCCATTCTATTGGCTGATAGGGTAATATATTTTCTTTTAAATCTGCAAAAACTGCGGGAAACATTTTTTTTTTTTGAATTACAAACATGATTGCGCGAAAAAATGAATGACAATTTTTATACTTGCCAACTTTCTTGACTCGAAGTTGTGTTGCTAGGTCGAATGATTAAAATTTTGTGATACGGTTGCAGTTTGAATCTTAAACCGACTAGAATTTGGAAAGCTAACTGTGGTGAATCCGGAATCCGCAGGCTAGATCTATTTTGGATTGAACCACTGCCTTTTCAACATTTCAAGCGATTCCATAGGCTCACTCAAACTAGATTTTTTGATAGAACTGCTTTATTTTTAGTTTGTACAAGTATATGAGTTTGAATTGATGACCTTAACTTTTTTTTTTACTCCTTTCTTTTGGAAATTCTGTGGCGTGGAGATTATCAGATGGACGTCCCCAGCGGCAGATAGTGGTAGAGGAATGGAGCGACGTGGGGCATGGGAGAGGCTTGTAATTAAGCCTATCACGCTGATGAGCCAAGACCTCTCGAATTCTCATTCGTATTCGTATTCCTGCCGACGAAACGTGCTCTTTTCCTTTTTCGTTTCGCTTTCATTTGTCTCCCTCGGTTTTCCGCGCGGCAAAGCTTCAATTAATATCTTTATTTGGATTGCTTCGGGATGCGCTGCTTCCCAGCTTTATATCAATTCAAATCGCTGCGAAATGGTTCATTTCTGCTCCAAGCGTTTCTTTTTCTCAAACATTTTCTTTGCACCGAGTTTCGATTAAAACACCAATTTTTCTAAAATCTTCCTCTGATTTTTAAAGCAGATCAATTTTTTTAAAGGAGTAAACTCATACAATTATATACTTTACTAAATTTTTTACATTAACAAAAAAATGGATTCAGTAAAGTATTAGAAAAAATAAGTTTAAGCTTCTCTTTTTAAGGGAATATGTTCTTACTAGTTGTGTGTAACAAGCATGGAAGTTCGGAAATAGCACGAAAATCGTCGAAGGAGGCTTGAGAATTCGATGAAACCGATTGATCTGAAATCAGAAGGTCTAAACATCTGAATAAGTTTTTGAATTTCCCTCGTTTCCTTTTCTCTTGTGAGTCTCTGAACTGATTAGAATTATTTTGAGCATTTTTTGAACACCTACTGAGCAAAGAGTTTTTGGACTTAAGGATCATTTGATCGTGGAGGACGAGTCTGACTGCTCGGAACTGGGATAAGAATGTAGAAGAAAAGTTGGGGGACGGTGTGGCAGGAGATGATTGCTGCTGCAGCCGTGTCTGGTGATTATCGACGTCGTGCGGATTAGACGTCTTCTGCGGGGATCAGCGTCGCCCAATCAACGTCTTCTTCTGTCAGCCGTCACTCACCAGCAGATTACTGTAAGAACAGAGTATGTTGCGTTATCAGAATGAGAGGCGAAGACAAAGCTGCGTTTTTGTTGCATTCCGAGGTCTGTGACCCAGGTCCACATGTGTCCGCTGTTTATCACTGAGCCGCGTCGCCGCACGAACATCTGGTCTCCAGCTTCATTTATCATCGAGTATCACTAACATATGTTGCTCACGTTCCCTCAAAACGACCCCATCAAAGTTGAGCTGTCAGCCTGAGACTCGGCTAACGGAAAGGAAAGGTCCGTATAGGGTGTCCACCTGCGGCCTTCTTCACTGATTACCGAGGCGGCTGTATTCAAAATTGGCCTCGCTGCCTCATTTTCTTCGTCTTCTTCCTTCCACGGCCTTCCATTGTCACGGCGATTAACTCGCGGCGAATCGTAGGCGGAGCCAGCCGCGCCGCCCCTGATACGGCCAGTTCCGAGTCTGAACAAAGAACCTCCCGCCAGCCGCACCACCTTCTAAACCTCTGTTTTTTTCTTTGCACATTTTTCGAGCTGATGACCTGAGAAGGGCAAAGCAGTTCGAATCCTCTGAATCTCAGTAATTCTCCAAGAGCTTCTTCAAAGGTTTTTTTTCGGCTGAGGGCTCATTATTTTCGTTTTTGATCTAATGAACGGAATGACAAAAAAATACGATCGATTGAGTTTTAAATTGGCTCCACAGGTAGTATCGAAGAAACCAGCTATTCAGGATTTCTTCCAAGTTTTCTCTCGGTTCACAAACGTTTGCAAGCCAGTTTATCATGATCATTGTTTTATTCGGAATTTATTTTCTCAGACTTCGCACCATCTACCTCAATGACTAGAACGGTATTTTCTACGCCTTCTATTGAATCTCATCCGTTTCCAAGTTTTTCGGCTCCCTTAACTTGATTTTTTTTTTCAAAAGAAGCTTTCAGGAAACGTCGAACCAAAAGTGGTCGCCTGGCGACCGGTGCTTTTTCACTTCGAATCGGAAGGAAATCCGGCTTTTCCTTCTACCCAGCTGAATTTTGTCCCTGGCCGCTTCTTTGCCTCGAAATTGACGTTGTGCATCCGATTTGGGCAAGCGAAAATAGATGAACGATTGTATCCAAAGCGACAGGACTCCAACGTGGATTTATGATGAAAGTGTGCTCTGGGAAAAAAATATATATCGAAGGGCTTACGGTGGTTTCTAGAAACCAAGTCAACTCCGGATTTTTTTTAAATTTTCAAACCTACGGTAACATTTTCCTTTTCCAGAGCTGGGTTTTGAACAATTTTCGAAAGTAAGAAAAGGCGGTTCAGAATTTGAAGGTTTTTGAAAGACTGGCAAAGGGAGGATTTTATTCAAATAAAAAAAAAACTTTTTTTCCGTGATCTTCATTGATCCTGTTATTAATAGAATTGTTCTTTGAAACCAAAAGTACTATAAGATCTTTTGTTTTTCTCTCAGAACTAGAAAAAGGATAGTTATGAACCAATTCAGAGAATCCACAATCTCTGGATGATTTTCTAGCCCTTTCTAGTGGCCAGGGACTACGGTGATCTTAACAGCGCCACTATCACAAGGCCACGCCCATTTTCTCTTTCTCTGCAGAGCGAGAGTTATTGGTAGAGAGGGAGAGCATTCGCTTGTTTATTCGAACGTCGTTTATAATTTAGCGGAGCGCGTTTTGGCTTAGAGCCATCCCAGATGATTATCATGGTGTATACAATTGACGGCCGAGCCAGCGGATTAGAAGACGCCAATCATCTAAACATTGATTTGGCAGCTCCGATTCCCACACATTTTCTCTTTTGACGAGTGATTTATCGCAAAATTTAATAAGGTGCGAGTTTTCGAGTATACACTTCATTCGAAGGCCTCTCCGACGGCGACTTCACTTCGCCATGAATACGTAATGATAAATTGTCACTTCTTTTTTTTGTCAAGTCTCCAACCAAAACAACAATAACAACCCAAACTTCAGCTAATTGCCTTTTTAAGTGAATCTCCTGGCGGCATCACTCAACCTATGTAACAATAAGAAAGCTCTCCAAAACACCAAAAATACATTTTCAACGTTTTTGATCTTTGAGATTAGCTGAAGTTTCTCGAAAAACTATAAAATTAAAAATAATACAAACTTTCAGTACAAAAAAAGGGAGGAGAGCACGTGGTTTTGGTCATCTCATCTCATCTTTTTCTTAATTCTTTTCCAGAAACTTAGAGCTTTTGGAAACTAGAGGCATTATCAAGTTGCACGAATTTTTTCGCGTCAAACTTTTATCTCGAGAATTGAAATTAAGGCAAAGTTCTAAAGAAGTATTGCCGAACTGGGCTGTTCGAGCCTGAGGATCGATATCCCTTGTGATAATGACGTGTTTTGGCGGCGACCTAACACATCGGCCTCTTCATTTACATGCCACGCCTATCATCGATACTGCGAGGCCGAGCGTTTGATAGCGGGGGGTCCGCTTATATCTCCTGCGTCGGTTGGCTCCCACAAAACATCTGCTCGACCGGTCTGGCCCTCGCCTCATTCTTCTTCTTGTAGCAATCTTTCTCCATCCTTCGCAACTTTTCCTTCTCCTTAGTGCTCAATTTTTTTCCGGTGGAGCCTATCCACATTTCATGTTGAGCAATTCTTGATCAGAAAAAATCAATATATTATTCAAGCTAATACGAGGCGTCTGATTTCTCTTGATATTCAAAAATCAGAATATGTCCCTACTTTTCTATACTTGATCCTTTTTATTAACTAGTTTAAGTAGCCTCAAGTAGTAGTTTAAATGAAAGCAGTTGAGTTTGTGTAAACAGTTCTTAGATTCTTCTAGATTTTCCATCAAGTTTGACTAAATCTTTTATTAAGATTTTGATTTCGAAATGTGAGGTGCGAGGTCAAAATCGAGGCCGTTTTTTGAATTATGATTTGCTAGAATCAGTGTGACGGATCAACGGATCGCTGAGATGAATCCCTCCGATACCTCGGATTTGTGAGATAAGATCGATAAAAGGCGTGCTGACACCTGTGGCCGAGCCGCAGCTGCGTGATAATGTGATGGGCGAGGCCATCTGGTCCTGTTTATCGATCGTATCCCTCTCTTCCTATCCCTCAATCATCTGCCTGTTGGTTGCCCTTGTTCGCACCAACCTGTTCTCAGGCCGTCTTTCTCGTCCCTCCATTTTTGTATGTCTTTCGATTCGACGGCGCTATTTTTTGCTCCGTCAAGCGCAATGATAACTTCGCGTTGCCTACAACAACAGCCCAATTTATATTTTTCCGTCTAGTCACACTTTGGCGACAGGTTTCGTTGCTCTTAACTTGACTGATTCTCAAAAAGCGCCCTGGGGTGCCGATTATCGCGTTCGGCGTCACCGATGGCGCTTGGGAAACTTCCATTATCCTTCATTTCTTTTTTTTGTTTCTACTTTTTTTCAATCTTATTTGCAAAAATTTATTCCTGAACCTCAACTTTCTAGCTTTTTTTCCGGATAAAATTTCTCAGCATGCTCAAGAATTTTCGTCCATTTTTTTTATTTGATCATTTTAAACAAAAACGCATTTTAGATCAAATGGAGTTCGTAGAAAAAACTAGGAATGATTTTTTTTAGTGTTGTTTCTAGTTTAGATCAACTTCAAAATTTTAAGATGGAAGCCGAGACGAGCCGATCAGGTTTGTGTTCTACCAGAGACTCTCAATTGACAGTAATCTCACGGTTTTCTGTTCAAGAGGCTCTCCAGTGTGATAAAGAGCACCTGGAACGAGAGGACGTGGCCGGCCGAACCTTTAACAGCAATTATCCACGGCCTCCACTCGCCAACACACTCTCTCAGCGGCCCTGGCGCCCAACAAAGGAACAAAGCCTCGCGTCCCTCACAACCGACGGCGTCTCGGTCAGATCAGCCTCCTTGCCACTTATCAAACCTCCTAGAGCAGAAACATCGTAGGTCCACTCCGCAAAGTCTTTTTTCCAACAAGATTGTTGGTACTGACCGATTCTGTCAGTTGATCCATTTGCTTACTCAGCCGCTCTTTAGCGCCACGCAAGCTCTTGTTATGTTATAAACGATCAGCAATTGATTGCTATTAATGTCCACAAAAGTGATCAATCCAGAGCTATCTGATTTTTTAGGAGTTATTGGAAAAGCCTTGATTTCCTTTGAAGTAGTTGATGTCTTCCCACCTTTCATCAGATTTGAATAACTTTATTTGAGAATTATTAAAAATCTCGAAGGATGCTGAAAGTTCTGGAAGAACAGCTTGCGGAAAGCCAACCAAGTTGATCATATCTTTTATTTGATCTTCACCTCCACAGGAGTGTCGGATCGGAGTAGCCGAAGGATGTTTGCTTCCCAGAGGTGTTGATAATCTGCGCAGTGATAGCTTGTCGGGGAGGCGCGAAGAAAGTCGCGACGGCCGTGTTGCACTGTTTACCGATACGGTAGCTGATTGTTGTCGTCGGCGTGTTTGCAGACGAACAGTGCTCCGTCAGCACTCTTGGCGGAAGTGTACATTCAACGAGGCGGCGCGACCCGAAGGAAGAAAGAAAGAATGAATGAATGAACACTCTTCGCGCCCGCACGACCTGATAAAATGTATGTATACATGTGAGGGTCTGTTGGCACACTTCAAGTGTGCTCCTCGGTCTCGATGTACTGTACTCAATCGCAGATATATATATCATGAGAGAATCGCTTCAAAAAAAAAAACTACGGCGTAGTTCGAATGGTTGAGTTTAGAGGCCGCAGATCGAAATTTCAAAATCGCTTCAACACTTGAAGCAATGTAACAGTCTCTTTCCATATTTCATCGCTTTCAGCGTCATCTTATGAATTTTCATGCAAAAAAAAACTTAATACACTGCCCTGCAATATCTGGGCGATTCTGAAGTCTTGAAGACTGTTAATTGATCTCATCTTTCACCCCAAAGTCTTCGGGCCATAGACCCACAAATAGAAGATTCCAAGTTGCGTAGTTTTAATCTCGATTTTCCTCTTTGATCTTGCATCAGAATTTTCTTTCTTTTTTGTGACTTTTTCGAACTCGCCTCCTGCGCTCGCTAACCTTGAAGCGTTGATAGGAAATCGCCCGCGATCTTTTTTGTCTCCTTTTCGTCCTCGTTCCACTGATATATTCACATAACGTCTTTCGTTTCATGTCGGTTTTCGTTGTTTCCCTTGTATTTTTCCACTTCATTTGCTCAAGTCAGATTTTCCTCAATGGAGGTAAAAGGGTGAAATTCACAGAAAGTAAGATTTTCTAAAAATAAAATGGATTATTTTTTGAAAAACTGAAACTGCTATGTTCATTCTTATATATCATTTAGTTAGAAAATTCACTGATCCTGTGAAATTGGTGGAAAAAATGACGAAAAATCTATTCAATGGCTCTTAAAGACTTTAAGTTAAAGTAGTACAGACGATATTAAAAATTTCAAACTCTTGAGACACACAGCTATTATATGTGTTCTTTTTTTTCTTATAATGATAGGACAAGGACGCCGTGTGAGGAATAAAGTGATGGCGATCTTTATGCGAATTACCAACGTTAGATGTCGGAATTTGGTCACTTAGTTTTCCATAGAGCACACTTTCTACTTTATAGAAAAATTCGCCATATTGACTTTAACAAACTCACAATTTTTTTGAATTTTTTTACCTTTTGTTCTTTTTCATTTCTGCGATTTCTAGTAGCCACATTTTTTTAAGAGTTCAGTTTGATCACCTATGTGTCAATGCTGATTTTTCCTGAATGTCTTTTTTTTTTTTTTTTCAAATTTCGCTCATTCATGATTTTTTTACGAAAGATTTCGAAATTTCTATCTTTGTGCTATATCACAATAGTGATTTTTTTTAAAAGTTATTACCGAATATATTTAACCGAACGCTATATGTATAGCTATAATATCCTGAATTCGCTAAACGTTGTAGTCGAAAGTATGATCAACTTTTTCGGAATTTTTTTTCTCAAAGTACTTCATCGAGAAGAAAAATTATGCGATGTAATCCGATATCGAATCACTTCAAATTTAAATTTTTCCCCTGCTTTTTGTAATCTTGATGTGTATCGTAAACAAATCAACCCGACGTCAATCCCCTTGAAGATCTGTATTGTCCTCTGGCCAATTCTTACATTCTTTTTCAATCTGGATTGACTCTGTGGAGAAGCACGTTGGTCAGAATAACTGGCAATTTGCACGCTGTACCAATTTTGGCGTTTTGAGTAATGTACGTCGGAGCGCGATTGTCGTCCTTCGTTTTCAAATCTGTCACACGAGTCTTGGGCCTCTTGTAATGGCGTCAGCTGGAGGCCTTCAGGAGGTATTTACTCCATCTCTTATCAGTCCTTTCCGGAGACTGGAGGCGTGTGAAAAAAGGCGATCGATGTGAGCTCTTGGCTGCGCTCTCCCCCGCGCTTTCATGGCTCCCTCCGTGTTTCACTTCTTCTTTCTCTAATTCTCCGACCTTCTTTGTGCCCACCCTCCCGCTCCATATGGCCGCTCTATGTTAATTGCCAACAGAACCCTCCTCTTGTATTCCGTTCCATTCAAACACCTCTCGCCTTATCCTCACCTAAAGTTTTTAATCTTATCTTATCATATCTTTGATTATCTCATCAGATTATCAATCTAACGCTCTCGAATCAGCTGTTTCTACACTTCTGATTTCTTTGCCTATTCTATGATTAGTTATTAAATTTATAAATCATTCTATTCAAAAAAATTTCATTTCAATCGTTAGTCCAAGAGCAGGCTTCTCAATTATATGAAGTGAATAGATTGATTAAAGCAACTATTTTGCAAAGTTCAACATATTGTCTTTTTTTCGTTCTTGATCTTCTTAAGTTTGCTGCTGGTGGCCTTTTTTAAGGGAGCTAAATCTGACTTTGTAAGCTCTTTTGGAAATGATTGTGAGGGCGCGTCGGAAAGCAGCCGAGGTAATAATTGTCCGGCAGCCAAGCAACAACTCGTAGAATATGCACATTGTGTGGCGCCGTCCATTATCTCCCCGTGTGACATCCGGAAAATCGGTTGCTTTTGCTGTTTCCACTCTTTCTTTCGTCGAATCGCCTCCATGACTTCGACTCTTTCTTAATTCTGATTTCAGCTTTTGATCAGTATCGCTAAATTTTCTGAATGAATTCGAAATAATTGTGTTGTCGCTTTTTAGTATTCAGAATCCTCGGACATTGTTTACACCTAGAATAAACTATTATCATTATTATTATTATTATTATTATTATTATTATTATTACACTTTCGACGGAATACCAAGTTGTTTTCTTCGCTATGCACTTTTTCTAGATTTTATCTCGCGATTAGCTTCTACAATCTATTCAATAAGCTTAGCATATACCTGCTGTTTCAGCAGGAGTTGATGGGAAAATGCCCAAAATAGTAAAAAGAAGTTGTGATCTGGTTTTGCTGAGCCGTTTCCATAAGATTTCTAAATTCGAGAAGCCGGCGAATATTTCAACATTAGAGTGGAAACGGGTGTCATGTCACGGTATCTACAAGATCTGCGGGCTGATGGCAATCACCGTATCTTTTCTCCTCGTAAGGGAGGCGCGACTGGTAGTTGGTTGGCTGCAGCGAAGAGATTCAGGCTGATAGTAAGGCAGATTGCGATCTATCACGACGCGCCGCGACTGTAAGAGACGCGTCTCCCTCAGAATTCCTCATGTTGTTTGGACCGCCGATCAGCTCCTTGCATCTCCGAACTATGTATGCCAGATTCCTGATAGCGATTCTCCTAAGCATGCCTGTCCATCTTGTTCTGAACGCCTCACTTCGAACGCCTATTTTTTTCGTTCCTTATCTAAAACCGTCAGGCTGAATTTTCACACTGTGTTAAGAATTTCATTATTTTCGTAGCAGCCATTCTGCTGCATTCTCGATTTCTATATCTTTTTGAGAACGTCGAGGATGAAACCCGAGCAACTTTTACGAAGTTTTAGGTTAAATTTCTGCATATACTCTTTTCTCTTGAAAATTGAAAATCACTAGATTCGCTTATTATGGTTTTGATTATCTTGAAATTCACTCACGTTTTATCTATTGCTCTGAACTCATATCTCAAACTTCAAAAAATGGCAAAGAGGCGTTCGAATTGAAATGTGTTTCTCATGATAACTTTTCCGGTTTAACTTCATGAATATCTATCTATCTCTGGATTTATGTTTACTGTACATCATTCGTTTTCGCGTTTCTTTTTTTTTCGAACTCGGAGCATTTTGAAAGAGTTGATCTCAGATGACGTTAGTCTCATCATCGCCCTCCTCACAGTGCGCAGCGGTGAGTCCTTTGCCGGAAGAAGCCGCAAGTCCTCCGCCGGCCGCCTGCGCTGGCTGCGTCAAACTCCACAACGACATCAAGCAGGTTCGCTTGTTTCGCGCGAAAAAAGGAGGAAGACGTTTTTGCAGAACGTTCAACAAATGATGGACAAGTTTGATATTCTCTACATGCGGTTAGAAAGTTTCATCAATGAGAAGGAAAAAGAGCGGATTGCGGTCGCCGAGCAGCTCAGCGACAGCGGAAGTGAAGAAAAGGTGAACATTTTCAATACTTTTTTGCCGATTTTTCAAAAAGAACTATTTTTGATCATGAGTTTATACTTTATTCAAATATCAATTCAAATAAATATTTGTTTACTGATCAAATTTGTTCGTTTTAAATTCGTTTTCAGATCATCTGTAGGTCGTTGTTTCGAACGATTTGTAGCTCACATAAATTTTTTGAAAATTTTCAAAATCAATTTTTAAACGCTTTTCAGGAATTATATTCATTTTATTATGTTAAGACATGATAGTTCTTTACCATCAGAATAAATGCTCTAGTTCAGCCGATTTGTTTCTGAGATTAATGTGTGAAGGCTTACTGACTGTTAGATTTTTCATAAAAGAGCTACGATCACCTAAAGGTATTTTTTTACTCATTTCCCACGCAGTCACCTTTTAGTTGCTCTTTTCACATTTATTTTCCTCAGGACGCACCGTCGCCGTCAGACAGCAGAGAATCGCCCTCGCTGGTACAAGGCAGCCGGAAACGGAAGCCGACGAAAGACGCCGTGCACCGGATGCCCGAAGGCGAGGAAAAGTCTGGCGAGCACCAGAAGGCGGCAATGACGACGCCTCCAGTCTCGGCCGCCTCCTCGCCGTTCGCCGAAGGCTTCAATTTCCCGGCGAATCTCGTCGGAAACATGGGTCTGTCGACTTCTGAAGGCCTTCGCGAACTCTCGGTCTTTGCAGTGGACCCTCTCGCCCAGCAGCAGCACCAGTTCATGCAGTTTCTGGCCGCCGTCCAGCAGCAGCAGCACAATTCCCTGCAGCACAACGGCGTCCAGTCGACTCCCCGGCCTGAGCCTGTTCAAGTGAAGCAGGTTCGTTGACGACCAGTTTCCCCGATTCTTTATAACAATTGTTCTTATTTTGAGAATTCACAATGAGAAATGTTTAAATAACCTTTTTTTGTTAAATTGAACAAAAAGCTCACAATATTTTTTTCGCACATCTATAATTATCATAAGAAAAAAGTTTCATTTTTGATACGATCAAATTTTTTTTAAGTTTTTTTCAAAAAAATTATATTGAAAAAAAGATCAATATTTCGAAAGCTATCATCTGGTATATACAAACGTCTATATGATCATTGCTGCTCCCCGAAAAACTTTTATTTTAATCAAATATTGTCTTTGTCTTCTCTTAACATGATAAAACTCTATTCAAAGTTTCTCAAAATTGGTAACTAAAAAGGTCTAGGAAGATTTGTTATTTTTTTCCGATCAAGACTTGGGTTTTTTTCGCTTTTAATATTTTCTCAATGAATAACTATTAGATTGGTCCGAAATCGGATAATGAGTCCCTTGCATTTTAGGAAGCAGTCGCTTCTTCTCCCGATCCTCAAACAATCATCGAACAGTTGCAGCAGCAGTTTAAAGAGGTAAGCTCAGAAATGTTTCAAATATTCTCATTCCTTTCTGTTAGCAACAGAAAAAAAGTTCTCTGTGGATTTCCGAACAATTCGTCATCGCGTTTGAATTTCCTCTGATCTGAAGGTTCCCACCTTTGTGTTAAAAAGGAGGGTTGACTCGCTTGTCCTAACGGCCCTCTTTTTGAATGTCGCGTCGATTTCTTTGTTTCTGAGCCGCGTTTTTCCTCTCTCGTTTTTTTTTTTGGTTACTGCCGGCGTCGTTTTTTGCGCGCTGATCCTCCCTCTGTTGGATCGCCGTGCCGACTTTTTCCACATAATGAATGGCTTCTCTGCGCCCAGGGAAACTTTGAGTTCCATCTGATTCGCCAAAGTTTTGGGTTTATGAAAGTTAGAAGAGATTTTGATCAATTTCATAGATTTGTCAATGCGGACTTCATTCAAAGCTTGCATATCATAAAATAAAGTTTGAAAGGCTGATTTGGACCTTTTTTCAAGTTTCTGTGAGGAAAATAGTCATTCATTTTCGTACTGAATCAGACTGGGTTTGAAGTTTGTGAAGAATTTTTGATTGCTAGTTTTATTGCACACAAATGGTTTCAAGTATTAGTAAATTTTTTCCGGGACTCGTTTATAAATGTGTTTCTAAGATATTTTTTCCAGGCAAATCCAACTTGACTTTTTTTAATCGTTTGATATTAATAGTATTTTTTTTCTGAAAACTGAAATAGAAATTTGAAGACGAAAACTTGATTTTTTGAAAAATTTTGCGATTTACAAAGAGAGTCATTTTTGATTTGCAATTTTCGAATGTCTGCTCAAACTCCTGTAAGACCTCTCAATAGTCTGCCTCCGAACTCTCATGAAAGTTGCGTTTGTTTGGTTTTAGATCTAGATCCTATTCTAAATGCGAAATAAAAAAAATCTTGTTTATTGTAAAGGATATTTTTCTGAGTACATTTGCTTGATAAAAAGAGATGTTTCCAGAAAATGGAGGACGATGACCAGAATTCGTCTTTGTCGCGATGCTCGAACTGCATGACGACCAAAACGACTGCGTGGCGACGGGATCTTGCCGGAAAACTCGTGTGCAACGCCTGCGGCCTTTATTACCGACTCCACCGGGTAGGTGTTCCTTTAGAAGCGATCACTCGGGGGCTGAAACTCGCGCGCTTGCATGTCAAGCGGTTAGCAGATCATGTCATAGATGGACGACACAAAGGAGGCCGTGAAGGACGGCTGGAAGTGTTTGAGGTTGTTAGGTGGCGATCGAGGCGCAAGATACCGGCTGGTCCAGGGATTCGGTAACGATTAGTGTGTCTACGTCGCTCTCCGAGATAATAAGCACACAATTACTCCGAGTCGTCTTCTCGACACACTTCTTCTTGTGGCTGGGTATCGGGGTACGACCTTGCGAAGACGCGCATATTATGATGATTAAGTCGCAGTGCAGCTGATTGCTGGGTTCACCTTGCACGCCTACCTAATTTCCTATTCAATTCGTCGGTGCCGGTGAAGACGACGATTAGAGCGGAAGTGGCGTGCGAGTTATAAGTGGCCCGATCCGCCAACCGCAAAAGAGGCCTCTATGAATTGAATAAGGCAAACAGACTCCGTCACAATCATCACGGCCGTCTTTGTCACGGTCACCATCCGTGAACCTTCTTTTTTGGCGCTAGGTGGTGTCTGCAGAAGGAGATTCCCTGAAAAACGTCCAGGGCTTCACGGACAAATACAAATAATGGTGGTAGCATTTTCTGGACTTAAAAATGAGTAGACATTTCCTTTGAAATAACGAAGTCGTAATTTGTCAAAAAACTTTGGAGTTGTAAAACATCGTCTAGATCATTATTACTTCTTTCCTTACTTTTTCGAACACTTTGAAAGAAATTCCGAACAGACCACATTTTCAGTGTCACCGGTGTAGATATGGTCTGTGGATTTTAAAAAAGTTTGAAATAGAAAAAAAATTCTTTAACTTTTTAATAAGGCATGACGTTACAGAGAAAAAAAAAAGCTGATTTTTCGTACTCTTCAGTAATTATCTTCAAAAATCGTCTGCCTTTCCCCCTGCGAACTCAGAATAAGACTCTGTTTTCGCCGCGCACTTGTTTCTGTTGCGTTGTCTTGTTTTCGCGTGTTCAGTTCCCAAAGATAGACTATAATTAGCGGTGTGGGTGGAAGTGGAGGAGGAAACTCGTCAGTTGCAAAACGCCACGAAATGAATTGGTCAAACTGATCGATTTTCAGACCCATCGACCGGTGCACATGAGGAAGGACTTCATCCAGCAGCGGTTCAGAAGAAAGATCAAAGAGGAGGAGGTTCGTCGTTTTTTTATTGAGTCTGAGCGAAAAACAGAAGAAAAAACCGCGCGGACAGTTGGCTCGTCCACCCAAACGCGCACTTGCCAGCTCATTTTGATGGGAAACGGCTTCTTTTATGAGATTTTGCGTTGACTGTGAGGAAATGAGATGAATTAACGAAAGCCTGTTGCAGTGACATATATATTCCTGTTTAAAAAAACATCAAAACGATTGCAATCTCATCGATACAGCTTACAAAAGAAAAACAGGCAAAAAACCGGCAACCACTCATACTTAAGTGACTTGACGTCGTGGTTTTGAAAAGGAATTTCGGCGGCCTGTATGTTTTCGTAATATTGAATAAATTTTTCTTGCCATGGGAGTACATTTCTAAATTTTATAGCTCACTTCAACATTTTGAAAGTTCATTCAAGATCACCGAAAAAAAAACCTATCAAAAATGAGTTTGAAAAAGCTTGCTTAAAAACTGATTGCACTAGGTTTTTTGTTGATAAAAAAACTTTACTCATGTTTTTTTTATAAGCAGATATTTTTAGGATTTTAGGATTTTTTTCTTTCAAAAAAATCGAAGGAATTTTGTAATTTTTTTCCTGCATATTTTTCGACAGTTTTTTCGCGATACCGCTTAATGCTAAGCAAGTAAATTTTTTTTTTTGGATTATGAATATTCTTTCCTCAGACTATCGAGAAATTTTGAACTCGAATTCAGATGAGATGATTTTTCACACTTTTCTTGTGAAATTTGGTGACAAAATAATCGTCCTACATTCAAAAATAATTTATTTCCCCCTTTATATATCATTTTAACAGACAAACAACCAATCGGCCATGTTCAACTCGTTGTTTGGCATGACGGCTCTCGGCCAGACTCCGCCCAACGCCTTCAGCTTCCTCGAGCAGTTCAACCAGATGAGCCAGAACCAGGAGCAGCTCAACAATCCGGCGCCTGTTTGAGTTTCAAACGAGTCTCTATATGTGTTATAGTCTGTTCAGATTTTGAATGTCAAGCAGCTAACTCCACCCCCAAGGCTACAATATCTTTCGCGTCAATGTTTTATCTACAGATGACGATGGCCCTTTAATAAGGCTGCATTTTTGATTTCTTTTTCTATCTTTTAGATCAAAAAAGATCAAAATTAGTCCCGCGCGATAAAACACCGACGCGAAAAGGTATCGTCTCAGCAGGGGCGGAGTTAACTCGTTGACTTTTAAAATCTGAACAGACTATATGTTGACATTTTTGGCAATAGACGTTGTTGAATCAATTTTTTCCTTCAATCGAAAATCTCCAACAAGCATTCCGTGCATTTTGTACCTTTTTCTTATATTTTCGCCTTTGGCCGGCCCCGTGCTAATATTGAGCTTTACTTTTTTTTTTTGGACACTGTTCTCTGTTATTTGCGATAAGTGATAAATTTAAAGAAGGAGTACTTAAAAAGGAATCAATGAATATCCAACTGGAGATATATCACTTAGTCGCTTTCATTGATATTTGAGGTTCCAGTGTTGATGTGATACATTTTTGCACTACGCTATTTAAATTGTACCGCCTTTTACACTACGTGGAATTTTGCATTTTTTTTTTCAGATTTCATAACGATTTTCTTGTTACTGAACGTCTATTTTGACCCTTGAAGGGTTTTTTTTTCACCGGCTGCTTGAACCGCATTTCCGTTCTTCCATGTATCTCAGTCAAACATTTCAGTATTGCCTCTTCGAAAGCACCATTATTTTTTGTCCAGTATTGATGATTTTGTCGATTATCAACGTTTTCAAATCTTGATAACTTTTCAGCGAAGTACCCCGTCACTTAACTTGAATTCTTTTCTTGATTTCATTGTACCGATCCACCGCATAATAAAAAGCCAAGTGAAAGTTCATAATCAAATATGTTGTTGAAACATATCTTCTTGTCCATAAAAGTACGCTAAAAATGATCTTCAAGTCCCAAGTCGTCTCGTGATATGCATTTCTTTTCCAGGATCAGTTTCTGAACTTACTTTTTTTCACGTTATTCTAACAAATGTTTTTTTTATTTATTTACCATAAACCGATGAATAAAAAAATGAATAAATAGCAATGGTGAAAAAGTACACATTAATAAAACAAGAAAAAAAGAACATTCGAACCGATAAATCAGGAAAAAAATAAATAAACTTTATTATTATCCTCTCCACTATACATTTCTCATTACAGATGTTACTGAAAAAATTTGAAAGCCGTAGAAATATTAAACGCGTTCGAGGGAGAAATCAAACATGCAACCGTGCACACAAGTAAATTATTAGGTGAGAACAACGCTGAAAAAGCAAAGCACTGCACACCGATGGTTAATAACTCGACTCAGTCAATCTTGACAGTGTTATAAATTTTTCGAACGAATTTGGCGGTTCCAACATATCCGATGGTTCCGGTCATGAGGCCGAGCGCCGCAGAGAAGATTCCCATGTAGCCAAAATAAAAAACTGTTTGGAACATTCCGAACATTCTGAAAAATCGCATCATGAAACACTGGATGCGTGGAAAAGAGTCTTTTCTCTAAAAAATGACGAATCCGAATGGCCAGTCATGGCGGACTTCATAACTTGCTCCGTTTATCAGTTCGATTCACGATAAACTTATTTTGATTACCTCTATGAAGCTTACCAAAACACTCTATTTGAGAAAAATAATGAACATCATACATTTTTTTCAGAGTTTTATTTTCTTTTATTTTAATTCGCGGACTTATTTTTTCCGGTTCTTCAATTTTCAAAATATCCTTTTTTCCACACAAGGTTGCTTAAAGTCTCTCGAAAATTCATAAGGTTCCAGTTTGCAACAAATTATTCTTACTAGGAAACGTTTTTTAGTCCCCAGTTGAACTTTTGATGAACCTTTGCTGAAGTGTACAACAGCACCTCCTTGTTCCAGAAAAAGACAATTTTGAAGTGTTTCTTAACATTCCCTAGTTAGAATTCCATATGTTTAATACGATATGAACTTTTCAAGATTTTTCCTCTACGACATCAAATATTGTTTCTTGCTCCAATGTTTCAACATCAATCGAAATTTTTGCACTTACTTCGTTTTGAAGAAGAAGTAGTAGATAGAGTACAAATACACGTAAATAGCCGTTGAGGCGCCTGCTGTGAAGCTGGTCCAGCGCCTAAACATGATTTGGAATTTTCGTCTTCCTGTTTTCATCTTTGATTTCTCATTTCCCGATTCGGCGAAAGCTTCATGAAGCTCACTATCATTTTTGTTTTTCAGAACTTGGAAACGATGAAATTTCTGACCATCTGTAGTCCTCCGCATTCAGGAGGAAGTAAGAACAGACGATCGTGACGCAAACAGTGACTACGGCGAGGATCAGAGTGACCAAAAGCATGAAGCCGTAAACGTAGTAGATCTTGTACGCCCAGAACGACGTGAAAATGAAATACCTCAAAGCGAATTGATTTTTTTTTCCTTTGAAGAAATCGCACTTATAGAGTAATCTTAGCTTGAAACTTGAATACTCAAAGAAATTACTTTACAGGTTGTGGCTGTGAAAAAAACTTCACCTGGAGCCTGTTTTTTGAGCAATAAGAAAAATTCCCTTCAATGATTTTTTTTTCGCCTTTTTCGAAAAAAAAATTCTTAATAACAATTGAATTACTTCAAACGATGTCTTCTACACAAGTTACTATTATTTTCTGCTTGAAAATCTTCCAGAAAAGACTACACGGTTTTTTTTGCCTGAAGACCGCTGAGAAAATTGGTCCAACCGATGCTATGTCTAAAACTTCTAACCGACGAAACAGCATGAGTCAGAAAAATTTTTGCGTCAGCCTTTGCGCGAAAGAAACAGTAACGCCGAAAAGGTGATAAAAACTAAAAAATGAACAAAAAAAGAAAACCATTAAGACACAAGTTCAAAACAAACATTTCGATAAAGATGCTTCCGAAAGGCAGAACTCCGCCCATGAGAGTGATGAGCCACGGCTGCACGAACCATTTTTTGTCAGGAATCGGTCGCGGAACGGCATTTACTCTGAAGGAAGGCTGAGCATAGCGACGTCTAAAAAGGGTACCTGCAGGGATAATCGGCGTGACCGGCCATGTTCCTGCCGAGAACGGTGCCGACCAAAGTCAGAGGAAGGATCACGAACAGACAAATGGCCGTGACGGCAAGCTAAGATAACTGCGTTTTGTTGGGGAGAAAAAAGGTTTTCCTCACCATGATAGTGAAGGGAATTGCTCGCGAGGCATGGTAGTAGATGGCGATAAAGTTGATCAGGAACGCCACACCACAAACCTTCAAATTCAGATTTCTAAGAAGAAAAAGAAAACGAAATCGAAAATGGAGCACATTTCCTTTTCATATTTTTCAATAGATGAAACTCAATGAAAAAAAAATTTTTTTTTGAGAAAATTTTTACAAAGATCTTCTTAATATTCGAAAGATTATGTATATTCGAGACTTCGGTCACGCAAAACGGAATCTGAAGTTTCTGAGAAATTTTTGGGAAGACTCAAGAACGCGGACTCCGCTAAAGTGGTCATTAGCGATGTTCGGAAAACGTAAGAGGCGCATTCGGTTTGCGTTACCCCAGAAATTGATTAATTGAGTTGAAACTAATTTGATGAACGTAATATTCAGGCAAACAAAAGAAAAATTAACCAACCAAGCTAGGCAAAAGGAAGGCGCCGAGAAGCATTTGGCGGATCCAGTGACGGCCGCCGAAGCGAGCGTACATCGAACCGCCAGCATAGCCGTTGATAGGAGAGCACGCGGCATAGACGAAAATGGCTGCCGACAGCAAAGAACCACGTCTTCAAATTTAACTTTCTTCGAAGTACAGATCACCAAGAACAAGTTATATAAATAATTTCGCGCAGCTACGACAAATAGCCTAAGAGGTGTTCGAAAGTGAAACCTCGAAATTTAAAAATCCGAATACTTTTTTCCTCGTCTTTGAAGTTTCAAAGTCACTTCCTATTTCTTTTGAAATTGTAAAAAAAGATTTAAAAATTGCATTAAAATCACGCTTTTTGATAGGAGTTTAAAAAAAGGTCAGCTGAACTCGTGAGGCCCTGAAACAAAAGGCTGTCGAATACGCGCGAAGAGGTATGAAAAAAATCATAGAAATTGCTTTTAGGTTGAACTTTAGATGCAAAAATGTTTTTAGCGACGGCTAAAAAAATCACTTTTGTGAGAATTTGTTAAATCTTTGATTTTTTTCAGTAACCCAGAAATTCGCTCGTTCATATTTTTTCTAACTATCCTTACACAGGATTAGGAACCAACGAAGTTCAAACCCGCTAACTAGAATCCGATTTCTGCTCAGAATCACTTATCGTTCTGACTTTGCAAAAACTCACTCAGTGTAGAATTCGCCGACAATGGCCAAGAGAATAGTGATGACGGCGACGGTGAAGACGTGGTAGCCAGCCCCGATGCAACTCGAAAAAAGAAGAGGCATGGTCGGAGGACGGAAGACGTCGCCATGCACCTGCTTCCAGCCGTATTCGTCTCCCAAATCGGCATCCTGTCAAGGAAAACTTTTATCAAACGAAACAGAGCGTCTAGAATACAGAGTTTGGAAACTTTCAAGAGAACTTGGTGCAGTTCTCTCTGTTTTCAATCCGTTTGATAGGAAACTCTTTGCCTTTCGTTTCACTGTATTAAAAACTGACCAAATCGTCGAGACTATCGTCTTTTTGATAGCGAGCGTAGTCTTTGCGCAGAGTTCGGACCAGAATCATCCAGACCAACCCTACGAGGAAGACCACCATCATAAAGCTGTTGAAGATAGAAAACCAATGAATCTTAACCAAAAGTGATTAGAAAAAACCAGAATTTTCAGTCACTCTATGTTGGAAGAAACTGGGGTCCAAATATTTGTCGAAGCGGTCAGCAAACGGCACTTCGGATTGAGACCAAATAACCTAAACCATAATCCGATCAAAAGACGAAATTTAGGTACTCCACCTCATAGCTAAACTCGATTTCAAGACCTGGCTTGATCTCCACACGACCATCCGAAGTAAGATTGACATCAATCACCTTAAAACCAAGTAAATACATTCATATTACATCTTTCCTATCTACAAAAAAAGTCGGATAAAAACTGCACCTGTTTATCGTTGTATCCGAGATCCAGCCGTTTATGGGTGTACAATTTGTACGCAGGAGGCTTCACCGTGCTATCAACCTCGCCGATCATTCCTGAAACGAACTTGATTGAAAATCATAGAAAGGCAAATGAAAGCCGAACCCCAAATTGGCATGTCGTCGAGATACATCTGATAGTAATAGCTGTTTTGAATAGCGTAAAGCAATGTTTTGTAGTCGGTCTCCGACAAAACGCGCTTACAGTAAATAGTTTTCGGTGTGTTCGCTAAATTACCAAAGTTAATAACACAAGGAAATTTTATGAACTAACTGCGGAACTTGATGTCTAGGCCAGAAAACTCTAACTCCACTCCTAAGAGGGATTCTCCAATCGTTTCATGATAGTGTCCGATAGATTGTTTGTCGCCTTTGCAAAAGGGAAGCGAAAAATACGTGTATGTTTCCTGCCTGTTGCTGTAGGGCCCAACCTGAAGAAATCAATCTGAAATAAAATTCGACAGACAAAAAATTCTTGAACGATTTTCCGCTATAGTCAAGAACTTTCAAAACTTTAACTTTTAAAAAAACAAACCGTGTTCATCCACAACACAACTTCTTCATCTACTTCGTAAATGTGATCGTGCTCGTCCGCTTCAACCAAAAACGAACAGAGCAACAGCAGGCCTACATATACCCGCATCTGAAAACTTTAATAAGTCTGTCGGATATTATAGGTAACTATTAAAAGTTGAAGCAAAACGAAAAACGAAAAACAGATAGAAAACTTGTTTTTGAGCTTTGCTGCCCGTTTAAAAATCATATAGACCGGATCTAGTTTAGTGAGAGCCGATTACAGAAATCTCGACCAACGTAGTAAAAATAAATCGACATTATTCTTCATAAAAAATAAAATGAGATTTGGTATAATTCATTAAAATGTATCATAAGGCTAAATCTATAATTTTCAACATATCAAACTGTTATTTGAAGAACTTGTGACAGTTTCAGAAAAGAGTTCCGAGAATAAAATGAATACAAAATGAGAAAATAAGATAAAACCCCTTTTCAAATTACGTGGCAACGGGGACAAGCGAGATTAAAATGCAGGAGAGGGTCGAGAGAAAAACCACAGTGACAGTGCGAAAAAAAATGTCAATGGAGCGAAGTTTACTAATATTTATAAACAGCTCCTGTCGAAATACGGGAAAACATCTTTAGTTTTTGTTTCAAGCGGTTTTATTTCATAGCACTTTTTTAAGCAACAAAAAAAAAAATTTAAAAAATGCGGGCAGTGCTAACTACGCAAACGATGCATTTAGTGACAAAGTAAGAACGCTTGTCCAATTCGAAAAAGTACGGCCTCTACCAAAAAAAGCGTAAAATTTGAGTTGAATTTCTTTCTTTTTCTATGTTAATTTTTTTCACTGAATTTATTGTTGATGGGTTTATTAAGTCAAGTTTTTTTGATCTTTTTGTGAATAAATATAATAAAGTGCATTTAAGGCTAGAAAATACGTAGGTAAGGAAATAAACATTAATTAAAAAACATGAAGCTGCAATTGATTCCATCATTTAATTAAGATCTTCGTGTTGCAAAGCCATGGCTTTTTCAACCAAAAAAAAATTGAGTATTCTAACTTCAAAAATGTTCAAACCAAGTTTCAAGCTAAAAAATCATCTTATAAGATCAGGGATTTTCGTTAACTCCAGTTAAGTGATGATGCGTATTTTTCGATTCGGAGACTGCATGCAATCTTCATATGGATAAACCTATACCAAGTAGGATTTTTCAAAAAAATCAGCATCGAAAACGAGAAGAAAAAAAGTAGACAGAGAATAAATTTGTTAAGCAAACTAAAATTAATGACTTCATTTTGGTTTAGACCGAACTATCCATATTTGAACATTTTTATGCGTTTCGTCCCTTCATGCACTGATCGCATTTTGTTAGCTGCTTTTTCTTACAATAACACTTGTGCGATTGAAATTCCGTGCATGTCAGAAAGAAGTCTATTATCGAGCTGAAAAATCGAAAATCGCCTTTAATATATCTCTGTTGTATGGAATTTTTGCTAATTTTTAAATTGTGCAAACTTTTTCTATATTGTGGACGTTCAAAATATTGAAAAATGAATGTTTCATAGTTTTATTGGACTTGCAGAATTATATTTTTTTCCGTAAAGTTTTGGTCCTTGCTTCAGAATCATATGCAGAGAATCGAAGCTGCAATTGAGAAAGCTGTTCGATATCGTGCGAATGGGATTCTTATAACAGAAACGTTCGACTTGGCTAGAAAACAAGCGGAGGCGGCTTTGCAAAATGGACAGACACCTTTTCCTGTGGTCATCAAGGATTGCTTCGCGTGCGTTCCAACATTTCTTGTGCATAGCTCTCTTTTTAAGCCTGAAAGATTATCCGACGACATGTTCTTCGATGATGCTCGAATCTTTCGTCCCGCCATATACATCCAAAGTGGTCGAGAAGCTGATAAGTCGAGGTTTTTCTTTCTTCGAAAATGTTCATGATAAAGACAACAGGCGCTTGTATTATCGGTAAAGCCAACCATGACGAGTACAGCATGGGAACGTCGAGCGTTCTCGGCCATTTCGGTCCAGTAAAAGTGAGTGAAATTGGGGACAAAGCAAAGGAAAAAGTTAGAGCGCTTTGGAAGACGCTTCAAAGTACGACTGGCTGGTCCCTGGGGGCAGTTCTGGCGGTTCTGCCGTCGCCGTACAGGCTGGTCTAGCCGATATGTGCGTTTTCTGTCTATTCACCTACAAGGAAACTTCTCAGGGCTCTCGCGTCTGACACTGGCGGCTCAACCAGGAATCCAGCGGCATTCAACGGAGTTTTTGGCTTCAAACCAACGTATGGAACTCTTTCGCGATATGGACTTGTTCCTTTGGTTTTTTTTTCATTTTTTTCATATAAATTTTTGAGGCGAATTCTCTTGATTCACCTTCAATTATTGCGCGTTCGGCGGAAGAGTGTTGGAAATATTTCGGTTTGAAACAGGCGTATTTATATATTTCAAATAATTTAGAGTACATGACGGGAAAGGAAGTTGATGATTCTACTTCTACTGATTCCACAAAGTATCTCGGAAAAAGTTCGATAAAAGGCCTGGTTGTGGGAGTTCCGCGGGTACGTCAAATTCCTATTTTTAGTTGAAAAAGATTTATTAAGGAATATCACAACGAAAAGTTATCAGAAGATGGGTGGCAGGTGTGGAACAGCTCTTTGAACAACCTGAAGAAAAACGGCGCTCTAATCAAAGGAGTAACGCTCCCTTTCACGAAATATTCTTCAGCTTGTTATCATGTCATAACTACTGTCGACGTTGCATCTAATATGGCCAGGTAGGCTTGACGAACCGTTGTTATTTACCCAAGCAGTCTGAATTTCGCTGTGCTTCTTTGGAAACGGGAAATCAATTTTTCGATATCCCCCGAAACCGAAATTTTGTTTTTGAAAGTATCAACTTGCAAAACTTCTCTATTAATTTTTTCATATCTTTCTTTTGTTGGCTGATGCCGTGTTCAAAGTAATTTCAGCGATTTTAAAATAGAAGCGATATTCGTTTAAAATGATTTCGGAAAATAGGCAGATATTCCGGGAAGGCGTGGAAAATTTGAGATATATCGCAAGATTTGCATTTTTACTGTGACTTCTTCCCCCCAACCTAAAATTTTGTAATTTTTCGGGCATTTTCTACGAAAAATTTGAATTCGCGCGTAAAACTCACCGTCAAAAAGGCATATCTTGCGATATATCGTTGCAGGACTCATTTTTCTGCGCCCTCCCGGAAGACAAAATATTTCTATTCCCCGAAGTCATTCTAAACGAATAACGCGACCATATGAAATCGCCGAAATTAATTTGAACACGGCATGAGACAATAAGACACTTGTAGAACAATTGTACATTCCAATAGAAAGTTTGGATTTTTCACATGAAAAGATCCAATTTTAACGTATTAAAAATAACAGTGCGATTTTTAGTGGATTTACTTCTTCATTTTTCAGAAATTGTGATAAATGGACAGAATACGATTCAGATACGATGGCATTGCTTATGGATATCGGCCTTCGGAAGAATCTTCAACCTACGCTATGTACGCCGAGTCTAGGAGTACTGCTCTGAACACAGTTGTACGGAAGAGGATAATCGCCGGCAACTTTTTGCTTCTTAGAAGGCATGTATTGAGAGAAAAAATGTGTTGATTTTAAATCATCGCTGAAGATTCAATGTAGTATGAAAGAAAAATCTGTTTGAGAAAACGGGATAAATTCTCAAACGAAAAAAAATAATACTAATCAAATTTCAGATACCGAAAAGAATTCTACGAACGCGCATTGAAGGTCCGACGCCTTATAAAAAATGAGCTCGACAAGGCTTTGGGAGAAGTCGACGTCTTAGTTACTCCGACCGCCAGTGGTACTGCGCCTATGTACTCTCAACTGCGCCAAAGTTCCTACTCCAGAGAGGACGAGGACGATTATTTCACGCAAGCCGCCAACCTCGCTGGTAACTCATCTCATCAATCGAAATCATCATTTGTCTCCGACCTTCCAGGAATTCCGGCAATATCGGTTCCCTTCGTCCGCGACTACAGTCTCCCTATTGGGATACAAGTCATGGCCGCAAGAAAATGTGATAAACTCGCTTGTGATGTAGGACAATTTTTATACAAAGTTAATTTTGTGAATAGTTAACATATATCTAAGTAGAACTCGATTATAGTCTTTTTATTACAAATAAATTGAAAGTTTATCTGATGTCTTTTATGGCGACAACTTCCTTCAAATGACAATGAACTTCAGCAAACAGCGCACATGAACACCATAACTGGCCTGTATGTATCGTCATAACTCTTTCTATGTCTCTCTGTCTACTTCTTCGCTTTCTATCAGCTTGACGAGCAGCGAAACTACGTATTTCAGATAAAGTTTTGCTTTTTAAGCGTAAAGTTTTCGAATTCCCCAATACGTGAAATACATTTTCACAATATTTTCATTTTCTTTAATGTTAAACTTCACAGTCGTACTGTTTCCATTGCTTCAATGAAAAAAAAATGAATTTAAAACTGTTTTTTGTAAGTAATTTCAGAAGAAGACTATAACTAAAAGTGACTCATCTGTTCAAACTTTAGAATCTTATCACCTTAAATTTCAATAACTACAGGTAAGTGGAAAAAAATCTTATTTGAATAGATGATAGGAATCAATGCTTTAGAACTAAAATATGATTTGATTGATTTGATAACGAGTTCAACATATTAAAAAGGCCGGTTGGCCACACGCATGTACACGGGAAAAATTCGGCTCTAAACAAAACCGTGCACTCGGTTGCAGATGTGACGTCATCGCATGGTGATGCACCACCGGCTTAAATTTTTTTTTCCTTTTTTTCTGTATTTCAAAGTGTAGTTGTATTTGCTTCTGATCAAAAATTCAAACTAGTTCAAAGAACGTATTTTTTTAATCTTCTTGCACAAACCGAATTGAGTCGTTTTAGTAGAAAATATGAAAAAAAAATTTCGATTTATGAGATTTCTTTCAAGTTGTACACTATACGCTATTCCAGAAAGTTCTCCTTTTTAGCTTTAGATCTTAAAAATTCGTCTTTTGAGCTCAGTGACTAAGTTAAAAACAGGTGGTATGAAAAAAAAGCTAGTGAACTTCCGAACGGCGACTTTTCCGATTTTTTCATATCGCTAAAGAACTTTCCGACGGCCACCTTTCCGACGAAACCTTTTCCGACTTTTTTCCCATATTTTTTTCGGTTTATAAAACATCTATTGACATTTTTTTTTTCCTATTTCTTTGTGTCTTAATCATGAATCAACTACCTACTTTATATAGGTAGGATCGAAACAAAGATTTTATCGAGAAAAAACGTCGGAAAAAGATTCGTCGGAAAGGTGGCCGTCGGAAAGCTCCCTATCGATATGAAAAAATCGGAAAAGTCGCCGTTTGAATTTTCGTTGGTGTTTTTTTCATACCACCTAAAAACAACAAATCCTCCCGAATAAAATAATAGAAGTTGACGAAAACGAGTTTTTTTTTAAAATTTTTTTTCATTTTGGTTATCACGTACTTTGTCAAGTTAGAAATACAATAGTTTTAATGTTTATCAGATTGATAGTTTTATTTTTATTTTTGAGTTTTTCAGTGCATGATCATTGCTTCAAATGGCTGCTTCAGACCCCACGAAGACTTCGGAAGAATCTAAAAGCGAGCCTCAAGTTTTTCTTACCAATTTATCTTTTGATTGGGGAAGTTTTCAGCAGAGAGAGGTGAAGACAGAACTTATCACTGCTGTTAACAGTTCAGCCGGCGACGAAGATGTGATTCTTACAGAAGATGTTGCGAGAGACTCACTAAATGAGCAAAATGATGACGGTATATAACTTGTACCTATTTTTTCCGAAATATGAAGCTCCCAGACTATCCCAAGATGAAGTCGCTCGAAGAAGTCATGCAAGAGTTTCTGGAAGAAGAAAAGTTTATGACCGCCACAGACTATATGCGAAGATTTTATGTGAGTTTTTTGCAGAAATGAAAAGAAAGAAGAATTGAATTTATGGAAAGATTTAGATGTCTCTGTAAAATCTTTTCTCGTTACATACCGAAGAATAACATTTATTATACACTAAGAATAACTGACGAGATAAACGCGAGGTCAGTGGCGGTACATTGACGAACTCGCAAAAATGTCGCCTTTTTCTAGGCGCGATCTCGCATTTCTCTCGGCGCGAACTCGCATTTTTCTCGGCGCAACCTCGCATTTATCTTGCATTCCGGAAATTTTCAGATTGCGAGAGAAATGCGAGCTCGCGCCTAGAAAAGTGCGAGCTCGCGCCCAGAAAAATGCGAGACCGTCGCGAGAAAAAACGCGAGATGTTTGCGAGCTCGTCAATGTACCGCCAGCGTCTCGCGTTTATCTCGGCAGTTATTCTTAGTGTAGTTTTACAAGCTTGGAATATGAATAAAAATGAATGAAGTTAATCGTTTTCTGTAATAAATTTGACATCACAGGCTGCTTTTTATTGGGAAAACTTTTCATCTATTTTAGATGGCTTTCAATATTCCCACATTCAACTGGTTTTACTTGTTTGTGAAAGTTTCTTTTTTAGCAAATTAGGGTCGAACAAGAAAAACTGCGGTCAGAGCCCGAGTTTTCTTGCGATTCAGCATGTTCTCACCTCCACTATGCTCGCAACCGTTATCGGGACATTTTGCCATGTAATTTTTTGGATTATTTTTTTTTTCATAATAACCAAGTTATTCTGTTTCGAATCCTCAGATGACCACAATCGGGTGACAATACAAAAAGGCGATGAAAATCCAGACGGATATATGAATGCTTCTTTTATCCAAGTTCCTGGCGGGGAAACAAAATTCATCGCAGCTCAAGCACCTTTGCCCGCCACTTTGGATGAATGGTCAGCTAACAATCTCATCTTCAAGATGAGTTAACGTTTTCATCGACCTCAACGTTTTTGCAGGTGGAAAATGATTGACGAACACCAAGTTTACGTAATAGTTATCCTCTGTAAGCTTGTCGAAATGAATAAGGTTTTTTTTTCTAGCCGCTTTATTGCATAGAAACCCATACAGATTAAATGCGAAAGATACTGGCCGGCAGAAGTAGAGACCTCGGAGATTTTTGGCGACTACGAAATCACACTCGAAAAAGAACAAACGTAAGTTTTTTTTTTAAATCTTTCTTCTTTTAATTTCTTGTAAAAACTATACATCGGGGAGTAATGATCCCTCAATATTTTTCTATTCTTCAGTAGATGTTCAGGTTTGAGGACGATGAGTACCTTCTTCGCGTTTTAACTATGCGAAACTTGGAAACAGATGGAGTCAGAGAGATTCACCAACTTCATTACAGGTGAGTCGATCCGAATTTAAATGGAAAATGAAATGAAAAATGATACGGAGTCAATGAATTCGCGCAGGGAATGGCCTGATCACGGATGTCCATCAGGAGAAAAGCAGCTTCTGAACATGGTCGAAGAGATGGTCGCACTCCACGAAAGAACCTCCGCGACTTCACCAATATTAGTTCATTGCAGGTAAAAATCGTGTGAGCATTTTATAAAGATTCGCTCGGATCGGGAATAGTAAACTGATTGGAGTATTTTGTAACAGTAAAATATTTTGGTTCCGTAGACAAGGGGATGTGGTATTGAGAAGAAGTTTGGAGGGCTATTTCAAGTTTGCTGCCAAGAAAGTTTTTAAAAAGTTTTCTTCCAGTGCGGGCGTCGGCAGAACGGGCACCATCATCGCAGTCAATCACATCCGCGAAAGAATGAAGGCGGCGAAACTCGATCCAGTTGATCTCTACCAGTTGGTTCTGACGTTACGCAGGCAGAGAGCCAGCATGGTTCAAACACAGGTTTTTGAATCCTGAAATTTTTTTGGGATTTTTTTATTACTGGAGTTTTTTTCTAACAGTTGTATCAATATTATTCTGATAAAAACTCTCACGAATAATCTTGAGTCTTGCTTCGATGAGTTGATTTAGTTCTCCTTCGTTTATAAGATTCTGATTTTAAACAATTCCTTTTTTCAAAAAGTGTCATTATTGCTACCTCTCAAAAGAAAGACAGAAGTGAAATCGAAAATTAGTTTTATAAAATTGCAGGATCAGTTTCAATTCGTGCACAAGTGTGTGGCTACATACTTCCGTCAACATTTGGGGATTCCTGAGCCGGAGCCGACGCCAGTGGTGAGACCCGAACCAAAAAAAAGACCATGGGCTTTTTGCAGATGCACTCGCAAAGCTCTTATTCCTTGCCAGTGCGATTGATAGCTCCGCCGACTCCCACAGAACAGTTTTCCGCTCTGGGGGAAGATTCCACAGCTCATTCCTCGAATTCAGATGTGCCATCCTGTGAGGAGGCCAACGTCGACGCCGATTTGAAGCCTGTTCCCGGTTCGTGATCCGTTTGATGTCTTTCAACTGAGGTAGCAACTTTTCCAAACGCTTTCTTCTTTTTTTTTTTGGAAGGATCGTCTAGGTTTTTAAATCATATTTTTTTAGAAGAAAGACGAAAACAAAAAAACAGTTTATTAAAAAGAAAGCCACACAAGGAGATTGCGACAGTTTGGGAGCGTTGCTGTGAATTTTAACAATAAATTATGAATTTTAAAATGAATTTTAACAATACATTTTTTTCCGATTTTGCTTTTTCTTAATGAATTCAAACCCCTTAAACTTAGTTAAAATGCATCTTTAATTCAAATTATTCTCAAATTTTTAATTTATTTTACTTCAAAAAAAGATATACCTTCTGTGATCTATTTTCAAATGGAATTTTGCAGAATATCCCGACTTTCCTCCTTCACCGACAGGACCCGAAGAGTTTGAAACGCTATTTTAATCTAATGGTGGTTTTTTTTCCTTGCTGCAGATGAGTCTGTTTGATAATCGGTTTTTTTTTCTCATTCTTCTTTCAGCTTGATCAGATATTCCAAAATTTTCTTGTTATTTTGAGTAGCTCCTATTTATGCTTTGAAAAATAATTTTTTATCAAATGGTTGAGAGTTTTCAAACTTTTCTTTGCTCCCCTCAGCGATTTTAACATTGAATTATTTACTTTTACAAATGTTGCCTTTAGAGGTCGCAAGCAATAAATCAAGAAACGGTTTTGAGCTTAGTTTAATTGTAGACGGTGTTCGTCTGGGATATATTCAGATAATCGGGAAATTATCTAGAAACAAAGCTATATAAATTCAAAAAAATAATTTTTTTCGCGAGCTCGAGAAAAAAACCGTTTTCATACTTATTGCTTGCGGCCGTAGAATATACCTCCTTGAATCTAAAAAAAACATTTCTTGTAATTAAAATTGAATTGGGTTCGATGTTTTACATTCTTTTTATTTTTCAATAATTGTGTAATTTTTTGAAGTACTTATTAATTGTTTACGAAGCTCGGTTGAAATATCAAGTAATTATTTGAAGACGGGCGCTGAAATTTTGGAAAGAAAATCTCGAAATCATGAAGAGTTGTGTGAATTTTCTCAAACAGTCAAAGTTTTAGAATACCAGTACAAGTTGCCGAAATTTGTGCCATTCACCCTTGTTTGATTATGAAAACCCGTTTTACACTTTCACTTTTAAAATGTTGTGATAACTATTTTGAAGAATTTCCTCCATTCAGGTTCTCATTAGTAACAGTTCTTACGATAAAATTTGGTGAATTTTTTGTGTTTAAAATATCACATAATAGTCGCACTAACAGTATAATGCCTACCGCCTCACTAGATGATGTGCAGCACGCGATCCTCAAGTAGACGTCAGAATGAAAAATTCAAATTAATAAATAGAAGTTATCTCACCAGGGAACGTTTTTTACCCCCCGGTTGAACTTTTGCTGAAGTGTACTTTAGGACCCCCAGATTGCATATCAAGAAAAAAATTCTCGCAAAAGATCTTGTTTCCGAGTTTTCGAGCTTCGAAGTGCGCAAAATACGCAAATTAGGCCAAAAAAGCGCTATTTCGGGTATTCGAAGTGTCCTAACTCGAAAACGAGATCTATTGCGAGAAATCGTCTTTTTGTTCTGGAATCAGGGGGTCCTAAAGTACACTTCAGCAAAGTTTCAGCAAAAGTTCAACCGGGGGTGAAAAACGTATCCTAGTCAGACAGAACTGATTTTGTTGGATTTCTTATGCTCATCATATAGTTCTATATATGCTCATTGTTTCAAAACTATTTCAGGAGTTCTAGCAATTTTTAGAGGAAAGAGTAAGTTTTCTTCTGAAAAAATTTTCATGCATGGAAGAAATTCACTCTGAACTGGAGCGGCTAAGGGCGCGCCCGAGTTTTTCTCTGCCTGCGAGAAAACGACGAAATAGCATGCGGCAGAGAAATGTTCGGCCAATCAACTAACTGCGCTCCACCGACAATTCCCTCCCGGCCCCCGATCATTTCGTAAGCCCGGCCTTAGCGGGGCCTCATGCCGTGTTCAATTTGATTCCGCGAAATGCAAAATACCTGTTAGAGAAAGGAAAAGATCACTAAATTTCGGAGAGTCAGAGATCATTTTGCATTTCGCGGAATCAAATTAAACACGGCATCAAGAAAAAATGGCCCGCCCGGCCCGAAGCGCGCAATTTTTTCTAGTCGGATATCAAGTTTTTTACGACAAAAATTACGTTCTTGCTCATTTTTTCACTTAAACTTTAACAGAAACTATGATTTCAGAAGTAAAAGTCACATTTCGGTGAAAATTTTTTAAATGAGATTTGCCCGAGCCCACGCGGGCTTTTTCCTGAAAATGAGGCCCGAAGCCCGGTTTTTCTCTGCCGCATGCTGTTTCTTCCCCGTCTGATTGCGAGAAATCGACGAAACCGCATGCGGCAGAGAAATTTTTGGGCGCGGCTTCAGGCGCTCCAAGTCAGAGGTCAGCCTATCGCCCCCTTTTTTTTTCTTTCTAAGCCCGAACCAAAAAGCTCGAAGTTTCTTTAAATCGAATATATCATGCCACGTTCAAAGTGATTCCGCGAAATAAAAAATAGCCGTCAAAGATTAAAAAAAAGATTGAATTTCGGAGAGTCAGAGATAATTTTGCATTTCGCGAAAATTATTTTGAACACGGCATCAAGCTTTTTTCAAGACAAAACTTATGTTTCTGCTTATTTTTTCACTTACACTTAGCGTTCAATGGAAACTTTGATTTAACAAGTATAAATATAATGTCCTTGAAAATGGTTTTAATGAAATTTGAAACCTTTTTCGAAGCCTGGCCCGGGCCAAGCCCGCGCAGGCTTTTTTACGAAAATGTTGCTCAAAGCCCGGGCCGCCCGGTCTAAAGATCGCCACAACTCTTTCTCTGAAACACACTATTTTGTCGTTATCTAGCTGCTAGAAAAATAAGAAATGGTGTAGGTCAGAGAAAGAGTTGTGGCGATCTTTATACGCCCCATGTCAAAGTAATTACTTTGACTCACATTTCCGTGTTTTTTTTTTCGTTCCATCCAGGCTTATGCGTCAGGCAGGGCGAACTGGTCCAGGCTTCGGGCTTCATTTTGCGAAGAAGCCTGCGCGGGATTGAAAGCTAGGCTTTGAGAAAAGTTTTGATGTATTAAAAAATTCTTATTCTGACAAAATTCACAAAAAATTTTTTTCTTTGATAAGTTATAGTTTCTAGTAAACTTTTAATAAAAAAAATAAGCAAAAACATTGTGTTCGTTTCAAGAAGCTTTATTTGTGACTTGAAAAAAAGCTTGAGCTTTTTTGGGACGGTCCGACCATTTTTTGACTTGAGGTCTCGTTTTACCGCGCCTATTCGGGCTCAGAAAATATACGGGGACCGATCCTTGCAATACCCTTGTTCTTTCATCGTTTTTTTTATTTGGTCGTGTTTTTTCATATGATGAAGAAGTCTAAAAAAGTCTATAAGAGTTACCACGGCTTTTTTTTTGTTACTTTTCATATACAAGTATTTCACGTGCAAAGGTATCTGAGAATTCAGAAATTTTCCATTCGTAACCCGAAGTGCAAAGTCATGAAAGAGCTAGGCAAAGAAAAGGATCATAAACTGATGATTTTCGGGGTCGCCAACTCTATCTCCATGTCATTTGCGTGAGTCAAGATTTTTATTCGTTTTACCACCGAAAAAAAATTGCAGATTTCCTTCTGTTACCTCCTACACATGTGAATTTAACAATAACACCCCGAAAGGTAATTTTCTCTTTTTTTTTAAAGAAATTGAAATATTTCTGGCCGTCTCAGTGCCGGGTGAGTAATTGTCTTATTTAAAGCTCGCAGCGAAACAGTTTTTTTGGTTCAAAGGCTCACGCCAGCCGGTCAGATTACGGTAGTCAGGATAAGTTTTTCGGTAATAAAATGAAAGCGAATGTACTTTTTGTGACGTACCTTATCTTGTAACCTCAAGAAGTAGGTCTTTAACAAGTTGCGAAAAGGAAAAAACATCAAAAAAATTTCCTGGCTCCGAAACTGACGGCGCAATATTGACCGGCCCCGTAACACTGTCTTAAACATGCGTGGGCTCGAGCCGAAACTCAACAGAATCTCACAGCGTTATGGACGGCTTCGTTTTTTCGACAAATGTCCCGTATAGCTTTTCTTTCAAACGTTTTTTTTGCCAGTAGGCGGAGCCAACCAATGATGCTCTGCAAATCTACCTAGTGTCCCTGCGTTTCTACTCGTGTTGTCGAACGAGAAAAACCGTTATCCCAAGCACGTCTAATTAGCGTTTAGCGTGGCCTAAAGTTGTTCGAAAAGCCAAAATCTTCATAACGTGGTCATCCAAGAATTTTTCATTTTTTTTTTTATTCGAAAGGTCAAAAAATCTAGGCAAAGGAAATCGAAAAGGCTTGACCATGTTTTAAATGCATATTATCTCAGATCTACAGAACCGAAGGCATGCGATAGCCAGTTTCATTCAAAAAACGTTGCTTGAATTGGAAGATCATAAATGTCAAGTTTGTTTGGTGAGGAACTCGTTTTTTCGAACCAATTGCCATTTTTTCTAGTACACTTTCGGAAGAACTCAAGAATCTTCGGTTTCGGGAAGCTACCCATACGATATGTTGGCATTCAATGAGTGGTTTTTTTTGACTTAGATTTTAAAATCACCTTTGATCTACATTTCGATTCAGCCTCACACAGTTAGAGTCAACTTCTAACCTTGTTGCTACCTCTGCCGTTAGTGTGGTTTCTACCAAAGTTTGTTGATAACCGTAAATAATTTTACAGACGAAATTGTTTCATTAGAAAAGCGTTGGTCGCACTTATACCTTAGCGCGTTGCGGTTGCGACACAGCTCTTTCTGAAGCCTTTTTTTTAGATTTCATTCTCCGATAGTTCTTCGGGAATGTTCTTTTCGTTGATATTGAAATTTAAGTTCAATGAATAAAATTATGAAGAACCGAATTTTTAATAACTTATCAGGCCTTAATCGTAAAAAGGTACTCCAATAAATCTGCGTCAAGGCGGAAATTTTCTGCCTAACCTCACTTAACAATCGAAAGAAAGATAAAAGTGTAGAGGCTTGTATTTCACTATGATGTCATAATGATATTTTCTGTTCCTGTATTGTGTGAGCTTCAATCACAGCTCATCGGATAAAAAACTCTTTTCTTTTTTTTATTACCTTTTATTTTACAGATTTTGGCGACTCTGAATGAGCATAAGGGTGCGGCATCTCGTATCATTTTGTTCTTGGATCTAGAGACCTTTGTTTCTACGGTAAGAAAGCACAAGAACACTTTCGAATCAACAAATACTAATTCTCTTTTTCAGTTGAAAGTTTTTGTTTTAAATTGCCACTTTTGAGAGCCATGATTACTTCGAAAAATTTGCTGAAACGGCTGAAATATGCGTCTACTTATTTGGCGACGTTACTCAGTTTTACGAGTACAAGGAAGAGCTGCGTAAATTTAAACCTTCAACAAATTTCCGTTTGAAACTTGTGTAATATACTGAGCACATTCAATGAAAATTTCAAAAATTGCAGGGCAGAACCTTCCGACTTGATTTTTATTGCTTCCCCTTTCAAAAAAGTCTTGCCTCCTCCTTGCATTTTTTCCAAGAAAGCCCAGCTTTACTTCGGAAATTTACAATGTGCTGTTGAGGTCAGAAAGGAGTTTGTTTCCTTTTTCTAGAAGATATTTGAATTTTAGTTAGTCAGCGATGTAGCCACTATACCGTACGAGAACATTTCTGTTGTGGGAACAATTGAAGCCGATGAAATGGGGTTGAGATATCTCAATGCGCCTGCCGAAAATGTTGTCTTCCTTTATGGTGTCAAAGGTTGTTTTTTCATTGAATTTTATGAAAATTTGAATCATGGAAATCACAGAAGCTTTTTGTCGAGTTTGTTTCTATTTCAATTTTTTCTCAGATTGCATCTTGACTTAACAAACTGTTCGCGTATAAGTCTCTGATCCTAAATACCTAAGTAATACTTGAAATTTCTTGTCTGAATTTTGACTCCATACTTGTCTATGTCACTTAAAGGCGTATTGAATTGAAAAAATAGACAATAGGCTGTAAAAAATCGAGTTTGAGATAAATGTGCCATTTTTATAGCTCTTTGTTCGGTGTCGAACGGTGCACTTGAAAACGTAAAGATCTTCCTAATTCTTTATGGAAATTCAAAGTCAAAGAGGTAAAAAGTTTGAATAATCTAAACAACTTTCTATACATCGACTACAAGTATATAACAAAATTAAAAGGAAAGAAATTAAAATCGCGTTTCTCTTCAAAATCACTCATATCTGTGATTTTTCGAGTGGACCGTTCGAAACGCAATACAAAAGCCCTATAAAATACTGATTTCACATCTAACCCCATTTTTTACTTCTCATATGCCTATCAATACACAAAAAGATCTCTGTACAGGTCAAAGATAAGACTTTTTATTCAGGCAGAGAGAATTCCAAATCAAAGGATGTGACAATTGTTTCGGAGGAATTTTTGACAACTTTCGCAACTGCACTGTATGATGAAAACGCTATGGCGCTTTGCAACTGCCGTACTCGAGAGAAAGCAGATGCCTTGGCACTTTTGATGGCTACCAGTCTGACCCATGATGGTCTTTTACACGTATCATGGCGAGTCAAAGCTCTTTTTGTTCAGGAAAAGTGAAAGGGTTGATGTTTCTGGTCCCTGCACCGTCTGAAGCTCATATGTTGAATGCGTTTGCTCTCCACAAAGAGACTGAACTCGTAAGTCCGCCTTTTTCGGTTTGAACGAGCAGAGTAATGGAATATGAGGGTCGCCCAGAAGAATAGAATCCGAAAACTTTGTTCAACATATCTTTTTGGATTTATTCTTACAGTTGTTTATAGGAAGAACTTCAAAATTGAAAAATTTTCCACAGATTTGTCGTTTTCCAAACCGCTCTACACAGGGAACGGAAATAAAGAAGAAAGCGAACGAGAAATCGAAAATGAGCAGAGTTCCTCTTTGCACCAGTGAAATAGCCCTTGGCTCGGCCGTGACCCAACTTAAGAAGGCGATTGACCAGCAAGACTGCGCCTCTTTTGATACGGTATTTTCTATGTCATTTTTATGAAACTTTAGTGTGAGTTTCTTATTATTTGAATCAGAATGAGCGTCTTGTTTTTAAAAGAAAAGTTTTTATATTTATTTTGTCTACTCACCCGTCTTATTAAGGTTATAGCTTGGATTGACAAAGAACTGACCGCCGCTGGCAGAGATATGAGCGAAATTATCAACTATATCCAGGATATCGAAACGGAGGGCGACATCAAGGTTGGTGGATATTTATGGGAAAATAAATGGTGGCTCTTTGAAGAAACAAATCGACAAATGGATCAAAGAGATGTCAAGCCGATTAAAATGAGATTGACTTTGAAAAGGTCTACTTTACGGTTCACCTAGAATCAATAAAAATAATATACGGATGCTTCAAAATAGAAGTGAAAAATGAGCAATTTAAGTTCCCGTAATATTATATCTAAATTTTACCCAAAAGTCAGGCACAGAAAACCCGTGGGTGAATTGAAGAGGATTTACATGGTATTACATGGATCTCTTGTGTCAAGGCAAAAGCCGTTTTCGTCATAATCAAGAGAGGAAGATCAAGTCTGTCTATTTCCATCCTCGAAATGTACCAATCGCGGCGAAGAAGATCTTGTGGTGACGTCAGGACCTTCGATAACAATAGTAGGCACCAGAAGTGATGTCGTCATTGGAGAGGTCGGCACTGGAGGAATGATTTTATCGCCGACTGCGATTTTACTCAGCGACTCGGCGACGCTAGTCAGACTGATTCGGTCGGCTTCTGCAGGGTCTTGGTCTGCCTCGTCGGGGCCAGACGTCGCAAGTCCGCCGTTGTAGCTCGTCGTGGACCTCCTTGATGGCGATCTGTCCAGGTTGCGTCGGGATCGGAAAGAAGACCGGATTGAGCCGGAAGAGCGCCGACGTTTGTAGAACTGATCTATCACATGATTCTCTAATTTGATCACCTGAACCGTTAGAGTATTGGAGGATTATTATTTGTCCGCCTACTTTGTCGATTGATTTTATGAACTCGACTTCGTTGAGGACTTTGAAGTCGAAGTTGGTGGCGTCGGAGAGTAGATCTCGGAACAGGACTATTGTATCATCGTTCTGAAATTGCGTCGTGTTTACAATGAGCTTTCGGCTAAGTTTTGTTTCTGTAATGAGCTAACAAAGGGAATGTTTTTGGTTGTCGGTTGAACTTTTGATGAAACTTTGCTGAAGTATACTATAAGACCTCCTCTTTCCAGAGCACGAATAAAATTTCTCGCAATAGATCTCGTTTTCGAGTTATGAAGCTTCAAAGTTTGTACGCTGAGTAATTGCTGACCGGTGTTCGAAACTTTTTGCCATAACTTCCCTGAGAGGAATCAATCGACATTGTTGAAATAGATCCAAATTTTTTTTCCAAAATAGCAATTTTTTTCCTTCGACTCATTCATAGAGCTAATCAATAGATCGCTTTCTGTATTTTTTTCAAAAAGCTAGAACGGATTTATTTTTGTTTCTGTGGTGTATATTCGATTCGATTCCTTTTAAAATATCAACTGCACTGAAACGCTAAAAACCGTTGATTTTTTCCCCTCAAAATAGAAATTATTCCTCATGTTTATACGTCGAAGAACTTTTTTTTATCGGTAAACCGAATCAAAAGGAGAAGCTTTGTTATTGAAAAGAAAATTTCGATCTTTTTCAACATTGTCGATTGATTCCTCCCTTGGAAGTTTTGGCAAAAGCGAGTTTCTTCAAAAATTTTCGACCTTTGTCATAGGCACCGCAGCGCAAGGACGGTAGCCACTACACCACGCTGCCAACTGGAGTGTATGGCTCGTACGCAAGCCAGATTCCCTCTTGCCTTGCAGCACTTATTCAGCGTTCAAAATTTGAAGCTTCATAGCTCGAAAATGAGAGCTATTGCGAGAAAGTTTATTCGTTTTCTGAAAAGAGAAGGTCTTATAGTACATTTAAGCGAAGTTTCATCAAGAGTTCAACCGACCACCAAGAACACTTCCCTTGTGAGTTTTTTTCCCGTAAGACCTACGGTTAAAATGGTTCGATTATGACCTCTATTTGACCGAACCGAACGCAGAGCATAGCCAAATCGTAGAAAACCCGCAATCGGCTCGGATGTATGGCACGCCGCCAAATTCTTCTCCCCATCATGAATATCTCGGCGTATTCACGCCTGACATCGAGCCAAAGTTTCTGTTTTTCTTGGGAATCCATCATAATCGGCGCCAGACGGTAGTAGCATGCATAAATCGCCGCCTCGTACCTGCACCATAAGAAAAGAATGAGAATTCCATGTTATGACTCACCAGGCAAGGTAGCAATATTTTTTGGAAATGTTGTGAAGACGATCGAGCCAATCATAACAAAGCTGTTTGCGTTCCTCGGGAGTGCCGCTTTCAGGGTCGCTGTACTGGAAGCGGAACAGGTCGTTGGCTGTCCAGTCGTCGCCTTTCCTTCGAAGTCGCTCCAGCTCGTTCGTCGGCTTCCGGTTGAGTTTAGAAGCCGCTCGACGCAACGGTCGGTCTGTAGAACGCAAATCAAAAAGTTCTAAATTTTGATTGAAGTACAAAACACCTCGGCCCATATCTAAAAGTATTCGAATAAAAGAAATATAAAACACGCAAAATGTTTTAAAAACGTTTATTTGCTGTATGATATTAAAAAATAAAACGATAAGAAACAAGATTTTTCAATAATTCATTTTTCAACAGTTTTCAGTTTCTGATTTCCTTTAAAATTATAACTTTGAGCTCATTAAAGTTTTCAAAGTTCGATTTAAGATTTGGGTATCCTCTAAAAATTCAACTCGAGTGCATAAATCACGTTCAAAAAGAATTCCAGAGTTTAACCTTGAAAATATTTTTGTCCCAGAGATAAACACTTTTTTTTCTGACGAACGAAAGCACAAGACGATGGGCAAAGATCCTGAAAGCCGAAGCGGCTGTTCACTTTCGATAACATTCGTGATAACGCAAAGAAACGTGACATTCGATTCTTCGGTGCCGGCTAGGTACCGTCATGAAAAAGAGACTCTGCTCGGATTCCCAAACTTTTGTTCCGTGATCAGAGTTTGAACGGTGCTTCACATTTCTTTTATCCCCACTCAATCCGTTTAGTTGGATTTTTGGTCATTGAAACATTATTTGTCGGACCGACCGGGAAGAGGATGCAGCTTGGCTTGGCTTTTCCGACGTTCCGTGTCTCCGACGGTGTCGTCGCGCAGACAACGCTTCACTCGCACGACGCAACGACGGTAGTGCGCCAGCAGAGATGAAGTCATCTCCGTTTTGAGCCGTCGCCATTTGCGTTGCAGAAATCCCGGCTTGATGTGCATCTGAAACATTGACTTTTTCCATATTCGAAAGTTATGGAAATAGTCTGAGTATAATCACGTAGTGCTTGAAAAATTGGTGACTTTTGACAAAAACAGGGTAATTAAAATCTTTGGGTGAGTTTTTCAAAATTTTTTTCAAATGAACCTTTTTCCAGTGTCAGTAAGATTACACATTGCAGAGAAGAAGCAATTAAAACGCACGCGGTGATAACTTTCGGATTTGATGGCTCTAGAAAAGTGACTTAAAACGTGTTTTGACTATTGCTCGAGCTTTTATTGATTCGAAAAATTTTCCAAAATAGGTTTTTCAGTATTTGCATGTACTTTCCTTGCATATGAAAACGTTTTTTATGGTTAGTTTTAATATTTGAAAGAAAAGAATGAAAATAATTCAGTGCTAAGGTACCTAAATTATTAAGTTTTCAAAACTTTTTTCAAATTGAGTTCAAAGTCACTGGGACGAGCAAAAATGATGTAAATGAATGTTTGAGTTCTAAGAGATGCGGTATCTATTTTAGATAAAAACTGCCCACATATGTTTTCGAGCGTTTCGGGAAAGTTATAGACAGCTGGCTGTTTTTTTTATAGACTTCTCGTTTCAGTTCTTGATCTTTCTTCAAAAATATATGTAGTTTGATGAAGTGAGATTTTTAAAAATTAGTAATTTTCTTTTCAAAAAGTTATATTCTGCTGTTAAGTTTTCATTTTAAACTTACTTTTTCTGTTTCAAGCTCTGTATCGGCGGTTTTAGTTTTCATGGCACAATTACTAGCATTTCCCGCGCACTGCGATCAGATCTGGAAAAAAAAAATAAGGATTAGTACTAACGCACAAGGTTCGAAATGAATATGGGAACGAAAGAAAGCTGGATTGTCGCCATATCTGTGCATTTATCTATATAAATTTCCGTCAATTCTGCTGTTTTGATTTTTTTTTTACCTTCTGCTTTTGAAGTCTATAGCTACACAGCCTTTTCAGAGGGAAAAAGAGTGAAATCGAAATCTAACCAAACTGGAGAGTTGATAAACTTTTTTTCAAAGTACTGGCGGAGGTTTCGCGTAACAGGATAAGCTAACCATCTGGTTACGAACTGAAAAAAAATTAATTTTGTTCGAGCCGTTTTTCCAACGATTCTTGTTGAAGGAACATGTTTGCCTTTTTTGTGATGATTTGAAAAACTTTTTTATGAACATGAACTGAGTTAAAGTTCTGCAGGATCAGCGTCACGTTGCATTAATACCAATGAAACCATTAACACCGGGTAAAACAAAATAAAACAGGAAAAAAAAAGTAAAATTTAAGAATAATTTTATGAGATAGTTTGTAAGAGAATGGAAGAAGCACCAGAGAAGGCGTTGGAACTTTTTTTTGAATATCTAGCTGTCAGGTAGTGTTTCAGAAAGAAACTCGTATCAGAAGAAATAACCTATCACCGTGATGCAAAAGTGAGAAGTAGTCAAGATGTAATCACGAGAAACAAAAGTGGGAAGAACAGAAAAGAGTGCGGAAGGAGGGGTCGAAGACAGCGAAACGTGGTGCCGCATGTGTGAGACGAGCAGCCGCCGCCGCGCCAACTGCCGCCGGGGCAGATGCTGCCGCACGTCATTTGTTCCGCCACTTCTGAATTTCCTCGACTCCAATTATGTCGAAACAACCGAGAAAAGTTGATTCATCTCGAAAAGTTCACATGTGTTTTTACAGTGATTTTTGAAAAATTCGCGTCGCTGGAAAAATCTTGAGATTTCAAATTTCTGATTACCACGAAGTTCTAAATAAAAACGATGAAACTAGTCAACTTTTAAGCTTCAAAAGCTCTGTGAACCAATGAGGTTCATTTTGAACAAAATTCAAATTGGACCACTTACTCGGTTAAATAGGGTTTATTCTGAATTTTTTCTCATAAACTCATGACCTCACGCTAGAGTCAAAAGTTGGTGAAAAAATGGGTATTCAGGCTTTTGATATGTATTCGAATAGAAACGATTTTCAAGCTACTGTATCTGCGAAGAATATATTTCTTTCTTTCTCGCTTATTTGAATAATTCCAAGAGATCACTTTTCGAAAATCGAAAGCTCAAAATATTCTTCTCTAAAGTACACATCAGAAATTTCGTGAACAGCAAAATGACGACAGCCGCATCCTATCAGCTGGTGAATTCGAAAAACAATACCGCAAGTGACAATCCTCATAATTCCCATTTTTGAATATGACACCTTTTTTAAAAATCTTTTCTGATATTCAAAAAAAAAACTCTGAAATCTCTCAGTCACTTCGAATTGCAGCGAATTCTTTTCTTTTCAAAATAATAAAAAACATTTTTTTATGTATCAGAGAATCATTCAAAAAAAAGCAAGATAGACGTAAGGCGATGCCTTTTTTAGAGGCCAGTGGAAGGGAAAAAGGAAAAGCCACGCAATTACTCTAATATATGGGCCAGAAGGTCCGAATTCTAGGCTTTTTCAGCTTGGTTTTTCATTAAACCTACCCCGTTTTTCTTCGAAATTTCGAAGCTTGTATTAACTAAATTTTAATCATTTATTTATAAAGGATGAGAGCGCGCGGCCAGTCAGGAGCAAAAGAAAGCGACGATCTACCTGTCAGGTGTGCCGTTTGTTTGTGCAGCTTGGTTGTAGGCAAAGTTCGGAAAATGGCTACCCCAACCCTTCGGGAGTCGATTTACAACTTTTTTTCTCTTTTGTAGAGTGTCAATGAAGCGCTACCTTTTTGTTTTCCACAAAAGAAAAAGAAAAACCGCCAAATTCAGGAACACTTGGAATTTTTTGAAGCTTCAGAATATCTATAGAAACTATTTCGTGAAGACTAATGGGAAATGGTATTTTTTCTTTTTGTTTTTGAGAAAAGCCGCATAATCAGACATTGGTAACGCAAAATGGACGTGCTGCGGACGTTTCTGGGCGATTCTAGGAAAAAGTCACTTAAGAGTGCTGACGCTACTGAAGTGGTCACTAGTAATGTCCAGAAAGGTCCGGAGCACCGCCGTATGTTGTTACGTATGTCCGAGTATGTTTATGAAATGAATGGCCTTTTCGTGAGAACTTAAACGACGGGATATTTCATCAAAGAGAGAAAGAGACTTGAAGCTGTTTATAAAACAAGTGGTTTTCGATTCAACACACGATTTCTGAGAAAATCGATGGCTTTTCGGTAATCGAAAGCAAAACAGAAAAAAAAATGTCTTATTTGCTTCAAAATGTGACAACAGCTCACACACGTGCTTCTGATTATTAAGCACCAGGTTCCAAGTGGCTCCGCCCCTTTTTAGGGTTACTGTAGAGAGTAAGCTGAAAAAAAATTTTGTTTCCTGGTGAGAATTTTCAGTCAAAAATGTTTGGAATGTAAGAAAACACTATTTTGAGTAATTTTTCAAGACAAACTTGGGAAAATTCCAGAATCGCCCCCCACACTGTTTTTGCCCCCCGCGTTCCAACAAGCCCCCCACCAAGCCAAATTCCGATCTGCGGGGGGTAAAATCGGAGGACTTCATGTGGGGGGTAAAATCAAACGCGGGGGGTGAGTATGTATTCTAGAATGGCCCCCCGCAGTACAAAACGGGGGGCGATTCTGAAATGCCTAGGCAATCTTTCATATTTGCCCCCCGCACGACTTTGAAATAGTCCCCCAGAGCTCATTCGAACAAGCCCCCTCCCATTTCAGAATGACCCCCTCTCATTTCAGAATGGCCCCCTCTCATTTCAGAATGGCCCCCTCCATTTCAGAATGACCCCCTCCATTTCAGAATGGCCCCCCCTCCATTTCAGAATGCCCCCCTCCATGTCAAGTATTTTTATTTATTTGACGAATTGTTCACTGTGGCTCAGTTTTTTTCGAAGCGAGCCACAGTCGGCTTCGCGCTATGCGCGCTCCGCCTCCGTGTGAAGCCTTAAAAACTAAGCCTATCTTCCTAAGTAATTTATTAATTAATGTGCATGAAAAAGAAAAAAAGCAAAGAATTCTTTTCCTCAGAACAATTACTTGATTGAAAAACTAATAAAGTTCATCTTAATTTTTTTCTAAGTGGTCAGCGCCCCATAATTTTATGATATTCGTACGTATCTCGGCGAGACGTACCCGTAAACTTCTTTGTCTGCCTTGAACTTCTCATGAAACTCGGTCAGCGACCTATTTTCTTCCATGATCTACAAATCAAATCACAAAAAAATTATTAAATTCACAAAAAGAACACGAATTTACATGCGAAAAATACAAAAAAACCATTTAAAAACAACCAAGAATGACGAATAATACGAAAAAAATAGAAAAACAAATTAAAAAAATGGAAGCTCTGACACGTGTCCTGCGTGATCGTTGCGTGACCTATTCTCGGTGTGGGGGGTTATACTGGATAGTTGCGGGGGGCTACATTGGATAATTGCGGGGGGCTTGTTCGAACGGGTCGCGGGGGGCGATACCCAATACATGTGGGGGGTTATACTGTAATATGCCCACAAATTTTTTTCAGTTTTTTTGAGCCTTAACTCGAGCAAGGAGTCTACAAAAAAATTCCTGGTGATAGTTGACTTCCATTAATAAAAACGCTTTTTGTAAATAATTGTATTATCTTTATTTTATAAGCTTTTTTTGAATGAAAGAATGATTCTTAGCAAATAAAAAAGTACGAATAAGCTATTTTTTTCAACTAGAAAGCACGAAGAAAATATTTCATTTTTCCAAAAGCTCAAGAGAGACTATTTGAAAATTAACCGAGACGTGGCATCACGTAATCTCTTTCCATTCAGATATTAAGTCAGAACAAATCGCAAAAGTTGGCATTTCGAGCGAAACAATGGCTGCTATCAGTTTGTTTGTTTTCCGCTCGCAGAATCTCCGAATCGCATGCAGATGTAGCCGTCCTCGTCGTCGTTTTCCTGGCTTCGATTCCTGACTTCGGCGCCGCAACGGATTCTGTTTCGTGTGCTTGCGAAGATGTGAGCATCGACGGCCTCGCCACCAAGACCCAGGGGAAGCTCCAGACTGATTGCGAGATCTGCACAGGTGCCCTCCGCATCACCAATCTTTGTGAGAACTGTTAATATGATATCTGAAACTGAAAAAGGGAAGTTCAGATGGCCATCAAGAGCTGAATCACTTGACGATCTTGAAAGAAATCAAAGGAACATTGGAGATTTCGAACACATTCGACCTCGGCGATTCGTTGAGCCTGCACAAGTTGAAGTCCATCACGAACATTGGAAGCTAGTTTTTTTTTTCATCACCTCATCTGATAAGCAATATTCCAGCTACACCGGCTGTGACTATTGTGAACAACACCAATCTGAAACTGACTTTCGGATCTTCGCTGCGCTACATTTCTTCGAGCAATTCCACCGTCACTTTCCGCATCCGCGACAACGACTTGGCCACTCTTCCCACGGTCTCAGTCTTCGCAGTGTTCCGACAACAAGAGTTTTTCCAGGACCTTTACACGATTTTGTATCAGTCGTCGTTCCCGAGGGCTGTTTTCGAGATGGACTTGCTCCTCGACACCTCGCTGTGCCAGGCCCACTGTTGGTTCCTTTTTGCAGAGATCCACTCTTGAGCCGAGCCGTTTCAGTCTACAAGACGCTCTCTGTGGTTCTGGGGACATTCACGGTGGCGGCGTTGCTCGCGCTCGCCGTCCTCGGCTGCCACGGCCGCACGGAACTCGACCAATCTTAGTCTTCTTTCTTTTTGCGTTCTCAGTAAACGTCTTTTTTTTTGTTCGTTCAGAGGAGAATTACAAGCGCGTTTTTTTTAAGTTCTTACGAAATCCGCGAACGTTACCGGTCGGGAAGGTTACCAGGAAGCGACAAGACCTAAAAAGAAGTATTCGCAATTTTTTTTTTCAAAAGAAAAAACAATTGGAAAACTACTCTAAAAATTTTCGAGGTTATTTTGTGTATTCTGACAGATATTTGAATGATTCGGATGATGTCTATAAACAACCAAAATTTTAACTCTATTCTTATTTGCGCCATATCAGATTGTAAAGTGAGAGCTGAAAAGAAAAATACTCGGATGTTTCAACCAATCTACGGTCCGTGAAAAAAAAAACAAATTATAGCTTCAAAAACAGAGTATCTAAAATTTTTTTACATAGTTTTATGAATCCTAAAGAGCTCAGTTTTATTCTGAAATGAAAAACAACAAAAAAGAAAAAAAGAACGGTAACGTTGAATTTATCTGTGTTGAGAAAAAAATTGGTTGTTGGAAAACCGATGAAGTAATGTTATGGTTTAACGGTAGTGGTTGAACTCGAACTTTGAGGCTAGTTTCAAATATATAGTTTAGTGAAAAAAATATTTAACACTGGTTCAGAAACGCATTTGACGTGGACTTCGCCTCAAACTAAATCAACTCGACTTTTTTTCTCTCAAAACTGTATTTACAGTTCAGATTGACACTTTACCTTTGTTATCAAAACTCGTTGATTATTCCAGAACTGCACGAGAAGTTGCCCTGCTGAAATCGAGGCGTCGACTTGTCCGGCCTAGCCGAGATAATATCGAATCTCGTCTTCATTCCGCCGCGCAATGTTTCCGAAGTTTCACAAAAGCCTGGCATGAACTTCCTTAAAATCTGTTTAATGTTATTTTTGAACTTCCGCTTTTTTTCTTCATTCTTTATTCTATTCATAGAGAGAAGTTTTAAGCAAAAAAATGTGAAAAATATTTTTTTAATTTAAGAAGGAGCTCGTTTTTTTCTAATTGATTCCCACTCCTAAACAAAAATAAAAAAAGAAATTAACTCCCTAAAATTTGAAAAACGTGTTGATAAAAAAAGTTCAGCTTCTCGTTCATTGGGTATTTCATCTCTCTAGTTTCATCGTTTACATCAGAACCAACTTATTTTCATTACCAACCTAGACAAAGTTTAATTTTTTTTTTGTGTTTACTTTTGGTAAGATATCATTGTGAGTGTACATAATATATTTGCACTTCGGAAACAACAAAACCTTGAAAGATAACGATCTCGACGTTCTATCCCAAAATGTCTTGCACTTTAGGTTTCCTGCATAATTTTCCGTAGAAGCGCATCTAGTTCGTACTATAGTTAGTTATTAAAGTTTTTAATTCAGATCTTCATTTTTAAGCGGGACATTCTATGGGAATTCTGACAAACAAAGTTTTTTTTGGTCGCCTTTCAGAATTTGATGAAACAATGCAGATATGTGTTTCGAGATCGTGATATGACGACTATAACACTTTCCTTCCTTCGAGAGTTTCCTAAGCTTAAAGCATTTATTCAAAAACATGTCAGAATCAAATAATAACCGAGGTATTTTAAGGTCCTCAAAACTAGTTCTTTCTTTAATTGATTCTAACTGTGAGTCAATCTTCACTTATTTCAAAAGGAGATTTCATTTTATATTAAAATATTAAAATATGTCCTACATTTTTCTTGCTCTCATTATTTGGTAGTTTTTATAATTTTCTCGCTCAGGAATGCAACGAACGCATCGAACAAGGCTGGTACCGTTGCACGTCTACGTCTTTCTGACACTGGTCATACTGAGTCTCGTTGCCAAACACGCAATTCTGCTCCGGCTCACGTCTTTTGCTGTTTTCAATGAGAGTGAGTTTTAGAATTTTCACTTTTTCGCTCTTTTTTTCTTCTTTATGCATGTGACCTGTTCGAAAAAAAATTTTTTTTTAATTGGACTTCCTTGAGAAATTGCGCCACTTTCAGTGGAGTTTTGAGTTATGTAATACTACTACTCTTTTCGAAAACCCAGCAAACAAATTCGAACAGAATATAGACACAGCTATTTGGGGCACCGATGAAAAGAAAAACAACATTTTCGAATACGAAAAAAGTTTTCAGCGATACCAAAACTCTTGTGGTGTTGCTAAAATCGCTAAAAAAAAAAAACAAGATTTTTGAAGCAAATTATCTTTTCAGTGGATGATACTTCTCCGTTCAATTTTTCTGTCGGGGTACGGTTAGAACCGAAAAAGCAACGAGGAGTCGAGGTTCTGGTTCTGGTGAGCTCGATGCCTCAGGAGCACCGTCTCAGGCAACAAATCCGCTCTTCTTGGGCCAATTTGAGCAAGGAACTCTCCCAGACCGTTCGCGTCGAATTCGTTATGGGCAGAGGAGTGAGTAGACCAGACAGCTCTGAAGTTGCAGACAGAAAAAAAACGAGGTTACAAAAAAGCAGTCCAGTGAAATGAACTGGAAAATTCGGCCTGGAAATTTCAGTTTCAGTGGGCCGATTATTCGCGCTCCACGGACAAATCTTGCGAAGATTGGATGAAAGATTTGGAAAAATGATACTTGAGCTTTTTTTACCAATTTTGATGTTAGTTTATATCTCCTTATCGTATTTGTTTACAAGTTTTTTTTTTCTTAAGAATTTTCCCAAAAAGAGTCTTTTGGAGATGGTTTTGAAAGACTTTGTGCCGTTTTCTAAGACTTTCACCTCCGTAAATTGAGAATTATTGTAAGTGGCGAATCTAAGAACTTGATATATATATCAAGTTCTTAGATTTTAAAAACAAAAAAACGTTTTAAAACAAGAACAGATACATAATAGCTTGTACGAATAAAGTTGTCACCCAAAATGACATTTTCAAGAATAAATTCGTCGAATACGGCCTCGAAAAAAAAAATTTGAGAAAAATCTCACAGCGTTTCTCTTAAGAAAGTCCATTTGAAAATTCTAAAACAAAAAAACAAACGAAATATCTTATGCGAAATAAGTTGTCATCAAAAATGTCATTTTAATGCAAATTTCTGTGACGAGAACAATCGAAAATCACTTCAAATCTCTGGAAAACGCGATAAACACGTTTTAAGAACACATACAACGTGAAAAAATACGAAAGAATGGTAAAGTACGCAAGAAAAAGAGAAAAAACCGTATTAAAAGTGAATGAAATTTTGTGAAGGTGACACGCGCCGCACCGCGTTGCGTTAGAAAAAACTCGCGTTTTCGCCCCATTGCGACGACCTTTTTTTTCGCTTGCCGCCGTCTCTTTTGGAACACTGTGTATAATGAAGGAAAGTCTCAAGCAATGCTCACCAAAATCCATTTGAAGTTCCGAGTGAAATTATCTTTTTATGGGGACCTGAAGGAGAGGCAAGTCATGTTCAGAAAACCAAGGAAACGCAGAGGCTGCACGAAGAACATCGACGGCACAACGACCTCGTAGTTCTCGACTTTGATGACGCCTACTACGAGCTGCCACTGAAGACGTTCGCAATGTTGAACTACAAAGCGAAGAAGTACTTGGAGAGCAAATGTCTCGTCAAGGCCGACATTGACAACGTCCTCCTCCTGCACAACTACCAGCGTCTCTGCGAAGAAACCGGTGATTTTTCGTCAGTTTTCTTTGAATTTCTTCCGGCTCAGTCGCTCCAGCCATCTTGGGGAAGTGCGACGTACCACGTGGCGTCTTCCGCAATCAGAGCAAATGGGCGGTCCCTCAATACGTGTACCCTTTCTCGCTCTATCCGCCTTATTGCTCCACTGGAACGTACCTTCTTGTTGGTGAGCTTGAAAAATCCTTCTTCCAACCAAGATGCTTCTTTTCGGGTTTAGAAATTAGATAAACCAATGAAGTTCTTCATAATTTTTTCGAAGGGATATTTTTATAATTCTGTTAATTTTACACATCTGAATTCCTTTTTTAACTTTTAATTAACCTTACAATATTTTTAATTATTACTGTAAGTTAGCAGGGTTACAACCTTCAAAGTCTCTGTCTATATATTTTGAGCGTATGGATGGTAAGACCGATTCTAAACTCAAAAAACTGAGTAAAGATATATTTTGAAAAAAAGTTATCAAACTTCAAAAAGAATAATATGGTCGTTCAAGACAGTTTTTCTTTAAAAAAATTTTTCTCGTTTTGGGAAGAAAGGCGTTTGGCTGGAAGAAGGTCATCAACGCTGCTACTAGGCTTTAGTAACTAGAGTGCTCACTTCAGGGGCCAAACTACCTAAAAGACTCGTTGAGAGCGCCCTCAGCAGCCAATTCTCCACCTCAAAAAACTTTCGGTCCGTTTTTGAAGGTCTTTTTCGTGAAAGTTTTTTTCCGCAGGATGCTTCCGGAAGACGTCATTTTCACGGGGATCCTCTCAGAGCGCATCGGCGTCCGTCGTCGTCACGTCGGAGCGATGACCTTCAGCGAGGTACCAGAATTCGTCTGTCGCAACGGCTTCCGCCACGCCTACAGCATCCACATGAGCCGCGACAAGAATCACGTCAAGCACCACCGAAAATTACTCAAAGTCGAGGGCACGCCGTGTGGCTTCTTCTGATAGCTCTTAGTTCCTCAAAGCTGACTAGAATATCATGAATCGGTGGTTTCGAATAGGTATTTTTTGAGTTGAGCATTGAAGAGCTGTCTGGATTCAAGGCCAACCACTCTCTTGGTAAAGATCAGCTTCGAATGGGTTTTTTTTTTCCAATTTCTTTCATTATCGTTGTAGCTTTTTGAATTCTAGTCCTCGCCGTCCTTCTTGTTCAACAACCTAAGATCAACTCTGCGCATTCAATAAAGGAAAAAAAAGGAGCGATTTATATAAACTTTTCGTAAAACCCGAACTAAAAATCGACTCGAAAAAGAGTTCACAAAGGTTATAACTTATTGGTACGCCAAAAAGCAGTTTTTGTTTTTTTATTTCCTGTTACTGACCCTAAATCTTACGTAGAAAACGACTTTTGATGCTTAACGGTTTCGAAGACACAAGAGCGCTTAAATTTGCTGCAACCGTTTTTAACCTTGGTTTTTGCAAGACTACTTTCCACCTCTTTTTTTAGGACAGTTCTTTTTCTCAAGTCACTCAATATCCTCTTTAGCTCTTTTTTTTTTGTTCTTTCATGCTTGCTTCGCTTTCATTGTTTTCAGCATATCTCCATTCCAACGGGTTTTTTTTCACAGCACTTCATTACGGTCATTATCTATTTCGGAATAAACTGTCCTTCAAGTTGACTAGCGTCATCTGACAAGCTGAGTTGTGAGCCAAGATTGGCGGTAGTCCTCCGTCTCTTCTTCCTGAGTCTCTCCACTGAAAACTGCTTCATCGTAGGTTGAGGATCCTCGAATTACAAGCTTCGGAGCACGGAAAACCTGTAATCCAAAAATCTACCATTTGTCATTCTTTAAGCAAACCAAATTGCGAAACTCGTAGGCATCTGTCAACAAGAAAAAGCAGAAGGATAAGTAGCAAGCCCACTCGTATATCGCCCCATATTGCTAGATTCCAATCGACTCTTTCAAAGACATCGGCGAACTTACGGCGGAAGGGTGAGTTTTGACCAATTGGAGCACTAAATTTATAAGATTGAGGTGAATATAAAACAAAACTCGAAAAACATTTGAAAGAGCAGAACGAATTTGAGAAACTTTATTTCTAGATTCAGTGGCTTTTAGTGAGGTTTGGCAGAAAATGTCAGCCTCTCCGCATTTTATTTTCGAACATTCCCATTTTCAAAAACATACTAAGATTTCGTGAGCAAGCTATGATTGAAAGTGGAAATTGAAGTTGAAAGAAAACCAAACTGGAAACGGCGCAAGAGGAGAGAGCGGCGGCGATGGTGAGGCGCACAACTAACAACTTGGTGTTGGAAATGTTTTTGTCGGCGACGCGGCTCGAGAGCAAGCAGTGCAGCCAGACGTATACGATGAACAGAACCAAACTGGCTCGGTTCGAGTAATACTCCATGTGGGGCACTTTCGTCTCCTCCATCGGTTCAAAACTTTTGAAATAAAACAAATTCTCAAACCGGGAAGTTGACACTAAGTTGCATGAAAAAGATGGCTCCGAAGCCGATGGCTGTGTTGGCGGTGCTCCATGTGCGAAGGTGCTGCAGCGAAGACTGCAGGAAGTAGGAGATGAGCTCTCGATGTTTCAGGTAGATCCAGATCAGCGCTGAGACCCGTTTTACCTGTTCAGGTGTGTTTGCAACTGACCCATGAGCAGGATGTGATTAGTCATGACGGCGAAGGCATTCTTCGCAGGCACTTCTTTTGTAAAATCGCTTAATTCAATATTTATCCCAATTTTTTCTTTTTCGCAACCTCAAGTAAGGCCATCGGGACGGAAAACTGTGATAATATGCGGAAAGGGAAGCACTGAACTTCAAGATTCATGAACAACGTTTAATTTGAAATATTCAAAACTCGAAAAAAAAAAAAGTTTCAACATCCAAAACTGCGAAAAACTTTTACCAAGTTAACAGACAAAATATTGAATAGGACGATATGAGTACGGGAAATAGCCAGACGTTCACTACTGCCATAGAGCCTTTTTATTGATCGATGTCGTTATCAGAATATGCTTTTTCGAAAAAGCAAAATACGCAATGACCAGAATAGGGATTTGGCGTTTTAATGGCCTCTTTTTCAAAGTCGAGAGAAGATCTCCACAAGATTCTTAAGAATACAAGATTATTAGTTCTCAATAAAACTTTCCGTGACTATTGTTTGCACTCTGAAATGAAACAAATTTTTTATATTATTAAGGCTAATGTACACCAATTTTTATTTTGGGTTCTCTCATCTGTAATCCTAATCTTCATGGAACTTTCGTTTTTGAGGTCTTCGAGGCTGCGGAGAAGGCTTAAAATTTTTTTGAGTGTACTGTTTGTGGGAAGTATGCAAAAGGTGCATGCAGCTGAGCTCTATCCTCCACGCGCAAACTCAAATTTTTTGAAATTTGTACATTTCGAATTATGAATTCAATGCCGTGTTCAATTTGATTCCGCGAAATGCAAAATACCCGTTAGAGAAAGGAAAAGAGCACTAGATTTTGGAGAGTCAGAGATCATTTTGCATTTCGCGGAATCAAATTGAACACGGCATAAAGTATCTCATGGCGCGTTATTTATATAAATTATTGAAAAAAATCAGAAAAGCGTTCATTACTTTGTCGCTGCTTGAAAGTTCACTTGGTATTTTGGAAATATTATTTTCGGTTTTTCTGTTTGAAGATTATTCTCATATATCTCCTTATTAAGGTTTTATGTCTTTACCTCCGGCTCTCTTAGCTCGACTCCAGAAGAGAGGAATTGTCAAGCAGGGTTTTAAATATTTTGAGAAGTATATTTATCTTTTTTTTCAATTTAGAAGATGAAGTGTTCGCCGAAAGTTATGACGCAGACGGCGGTTCTAAACAGGTTTTGTTCCATCTTTTTCTTTTTCTACGGTTTGAACTGTCTTTTATAGTTTGAAGAAAATCCAGCCGGAGCGCCAGGCTGTCCGAATAAGTCTAATCCATTCCATGTTTGTGTACAATACTGCTACGATCACTGGGATGAAGGAACTCCCGAATACAGGTACTTTTCATGGCAAGCTTTGCAAAACAAGTTTTTCAGACTACCTGAAAGGTATTTGAAGCAGAAGGCCAGAATGTTGGCAAAATTTCCTCTTCCGGAAAGTTGGGTGGAAGTTTACGATGCTGGGCATGCAAGATATTATTATTGGAATCAAGATACCGATGAGGTACTTTTTTCTTGTGTAGATGTTTATTTGGAAATTTGAGGTCTGTTGGTTATCTCCCAAGCATCCGCGAGCACTTATAGGAGAGGCTGCTCCAAAGATATGTAAGAAAATGTTTGAAAGCATTTGCACTTTTGGTCCGAGAAGCGAGGTATTCATATTCCGAACTTCAAGTTTGAAAAAAACTGTTTTTAGTACTCATCGAACCGAGAAGACAGCCGCGATAACGGCAATCGACAAAGAAGCAGGGATGATGATCGGGACAAAGATCGAGAATCTCGGCGACCTGACAAAAATCGCCGACGAAAAGTTAGTATTAAGTGAATATTGTTAACTTCACTGTTTTTTCAGAGAAGAGATTCTGATAACGAAGGAGAAAATAGTGAAGGTGGAGAAGACGAGGAAATGAACGACCGTGACAGGCTCAGTCAGTTTTTATGCTTTTTTTTGTCGCTTTCCCATTTTTGAAGTTCTTTTGTACTCCTTAACTGACTCTTTTCTACAAAATGTTTTGGTTGAGTCAATTATCAAACAGGATCGAACATTTTTTGAAAAAAATTATTTCCATTCTAATCCTTCTTTTTTCAAATTCTTTCTATCTGTCATATAACGAAATTAGACAACTGCTGGGCGTAGATTAAAAAAAGATCCTAGCATACGCTTTTCTATACTCATGCGAACTTTTTCCAATAATAATTTTCGAAGAAAACCAATTCCATTCTTCGCTGTGAACAGTGCAATTATTTTTTGTAGAGCGAGCTCGTAGAAAGGGCATCGATCCGATGGATCCAGCCGCTTACGGCGACGCTCCTGTGTAAGTTGAGCCTTTATTTACTGGGAAAAAACGATAAATTCAGGGGAAAATGGTCGGCCGGACTCTACGCCGACAAAAACACTGGCGTTGATACGACCGCCAGTGGCCCTCTTTTCCAACAGCGACCGTACCCCGCACCTGGAGCCATTCTTCGCAAGCAGAGGCCTCCCGAATAATCTTTTTCCCGAAAGTATTTGTGTACAGTTCTTTTTGCTCTGATAATGAATTTGTTGCGAATTCTCTGTGTTGTTGCCGTTTTTCTGTTATCGATCCATTCGAGAAGCCAGCTGGCGACATTTCAATGCGATAACGCCACGACTATCTCATTGTTCTTTGAGTTGGTTTGGTCTCTCTTTTCCAAGGCTTCAGGTCATGTTCGTCAAGGAGCTAGCTCATGATGCCCTTGCCAATATACGACAAGCGCACTCTTCTCTTTCGGAAAGGTCCGCACCATTCCCTTGTTTTGAACATCCCGATTTTTGAGGCTTTCGCGTTATGACCCCGTTCTGTTAGTGGTCGCCGCCGTCGGAGGCACCGTTCTGTACGCCAACGTCGTTCGGATCTACCGTCGCAGCGAAGAGCCGCTGAGCAAAAGGTTCTCGATTGTCAAGAAAAAAAGGAGAATATCACTTTTCTCAAATGCTTCGACCTCTGACTTTGATAATCAATAGTTCAAGTGAAAAAGTGAAAAAAAAAACTGCCTATTTTCTTGAAAAATAAGAAAAACAATTGATCGTAGGCTAGTTGCATACGTGTTCTCAAAAGTGCGGCAACTGCCGATGGTAAAGGCGCGGATCGAGAAGGAAATCAGCAGCGCCAAAGTCGAAATCATGCACTCGATCCACAAAGACGACTCCGACCGCATTTTCATTGCCGGTTCCCTACTTCTGTGTCGAGAAAGTCACTCGATAACTCTTTCAGAAATCCCTGCTTCGGGACTGTCCAACGAAGAAGTTGTGGCTCTCGCCGACAAGTACAATGATTATGGTAAGCCAGACATTTGTCTGTTGGAAGCGTACAATTTTACAGGAAAGTTCGCCGTCGAAGACGGACGCGTTTCAGGAGCCGTGTACACGGATCGCCATCAGAGCCACATCGATCTTCTCACCAAGGCAAAGTCTTCTTCATCTTTCTCATTTAGAATTCGTTCGAACAAAATAAAAGTCCCGCTTGATCGCGGCGAACGAAAATCTTTTTTCTTTTTCAACAAAGGCTGATTTTCTTTTTCAAGAAACCTGAAATAACTGCTGGCGTTTTCAGAGCTTAAGCTTCGATAATACTCTATCCTATGGTTCTTTCTTATAAATGTTTGTTTAAGATCTACTCCAAGTACGCCTACTCAAACCCCTTGCATCCGGATGTGTTCCCCGGTGCGCGGAAAATGGAGGCCGAAACAATCAGAATGGTATGGTCGGAGGGAAACTCTCAAAAGGTGTGCCACAGGTGCTCAATCTCTACCACGGTCCTGACGGCTCGAGCGGCAGTCTGACGACTGGAGGAACCGAATCCATCATCATGGCGTGTCTCGCCTACAGGTTGGGAAGTCGCTCTCTTCATCTCACGGCTAGACACTCAGAAACCGCGCTCACAAGCTGGGCATCGAGAGTCCAGTCATCGTCGCGGCTACAACTGCCCACGCGGCTTTTGATAAGGTTCCACATTTTTACTCTAACTCTATGAAAATTCACCGAAACCACTTTCTATTATCAAATTCCGCTTCGCAGAATGTTATAGTTTCTTAGAAAAAAACAGTATCACAGTTTATAACATCTGAAACAGCGTCTAGAATCGATGTTCGAGATACTTTCATGTCGTTTTCAGGCAGCCCAGTTATGTGGAATGCGCCTGCGACACGTTCCAGTCGACAAAAACAATCGCGTCGATTTGCGAGCCATGGAACGCGCCATCGACTCCGAAGTCTGCATGGTGACTTTCCGTAGCATTTCATGAAATAAATGACTGATTCAATGAAGTCATGCTGAGTGTTGAGAAGTTGTAAAAAAATTTTTAATTTTAGAAAAAAATGTTCGACACTATTTTTTTTCAAGGTAAATTTTTTTATCTTTTTTTTCTAAAAAGTTCTCAGAGAAAAAAATTTATAAATTTTTTTCTCGTTTATATTATTTTTTTGGCTTTTTTTTGCAACCGATTCTTTTCAGCTTGTCGGCTCGGCGCCAAACTTCCCCTCGGGTACCATCGATCCTATTCCTGAAATCTCACAGGTTTGTGGAGTCCGAACCTCAAGATAAGGCTTTTGGTTGCAGCTCGGGCTCAAGTACAAGGTCCCAGTTCATGTGGACGCCTGTCTAGGAGGCTTCCTAATCCCGTTCATGAATGAGGCCGGCTTTCTGCTGCCGACCTTCGACTTCCGCAACCAAGGAGTCACTTCCATCAGCTGCGACACTCATAAAGTACGAACACTTGGAGTCTTGACTAGTCTGTGACGATTTCAGTACGCGTGTACCCCGAAAGGCAGCTCAATCGTCATGTACCGATCTAAGGAGCTCCTCCATCACCAATACTTTTGCGTTCCTGAATGGTCTGGCGGTATCTACGCCACTCCGACAATCACAGGTCTGAGTTTCTTTTTCTTTTTGAAGAGGAAGGAAGAAGTAAAAATCGAAATAGCTCGCACTTTCTAAAAGGACAATAAGCGACCAATTATTACCACTAGAACCAGTAAAGAGATCAGAAAACGCATTTCCAGGAAGTCGCGCTGGCGCAAACTCGGCTGCTGCCTGGGCCACTCTACTTTCTTTCGGGAGAAACGAATATGTTCGACGGTGCAAAGAGATCGTGAGTCACACGCGGAAACTCGTTGAGAAGATGAAAGAGCTGCCTTTTATCGAGGTTCCTCTGCGGCCTTTTGGTGGGAAAATATCTCAATGACTCAGGTTTTCGGCTCGTCGGACGTTTCTGTGGTCGCGTTCCGCGGCAAGGGAATCAACATTTACGCAGTCAGCGACCGAATGAACAAGCGCGGCTGGAACCTCAACACTCTGCAGAATCCTGACGCGTATGTCATGAAACTTCTCTGAAAAGTCTCTTTCTCAATGATAGTTTCTCATCCACAGGAAATTTCAGTCTCATGAAAAAAAGAGTAAAATTCTAGAATTCACATCTGCTTGACGATCAACCAGGCTCACGAGGAGGTCGTCGACGCGTTCATCGCCGATCTCCGTCTCGTCAGTCAGGAAGTCGCGGACAACGCCGACAAAGGCAACAAGGACAGCACTGTGGGTTGCGACTCGAGAACGTGTCGGAAAAGCGTCTTCCAGGCTGCGCTCTACGGAATGGCCGCTCAGATTCCCGACAAGTCTCTGGTCGACGAGCTCATCTGCGAGTTCCTCGACGCCTGCTACGCGAGCCCGCCTCCCAAGGGTCACTAGTCATTCCACAGGCAGAAAACGTGTGATATTAGGTTGTGATAATTTTATTCTCTTTCACGTGTAGATAAATATCAGAAGTTCAAAGGGAAGTTTTATTAGTCAATTAGACTGCTCGGGTTGACTTGAGTGACGCCTTTCGCGTTGCAAATCAGGCGACCATGTAGGCGAGCGGACCTCCGGCTTCCCAGTCATATGGAAACTCTGGCTTCCCGCAATTTTGTATGGCTCGTTTCATAAGCTGAAAAAAGGTCCTTCGTCTCTGTTTTTTCACATTTCTCACTCCGTATAGCTGTTCGTAGTTGGGAGAGTCATAATACTTATAGGCATCGACGATTGTCAGAATTTCCTGAATATTCGTTGAGAGCTTTTTTGTATGATGACTCAGCTCTGCATACTTTCAACTCGTTCTGCGGACAAGGTGGCGGGAAAAGTTCGTTGGGATTGTTGCGCACGCGACGTTTGAACTCTCCGACCTTAATTTATTGTCTGACAAGAAACATCATTCTAGTTTTTTTTTAGAGAATCGAGTCAGAAAAAATGTGTCACTTACTGAATTACACATAAAGATCTTAGAAGAACTTTTGAACCCTAATTCTTGGAAAACCAACTTCCTAAAGGTAGCTCGACCGGATATTTTGCGATAAAATAAAAGTCTAAGCCTCATTCTAGCAAATTGATTAGAAATTTTAAGTTTTAGAGTTTATCGAAGCGCGTTTCGGCTCCTTTTTAGTGGACACCCAATCGAAAAGAAAGGCTATCTTCTTTTGGAGATCTACTCTATCGAAAGCTGATATTTTTCATGAAAATGGCAGAGTTTCGTTCATCACTAATGTCCACCAACCTGGTTCATGTCTTGAACGTCTTTCCAAGGCAGACGTCCCATCGTCAGCTCTACCTGCATGTATATCCACGTCTCGATGTCGTCCTTTCTATTGTCCAAACATATGAAAAGCTCAAAAGTGTCACAACCTGCACAGTTCGCGCTGCAGATGGCACGCGATGGGTGCGTATCGGACAGTGCCGCGGAAACCGGCCGCTTGTCGAGGTTTTCGGATCACACCCTGAAAAGGAATTTCTCTTCTCAATTTGTTCTATTTTCTACCTGCTCGTTTGTAAACTTCCGGCACATTCCAAAATCGAGAATGTACACCTGAATCTCAATCTGTGCTCTTCAACAGGATCTGCTGACTTTTCTAAGCTCATTGAGCTCAGCTCGTCCGATAGTGTAGTTGCCTGGCTTGACGTCACGATGCAGATAGCCAATGTTGTGCAAATCTGTGGGAAATCTTCGGATGAATCGCTTCTGAGAAATGGAGACCTTCCAGAGCTTCGAGCGATTGCAGACCGACGCTGAGAGAGCATGCAAGCGACAAATGCTGTTGTGGAGTTGCTTTTCGCAAATCCTACAAACTTCAGGTTCATTTGCACCCCGGAAGTAGTGAATACACCTGCAGACTCTTGCCCACCAGAGTCATAACCACGTAGTTGAAGGTACCGTACCTCCCTTTGTCCTCAATTTTGCAAAAATGACGACTTCCGCGTTTCGTGAGTTCTGACAACACGAACACTTCCATTTTGAGCACCTCAAGTTAAAACTTGAAGGAATGATACGTTTTCTTCATAAAAATAGTAGCGTTTTGATTTTTAGTTACTTGAACTTGCTCATTGATTCCTTCGACTTTGAGAGCGTATTTTCCGGTAGAGTCGCTGACGAGGTACACGGCTCCGAAGCCGCCTTCGCCAAGTTTCTTGACAATGTTCCAGCGCTCGACCTGAAGCAGAAGGTCCTCGTCTGGGACATGGAACAGACCGTGGAGCCGGGTTGCAGCTGAACAAGTTCCGCAGCCATGTCGATGACCCCGCAATCGCAATAGTGAATAATAAGAAAGGAAACACGCCAACACGTCTTTTCTTTTTCATACGATTTTTACTGTTTGCTCCAGCTTCCTTTCGTAGATAGTTGTCTTTCATCATTCGTCTTTTTCTTCTCGCCTCCAAATTTTTCCTGATTTTTTATGGGATAATCGAAAACTTTTTCCATTTTTGAAAATATTCAATGTAAAATAGAAAGATTTTATTTGCTCCTGAGGACAAAAAATGCATAAAAATATAAAGAAAAAAGCACCATAAAAATTATTAAGGCATATGGCAGGTATGACGGCGGGAGATTCTTGTATGTTCAAACGTGCTTGTATTTGGTGAAGAGCAGATGGAGCAGCCTCAGAGTGCTCTGAATGGGACTATTCGTTTCGAAGTATGAAGAAGTCGGGGAACCTTGAGGTCGCCATTAGCGATATCCTGGACGCGGCTTCTCGGTTTTGCCAAACCGGCCTCTTCCATCAATTTGAACGCAAAGTTCACGTTTTTGAGCTTCTCCTCGTGCGAGCGAACCTCAAATTCGTACTTTCCCAACTTTTCAGCATTGAAAGTCAGAATCCTCTAACGGTATTTTTAAAAGCGCCTGTACTTGGCCAAACATCGAACGAAAAGCTTTATAGTCTGTTCAGATTTTGAATGTCAACCAGCTAACTCCGCCCCTACTGAGACGTTATCTTTTCGCGTCGATTTTTTATCGCGCGGGACTAATTTTGATCTTTTTTGGATCTAAAAGGTAGAAAAATAAATCAAAAAGGCAGCCTTATTAAAGGGCCATCGTCATCTGTAGATAAAACATTGACGCGAAAGATATTGTAGCCTTGGGGGTGGAGTTAGCTGCTTGACATTCAAAACCTAAACAGACTATATCTACTTTATCCTCAACCAGGGCTCGCTAGAGCACAAATCAACAAAATTCCAGCAAAACGTGTCTCTACGTACTAATGTTTCGAAAAAATTCTATTGTAGACGAACCGGATCAAAAAGCTGCCAAGTGGTTATTACCTAACTAAAAAAAACTTGGGCTATGTAGTTCCGGAGCGGTTACGATGTACGTACCTTACGTATGTATGTGCCCTGTCTAGACTCTGTTATCTTTCAACCCTGGCGACTACTGATCGCCTGAAAATCAGACCCTAGTTAAATTTTCTCCCGAAGTTTTCTCATTCGAGAAATTATAGCAAACTATAGCCGCTATCTGATTCATTTCCATTAGGTATCCAGTATAAAGCCGCATCGATGCTTGGTTTTCCAGTGACACTTCACTATTGAATTAGTAGAATACCTGAAGATGGAAGTGATAAAGCGGGACGAAATATCCTTCGAGAAGACCGACGAGGAGCACCAAGAAAACGCCGTCTTGGAACTGCGAATCCAAATCAGTAACCTTCAAGATGATTTTTTACGACTTGAGTCTCTTGAAAAGGAACCTCGAGGTTGATCTTATTGAGATGTTTGTTGCAGAAGGCAAGAAGAGAGGTCTTCACATGGGCCAACTTGTCTGGTCCGTAGTCGAACAGCGTGTCGAAAGCGTCGCGCTCGCCCTAAATTTCTTTTTTTTGTGCACAAAAACATAAACACGCCGGCATAACCCTGAAAAATCAGACAAGAATAGTTAACCTAGAGCTTTCAGCATACAACTTTAAATTTCGGAGCACACTTTTTCAATACAAATCAGCTCACTGTGTTCGAAAGCACATTTTTTCAAGCTGAGAAGTTCCTCGACATACCTTGGGTGCCAGCTCTGTCTGCGTCGTCGTGATTTGTTCGACGACACGCTGGGTTTTGATGTGATTTTGTTCTTTCCGAGCAATGACCACCTGAAAAAGCCGAGAATGAGAGAGAGACAAAAAAAAAGAACTGACACTGGCGCTGACGTTGTCCGGAAAGCGGACAGGCGCTCTGAAGTGGAGAGCGATTGCGACGAGAAGTTGGAGGATTGCAATAATGTCCTTAAAGTTTTGTGATACATTAGAGTGAAGGCGTTAGGGCTTGCTTCTTGTGAACTTATCGCTTTTTGATTTCCTTGAGATTGATATTTACTGATCCAAAAATTTTTGTTTTTCAAATATAGTAATAATAAAATGAACACAAAAACATAACAGATATCCAAAAACCATGATATTTGATCCCAGAAAAATAAGATTTGAAGCAAAATCAACAATTTTTTAGATGATTGAGCGCAACATGATTCTTTTCTGAAACTGTTTCCACATGTTTAGTGTTCGTGGCGTTTCTGGTGGAAACTGCTCCAAATTCCTGGATGACTACTTTCTGTAGAGTTTTCTTCCTGACTTGGGACTAAGGGCCCTAATCGCTAGGAAGTTTTGTAGTTCATCGCTGATCCAAAATCGAAAAGCTAATCTGAACCTTCTGGTGGATCTCGTTTGCAGACCACTTGGCGTGTTCATGGGGCTGGCCGAGAACTCTGTTCGCCGTAGCGATGACGATCTAAAAAAGAAAAATTTGAAGTCGATTCCTTTTTCTCTACCTGCAGTTTCTGGCGCTGTCCTTCCTCAGACTGCGAAACTTCAGGCACTTCAATCTAAAAAAAAACCTAAATTGGCTTAACTAGTTATTAGATGAAAAATATAACTTTTCGAAAAATATTGACTGAAGCTTTTTAGCTAGACCTAGAAAAAATAATTGAATTGCTTGATGATCGGAAACAGCTTTTTTTCGAAAATGTCTACCCAATAAACGTACTCTGATTTGGGCAAGTTTTTTTCCAGCAGCTTTTTGAATAATCTGCCCGTCGTACAGATCTTCTTGCAAATGACGCACCTAAAAAAAGTCTAATGAAAAAAATCGAAAAAAATTAACAGAGAAAAAAAGTGTTTTGAATATGAAACAAAAATAGGGGTCTATTTTTTTTCTCCAAGAAATATCGAGTCACTACGTTATAAATATTTTCTTTTTGATTTTTTTCTAATTTTTCTGAATAAAGGGAAAAATTTGTAAAATACTCGAACATTCGGAATTTCAACAAACTTTCGCAAAAAAATATAAAAAAATTCAAGAAAAAAATTATTTGTAATTTTTTTCAAGTTCTCGAATTCCGATTTTTTTCTGGATCATTTTTAAGTTTTTTTCCTCATTTTGAAGTTTTGTTTCCAAGTTTCAAGCTTTAAAAAAAGGAATGAACACAAACCACAATCCGTTGGTCAGCGAGTTCTTCGTTGAGCCAGTAGATAAGCAGGTCGACGACCTGCGCCAGTTTTCCGTCTTTGGCCGTCTCTTTGGTGAGATATCGGCGTTGTTCTCCTTAATCCCAGCTCGAAATCAGCCGCAACCTTGTCAAAACCTTCTTCCAGGTAGATGTTTTTCGATAAGGTGGGCACCAACGAAGAGTCGAGAGCCTCGCGACCTTCTAGTTCTAGCTGAAATAAGGAGTTTCTAGCGACTTTTCATGACTTCGACGCAGATTTATGCAAAATGTCAACGTATTCACGGAAAAGCGTTTAAAGGTTTTCTCATTGAAAAAAATCACCGTTATTTTCTTTTCCCTTATGCGTTCCTTTTTTCAAAGGCCCACCGTTGGTCATGCTAGCCGTGAATAGTTAATGCACATAAAATGTAATTTTGAGATTAGGATACCTCAAGAACTTCGTCGTCGTCGACTGCGTTTTCGTTGGGAGCCGCGTCCTCAGACGTCGGTTTCTTTTTTCTGGTCAGTGTACCAGCAAGTTTGTCGACAAACGACTCCTGCTGTAATTATTCTTTTTCCCAAAATAACAACGGCCAATCGAACCAACCTTCTTGGTTCTTGGCTCGGGCGCCGGCGTTCGCCGACTGGCTGTGCCGCTCATTCTGAGGAGTCGTTCTGAACTGTCTAAGTTCTTGAAGAAGATTATCGTTGATGAACAAATAATACCGCTGATGACTTTGGGCAAAATGAGATAGACTCGAGGGAGACTCTCAAGTACCTTCGAGATGGCTCAGACACAGCTAAAAGGATTGCTGGAGGTCTCCCGATGGACCCGTTATGGGGTCTTCCCGATCCATTTTAAGGGGGATATTTGTGGACACAATATGGTACCCTTCCGATACGCCAGAGCCTTTTATAAAGGACTCTTAGAAAATTGTTATCGAAATTTGGCCTCATATCACATAAATATAATTATTTTGCAGATGGAATGTACGAAATTTAGTGAAAGGCTGTACAAATAAACTTTTGAGCAGCAAAATGATATTAAGGCTCTCTGTGTTTTTTTCTAGCGCTGATTCAATTTAATTGAAGAAAAAACCTGTTCAAAACTTTTATTCAAAAGTATTTAATTTACTGATCAAATTAGTGCAGTTATTACTTCTTAAAGTATACTCCATTCCCAACTATCTTATCACAATTAAACGAGTAGGAGAAGCTGTATAGATCCTATACAAAAATAGGCAAAAGTTCGCGAGAAGCCAAGATATCTCAAATGCGGAGGCGTAGTGCAATGGCAAAAGGCCGGCCGCCGCTGAACGAGCTGAAGTCGGTGTAAAAATCGATAGAGGCCCTGTTTTGTGCAGCGGAGTGCACAGACAACGGAGGAAATATTCTAATCTGACAAACACGGCCGAGTACAAATATTCAGTAACTGCTCCGATTCCTCCCATATACGAAGATGCTTCAAAGAGGGAATTTCATTATTTTTCTACGACCAAAAAAGGAAGATTATGATCAGCGAACATCCAACCCTTTTTATTAATTTTACGAAGAAAATTCTAAATTCACTCTTAACATGATACCACCAGAACAAGCTTTTGTATTTGGACCTTAATATACAGAAAAATTAAAACTATAAAACTATAAAAAAATATTTTTACGACATTCTGAAAACTTTTTCAACCTGATGTTAAAACTTTTTGTAGTTTCTTGATTCTGGCCTTTTTATTTCGCGAAATAAAATTGTAAGCTTACGGCAGAAATAAATAAATTTATTATCGAACGAACAATCAGAAAACTTTGTAACGAGCCATAGGTCCTCCGCGTTGCAACTGAGCAGTCTGAAAAAGACATTTTCAAAGTTTCAAACTGAAAAACGAACGAGTTGTCGGAAGGCGTCTTTCATTATCCTGACGATTTCCTCTTTGGCCATCCTCAGATTTCTCTCGTTGCGAGCCTCCAGCAGCAAGTGCAGCCGACGATCCCCGGCTTTCGGCTCTTTGCCTGGCGGATAATGTGTTCCGCGCACACTGATTCCGACTTCAGCGTACTCGGAGATGTGGCCCACTGACTCCTTCAAATCACTTACAATTTATACAAAGTTTCTTCTTTATACAGAAGCCGTTAGCCGCACTCGGAATGGATCTACGCGTAACGACTGCAAATTTTTTCACATCGCAATATTGACTTTTTTAATTCTACCATTTGAAAAAACGAGGGTTTTAATCGAAAAACTACATTCCGTTTCAAAACTCCCAAACTTCAAATTGAAGTTTTTTTTTCAATTTTTGAGGAGAATATAATGCCGTGTTCAAAGTGATTCCGCGAAATTCAAAATAGCTGTCAGAGAAAGAGAAAGATAACTAAATTTTGGAGGGTCAGAGACCATTTTGCATTTCGCGGAAATTACTTTGAACACGGCATAAAAAATGAGACTGACTCTGCTGCATATCCTGTAGCGAACTTGCTGCGGGAAGTCGTTGATGTCCCATTCCTCCTCGAAATATTGCCACTCTTCTTCCTGGTTCTGCGAAGGCGCAGCCTCGCCTGGAATTCATGAAGTCTTTCAGAAGAATCTCAGAAAAAAGGTACCTCCGACGTAGTTAAGCTTCTCATTGAGTTTGTCAGCCACTTGTTTGGCTAGCATTTTTTTCGACATCTCGATAGGTCCCAACTCGTTGCCCTGAAAAATATTGAGAAGTTATAATCTAAAATACATTTTTTGTAGTCAACAAAGTATTTGAAGTCGTATGTAGAATCGGTGTTTTTTTTTAGATTAATCACAGAAAAATAGAATGGGAGCGAAGATTTTGAAGAATTGAAGAAATTGATCTGATCGAACATTCTTACTTTCTCAGAAAAGAAAATAGATCTGGAAAGAAAAACTCTTCGAGCACTAAGTTCGATAAAATGCGACATTTCCTCACCTTCATAACTGCTTCGGCCGTCTTCTGCGCGGCGTCTTTTTCTGCCGGCTGCTTGGCTCTAATCAGAGAAGTCAACTGCTCGGCGCGCTCTTTGGCCAAAGTTATCTGCAAACACTTAGATTCTTCCAGAAAATTCACTTTCCAACGCGTTTTTTTTTTCATCCGCTGCAACTGCGATTTAACTCAAATTTCATTATGTACTTATCAAGTATTTTTCAGAGCTCTGAAAAAGAAACAACTTTATGACATCCCAAAAAGTTTTTTTGATCAACTGGATCGCAATCTCGTTTTTTATTTCATATCTTCAGAAGATCGTGAAAAGAAACCTTGTCCGCGACTCTGTCGGCGATCTTCTGCTGGGCGGCGCTCATCTGCCCGTGGACGACGCGTCGTTTCGTCTTGATCATGCTGCTGAGCTGCTCGTCGAGTTCGTCCTCGTCCTCGCCGCCTGCCTCCATTCCGTGTACCTGAAACCATCTTTTGGAAGTGATTTCTTCATGAAACCTGCAAACGCATAGGGTTTTGTTTAATCGACGAGAATTTTTATTTCTTCCTTATTCCTCTCACAATTTTGTTCTAATGATCAATGAATTAGTGCTCACCAATCGGGCCATTTTCTTTTTGGCTGCGTCGGCCTCGGCCTCATCTTCGTCGTATTTGTAGCCGGTTCCAGCGAAGCCCTTTCCTCCCAGGTGCACCTGTTTTCCCTGAGCTTCCATATCCTTCTTGAATCGTTCGAACATCGCCTTCAGTTCATCCGGGGGCTTCGATCCAGCCGTTTCAAACGCTCGACAGATCTCTCCGGCCATTTTTTCTTGGACTGAAATTGATGGCGTGAAAGGAGATCTGTGCAGAAGACTAACATTCGGGGAGGACAAACGTGTAGGCGTAGCCCTTCTTGCCCGCTCTGCCCGTGCGACCAACGCGATGAACGTAATCCTGGGCAAAAGAAAAAGTTGCTGAAGATTAGAGAGAAACAAGAAACTTCGTAATGATTGGGACAATCGTAGTTGACGACCAGGATCAGATTCTTGACGTCCAAGCCTCGGGCAGCCACTGAAGTCGCGACCTGCAGAGCCAACGAAAATATGCATTTCATTAAGGGGGGAGTGAAAGTACTTTGTCCTTTCAATAACAATCATGAGAGGAATCTTAAAAAGGTTCTGGCAAAAAGGAAAACTCACGAGGACTTTGATGACGCCTTGCTTGAAGTCGGTAATAGTCGAGTCGCGGTCGAATTGGTCGATTCCGCCATGGAGAGGAGCACAAGAGCTGTAGCCACTTTTTAATCAGTTGGTCCACAATATCATCTGCCTTTAAAAACCGCACTTTACAACCAACGAAAAAGTATTTATAATTTTTTTCTTTCAATATATAATTGTTTTTTTTCCTTTCGTTCTCATGGATGAGATCTTCGAATTTTCTCCAATTAAGTAGGACAAGGAAAAGCAAATATCCGTCGAATAGAAAGCAAAAAAGATACAATCTAAGGAAAACTGAAGTATGAGAAACGCCGAAAATGTATACCTTTTCCTGCTTGTCGACGAAAATGATCGAATTCCCTTGCTCGTAGTAGATGCCGAGCAACTCCAGCAGTTTCAGAAGCTTTTGATGCTCCTCACATATCATGGCATTCTGGGTGACATCCGAACAAACGACGCTCTTTCCGCCCACCTGAATTCAAAAAACGAGATTAATATATAGAAGAAGTTTCTGCAATCAGAAAATACTTCCAAAGGCTGACCAGAATTTCGATGGGTTTCTCTAGGATCTTCCAAGCCAAAGCTTCCATTTGACGCGGAAACGTCGCTGAAAAGAGAACTGTCTGGCGGTCAGGCCGAATGTTGTTCACCACCTTCATCACCTACAACCACAACCTCGATATTACGCAAAAATGTAGAAACCTAGCCAATAACGCCCTGAAAAACTGGACAAACCTGTGGTTCGAAGCCCATGTCAAACATCCGATCAGCTTCGTCAAGAACGAGATAAGTTACGCGACGCAGGTTGGTCACTTTACCTAAAAGACGAATTTTCTTAGCAATCAGTTTCAGAAAAATATGTCATTCTCTTCGTGGAATTGGTCAAAGAAAAAATTAATCGAACCACAAAAAATTCGAAAGTTCTGAAACTTTCTTACTTCATATTTTGGACGGAAGTCGGTTCAATGAGCTTCTTTCACATATTATACCGTTATATAAGTAGAATAGATATAAAAAAAAAACTTTGGTTGAAAAATTAAACTATGAAAATAATCAAAAACTAAGTACTACTTAGAAAAATGGGTTCAGAAAAAAACAAACAAAAGAAAATTAAATAATTGAAAAAAAAAAAACATATTCAACTCGAATCAAAATAGAGGTTTGAGAAAAACTAATGAAGATCATTCAGATAAACCAAAATCGAACCGCTATTAGCAGCAAGCATGTCGATCATCCGTCCAGGAGTGCACACAATGATTTCTGCACCTCTTTTCAGGTCGGCAATCTGTTCCGAAATGCCAACACCACCGTAAACACAAACCACCGAGATGCCCAACACCTGTAGAATGTCAAAATATTCATATCCATAAGAACTCTCTTCTCTCACCTTTGCGAACTTATTCGCTTCTTTCCACGTCTGCATGGCGAGTTCACGAGTTGGCGCCATGATGACAGCTGAAAAGGAAAGAGAAAGCTATTAAAACAACTATAAGTAGAACCTATAGGGCCGTCGCCTTCCTCGAGCTCTGGCTGAGCCAAAATATGTCGGAACATGGGCAAAAGAAAAGCCAACGTCTTTCCACATCCAGTTTTCGCAATGCCTCAAATTTATTCTATCGAGCTTTTTATATTTTTGCCTCACCAATGATGTCGCGACCCGACATGATACATGGAATGGCTTGTGCTTGGATCGGGGTCGGCTTCTCATAATTCTGCCTGGAAATAGAAATTGAAAATCCGAAAGGAAAGGATAGGAAGGACTTTTTCAAGACATTCAGAGTTTTCATGTCGACGCCGCACTGTGCCCAGGTCTTAATCGGCTTCGGACATTTGCTGCCTTTCACCTCGATCCCATCCAGTTCTTCTCGGAACGCTTTCACCTCGGCCTTGGTCATTTTCCCGATCTCTTGAGTCTAGAAAAAAACTAGTTACTTTGAAAAGTATACTGAGAGAAAACCTCAATGTAAAAATCCTTCTTAAAAGGTCTGTAGTAGACTTTTGTGTGATCTGTCTGCGCCAGCAACCTTCCCTTATGACACAAACTGGCAGCCGCCTGAGAGCTCATTGAATGGAAGAAAAAAAGAGGGAAAAGAAACCTGCTCGAGGTCGAAGTCGTCGATGACCATGTCTGTGTGGTCGTCGTTCTCCAAAACGACGCCTTTGTCCTTTTCGGGCTCTTCCGAAACAATAGTGACGACGCGAACACCCGACTTGAAATACCTCGTGATTTATCATGAACAAACTTGTTTATACCACTGTTGATGGCTTCGGAGCGGCCTTTGCAGTGAGGTCATTCATGAAGGCGTCCAGAGGGTCTTCCTCCTCTTCTGCGGTCTCCATTTTCACCTCCTCCGCACTAAAAAACAGTCAAACAGAAAAAAAATCAACTGAACAAACATTTTTTCGTCGTTTTCATTTGGTTTTTCCTCACTTCCACTGGTTTCCTCGACTTTGTAATCCATCTCATCATCATCTTCGTCTTCCAAGTTCCACGATTTTTTCTTCGATTCAACTTCGAGTTGAGGCTTCACTTCACCCTAAAACGTAAATAACTTTTTTGAAAAAAATGAATGATTTTGAAGTTTGAAAGAAAGTAGTTTCAGCAATCAATATCCAATAATTAACATGCAATACAACGCACTTCAAGTTCTGTTTCGGCAGTTTCTTCTTCTTCTTTCTTTTTGTGTCGAGAGCGCCAAAGTTCGACTTTTTTGCGACGTTCCTCCATTATTTTTTCCAACTCGACATCTGCCGCTGCCTGAAAAAATGTGAAAAAATGAGAAAACTAAAAAAGATACCTTGTCTTTCATACTGACGATAGCTTCGATACCCGACTTTTTCTGCTCAGAGCTGTCTTTTTCTTTTTCGCGTCGCTTTTCTCGGTCATTTTCTCGGTTGTCTCTTTTTCGGCTTCGCTCATCCCGTCTTGGTGATCTGAAAAAATTTATCAAAAGACTACGAAAAGAACGAACCTGCTGCGTTTGCGGTCTCGGGACCTGGATCTAGATCGTTTTCGATCGTTTTTCTTGTCGCGTTCTTTTCTGTCCCTTTCACGATCTTTGTCACGCGCTCTGTTTCTGTCTCTGTCCCTTGATCTGTCTCTTCCCATACTGAAAATTGCGAAATAAATAGATTCAGAACCCGGGAACATTCTCATAAAAAAACGTTCCCTTTTTGAAAATGATTTGAATTCCCTTTACGAAGTTTCGTTCGAAAGACAGCCGCTAACTTATTTGTTCTAGGGACTTTACGAGCCATATAACACAGAAAGAATATATTTGAAGAAATCGAGAAAAATAATAAGTTAAAAACGACAAACAAAACCTCTTGGCGTGTCAAGAAATTGATATATCATCGATATAAAGTGTCGAAAAACAGAAAATTACTGTTTACAACTTCTCGATCTTTTTTTGGCGTACGAAAAACGAATTTCAAAAATTTGTACTAGAAACATACAAGTTTTCATGCCGTGTTCAAAGTAATTTCCGCGAAATGAAAAATGGTCTTTTACCCTCCAAAATTTAGTTATCTTTCTCTTTCTCTGACGGCTATTTTGAATTTCGCGGAATCACTTTGAACACGGCATCATATTGAAAATATTTACAAACTGAATTCAATATTTTAGAAGAATATTACCCAGTGAAAGAAAAAAAATACGAAATTTGAGGCAGAGCAAGTTTGGACGTTCGGAGTAGAGTGTCCGCTTAAGCAATCGTAGTTGAGCGGGAAATCGAAAATTTCCAGAGTTGTGAGTTTATTTTTCCATTAATTTTCATAGTCTGTTTTGTCTTTCAAGATTATAATCATCTTTTTCTTCATGCCGTGTTCAAAGTAATTTCCGCGAAATTCAAAGATATATCTGACTCTCCAAAAGTAAGTCGTTTTCCCTCTGACATCTGGAGGCAAATATATCTTTCATGGTTCTCTTCCTCCACGCCACAGATCTGTCTGTGAGCGAAATAAACATTTCATTCATTCATTCATCTATTTTTAATTTCGCGATATCACGGGATCAGTTTTTTTTTCTAGAAAAGATCAATCTACAATGTAGGATGAGCATTCCTGCAGCCAATATAAGTCATGGGTTTTTTCCTTTAAAAAATTTTTTAGGACTTCACGCGACGAATTGTCCTGAAAAAAGGCATTTCGTGTGATTAATCTCTTGGAAAAAGCTATTCCGTTCATATTCCATTTTCAATAGGTTCATTGTGCGCTGGCCTATATTAAAATTACTATAAAAGTAGAAGGAGGCCTTGAAAAACACTATTTAACGCTATGTTTTCATCCAGTAAATGCACAAAAATCGGCTCTCAATGTCGCGCCACTATTGCAATAACTCGCGCCCCCATTGCAAACGGCCACGCCCAATGCCCACGTCTGCCGCCTGTTTGGGAACACTGTGTAGCGGCTTCGACCGCTTGGTCGAGTATCGCGGGTCGCAGAGCCAGATGTTTTTTTTCTGATTTCTCAATACTTCAAGATTCATTAAAGATTTCAACAAAAACAGGAGAATGCCCTTTTAACAGATAAGATGAAAATTCAGTTTTGGAAGTGACTTGGAAAACAAAAAGGGGGATAAAGGTTCCGAAAAAAAAAAACATTAGTGAGTCTGCCCCAACATGGTAACTCCGTAAAATTTTGCTAATTTTTCCTGCCATCAGCATGGTTTTTTCAAGTTGGTTCACTTCAACGCGAAAACTGATGTATTACGATATTGGAATCGTTTTCCTCTTATATTTTTTCCTGATTGACCAAGGTTGGCTCTACCAGAAAAGCAAAAAAACTTTATGAACTCCTAGAAACAGGATAGGGAAAAAATATTAAGTTTTCACGGTAACTTTCACATGGTAGTTCAAAAAAAGGGGCGGATCCTCACCAAAGTTGTATCAAAAAAATTTGGGATCTGGAAAGGTGTTTTTTTAGAGCAATAAAAAAATAAATAAAAAATTTTTATACCAAAGACTCATATAATTAATGTGAAAACGTGTGACATATCAAAAAAATACAATAGTCCGACCGGTAAAAAAGAAAAATATGATTTTAACTCGATGAACTTCACGGAACACACGATTTTCATTTTTTTTTTTTAAAGTTGCCTTGATTTTTTTTGCTTTTTCTCGGCCAAATTTCTTTCTCGCCTCTTCCACTATTTATTTTTCCAGAAGCCTATCGGAGTTCACATTTCAGCTGTGTGACAAAACTTTTGCGAAGATTGGAGCCATTAGTGAGGAAATATAACTATTCGAAGTTTTTTTTACATCGTCTTTTTTCAGACTCTCCGGAAATGGAATATGCTTTCTTCCACGGGATATTAAGTCGATTACATCGAAGTGCAGAAATGTTTTGTTTTTGAAAGAAAAAAACAGAATTTAGGCACGTTGAGTTTGGACTGTCTTGTGGAAGAGTTAGAAGAACATTTGTCAGAAAACTACTTCATTGACGAAATTGTTTTGAGAAACGGGTAAAATCCTATCGAATTCTTTCAGGATATTTTGAGTTTCATAAGTTTTAAGAAAAGAGGTGCGGGTCAAAGGTCGTGAAAAAAGGGGCGGATTAGTTCTATATTCAGTGGAACATGATGGAGATACAGTGAAGGTCAAGTCCACCGAGCTGAAGTCAGTTTGGTTCGCTGAAGGACAAACTCTATGATCTTTGTAGGAGAACAGTCGAAACGGATGAGCAACGCATAAAACAACTAATCGAAAAAATGGCTCATCAAGAGGACAATACTTGGAAGGTCTGTCGTTTTTTTAACTTTTCCTCAACCAGATCCATTTTTTGACAGGTGAATGATGAGTACAAAGAAAAGTATGGCATAAAAGACAAGTTTGCTCCCATTTTCGGGGGGAATGTCAGCAGACGGTCTTCGCTGGCCAACATTCCTCTCAACACTTTGAGCGAGGTTCTTTACTTTTGATGGAATATTGTATCTGTTATTTTTCGAAGGTGATTGTGTTGGACGATGATGATGAGCCAGATTTGAAGGTTGTTCGAAGATCTGGTTTGCCTCCCAGTTCGTCGAAGATATTCTCTCGAAACGGGCTACTCAAACGAGCAGAAGTTTTCCGGGACACTGAAGGGGACAAGATTAGCTTTCAACCCAAGGAACCGAAACAAGATTCTGAGAAAACGAAAGAAGTCGTCAAGAATGGCGAAAAGAAAAAGAAGAATAAAAAGGTTGAAGCTCCGTCTAAAGAGGTACTTAGTTTCTACTTTTTCAACGAAAATAGGCTCAATTTTTAGAACATATCGAAGTTTCTGCACAAAACTACAGCTGAAAATTTTCAAAATGAAGAAAACAAAAACGTGGAAAACCTGCTCGAGAAATTTTCCATGGCTTGGAATAAGAGAGACCAAAAGGTTAGAAAACAGCTTTTTTTTTTCGAAAACTACCCTTGTTCCAAATATATTGGTCCCATGATTCAATTTCAGGCTTTTCAAAAGGTTGTCGAAAGCGCCGTGAAACATTTGCCACTAGAATCATACGAAACATTGCAAAAAGAAGTCTGGGTTTACGCGGTAAACGTGGAAAGTCGGCGTAAGATCGAAGAAAGCGAAACGTGTGTGGATTGCGATATTCAAAAATATACAGAGAGAAAAAGTTTGCAAAAAGATTATCTCAGAGAAAAAAGAGAGGAAGAAGAAGAAAGAAGTCCGATGCGTACTGAGGTGTACAACGAGCGAATCGAGAGTATCATTCGGAATCAATTTGTGAGTTCTCAAGATTCCATCCTGTTGGATTGAGTGCCTATCAGCTTTTTCTGGAGTCGACCGGGTTCTACAGCTTCATTTCTGCTAACAATTTTATTTGACACAAATTGACAAAAAAAAATATGGATTTTGACTTTTTAAGAAATTTAAAACATAATTTTTTTGATGAGTCTGTCCGTAGATGGATCATACGAAGTCCGATGATTTGTTTGTGTTCGGAGAGTCTACTTTCGTTCCTCCTGGTCAAGTTTTTGAAAAGAGCGAGAAGATGAACGAGTGTGTCACTTTTCTGCTGCATCTCTACTCCATTCAAAGTTTCATCAAGTTCTACGAAAGTTTGACTATTCGTAAGTTTTTCTGAGCTTTTTGGGAAGTTTTGTTGGGAATGGGGCAAAATAACCGAAAAGGATAATCGAATCATTGCAAGAGGCGGTAGTGGGTGTGCAAAATCCGTGATCAGCATTTTTTCAGTACTTTTCAAACGCTTTTTTTGCTTTTGTGCTTTTAATTTTCCCGTTAACAGTTTGGAAGTAGTCTTATTTTTGATAATTTAAAAGTTGCAAAAAATCTAAAGTGACAATGAGAACTCGAAAACCGCAAATTTGTGTTCATGAATCCTAATATAATCTATGAAGCTTCTCTTGATTTGTTTGTTTGAATATTATTTATTCAGTTAATAGATTAAATCATTCTGCGTATATTCATATTTTCAAGGAGAGTTTTACGATGCTCTACGGGACTCAAAGAGTGGATATTTCCACAAGACTTGGAAAATATACGAAGCCCTTCTTCGCACTTTGTTGCACGAAAAGGAGTACTCGGTTGGTAGTCGATTACTCACAAAAACCGAAAAAAAACCGTCGAAATTCAGAAAATTTCTCACTTCAATGCGCGTCTATATGAGTTTGCTCTTACTCCGCACAGTTTGTCAGAAATCTGCCACAGATTTATTTTGGCTACTGCCGAGCTTCAGTAAGTCCCTTTCCTAATTTCTCTTGTCACTTGAAAATCTCTTTATTTGAAAGAAGTTCCTTCAGAGCTGGCGATGAAGCTGATGAAAATGAAGGAGGAGAAACAAACGATAAAAGCGCTGAAAACGTAAAAAAAAAGGCACCCTTCCAATTTAAGCTTGTTTTTAAGAACGTTCGCGACGAGATTTCATCTTTTTTCAAAGCCAATGTGCATTTGTGGGATCTCGAAGCTAGTCAGCAGATGAAGGTTCTTCACTTTTTACGAGAGTCCATCACCAGTCTTCGTTCGTATTCGGTGACTTTGTTCTCGAAGTAAATTGAAGTGTTCCTTTAATAGATCTATGTGAGAGGAGATGACAATCCGGAAGGGCGAGTCATGCGTTTACGCGCACAAAAGTTGACGGATGAGGTTTGAAAGAACGAAAAGCGAAAAGAAGCTCTTAAAGAACCTTTTTTTCTCGAAAAGTAAGGAGCTGTGAAGGTTCAGACTTTCAGGATCTCTAGTTGGTCCAACAAACGTGTTCTGGCGAATTTTCAAAAAGTTCGCGCGAATTGACCTTCCTTTTAAGACTTACCCAATAGATAGATGATCGCCACTCGATAAATTTTTGCAAAAATTTTTTGCAGCTAGATTCAAAATTTTATATTAATTATTGAGTCTTTGGAAAAACGTAAAAAAAATAAATTATTTTCGGAATTAAAATTTATTCTCAGTGAAAGATCTTTTTCTAGTGTCGAGATTCATAGCTAATTATGTTTTTCAGTTTTATTTTGAGATATCCTTTTAAATAAAATTCTTATCAGATAAAAACGTTGCGAAAAGAATTGACGGAACTGGAACCTGTGCCAGAATCTCTGAGAACGCGAGAGAAGGAGCGCAGAGAAGCTGAACATCTGAAGAAGGAGAACTCTATAAATCGACGCTTGGAGGTCGAGGAGCAAAAACTGAAGGATTTATTGGAGCAAATTCAGGTTTTTTATACGATAAATGCAACTCATCAACCGATCTCGTTATTTTTATCTCTTATATATATCGTTTTGCCCTATTTTTATCTTTTAGTTTTTGGGAAAACATAACTTCACTTGGAATAATTGTCGATTTTGTGCGTTTTCGAGTCCGAAAAAAAGTTGAAGTGTGTCTAGATTGAAAGACATCGTCATCGGCAGTCGAAGCGTCTCGACTTCCTTGGACAGGACAGACATTTCCGCAACTATTTCCTGCTAAGCAATTCTGTGGAGGCCGGAATTTGGATTCAAGATGTGCTCAGAAGATTTTTTGGAAAAAAGTGTACACAATTTGGTTCAGGTCGGCCTCTCAGAGTACGAAAAGTACGTTCGAACTTGCGTTGAGAAGCGCGTCTGTCCGGAGGATCCAATCCTCGAGACGGGAGTCCCGCCTCCCCCGCCCGATAGGTGAAAAATATTTAGTTGCGAATTCAGTTTCCTTCTGAAAATGTTTAAAAAGCTGACCTTGATCATGGTCATGTGTCTGAATTTCGTTATTTTTTCAGATTGGATATAACTGAGATGTGGTATAAAATCGCGACGGTGCAAGCTTTCAACGACTTGAAGACGTCGCTGAAGAGAGAAGGAAAGCGTGAGAAACTTCTTCTTCATGTTCGTTTGCAAGTTCAAATCCCATTCAAAGGCCTCATTTCAGTCCATCAAGATGCACAAATCCGCAATCGAACCGATATTTCAGAAAGAGCGCTCCGTGTCCGTCATGTAAGATCCTACATCACTTAGGATTCAGTATGAAACATTTCAGACCTCTGTTCTCCATCAAGCCGGATGAGAGTTTGAAAGAAGAAGTTTTGACTATTCTCAAAGATCTGAAGGACGGTTTGTTGTGCTCCATCGACAGTGTCGAAGACTTCGAGAAAGAATTCCTGACCGACCTTTCGCTTGATTCTTTTGTAAATACTTATTTTGCGAATGAATTGTAGTGATCTCTCTTCAGAAAAGGGGAATCACGAAATTGGCTAATTCGACAACCAAGAAGGCGATCATCGAGAGATTCCCTATGAACATCGCGAAAAAAACTGGTTCCCTTTATTTATTTATTTTTTAATATTTATACTTTCTGTCGTCTTTTTTCTATGATGATGGCATATCTTGAAAAAAAGTAGATTCAATTAGAAAAAGTAAAAAGAAGTCGTATTTGACTCCTCGAACAAAGATAGGCGGACTTCAGGCAGTTTCTCGGTGCTGCTCATGAATCGGTGGATTGATTGCGTCGAGAGGGCCGAAAACTTCTCGGCTCTCCATTTGCTCGTCGACTACTTGAAATCTCGAATCTCTTTCAAATTCTCAGCTTCCACGAGGGTTTGTTTTATTTTTAATTTTTTGCGCACAGCAAAAAAAAATGCATGCATTGTGAGCAGTTGTAGAATGTGATCAGGAAATCTTGCAGTGCCATCTTTTTGCATTTAACATTTGTTTGCGACGAGCCTGATCTCTTTCTCTCGCTCTCTTTTGAAAACATGTTGGAGCGGCTTCGCGACCGCACGCTGCCCTTTTGCATAAAAACTAGTGTGGCAATTATTGTTCGATTGAATTATTTCATGAGGAATCGTAGAAGGCAATAAAGACAAAACATGAAGAATCAAGTTTTGTTCGATTTTTTTTTTTCGAATGGTGATCGGTATTTGGTTTTCAGCCATGCCGAGGCTGCTTTTCCAATCGCACAATAGATGAAAAGATCATGTGCGCAGAATGCATGAGAGTCATGCATTGGACTTGCGTCCGGCCTCGACTTCCCGTGAAGCCACAAGAGTGAGTCTCCATTTTGTCTCTCTCCGAGATCTTTCCCATAAATCCGTTTGATATCGTTTTCAGGTGGCTGTGTGCGGTGTGCAAGCAAGCCGAGGAGCGCAGAAATCAGGAGGAAAGCGATTTCGACGAGGAAAATAGCGACGAGGAGGCTGACGAAGAGGTCGCTTAATATTTCATTATCAAGCTTTTTGAATATTATATTATTGAAATGAGGTCGTTTTTTTTCTAAGAGAATCAGAGGAAGGCTTTTTATTCTCCTAAAAACTATAGAGTGACTGAGATTTTACAAACTTTTCTTAAAAATCTGATATGCCTATATCCCCAGGTTTGATGTTACTTGGTTTGCAGTAATTTCAGGAATAACCAAGAGAGAGTTTTTTATCTTACACCGACTTCAATCAATCAATAATTTATTTTATGGTTTTAGTCAGATGCAATAGACAAGGCGGTGAATGAGAACTTTCGAAGCTATAACGAAAAACCGCCTTTGTTGAACGAGAAGTCCAAACGTGTAGTTGATCAAGTTCAAAGCATGGTCTTACGGTCCTTCGTCTCGTTTTTCTGCCCGTAGTCCATCCAGTTTCGCCTTGCCGAGCTCAGAGTTTAGCGGATCTTGTGCTGGAATTCGGAGACCGTGCTCTAGGTGAAAAAGACTTTGGAAGAGGGCCAAAGTAAAACTGCCCATCGGATCTGACTACGAGAAGCTTCATTTACGCACATTTTCCGTTAATAGACGGTCACTGAATGAGAAATGATACCCGTTTTTATGTATTTTTCTTTAGATTTCAAAGGTACTGAGTCCCAAGTTCTAAAATATCAAGCGTGAAACAAAAAAATTGGGATTTATTTATGAAAGCTAACTTTCAGAAGCGGGGAAGAAACAAGCGAGCACTGAGTCGAAGCCAAAAAGATGATTCTGAAGCAAAAAGATCAAAGAAAGTTGTCTCGGTAGGTTTGATTCTGCAGCAAAAATTTCCAAAAAGTGGTAGATCTTCAGTATGTGACCTTGAATGAGTTCAAAGGTTCATACTACATTTCTTCAACTTTTATTAAATACTGCATATAAGCTTTGGGTTCCAGGAATCAATTTTGAAGTTTTTTCGTCTGAAATGTCCTACAAACAACCTCTTTATACTTCTCTCTTCACCCTAACTGGACTTTTGGCATTATTAAGGAGGTGGCGGACTTTTTCGAAGGGATGCGGCTTCAGAATCCGCGACTTTTCCGCACTCTTCAGACTGTCAACATATCCTCTCACAGCATCCGCAGTGGTTTAAAAAGTCTGAAAGACATCGAAGAAAATTTAGATTCAGTGAGTTATTTTTTTCACTATTTAAATTTAAACTTTTTTTCCAGTACTCTGACATTAAGGCGTTGAGAAAAGACTTGGGGAAGTTTCTGAAACAAGCCGCCGTCCTACTACAGGTTATAATTATGAAACATTTTTGCGACCATTAATAAAACCGTTTTTGTTTTTGTGAACTTCATACAGACTTTGAATGGATTTTTATTTTTTAGGATCAAAACTATCGCAAATTCGACGAGATGGAGGAATATCTCAAAGCTTTCTTTACTGAGTGAACATTTCCCTTAAAGCTGGTTTCTCACTTGTTTCATTTTCTTCAGAGTGTTAACTCACGTATGACACTGTATTACTTCTTTTTGAAACTGCAAGCTTAATATTTCTTCATCCTTCTTTTCTTTTGAGTCGCAAACTTCTCTTTGTGTCTCATGGATGAAAACTTCTCAATTATTTTTTTTTGTCTCAGGGCGTGTGTGAAAAAGTTAGACGGTTTATGGCATCTTGATGGGTTTGCGAAACTCGTACGCGTTTCATCGTTATCTAACACTACCTCTCTGTGCACTTATTTTCCCTTTTTACGAAAAGTAAGAGAAGAAAGAGCGGAATTTAGGCATCTATAGAGTCTAAACTAATGAGGTACACGGTGTCGGTTTGTCGTTAGTTGTATTGCATGCGCCCCTTTCGGGAATGCTTCTGATCTCATCAGTCTGTCTTTTGATTGACCTCTCTTTGCGTGTATTATTTGGTTGTGTTGAATAAAATCTTGCCTACGCTGTTTTTTTATCAACGGCTTGTTTCGTGACGTAACACACCGTCTAGTTGTGTGCTGGGCATTCATAGGCGAATCAAGAAAGTCTATCGCGATACCCTATGAGGTATATCGCAGGTTATGAAGTCTATCGATGGTACCTCGAGTATACCGCTGATGACAATTGGGCAAAATGAGATAGACTCGAGGGAGACTCTCAAGTACCTTCGAGATGGCTCAGACACAGCTAAAAGGATTGCTGGAGGTCTCACGATGGACCCGTTATGAGGTCTTCCTGATCCATTTTGAGAGGTATCTTTTTGTGGATACATTATGGTATCTTCCCGATTCGCCTGCTATTCCTATTTTATGCAGATAGCGCGGAGAGACGTAGAATCCACTAAAGCAAACACTTTATAAGACAGTTGAGTGGTTGGTTCAGTCAGAGAACAATTTCATAGAAAAAAACCTACAATATACCCTGTTTTTTATCTATTTGAATAGTGACGCTGAATATTCAGAAAAATGCCGCTCCGCAATAAAAAAAACACGGGTTACTGCGAGCGCTTTCTGTGGTGCGCACTTGTAAAACACTCATGACATTTAAACCTACGCGGATTTTTAATTTTTTTTATTGCAATAGCATTGCTCTCTGAAAAATTTTTCTTCAAAAATGTTTTTTCTTGAATTTGATTGATTTCATCATAAAAGTCAAAAATAAAGCAAAAAAAATGTTTTTCAAATTTCAAATTTTTGAGAGGGAGCGATATGGCAGCGAGACTTTGACGAGGTCGCAGCAAGAAGTCTTGGCTATATCGCGTGCGGCCCGCTGCGATATCGGCAATTATGTTGGGTGTTTCTTCATTTCATGATAAAGGATAAAAGTTCTTCAAATCCAAACGATTGTGTTTTTTATTTATAATCTTACTGAGATCAGAAAATAGTTTACCTTCCTTTTCACATTTTACTATTTATACGGTTCTAAATTATAAAATCTAGTTCATTCACCGCTCAACTCCATCGTTTTGAACTGATAAAACTCTTCGTTATTTGTTTTTAATTGATAAATATGAATAGAAAAATGTTTTTTTCAAAGAACTTTATTCTTCATTCAGGAATTTATTTTTTTTGGAATCGGCTCCTCTTTGATTTCTGCTTTTTCTTTGTCATGGCATGTCACTTTTTGGGGATTGAAAAAAATAAAGAAGTATATAAACTAAATTCCGATATTGCAAAATCTTGAAACTCTTTGCGGAGTTTTTCTGTTTTGCATATTCATTGAATATAATATCAAGTTCTCTCACCAAGCATCTTGCCATTTCTCAGATTTCTCTCCCATGGCGCTCTGCTTCTTAGAAAAAAATCAAATATAAAAATTATTTTTTTCTTGAAAAAAATTAGTTATTTATATTCTGAATTGAGTTTTTTTGTAACGCTTCATTTAAAAAAACAAAAATTTGATGTTGTTGCGCTGAATCTGGTCCAAAAACGTTCATTTTTTTAAAAAGTATATTTACTTGAACTTTGAGACAACTTTTTTTCCAATTAAAAACACCATAATAGAAACCCACACTTTTTTTTCCTGAAGTTCTTGCGCTCCATGGCAAACGCTCTGTTAGATTTACAAAAAAAAAAAACAAATTATCAAAGGTTATTTTTACTCTAATTTTTTTTGTCGGTTTTACTTCATCTGTTGATTTTTTTTTTCAATCGAAATGCTCACTATGAGAAGGTTTTTTCCAGAATGAATCCAGAGTTGGAGCCATGGGATCGGTTTCGAGATTGGCTGCACTGCATTTGCGTCGTTACATTCGATCTGGAGCTCGGACAAGCATTAGAGGTTCATTTTCTAGTTTGCAAATGTCGATAAGAAGTTATTGTTCAGGTGATTTATCCTGGTGATGCAGTACTTTCTAATGTAGAGAAAATGAACATTTGTTATCTGGCGTTTCCTGATTCGAATTCTGGCAACGCCCGCGATAGCAATTTCCACTTCAGAATCCGGAGGTGTGTTATAACTATTTATCGAGGAAGAGTCTAATTCAATTTTATTATCACATGACGGATACAGGTCGTTGACCGAACTGCGTCCTGTGCACCGGGTCTTGATGGAACAGTCGCCCTCTTCCTTTCCGATGGATGCTCACTATCTTTACGGTTTCGTCCATTTTCGACAGCAAAAAGATGCCAGCATTAGACGCGGCTACTACCAGAAGGTATTTTTCTAATCGTTCTTGGAGCAATAAGTTTTTCCTGTGGTTACAGTCTCTGTCGGGATTTATTTCTCAACCTCTTAGACTTTTTTTTCCGATACATCTTCAGTAAGCTCTCAAGATACAATGACTGGTTCAATAGGCTCAAAATTTTTGATGACGGTTTCAAACAACTTTCTTGTAAAATTTTTGTCATTTCGTTCCCATTGTTACATGAAACGGCTTGATCAGAAGTTGGCCTATAACTTCAAATGCTTATTGAATAGCTTTCGCTTGAGAAAACAAAGAAGTTATCGTGGAACATTTGATTTTAATACTATCAGAAAGTTAACAATTATTAGCAAAGCCTAATTATGCTTTGAAAAAAATTTGAATTTTTTCCTATTTCCAGTTATTTTGAGCAGTGAAAAACTTCAAATCATAAAAAGACAGCCGTTCATTGTCATACAAACGCCCTTTTATTCAAATATAAGGCTTCCTTTTTTTTTTGAAGTTAGTTCCATCTGAAACCTTTTGAGCGCGATTTCCAGAGCATCGTTCTGGTCTCACTGCTCCCTCTGTTCTCCCTCTACTACACCGTCACCACTCAAATTGCTCGACGCTTTTTTGACAACGGCGAAGCGGCCATCGAGGCTGGTTCGTCCTTTTCGATTCAAAGATTAAATCTTTTTTATGCTTTCTTTGCGATTTTGTTTTTCATGGCAACTTTGGAAGCATAATGAGAATATGAAATTGTACTTGAAGAGACGGAAAAAGTATTTCTCGTATCGAAAGACAGTTTTTTTCTTCTTCGAAGGTTTTAGCTTCAGCTTGCCACCACATCGATTCTTGGGCGGCCCCGATGGCTGGGAAACCGCTAGATTTGCCGCTTTTGGGGAGTTTGATGCATTACCGGCTTCCATCCATCGGAGATCTTCCTTTTGATTATCGCTACGACGGATTCGTCGAGGTTTCCGAATTTTCGAACCAAAAACGGTCTTAAGTGTTGTGAGAAAAAAAGTACACTTTCACAAAAAGCTTAATGAAGCAGATACCAGCAAATAAGTGTGATATATATATATATATATATATATATATATTAGAGTTCACCAAACCGATCGTTCGACCAAACGTTCAACCAATATTTTCATGACATGTTACCAAAAATATGATTGATTAACATTTCTTTCTACCGAACGATTAACATGTCTCATGATTATGATCTCTCGTTTTTTCGACATGTCAACATTTCATTTAAATGAGAGATCATTTCGAATCGATCGTTCAGTTTTCGATTGATCGAAATGTTGTATTGAAAATATTGGTCGAAAAAATGATTGATCGAAATGTTGTCTTGAAAATATTGGTCGAAAAAATGATTGATCAAAATGTTGTATTGAAAAATATTGGTCAAAAAAATGATTGATCGAAAATGTTGTATTGAAAAATATTGGTCAAAAAAATGATCGATCGAAAGGTTGTATTGAAAAATATTGGTCGAAAAAAATGATTGATCGAAAGGTTGTATTGAAAAATATTGGTCGAAAAAAATGATTGATCGAAAGGTTGTATTGAAAAATATTGGTCAAAAAAATGATTGATCGAAATGTTGTATTGAAAAATATTGGTCGAAAAAAATGATCGATCGAAGTGTTGTATTGAATATATTGGCCGAAATGTCGATATATCAAAAACGTTAAAAATCCAATGATTGATCATTAATGTAAGAGATCAAAAACTGATCTAATAAACGATCTCTCAAAAAAATGACATGTTAAAAATTTGGTTGAACAGTGACATGTCAATAGTTTGATCAATTGAAATGGTTGAATGATCGGTTTGGTGAACTCTAATATATATATATATATCACACTTCAGAGTCATTATATATATATATACAGAGTCATTATATATATATATATATATATATATATATATATATATATATATATATAATGACTCTGTCCTGGCTAAATCTTTTTTTCACGCGAAAAAATGTATAATTTCAGTTTTCCGATGGCCAGGAAGAAGGTTTGGACACAGGGAAACCGAATTTCGTACAACCTCTTCTCGCTCAAATACACCATTTGCAGCTACTTTGGGAGCTCGTTCTTCTCGGAGAAGTTTCCTTTTCCTTCATTACGTTTTCAAATGTCAACCCAAATTCATAAACGACCACTTCTAGGTAGAAAGTATGCCATGGATTGAACGACTTCTCCTTCACTTGAATTGTCCATGTTTTCTAACCATCTTGAAAAAAGAAAACAAATGCGGGAAAGAAAATAAAGTATTCGTATTCAGAAAAATTAGAATCAAAATTTTCAGATTAAGACTTTTACTGTTCATGACGTTAGTTTTAAATTTAAGAAGTTTTTCGCATTACGAAATGAATCCCGGATATTTGATGAGAATGAGATAACTGCAAGGTTTCGCAGACTGTTAGGCTTGCTGTAAAATAGATCTTTCAGCCGCTGCTGATCATGGCCCCGAGTCCTTGTTTGGTGTCGTCCTTAGTGCAGTCGGTGGTGTCTCTCGTGGCGCCCCTGCGAATCGCCCAGGATTTCCGGCCCTACTTCACTATACACGACTCGGAGTTCAAGGAGTACTCAGTTCGTGGTCGTTCGCCGTAAGTTCCGTCTGAACTTCGGGGATGATCTTCTCAACCTAATCGATTCAAGGCCACGCGTGATCCTCGGAGTTACGAATCCCTTCTTCATCAAAGCGCTTGATCATTGGCCGCATATTCTTAAGGTTGCTTAACGAAAAATTTCTGAAAAGTTTCAGTTTCAGATTGACACGGAGAAAGAAAAAGATCCGAGCGAAAAAACCAAGTTGGTTGTTGTTCTGCCTGCAGTTTATTCGAATCTATTTGCAGGAAACACTGGGCCGGCCGCAGTTTGGACGTCCGCGCCGGATTCTATACCCAGTACAAGCCTTTTCTGTCGCGCGACAAAAGCCTCGCCAAAAAACTCCTGAAACAGGATCTCAGTCTTGAAGTACCGCTGATGTTGTCAAAGTATTCCATTTTTGCTTGCAGATCCAGGGAAACGTGCTCAGAAGGCATTTCCTCGAACTAACGCAGAGCTTCATGATTCCACTCGAACGATATCTGTCCTCTTTGATGCCTCTCAAAAAGGAAATGTCGCCTTTTCGGGTACCTTTTCAGCCCCTTTTCCATAAATATTTCGAGGTGATTTCATCATTTCTGCTTTCCCGACTGATTTCCCTTCACTCAAAAATCTTCTCAAGTTCTCTCGATGCACTTGAGGCGCTATTGTTCCCGCATGTAGCCTGAAAATGTTTTCTCAGTTTTCAGAAGAAAATTTTTTCGTCCGATGGCTGAAATTCAATGTTTGAGGGGCTTTCAGGCGATTCCACACACTCGTCCATTCATTCTCGAAGATTTCCTAGCCACTTTGGATAGTTGTGGACCAACTCTAACGTGTGGAATCAAGGGTGATTGGTCAGGTTAGCCTTTTTTGGTTTACTTTGAATCTTGAATGGTATTGCAGAATTATATATATGTTTCTTCAATAAAATGAAACGTTCCCTTTAGTTTTGAGGCGTTTTAGTTAGAAAACAAGACATTTTCAAACGATTACCCAAAACTCGAGTTTTTCGTGGAATAATATTTGAAGAAAACCCGATGTGAATAGGCGTTTCTCAGGACTGTACCGAAGATTCGTGTCGTGCTCCAACTTTGGCGGATGGCTGTCCTCGAGGTCGAGGGACGTCTCCGCTCAGCTCAAGGTCCACTATATCGACGCTTTGTGTGGCGCCGATCTGGGTAAACCTTCTTATGACAGATAATAGACTTATTAATTTATTCTAATCCAGAGCTATAGGACTATTTTTGAAAACTCTGTACTCTTTTGAAGTTATTTTCTTTGCGTATCATAACGAAAAATATTCTTTCAAAGTCTTGATGAATTCGAAATGTTCATCCGCCAGGCGAACAAACGCTTTCCACAAAACACCACGTTGAAATTGTCGATTTGGTTCTGAGAATCCGCGAGAGAATCGTCGAATTGGATCCCGAGAGTGAATCACGACATTTGCTGGTACGTTTCTTCTTTTCGATTCCATCAATTTTAGGAAGTCTTTTGAAAAATCTCTGCTGATTTACTAACTTTTGCTGTACTTCTGTGCAGTTTTTGAGAGACATTCACACAGGACTGTATCAATTTAGTGTAAAAATAGGGAAAGTTAAAATGTTTACTTATGAATGTCCTAGGAGTCTTGTGAAGTTGTGTTCTAAAAGTTGGAAAGCTTTTTGGATTACCTAATTTATTTCGGTTTCGAACCATCAAAATTAATGTTACAATGTTTTATGCCTGCTTTTGAAAGAATGGAATTCGACCGAAATTTACCATTCCTGATATAAGATGGTTTCTGAGAAGCTTCTTATTTTTGAGAACGAATCTGTTTGAGGTAGGGCAAATCGTGAGAATCTTGGGATGCGTCGACGACGACCTCAAGCAGTTGCTGATGTCGAATTGTTCTCTGCGCGAAATCGTCAAGTGAATGCCGTGGGCGGCGGTCGCCAACTGGTTTCTCGTGTCAATAGCGGCAGGAAAAGTACGCCTCAACAGCTCGAACAATGACTTTGACGTCTTCCAAATGTGTAAAGCTTCCCTTTTTCTGCGATTTCACCTCGCCGTCCATCTCCGAGTACTTGTTTTATTCCTCTTTTTTCCTGGCAAGACGAACTTTTCAGTGTTCTTTTCCGTTTCCTCGGGCGATGACATTTTCGATTTCTTTTGTTAATCATGTTCTTTTTTTCTCTTCTGTACAGATGTTCCAAATGTGATTCATCCTTTTGAATATTCCTTATACGGTTGTGCGTTTAAAAGCATATTTCTTGGTTCTTTCCGTGATTAGAATTCCGACGGTGCTTTTTATTTGATTTTTCGGTTCGAACTTCCCGACAGCAAGGTAAAATTAATAGATCTGAAGGCTCAATATTTCCGATGGTACTCAGAATTCTCTCTAATTGAATTTTTCGCCTTGATTCTGTAGAAAACTGGTTTTTTTTCACTCATCGACCTGTCGCTACTCTTTTATAAGAATCTTTTGAAAACTTTGTGAAGAATTATAATTTTCTAATTTTTCCATCGATTATTCTCTCGTTTTTTAAAATTAATGTTACCATTTCTTTTTTCTTCAAGTACAAAGCTCCAGTACAGTAAAACCTCAGAGTAAATTAGCGTAGCTAGACATCAAAATGTGAAGAGCTTTTCGTGCTGAGACTTTTATGGGTGTTGCCTCTTGATCCTTTGAACGCTAGCTGTTCTTGAATACACTAACGACCTTCTGATCGTGTTGAAAACCGGTTCTTAAAAATAAATATAGATTACGAATTTTGTTTTTGTTTTTAGTGTGGATAGTTCTAACGTTTCGCGACGTTTTTTTCACTTATGAAAAAAGGTTTCGCGTGCTCTGCAAATATGATGTTTCTCAAGAGAACCGCTGTGATTACTTTTTCGTTCTGCGACTGAGCATTCTTACTCTACCTGTGCTCTTTTGCTCTTTTATGCCGCTCTGGAAAAGGTTTTGTTTGTCCTCCTACCAGTGACGGCATAAATAGACGGTCTGTCGTTGGTTCTTTCAAGAGTAACGATTTTCAGGATGCTGAGATACCTTGTAATTTTTTCCGCGATTGGACTCCTCGCCGCTCAGGATCAGTGCGCTCAAGGTTATTTCTCTGAACATTGAAAGCTCATTTTGTTTTCCTTTTCAGTTTTATTACTTCCTATAGGTTGGATAAAGTCCAGATTTTCAGAGAAGAACTCGGGAAGAAGCGGTTGTGGAGTCGGCGGCGGACAGCGATTCTTCTTCCACAAGGCGACGCGCACTTGTCAGCCCTTCTATTTCCAGGTTTTTCCGGAATTTCAAAGCTGAAGACTGAGATCGGACAGGGCTGCGACGGCAATGGCAACAACTTTGCGTCGAAGGAGCAGTGCTTGAGCACCTGTCAGAATGCTCAATCTTCCGACGCTCCAAGCAACGGTTTGCATTTACTCGTTCTTTTTTGTTTTGTTTTTCTTCTTCATATTCGCTTGACACGTCTCTATCAAGCCATTCTATCGGTGTATCTCTTTCGATTTCGAAGCAGCAAGTCTGCGTCGATCTAAAAAAACCAAAAAAATTATGATAAAAAAATAACTTTAATAACTAGCCGATTTATAACCTGCTTAAAAATAAGGGACTGAAGGGTTTTGAGAGGACTGAAAAAAAACTATCTCTTTTTTAGGTTTTTTTTCTTGTTTGTTTCAAGAAGTTTGACGCCTGTTTGCTCCCAGTATTCTCTAATCCGAAAATCGAAATCTTTTTGACGTAATTGAAAATATTATTTGAAATTACACATGCGAAACAAGAATACTATTATAGTGGCAGCCGTCTGTTCGACGGGAGCCTATGCGGCCGGAGCCACCTCCGACGCTCTAGTGTCTTGCAAAAACTGTCCGAACGGGTACAGATGCGAGAAGAACCTTTGCTGTCCTACCAAAGGTGAAATAAACTTCTCTGGAAACAGTTCTGAGTCCTATCCGGAATACTCTCCCAAATAGATTTTAACAAAGTAAACAATTATTGCTCAGAGTTCACTTGCAAGATGAACTACGACGCTGGTCACTTCGGCAACAACAGCAAGCACACGCCGAGGTTCATTTCCCTAATGCCAAGATATTTTCGAACTTTTTCGGTTTCAGATATTTCTACAGCAACGAGTTCCACAACTGCATGCTCTTCACCTTCTACGGCCGTGGCGGCAACGCCAACAACTTCGCCACCTTCAACGAGTGCAAGAAAATGTGTGCCTGAGCCGCTTTTCCTAATAACTTACATGTAAATTTTGATGATAGACGTGTACTTTTTTTAATTCGTCAACAAAGGTACGTATTTAATTTTTATGCGAAACGAGTAAATCATTCGAAGAACAAGTATGGTTTTCAATAAAATGTATGAACCTCTCATGAGTTACAGAAAAATTTTCCTTATATCTGCTATGCAAATCTAAGGAGCTGCAACTGTTCAGAAGTTTGTCCTCATCGATTCGATCTGATTCATCTGAAATTTATTCTTTGAAATCGATTGCGGAAAGCTTTCTTCGAAATGAAACTTTTTAGTAGATTTTAAGAACTGAAATGAAGAAATTTAGTTCGAGAAGAAAAGTTAAGCTACTCAAATAAAAAAAAAATTGGACCTGTGACTGTGTGTACTGCAGAAAAGGCGAGAAGTAAGACGAGGAAGTCGGTAAAACACACGCGAGAGCTGAGCCAGGGGTCCAAGCTTAAGAAGCGAAAAATCAGGTTCCTAGCTTTTAAAATTTATCTATGATTTCCTCTGTTTCTAAGCTACTCTTCAAAACTAACTGATTATCCGAGTCTTGGCTTTAGTGCCAGGACGACGGAAGTCACTCGGAACAGTCTCGGGAGTCTCGTCGGGAGGTTCATTTCTCTGTCTCTTCCGCTGCTTCGCTCGGCGGTTTTTGAACCAAACCTGCAAATTATTTGTCCAAATGCAGTTAAAACTAATAAACGGAGAAGTTCTCTCGACAAACAAATTCCGAACAACACGAGTTTTGTTGAAATTTCGGGGAAAGCAGGTGGGCAAATGCAAGGCGCACCTGGATCCGAGCTTCTGCCAAGTCGATTTCTTTGGCCAGCGCTTCACGTTGTGCAATGTCTGGGTACTGACCCACAAGAAACTGTTCCTCTAGTCTGAAAAGTCTGTTCTTGTGAGGAAAATTCTCGAGAACTAAAACCGATCAATATTTTTTGATACAAGACTAGTGTAAACAAGAAAACTTGTTACAGAAACACAGCTCAACCCACTTGGCCGGATAATCTGTATTACATGGGTTGAGTAAATAGAGGCCTCAAGACAGAGGTCACATTTGGATGCGTAAACGCGAACCGAAAGCAAAATGTTGGTTTACGTCTTCGAAAAGCAAAATTAACAAAAAAAAAATTAATTTTAAAGAAAGTTATACGACAAAAGGGCAGGTAGATGTAATTATTTTTTTGCTCAGAGAAATAATATAGACTTTTTTTCGATATAGCAGCTTTAATAATTATGAATTTTCTGTTGTACCAGTAGGACCGCTAGATTCAAACCTTGATCTATTTTTCGAAAAAAACTTTTTCTTTATAGCTTTTTTTCATATACTCACTTACACTAGAAAGATAACAAAGTAAAAACGATCCTTGAATTTTTTAATATTTATCATTCATTGAAAATAAGCATCTTCGTAGTAACAGGACACATAAAAAGCGAACTTTTATATTTTCCTCTCAACATGTGGTTCTGCATGAAATTTTCGGTACTAATACAGGTCTCCTTGCTGAATATTGGAAAATCCTAACTGGCAGAAAAATTTCCTAGATCTCGAAGAACCTACCTTTGAAGTTGGTTTTCCGAGAAGGCGGTGCGGTTTCTGCGAGTGCGACGATCGTCAGAAGCTGTTGACGTGCCTGGAGAAGACGTCGCTGCGGAAGACGTCGCGGCGTGCGACGAAACGGCTGCGGCAACGGCGGCGGCGTCGAACCAACTCACGAGTTTAGAGAGCGGCTGCGGCTGAGGCTGACCCGCCAACTGCTGGTAAATGTCCATTTCTGTAAAAAGGCTACGTCTTGAAACCCAAGTGCAGAATCAGAAGTCGAAATGGAGACAATGGCAGCTGCGAAGCGACAGGAAAAAACGATCATCTTACTAATTTCCTAAGAAGAAAGTGAGCGATTTGCATATTTGGAAGGGAAATGGAAAGCTTCTAGAAGTCGCTCAAGAGAGAAGAGAGGTCGTTGGAATAACCATTTCTGCTAATGCGCTCAACAGTTCTCCTGGCTACCGTGGCCCTTGCCGCAAATCGGTTCAGTCAACAAGTTGTACAGCGAGAAACGTGCCGTTTGCTCCGATTCGAGCTTCCGCCAGGAATTAGTCCAACTCAATTCACAGAAACACAGACAGGCGCTTCTGTCTCAGAATGAGTCTCGAGAAAACGGTTTTTTTTCTGTGTTTTTGGCTCAAAAATTAGGATGATGGACGCCTTTAAAAACCTCAAAAAAGGACTTTTCAACTGAATCTAATGGACAGTGGAGGCGTTTTAGAGCTAAGAAGTTACTTCGCAAAAGGGCTTGAGCCATTGAGATTCCAAGTTGACAGGATGACGGAATAAGCTGATGAATGGTGGAGATTCAGAAGTCCCACGCGTGATCACGGTTTCTCTTGTTTCCCAACGCAGCAGTAAATATTTTCAGTTATTTCCTATTTTAATATGAAATACAAACTCAAGCTATGGGCAATTTGTCGTGATAAAGTAATTTCAGGGAATCAAAAGAAACCGAAGTAACAGGGGTATTCATGCTTCATCTTCTTTCAAACGAGTTTCCAGGAGCATGTTGTAAAAGCAGGTAATAAGAAGTGAGCTAATATGGAGAAGGGTCAATTGCGACCGGAAGGAGGACGTCGCAACAGCGCGGCACGACGGCGTGATCACAGAAGAACTGCCGTCAATTACCAACGACGTCTGAACAAACACGGCGGACACGTGTTTGCGAGATCCGAGCCAATCTGCATCTGTAAATCGGCACATCGAGAGCCCCTACCGTACATTGGGCGCGTGTCGTTTTGAGAGCTTCGAAGCACGAACTGAAACCGTGAAAAAAGTAAAAAGGAGTTTTGAGATGAACATCTTATAAATTTTCAGTGGATAACTCATTCCGTTTCAGCTTGTCCTTTTTTCTGCAAAAAGACCTTATAAAAATTTGGACCAAAACTGACCAAACTTCCCTTCAAGACACATCCTTTTTTACGATGCCCCGCCCACAGTTTTTTTTTCGTAATATATGACGTCTTAGGTGTAAACACAGAGCGGCGCGAACTCGCATACTCGTTTTTTTAAATCCTGCCTATCAATTAAATTTAATTTTTTTATAAAAAAAGAGAATTTTTTTCCTACATTTCTTGCTTTTTGATAGTTTCCACGTGTTTTTGACATACCGAAATGTCTTCAACTCGTCTCGAGGCTTTTGTGGAAGTTTTTCCCCCTTGATCTCGTCTGGAGCTGAAAAACCTCATCTCGTTCATCCCTGATTCGAATCATATTAATTGACCGAGGTTTTTTCGTCAATCCATCAGATTAAGGTTCATCAATCCAAAACCATTAAGGATGGTTTCGCAAGTGAATATCGCGTTTCGCTCCAAGAAGAAGTATAAACTGGACTTGTAAAGAGAAATCTTTCAGTATTCTCTCTCAAAGCTCATTTTCATCGCCTACAGTAAGTTATAATTGCGATACACCTTTGTAGAACGTTTGAACAGTTGTTTGTCGTCATTTCAATTTTTAGTTGAAATCAGTCAGACGATGTTCCAGCCGAGAAGTCCGTATCGCGTATAAATCAAGCAACCACAACATGTAGATTTAGGGGCGCCTGTCGTACTCGCTAGATCCAATCGAGACCCCCAAAAAAGGTCGTTCTCGTGGGAATTTCCTGGGTTATCTGACAGTCATTCTCAGCTCAAAAGTTTTTTTTTCTAATGTCCCACTCCATTTTTTCTCTTTCCCAAGAGAATGAAACATTTGAAAATGCACTTATTTCAGGAGCTTATTGAAAAAATAAATCCCTGACCTAAGCGTGATCTTTTCAGGACACCCACGAAGAAAACGCGCCTTCCTTTCAGGCCACGAACCACCCGTCGCTTGACTGATTACTGTAATCGATCTGCCGCGTCTTTTTTGAGCGCAAAACGTTGCAAAATGAAAGGTTATTCACGAATTACTGAACGAAAATCTTTTCTCTTTTTGAAAATAATTAGTTGAGTTGCAAACAAGAGCTTCTAACTTGATTTATTTGAAGTCTACCTACTTTGGAGAGTTTGAGTTTAACAATGCCCGAAGTCATTATAAGCAAGTCAGAATCAACTGATGCAAGCGGAATGTGTCTTATCGGCTAACTGGGCTATTTTTTCACAGGGAACCTCGAAGCGGTCTCCCCTAGAAGAGTTGCAGAGCCTGAAGACGTCGGGACCGAAGGCCCTCCTCCGGAATGATCGAGTGAGTGACAGAACACGTTGCAAACGCGTCTACAGTAGGGCCGCCATGCGGATCACTTGCGTCTGAAGGAAAAGGTCGATCGCAATCTTCCGAGCCTCGGCCGCATCAATTTCCAGCGGCCGCCAGCCGTCGACAAATTACTGTCGTCGGTGTTTCCTCCGTTAGCGCATTTGCGCCGTTCCATTGTTTTATGGCGACGTTTATGTTCGGCCATTTGCTTCCTCCGTTTCCTACTGTAATTTAAAGCAAGATTTTGCCACAGGAAACAAATTTCCTAAAAAAATTTTCTCCAATATCTGCGATAGTTCTTTTCAATTTTTTTTGATGCTATATTTTTAAATTTGACTTTCTCCACGCCAAAATTTTCTCACCTTACTGCCAACCGGTCACAAAAATTCATTCTTTCTGAAGACCATACCTGAAATAATATCAGAAACAAGTACCTAGTTCTCACAAATTCTCTGATTCGCAACACCGATATCTTTGGATCTGAGAGCCTTTCTCTTTCCTGTCTGACAATGCCGAAACGGAAGTTTTGTTTTTGGAAAGACCTTCGTTTCGTTATGGCAGATTCTATTTTTGTCTATCAAAACATTTTTGAGTATAATTCTATTCACTTTTAGAATTTTATTAGTTTTATTCTTATTCAGCAGCTGGGCGTCTTTTTGATTGAACTTTTTGAGAATTTTATTGGTTGTATTCTTATTCAAAACGATTTATCCTCTGTAAATTGTTATTTTAGCAGATAATTCGTATTTATCCGATGATTCTGTGACGCCCTGGGTTCAAAATTCGTGATTTTTTGACAAGTTTTTGTTCTTAGTGGCGGTGAAACAATTTGAAAGAGAAGAAAAGCGCAAAAAAGTTCTCTGGAATTCTTCTGAGAAATTTTTTAATTATCGTCAGCTATCAGCTTATCAGCAAATTTTCTGAAGATGCATTGAAAAAAAAAGAAGTTCTATTTCTGACCCTCGAGAGATGTCTAAAAATTTTTTTTGGTTTTTTATTTCTTATTCAACTGTGAAGTTTGTTTTCCAAGCTGAGTTTTAATAGTTAAATTAAAAATAATTCCGAAATCGAAGGAGGTCATTTCAACTTATTCAGTATTCAGAATTCTCGGAAGCGTTTGGTGGTTTAACCTTATCCGAATATTCGAAAACTCTTTATATCCTCTACAGCTGACACTGAATCTCTCTTTCCTTACCGTTATTTCCTATAAATCAATTCACAAAATTAATCGAAGCCTATGAAGATGTACTTTTATTTTTTCCAAATTCCTTCAGCCCCTCAAAATGATTAAATCTACAGTAAGCTTGAGGCGCAGGGCATCGCTCACATTCGATCGATAGTTCTCGTTTGAAAAACTGCTTTTTTCTTCCAATTACAAAAGATGACTTTCGTTTTCATAAAGTATGAATTAAATTCAAAAACCGTATCTTTAACCCATTAGTTCTCATCAATACTGTACCAAGTAGCCATGGAGAATGCTTTTAAGACTCTTTAAATGCGAGATGAAGCTGTGAAGGATTCTTCCATGGAAAGTTCTAAAAAAGAGTATGGCAAGCCGGGAACAAGCATGTTTTCTGATGTCGAAACGGAGGATCGAGGAGGAAGGAAGGTAAAAATATCCAAAGCCTAGTTCACCGACAATCACGTTAACTCGCAGAAAAACAAGCCGATGATGGAGAAAAAAAGGAGAGCTCGAATCAACAGAAGTTTGTCGCAGCTGAAGCAAATACTTATTGTCGACAAGCACGTGGTCAGTTTTTTTATTCTGTTCTCCTTTATACTTTTCCAAGTTATCTGAACTGAAACATTTGAAGTTGCTTGAAATTTAAAATATAACGCGTTCCGTTTTTACCTGATTAAAAAGAATTTAGCCAGATGAGAACAAGGGAAAAAGAAAAAAACTTTCAAACGGTACACTAAGAATCCCAAAAAAAATTCCACACTTCAAGAGAAATCCGAAGTTCTAGTGGGAGTTTTGAACTCTATAAGTTAGACGAGGAAACATGTAACACCATACTTTAAAACTTTCCTCTCATTTCCTTTTTTATCTATTTGCCCTCCGATTTCAATTTTTTTTTTCATGGTAATTGAACGTCAGGAAAGCTGTTGCAACTGTTCGAATCGACTTGTTGCCTTCTTGATTAGATTATTTGCACGACCAATTTTTATTTTATTTTGTCTGTTCGTTGAAGTTATTTTCGCCGTTTAGAAGAGGGATTCGAAAGTTTTTGATGATTTTTCAGGGATTGAAAGTTTATTGACACCGAATTCGCGTAAAAACATTACGGTAAACGACCTTGTGGACACCGTTTAAAAAAGAGCCTTCAAAATGAAAGGCGAAAAATGGGTCCAAGAGTAGCTTTTAGGCGATTTCAAATGGGCCAAAAAAGTAATAGTTCAAACGACGCCGTTTATGACATAAACCATTTTTTTTTTACTGTCCATTTGTTTTGTTAAGTGTTATCTCGAAAAATAATAAAATACCAACTTGAAAGTGAAACTTTATGAAACTCAATTTTTTTTAATGGATAATCATAAAAGTATTAATTTTGCTTAGGATCACACCTATTGAATTGTTATAAAAGTCTTTCAGGAACCAAAAAGTTTATTGAAAAAAAAAAATGAACATTTGCAGTCACCAGGTCATGCAAAGTGGGAGAAGGCGGACATTTTGGAGATGACGGTGGAGTACGTGAAGAATCTTCGGGCGAAGATGAACCAGGGACCGGCGACGCCGTCTCCGGAGCCTCCGCCCTCGCCGCCGACACCCGCGGAAGAGCCGACATCAGTGACGTCGGATCCCACGGCCTTCATGAATCAGATGTTCGCCATGCATTATGAACAAAGCTTCAAGATATTGCCTTTCTTCCATTTTCCGGTTCCTTTCCAGTGGCCGCCGGTCTGATTTTTTCTTCTTTGCACTATTTCTATCTTCGGTACAACTCCTCGAATACGGTAGCTTCTTCTCGTCATAAAACTGTTTTATTATTATGTCAACAAAAGCATTTAAATTTTTAAAAACTTTTTTACCAAGTTTCCAATCTTTTCGTGTATGCTCGTTTGAGTTTGGCAAATTTGTCAGCACAAAAAAATCACAACTTTTATGAATAAATTTTCTCAAATATAAAGCTTTCTGAGGCTGAACCCGTTGATCAAAGGCGAATCTCGTGTGTGTAAGGTGACAAGATCGATGAAAGAAGTGAGATCACGTATGAGAATCATCGAAAGGTCATGACAAAGGCTCTCAAAAAGCGAAATGAAAAGCAAAAGACACCAGCATCCAAAGAGATAATGAAGAAAGACGTTCTAAACAATCAAAACAAAAAAGAAACTGTCAGAACTGAGGAGCTTTCTAATCAGACTTAACATTGACTTGTGGTCCTAACCCAAATGGTTCGATAAGGCAGAGCTTGAGCGCTGGGTCGTTGCAAAGGCGTGGCGAGCAGATCGAAGCGGTAGGTGCTCGACGACTTCAGATGAGAGACGGTCGTCTCGATAAGCGACGCAGAAGACGGCGACGAAGAGTGGGAGAAGCAGCCGACGAGCTCCGACGACGCGATGCCGCCTTCGCAGAGGTTTCCCGCCTGAGAATTCTCAATGAGGAGCTGTTGAGAGGGACCAGAATACCTTACTGACGAGTTGCTCGAGGAAGTTGGCGCTCTCACGACGTTTGTAGACGCAGTAACGGACGTGAGGATCGGCAGCACGGAGCCATTGCAAAGTCGCCGAGGAGCACGTCCGGGAGCTCGCCTTCACGCTGAAACCAGAGTCTATTGGAACGAGTGGTGACTTTTTTGAAAAGAATATATTTCCAGGTTGTCTGGTACCGGTTTAGCAAGCATTGAAATAAAAGTTCATTATGGCAAAGTTTAACGAGAACTTCAGTCGGATCGTTTCATGATTATAAATCGTACTTTGGCAGTATTGACAGCTTGACGCTTTCTAGAAATTCATTGAGAAAATCGTGAATTATGAGAATCAATAAAAATAGTTTCAGTGCAAGCAATCGAGGAAAAATTGTTTCTTCATTTAAGAATCATTCAGGATTTCACAACAGGCATAAAAATAAATGAATTTTTGTATTGATCTCCTTGGGATCAATTAAGCAAAACGGATTCAGTAGAAAAAGAAAACAATTTTTCTATTAAAATTAAGATAAAAAATTACCTTGTGTCGTCCGGGAGTGAAGGATACGGAGAGTCTGAAGACTGTGTGCTGGCCCAGATGCGTACTGTCTGAAAATAAAAAAAAAAATTAAAAAAAGGATATATGTACGATGATTCTCTTTTTAATAAAACAAGAAATCTTCAAAAAATCAAAATGAAAAAGAAAAAGTTAAAAATACTCAGGCATCTGACAAAGAGAGTTTACCTCTCAGGTGAAGTGAATAAAATTTTCGAAATTAAAAAAGCACATCTTCCAAGTTGTAGAATTTCACTATTTATGATGTAGCTGTTTTTCTTACCTTCGGCTTTTGGTCTTGATTGACGATTTGGAACCGAAGATGACCGTTGCGGACGTTAGTTATTGCGATTCTGCAAAAGAATAAATTGAAATTTAGTCAAGTCACAAAAAATTTTCAGACCTTCGGAAACCACTGAAGGGCTCACTTTGCTTCAGAAGTCGACCATTTCGGAAAACGTTCATTCTGACGAAGCCATCGCACACATGCACCACAACCAGCGCCTGAAATCATTTTTATATAGTAGTTTCTTGTATCTTTAAGATAATAACTGATTTCATCTTTTAAATGTTTGCTTCCATTTTTTTGTCTTTTTTTTTTACTTTGGTTCGAGATTTGACATGAGCGAGTATGCTCCAACAGCTGAACTAGGCTAGGGGCGACGGCTGCGGAAAGGAATGCGACAGCCGCGGCCGCCGACCTCGCTGATGACGTCAAACCCTCGGCGGCCGTGCTATTTTTCGCGTCAAACTATCTTGCTCCGTGTTTTTTCTCCAGTTTTCAGTGGTTCGTGAGGTAAAAATAGCTCGCTTCAGTTTCACTTCCTGACTTCTGATTGAGTGACGAAAATCCGGCTCAGCTCAAATTACGGAGCAAAAAAAAAAGTTACAGGAGGTAGGTGCGACCTCCAAAAATCAATAGGATTTCCAGTTTTCAAATGTTTCGTTCCAATTTTCTCTTATTTTGAAGGGAAAAAACTGACGGTTCTGGTGGTAGGGAGACTGTGATTCACAGGAGCCAAAGCGAAACGATAATTCAGCAGAGCGCCTTTTTTCGCGTCCAACTTTCCCGATTCAAGCTTTGAATTAAGCAGAAGCTTAGGCTGAACAAAACATTTAAATTCAAAAATCTTCAAGTCGCAACCTTCTGTTTTCTTGAAAAACGGACGGCGGGCTGTACCGGAGCGTCAGTCTCGATCCGCAAAACTTCGTAGGGAGAAGAACTGCCGCGCAAGTTGTCCCGCACAAAAACTGTGATGAAGTACGGCTTGCCATGTCTGAGAGCAAGTTAATCGTTTGATCAATAAAACAAATAAAAAAGATGATTTTGAGTAGAATATAGTAGAGGTGTCAATCATTGGAAAAAATGAAGCTTTTGTCCTGTTCACAGATAAAAATATAGGAATGAATAAAGAAAAATAATCTTTTGAATTTCGGAATTTGTCGAAATGGGAGTTAGAATATTCATCCGAAACATTTTGAATCTTACACTGATACACTGAATGCCTTATTGCTCGATAAGGAAGATTTTCCAACCTGAGAGAACTGATGAAGACCGAATTGTTGGTCTGCGGAACACACTTGATGGCCTCGACGCCTTCGTCGACGTGTTCGCAGGCGGCCCAAGCAGGGGGGCGACGCGACAGAATCGCGCAGGTACGGTAGCGACCAGCCTCGGCGTTCCTGCACCACACAAGGATGACGATTAGAAGAGACGGAAAACCGACCGGACAGTCGGGGAGATTTTCCAGGTGATAATCGCACGCGAGTCTTGGCCGTCGGAAGAAGGTCCAAGCAGCGAATAAGCGAGTCGCGTGTCTCGTGGCAGAGGCGGGTACTGCTCCTCGACGCGAAGCAGGGACGGTGAGAAGAAGACTCGCGCCGTCGCAGAAGACGTCGCACTCAGAACCAGAATCGCTCCTTAAAAAAGTTCTTTCTTTGAAGATGACCTAGTCAACGAAAGTTTATAGCAACAAAAAAATTGGAAAAGTTTACAAAAAAATGTTTGCATGCTTCTCTGTTTTTTCCCTTTTTTGCTGAAGTTTCCAGTGAAGAATTTCAGGTTACTTTTGGAAAGATGGTGAGAGAAGAATGTCATGCGTTGAGAGTCGATTTCGCCAGCAACCAGTCGGAACTTTTCGGATTCATCCAGCGGCCCTCGCTCCAATCGCAACGCTTCGAATTCTTCCTCGATCGATAGGCCTGGAATCACAATTTATTCTTTTCAAAGTCTATTTTTATTAGCAACAGGGAATTCTTCTACCTGGAATGGGCTCGAAAAGTTGCCAATGGACAGGAGCGCCACATGGAGTGACGTAGAGGAAAAATGGAGACTTTGGATCAGTCACAATCAGTTGGAGTCTGAAAATTTTCCGAATCGATAGTGAAGGAATATATGAGTTCAAAATATCATAGTATATCGACATGAAGAAACAAGGAGATAAAGATTAAAGAAAAAATCGTGAAGGAAGTGTGATAGACATAACAGGTTCTTCGAAAATGAAAATGCTCCTTTCACTTCCAACAGCTCACTTTTTTTCAACAAAATTTCCGCAAGAAAATATTTCCAGTAGGGCCCAAAGAAGTTCAAAAAAAAAATAAAAATGAAAATTTAGACAAAAGGTATAAAAATGTAGTAAAAGATAAAGAATTCAGAAATCTGAGGCAGAGAGATTATTAAAAAAAACACAAGAATTATAAAAAAATCAAGGAGCGTCAAAAAAGAAAGGGAGATTAAATTCGAAGTAAGAAGTACCTTCTTTGTTTGACGTCGACATCGATGGCGAATTCGGTGTTTTCTTGAAGAGGAGTGGACAAGCCCAGCGGATGTCCATCATAAGCGGTTACTGTCAGGAGAAATATGAGAACCTGAGCGAGCATGTCTCGTGGAGAAGCCAAGCCAAGACTCGGACTCCGACAAAAGAATCAATGCGGTGAACCGGCAAGGGATGTCCCCAGAGGCGGAGTCTTTTTTGCTTTTTCCTCCTTGCAGCAACTTGTTCGAGCCGTTGTTGTTGCTCCTCAAATAGGTACACGCGACGGCGGCGGAATGTCCGGAATGCGGCAGCTGACGCGGAGCTCGGCCGCATCAAAACATTGGCCATTCTGCCGACCTTTGACACTTTGGAGCAACTTTTTCGTTGCGTCATCGAATTCCTCGCGGCTCACATTCCACACATTTCACAACACTCATTTGTCAGCCACTTGAGCTTGTCCACCGGCATTCGAACCAACCTTTTTTGGCTTTCTTTTGCCATCTCATAATGGAAGGCATTCATAATTCGGGATTTGCAACACTTTTTAGTCAATCTGACACAACCTGGAAGGCCGTTATCGCGAAACTACTGCAGAAAATGTAAACTTCGATAAAATTATTTTGCCGTGAAACAAGGATTAAAAGACGAGAAAAGATGAAAGAAATCAGTAATTCTCTATTCAAAATTCGGGATTGAGAATAAATAGAAAATTTTACTTCATTAAAAAATGTAAAATTATTTAAACAATAATAATTAAAACACTCGCTGACATGTGGCCCCTGAAGATCGCCACAAATCTTTATCTGACCTACTCTGACCATTTTGTCTTTTTCTCACAGCTACATAACTACGAAATAGTGAATGTCAGAGAAAGAGTTGTGGCGATCTTTAGGCACACACAGGCACACAAGGTCCTCAGGCACTGACGGCGCGTGTTTGTTGCCAAAAGTGCGCATGCGCGCCGCCTGCTGCGCGCACGCGCGGGGTGTCTCTTTTGTTTTTTAGCTTTTTAACTAATTGAAAAGTTATAAATTTAATATTTTTCATGTCTTTTCATCTCTTAACATTGCTCTGCACCAGTTTATAACAATTAGATTGCACAAAAAAATGTGAAATATCAAAGTTTCACTTGGCAACTTTTTTTCATAAATTTGTTCGAAAGTGCTCGGAACAACTTTAAAAACGTGAGCAGGGGCACTGGGTAATATCACAAAAAAATATAAAAAAATATTTCAAAAACCTTATTTCAGTGGAAAAGGCGAAAAAAGAATCAGTACCCCCGCGCGTGCGCGCACCAGTGCCTGAGTCAGAGCTACACCCAGTTTCGTGGACTATATCGCAGCGAGAGTGGCGCGACATAGCAGCGACATATCTCGCTGCCATCTCGCTCAGCTCTAGCAAACTCCCGGCGCGATATCGGCGCGAGGTCGCGGATTATCGATTGGTCACTATTTACGTGCCATCAAAATTTTACTTGAATTGTTTTATTTTTTTCGTGTGTTAGATTCTCTCTGATTTTTTTTATGTCCATTTTTTTCACTTAATATTTCTAAAATGTTAATTTTACAACTAATGTAACGCTCATACAGTACCGTCAGAAAAGGAAAAATGTTTTTCGCTCACAACTTCCTCGTATAGAGCTCAATCTTTCTGAAACTTTTTCAGCTGTGTTTCTAAGTTTTCACCACGGTGTTACAATCAACAGTCATCATATTTCCAGAAAGTTTCAAAAGGGTGAAATCCCATTAAAGAAAGTTGTGATAAAGAAAAAGCTTTTTTGTATATATTTTGACGGAACTGCACACCTTTCTTGAATTTAAAAGTCCTTTTTCCGCATTTTTTTCATGTTTTAACCAAGAATTTCAGGTTATTAGTACTTCAAAATGGCATCTAAAATTTTTTTTTCGATCAATAAAAGTCAAGAAAGATCCGTGGGAGATGGCACCGAAACTTTGCTTTTGGATACAATCAATAAGATTCTTGGTAAACTATTTTTGAAACAGTATATCCATTTTTTTACTTGAAGATATGATTTGCACTTTGGCGTCGATGGGTAAGGAAAAAGAAGAAATGAGGCATGATTTCGAGAAAGCACGTACTGCTGTCTTGATACAGTCGCTCCTGTGAGTTATTCTCTTATTCAAGGTTGGACTTTTTTTCAGTATTTCTCTTTTTTTAACCGATTTTATCATTTAGAAAAAGTTCTTGACGCAGCAAATGAAGGATATGCCGAAAAACTATCGAGTCAAAAGCTTACAGTAACATTTTTTTAAAGGGAACTTAGTGTCAATCTGATTGTTTAACTTAATTTTTCTTTTTCAAAAACTTCTTTCATTTTTCATTTCGAGCCTCCCTCCTTTATTTTTTTTCTAATTTGAACTTTTTAAAGATCATCTACGAGCTTACAATCGGTTTTACTTTTTCTGTTTTTTTATTGAACCTACTCTTTTTATTAGTCACATTTTTTTCCTATCAAAAAAATAAACGATACACATGTTTTTTTCGTCATATTGTCCTTTTCTATTCTTACTTGAAGCTTCACTCTTTCGCCTCAATTCAATCTTCTTCAGATTTGTACATACTTTCCGTTTACTTCGAATTCGAAAAATGTATCATCAATTATTTGGAAAAAATTTCTTTAATGCTCTCAAGTTTTTCATTTAAATATATTGTTTAAATTAAATAAAAAAAGTAAAGAAGGTTGATAAAGACCGATATGTTATCATGTACAACACAAATATAAAAAGTATGAAGCATAGAAAAACAAATCAAGAAAAAGCCCAATCGAGCTAAAAAAATTTTTTTGAAAGAGCGACATAGCAGCGAGATGTGAGCGACCTTGCGCCGAGAGGCGAGCGATATAGCTCGCGGCTCCCCCGCGATATAGCGTTTCTCTCGCTGCGACCTCGTCCGTAAAACTGGGTGATACAAAAGAAAAATTCACGCACATTTACCTCAAGGGGCCTTCGCGCTCTATCGCGCTGCTCTTCAGCACCCAATAATTTCAGCTCCCGAAATACATTTTACTAGTACTTGTATTTTTTTGTCCCCTTGTTTGCGCGCAACGCGATTGCGTTTTGTTATGTTTTCAATTGTATCGATACATTTCAATTAAGAGAGTTTGTATCGATTGTTGCCTAAAAAGCTTCAATCTACTTTTTTTTAAATAAAAAAATTAAAAAAAAAAACACAAAAACACTCTTTTATAATTTCACTTTCTCTAATAAACTTCATTTATGAGATGATGAAAATACATTTAAAAAAATCCTATTACTCACGTTTGAATTAATACCTGAAATTCTGTCGAAGTTTTCTCTCTTTCGCCAAATTTTTTTTATAAACAGACAAGTCCTGGGAAGGTGTTGGAAAGGTGACCAGCAAGAGGTTGGAAGGTTTATGGAAGCTAGTAGGTTTTATGAAAGTTTTTGGAAGGTGTTCGGAAGTTGGAAGATGAAAATGGAAAATGCCTGCCAGAGGCCTGCCGGAAAGCTTCTGGAAGGCTTTTTTCTATGTAGAAGGTGTTTGGAAGCTGTGTGGAAGGCGTAAAACACTGAAAAAGTGATAAATTCTGAGAAACCGAAAGCAGAAGCTTCCCAACTACCACCTGAGAAGATAGATGATGAAGCGGAAAATATTTGTTATGTTAGAACTGGGAAAACACTGGAAAAGTGATAAATTTCATGTTTCGAACTTTTTACAAAAGCAGTTCTGTGTTTTAGTGTTCAACAAAGTTTTCTAGAAATTCACTTTGTTCGAAAAGTAGTTGTTTTTCGTTTGTTTCATTTGTGTTTTTTTTTTTTCACAAAATATAAAACTTCATCACATATCATGAAATAAAAGAATTGTTTCTTTGATTATTGTTGATTGGGGACTGGCTCGGGCTGGGTAGCTCGCACGTCTTGCATAACTTTCTCGACCACTTGAATGCAAAAAGAATCGTGATTTTAAGTTTTTCTCTTCATAAACATACTTTTATTGACGTGTGCGATGTGATCATCTGCAAATCTAACGTGTTTAGGAATTCCTGGATAGGTTCACTCACTCTGGGTTTCCACCACCGGAGCGGGGTCGATGAGCACCGGTCCTTCGCCGATTACGTCTTAAAAATTGAACCAGTTAAGAACAGTTAGCTTTTTGTTTCTCGAGAGAAAGTCAGGAAGTTACAGTCAAATTTTCTTGTTTTTGGAACTTGTGATGGTTTTCTAAAATCGTTCTGAAATATCAATTGACGTCGAGAAATAAGAAGGGCGCAGAGAAGTCTCGTCCTTTCAAGTCGAGAAAAACGGACTTAAACAGAGAGTTTATTTGTACTAAATCCACGTTTATATTTAGTCTAAATATAAACGTGAACTTAGTAAAAAAATCTTATTCTAAATAATTTAGAATAAGAACACACACGCAGAGGTACTCAAAAATGTTCAGCTGTTATGATTCTCCCTATCGAAATTCTCATACCTCAAAAACGGAATTGAGTTACGAACCTAATACAAGGAGAGTGAATTTCAATTTTTTCCAATCAAAAGTTGAAATCAACTAAAATGTCTTTCGTTCGGTGTAATAGTCAACTGATTTAGAAAAATGAAACTGGTTAAAACATTTTTTTTTTCTTTAACTACAGCGAACCTCCGAGAGCGTTAGTGGGCAGAGTAGGAAGAGGAGCTGAAAAATTAGTATTTTTCGGTTGGAATATTGATATAACTTGCCTGCGAAACCGTTTCCGCCATTCATCCGTGGAAGGCCTACAAACGAAAGATTTCAAACAAACTTAGAAATATTTTCGATACCATCAAACTGCGCGGTGACCAGTGTAACGAACGCTAGTGTCCAAAATATCAAATGCGACATTTTTTGGAGGCTGAGAGACTTCCAAGCAGAGTTGAAAAAATATTCACTGGGGCTAGGCGAAGTTTTAAAGAGAGAAAATGGTCCGATTTGCGCTAAGCCGAGATCATCCATTGCTGCTTGGCTCTCTTTTTGTCGAAGCTCATTATTGCCAACGAAAGTTTAAACTTTTTTTTAGGTTTGAGTTTTCTGTAACGTTCAATGTAGTGCTTTGAGTCAAAGTTTTATGCATTTCTTCTGATAAAAATAACAAAAAACGAGTATTTACATCAAAAAGATGGCTGAGATCGTCAGAACCTTTGTTGTACATGTTTAGCCCAAGAAGCTCCCAACGACTCCGCCGACACCTGGTTGAACTGCAAAAAACATGAATTTCCGTCAGAAAGACGAAAAAGAAAACCTCCAAGACCGACGTTGCCGTTGCCGCCGAAGCCTCCGCCGTATGGTCGGCCGCCTCCGTACTGCTGGCCTCCGAATCCTCCTTGGCCGCCGTATTGGTTTCCATATGGACCCTGGCCTCCATACTGTCCTCCGAATCGGCCTTGTCCGCCATAGCCCTGGCCTCCATAGCCCTGGCCTCCATAGCCTCGGCCTCCGTATCCAAGGTTACCGTTGCCGTAGAGATCTGTAGTCAGAAGCTTAATCAGTTAATCAATCAAATCAATCACTCGATTAAACAACAGAGATGTATGATAAAATATTTTTTTGATAAAACTTTATTCTATTCAAGAACTGAGAAAAATCTTTCGCGTTAGGCCAGCAACCTTCTTGTGCGCTGACTTATAAAAGTTACAGTTTGTTCTCGATTTTCAATAGAAAAACTATTAATGATTGGAAGTTACTCAAGAAATCAGTTCCAGTCAGAATGACTCATTCAAAATTCACTGAGAGGTATAATAATGTGTAGACGTACTTGCACGAGGGTTGAGACCGGCGGCGTTGAGGCCAACTCCTTGGTTGGCGCCGAAACCGAACTGAGCAGAGGCGAAGGCGACAAGCGCCAGAAGAACTGAGAGCACAGCGAACATTTTTCGACTTGAGGTCGATCGGGAGCCGCTCCTTAAATAGGCGGCCACGCCGACGACGTCACCAGCCTATCTTTTTCGACGGGCGAATTCTCGCGGCGTTACGCAGTTTCCCGAACGTGTGACGTCGTCTGGGTTGATAACGTGGTTGTTGGTTCTTTCCATTCATCACTCAGAGCTTTGTTTTAGGTTCAATTGTTTGGTTGGATAGGATTTCGCTCATGGACAGTCTGGAGACGTACAGAAGCTGCATTCTAACTGGACAGTTAATTACAGCCAGCGTGGGGCGAAGTTTCGTGCCATGACTTGAGTTTCTCATACAGTGTTCATGTTGAGACTGTGAATCTGCTGGTCACAGAAATGTGCTGCTCTGAATTGATGCAGAAGTGCCTGACAAAGAAAGAACATTTAAGTGTGAAATTTGGCATTTTCTATCAATTTGCCCAAACGCTCTCTGGAGGTGCTTACTCGTACACGCTACATGTATCTTCTTTTGATGGGAGAAAATGCCGTTTTAGCCGGTTCACGACTGGATTGAGCCTTCGAAGAAATTTCTTAAGAGTCGTGACATGATGAGTCAAATAGCGTTTGGTTGGTGGAGAGCGCAGACATATTTATGCGTTTTCGTGTTTTAGCTAGCCCTTAATATAGCCCGTTCACGGCTGGCTTGGGACAGTGAACGGGCGGTTTTACTTGCGCGGCGATGGTAGATCATGGCGGTCAAATATGCGCCTTTAATAAGAGCCTCATTTGGTGAATTATTTCTATTTCTATTGAGTTTATTTTATGTTAACATTCATTTTATTGGGTTTTTAGATTTTCTTAAATCGTCGAATAATCAGAGAAAAATAAATAAGTCATAAAATGGGGCTTTGATAGAAGGCGCATATTTGAGCGCCATGATCTACCTTCGCCGCGAAAATCAAACCGCCCGTTCGCTGTCCCAAGCTAGCCGTGAACGGGCTATATTTGATCGAATTGTAAGAAATAAATTTTCTTTTTTCTTCCATTTTAATTTTTTTTTTCTATTTTTCAAATTTTTGAAAATAAATTCCGATCCGTTTTCTTTTCATCCACTTCAATCATATTTTAAATGAGTTTATCCAATTTTAGAATGTGAAAAAATATCTTCTTTGACGTAAGTCCAAAGTTTCGAGAAGGTCAAAAAAGGGTGGAGTTTTTTTCTATTTTCTGTTGTCGAGAAAACCAACGTTGCCGATTTCTTTTTCTTTTTGATATCACGAACCGGTATTTTCTTTTCCAAAGAACGACGTCGTCCAATTTGACCGAGTGCTTTCTGTCAGCAGTTGTTTCGGATAAATTAATTGCTTCTCAAGAACTTTTCGCCTTTTCATCGCAACAAGTTTTTCTTTGTGGTGTTTTGTTGATTTTCTCAAATATAAAAGAAATCCCGATTTTTCTTTCTTCACAAAGCTTCGAGGGGTGTAAAGTCGACTTGTTGATCGAATAATACAAGCAACTATTTGATACATGAATAACAAAAAAAAAGTAATGTAGAAGTCGAACTTTTATCATTTTAGGCGCAAGACGTTCTTCGATAGCATAATGCCGTCTTTTTATACACCTCTGCTTTTTGGTACTGATTATAATTTACTCACAACGCTTCGAAGTTCAAATTTAAAAAGAAAAAAATATATGGAAAAATTGATTTTAAAAAAAGACATTGAATAAATTTTTTTCGATCAGTTTGGTTCGGACCTCACTTCCCATTAATTTTTTCTCTAGAATGCTTTCCATTACTTTAATTGTTTTTGAAAGATCAGAGAAAGACGAAAAATTTATTAGAAGTATCAGTAGCCTGGGGCGAGTCTGGCCGGAGGACAGTGGTCGCAGCTTCCAGGAGCTCCGTTTTCGCCGGCGGCTCCGACGGGTCCCGACTGTCCGTTTTGTCCTGGCTGGCCTGGACTTCCAGGAAGACCTGATGGTCCTTGGGCTCCTGGTTTGCCGTCTTCTCCAGGAGGTCCGTTGGGACCTGGCTGACCGGGTGGTCCGGGTCTTCCTGGAGATCCTGGTCGTCCTGCTGGTCCGACTTCCGTTCTGAAATTTTTTGATTTAGCTACGAAAAAAATAGTGTGATAAGACGAGTTCTTTTTTTTGCAGTAGCTAAAAACAATAAATCACAGGAAGTTAAAACAGAACTTGAATTTTTTGTTTCTCATGATATTGATATTAATCGATTGGAGATAGTGAAAAAATCAAAGGTCGGTAGTGAATTTTCGTTTCAAAAGAATTCGAAAAACCAAATAAAGTTCTATTTCAATCCAAAAAAGTTTCTCCTAATGTAGTGTTAAAAATTTGTACAGCTCAGTATAAGTATGAAATTTTTTTTCAAACACTGAATGGTTTTCAAAGTTCAAAGAAAAAAAAATCAGGTAAATTTCTTACTTGTAGGTTCCCGGCTCTCCAGGAGTTCCTGGTCTTCCAGGCTGTCCAGGAGCTCCGGGAATGCCCGGAGGACCTCGAGGTCCTTGATCTCCAGGCTTTCCGTCTTCTCCAGAGTTACCAGGCGCTCCAGGTGGTCCATCTGGTCCTGGCTGACCTTTTGGTCCAGGCTCCCCAGGTGGTGCTTCGCATGGACATTGTGGTGGGAAGAGCGAAAGCGGGTCTGGACCTGGCGGCGCTGGAGCTCCAGGAGCTCCGATCTCTCCAGGAGTGCCGTCGATTCCGTCGACTCCGTCTCTTCCGGCGTCTCCGGCAGGGCCTGGTGGTCCACGGTGGCAAGTGCAGCAGCCACCACCGCTGCCGTTCTCGAAGCTGTCGACTCCGGCTGAAGGCGTGTCGTAGCCGACAGGTTGGTCGCGCAGCTCCTGGTCGTGGAGTCTTCGCGACCAGAAATCGGCTAGCGTGTCTCTGAAATCAATGACTTTTTTACAGGAAAATATTCAAAAAAATTCAAACAAGAAGAAAGATTATGAAGTTAGAGCTAACCGTTTTTCGAGGCGGCGATGGTTGAGAATGATGTCGGCGAGCTTGCCAGGATTTTTCTTGCCGCCAGTCTCGATGTCCAGCATTTCCTTCCACATGTCGCGAGCACGAGCCTGACAGAACTCGAGGTCAAGCTGCACCTGAGACTCGAGCGTCTGGATGTAGTGCAGGATGAGCGGGAACGTGACCAGACAACTCGTGATGGCCACTGTCGAGAAGACCACCGCCACGAAGGCTACGGGTCGCAAGGACTTCTTCTCTTTCTCGTCTTTCATTTACTGAAACAGTTTATTCAGTCTAAGACTTCAGATCAGATCACGAAACTTGAAAAAAAAATGAAATTACAAGTTTTGAGTTGCAATAATAAGCCGACGGACTTCTTTTTTCAGAAGTAAGAAGGAAAAATGAATAAAATGGCGTTGCTAGGGAAAATAACATGTTCAGACAATTTTGAAAAAGTGTTTGAAAAAGTTCTCTCTGAAACAGTTTATTCAGTCTAAGACTTCAGGTCAGATCACGAAGCTCCGATGGAAAGGAAAGAAGATAATTTTCGTTTAACAGTTCGTCTTTTAGTTACCGCCATCTTTGGTTTGCCAGGAGTAATATTCAGAATTACCAGCAAGATCCAATATATCTTTCACAGTCGTGTGAACCAAAACAATAGATTTCTTTGAGAAATGTTTGGGGAATCGAAGGATAACAGCAAAAAAAGACGGCAACCCGTGCCTGAGAAGTCAAGAAGAGTGGAGAAACGAAGACGGTGGCGCAGCTTTTATCCCTGAGACCAGTCGTCGTGGTTCCAGCTCCGCGGCCGTTTCTTCAGAAGCTGTCTGCGTCTCTCGGAATCGCGCCCTCTCGTCACTTTCCTAAACATGTTCGTCATTGCTTCTACCTTTTCCGCCCCGAATAAAAAAACTTCTGATGGCATTTCTCAGAACTTCATCTCATATAACTGAAACAATTGCTGCAAGCTTGAAATCGCTAAAATTCTCTTTGATAATGTTAGGAGAATTTAATTAACTATTTTTAATTGATATTATAGGAAAGTTCTCAGAATTTAGCAAAACAGAAACAATTATTAGCTTTTTCCAAACAATTTCGAGAGGAAAAAGTCAAGCAAGAACAAAAAAATGCTACAAACGTGGTACGGCCTCTTCTGCTTGTACAGTATCCTTGTTTTCGTTTTTTTTTTTCTATGGAATCTATTTTTGTATTCCTTCAGCAAAAGCTGAGGTCAAAAGCATTATAAAAGTACATACCAAAGGGTTTCAAATTCTTCCCCTAGTCTCGTTCGGAATCCGGAACCTTTATTTTGTAATTTAGGAGTTTAAGTCAAAAGATGCAATCGAAAAATGATTATTTCAGGTATCCGGTTGGTTTAGTCATTATTTAAAATTTACTTCAAAGAGGAAATATTGTGAAAGTTATTTTTTTTTTTCAAAATTTATGAGCTTTGAACGATAAACTTCGAATAGTCCTAGAGTTACACTGTAACAAAACTTTAAATCCAGGCACTTGAGGCGCAAGATATTCTTAATCGAAAAAAAAGTAATTTTTGACATCTTTCAAAAAAACATATTTGTAATTATCAGAAATGATTGCTTTCAACATTCAACTATTCTGGGAACGCAAATCGAAACTTTAAAAAAGGATGTTTTCACATTCAGAAGTAGATCCGTTGTGCTTTTCAAGCTTTTCAAACATTCTTTAACTTTTCGAAATTTCAAAACTTTGCAAATCAACAAATTTTTGAACGGAAAATTCATTTTCTTGCTAGTTTGTTCAAGATCGGATTTTCAGCGCAGGAGTTCGAATTTCTCATCGCATCCGAAAAGAATTCTCAAAGTGGAAGAAAGAAACTTTTTGAACAGGTTTCACGATCACTTTTGAACTATGAATCAACTCTTTCTGAAATATTTTAAAAATTTAGTTCGAATTGAATGTTTTGAAAAAGATCATCCCTTCTTGTATGAAAAAGGTTTTTCGAATCATCAAAATTCTTTCTGCCCAAAAAAGTATCAATATATGCTTTTTAACAGCCGAAAGCTTATTTCTTCCTTTTCTCGAAAAACCAAAGATGGAAAAAGAGAGAGAGAAAACAGGTATCGTGATACGAATGTACCTGATGTGTAGTGCTTACAGTTTCCAGCAGAACTCGATCGACGCGCTCGTATTTTGGTGCAGTTTCATTTATTCTGTTTGTGATCAGCTGGTTGAACTACAAAAAATAACTAGTTCCCCCTGGAGACGATTTTTTTTTTGTCAAAATAGTGGGATAACTTTTGACAGTCTCGAAAAAAGAACACGCCGCGCTGCAGTCAAGTTTGTCACACGTACGCTGTAAGGGTTTGGGTTGCTTATAAAACAGAAGACGAGAAAGGCGGGGGCACTACTTCAATAGAATGAGGTTTCTGATTTTCGCGCCGCTTCTGACGGCTCTCGTCTCCTGTCAGGTCAACAACGGCTTCGTCTCGGGCGACCTGCCCAACGTCGTGCTCAGCGGCGAACCTCGCGTCATCGCTAGACGCATTCTTCGAGGAGAAGTCGTGAGTTCCGTTTCCAGAAGCTAATAGTTCGAAGCTAACATTGGGGAAAAAATCAAAAAAAGAAAAATACAAATTTCCTTCTAGTTTACTGACGCTAATCTTTCTTGATAAACTGCAATTCTGATGAAATTATAGTCGCAAGTTAAGTATGGCGGATATTGTTTCCTAAAAGAAGAGAAAGATTATTAAAAACAAATTCAAATGGTGACGTGACGCAATTCTCTTTAAAGCTTTTGTTTTTTTTTTCATTTTGACCCATTTGTCAAAAAGATTGGAGAATGTATTTATTAGTTTCAACAAATTTATTTTGCATCTTTCAAGTCCTTCTTATGAGTCCCGTACAGCTTGAATTATATTATTGAGAACCTCGAAACTTTTAGCAGACTGAGGGAATTTTTACAGACGGTTGTCCGAGAATGTTAGCTTTTTTAACCTCGAATAAACGAAGAAAATGAAAATGCAAGGATCTTTTTCAAGCTTTTTTTTTAACTTTGAACGAATTGATCAACAACAAAAGTTGTTTTTTTCTCTGTCGCGCGTTTTCGCCTCGAAAATGAACAGTGTAAGCTTTTGCGCAACTGCATTTTACGCCGCAGAACAAAGAAGTCATGTGACATACCGTCGCCAGACGTTTTTGACATTTCATCCTTTGCAGGGTCAAGTCCAACAGGACGTCGTCTCGAGGGAGCCGCAGCACGTCCGCATCAACGTCCAGGAGAGCGGAGGCGTTCCGCAAGGCGGCGCCGGCAGCGAGTATCAACAAGGACCTTCAGGACAGCCCTCCGGCATTCCAGTCGTCGTTTACAGGTTTTAATTCCCGTCGTTCAGTCTGAAAGGTCCTGATAGTAAACTGTTTATTGAGAGCAACGGTTAGAAAACGCCTTTGCCAAAGGAGCAGTACAACTTCAATTTTCCATGAACTACGAGTTATTTTTTTATCGAGAGTCAACTTCTGAAAAAAGACATCTTTAGAATAATATACATGAATTCAAGGAATTTTTCTTTTGAAGCGCCGTTTTTCCGTCTCATTATCTTCCATCTTGAACCAGTTTCAGTGATAAATTCATTTATTAAGACGGATACTCCGACCGGCAAGACTTCAGTTCAATGGAAAACCGATCGTAACAGACCAGTGGCAAGGCGATAACGATCAAGCCGAGCAACAGGTTCAAGATTCTCTGACTACTATGGAATACAGTATATCTTTTTCAGTCTTTCTTCGAATTGGACCGGAGCAAGTACACGCCTTTGTTCGAATCAGAAAAAAGTCCTCTTGGACGGCATTAAAGATTCTTTTCTGTACATTATATATATTTCAAAACACTTATGGCTTCTTCTTTTGCTAAAATAAATACTGTTTAAACAACTGCGAATGGTTCAAACAGTTACATAATCTATGAAAAAAGCTATTTATCCAACTAATACTTTGCTTGTCATTTTTTAATTAAAAAAAATAATTAGAAATCAATTTAAAAAGCTTTTTCTGAATTCTACTCTCAAAAAAATTCAAAAAAAGAGTAATTTAATCTGTTTCTCTTTGTTTCGTTTAAAAATTAACAAAGAACGCAAACAAGTGGAATCAGTATTCTGAAAAAAACGGACCCAGACTTCACATTCATTTTATTTCTCCAAAATTTGATTCAAGGAAATTTCAAACATTAATCGTCTGAGGCTGGCTTCAAGAATGTCTTAATAAGATTTTTTATGATTAGCCGCGTTATTTCAGCGTGACAATGTAAAAAAAAATCGGTTTAGACGTCTCTGTGGTCCTTTTTATCAAGCCAGCGGTGAATGGAGAATGTATTTCTTTGCAATTCTTTTGACCCACGGGCTGATGTGTGGCGAGTGTTAGGAACGGGTCCACAAGAGCACAGCTGAGCAAAGCTCCGCCTCCAGCAGAGTTAGAAGAAGAAGAAGAAGAAGCTCCACCCACGTCGCACTAGCTTTCCTCGTTTCCACACACGCCTCAGGCATGCATTGTCGTGCTGAAGACGTGCATCTACCGTCATCGTCGTCGTCTTCGTAGTCGTCTCCGGCGGCGGAATTCTGGATCCGCGAGTCGTCGTCGCGTCGTCGTCGTCGTCCTATGCTCGGCGGCGGCGTCGTCTTCGACCCGCAAAAACGCAAAAGAACCTTATTATGGTCGTCGACGACGTTGACTCCGGCGTCATCATCTTCGCTACTCGTCCTCGCCATCATCGCATCCTTGCCCCAGGTGCTTTTTCTACCAATCAAAATGATCGAAAAGATCTGGTTTTTCAGAAAGATGTAAAAAAAGTTAAACTTTGTATTTTGAAAAAAAAATGTTTTAGAAAGTAGAGTGTTCGTGGAATCCAGAATGAGCCTGTCAAAAACGTACAGAACTTCAAAATTACTTATTTACCATATTTATCATTATTTCTTGATTTATGTAGGAAAACAACTTCTAGGTGACTGTTAAAAAGCCTTTTCTCGCTATACTGAAGTGATTAACAGCTGACTTTCCCGTTTTCGAACACTGTCCATAGTATTTCGGATCCAAGCTGAGTCTGTGAATGATTTTCCAGTCAGAGTTGTGGGAAAACAGTAAGGAGTTGCAGATCGCGAGGTCGCTCACCTGTCTCACCTGCATCTACACGACGTCGACCACCCAACTCGACAATTTCCGAGTGAGCACGCGACTGACGCGGCCCATCTGTCCCATGGAGCCGATCCGTTGCGACCGCGATCAGGACGTCTGCGTCACCATCACCATGCACGTCGGTACGGTCTTTCCTTTATTCATACTCTCTTTTTTTTATCGACTGAGTGCAGCTGGTTTTAGATGAGAAAGATTTTCTCAAAAATTGAATTTTTTTTTTCTGTTGGTTATCAAAAATTTTTAACTCTTCGAAGCTGTTTTTTAAAATATTATTTTTATAACAACAACTTAGCCTAGCTAATAGCTTCAAACGTTCCAACTCTTCATTTTACATTTGAATAATTTATAAGTATTTCACCATTATTTGACAAAATGTCAATTATCGAAATTTTTTTCAAAGAATATAATCCAAGACTGTTTTAGTCTTTTTCCTCTTCTCGAAAAAAATTGCTCAAGTCCGCTTATTTTTGAAGAGCGTAACAAAACAGCAATTAACATTTAAATCGAGCTGAAAACCGCAAAAACGATGCTATATTTGACATAACAGACGAAAGTCTGGGAAAAAATTGCCGAAATTGAAAAGCTCGTTCCGTAGTTGACAAATTCGGCTGATCAGTCATGCATCGGCGCCTTTTTGCATTGTTTCACGAGGTTCTTTTTACCTGGATTTTGCAACATTCGGCTTCATAAAGTTGAAAGAGATAATAAAAAATATTTAAAAGCCGCGGGCCGTGCAAACGAGGCTAATTTTAAAAAGTTGTATGCGTTCTCAGCAAAACCAGTCTCAAGTGAGAGAAGCAGATAGGAGAAAAAACAAAAAATAAAGCTCGATTTTCAGTTTAAGGAGACTTGAAAGAGTAAATAGTTTTATTTTATTCAAAAATATATAATATTGAAACTGTTTTTCAATTTTCTTAACGCCTCTTATCGAGTTTACTTCGTGAGAGTACCGCTGTGGAATCAGAAGACATTCGGAACGAAGCTCCAAAACCTCACCTTGAGAAGATATTTTGAGGCGGCGGCGACTACTGGATGGGCGCCGGCTGCGACCGCCGGGCCAACTTTCAGCACATGGCGTGTCAGAACGTCCGCACCATGTCACGCAACGTCCAGCTCGGTTTCCTATTTATTCGATTTTTTACTTTTGTACTGTGAAAATTGATATGAGAATTTCCTCTGTTCAACAAATTCTGAAGGTTATAGAAAGGAAAAATAGGAAAAAAAGGTTAAAAAGGAAAAATAAACTTTCTCTCTCCTAAAACGTCTAATCTTATCACCAGAAAAACTCAAAAAAACTTTTTGATTATTTTTTTCAAAGGAAAAATCATCCCTCTGGAACTTAAAAAAAGAAACGCAGTGGCTACGGGAAAAATCCTTATAACACTATTGAAGACCGGAAAGTCTTTTGAAAGCTTTCAAAAACATGTAAAAGTACGAATGTGTATTTCCCTTAAAGCATTTCAAAAAGCGCAAAATTTTTTTTAATTCCTTGAACTCTTGTTTATTTTTGTAGAAAATATATCGTCAATAAAAAAACAATGAAAATCTTCAGGCTACGTGCAAGAACGACGGTCGATGCAGAGAGTTTGCGTCTGCGCCAAGGACCTTTGCAACAGTTCGGCGGCGTCGTTCGGGACAGGAATATTCCTTCTGCTGACTATTTTGTTCTGCCAGCTGCTCATATGATTCATATCTTTTCTACCAACGCCAAATTTCATTCCCGACTGTTTTCAACAAAACGTACGTTTTTTTTTCTTCGGTCTTTGCAGTTTGTTCGACCAAAATTGGTTGTAAAAATGGATTTTCAAGAAAGTATTTTTGTCCCGTTGAATTTTCGCCAGTTGAGCTCATTGGATCCAGACGAACTTTTCATTTAATTTTCGGTGTTTTAATTTTCAAAACATCTGAAACTTTGGACTTGTTTGGTAATTAGTATGAGATCTAGTGTTGCCTTTGAAGGGAGAGCCTGTCAAATTCCGAGAATATACAAATATTGTGTGAAATGCATACGAGGATGACGAGGAGTTCGTCAACAATTGCTAAATCAACTGGCCTGAAGAAGAGACGGCCCAGAGGGGCGACGAAATCGCATTTGAACCGTGGCCGACGGCTTCCTTGGCCAAAACGTGCGCTTCGTTTTCCCTACTTTCCTCAATTCGTCATATTTGGAAATGCGCGGAGGAAGAAGGGCAAACGCACGGACTGACTCAACTCGATAACTAAGGAGCTTTGCGTACGAAAGTGACTGCCAAAAAAGAGAGAACCAAAAACTGAAAATCCTCAGTTTTTAACAACACCCCACTTGGACCCAGACCGAAATTTCTCAAAGAGGCTTTTACACAGCTTACGGAAGGAAAAGTGTAGCTTTATGAAATGCTTCAAAACGCAAAAAGTTCCTGTTTCATGTTTTGGAATGGTTCTCTCAATGGTTTTTTGTAGTTTCTCTTTTGTAAAAAACTTTGAAATGTTTTAACTACAAGAAAGCTGAAAAAAACTATGAACTCTTCAACTGAATTACTTTTAAACTTCAAGTAACAAAAAATGATAAGAAATCAAAAAAAGGTGAATCGAGCCTTTTTGTCCCTTTTCTCCTGCGATATTGTTGTTTAGAAAAAGTTTAATCTATTTATATACTATACTATTAGTTTAAAAGCAATCTCTTCCGCTCGAGCGAAATCCGAATGTTGTTTTTGTGGACATGTCGGCGAGCGCAAGAAATTCAAATTAGAACGAGCCCCGTTCCGTTTAGTTGGTTTTTTTTGAGGAGGCTAGCGCATGAAATCTTGCTTACAAGAAACTCTTTCTCGGGGAGGTGTATTTTCCCGATACTTTTGCCGACATTTGACATTTTTCTTGTTTTGAAATCGATAACGCCAGAAGCTGCGCGCTCCCGAAATTATACAGTCTTTACAACAGAAAAAAATTTAACCAGGTAAAAAAATCAGGCTGGTTCTTTTATCCCTCACAAAAAGAAAACTTGAAAAAAATTTTTCTTTGTATCAAATATTTTCCCTTGAATATGTATCCAAAAAGTTCCAAAAAAATTTTTTAAAAAAAGTGATAAAATTTAATCATGTCTTCTTATCTGAATTTTTTTTCAAACAAGGTGAAGTCTTTCTAGAAAAACTGAGACTTAATTGTCAACAATTTTACAAAAAAATCAATTTTTTTCTTTTCAAAAAAAGTAAATATGAAAAAAATGTGAATCTGGGTGAAAAAAACCGTGTCATAAATAAACTGAAAGATTGTGTTGAATCACTTTCGATTTTCAAAATAAGCAAATGAACCCTATCAAACTAGACTTATTTGAGTTTTGAGCCGAAAAACGGCTCTCCTGTTGCTTCGCCTTCTCGCACTCTAGAGATTTGAATGGAGATCGCCGCCACGAGATATGACAAGTCGCGCACAACGGAAAAGAGCACAGCTTTTCTTCACAATTGACCGACTGGAAAAGAAAAAGAACGTCGAGAAGGGGCGAGAAAAAAAAAGCTCATCAGCGAACCGAAAAGAACAAAACACACAATACAATGGCCTAGCTCATTCTCTATGGCGCTTCATCACCTTTTTTACTTTCTGAGACGAGACCAAAAAAGCGTATCTTCACGGGACCACCTTTTAAATAATTATTAAAATTGAATTATTTCTTTTTGCTGAATGAACTTCAAAAAAATTTTGAAGGAAGAATGGTTGGACACGCGAACGAAGTCTGGCGGCAGAGCACTATCCAGCATTTCCGACAGTCTTTCTTATCGGTAAGTTTTCTTTTCATTCGTGTGATCAGCTCATTTTTTCCCATGAAAAACACCATATTCATACTTTTTATGAGCCCGAAACAAGAACAAAACGAAAAAATTCAAGGTTTCACCGTCGAATTCACTAATAAGAAAGGCGAGTCACTTAAAGCTCCATATTTTTCTCATCTCTTTTTTTTTGAATAAAATTGATGAAAAATGATTCTGTAAAGCGAAATTTCAAGGCACATTTTTTTGAAGTTCAAAAAAAGTAATGGAGATCTTATTAAGACTCGAGAGGTTCAGAGAAGATTCACAGCTACAAAGTTTCGTTAAGCTTCTAAAAACTTTTTTTTCTTGATGTTTTCAAAAAAAGAGAAAATGCGCTCATTTTCAAAAAAACTCACAAGTATTTGTTTTTGTAGCAATTTCTATTTTTCTCAGTGTATCTCAGCCAAACCGTTTGATTCTTCCACAATTAGAGCAACGGTATCACAATTTCCTGGTCCTCTGACCAGCTCGAGGGTTTTGAATGGACTGGAACAGTTCGTTGTCCTCCTCGGCCTGGATCCTGCGAGTGTGGCCGAGAGTGACGCGTTTCATGTCGGCCCGTTCACGTTCCTCGTCTTCCCGCGCCGTCTTCCAAGAATCGTGCAGAGCCTTGTCGTCGATTTGAACCGTTTTGAGTTGCGCCTGGAGTTTCGAGCGTTTTTGCCTTTCTCGAATGAGCGTGAGAGAACTACTGAGAACTAGACAATAATTATGAAAAAGATGGGAAAACGTCGGCTTTTTTGGAATCGTTCTTTATCTATCAGAGGATTTTGGTTTCGTTTTGTCGAGTTTTTGACTTGTTCTTTGTCTTTTTCTTGAGACAGTCTTTGATGGAACAAAACACTCTTTTTCTCACAAATGTCTCAATCTTACGTTTTGTTCCTTCGTTATTTGAAGAAGAAACCTTGTTTCCCTTGCCGCGAGTCATCAGAGACACCTTCTTGTTGGGCTGTGCCGACGTCGTGGCGATCGTTTCTTTCGCTGCCGCCATGGAGAACGTCGGCCCTTTAGGCTTTTCGTTTGGCTCGGCGCTTGCTGCAACAAGAAGAAAACTCTACTTTCATTAAAATCCAAAGTCGTCTTCGTTTTCACATCCATTTTTTTCTTGTGTGCCACCGCCTCTGCTTCCCGTATTTTCTTACACAGACACACACGCGCGCTTTTGCCGGAGGCTTGCACCCTCGAGGAACTTTGTGTCGCTGCGCATATTTTGCCCCGAAGGCACAAAATTCAATCGCAATTTCATAGGGAAATTTTTTGTCGTCCTCAAAAGGCTACCACTACCTTTTCAAAAAGGGTTTTCGAAAATTTGATTTGGCACCGAAAGGTCGAGAACGCGAAATGCATGAGATTAATAGTAGCGCTGAAAAATGCGCAGTTATTCATAGGTAATTACGAGATTTTGCAATTGCGCGAACAGAAAAAAGAGAAGAATTTGTCTTGGCCTCTCCCAGTAACGATTTCTGGGCTTTTCAACAACATTTTTCGGGTTGTGGCCATCGTCGGTCGGTTCGTCGGTCGGTCGTCGTCTTCGCGAGGCAAACTCAATAAGTGAAAACCCTGGGCGGCGGCGGATGATGTACACACAGAGACACACACACACAAGTAGCAAGAGCCCACGAAAACGACGTTTCTTTTCGAAATGAGCTGTCCGACACGAATTTCACGAGAAAAAGAAGAAACACTGAGACCTAGTTTCGTCCAGAATCCAATTAGAGGGGTTTACCTTGATAGATTTGAAGGAAGTTGAATTTTTCACCGGAGAAGCTCTTTTCTCGAGCATCTTAGTTTTTTTAGAGATCAACTTAAATTATAATTTCGATTTCCAAAAGATGTAATGAGAATTATCAAACTGATAACGATTTTGAAAAACTTGGAAATAAATTTTTAAAAAAAACAGCAGCTTCTTTTTTCTCAACTTCACTTTTTCTAATATTTTTCCTTCTTATGTTGAACTGGATATCTTCACAACTTCTATTATTTTTAGCTGCGAAGATCAATTTTCAAAAATTGATTCTTCGCATTTCGCAAAAAGTGAAAGTATTTGATAATGAGACGTTTAAGACAATAGTTAAGCAGTATTTCTTCTTCAAAGCCTACGATTTAAAACATCAAGAAGACCTGAAGTGCGCCAATTAGGTCGATTGAAAAAGCTTAACGACGAGAAATATTTCAAAGTGGAAGCTCTTTCCTGGCCAGTTCACTTATCGTTCATCATTCCTTCTCCAATGCGATACTCTGCAGGGGCGCTTCTTCTCTTCCTTTTTTCCAACTCGATCAAAAGGATCCGCAGAGTTGTATTGAGAAGAAATGATTGATCAGGCGGTGGGAGGCAGGCAAATGTCATTGTCGCGTTTCGTCAAAGAGAACAAGTGTTAACCGCACAAAAAGACATGCCGGATTTTCCGTGTCAGACGAAAAAAAGAGATCAATGAGAGATGTAAGGGGATTTAAAGACGCTTTGTTTTTTTCGAAATTGAATAATTTTTTTGTTAACTTTATGATTATTACAACTTTTTAGAAATTTGAAAAATAAATAAAAGATTTTATTTGGAAACATTTTTTATTTTGAGTTTTACAAACACTCAATCCAAATTTTTGATATATGTGTATGAATTAGTTTTCCTAAGTTTCTTGTTTTATATTTCGAATATCTGTCAGCCTGAAAGACTGTCAGGAAATATTGAAAAAGTGATGCCTTCTCAAAGTATATGAAACCGACTCATATCTTTCCATCTTTTGAGAATTTCCAACGACCCTGGGTGTCGAAATTGCATCCATCCAACAAATGAATATGTAGATGAAAGCTCAATTTCGCACCGTCCTCGAATTACACCTGGCTCGCGTGAATCGTCAAACAATGTCGTCGGACGTGAGCGAAGGCAACAGACATATCGTGTAATCAGACACCTAAGGGCTGTCAGAGAAAGTCCTCTTGGCACATTTCCACCTGAGCGCTAGGGACATGTTCCGACATGGTTCATAACAACACAGGGCATGTAAAAAGATAGCTTTTCTAAAAAAAAAAATAGACACGGGGTTCAGGAAACTTGAAATTACAGTCATAGGAGAGAAATTGTTCCTCACAATGTGACTGGAATTTGATACTGATTTGCGAGCTTTTCCCTTGGACGATCACATCATTTGAAAGTTTTCGGGGAAATAGAGAAAAACTTGTAACCAATTTCTTTTTGTTTTTTTTTATCTTATCAAAATTTTAATTTTTTTATGGAAAATATCCAAATGTAAGAAGATTTCCTGAGCTAGCATGTCCACAGGTTAAAAAAATTCAAAAAAACATTCATAAAAATTGTGTTTATATTCTAGCAGTCAAGTTCAGAAGATTATTGTCGTAGAGAGTTGCTGATATATTCAAAAACACTTGAAGAGATGACTCTCTTTGCCACTTTACAAACAAAATACGTTAAAACTAACCGAACTTGACGCTCCGTTCGAAACGATGCCTTGCCGAGGGCGGTACCGTCATATCGAAGGCATTCGACGTGGTCGGGCCGCTCGACTGCAAGTTTGGAAACGTTTCGAGACTCGAGTTTGGACGCTCACCCTCAGATTATCCGCCACCATCCGGTCCAACTCTCTTTGAAACTCTTCTTCTTCCTGTTTTGTTACTTGTCTTTGCTGCTCCATGTGCACATGAAGCTGAATATTTTCTTTGAAAAACTTCTTCTTTCTCCACCCAAAGTTAACTCTAAGTGGATTTTAGAAGAAATTGCAGGTTGAGAGCCTTTTTAGGAGAAATATGGAATGTTTGAGCTAGTTTCAAACAAACTCTGTCTGGTTCTTTTGAATCAATCCAATATACTAATTAAACACATAAATTGGATTTTTGCTGCATATAACATGAGATTTTCACCTTCTGATCGTCATCCTCATCATCTACATCGCAAAAGACCGCGTCTCTGTCGCTCGTCCTGAAAATCATCCCTTTTCTCAGATATTAATCGAAAATTCATTGAAAGACCATTTTTCAGCTTCGTCGATAACCAGCCACAACTACTCCATCTGCAACACGCCCCATCTCAAATATTATACGGATCAACAAAAGCCGATCTCATATTTTTTATTGTTATTTTATCGACTATTTCTGTGATCAGCTACTTATTCCGCTCCCCATCTTTCATTTTCGCCGTGCTAAACGATCTTGAATCCGTCAATTGTCTCGCTTCTTCATTTCAAATATGTTTGCTCCGAATGTGATAGCGTTTCTCCTTTCATATATGTGATAGGATAAATGAATTTGAAACTATTTCTTGGTTAAAAAAATTATCTTCAGTTCGATGGAATAAAATTGTCTTATTTTTTTAGAGGGAAAAAAATGGTTGCGAATTATTTTAATGACCTATTTTTTTCTCATTTTTTTCAAAAACTATTTTGAAAAATTTTCAACTACGAGTGATTGTGAATAGAGATCACGAAGGAAAAAAAGGAAATTACAATTTTTACTAAAAAACAGTCTTTTTTATATATAAAGATATCCTTGATTTAGGTAAGTCCAATCTTTCTTGGAGTTTTTCTCTTAAACATAGATTTAATTCGAAAAGGCTTTTCGTCAGTTTCTTTCGAAATTTATGCTTTCGAAGCTGCTGAATCTTCAAAAGCGTCTCCCAATTTTTTATTTACTTTTTTTGTTCACTACGAGCAAGTAGGTAGGTGAAGAAGCTACATAAACCCTTTTTGCGAGAAAATTATTCAATTCTTCGAGAAGATTCCGTGTAAAATCTTCACTCGAAGTGGTCGCTCTCATTCTGAGGCTTCCACCTAGAGCACGGTCTCCGGGCTCCAGCTCAACATCCACTACATTCTGAGCTCGTCAAGGCGCAACTGGATGGACTACGCGCAGAAGGACGAGGCGAAGAACCGTAAGACCATGCTTTGAACTTGATCAACTACACGTTTGGACTTCTAGTTCGCCAAAGGCGGTTGTTCGTTATAGCTTTGAAAGTTCTTGTTCACCGCCTAGTCGATTACATCAGACTAAAACAACAAAATAAATGATTTGATGATTGATTTGAAGGTTCAAAAATAATTAGCGCGAAAAAGAAACCTTTTTTTTCGTTCTCCACCCGTTTTCGCCTTCATAACCTCCTGGAAACGAACCGAGCTTCCTCGTCGTCTTCTTCCTCGAAGATCGCGTTCAATGCTCTGTGTTTGTTGGGCGATTGTCGCGTCGCGATGTCGTCGTCTTCGGCTGAGAAAGTGTCGAACACACCTCCTAGCACAGCTTCTATCTGAAATATCTTTCAACTTTTAAAATTTTTCAATATGTTGTGACTCTCTATTGTCCAATCTAGTTTTTTTATCCGCAAGAATCTGTTTTTTTTTAAAATTTTCTTTCACAAAAACTCAAAAAAGAGTTCTTTTTTTCTTGAATAATTAAATTATCTTAAACAAAAATGAATAAACGAAGCTATTTTTGAAAGTAAGACTTTACAAATTTTTTTCTTTCAAGTTTATAACCGTATGCTTGAAAACTCGCTTTTTTTAAATCGAACATTTTTTTGAATATTATATTTCAAAAAAAGGGTTTTTTTCGATAGTTTAGAGGTTTAAAATTACACATTCCCTTGAAATGTGCGCAGTTCTTGATGCACAATTTTATTTGGGAAAATGCTGTTGAAACCTTGAAAAACTCCGTATTGTCGATTTCCCTACTTCCAGCAAAAATTGTTTCAAACCATGTTTGAAATCGAATCACAAAAAAAGACTTGCAGCTTAATCAAAAAAAATTTGAATTGAAATTTAGACGAAAATCGCAAAATATTTTTTGTACGCTAATATTTGTTGTTTTGACATTTTCATTCACACTTCCGACTTGAATGCATTTCAAAGAAGTTGATGATTTTTGATGAACTACTGAAAGCAAACAGTTAAAAGAGACCACCCGGAGCGGCCGATTTTTTCAGCATCCGTTCAAAACATTCTTAATTACAGTTACCTCTCGTTACACACAGATAAAAAAAAAGACAAGGTTAAAAAAAATAAAGATAACGACCACATCAAAATTTTTCACAAAAAGCTGCTACTTTACATAAAAGCTCTCTGATCAACGTACCTTGGGTTTAAGCGAATTCTCAAGCTCTACGACGGCCGCTTCGGCTTGTTCCAACGTCTTCGGGAACTTCGTCTTTCGGAACATCTTGCACATCTCGGCGAAAGCCGTTTCAATATCGAACGGAAACCTTTAAGAATCTCTGTTAAAGTCTTCACACCACACTGAACTACTTGGTCTGAACGTTCGCACTTGTCGACGCCGTCGCGGCAGATTCATCTACAGGGGAGAAAGTCATGGCTTTCGTCATAGCCTGGGTCCAAATCTCTTTTTTAAAGAAGTAGAAACGATGGAAGTAGGTCAGAAAGCCTTCCATCTTGTTTCGCAGCGAGCCTTTTTGGAAGAATTCTCCAGAGGTCTTGACCAAGGCGCACACCATTCGGATACGGTAAAGGTCTTGCCACGACAGCTGATCGGCCTCTTGGAACGAGATGATTTGATAGAGGACCTGAATTTGAATCTTCTTGTTTGTTTTAAAGTTTGAGATCTTCAAAAACCGAAGACATCAAAAGGAATCAAATTTGACATTAAAATATGATTTTAAAGCTAGTGACCAATTCGAATAAGATTAAAAACTATTTTTCTCGTATTATTACAAAAAAGGAAAGCATAAACCTTGCGGCCTATGCTTCAACACAAGTTTGTTTATTTTAAAACTTCTAACTACATACTAGGAGCGACTATAAAGACATAAAACAAAACTTTTCTAACCGTATGGACAGCAATATATGAATAAGTGACTTGTGAAGGCTAAATACCTTGAGAACAAGGTCACTGTCGCAAAGATTATAGTTGAAGAGCTCGCCGAGGTAGACAACGGAGGCGTGGGCCCATTGATTGAAGACCCCCGGAACTTCCAAGGAAAGTCTGAGCCAACACAGTGGACGACGTCGAGGTCTCCGGATTCACCTGATTGTTTCTACAACCGAGTCGACGACCGCCACGCCGACCCAGCCGAAACTGGAAAGCGTGGCGAATCCGGCGACGGCACTCGCCAAATGCGGCAGGTTCTCCATCGGAACCAGCCAAGGCGAGGAGATACAACGCAGGACAAAATCTGAGGAAAGAACAAAAGTAAACTCCAGGTTAATTGCCAGAGATCATAACTAAAAAAAACTACAGAATTGAAAAAGGCGAAAGAACGGTCGATTGGCTTTCGATCATATTAAATTGCAAACCAAATTTGGTTTCCTTTTTAAGAAATTTAGTTCGTCCTCACCAGTAGATGATCTCAGCTAAAGGAGAGATTTTCTATAATAATATATCTCCTGATATATGCAGTTTTTACGGTGATTCCTAGCTGTGTTTGAAAGCTACCGAGGAGGCCTCTGAAAAAAAGTTACTTCAAGCACATATTCGAAAACTGGACCCAAATTAGTCTCAATTGAAAGCCCCTCTGTCAAAAAAAAAACCCCCTCAGGTCACCGTCCTGAATTCAATGAAATGAGATTTTAAAAAATGTGATTTTTTGAATATTATCCTTATTTTTCCACATCACCGCCGAATTCCACTCACCGGAAATCTCCTTGTCGGCCCAGTCGATACGTCGGAAGCCTCGCAAATGAGAATCGACAGTGGGTTCGGTGATGTCGACGACCAAATGTCGAATGAAGCGCTTCATGAGCGGTTCTTCGGGCTGAAGCCGACTCTTCGTTGCGCCGTCCTCCGGAGGGACACAGCAGAAGTAGGCGTTGTCGATCAACATCTGGATTCGTCAGAAGCGATTTCGAAGACTTCTTAGATTTGATACCACTTGACGGGGGTCTTTCATCCTGTCGCGCTTGGCTTTGACCACCTCTAGTAGCCGCTTCATTTTTGGATGACTGTCAGTGTTTCTGAGAAAAAATGATCTGATTAGAAAGGAAATTTTGATTATAGGTCCGAGGCTGAGCATCAAGTACATTTGTGAGCAGATTTCGAGACATCATCTATTTTTTCAGCTCAGATGAGAGATTCAATTTTGAATCAAAAAAAATCACCTGCGCATTCGAAACACCAATGTGGGAAAATATGAGAAACAAAGAGATGAAATTTTGAAATTCGATGAAATTCTTCCTGCATCTCGCTCTCTAGACTAGCCAAAAGGTTTTTCCTTTGTTTTCAGACAAAAAATTTCATTTTACTTCGTTATACCATGTATTTGATGGAGTTATCCGAAAATACTGTCTAGATCTTTGTATATAGAATTAGAGTAGGATAAACCTGTAGAGGTACATTCCGCCAGCCTCGAGCATCGTCGCCGCCATTTCGACCGCATGGCCACGCAAATCGTACACGAGTTGCCGCAAGCAACTCAGGCCCTCCGCCCGTGGAATCACACCGAACTTCATCTAAAAAATCAAAAAATGAAATGATCAAAAAAGATTGATAGAACATGACTTTATTTGATAAAAAAGTTATATTTTTGCAAGAGATGTAAAACCTATTAAAACTTGTGTGGTCAGGAAAACAAGAGAAAAAGGTCCGAAATAGAATAGAAGCCTCTAGAGAAGTTGACCTCTCTATAGCACACATCTTATAAATTAAGGGAAAGAGATTAACTTTAGACGAAATGAGCATTTTTGTCTGATTCTCATTCCACTAACGTAAGATTTCCAAATAAAAAAACGAACCAGCTCCGCTATTAACATCACGCAACTCATCTTCGCTTCTACCCGTTCCGTACCAGTTTTTTGCATTAAACCTCTGTAATAAAATTCTCACGAGATACTCCGAAAAAATATTGAAAAAAAGACAAGCACGAAAAATAAGCTGAAAGAAAAACTTGAAACAGTTACTGGTGGTCATTTTACTTTGCGGTAGGGATTTTCGTGAAAGTTGGCCAGAATACTTCTTGATGTACCAGAAGAAGATTCTGATAGTCTCAACCTGCGAAAGTTCCTCGTTTTGGGGAGAATACGCCTCAAAGTCGATGAAAACTCTCAAAACCCTTAAAAATAGGCTATTTTGGGGCTTTAATCTATCATTTCTCGAAAACTAGGAAGTTGTTTAGGTTGAGACTTTCAGAATCTTTATCTGGTACATCAAGAAGTTCTCTGGCCAGTTTTCAGAAAATTCTCAACCGCGAAGTGAAATGACCTCTTCTCATAACTCAAAAGAGTACTTTCACGAGGATTTCCTTCGAAAAAGTGATAGCTGACCTGAACTGAGAAATGAGAGAATTGACGATCTCGCAGGTGACATCTGGCATCACAAGCTCCAAAGTGGAAATAAGTCGGGCGAAAAAAGGGACCAAGTCCATTCGGTGGGGCGGCGGCGTTGTCAGAACTTTGACCAACTTTTTGCGATTTGTCTGGAAGCGATGCTACGAGAAATCTTTTCTTCACCTTATCTACCTTGTTATTCAAATCGGTGACAAAGAAATGCGCAGCCTTGTCTGTGAGGTCCTTGCTAACCAAATGATCCAAGTATAGATTGAATTTCTGCGAAATCAATTGTTTCCCTTTTTCGGACTTTTTTGTCAAAAAACCGCCCATTTCGCCTTGCCATCTTCGTTGACGCCTTCGACGTTCTGAAGAAGATCGCGAATTGGACTCGACTCTCGGCTCGAAAATTTGCTTTCCGGGCTCGCCGACCTCAACCTTCAATTCCAGTTCACAAGATGTTACACAGATATTCATAAAAAAATTAAAGTTCTCATAGCCCTTTACATACTGAATTCAGAAAATTCGAAAAAATTGCATTTTTTTTTGTTCCTGTGAAAACGACATCACAGCAGGAACAGTTGCTTCATGGGGTCACGAAAACAAAAATGAAAAAAATACGCTAAAAAAATTCTGAAGTTAGGGCGAGGGGAAAAAAATAAACTTTTACATATTATTTTACTGTTTTAAAAAAACTTCCCGACAATTTATTTATTTTATTTATTATTTTTGAGATTTTTTTAAATACGTTGCCAATTTTTTTGAAAAATTCAAGTCCAAAATCACCTGGCCAAATCGTCAATTTCTCCGGCTTCATTGATATCATCAACGTCAACGTCCTCAATATTGCTCTCCATTTTATTTTTCTCCACAGTTCGGTTTTCAGAGTCCTTAGAAATAAAATTTGTAATCGAGATCATTCCATCGCTATGTACCTTGTATAAGGCCTTGGGCACGAATTTCCGGATGTCGATGAGATTCTCATAAAAAACTTTGGTTTCCTCATCGGGCCACAGCGAAAGAACGCCGCCAGCAAGAGCTTGTCGAAGCTGAAAGCCATTGAAAAATGTTTGAAAGGGAGCTTTCGGACCTCCTGCGCAGCCATTTCATCTTCCTCGTCATCACTTTGTTCCTCTTTCATTTCTTTCATAGTCACTCCCAGTGCAGCCGAAAGTTCCAGTGCCTACAAAAAACCCCTTATTTTTCATTTTCGGAGATCAACACATTCACAAACAGAGAACGCTCGAACCTTCCTTCTTGAATTTTCTACAAATTTGCTCAAAAAGTATTTGAAAATGGAGATTATTAATTCCCGCGCAAACTTCTCGGTTTGAAACTATTACTTTTCCGAGTTAAAAAAAATTAAGTTTTCAAGCCTCCTTTTGTAGCGAGTTTTTATAATTGACTTCTCAAAATGAAAATTCACGCAAGGACTATCAGCAGTATCTTTATGGACATAAGAAGCGCGTTTGAGATAAATAATGGAATGTTTCAAAAATAACTCAAAAAGTTGTGAGGAAGTTCTAATTATCATAGAGATTTTGAGAGGACGGACCAAGTTCCTGGCTTCGTCGAACTCTTTCTGCCTGGCACTCAGAATCTGCTTCTCCTCATCGCCGGCGTCGCCGCGAGTCCTTTGCTGCCGTTTCACGACTTTCTGTGCCGAATTTCTCGCCGCGCAGGCCTTTTCCACGCGTTTGAGCAAGCTTGCGTGGTAGCTCATCAGAAGGTCGTGAATCGCCTTTTTCTGCTCGTTGGTAATGGCCTTAGGCACCGGCAAGTCAGCTGAAAATCTGAGCCAAATAGAGGATTTCGAAAAGAAAATGCTTCCAGAAGACAACGAGAACGCCAAAATTCTCTCCTGTATACATAATGTAAAACTCACAAAAATAAAAATATATTTTAGCTCTAAATACAATCAAACTAATCGCTTCTCGAATTTCACTCATTTTGTCTTGAATTCCCTCAAGAAAAACCACGTACCAACGTAAATCGAGGAGATTTGGGCGGCAGAGAGGGCCACCGGCTGTGGAACGAGTCCGGCGATCTGCCAGCCAACGTTGCGGCAAACCGTCACCAGAAGCCCGACGTTGACGTGTTCGGTCTTGTCGGTCTGCACCAGGAAACCCAGAACTCCGCTCAGGATCTGCAGACCTTCTTTCTCGAAAAACACGCCAGACAGCGTTAGTTCAGCCAGGAATCTGAAAGAATCTATTAAGCCAGAAAATTCACTATTAAACGATCAAAAACCTCGAAACTCACATAATGTCTATGCGAAGCTTCGCTACATTCCCGACTTTGTCCGCTCTTTTCAACGGAAGCGATTTTTTAAGTTGTCCTGAAAGATGGATTCAAAATAAATTTCCTCAAGAAAAAAATTCTCACAATATGACTTCTACATTAATTTTCAAAATGATATTAATGAAAGAAATCAATAAAATATACAAATAATAAAATAGTTTTCTAAAAAAAGTCTTCTTGTTTTATTTTCACAATTCGATTTGACTAACACAAAAAAATGAATTATGAATTGATTTGATAACTTCTCACCGATCAAAAAGTTCGCCGAAAGTGGGATAACGGGCGGAGATGGCCACACACAACTCGACGACCGGCATGATGTCGGACACTTTCAGCTTCGTTTCGGCGATCCCCTAATTTCCATAGCGATAAGAAACAAAAAAACAATCAGCATCGGATGTTGTCAAAAAAACAGAAGAATACTTCAACCAAAAAAATCCTAATACATTTATAGAAATGAATGTTTCGAAAAAAACTTTCCTAGCAGAATTTATACATGCTTATGAATTACAGAAGAAAATAAATTAAGAGCCTCATGGTGGAAAAATAATATTTTTTCCTCTTTTGACAGCAATTAAGAGTTATTATCAGAAAAACCTTCAATATCATTTCCCTCTCACTCTTAACAGCTTGCTGGATGTTGAAAAGAAATATGACGAACTTTTTTGAAGAGTTTTGAACTTCCTAATATCGAAATCCAGCTTGACAACTACTATTTTGAGTTTCATTTTTCTGAAAATCTATCTGGGCGAACGCTGAAAGACATGACATAGATAAAATTGAAACGAACACTGTGCACAAAAATACATGCGTTTCACGCCTCGAAAACACGGGCAAGCCTAGGGATTTTACAAATTCCAGAAAATTATTTTTGCCGACTGTTTTCAGAAAGAAACACGAACCATCGCCATTTCCTCGACAAACTTGGAGAGGTTGAGTTTGGCGAGTTCTTCGATGAGGCCGACGACCGCGGCCGCGTTCAACGCCTTCACCTTCTTCATGAACGCCGTCGTCTTTTTGAGAGTCGAATCGAGAGATCGAAGCGTCGACTCGACGTCGCCTCCCATCGAAGCTCGTGTCTCTGTCATTCGTTTCCGGTTCTCTTCCTGCCAAGCATAGTGAGGAATGTTATCGATAAGCCTACTGTCCTTTTTTTTCCATTTTTATTAAATTTTCCAACTGAAGTCTTTGTTTTTTTTTTCACTATTCGCTATGTGTGACTTCAAACCCTTTTACAATACATTAGAGTTGAAGAAACGATTAAATCGGAAGCAAACCTCTTGCAGAACCTTCTTTCTGACTTCTTCAACCCATGAAGATTCAACTTGAACTGTTCCGTTATGAGTCATCTATACTCTTTCTGAAAAAAAAAACCTGTGTTGTTTAAATTAAACTGGAGTTTTGGGAAATTTGAAAAAAAAAATTCGACTTCGGTATCAAAAAGATTCTCATTGATACTTCGAACAACAACCCATTGGAAAAACCTCGTTTTTATTTGTAACGCGAAAAATATACAAAAATGTCGAAAAGGAAAACAGATCAATTTGTCAAACATGGAAAGTGGAAAAACACAAAATCTAAGAAATGAGACACATCGTGGAAACGATGAAACAAACGAAACAACAGAAAATGAAAACATTCTCCTTCCATGCTCATAACAACCGTAGCGCGCAAATAAAACATTTGGAAAATTAATAGAAGGAAAAATGATGGAAAAGTGAAAACGCATCGAACAGTATGAAAAGCGAATATTTATGGCTTTATAGGTAATGCTATTTAATGACTATACTTCAAACATTGAAACGAGCGAATTTTATTCAAATTAACTGAAAAATAGGGTAGGGTGCGCTTTTCCTATGTTAGCTAAACAGCATCGTTTTCGCATGAAGTTCACTACCATCCACCTCCGTAACTGCCTTGAGAGCCGGAATTTGGTCCCGAGCTATATCCAGAAGGAGCGCCGTAGCCAGCTGGAGCCCCGTAGCCAGTAGGAATGCCGAAAGTGATGGACGAGGAGTTTCCGGAAGACGCGTTGAAGGAGCCTCCGCCACCTGAGCCGTAGCCTCCCCAGCTGTTTGTGTTCGAGTCTCCAGCACTTTGATGCGGTTCCCGTTCACGTTCTGAAGATGGAATCAAGTAGAAAAGGTATAGTTAGTGGGGGGAAACAAGAAAAGATTGCCGCTTGTTTTGGAACCTGTCCTTCGAAATACTTTTTTGGCATTGGTTTTTGAAAGAAAAAAGGTTACAAAACTAGAAAGATGGCAAGCGAATACGTTATAGATTACCACGAAAACTTTCGTGCGAAATCGAATCTCAGGAAACATAAGTGTTAAAGATTACCGTAGCCGCCTCTGTAGCCTTGGTCCAAACTAGAGGAGGAGTGGTGGGCGAAATCACTGCTACCGTACCTACTATCCGAAAATCGAGCTGAAATGAATTTTTTCAAGTCGCGTACAACGGAGTACAGAAGAAAGCCTACTTTTGAGCATTATGCAATGAGTTTTTCTCATAGGCAGAAAACAACATTCTGCCATTTTTGAAAAGTTTTGTTTTAAATCTTATTCAGAAAAATTCGATCACACTATGCAAAAAAAAAAGCTTGAAATTGCGGCTTCAAGGTCTGCAATGTTGTTTCAAACCGGAAAAACGATGGACACTCGGAAAATGAAATAGAACTATGAAAATAGGGTTTCGCAGTTGAGCGAAAAGCTGAACTCTTCACAAATGTCACCTTGAAGAGCAGCCGGCGGAGGTCCAGCCCTAGGAACAGATCTGTTCCGATCGCCGCGGCCTCCGTCACGACCTCCTCCTCGGTCTTCCTTCCTTCCACGACCACCTCTGGGGCCTCCCCCTCTGCCTCCCCCACGTCGATCTTCTCTCGACGGAAAGCTGTCGTAGCCACCTCCGCCCCGTCGGTCTCGACCTCTGCCGCCACCTCTCTGAGGTCCGCTGCCTGCACGGAGTTTCGGCGGCGCCTCGAACGTTTCTTCCATCCATTCATCGAACGGCGCAGGACCACGGCGGGATCCACCAGAAGATGGCGTTCCGAGTACTGTCTGCCATTTGACGCACCTCATCGTCGGTGGCGCGTCATGTGCAGGAAACAACTCCACGTATCTAAATCGCAACTTTTCTGTCTCAAGTTTGTGATTTAGTATTCAATAAAAAAGAGAAATTTGAAAAAATTTTAAGTTCTTTTTCTGCTTAAGGAGTGAAAGAAATACATAACAAATCACTTTCTTCAGAACTCGATCATGCTTTTTTTACTTCATAGAAAAGGTGTTTGAACTTGATAATCGTATGAAGAGCAAACAAAAAGAAAAAAACTCAAAAAAATGTATATAGGTTATGAGTAGAAGGAAATTTTTATTTTCTTATTTTTTTTCACTCACTGAAATGTTTTAAGAATGACTAAAAACCCAAAACTCGGAACAAATATCTGAGTGGTTTCTTTTTAGAAATTTTTTTTCAAACCTTCGCCCCATGCTCGAACGGTTTTTTTCCATCGCATCGTTGGCATCTATCGAATTTTCGAATTCGACACATCCGTCTCCAGACGGTCTTCCTGACTCATTATATCCGATCTTTAAAAAAAGTTCAGTGAAATTATTAACTTTGATATAAGAAACCTGTATGCAAGTAGGGGGGATCGGTGAGAAAAATGCAGCGACGGACCTGGAATTGGCGTCGTAAGGCAGTCCGCGCATGTAAATCTGAGTAAGTCCTTGGGAACGTTGAAAAATGTAGAAAAAAACCTTGCAGCGGCCATTTCCGCGTCTGAACTCTTCGCGATCAAAATCATTTCCTCCGCGGAAGTTGGGCGACGTCGGTGCAACACTCATCAAAGACGGAATTTTTGAATTTGAAGACCTAAAAATTGCATTTCTCTTCGAAATCAGGAGTCCTGTCCGTCAAGTTCGAAGGTTCCTAAGGGGGTAATCACTTTCCCGTTTCTCTGTGTTGTTTTATGTGCTCATACCGTTGAAGGTTATGAACAAGTCAGCACTAACTGAAAGACAAAAATACTACAGAAACTTTGTTTTGAACCGTTTCGCTTAAAATTTGAAAACCATTTTTTTCTTGAGACAGTGGTGCATAAGTTGACAGGAAGAAGCCTTCATACTTTCTATCGCATCGATTGAGCCATATTTACAGATTATACACAACCATCAAAACATGTTATAAACTTACTCGTTGCGATAAGGACGTTCGCTTTTGGATGCTGCAAATGGCTTTCGACTTGAGCCATCTCGAGCACTTTCGAGCTCCCCCAATGACGAATGGAACACCTCGATGTATCTTAAAGTTCGATGTTAGGTCAGTAGGGGCTATGACAACAATATGGACTTTTTGAGAACGAAGTTTTAGGCTTTTAAAAACATTTTGGTCAAATGAAAAGTGAACAATGAAGTAAAAAGTGGGAGTTCTCGCTGAATATTCAGGCTGTGCAAAACTTGCGAGTCTAGCGAATGCACTAAATTTTCAAGCTCTGGCGAGGTCGTAATTGAGAAAAAGAAACATTTACCTACATCATACTGTGAGCAAATTTATCTCAAAATGACGAAAAATGAAGATACGACTGCCAAATGCTGATTCGAAAATTAAAACAACCTATAATCTTCCCTTCAATTTTTTTCAAATGAGATCAGATCATCTTCTCAATTTAAACCAAGCTTCCTTTCAACAGAAAAAATTTTTCTTTCCAAAAAAAACCAGTTCTTAAACATAAAGCCGCAAAGCGATTTACGTGGAACAATCTCATAAGAAATAAATAATATTTGAGAAGGAGAAAAAATGAATAAGCTCCAAACTCAATAAGATCTTCAGTATTTTTTTTTCCAGAAATCTTACTTCCTTTATGACATCAGACCAAAAATGGGACGTAGGCCATAAAATTGCAGAGTACTGCAAATCTCCCTGATGATGAAGGTTTGTAGGGACATGAGCACGAGGCTTCTCTCCTCTACAACCTCAGGATTCTAAGTATGCAGCCCCTTTTCTTTTTTCATGATTGCTCTTTGTCGCGAAAGACATGGAGCCCTCTGATTGGTGGAAGGTTCAGAAGACTCCTGGCTTGTGCCCACCCACCTCGATCCCAAGTGCTGATTGTTAAACGCCATGGCACGTTGCGCGTCCTCGGCGACGCTGAACTGAACGAAAGCGTCGCCGCTTGGCCGCCCTCCCGTTTGTCCGAATACCACTTGCAACGGTCCCAGACCTATACCAAACGCCTTATCCCATATTATCTAGCAGTTTCATTGATTGTGGGACTTAAAGTGTGTAAGAAGCGGAAAACTTTAAAAACCTTTGAAAAACAGGCTGATGTCTTCTGCAGTCGCTGACCACGGCAGGCCTCGCAGGCGCACCACTTTGCCCTCGTCGCCGAAAACGCCTTGCGTATTGAGAAAAGACAGCTCGCTCTCCGTTACCGTGAAAACTTAAAAAAAAAAATTATTTGAAAAAAACTACATATGAAAAAATGTTAAAAACTAACTACATGAAAAAAATCACTTTCTTTTTTCTAAAAATTTCTATTTGTCCAGATGAAAAACACGCTGGCCAATAAATAAATTTTTTTGAAGACATGATTTTTTCACCATTCTTGTTGTTTTATGTGAGCTTTCCGAAAATAGCTTGAACAATAATAAACCTTCGATATAACGATCCCCGATCCTCTCTCTATTGAACTGCAGGGCGCGAAGAACATCGCTTCTGTTTTTAATTTCGACGTAAGCTTCTCCACTGGGTCTTCCGTCACTGGGTGGTCCAAAAGTGATGGCGGATGCATCGATATCTAAATTTATTCCGGTGAAAAGCTTCGATTTGCATCAATAACAAACCTTTGAGAAACTGGCGAATCTCAGCCTCGGTGCAGGAAAAAGGAAGTCCTCGCAGCCGCACAAAATTCGTCTCAGGTGTTTCTTCATTCTCTACGGGTGCCTTTTCTATTCCATTTTCCTGAGGCGGCTCGTCCTTGTTTGGAACAGAATTATAATCAAACTGCAGCTGATATTCAGGAGTCGGTTCCTTATTTATTTGATCTTCTTCTTTTTGCGACATACCTCAAGTTTGATTTTGAAGTTTTTGCGATACAATCATAGTAACGAAAATAAACGAAGATAGATGAAATGTTTCAGAGAAGTTTTCAAAACTTCATGATACCTTTTTAAAAAGAAATTTTTCGCGAAAAAAATTAATTCTAAAAAAATTAATCATCTTTTTTTCACTTTTTAGTGCTATTTTTTTAATTTGGATGAATCCCTTTGAAAAACAGAATGAGTTCTTTAATTATCGACTGTAAATTTTTCTAAACGAGTAATAAGACTTGGAAAAATATGTATTAGACGACTTTCTACCAATAAGAATAGAAACAGTAAAACACTTTAAACGAGCGTCATTTATTTATTGGTAATTATATTTCCCGATTCCTGAGGCCGTATGTGGAAATAAAAAAATGAAAAATATATTATTTTTTTAGATGTTCCTTTCTATGCTGCAAGTCTTCTTGCGCATATGAGCAAGAAGACGCATACAAATAAAAAAAAAAAGAGTCACAGTCGAATCAAAAAAAAATGCACAACAAGCTGATAATGTGAAAATAATTTTAAAAAGGAGAATGAAAAGAAAAGCCGAAATTTGAAATTGAAATTTTGAAAACATCTGTCTTTACATGTCTGATGGGGCGCACATTCTTTCTTGGCGCCACGCCAATATCTTTGACATAGGGCGCGTAAAGGCGGCCATAACTCTATCTCTGACCTACACTGTTTCGTCGTTTTCTCGCAGTTAGATAACGACGAAACAACGTTGTTCAGAGAAAGAGTTGTGGCGGCCTTTATGCGCCTCATGTCAGAGAATATCTGAAACTTTCTTGAACTTTAAAAAAGGAACTCAAGCACAGCAGAAAAAAACTTTCAAATGTCTGCCGATTTCAATTAACAAAAAAAAACAAAACGTTCAAGATATATATCCCAAAAAGCTTTCGGACACTTTCCGATGAATAGCAGCTAGAAATTTCGAGCCGGAGATCAAAGCGCCATGAAAAATTGCAGAGGCGTATAGTTTTCCATTTTTCATCAGACTTTCTTCTCAATAATAGCTACACCAATGTACGGCAGATTGTCAAACCGCACAGGCTATTTTCATCCCAATTTCAAGGTTTTTAGGTCTTTTTTCTACAAAATGATTTTTTTTTTCATTCGTCCATTAAGAAGTAGTAGAACAGATGCAAAAAGAGCGGTGACCGAGCTTTTTAAATAGTCGATGGCGGTTGAACTGAACTCGTGCCAAGAACCGCGTACGCACACGCTACGCGCGCTCTCTACCAGAACGGCGCACGGGTAGTGCGGCTCCTCGCGTTTTTTAGACATTTTTGTGCGAATTGAGTGCATGCGAACGATACAGTAGCATGCTCCTTAAGGAAGTTCAATTTATAAATTTAGCTATTTAGCCATATTTAGATAAAGCTAGAGCTTTTGCTGTTTCGATTCAGGCTCGCCTCTTGATCCAATTTCACTCGCGTTCAATTTTTATCGAAAAAAGGAAAATAAGAATAACAAAACAACTATAAGTGCCTGCACCGTGCGCATGCACTCAATTCGCACCAAAATGTCTAAAAAAACGCGAGGAGCCGCACTACCACTTGCACCGTGTAGGGGGTTATTGGTGCTGGCACCGTGCGTCGTTTTGGTAGAGCTTCTCTGCCTCTCTCGCCTTTAAAGGCACTGTTTTGACATCTAAGCACTGTTTTGACATCTATGCACCCGTGTGGCACCAAAACATCACAGATGTTGCACGGTGCCAGCCCAAGTTACACACCGAGGTGCATGAGGCTAGACGGCACCGTGCGCCATTCTGGCAGAGGCCTTTCAAGTCGGAAAAAGTGACTATATCACTACGCTCTGAGCTTGTGAACTTCGTCTAACTACGGAAAAATGCTCCAGATTGATCCGAAATAAACTCTCAATTTTGACTTCTCAGGTCCAGTTGTTCTGGAAAAGTATTTCTGAATCTTTCTATCTTTATCGCAAGCAAGGAAACATGATTTCTAGACCGATCTTCAAACAAAGCTCAACTTTTTCTAAATTAACGTTTTTTTGACTATTAATTTAGCAAAAAAATTTTTCAAATTTTTATTTTTTTTATTTTGCACATTGTCCCTCTATTTGTCGTCTGAAAGTCTCAGTTCTAAGGAAGCGCAAAAACAGACAATAAGCGTAAATTTCCCATGCCGGGGCATTCCATAAACAGTCATTCCTTGCTCCATAAACAGTCATTCCTTGCTTTCTCGCCTCGGTGACTTGATTTCCCAAATAATTTATTTTGCTATTGGTTTTGATTAAACACCAAAATGAGTTCATGATAAAGTCTGTAAGCCACGACTTGAACTTTCATTGAACGAAATTCCGCCCTTCCGCGTGCGGTAGCGAAGCGTCTTTGTGAATCTCTGTCGCGTTCTCAAATTATTATCATTGCTGGCGGGAAGGACTGTTTCATTAGGAACATGTGAAAGACGAGTACTGTGCTGTACTGTAATAGAAGAAAAAATTGAATGCGCGACCGAGATTCGCAAAGACGAGGACGCTTCGCGATCGCACGCAGCGGAAGAGCGGAATGTCGTTCGGTTAAAGTTCAAGTCGAGGCACCCAGACAGTAAAATGAAAACTGTTTTTTTACAGTCATGGAAAGTTTCTACGGTCTCGACAGTAATCTATTCCAAAAAATTTCTCTTCTTATCCACCTCACAGTCTCCGCTTTCGCCATCTACACTAACACTCGTCTTTACCGCTTTTCCAGAGATAACGAACATTTTCCTGTTAACTTCAAGGCTTTGAAGGTATCTCATAATTATTTTTTCTCATTAAAATACAGAAAAAGGAGCCAAATCTGAAAATCTGAATAAAACTAAAGCATCTTTTTCTTTAGTTTAATCCAAAAATGTTGATCAGTTGCATGATTTTGACAGTTCTTTGGATTTTAAAACTATTTCAGTTCTTCCTCGTCGCCACGGTCATCATCGATTTTTTCCATTCAATTGCTCTCATCATCCTCTTGGTGAGATATGAAAAACAGAAAACAGAAAATGTGAAGCAATAAAAAAGGATGATATAGCTGATTCACGGCTGGCTTGAGCCATCGAGAAAAGGGTCCTGCCACGAAAAGAGACGAGACAGTGCCCTGGTTGGTGAAGAGTGCAGACAGGCCACGCCTTTTTGCGTCCCAAGCTAGCCGTGAATCGTCTATATGAGAAATTTTTTTAAAATCTGTCCGGAACTACGATTTTCTGAGCTGTTTACTTATGTATAGGGTTCTTCCAGTCTTTCTTTGGGGGAAGTATATCCGATCTTGATGTAATTTGAAAAAAAACTTCAAGTAACTGTCCTCTCATAATTTCACTGACAATCTCTTGATTGAGGGTACTCACATGATCACGTGGTACACGCTGGGGCCGTGCAGCGTCGGTCTCCCGGCCACAGTCTCCTACGCTCTCCAATCATCCACAACCATCTGTTATTCGTAGCTAGCTACTTTTTGAGTCATATCACAATTCTCCTCAGGTTGAACTCTTTTTTACATCTCGGCGTTTGTCTCGAGCGATCAGCAGCTATCCTCGTGAAGAACAGCAGCAACAAGGGCTGCGGTTGTTGGGGACGCCATTTTCTGAGGCTAGCGATGGTGAATATTCAAACAGAAAAACCAGAAAAACATTAATCTGGAATGAGATTTTTGAGTTCTGAGAAGTTCAAAATGATAAAAGCGATTTGGGTTCGAAATTAAAAACTCTCTAAAATGGAAATTCGAGGCCCTCGTCGGCGCCGCCGTTGGTTTTTTCTCACAGCGGAACCACGTCTCGAACGTCGACCTCTGCCCCGAAATGTTAGAAGAGATGCTGCCTGAGAACATCGCCATGGTTATCCTGGGCTCTTCTGAAATCACAGCTTTTGGCGTCACTATCTCGTTATTACTAATCAGCAAGAAGCTCCTCAGAGTGTCAGTCAAGTTTCACTATTACTGTAATTCTGTTTAAAAAGATTCAAAAAAAGTAAAATCTGAAAAAAAGAGACTCTCTCAATAATTTTTTTAATTTCAAAATGTTCCAAATCTTTTTCCTTCAATTTACTCGTGGAAAAATTATTTTCTCTGGGACAAAAAAATTTCAGGTGTTAAATTATGTATCTTCTCCTATCGCTTAGACTTCTACGCGTGAGAAACTCATTCAAGTTCTAGGAAAAAATCAGAAAATTTCATGGAACTAGTTTTTTTCTTGGAAACTACAAGCTTTTGTGCACTACTACGTGAATATTGAAAATCAAAGATTAGATTTCCAAAGCGAAAAAGGAAGTGGTACAAACTGTGTACCGTACAATATTATTGGAGCTTCTGAACTTACATTCCCGGTATCGTTGCTCTATCGGAAATTATATACATGGACAATCGCAGAAAAAAATGCATTTCAAGTTTCAAAACAGAAGATGAAAGATAAAGTTTTGTTTTGATGGATCTTTCTGACTCGATTCCAGACCAGCCATAAGGCATTATAAATAACTTCGCTCGAGAGAAAAGCCTGAAAACTTCAATACATTGGATATTGAAGCTTTCAGGCTTTAGGATTGGAAATATTCGACATTGGAGAAAGGTTAATCAACTCTGGAAAATACAGCCGAACCAATCCCGACCCTCAGAGGAAAACGCAACTATCAGAGAATTTCGAAATCCTCAAACTTCTACTGCCATTTTCCATTTTTCACCTCGTCCTGTTCCTGGGCATGATCATCGCCGTCCCCAACGTCGACAAGTTTGAACTTTACTTCAACAGTCAGAACGACCTCAGGGCTTTTTCCAGTGTCATTTATGTGAGTCGATTGAGCTATTCGAAGATGAAAACACCAAATAATTCAATTCACTGGAATAATTTCATTTCATTCCAGCTACTGCCAATTTACTCGTTCCTAGCGCCGGTCATTCTTCTATCGACTTTGAAGAAAGCCGCCGCCTTGAGAACAGAGAAACTGAACGCCGTCTGTCGCTACGATCCCAACGAGAACGAAGTCTACTTCAACATGTACAAGCAACAGTGGTGACATTGCACAGCTCCGTCAATAAATAGTTCATTTCGAACACATTCGTTATAAATTTCCGTTCTTGTTCAAGTTTTTTTTTTCTTGTTTTTCGCACGCAGCGGAAGTTTTGTGCAGTAAAACATATTCGTAAAGAATATACATCTTGTTTTTCGGAATGAAAAGCTCAAAGGGGAAAAAATCGGCAAGCGGCTTGGAAAATTTTAATTAATCTTTCTTCACCGTTAGTCAAAACTCATTCTGTTTCTTTTAGCAATGACACTTTTTTGGAGGAGCCAATTGTTTCTTTTTGGAAAAAACATTATTATACAGACCAATTATTTCAAAAAAAAAAAAGATGTACTGGCGGGTTTCCGTCGATTTTCACACAATAAAATCAGCGTGTGATTTTTTTCTGAGTTCTGAGAAATTTTAATTAACATTTTTTCGACGTCAAAGATCATCCCTTTGTTGCTTTTGAATATTCTTCAGGCGCACAGAAATCTTAGTCTGCAAATTATTTTATCATTGGAGTGAATAATAGAAATTCTGTTTGAGAAATTTCGCAAGTAGTCCTCCTGTGATCGAAGCGTGTGATTTTCTCATTCTCAATGACTTTCTTTCCCATCCTCCTGAGCCACGCAATTTTTTTCTAGAATCACCGCTAACCTTTTTTTTCCGTTTTTTTCATTTTTTAAATTTGTTTCTAAAGCTTTGAAAACTTCATTTTAGAATAAAATTGATATGAAAAGTCACAGAAAAAAGAAATCTAAAAAAATAACCAAAAAATATTTTCATGAAGTGTGATGTGTTACTCCTTGCGAATGCAGAAAAAAAACAATCCTAAAAGAGATTCCCTTTCGTGCGAATACTTTGACGTCATCTTCAATCTTTTAAAAAGAAAAAAGTATCGTTTCTTGAGCTTCTCAAACTTTTACAGTTAAAAAAACATAACTATCATTTTTTTGATATCATTTTCGAGGCGACATGAACTGTGATCGATACCGAGTGCAAGCAAGCAGCGTCTGGCAATACTTTGGAATGTTGAATCAATCAACTTTCTCCGTTCTCACCGTGTTTTCAAGCATTCGATTATACAGATTCTCAAGACAAACGTCCTATTTTCATCCGAACTTCAGGGTGAGAAAATTCTTTTCATTTCCCAAAAGTGCGCTTTCTCGATTTACCTACTGTGTATTGAAGACAATCAAAGATAGGGCTTTTTAAATGCTTGGCAAAAATATTCGAAAAGATATTTAGCTCGAATTTTTCAATCATCATTGCTTCAAACAGCATGTTCGGTCTGAAATCTCAAGGTTGAAATTTAGATTTTCGTTCATGCGATGGTTCTTGTTAATATAACCCATTCACTTCTTATCTTCACTATATTGGTGAGTCTTTTTGAATTATTCGAATAATGAAACTTATAAAGATTACTCATGTAATCACTTGGAACTTGCTGGACGCATGCGATGCCTTGGTGTCAGCGTCGTTTTGTCTATGTTTCCGTGGTCCGATACTTTTCTCCTACATGTAAGCGTTCTTTCTCTGCAAACCTAGCTCAGTTTCGAAAAACTCTTTTGATTCAACTAGGGAAGCTTTGTTCAGGCTTTTAAAATAAATGCATGAATGGTTAAATGACAAAAAAATAGAATAATATCGAAAAAAAAAAAAAAAAAAAGGTGTGGTTTGAACCAACTTCAGAGATTCTCTGGGATTCAATTAAATTCTATTCCGACATTCAAACCAAATTTTTTTTATCTGTTAAACTAACGTTTTACCCCCAATTGAACTTTTTGCTTAAACTTTGCTGAAGTGTATTTTAGGACCTCCTGATTCCAGAAAAAGAAGAAGATTTCTCGCAATAGATCTTGTTTCCGAATTATAAAGCTTCCAAGTCCGTAAAATACGCAAATTATGAGAAAAAAGCGTTATTTTGAGCTTGTAAAATCATTTCCTAGTAAGCCTCTTGATTTGAGGAATCACCCATGAAAATATAAACGAGAAACTTTCAACTCCGAATAATTCGAATTTTGCAGCTTGAACTCGCTCCTTTTATTCGGATTGAGCATCGAAAGGTCGATGGCGACGTTTCAACCAGATACCTACGCTCAACATTCGACCAAGAAAGCTTATTTGATCATTGCCATTTTGGTACTATTTTGTGAGAAACTAGATATTCCTCCCAAATTTCCAAATAAGCTGAAATCATTATAAGAAATTTATGAAATTGTCATTTTTCGAAGATTTCTGAAGATTTTTTTTATTTAAACTAGACCACTCTGCAGATGAAAACGGGTAAAGAACATCATATTAAAAAAACTGAAAAATATTTTTCAAAAGCGGCCCAGTAAATTCCAAACTAGTAAATAACTTCGAGTGTTCAGATAGTTGCTTCGACGTCTTTGACCTGCTTTTCCATGAAGAAGTACGATTTCGACATGAAGTACCTCTATTGCTCGAGCGTCACTCCCACAACACTTGATGACGTGTCAACCATGGCGGTTATTCTGGGAGTCCTGGAGTTCGTCGTACTTTTTTATACGACAGTTTTGAAACGCATAAATGATGTCCTAATCAAAAAGTTCGCGCTTCTTAATTGGTTGACTTTTTTTTTCTGGAAAGTTTAGGTTTCGCTACGAAAATTTGCAAAAAACAGGCCAGCTAATGGAAAATCTCGAAGTTTTTCGACTTCTGGTGCCGTCATTTGTATTTCATTTGATCTTCTTTATCACTTTCAACATGGTGACCTCGACTTTGTCCAATTTTCGGAGATTATTCGAAGACGAGGTCTCCTTCCGCATTTTTCTCACAGCTATTTACGTGAGTTTGCTTTGAAGTTATGAAGTTTGACGGAATATTTATTGGTGAACGAAAAATAGGAAAAAAGACTGCAGCTGTGGACATTAAATTTCTATTATTTACTCGAAAAAGCAAAAATAGGAAAAAACAGGCCATAACTGAAAAATAAATTAGTTAAAAAGTAACAAGATTTCACATTTTGAATAATGGTGTTCAGTCCCGATAAACCAAATTTCCAAGAAGGAAGAATTTCTGAAAACTTACTCAATTTTGTCGTTCCACCCTAGATATTCAAGATTCAAAATACTAAGAAAAAATAATCTTCATTAATTAGGCCTCCGGAACTCAGCCAAATATATTATTCGATGTTTCACACTCCAGTTCACTCAACTTGTACAATACTAAACTAAACACTTGGTTAATTCAAATCAAAATTCATATTTACCTGATTCATAAAATGATCATTTTCCTAGCTCAATAATTCAAAGTTATCTTCCAATATTATTATCAATAACTTTCTGTGCTGAGAAAAATCAAATTTAATTTTTAATTCCAAATTGAAGATAGTACCAATCTACACGTTCATAGCTCCACTGATAATGCAAAATATCCTGAGCCGAGGAGCTCAGATGCGACGTCAGAAACTTAATGAAGTCCGAGTTGTGTCGCGAAACCCTAACGACGTCTACTTCAACTTGTACAGCAACATGTGGGCCAAGCGTTGAAGCCCTGTTTCGAGAAAACGTGAAATTTGAAGTATGAAGCAAGGCACTAACCAAGCTTGAAACTATACAGAGCTCTGAAGAAAATACGGAAACCGTAATTCTCCAAAATCTACCGTCATTTTCCATTTCTCACCTCGTCCTGTTCCTGGGCATGATCATCGCCGTCCCCAACGTCGACAAGTTTGAACTTTACTTCAACAGTCAGAACGACCTCAGGGCTTTTTCCAGTGTCATTTATGTGAGTCGATTGAGCTATTCGAAGATGAAAACACCAAATAATTCAATTCACTGGAATAATTTCATTTCATTCCAGCTACTGCCAATTTACTCGTTCCTAGCGCCGGTCATTCTTCTATCGACTTTGAAGAAAGCCGCCGCCTTGAGAACAGAGAAACTGAACGCCGTCTGTCGCTACGATCCCAACGAGAACGAAGTCTACTTCAACATGTACAAGCAACAGTGGTGACATTGCACAGCTCCGTCAATAAATAGTTCATTTCGAACACATTCGTTATAAATTTCCGTTCTTCCGAGGTTCGAAGTTTCACTTTGAGATTTTTCACACACAAAGTGAAGTTTTATACAAATACTAAAGAAAATACCTGTAAAAAACTTCTTTCAAAATGAAACAATTTCTTTCAAAATGAAAAAAAAAAAAAAATTTTCAAATATTGAAAAAAATTGGAAAAAAAGACTGGAAACGTTTAATGAACCGATATACGGTTCCAAAAATCTTCCTTTTGTTCTCTGTTAGTTTCAATAATAGCGATTCCAGCAGATGTTCTTAATTCATATTAACTCCGAATTTGAATGAAATAAATTATAACTCATCAGAATGATCATTGAGACAGTTGATTTTTCAGAAAAAAAAAGACTGATTTTCTGAAATTGCCGTAGTTTTTCTCATTAAGACTGAAGTCAGACCGTGTGAATTTCTGAAAGTCAGCACTTTCCATCGTTTGGCATCAAAAATCACTTCAAACTCGCCTACAAACTTTTTTTCATGTGCGGCTTCGCTTTTAAATATTTCAATTATTAGTGTTGCTTCGACTTTCGTTTTTTTATTGTAAAGAAAATGAACTGCGCATCGCAATCGTGACAACCCTTCTCCTTCATGGTCAAAAGCCTTTTCAGCATGTTACTTTTCTCACATCTTTGAAATTTTCTTTAGATTTCATTTTCAAGCTGACTAATAGTTTCTTCTTCCAAGCCCAATGAACTGCGATCGATACCGAGAGCAAGCGAGCAACGTCTGGCAATACTTGGGAATGTTAAATCAAATAACTTTCTCAGTGCTCACCGTGTTTTCCAGCATTCGATTATACAGATTCTCAACAAAGACTTCCTACTTTCATCCGAACTTCAAGGTGAGAGAATACTTTTTCTCCATAAGTTTCGTTCAAAACCATTTACTAAAAAAATTACTGAAAAAAAAAAACTAAAAAATTCAACTTCCAAGTCGCTCACGGCTTTTTCCCACGTTCTAAGAGATGTTATATTGATGAAATTCCAGAAAAAAAAGAAATGATCATGCAATGAATTTTTTAATAATAATGATAAAAAAATCGTTTTATTAAGATTCCCTGTTAGGACTGAGGGTTAGGCTTATCAATTTGTATCATTCAAAAAGCAATGATTTTATTTTTCTGCATGAAAATTGATAACCGGCCATAGATGCGAATGACAATTTTTTTAAATGTAAATCTGTTGTTACAATTTTTATACGAAAAACACCAGACTCTGATTTCTAACCGCCAGCCCAATAAAGACTTTTTAAGTTTAAAAATCGAAAATATCTATTGCAGATTTTCGTTGACTCCATGGTTGTTGCCAACATCATTCACTCTATCTTCATTATCGCCTTACTAGTGAGAAATCGATAGCGAAGGAAAAATATCAACGTTTTAAGGTTGGCCATGCAATAGCTTGGAAAGTACTGGACCCATGCGACGTCTTGGTTCCGGCCCAGCTTTGCCTCAGTTTCCGTGGTCCAATTCTTATCACCTATATGTGAGCATTCGTCGTCTAATAAAACGATTTATGCTATCTTCTGTATAAAAAATATCAGTTGGAACTTACCCGGGAATGTTCTCTGGTCGCAGTGGGGCTTCTGAATGATAGCTAGTTTACTAGATGTATTTTTTTTCCTGCTGATTACAAATCTGGTCTCAAAAAAAAGCTTCTCAGATTGAGCTTGTTTTTGAAACGTATTCAGATCTCGTTCCTCTGGTACCAGAAAACTACCTGTTTAAAAAACTACATCTAGAAAACTTGGTCTCATTCAGAAATCCCCTTGCGACCAGAGACCATTCCCTGGTTAGTTGATAAATCGCAGTAGTTCAACATTTTGTTTAAAAATTTCTCCGTTCCTTCTAAATGCTTATTTTGCAGCTTGAATTCGCTACTTTTATTCGGAATGAGCATCGAAAGGTCGATGGCGACGTTTCAACCTGATACCTACGCCAAACACTCAACCAACAAAGCTTGCATGATCATAGCTGTACTGGTAAGCTAATAATCTCAATCGATTTAAAAATTTCTCATTTTGCCGGCGTCAGACATTTTTCACTAAATTTTTCATTACTTTCTCACTCTAACACGCAAGGTGAACCATTTTTGCCACTGTTTACCAGATAAATTAGGCCATGCTAAAACTTTGTTCCGTTTTTGTTCAGAAAACTCTGGAACTGTACACTTCGGATTTATGAAGAGTTTTTTCTAATGTATCGATGAATACTTGATTTGAAAACATGGGTATGATTATCTCGAACTCCCAGCCGACCCGTGATGCAGACTTTAGAAGGTTTCCTAGCCAAAATATCTTCAAGTTTTCAGATCTTCGCTTCCCTGACTTTGGCCTGGTTTTCGATGAAGAACTACGACTTCAAATATATGTTCCTCTACTGCTCAAGCGTCACCCCCAGCACGGTCGACGACGTCTCCACTCTTTCTATCATCCTGGGATCATTGGAAATGTTTGCCCTTGTCTACACAGCTGTCTTGAAGAAAATAAATGGCGTTTTGATCAAAAAGTTCGCGTCTTTTCTTTTTTCATTTTATCTCTGAAAATTTAGGTATCGCTACGAAAATCTACTGAGAACAGGTCAGCTAATGGAGAATTTGGAAGTTTTCCGACTTCTGGTGCCGTCATTTGTTTTCCACTTGATTTTCTTTACGAGTTTCAACGTCTTAGCTTCAAATTTTTCGAATTTTCGAAAAATGTTCGAAACCGAGGTCTCTTATCGCATCTTTCTGACGACGATTTATGTGAGTTTGCCTTCGAAAAAGTTCCTTGATCTCCTTGATCATTCTAGCAGCTATGATAGTGTTTAAGGAAAAATTGAATCAGTTAAATTTGACCAGTAAACTATTTTGTTCAAAAAAAAAAAACAGGGGCTAAAATTTTATAGTTTCCCATTACGATAATCACACAGTTCATATGAGACCAACCAAATTTTCTCGCACACTCAAATCCGAAGTTTTTTGAATTAAAAATTCACAGATCAAACAACGCGACTCACTTTCTTAAAAACTTAAAGTTCATTGCAGATAGTACCAATCTACACGTTCATAGCTCCACTGATAATGCAAAATATCCTGAGCCGAGGAGCTCAGATGCGACGTCAGAAACTTAATGAAGTCCGAGTTGTGTCGCGAAACCCTAACGACGTCTACTTCAACTTGTACAGCAACATGTGGACCAAAACCTGAAAACCATCTCCTGATTCTTTCCGTTGTGCTCACACCAATGAAGCGGTCATTATTAACCATTGTGTGATCACAAATTGCGCATATTGTAAAAAAAACGTCTCTTCAATTAAATGCTTTCAAATTTGTTTTTTTGCTTCGCCTCATATCCCATCTGAGTAAATTCACTGCCTATTTCAATAAAGTATGGAGTGCCAACTGGCAAAAGAACAAATCGAAAATCCCTGGCAACATGTCGTACCGTTTTGTCAGCTGTCCCTCGCCATTCTCACAATTATATCAAATATTCGTCTTCACAACTATTCAAAAAACTATTCTTATTTTCATAAAAGTCTCAAGGTACTTTTTCGTTTATTATAAAAACAATTAATCAAACATTGAAGTTGTTTTTTCAATCAACGGTCGTGATAAACGTGTTTCAATCAATCATCATCATCGTTCAGATGGTTGGTTCTTTGAGAAACATTTTCAAATAATTTTAAATTCAGATTCATCACCTAATAGCTTGGCAGATTTATGAGCCATGTAAGGCCATGTCTTCTGGAAAGGTCTGTCTCAGTTTTCGAGCCCCCATCGTCTTTTGTTTCACGTTAAGATAGCCATTGAGGAAAATAAAACTTGATGTTTCTAGCATGAACTCTCTTCTTCACTGTGGGATGAGCATAGAAAGGTCCCTAGCCACATACAGAATCCAGTCTCAAAGCCAGAACTCTTCGTTCGACGGATACTTCATCCTTTCACTGATGGTAAGATATCCTCGATGAAATCGAAAAACTCGATCCGATTCTCCGCAGATCGCCGCAGGCCTTGGAGTTACCACATTCGCCTACCGTCGTTTCAGCTTGTCTTCTTTGTCTATATTCTGCACAACGTCTACAACGGAGACCATCAATGACGTCACGACTGTAACGTTGCTCCTCGCCTTATGTGACGTCATCGCTTTTATCTATACCGTCGTTCTATATTTCATCAATGCTCGGCAGAAAGGAAAGTTGGTTTTTTACTGTCAACACAGCTTTGAACTTTTCTGCAAATCTTAACCACTTTCCGATCAATTCGTTTAAATGAACTTCACAATCAGCTTAATTTTTCTCCATGTCATTTTCTCACTGGTTCTGAGCCGTAGCTAATTGGAAACTTTCACGCTACAACTGCAAGCATTAAAAAGGGGAAAATTCTGCGTAGCACTTAAAAATGAGAGCACGATTCAGAAAGAAAAAAGACAAGGCAGTCTGTTTCAAATCCGCGCGACTGGGGTACGTAATACACAGTTCATCAAACGAAGATTTTAGACTGACCTACGGAAACATCGAAGTGAAGAGTCAGCGAATGGAAAACGACGCTGCATACAAGCTTTTGATGCCCTTGATAGTATTCCATCTGACATTTTTCTTGACTTTCAACCTCGCCGTTGCCAGTCTCAAGAAGCTGAAACATCTTTTTTCTCGAGAGAGCGATTTCCAAGTTTTCATCTCCTCTCTTTACGTCAGCTTCTCTCAAACTATCAAGAGCTTCAAAAACGTTCAGGTTGTTCCCATCTACACGTTCGTTTCCCCACTGATTATGCAGCATATCATGGTTCGAGGAGCAAGGCTACGCAAAGAAAAACTGCAACAGGTCCGACGCGTTGATCCAAATCAAAACGATACATATTTCAACATGTATCGGGACATGTGGAACCAGCCTTGAACTATTGGAGAGAATAAATATTCATAGTATTCTTGAATTTGATGAAATTAGTGAAACGAAGAAAAAATTCTCTGGAGTCAATACTGTAAATATTATAAAGATGATTCATATATTGGAAAAATTGACAGAAAGTTGGGATTGTCAAGGTGGAATAAATAAAAATCATGATTATTACGAAAATCTGAAATTATCTAACAAAAATAGAAAGATGGAAAGAAATTATTCATAAAAAGAAAGAAAAAAATCGTCAAAAATATGAAAAAGCATGTTAATTTTTTGTTTTTTTAAAACCTTATAAACTCTTCCACATATGAATACGATACGAACGCGATTGAACAGAAAAAAAAGTCTTTTTTTGAAGTTTATGGAAAACTACATTTTTTTTCTATAAAATTTTTGAGTCGAAACTTTTTGTCATAGTACAAAAACTTGACCTCTTTATTGTAGAATTAAATTATTCATTCAAATTATTGAAATTATTAGATGATTGTGGAAATTGATAGTTCAGTTTCTATAATTCTTTTTTTTTACCAAACTTTCAAACCAATGGAAGAAAATATTCAGGTCGAAGCCCTCAAATGCATTTATAGGCCGTAAAAAGTGCTAATATATGTGTACTAGAATAGGCAAGGTCTATTTTATAAAGCTTTCGCCGGTTAACTTTAATTTTCAAAACTATTCACTTCTAGAATGTGAAATTTTTAAAGTACAAGAGTAAATTTTTTCCTTATCAAAAACCCAATTAACAGCCGATGGAAATTTATTTCTGTGCCAATCTATAACCTATTTTAAGATATTTTTCCGCTCGAAAATGACGTAGCAAAATCACAATCCTATTCGTCCATCCCCATTAAGTCTATTGTTGAATCAACCTATTTTTACCCTTTTTATTGAAATTTTCGCAGCACTTCCATCACTTACGGTCCCATTTCCAGTATATTGTTCAAGATGGAATGCCGAATCGCAAAGGAGCAAATCGCCAATCCTTGGCAACACGTAGTTCCTTTCTACCAGTTGTTTTTTGCGATTCTAACAATTGCTGCCAATCTTCGCTTGCATTTTTATGCTAAGAACAATACTTATTTCCACGCAAGCTTCAAGGTACGTTAATTGAAAAAACTTATCGACTGAAGTTTACAAAATAAATTTTTGAGTCTTTTATCAAAAATCTTGACAATACCGCTGAAGACTGTTTTAGAAAAAGTCTCGAGAAAAGACTATTTCGAAAAAGGACTTTTTCAAATCTTCGTCTTGCAGGTTTTTCAATCTATTGTCGTCATTAACACTATTCACTCTGTATTTATAATTATTCAAATGGTGATAAAATTTCAAGAATGAGAAAAAACATCAAACTTTTTTATTCCAGTTTCATCATTTAATATCTTGGCGGATCGAAGGATCCTGCGATGCTATGACCTCCGGACTCGTTTGTCTCTCTCTTAGGGCTCCCATTGTTTTTTGCTTCTCGTAAGTTCACCTGTTACTGCGAAAAAGAGCCATTTCGAGTGATTCAAGTATGAACGCCCTTCTTCATTGTGGAATGAGCATCGAAAGGACTCTAGCAACGTTCCGAAGCAATGCTTATGGAGGAGAGCTCTTCGTTCTCTGGATACATCATTTTATTTTTGATGGTTAGAACATCAAGAGCTTTTTTCGATGTAGAAAGCCAAAAGTATTCTGGAAATACTTGATTCAATACACTTTTTTGAGGTCGTGTTCGGTGTATTCGTGACAATCTACTCCCATCACAAGTACAACATGAACTCGTTCTCGATTTTTTGCATGAGTTCGAGTGCCGAAACTCTCAATGACGTCACGTCGATGTCGTTACTTCTAGCGATATGTGACCTCATCGCTTTCCTATACACCGTCGTTTTGTACTTCATCAATGCCCGACAAAAGAGACGGTGCTTCCGTTCGATAGGAAAACGAAATTTCATGAGAAATTTAGACTATCTTTCGGAAATCTTCAAGTGAAAAGTCAACGAATGGAGAACGAGGCAGCGTACAAACTTCTGATGCCTTTAATCGTATTCCATCTCCTATTTTTTCTGAGTTTCAATCTTGCTGTTGGAAGCCTCAAAAAACTTCAGCCTCTTTTCACTCGTGAAAGCGACTTCCATGTTTTCATCACTTCGCTTTACGTCAGTTGCTCTCCCTAAAATGACAAGAAGTACACGCTCAGGTTATCCCCATCTACACATTCGTTTCGCCACTGATTATGCAGCATATCATGGTTAGAGGAGCACGGCTGCGAAGGGAAAAACTTGTGGAAGTCAGACGCATTGAACTCAACGAAAACGACACTTACTTCAATATGTACCGCGACATGTGGCAGATGTCTCAAACAACGATGTGAAGATTCTAACCGCAAACAACCATACTTACAATGAACTCTGTCCGTACATTTAAAATGAAGACCTTTGAAAAAACCATTTCTTTCTGTACTCGTTTGATTATTTTTACAACATGAAAACAATTTGCGCGCACAGGCTTTGATAAGTATCAAAGGAAGCTGTCACGACAGATCTCTACCAGATCATTGAAGCTGCAACTAGGGTTTTTGGAGACGGCAAAGTGTTTCTCACTAGAACATTGCCTCCCACGACAACGAGTTGAGATTTTGTTGGTTGACCTAGGTAAAAGTAATCGGAAACAGAAAAAAAAATTTGGCTTAAAGCCCCAATCAAATGGAAAGCTCGTCGAAACTTTCCAGAGTGTCACCGGAATATGGGCCAGATAGGTTTCAGCAGAGTTTTATTTTTGTTTCCTAGTACTCTTACTTAAGGTTATCTACGCAAAAAGAGTTCATGCGCAACTTATTGTCGAGCAGAAACCTTTTTCAGGGACAAATAGAACCGATTGAATTATTTCTAAAACACTACTTAAACCGACGAAATTTAGAGGGAAAAAATAGAGCACCTTTTTTTCGTGGTTTGTTTGCGTTCTTCAAATTAGAACACATCAAAAGTTTACCTAATCGATTTGAAGAGGGCTTTTTTCGTTGAAAAATCCCCTAACGGCGTCTAGTTCACGCCAAAAGTCAAACGGTGCCTCAGAATCTTGACGACATACCTTGTTTGGAGGCATCGCTGTCCAATTACAACCCATTGTACTACGTCCTAACTACGGCTATTATTCCATCCTCCCTTTCAAATTCAGCGAGTAGTTCAAGTTTTCCATTTATTTTCCGTTTTTCGTTTCAAAACCAAATCTCCAAATGGATTGTCAAAACGCGAAAGAACGCATCGAAAATCCTTGGCAGCACGTCGTACCATTTGGCCAATTGTTTTTCGCTTTTCTCACAATTATCGCCAACATTCGCTTGCACAAATACTCAAAGAATAGCACTTATTTTCATGCCAGCTTCAAGGTGAGTCCAGAAAGAAAATTTAAAAAGCGTTCATTTGACAGGTTTTCTTCGATTCTGTTGTCGTTATCAACAATATTCACTCCATATTCATCATCATTCAAATGGTAGATTTCTCAAACTGTCCAAAAAATATTTTTTCAGATACACCATTTGATATCGTGGCGAATCCACTCGCCTTGCGAAGCAATGGTTTCTGGACTCATGTGCCTTACACTACGGACACCTATCGTTTTTTGTTATACGTTTGTTTTATTTTTTTTTCTTTTTCGATAAACCTATTGCAAAAATAGTGAGGAAGAAATGTCAAAAATCTTCGCTCACACTCTATTCGCAAACATATTTTGGATTTCAAAAAAAAAATGTATAAGTGATGTTATGGAGAGATTCTCAAAGTTAGAACTAAATTCAAAATAATTAAATACTTTTTTTGTAATTCGACTTATAGTAGAACATCAAAAAATTACAATAAAGATTTGGAAAAAAAAACTGGGAGCAAAACGTCAAAGGAGGAAGTTGCAGAATGAATTCGTTACTCCACTGCGGAATGAGTATCGAGAGATCTCTGGCCACGTTTCGATCAAAGTCCTACACTGATAACTCTTCTTCCAATGGCTTCGCTGTTCTACTCATAATGGTAAGAAATTTGAAATTTTTGACACAAAATAAACTATTTCAGGTCATTTTCGGATTATCTTTGACGATATTCTCGCACCACAGATATAACATGCAGTCGCATTCTATATTCTGCATGAGTTCGAGCGCCGAAACTCTCAATGACGTCACGACAATGACTTTGATCCTGTTACTTTGTGACATCATCGCTTTTCTCTACACCATCGTGCTCTACTTTGTCAATGCTCGAAAAAAGAGAAGGTTTCATTTTGAAAAAAAAGTATTATTTTCAAAGTGAAATTCTTCGAAAATTCCGTCCATTTTCAACGATTAGAGTTATCAGAGCTAAAATTGAATATCTTGATTATCAATGAACATCAATGAATATAGTCCGTTTTCCGCCAATTGAAAGGGCGGGATTTCTCTGCGCCCTCTTCGTCTCTCGACGACCCTCTATTTTCGCGTTTCTGTGACTTCGCCGGTAAGGGAACAGAGAGACTCAGACTCTCGAATACTGTCAAATCGCGGCGGACGGACTATATCAATGTCATTATAAATTCTTTTTGATTCGCTTGGAGAAAAAAAAAAGCAAATTTAGACTCTCTTACGGCAATCTTCAAATGAAAAGCCATCGAATGGAAAACGAAGCTGCATACAAACTTTTGATGCCTCTCATCATTTTCCATTTGGCGTTCTTCATAAGCTTCAATCTCGCCGTCGGAAGCCTCAAAAAGTTACAGCACCTTTTCAACCGAGAAAGCGACTTTCACGTCTTCATCAGTGCTCTTTACGTGAGAATTACTTTTTTACGTGGGCTCGATCCAACTCCAAAGTGGACAAATTGTGGCCAACCAGCAGCAAAGAGTCGCCTATTGAAGTATGGCTCTTAAAAAGCTCAGAAACGCGCAAAAGTCCGGAGTAGGATCCAGCCCTCGTACGATTATTTTTTCTTTGAAGATAATCCAAGACGAAACAATAAAAAAAGGTTAGATAAAGAGAAAAAAAATGATGAAATGCTAAAGAGATGGCATAAGATAGACTTCACAAAATCAATTTGAATATATTTCTATATCAATTGCTATTAAGATCGTCCCAATCTACACCTTCTTCTCGCCGCTAATAATTCAAAAGATCTTGGTGAGAGGATCTCGACTGAGAAAGGAAAAGCTGCAAGAAGTCAGACGTGTCGACCCCAATGAGAACGATACCTACTTTAACATGTATCGGAATATGTGGCAAAAAGCTTGAACCATAATGTCAATTGAAGCACGAATGTTTCAACTTGAAAAATGGGTTTTTGGCATTATAACAATACTTTCTCCCGCTATGTTATATCAAAAATGCACGGTTTTGTTCAAAAGAAGTTTACAATTTGCTATTTTACAAGCCAGAAAACAACAAGGTAACCAAACTATACTACTCGGGCATAGTCGGAATTGTGGATAATGACCGATAAATGGGAGAGGCTCAAAAAAGACTGCAGAAAGAAGAGTCCTTTTATCTAGCCTTCCATTTTTCTAGAATTTTAAAGGCTCAAGAAATGTTGGAAAGAAGGAGAGGTATTAATAATGGTGCATGAGAGCCGATGAAATGGCGCAAGAAGGCGGAAAAAAGGATTCTTTCTCATCCTAAAAGAAAAATTTCTATGTTTTTTTTTTTCAAAATAAGAAAGACCTTTTAAGGGTCCCCAACAAATCTTTTTTATTTCATTTCGTTTCATTTTTGTAACTTTTTCTCATCCTTCAACAAAAAGATGAAGCAACTAAAAATATCTGTGGATTCTTGAAGGATCCGCTGAGGCTATGAAAAAGGAGCTCAACAGCTTCTTCACATCATTCTAGGTGCATTTTGCGGAATCTTTTCAGCTTTTTTTTATTATCCGAATATCCTCAAAGGATCCTTCCAGGAAAAATCCAGAATCGCCCCCACACTGTTTTCACCCCCCGCACTGTTTTTCACCCCCCCGCGTTCTAACCATCCCCCCACCAAGCCAAGTTCCGATCTGTGGGGGGTCAAATCAGAGGACTTTATGTGGGGGTAAAATCAAACGCGGGGGGTCAATCTGTATTCTAGAATGGCCTCCCGCAGAATAAAACGGGGGCCGATTCTTAGACGCCTAGGCAATCTTTCATATTTGCCCCCCGCACGGCTTTAAAATAGTCCCCCCAGAGCTCATTCGAACAAGCCCCCCTCCCATTCCAGAATTATTCCAGAAAGAAAAATGAAAGGGATTGTGGGCCGTTTCGGCCATCACCGACGGATCAACGCAGCTTTAAAAGAAAAAAATTCACAAAACTCAAGTAAGGAAACATACGATTAAAAAAATCAAAAAGGTCCACTGAAAAATATACATACCCTAGAAGGAGACCTCTGCCGCTGCGAGATAACGAAGGCGAACATTTTTCTTGCAAGTCTGAAAAACTCAAAAGCACAAGGTGTTGATGATTGGAAGTAAAAATTTATTCGGAGACTCAAAATACCTTGAGCTTACAACTTAAGTGCGAAAAAACTCTAGAATCTTTACTGATCTGTTCTATCGAGCACCCGAACCATCCTTTTTCTTTTATGCGATCAGTGCACGGCTAAGTCGTTCTGAAAATAGCGGAGCTTTCTCAAACATTTTGTTGACATTCAGAACGTCAAAAACTTCAAAAATGATTTTAGAATCAAAACAATATTTCACTTCAATAAAAAAAGCGATTTTAAGAATTCATACAAATCGAGAAAAAAAAAATGATCGTGACATTGAAATAAAATTTTGAAGGATGAAGAGAATTATATTTCACAAGTAAGAACAGAAGGCTCAGCCTCAAGCAGCAAAAACGCTAGTTACAGCAATGCGAGTGTTTCTTTCTAGTTCACAAGAAAATACAAAAAATGTCGAAAAGGTAAAACATCTTCTGCAAAATTAATTCTCTCAAACGGCCGACTGTCTCTCGTTTTCCACCTCAAGAGCTTCAGAATCGTCGTCGATTCGATTTCGGACGTCGCCGGCCCGTTTCAGCTTCTTCTCCATCAATGCCTTCATGTTTTTCACAACTTGTCGAGTCTCAGGAGACATGACAGCTTCATCTGCGTCCAAGAGCTGTAAAAAAAACGAAATTTGTTTTTCAAAAAGCCATGATTAAGGCACCTTCAATTTATTTTCGCAACATCGGGATGGTATGGTGATGTTGCAGGGAGGGAAAAAGACCACTAGGTGGATTAACTAACCCCACCTGTGAAGAAAGAAGTTTTTTTTTGTGAGAAAAGAAAAATAGAGCCATAATAAGTAAATATTTAAAACCAAGTTGATTATGGCACAAATATGTGAACACTTGAAAGAATATGCTCGACGCCAACGTTTTCTGCATACACTAAAAACATGTCCTTAAATTTTTTTTCTTGTCTTCCTCTGCCAATAATTCATGTTCAATGTCATTCCAAACATTAGTAATGCGATGTGATAAAAAATTGAAGAGAACCAGTGAAGGTTTCGTTTTTATTAATTTAAAACCATTTCCTCTGAGTTGACTGGGACGGTCAAGGATGTTATGTACCTGGATGGGAGAGTCTGACCAGCACTTATTATGCAAAAACTGATGTGATAATACCAGATCCTTAACTAAACGCCTAAACCAAAGAGGTTGAAGACCTAAAAGTTTTAACCGTCATTATATTCCATTCTTGGGAAAAGGCGCTTCGTGAAACGCCTCCGGACAGATTCTAATCGATCGATATCCGACTTTGTCAATGGACATATTAGTTCCGAACCATATTCTAGAATGGGAAGTACCTTGGTCTTATAACATGTCAAGAAGTGGTTTTTCGAGAAGCTAAAACAGCGGAATAGGTTGTTTATAATAGGCATAGTTTTTTTTTTTACGTTAACTTCAATATTATTATGCATTTTGAGGTTAGATGAAAAATCAATGCCTTCATGTTTTTCACAACTTTCACAATATAATCTCACTCAAGTCATAATTATGATTTTCCTCATCTTAGCTCTTTGATATTATCATTACAAAGCATGCTGAAATAAAGAGTCATACCCATTTGGAACAAACTGGAGAGGGAAACTATTATTGAATACATTTGAAAGTTTAGGATTTTGCTCGTCTAATGGTTCAAACCAAACACATCGTATATGAAATCACTTGGCCCTACTAAAATATAGAATCTCTCGTTACCACTCAAAAGATAAATAACTCACATAATTAAAAATAAAGGCATTCAAACTACATGAAAGAAAACCTACTTAATGAAAAATGGGGGTTAGCACCGTCTATTCAGACAATCTCCAGCCGATTTCACAGATCAACTGTTAGGTTTCATCGGTTATTTTGATGTTTCATTCATTTTATTTTTCGTGCGCATTGCGAATCATTATCATGAGACTTTTTCCACCTTTTCAAATACAACGGAAAATATATCTCAATCGTCTTTTGAAATTTTAGAAGAAGTTTGAGGGAATAAACACAAGTTATTCACACTATGACTTTCAATAACACGATCCCGTAATTTAGAAGAAAAACAATTATTTAAACTGAGAATTCACAGTTCCTAATGGTAGTCTGTGCAAAAAAAAAACCTTTTGAATTTGCTGTGCTCCTGCAAGTTTATTGACGGACAGAACCATCGGAGATCCGTTCAGAGAAATCGCTACTTCTTCATCTATTCGCGGTCTACGGAAATCTCTAAACAATTTGTGATCGTTCAAAGCTTTTCATTCTCCTTGACAAAAACTCGGCGGAAAATTTGAGAACAAAAATATTGTTTTCACATACAGTTTTTCCGTTCCATCGACCTTAGTTTTCAAGACTTTGGGAAGCTGAACAGTTCTGCCCAGGGGCGTTCGGAATCGATTATCTGGCATGAGGCTTCTGTAAAACTTTTCAGATCAGCAGATTTGATAGTATTTGAAAAAAATTGAAAGGAAAATTGGAAAACCATCGCATATAAATTTACAAAGTAGTTTATAAAGTAAATTCATAAATTCAAAAGATTACCTCGTTATAGATTCTGGTTGTGACTTGTGGTGTGCTTCTCGCGTGTTTGATACTTCGAAAGTCTGTTTTGTTTCTGCGGGTGATTTCATAACTGCTACAGCATCACCAGCCTCAAAATGAGATCTTCAAGCCACAAAAAAAAAACAAAGAAATAATAATTTTTCAGAACATTAATTATCATTTTCTCCTGAAAAAACTTCCAAATACCTGAAGTTCAGCCATATTTTCATCGGAGAAACCGCTCTGTGGCACTTCACAATGATCCATGAGCTCATCTTCTCTAGCCGGTGTGACTTTAAAAAAATGTTTTCTTTTCAGAATAAAAATAATCATACCTTCCGTAATTGTTTTTTTAAAAAAATCAACTAATTTCATTTCCAATTGCTCCTGTTAAATCAGTCATTATTTTCGAAAAAATTTTGTCTAACCGATGTGAACATAGTTTGAAATTTCGTCATCATTACTTCTGCACTACGAGAAACCCATTCTGAGCGGGCAGCGGATAAAACCTCTTTTCTTCGGGTTTCTGAAAAAGGGTGTTTAAAATTTGTGTTTTTGCTTTGCTTAAAACCTGCGTCAATCAATTTGTCAATCAAAACCTTAACTTCGGGTGGCAGGGTCGATCCCTTATCTTCTCGAGGCATGACTGAAAACGGATGATGAATCCCTACATAATGAAAAACATGTAGAATATAAGAAACTTAAACTTGAAAAAAAAATTCAATGGGGAAGAGCTGTTTTCTGAAAATTTCAATGTATAAAATATCGCAGGATTAGCGTTACTCATCGCGAGTTTGAAACTTAAGCCTCTCTTTTCCTTTACAAAGATGAATCGGAATGTTGATACAAGTAGCTACCGGGTAGCAACTTTAAAGGCGTAGGCTAATCGGTGGTCGTTTGTATACGACCGGGTACAACCTCTATGGTACCTGTATACTACCGGGTAGGTACCTGATAGCGACTGCTACCGGGTTGACTGGCAACTCTTTCCGGGTAGTTTTTTTTTGCAGTGTAATCCAATGGATCTTGGAATGTTTGATACGGTTAGAAAAAATGTTTTTGCTCAATAAACGACCGATTTACCAGCCGGTAGCAATCAAAATTTCAGTTACCTACCCGGTGGTATTCAGGTATCTTAAAGATAGCTACCATTATTATCCTTCCGATTGACCGGTGTAGTTTTTTTTTTTGGCAAAATCAAAAATAACAGTCAGGGAGTAAAAAATGAATTTTGGATAGCCTTCCGAGCCAAAAAGAAAGATATACAGTGCACGAGAAAAAAAATATTATACCGTCTTCAAAGAGATTCCGCAAATTAGAAATCAGTCCTTTTAGAAACAAAAGAAAGGTTAACTAAACTAAAATGAAAGGAAATAAAATAAAAACAAGAAGAAAAAAAAAATTAAATTTTCGGTTTTCGCGCGTGTAGCGCTAGGGCACACATTCCCTCAATCGCTTTTCATATTTTGTCATTTTTGGATTATCATTTCCGACAGCATGTCGACTAAAAAAGTACGGTTAAGAAAAAAACGCTTGAAACGGAAGTTTTGTATAGGCATCGTACTCAAAGTCCAAAAGCAGAAAAGTGGAAAAGGTGGAAGCAGTGATCTACTTTTTCGATTGGACAGTGAGTTGAAACAAGAGTTAAACTAAAAATAAAGAGTTTACTATTATCGTGGGATAGATTAATCTAGAAGCGAGAGATAAAAATTTAATTTGACAGCACACTGCTCTGCACTCGTACACAGGCTCAGTTAGAACAAACTACCTAAAACCTTTGACAGAACATTGCTTGCAACAAACCTTCGATGACAGTAAGTTATTAATAATAAGGTTAAAAAAAGAGCCTTTCGTTTTATTATTGCAGCCAACAGTAGTGATCTGGTTCCATCGTTAAGAAACATTGCAAAGAAGCAGAGCGATGATAAGGATATGATTCGCGGGAAGCTGAAGGATGCAGCTCGGCGCATGAACCAATGGGAGGGTGATCTGTCGGCTCATCAACCCGAAAACTTGGTATTTGGGCTCCTTAAAACATTACTGATCATTTTGACGGTCGGGTAATTAATTTATTATTATCGAAAGGTGGCTCCTAAATATTGACAATGAGCTAAGTTATACAACTTTATGACTTCAGATGATCTTTTATATCTTTCTGCATTTATTTTTCTCATTATTTTGGAGAAGTGAAAATGTCAAAATTATGTGAGTGCTGAGGAACGGATGTGCGGAGAAACATTTTTTTTTCAAATTTTTTCAAATGGTTTCACGAAGATTTCAACCAGAAAAAAAGTAGTTTTGCGACAAAAGCCTTAACGGATTTCGTATCACCTGGACTTAATTTTGCTGATATCGCAGAGGTTTCTGTATAGACAATGAAGTTAGATGAAGCTCCATGAAAAAGTAGTTTTGGGGAAAAAAACTTGAGATATGACCAGTTTTCCGGAGTGGAACTGGATTTTTTTGTAAAGAAAAGTAGGAAAAAATACTTGTTTCGATTGAAAACTTTTTGTTGACTTCCTGACATGGTAATAGTGTGTTAAAGCATTGTTTGGTGAGTTGTAAACACCCAATGAAGATAATCAAATAGTTTTTTTTTAAAGTAGCACTTTCAGATAGTCTGTCTAACAGTTTTAACAGTTTCGGCGCCATATGGTTTTTGAATCTCAGATATCGGTCTCTGAAATGTGCGCCTATTATCGGTTGCGTGTCATGGTGAATATGTGTGTGAACTTGTACGTCCTCATGCGGAAAGTTCTCAAATGGTTCAACTCCAACGGCGCGGTTTTTTTTTTCATTATAATTTCAAATTTTGAACCGGAAAACAGAAGCTGAAAAAGCTTGACTCCTCTACAATCAACGACATGGTGAAGAACGTGACAATGATGTTCGAGGCGTGTTGCGCCATCGGTGAAGTCTTTGAACTCGCTTCAGTCGACAGATCGACTGTGAGCTTCTAGGCTCGTTTTGAAAATGCCAGTTTTTAGGCCAAGTACAAGTCGTTCTTGAAAAAGAGCAAAGACGAGTACGAGTGCTCGAAGAACTCCGAGTTGGAAATCAAAGTTCCTTCAGAATATTTGCCTCGCTTCGAAGCCACTCTCACCCATTATAGGTATTCTCTCTGTGGCAAAATTTCAACTCAATTTGGACTTGCAGGTCTCTGGTCAGCACAATTTGTACCTCGTTTCTTCCCGTTGTCGAAACTCTGTCGGACCAATTTACAAACGATTTTAAGACCGGGCATATGATAAAGTTTCAAATCTCTTATTACTGATGATTTCAGCGATGTGAAGAAGATCATGGCGGAACTGCCGCCGATGTACCACTTTGTCAGTCAGAGACCTTTCAGCTCCAAGACCACAGAACTTGTGGGCGATCCGCCACCCAACAGAAAGATTATAGCCATGCCACCCTTAGTTGGATTTATTTCTTTTGCAGTGAGCTACAGTAATTTGTTTCAGACAAACGATTCACACAAATCGGTGGAGGAGAGGTTTAATAATCAATTCCCAATCCAATTTATATTTAATCTCGTTTTAGCAAAAAGCCGACAGCAGTCAAACAGCCATATGCCAAGTACTTTAATTGCTACTTTAATCATCTTCAAAGTTTGCAGCCCTATCAAAGACCATTACCTTGGAACTTCTAACTCTTCCAAAAAAGTTTCTTCGTGAGTACTCCAAACGATTGAAAAGTCAAAATCAAACAGATCAATGGCATCAAAAACCGCTAGAAGTGAAAGGTCGGAGAAAAAGAAATCAGCAGAGCGTGCGAAGTCGTTGGAGAAAAGCGAAAAAAAAAATAAAAGCAAAGAAAAGTCGACGAGAACTTCCAAAAATTCGTCCAAGTCTGCTAGTGAGTCGATTTTTTGTTCAAGTTTGATGAAGAATATTGCAGAAAAGACAAACTCCGCAAAAAAGTGATGCTCCTCTTACAATTTGATTTGTTCGATAGTTAGATTTCTGTTTCACATTTCGTTTAGAAGTTCGATTTTTAATTCAAAGGGAAAATTTAAGCATATTGAATTCAATAAATAATTTTTCGTCTTTGAGAACAGAAATATATAAAAAAAACGGAGTCTAACAGCAATTAGTTTATGAAAAATGTTTTCAATTTTATGCAATGCGAGATGTAAGTTGATTTAATTTGTTTGAAGTTTTTTCTCACTTCAATACAAGCCTTCTGAATTTGCTGCTGACTAAGCTTCCGACGAACGAGACAATGCCGACCTTGGTTTCGGCGGTGTAATAGAAATGAGAAATATTTGGTGGACCCGATGGACAATCGCCACAATAGAAAAAATAAGTGGGGTCGTTGTAACCCATCAACTCTCCACTTTATTTTCAGTTGGGTCCTTTTGTTGCATTGTTCGGGAGAATTTCTATGACAGTTCGTTGAATTATTAAAGACTTGCGTTTTTCGAAGATGTCATCAATGACCAAAATTCTCATGTTCTTCGATTTTTTCAAGTTCGGGTAGTTAATGACGCCACTTCCTTCTGATTATTTAGAAGGACGAGTGTTCGAAGATGACGTTTTGTTAGTTTGACGTCTTCAAACAGAAACAACAGGCCTTAACTGTGGTTTGTGTGGCTGAGGACAGCGATTTTTGGGCGGCGCCAGACGTCGTAAACGAGAAAGTTTTTCAAATGTGGGCGGCGTCGAAGGCCCCGAAAACAGTAAAAGACGAACTGCAAACCCAAACCTCGACGAACAACAACCATGCTCACGGCGGCTTTTTTTCTATGTGCGATTGGACTAGTCTCGGCAGTTGATCCAGTTGATACGGTATGCTATCGATAAATTATTCACTTGATATTATATAAATAGACACAAAAAACTATTTTAAAAATACATTTCTGATCAAAGGAGCAGCCTCTTGTTCGGTTGAAACCAACTGCAAAAAGAAATCGCGTTCTCTTTCTAGGTTTCGTCGCGCTCCTTTGAAAATATCTTTGAGCTTAGAAAAAGGATCCACCCTGATCATTCAAAGTTTTCGTGATAAGAAAACGCTGGATCGAGTATATATCTTTAAAATTCAAGTTTAGTCTTATTGGTGAAGTTTTTTGTGCCAACAATGTGTTAATTTCTTTTATGTACGATCTTTTCACTGTGAGAAGTTCTTGAGAAAACCAGAATGATCAGAAAAATTTGTTGGTTGCATTATTACTATTTCTACAACAGTTTCTTCTTACATGTAAGAATTTCTCTGGGGGTAAAAGACCTGCTTTGTTATAGTTGACAAGGCTCGTTTTCAGGTTGCTAACCAAGGAGCGGAAATTTTCTCAGCTTCTCATTTGACCGGCCAAACTGTTAGGAGATGTTCTTGTGCGGAGCAACGAGTCTGTGTCGAAGAAATGAAGGCGCAGGCCAAGGATTGCACAGTTCCTTGCTTCAAGAAGTTCGACAAGGTTCCTTTATTTTTCTTTTGAACTTTCCATTGACGAATTATTGATCCAGATCACGGACAGACCGCATGAACTGAAAAAGTGCTTTGACGAGAAGGAAAACATTTTGGAGAACTTCCTTACCTGTTTCGAGAATCGCGTCGAGGGGTACTTTTTTTCTCAAGTTCAAAAAATTAAATAAAAAATTTAGTTGTTTTTTTTGGCAGAATGGCAATTATTCGAGTTGAGTAGTTTGTAAAATTGTTGAAACTTCTTAAAACATGCAGAACGATTGAGAAAGAAAATTTAGTGAGTCCAATAGTGAAAACCATTTTTTTTAAAAAAAACTCTGAGAATTATTTTGAGAGCTTCAAGGCTTGTTCACAAATTTTTGTTTGCAAGTTGGATAGTTTCCTGAAGTCTCCATTTTTTCGCGCCTCCATTTTTATCTTGTCTTTAAGACAATAGGTACCAAAACATTTTCCCAAAATTTTTGCTATTTCTCGGATTTCTCATCCACTGGCCTAAAAATGGCCTAAAGGAGGGCTATTAACTGATTTAAAATAAAGTTTTCAGTTGTGTGGAACACGACCACGGCGACCAAATCGCAAAGACAGACATCGCTGCGATCTTCAAGTTCAGCGAGAAAAAGATCGTTTCACAGACGGCCACGCTACAATCCATTGTAGCCCCGATTAAGCACATTCTCGACGCGACCGGCGAGTTCGCCCTTTGTGTCAAGGTACTCACAATTCAACTCTTCTTCGAATTTTTCAAAATGACAATTTTCAAGGACTGCTTTCTGGCGAAAAACAAGAAAGGATTCTGCTTCGATCGTAATGGGTAAGTATATTTCTTCTCTTTCTTCACCGAAATATGTTAAAAATAACTAGTTTTTGAAATATTTATAATTTTCCTGAAAGTCGATGTGAGACCGAGGTAGTCACAAAAATTTATTTCGATTGGAGTATTATGGTACTTCGGTAATGTTAATGTTCCGGAAATCAGCCGAGCTCTAAGCTACGATTATGGTTATGCTCAGGTTTTTTCGACTTGAAATAAGTTGTTACGTGCAGAAATTTTCTGAATCTAAATGAAACTTCGGCAAATCAAATTGAATATCTGATTCAAAGTCAAATTACGGCCCCAAAATGGTATGATATTCAGCTCTACTATATGTGGTTGAAGCATGCTCCTTCTGATTGAATCGTTTATTTCCGACATAATAAGCTTCTGGCCTCAAAAGTAAGCCAAGAGAGAGATTTTTTTTAAAACCAAAATTTGCACTCAAACTTGAAAACGTAAAGAAAGTTTATGGGCTGAATAGTTATTTTTTCCAAGAAAAAAAAAGAAGGAAAAAATTTCATCTCCTTCTCGGTAAAAAGTTTCTCGCAGCGATATTCAACGCGAAACAAATAGATTTGGAAGAAAGCACTAGTTTTTGCATTTCTTTCAGAACGTTGAGAAATAATTTCAGTTGCCAGCCTTTGGTGGCCGAAGCGAAGGCGAAGACCTCTTTCCGACAATGCACCCGCAAGCTGCACTGGAAGCGAGAAGCTGGTGAGCTCTGCGAGTGCTCCGTCCACGCCGGCGTCGAGTCAGTTTCCTTCTCCTTCTCCGAAAATAGAGACAATTGCCTTCCCACCGCTTTTTTTGTTTATCAAGATAATTTCTGTTAGGCGAACATCACAAAACATGATGACAAACTCGAGAAACCTGCTTTTTGTGTTTTCAGCGTATCGAAAGCAACCAAAGAAAACAACAAACAGATTTTTTTTTGTTTTGTATAAAAGAAACAAAAAACTAGATTTCACCCATAATCAAAACCTCATCCACAACGTGTCAAACTCAAAAAAGAAGAAGAGCTTTTCGGCTCTGAGGTAATTTTAACTTTCGGTTGTTCATCTCAAGTTTTTTCCATCCGATAATGAGAAATATTTTCAGGGAGCTGAAACAATACTGCACAATGTTCAAACTGATGGGCCAGCGAGCTCCGTCAAGAAAAGAATGAAAAATTCCGAACTTGCAATCTTGCAATCTTTAAAAAAACGAGTAGACCGTCTTATTTTGTTCTTTTTTCTCATTTCCAGCAATTCTTGCTAACAATTCAATCTGTTCTGTATATAGTTTGTAACCATAAACATTTTATCGCTTACCACTGGAACTCCGAAACCTCCTTGAAACTTTATGGGAGTCTTGTTGATTCACTACAGCCTTGAAGGAACTTGCAAGAGTGATAACGACGCATTTGAATATTGGTTATTTTGTCGTTTTAGCGCACCTTTTCGCCCATTTGGCGGTTTTACCGATTTTAATCTATTTCAAGGACTAAAAAAAGTCCCAACTCTTCTTGAAATGGAGAGGTAAAAAAACCAAAACAAAACCACAGAAAGATAGAGAGGCAGACTGTGGTGTGAAGTAAGACCGGTTGGACAGAAAACAGAAGACGTGCGGGGCGTGCGACGTCTCCTTCTCGACGACGATGTGTGTTCAGAAGAATAAGAGGGGGCACCCAAAGTATCGATCTAATCATATCACAACTATCATCACCTCAAAGCACTAACGACACACGCTGCGTTGGTCGAAACAGTCTGATTCTCTTGTAGTTTCGAGCCTTTCATATTTGTTCCAACTGACTCTGAGCCCTTGCTCGTTGCCTTGAAAATCATGCAGAAAGAGGAGCTGACCCTGCTGCCGGACGGTCGCTTCGAGCACAAGCTCCAGGTCGACCGGCGAAGACTCGAGACCATGATAATAGGACATCCGCCGCCTGGAGCCTCTTTTGCCTTGCCCAGTGCCGATGAGTTCTTCACTCAGGTATGACCTTAGATCCTAATTGAGATTTATTGATCTACTTTATACATCATTTATTTCACCTTTGAAATGAAATGAGATTCGCTCACAGACAGAATTCTGTAGCGTGGAGGAAGAGAACCAGGAAAGTTAAATTTTCATTTACCGCAATAAATCTCCACTTTAATTTACGAATATTTTAGGTCGAATCGAATAAATTAAAACAAAAGTAGTCTATAATTTATACTATAAATGAGTTTAATCATTATGTGATATTTGCAGCTTTTTTTATCAAATGCCGTTTTTTTAAATAACTCTCAAATACTCTTTGGTCATCCTCGAAAGCCATAACCCTATTTGAGTCGTTCCAGTATTTATAGTCTATTTTTCGCGACTTGAAAAGGCCGAATTTCTCTACGCCCTCCTCCTCTCTCGGCGACCCTCTCTTGTTGATGCGCTGTTTTCACGTTTCTCTGACCTCGCCGGTGAGGAAGCAAAGAGACGCAGACAGTCGAAAAATGTCAGTTCGTGGCGGACGGACTGCATATGTGTATAATTTTTGCATTAAATCAAATAGTTCATCGCTGAAACTTTTCCTCCCTTTTATCGCATCTGGATGGCTTGTTCCTTCAAATCTCACACACTGCAGGAACTAATTTTTTCCATTCAGATTTTTTGAATTCAAGTATTGCGGTATTTTGAATAAGAAGAAGCGAAAACTTGCTCAGTGAAGTCTTCAGGTGATGTCCTTTTCAAGTGCCGAGGTCTACTGGCCTTCGCAACTCAAAATAGGAGCCAAAACCAAAAAAGGTTTGTTCTATATTTTCTATGAAAATTTAATCATTTTCAATTTCGATCTGATCGTTTTTTTCCAAATGAAAACCCGAAAGACAGATATATTATACAGATCCGTACGTGAAGTTGGTGGGATCAGTGGCTCAAATAGAACGAGCTCGGAGTTTGATCTGCGCCTCATTGCAAGTCAAGGTAGCTCTTCCTACTTTATAGTTTTTAGTAGGAAATCGAATTCATATAGTAAATCCATCCCGATTTAAAAGAATGCGGAGCGTGCGCGGGACGCGTAGCGTGTGCGCACGCGGTTCTTGGCACGAGTTCAATTCAACCGCCACAGATTTTTTTAAAAGCTGGGTCACCACTCGTCTTTCATCTATTCTACTGTTTTCAATGCTGAAAAAGATCAAAAAGAATTTTAAAAAAATTGAAAAGAGCGATGAAAAAGCTCTGTAAAAAGTGGCTGGTGATAGAATTGGACTTGTGCCAAGAACCGCGAACGCGCACGCTACGCGTCCTGCGCCCACTTCCCCACCTCCCTCGCCTCTCGAGTCGGGAAAAATTGAAGAATTTTCCGAAAAATTTACTTGGCAGAAAGAGAGGCTGACACTGAAGCTGGAGTTGCACCACTCGCTGCACTCGCACATAATCGGGAAAGGCGGTCTTGCGATTCAGCACGTCATGCGACTTACGGCCTGTCACATCCATTTCCCCGACTCGAACAAATACTCGTGAGTTTTTATTCGAGATACTTCGAAAATTTACTAATTCAAGAGACTCGGCAAAAAGCGACCAAGTTTCAATCTCAGGAACTTCGACACAAGTTCCTATCGCCCGAAGGCACATACGCGTACGTTTCTCTTCTTTTAACAGACTGGTCGTTGGTCACTCGATCCGACGACTGAGACGCTGCAAAAAGGAAGTGATAAGACGGCAGTTCTCTCGATCGATGAGTTCGAGATCTTCATTTTTTTTCGGTAGCTTTGTTACCAAAAAAAGGATTTTGCACAAAAAGGTCAAGAAAAAATTTCCGTCAAATTTTTTACAAGTTTAAATGCTCCGGCCGCATGTTGAATGGCTCGTCTTTTTTGCGAAGCCGCTGGTTTCATAGTTTTCAGTGTGGCTACCTGCAAATCGTTCCGTGCTCTCTCGGATATTTCTATTTCGTACATTACGTGTTGAGCCATCCCCTGTGCAACCAATGTTTTAGATCGTGAGGAAACAAAAATAAAAAGGATTACTTGGAGTTTTGATAGAGAGGATAAAATAGAAATCATCCAGAATTGAATAAATTCAGTTTTGCCATATCCCGGTGTGAGGGGCTTGAGCTTTACGATTAGATTCCTGTCTAAGTGGTTTAAACTTCTTTTTTTTTTACCACCCTCCAGCTTCAGGCAGTGTCGCCGATCTCGTTGTCTTTCGAAACACAAAGTCTCCACCCAACAGTTCCATTGGAACCTCTGAAGCCGTTGCCACAAGCCAACGTCTCGATTCATCCGCTTGTCGGTGGACGATTTTCGGTGGCTCTTCGTATGAATGCCGGGGAGGACGCAGCCATTCTCTACACTTTGCGAGCGATACTCGACCATTTGCAGTCGGTTGGGAACATCGCGGCTCTGGAAATAGCCAAGAGAGATTTACAGCCAGACTTCATGCTCCAAGTCTGCGTAGCCATACCAGCTCGCGAAGAAACTCTCTCGCAGCTCGAAAACGGAGCTAACCACACGACGTAAAGCATAGCACTACTACCAAGTCAACACGTGTACTAATCCCTTGTATTTCAGGCTACTGGAGATGTGCCAGCATTTCGGTGTAACAGTCCACGTTTTACATGAAAGCCAGCAGGTTCAGCTCTGCGGACCAGCCCCAGGAGTTCTGCAGATTCGGCGCTTTATCATTGCGAGTTATGAAGAATAGCCTATCATCCAACTCTTTCAGGGACTTTTCCCAATCGTTGTATCGTTCGATGTCGTCGCTTCTGAAGTCCAACATTCCGCGTCACGAGTAGAGAAGGATTTCAATGTATCCATCACCACAAAGCGAAAAAATCATGCGTCAAACTTGCTGGTTTTTTTTTCTATAGTCTTTTTTTCTCATTTACTTTCTCAAATGTTCATTTAAAGATTTCTCATCCGGAGTCTTTCAGGCAATTTCAATGAAATCAACAGAGAACCGGCTGGCCGACATCCTCCGAGCCAGAGAAACGCTTATGGCCCTTCCGCCTTCCGAATACCCGTCGGACGAGTACACAGGACTTGAAAATGGGTTTCGACCGGAGATGTCGTCGATGCCAGATCTAACGAAGCCGCTGTTTGCCTCTCTCTTCGAGCCTTCAACTCCTCAGGCTCATCTTCCGTCTCCAAAAAGTCCAGATCCAGAAAATTCGCCCCTGGCTGCATCAATTTTGAAAGGGGCCAAAGAGATCAGCAGGAACAGGTCTGAATAACTCGAATACCAATTAATGAGTATCAGAAAAACTGTTTGTAGTGAATTATGGAAGAAACCACGAGGCGACCGAGGAGAAATGCTTATGAAAGCGACGCAAGGTAAAAACATGTTTCGGGAATACTACTATAACTAATTTAACAGCCATATTCGATGAAAACCCAAGCTGCAAGTCTTCGCCCAGGTATCCAACCGACCTTTGGTCAGGCTATGGTTTCAGCTGTTCTCTACCAGCCGACTTGCTTAAAGTTCTCGAAATCTCAACGATTTTCTTGTCATTTCACTGAACTCAGGGTATGATCGATTTGTCTACCGGAGATGAGCCATCGGATGGAAGACTTTTAGTTGGAAGAGATGCCAAAACGGTTTTTTTATTATTTTTTCAAAACTCAGAAGCTCAAGTTTTAAAGCCTCCTTTGCCTCGCGGATTGTGCGCTTTGCGCGAAGAAGACGAACTTTCCGACTTTTCTGGGTCCTTTAGTAGTACTTCGTTCCAGTCCGCTCCACACGCCTATGAGAAGAAACCAAGGACAAGTGAGCTTTTTTTTTTCGAGAAAATCGAATCTATATAAAGCCCGAATCACGATCACCTTCTTCATTGTTTTTTCTTATGTTTTATTTATTATACTTTCAGGCTTTTCCGCGTCCACATCAGTGTTCGATTCTTCGCCATTAGGAATCGGCACAGAAAATAACTGGGATATCAGATTTTTCACAGATCCCTCCATGGTTTTGGCGCAACTTGCGTGCAGTGAGTACATGACTCAGCTCAGGGAACAAGAGGTGATTTTAAAAAGAAAACACACACACACATACACAAAAATTAAATTTTATTAAAAAAAAATTAAAATAATATGTTTTAGATTGACATGCATGCGTTTTTGCTTCTGGACGAACAAAATTTGAAAGACATCGGGGTTTCAACAATTGGAGCAAGAAAAAAAATTCACCATGCGATTTTGAGCGAGTTATGGCTTTCTTAACAACTATAATTTTTGTTTTTCAGAATTACGAGAGTCAGCAAGACATCATGGATACGTACTATGAGCAATTTTGATATTATATTTTTTTTTCCTTAAGTTAATAACTTTTCTGAATAATATATTGATATATTACTTAACATATCAACGAAACGACTAGGATTCGTTTTAATTGAAAGAGCATTTTCTGTATACAGCCATGACTTAAAGCGGAATATTCTTTTGCAGCTTAAACTCTTCGTAAAATTATATTTGGACACCATGAATACATAATAGATGTGTACATCTATTTCCTTATTTCGAGATATAGTATAAAAATTAAAATAAAAAAATTTGAAAAAAAGTAATTTTCAGTGTATGAAAAATTATTAAATAGATCTTTGAAAGCACTTTTTGATTGGAAGAGCGATAGATCATATTTAAAAAAATTTTTAATTTTTTTGATCTTTTCATTGTGAACTATTATTGGAGGTCTCCCCTCACCCCGCGAATAACTCGTTTAGGATTTTGGCTATTGAAATAATTTTTTGGTTTTATATAGGATGTACTATGTAACTTTAAATTTTGAATTAAAGTATATATAGCATTCTTTCAAGAATAAAAATGATCGATTTCATTTCAAAAGTACTGATAATATCAATTTTGTAAAACTATTTCAAACGGAAACTTCTCGAGCGCGTGAATCGGTTCGAAAAAGAATATCAAAATTTCAAAATGCACTTTTGCGCGCCTTTAAATCTATTCGCTGCAAGACCGTCCTCGTTTTCTCTCTGCTACTCACATCGATTCTTGGCAGCCTCCGCTCTCTCTTTTTCTCTATCTTGTGCGCACCGCCCTGCTGAGTTTGTCATTCTTTGAGATTCTACGCTTCTGGAAACGTTCAGTTAACCCGTGACTCCATAATATTTGAAAATTAAAATTTTGAGATTTCTTGAAAGGAGAGAATATCACTCAGTAGTGCGAATCCATGCCATTACGTAAGGCGAAGCAGAAAGCACGCGAGTATTGATTTTTTTTTTTCAAAAAAATTTAGCAGCTGATAAAGTTTTTTTTTGCGTGATTTGTCATCATTTCATTTTCAATTTCTTTTTGAGTCCTCATTAATTCTTGTTTTCGCTTTGAATTAAATTGTTACGATATAAGTTTCAAATATTTTGCAGTGGTTTCCGGGTCCAGCCGGGTTTAGCGCCGCTAAAATAAAATGGCCCTGAAAAGAATTCAGAAAGTGAGTTTTTGAAATAAAGTTTCTTGAAGCTATATAACTCGACAAATTAATTCAACCTTCTACAGGAACTGCAAGATCTTGGACGGGACCCTCCTGCTCAATGCTCTGCAGGACCTGTAGGTGATGATCTCTTCCACTGGCAGGCTACTATTATGGGACCTCCTGAATCTCCCTACCAAGGCGGCGTTTTCTTTCTTACCATACACTTTCCCACGGATTACCCATTCAAACCACCAAAGGTTTTTTTTGAATATCTTAAATTTTTTTTTCAATCAAAAATTGTTTTCTTACAGGTCGCTTTCACAACACGTATTTATCATCCTAATATCAACTCTAACGGAAGTATTTGTCTCGATATTCTTCGATCACAGTGGTCGCCGGCGCTCACGATCTCAAAAGGTTTTTTATCATTTAAGAGAGGAAATTATTTTTCTTGTTTCGTATTAAATTAAAAGAAAAATAAGACAGTGAAGCTTTTTTAGTTTAAGCTCGAAGAAAATGAATCATTTAAAATTTTTCGAGAAGATCTTCATGATATTTTTTTTCTCAGGAAAACTTTTTAAAAATTTAGTAAGGATTTTTCTGAACCGACGGTTTAGTACTTTACGAACTTCAAAATATTTTTCTAGCGAAAGTTTTTTTTTACATTTCTAGCTGTAGTTTTATCAATCCCTTTAAGCGAATTCGTAAAGATTTGCTTTGGAGCGAAAAAAAAACTTTAGAATTCTTTCTTTGTGAGTTTTGTGTGGAAACCGAAAGTTTTTTAAAGCCCAACGTGAAATAAACGTGTAAGGAATTATGTAGCTACAAACATATATCGTTCAGAAAAATTAATGAAAAAACTTCTGAATTTTTCAATTTTAGTCCTCTTATCGATCTGCTCGCTGTTGTGCGATCCCAACCCAGATGATCCGCTGGTTCCTGAGATCGCCCGCATTTACAAAACTGATCGGGACAGGTTGCTTTCGCGGTTTTTTCTTTTTAATGCAATCGTGAAATCTAGATACAACCAACTGGCAAGGGAGTGGACTCAGAAGTACGCTATGTGAAGTGAGATAATTTGAAACCGGCGATTCACCCGTGTAATATAATCGGTTCTGCGGCATGATTGTTTGATTTTATGCGTCTTTAACCCCGTTTTATGAAATAAACATGTATCTTGATCTTGTTGTTGTTGATTATGTGAAACATGGTGACCGATCCGCGCAATTATTGTGGGTAAACAAAGATTTTATCGTCAAAATCGAGTTAAGTTGATGCCGGCGGCTTTCGTTCCGTTTGCGACCTTCTGCGACACTACCTTTTGGAATGAAGTGAACAAGAAGAAGCTGAACGAATGGATGCTCGATGAAACTCCAAAAGATATCTACGCTGGATTTTCAATCTGTTAGTTTTTTCCGGGGTTTTCATGAGTTTTATGCCACTGGTTGGGTGCAGATGACACAGTCGGAGCCGAATGTCGGATATCGCTGAGCTACGAGAGCTTAGGAGAGCATTCGTCTTCGTCCTATAAAGGGCAGTTGTCATTGTGGAACACCCTCGAAGCCTTCAAGAAGCTTGACAGGACCTCCATGATAAAAATATACGGACGGAAAGTAATTTTGACAGCTAGTTTCGACTTTCAAATTGTACTTGAAGATTTGGAATAGCATTAAAAGTGGGGAATGGCTGAACGATGTGCGCACTCTGTTCTACTTTTCTTTCACGGCTTTCGCCGACCTCAAAAAGTTCAAATATGTTTATTGGTCGTGCTACCCAGCTATTTGTTATCCGCCGGATATCGAACATAATGTAAGGTCTGACATTCCAGACTATTTTTCTTAATTTGTCAATTTTACAGTCATTAGTTCTTGATGATCCTAAGCCGTTACTTGATTATCACTTTTCAACGGGGGAAGTTGTTTTTATTTTGGCTGGTGATTCCTGCGGGAAATTGTCAAGATTATCAGAGTTTTCTTCGTCGGATCAAGTTTCCGTGAGTGGCTGATTCATCTAAATTGTTCTATTTCCCATAAGTTGGTCATTGCCGACCCTTCTCCAGTCGAATCAACTTGTGGCTGGCCTGTCCGAAATCTGCTCGCGGCGATTTCCGTTTATCGCCCTGATTGGTCCACTGTTCAATTGATTTCTTTGCGTGGAAGCTCAAAATGCTTTTCTCACATCTTCTCCTGGCGGCAAGTTGAGGTTTCTGAAAGTATTGAGAACATACGAAATTATCGTTTCAAAGGTTTTAAAAAGAAGACTTCTTAACGCCAAAGGTCGAAATGTCTTTATTCAGGAGGCTACCCCCCAATATAAACAATATATACACCCAAATCAGTCAAAAGTTTTAAGACGGTGCAGTTTCGCAATAATAAAAAATTCAACTTCCATGAAAGTTGAAAATTTCTCATTTTTTCATTTGAGATATTCAATTGGTTCAATACAACACATCCAATATTTTTTTTGATTATTGAAATGAAACTAGCACAAATCTGACGCCGTTTTCCCCTAATATTAGTTTTTGAATAATTGTTTTCACATTATTTTTTAAATCTTGCTTTTGTAGACTCCAGCGGAATGTCCGGCCGTTGTAGGATGGGAACGGAACGTCCAAGGAAAACTCCAACCGTATTCTGTCGATTTGAGTACACAGTTTGATCCAAAAAAGTTACTTCAAAAAAGCTATGGATACATAACTCGTTTTCTCAGGCTAATGGAGCAGAGTGTCGACTTGAACCTTTCTTTGATCAAATGGAGACTTGTGCCAGACATCAAATTGGAACGGATGTTGCAACTGAAGGTGCTTTTTCTCTCACACGCAGATTGTTTTATCATCGCTCAGGCATTGATTTTGGGGGCTGGGACGCTCGGTTGCAACTTGGCGCGCGGATTGATGGCTTGGGGCGTCAAGAAAATCACCTTCGTGGATAATTCTACCGTCAGTTATAGCAATCCAGTGAGGTCAGAGAAAGTGGCATTCTTCAGCTAACATTTTCTTTTAAAGGCAGTCTTTGTCGGAATTCGGCGATGCCTGCGAAGGTCGCGGTAAGGCAGAAACTGCGGCGGCTGCATTGAAGCGCATTTTCCCGTCGATAGATGCGCAGGCAGTTCGTCTGACCATTCCGATGCCAGGGCATACGCTGGCAGATTCGGGTTCGGCCATTCGACGTCAAGAATCGCTCATGATTCAAATTCCAGAGTGCGAAAATCTTAAAAAAGATATTGATTTGATTGAAAGCCTCGTGGAGCAACACGACGTGGTGTTTTTGGCGTTGGACAGCAGAGAAGCTCGTTGGCTTCCCACCATAATCGCAAATAAACATCGCAAGGTATTCACTTTCCTCGACCAACTGCACAGAAATTATGTTCTTTGTGTACCATTTGAAGCGAATGTCCCAGAAAGCAACAATTTGAATAGTTGAATTAGAAAAGCGAAAACGTAGTCTTTCTGCGATGTTTATCAATTTTTAGACAAAAAAATATGTTTTTAAGTAGTTCTTCGAAGGATTTTTTTAATTTCAAATATGGGAAAAACTGTGAAGTTTCAATATGCAATGATCGGAAAATGAGAAAACTCATTGGATTAATTTTTTCTTGATGATTTTTGTCTTCTTCTGCTATCATCTCCAATCCTTGAAGGTCTTGATAAAAAACTCCGATTTCTTTCAACTTTTTTTTTAAAATGAGATTATAGATAGTTAACAATAAATTTTTTGGCTTTCTATTCCCATTTTAATTAGGCTAAATATTCTGCTGCAGCTTTGGATTGAATCGAAGTCTCAGCAAAGCCTGATTTATTGAGAAATGTTGTTTTGCGTTTCAATAGCTTCTGATTTCAGATCGCTATCAGTGTGGGATTGGGTTTCGACACTTACGTCGTGATTCGCCATGGCATCGGAAACTACAGCCCAAGTTCCAGCAGTCCGGCCAATGGTTAATGGAAATGAAATCTTTTTCTCCAACAAGGTTTATCTAGAAGCGACGGAAATTTCGGCCAACATGCTGGTCCCCTACTCGCAGCTGTCGTGCTACTTCTGCAGTGACGTCACCGCGCCAGGAAACTCGACGAACGATCGAACTCTCGACCAACAGTGCACGGTTGGACGCTGTTTTCTTCACAGTTGATCTCACTCGGACCTCTGTGCCCCAAACCGGACAATTCCCGGCTCGCGTTACCTAGATCCGAGTAATCGCAAAATCTTTTCTCATTTTATCTTAGAGTTTTCTTGATGCATGTGGTAATGATTGTTCAGAGTCTAAAAGTCTTTACTTGTCCGTAAAATCGACAATTTCCACGAAAAGAAAAGAAAAAGATTTTTTTTTTCTTGGAGCTCTCGTAAACTTTATTCTATTCATTTTTTAAACATCTGTAATATAAAATTTCTTTAGACCCAAAAAAAAATCCAATAGAGAAGGTGAATGAATATAAATTTTGATTCCGATCCAAAAAGGCTGTTGAAAAAGCCAACGTCCTTTCTTACAATCATCTATCAATAACTGATGTTTGAAAACGAAAATGTCTTATGAACGTGCGTGTATTCCTAATGAGTCAAACGTAGAAATAAGAAAGATGACGGAACTTTTTTGATCCCGCAAATAAAACGAAAGCTCATTCGCGGACGATGCCTTGAAGGTAATTTCAATTGCAGGTAAGCCGTCCAGGTCTTTCGATGGTCGCGTCGGGCGTCGCGATTGAACTACTGTCATCAGTATTGCAATACGAAAATCCCCTGGAAGCTCCGTCGAACATTTGCGAAGCCGATGAATCTTCATCGCTTCTTGGCGCGACGCCACATCAAGTTCGAGGCTTCATTTTTAAGTTCCAACAAGTTGGTTATCACTAGAACACAACTTCAAAAGAACTTTTCACGTTAGATAACTCCATGTGTTCGACGATTTGAGAGATGTGTCGCTTGTGGTACCGCTGTCTCAGAGGCCTACGCTGCCGAGGGCTGGAAATTCGTCCGGGAGGTTTTTTTTTTCCTGTTCATTCACTTTTCCTCAAAACGATTTCAGGTTATGAACTCTCCATCACATTTGGAACGTATCACTGGCCTGGACCAGCTGCAGAACTCTGTCGACAATGTACAAATTGACTTTAGTGAAGACTCGGACTCTTTGATGTCCTTATGAGTCACTATATTGCATTTTCACTTACTTTATCTGTGAATAGTATAAATTATAAGTACGCTTGGAATTCTTCATGTTGAGTTTTCGGTTTCGTGTGATAAATGACTGTAAAATTGGCTTTCTTTTTTGAAATCTTGGTTTATTTATCCAGCACTAAAGTACTAAAAAATTGGAACTTTTAGTTTATCAAAAACGACTTTCAGCTTGGATGCGCTGTTTAAAAAAATAGTCCAGAGTTGAAAAGACGCGAAAATTGTAAATAATATAAATGTCAGACGAAGTTAAATGTCTAAAATGCGACAAAAGCTTCGCTTGCCAAAGGTATCTTTTTGAAAGTTTCGTTCGAGTTTTTTACTCTTTAGGTACCTCACAAAACACATCAAGCGAGCACATCAATTCAAAGAAAGAAAGCGCGAGAAAAATCCTGGTGACGTCACTTGCTCCATTTGTTCGAAGGTGAAATGATTTTCTCACTCAATTTTTCTGTTTTTTTACCAATTTGAAAGACAAAACGTATCGAAATTTTGTAGAGAAAAGTATTCTGATCAATTTTGATAATATATAATATTTGATATAGTGTCAGAGTTTTGATGATCGAACTTGTAAATTCCGCTTCACTTTCCAGCAATTTCGTAATATTTCTCACCTCCGACGTCACCAACTCACGCACTGGGATCTGCGCGAATGGGGCTGTCCTTTCTGCGAAGATTCTTTCGTTCAGAAAGCGAGTTCCCACCCAAAAGTTTTGCGAACTTTTTTGTCCAGGCTCACGTTCTTCGACATATTGCCAGAAAACACAACGATGAGCAAAAAGATAAGAACATTGAAAAGCTGGTTGTCGCTAATCGACGTCTATTTGAAGGTTTTTCGACTTCACCTTTGAGATTTTTCAAGCGTATATAATTATTTGTTCCTTCACATACTTTTTAGTCGAAAATTTTTCCCGACTCAATTTTTCTGTATTTCATCTAGGTTCATATACTATTATATTGAAAAAAAAGCAATTGGGCACGATTCACTCATTAAAAGCGAAAAAAAACTCAAAAATGTTTATCAAAACGGTCTCAGATAATAATGTTTTAAAGAACACGAGAAGAAGAACCTGAAAACAGAGGAAAAGCCAGCAGTAAAAGAAGAAGAAGAAGTGCCAGAAGAAGAGGAAGAAGAGCCGCCGGAACCGGCCAACCTGTACATCTCGCGTTACCTGTGCATAAGTTGCGGGAAAACGTTCCAGACGAGATCGGACCTCCATCGTCATCGAAAAGTACTTGAAGAAAATCTGAGAAAGGAACAGGAAAGTAAAGGAAGTTTCAGAACTCGCACTGCATTCTCAAGTGCAAAAGGTGCTACGAAATCGTGCACGGACTGATGGAGAAGCGCAGACACGAAATGAGCTGTCGCAGCGGCTGCCACATTTGCGGCAAGTGCCAGGCTCGTTTCCACAGACCCGCCGATTTGAAGTTCGTTTTGATCAAGAACGAATAACTTCTTTCCCGTGAGAACTGTCACAATGGTTCATGAATAGGATGAACACGAACCAACCAGATTTTTTTTTCCAAAATTAAGTCTTCCGAAGTTGAAAAAATGAATAATCTTCAGATCGCATATGATAACATGTCTGAAGATGGTTTTGTTCGAGTGTGTGGCCTGCAAGGAACGTTTCAAGCAGCGAAACCAAGTAAACGTTTCAAAGAATCAGCAAAACTAACGATTCAGTTGAGGTGGATAGACATATGAAGAAGCTTCACTTCAGTAATCGTCGTTGCGATTCTTGTGATTTCGAAGCGACCAAGCCTCTCGAGAAGGCGAAGCATTACAATGAAAAACATCAGAAGATTATGTCAGACTCGAAAATAAGACAATAACAAGTTTTTAATTTTAGTTGCGGCTACTGTGATATGGAGTGTCCCGAGAAAGACCACGTCGAATTGATTCATTGGAGGAAGCTCAAAAGGCCCGCTTATTCTCAAATGTGAGTTGTCAACCAAAATAAGCGGCTAAGGAAAATAAGCCGTTGGAAGCCCTCATGATCTTGCAAAGCAAAAAGTTAAGTTGGATTTTTTGACAATTTATTTTCAAGAAAAGCGCTAAAATATTGGGATAACCTTGGCGCGGACTTACAACGGCATGAACTTTTTTTTGTTTCTTTTCTGTCACTTGAAATTCTACCCTTGTTAATTGTTTGAGCTAAATTTTCATATTCCAATCGCCACAAACTGCATTCTCGGCGCTCTCTTTTCTCTCGAATATTCTCCCCTTTTCAAATAATATTTTAGTTTTTTTCTATAATGCTTTCGGTTCTGGAAAAAGAAGGCGTAGGCGAGTCATTCTGTTTCAAGTCCATCTAAATATGCTAAAATGGGTTCAAAAATCGAGCTACTTTGTCGATAAAACCAACTTCTAATGAATCATCAAGATACATTGATAAATTTTTTCTTTCAGCCCGGTCGAGATAATTGACGAAAGTCATTCTAATGAGGCGGAAGAGAGTGCACGTGTTTCTACGGAAACAACTCATTTGCCGGCTAATCCGGTCATACGCGCCACTAATGAGCCTGGTTAGGGCTTCCTTCATTTGTTATTAAAGTTATAAAAGTGTTTGAAGAGAGTTTCTTTCTCGGGGATATGATTCACGTTCGAAATGAAAAGTTTCAGAAAATGGTCAAGCCGCGATCAGCTCGAAAGAGGAGAATGAACCGTCGTCTTCTAGTGTTTTAGTAGATACCGACATACCTCTAGATCAAATTTTGGAACTGGCTGTGGAACTCGGGAACCTGCAAGGTTTGCCAGATTTTTTTTAGATTAGAAGGGGTCTTTGACTATGTGGTTCAACTATCAAAGGTGGAAACGGCTTTAAAATTTTCTTTAGATTGAAAAAAACTGTTTGGAGTTCAACCATAAGCGCAAAAAGCTCGTTTCTCCACTCATTTCTTTTCGAAATCAGACACATCTTGTTGCTTTTTTCCATTATCTTTTCTAAAGGAGGTCATTTTTGTGCTTGAGGTTTAGATGTTTCCGAAAGTTTGGCCTGAAATTCTTTGACTGTCTATAATAGGGATTTATCAAATTCCCCCATACGTAACCGTTTATTTGTACATTTGCTCGTCATTCTGAATCAGGTTGATTTTTTAGACTTTTATTGTCTGGACTTCGGGGAAACAACGGAAGAAGAAGTTTTTCTGAACATAGTCTTGCCGATACCGGACGGCGTCCGGGCGTTGTCACTGAGAGGACGTCTTCCGGCGGAATTGGTCGCTTTGTTCCCGATTCTGGATGAAACTGGTAACTTTTTCTATTTTTGTTCCGTCCTACAGTTTTTCTCCACAGTTATCGCATTGCTCGAGGAAATCTCCGGGGCGAATCAATTTCTGTCTGTCCTGGTCCCAGTAGACCTTCCTCCCAACGTCGACGCCTCCAAATGGCTTTCCGCCCCTATTTACATATAATCTTTTTTCACGCTGTATTACGGTTTCAAATAGTTTGGCGGGTTATTTGAAATGAAACGTGTCAGCTCAACTTCTTTTTTGCTTGTTGCTATCGGTTTTTCTTCAATTACTACTTCTACGCTTCTTTGATTTTTGTATCTGGTTTCGAACCTAGTTGCAGATGGCTTTCGTTACTTTATCCGTGAAAATGCTCAACGAAAAGACGGAGAAGACTATCGAGGTGACATTTTCTCGAGGAGTAGTGGTTTTTGTTCCATTGACTGGGTTCAACACTTTTTTTTTCTAGTACCCGTAATGGTCTTGAACTTTGGAATTTCAGCTACCCGTACAGTCGACCGTGAAAGTTTTGCACGAGAAGGTTTCTGAAATCTTCGACCTTCCGACCACTTCGTTCAAGTTGTTGAACGGAGGAAAACCATTGAAAAGTCGGTTTCCGATTAATTTTCTTCTATGATGAAGAGTTCGAAATTTCCCAAACTCCGGTTCGTTTTCGAATATCTAGGGAATAAAAGGACAAGAGGAGCCAAATATGATTGATTTCGACGAATCGGCTGACGGCAAAAATTAATTGCCTGTCCACCAAATATTTTGAAGAAGGAAATTAATGGACTTCTATTGGCTGAGCTGACTTTATGAAGAAAGAAAGATTTCTTTTTTCCAAAGAAATCATGTTTCCATTGAGAAACCAAAACTTATTTTGAGCGTAATCTGAAATTTTCAATTTCTAAGATGAGGAAACGCCGTTCAAGCTCGCTGGCATTGAAAACGGCGCCAAACTGACCGTTATGATTTTTAGTAAGGTGGGTGTTTCTTTCCTCTCATTTTCGATTTCTTCGAAACAGTTCTTGAATTTTCCTATCAACTCTACCTTTTGGCTCATTCTCCTAAGTGGCTCAGTTTTCTTTTCCTAAAACACAAATAAGGTCCTTTGAAGTTTTTTTCTAATTTTTTTTTTGCTGGGAGGTCTAGATTCCCGTTGATTTCATAGAATTGCTATTTTTTACTTCATTAAACAGGGGACTCTCCGTCAAAACTAAAAACGTTCTTGTTTTTTTTTCGGGAATATCAAACTTTGATAGGCCATACACATGAAGTAGGCAATTTGGCTGACCCCAGACCCACGTTTATGACCTCTCAGCGCCTTGTCCGCTAATTAACTCTTTGAATATTGTTCAGTTGCCATTTTTAGCGACTTCTCTATTCATTTTGTACATTCATAGAATGTGAAAGCCGTATCAAGAATATAAGAGCTTCAGCTTCAACCCGAGACTCTCAACGAACTGGAGAAACACGTCGCCGAATTGGCCGGCGAAGATCCGAAGAAAAAGTTGCTGGCGGTCCTTCGAGTTCGGAAAGTGAGTTTGGCATGATTTCCTCTGGCTTCAGAGGCTTTCCTGATATGTTCATCTTCGTTTCTCAAGATTTTATCGATATTGCTGTAGTCAATGTGTTTTTCAAAAATAATTACTCTCAATATAAAAAAATCAGAAATTAATTAAAAAGAAAACAAAAAAATGTCGATCTTTTAATGTTTTTTTCTAATATTTTTCTGATAGACACCATATTTGACCATAAAAGGATTCGATTCCAAAAATTGCGGTGTTAGTAATTGTCGCGAACCACTCTTCATCCTCGCAAATGAGATCAGAAAATTTTTTCGGTGAAATCACTCGACCGTTAACTTCTTCTGCGTTACTGATGTCATGGTGGAAGTCGACGGGAGTAGCTTTGTTGGAAGAATATTTGTTTCTGTCTTTCATGACAATTCCTAATCATAAATGAATTGAAAGAATTTTTTTTTTGAATTTTTCGAACAGTTAAGGTAGAATCTGGTTTCTCCATCTTGCAAAATTCTGTAGTTCTATGTGACTTTTCGATTTGACGGCGCGAACAATAGACTTATAAGATTTCCTAACTCGAAAATTTTTCAATTTTTTTATTTTATTTCAATAATACTGTGGTTTTGCATTACAAATTCCTATTGTAAATGTTTCCCTTGAAGAAATTTCGTTTCAAGATGTGTTTTCACGACTCTCTGAAAGCTTTTTCGCGAAAAAGTGACGCTTTTTGGGTAACGAATTTACTCGAAACGTGACGAAGAAACAAAGAGTTGGCACCTCGGAAGATTTGAATTCAATTTTCTCTGGATTGTCAGGGCCTCTGTCGACGTTTTCGCGTGTTTGGAATTCTTGATGACACTGGAATCAGACGGAAACATCGGAGATCAATCCGAGGACGACCTTTTATTGAGAGTGTTTAAAAATGAAACTATGAACCACGGCTCCTTTCAGAAAATGGAGATCATCTCCTTCTATCTATTTCTGAGGAGCAGGCTTTCTAGTTGAAATTTGAATCACCGGGTTTTCTTTATATATGTTATGAGAAATGGGTTCAGATTATGATTCCCACTTTATCCGGATAATAAGTTCTTTTTTTAAATGAGGAAATTCTCTCATATCGCAAAAGCTCGGTTTCAGAGAAAAAAAGAAGTTTTAATTCAAAAAAATAGCTCTGACGCAGTACTATTAAATTTTTCTCAGGTATTGACAGAAAAACCTTTTTGAAAAGTAATAATTTATTCATAGATTAGAAAAACATGAACCAACGTTTTTCCAAAACATTCGTGGAGGTCTCAGTTACTTAAGTTTTCCCATCATTCATGAAAAAAGGAATTCGAAGCTTCCGTATTTCGCTTCAAAGCTGCCAATCTTTGTTTTTTCGACGCGCCTGACTTTGACGTCGAAAAGTTTTTTATTTCATCTTGAGAAATAAATTCAAATTTCCACTTTTTTGTTTTGTTTTGAGCTGGGTGGAATCGTGAGCGCGACATATTGTCAAAACTTTTTTTTATGGCGAAAAGAAAGAAATTTGAGCAGAAAGTTGTTTTCTCTGAATGTTCCATGATTCAAAGTCTTTGAATTAAAAAAGATTGGAAAACACAATTTTGGCCGAAGCCTTATTTATTACAATGCGTCGTAATTAATTGTATTTTTCTTTTCTGTTTACCGTTGAGACCCGTCAGATTGAGAGAAAGTGGTCCTATTTCTAGGGTTTTTGCTCTCTGAAATCTGTTTCTCCAACTTAGGAGTCTGACTCAAATGGTGTGTGAAGATGTAGCGCAGAAAAATTGAGCACTATTTTTTTGTCAACATAAATATTGGACTCAATCTTTTTCGATCCCCACAGAATTATTCAAAAGCTCCGTGTGGACGACAAACCCTCGGGCCGTTTGTAGAATTAATCCCATACGCGTACACGTTTTTTCAAGTCTGATGACTACATCTATGCAAATTTCCAGATGTTTATGTCGCTGAAAGGGAAAAAAAAACTGGGGAAACGAGTAGTCCTCGGTATTCCTGGGCCTTTTTGTTTGTCGCGATATTTTATCAGTGGAATTTCGGGTCGTCCGGAGTCATCCTTGAAGATTCCGTTCAGTAGTATAGTCTGTTCAGATTTTGAATGTCAAGCAGCTAACTCCACCCCCATGGCTACAATATCTTTCGCGTCAATGTTTTATCTACAGGGTGGCCAATAAATATTGAAACGCGTTTGACAGATGACGATGGCCCTTTAATAAGGCTGCATTTTTGAATTCTTTTTCTAACTTTTAGATCAAAAAAGATCAAAATTAGTCCCGCGCGATAAAAAATCGACGCGAAAAGATAACGTTTCAGCAGGGGCGGAGTTAGCTGGTTGACATTCAAAATCTGAACAGACTATACATTGTTTTTTAAAAGTTTCATTAATTTAGTGGCTCTAAAAGTGACTTGACAATATTTATAATTTGACAAACAAACTTTCTTTTTCATAATTTTTCCCACTGAGCAGCCAGGATATAGTCTGTTCAGATTTTGAATGTTAAGTAAAATGACGTCATCCGAAAATGCTCTGTGGATGGCTCGCTCTCTGATTGGTTTATCGCGGCATTAGAGGCGGAGCTTGAGTAAAGATTCAAAATCTGAACGGATTATATGCAGTAACTTGAATGGAAAGGCTTCTCAAAAGATTTTTTAAAACTATTCGCTATATTAGAGAGACTAGCATTCAGATGATTGAGAAACGAGCGCAGAAAATGTCGTTGGACGAACTTCGGCGAGCCTTTGGACCAGAAACTGAGAAACGCTCTACCGACGTCCGTCTCAGCGACGACGCCATCGAGAAAGTCGTCGATCATAACTTACTCTGGGACTTGGAATCAACAATTTCTCCAGAATATCTCAAACCTCTCTGCTGATTCGTTTCGGCTCGATTAGAACTCCTTTTGTGTTATAATCAGTCAATTTGTACATTTTCTGTTTGAAAAGTGCATCGCGGGTTATTTTCTATAAACGAAAATGGGAGTTTATGAGAAATTTTAAAGTTTCTTTTCTGTAAAATTTTTACTCATCACAATAAATATTGGAGAAATATGACGAGCTCGACTAACAACACGTAACACAACTTTATGCTTTACAGTAAAAATCACATCTTGTTTAATTGAAAAGTTTTTCGTTGTTTTCAGCAGGAAGCAAAAGAGGTCGGAAACAGAGATTCGATAGGGGAGTTGGGGCGTCGTCCGTGAAGACAGCGTGAGCAGGCAGGGGTGATTCTCGAAGAACGGATGACAGGAGCTACTTGCGGCCGAAGCGGACGAACGACGGCTTCCGCTTCTCGACGATGCCAGATGCTCCAGCCTCGTTGGCTTCTGACGCCAACACGTCTTCTGCGTCTGGGCTCGACCGCTTGCCAAACCTGACGAAAGACGGCTTCCGCTTGTCCATCTGCAATCGAATATCTTTAGTAAAGTTTTAGAAGCTGTAATAAGGCTGAGAAAAATTTTTGCGTTGGTTCCTCAAGGTTCTTGCGCAACCTCAGAATTCGAAAAATTTCACCTGATCGTCTTCATTACAGCTAATAACGCAAAAAAAAGATTTTTTTTTTCTGGACCTTGAGGCTATAAGTTTCCGACAGTGGACTGCCCATCAATACGCTTTTTGGAAGTATTCAGGGTTTTTAGAGAAAAAACTTCGTAATAATTGAATTCTGAAGTTATTTGAAAAAAATTGATGATCGAAATCAAAAAATTCTTGTTCCACATGTACAAGATCTTTTTTCGTTTTAGTCAATGTCGAGTCAGATTTTTTTTTCATTTTTTTTTTGTGTGTGTGGGTGTCATGGTTCAAAATCTTGGACTAAAAGAAAACAAATTTGGAGGAAACCCTTCATCGGATGATGAAATGTTTCATTTTTCAGCAAATCTCATGTAGACATGTCGTTTTACTTACGATTTGAAGTTATGGCTGCCATTGGAACAGAAAGAATTTCCGGCAATAAGTTTTATGAGAAATGTCGAATGGGCTCTATCTTACGCATGAGGTATACCAGCTTCTCATGGGATTGGGATGGGAAAGGTTCTCACTCAGTTTTAACTGCCGTGGAGAACGAGTAGAAAATAACGAAATGAAAAAAAAAAGTAACCTTTTGCTTGTAGTTGGGCGGTTGCTGGAGAGCCAGCTCGGTCATTTTGATCATTTTCTGACACAAAACTTGATTTTGGGGTTGGGCACAGAACTCGGACACCGCTTGCAACTCATCTTCCTGAACTTCGATTTTTAGCTTCATTTTCTTAAATCAATGATGAAACAATCAAAAAAAATCTTGATACTTTCCATATTTCACATATTTTTCATTAAATTTAACAGTTTATTTAATAATAAGTGGGATGAAGTTTCATGAAACAGGAAGTTCTTGTTTTAATTTATTTTTCCGGAATCCAACCCTTATCACTCATTCAAGGTTCGCGGCATGGCGTGCTTCTAAATTTCTTTGAATTTGGTATTCAGTTTTCTGCGTTCGTCAGTTATATTTTTCTGCGTCTTTGCCCTCACTGAGGGCAATGTAATTTCAAAAAGTCGGAAACCCCAAACAGTTGTTGCGTACTTCTTTGAAAACAAAAACAATGAGAGGAATTTCTTAAAAATTCTGAGGTCTCATTCGAAATTTCCGACGTCTTTTCTCCTTTTCGCGGCTATTTATTCACACCTCTTCGACAAAGAAGATGAGATTTTTGATCCAGCGGCAGCGGCCAACCAAAAATGAAGACGCCTACGGCTTTATCTAATTTAGCCAACTCTTTTTGTCGAAACCTTTTCTTTGTCAGAAACTTGTGCCCTTCAAAGAATGACTTCATTTTGACAGTGTCAAAATTTACGGGGAAAAGGTTTTACAGTTATTCTAAGATCGATGTTAATTCACTTTAAGGTCATTTCAAAAACTCGTTTCTGTCTTTCAACAATAGCGTCCAAATTAACTTTTCAAAGAACCGATACCAGCTCATTGTTCTCCAACTTGTCTACTGAATAAAAATGCACAGGAAAAAAAGATATTTATATCAAGATCGTCATGCAACCGGACTAAAAACAATTAGAAATGCCGCCGTTTGTTTTCAAAATGGAGGACAGCCGTCACTTGAAGATTTTAATCTCAGTAATGGCTCGTGCCTGAATTTAGCATCGTTTTCCGTGAAAATCCTATTTTATATCCACCTTAAGCACTTGTTTTTCCTGTTTCTTGTTGCCGTTTAAACCTAATGTAATGAGAAAGGAACGTTTGTACCCAATTCATGAATTATTTTCGTATACTTGGTCTCGTTAATTTACAAGCGATATTTTAAAAATTTCTAAGCAAGGTAGAAGAAAAAAACAATAATTTTAAATTTCGACAAGAAGCAACGAACTGCGGAAACTTTCCTTGAAGTGAATAAACAAGAAAAAAGATATAAATCAAAACTTCTAAGTTGTGTCAATGGCTCGATTTTTCCCGTCAAGTTTTATTTATCAACTTTTTTTGCGACAAGTTCCTTCAAATCGGACTTTCTCATCGTTCTCCACTTCTCTCCCCGACGAGATTGATTCCTAATTAAAAAAGTTTCAATTTCACCTGCCTTTTTGAGGTATAATTTTGCCAATTCCTATCGGTAAAATCTTTAGTAATTCATAAGCCTCTTTTTTAGTCAAATTTTATAGTTTTTTTCACAATCAGGCTCGAAGCTGATCAAAAATGCTCTGGTTCGACGAAGCCAATCACCAAAGTTTTTGTCTCGTCTTCTTATTTTTGGGCCCAATTAATGGCGACTTCGGAAAAAGTCTCTTCCTTTTTCACAACTAATTGCTACTGCGAATAAGGTCCGGGAGGCTTTTCCCTCCCAAGGATTTGAAAATTGAGCTATTTTCATTGCTAGGAGATTTTGCAAATAATATCGGTTGTTACGTCATTTAATGGCGACTTCCGCAAAAGCACAAAGAATTTCTTTCGAGAATTTCGGAAGTTTGAGACTCGAACTTTCGAACTTGAAAAATCCCATCTTCACATGCAACTGTAAATTTTTCATTTTCGCCTAAAGAGAGAAAAAAAAGTAAAAGTTCCTGGTTCGAAATGGCGCTCATAACTCTAGTACATCGAAACGTTTAACAGATTATTTTTTAATAGGATTTTTAATGGCTTCAGAAATGAATTCAGAACTTGAAAGATCCTGAACCCACTACATTGGTTAACTTTCCCAGCGAAGAAAAAATGTCTTTCCGCTCAGACGACGTCCAAAGAAAGTTTTGAAGATTGATTCACACAGACCAGACTTTTTAGACATTGTTGTGATTAAGTTTGAGTTTGGTATCGAAGGCTAAGAAGAACCCCCAAAATTTCTGTTTGCAATAAAAACCTGAGAATCCCATTTTAATTCTGAAGCGTTCGCAGCGGCAAGTATTGCAGCATTTCGACCAAACAAACCAAGGACCCTTCTGGATCAAGATGGGAATTCTCAGCCTTTTCCGTCGGAAATTCGATCGTGGATTTGTTACATTGAACTCTTCTCGTTGAAATGAGCTACGATAACTTTGAAAAAAGTTTTTCGAAAAGATTATCTTCATTTTTTGGACAAATGCAAATGAAAAGGTTTACTGCATTGAATAGAGCTTTGAATAGAGGCTTCTTTTTTACTATGTAACCGGATTTGTTCCTTTTTCAAACTATGTTTTTTTGACTTCATGATATGGACTTATGGAAAAAAATAAGCTATTGATATGCGTTCGTTATCTTGCTTGTCCTGTGAAATTAGAAAAAAATATAAAAAAATTCTCACATCAAACAAATTTGAATTTGATAAATCGTTCCTCACTTTGATTTCCAATCTCGAACTCAAAAGAAATTTTGATTGAAAAAGATATAATTCTCTTATTTCAAAAATGTTTTGTTTCAAAGGTGGTGACAGCAGAGAAAAACTTCCAGTTATTCAGAGAGGAACGGGAAAATTTTTCATTTTTCAACATGCCAAAACAGGAAGTCGGCACCGCCGAAAGCTTCCGAGACCACGAAGACGTACCTCGAAATAGGCTTGTGCGACGACGATCAGGCCCAGGGCGTAGAAGAAGACGTGCGGAACGAACTGCATCACGAAGACGACGTCGGCGACAAAATGAAGACGTCAGATGGGCGGGGCGTTGAGCAGCTCAGCGTCGTAACTCCGCCCACAACGCCTCGTCGAGCTTTTTTCAGAAGAAGGTTTTTACCTCCTCGAGTGGAATACGGTGCACTTTCATGGTGAATTCTAAAAAACCTATCAGAATTCCTCTCAGAATAAATCATTCTTTTCTGAGCCTGAAAATTATTTAGAGTAGTAATTTTGAAAAAAAAATCATCGAGCCTTTGTTTTTAAAGAAGGGGTTTGAAATAGGAATATTTGGAAATACACTCTTTCAAAACAGAAAAGCGACACATTTTTATGAAAAATAAAACGAGAATGAGCTCATAAATGTGACGAAGAAATTCGAATAGACTATCTTTTTTTTTTCAAGTTTTTGATCCGGGATAATGAAAGTTAAGAAAATGGGACAATCAGATTTTTAATTTGAAAAAAGAAATTTTTTCTTGTAAATCATTGAAAGTGATGGGCATTTGATGAACAACATGTTTTTTTATGTAGATAAGATTTTCCTTAGAATCAACATTTAAAAAAAAATCCTATTAACCATTGAATGAAATGATTCATCTTCTGAATATTTTCCATCATAAACTCAGGAACCTTAATAAACCGTGTTGACAATTTTTTGATGGTGAAGCCGTACATTTTTATGACTAAGCATTTATCAACGCTTCGAGTTTTGATAAATTCACTTGACTTGGCGGAAGTTCCCCGAGGGGCCATTTCAAACTGACGGCTTATGACGAAACCAATTTTCAAACTTTAACTCTATGTTTTTTCCAGCTTCTGCAAGCGATGCTAACATCATATCCTTTTCTGGGAAAAATTATGGAATAACAAAGAAAGAATTTAGTCTAATGAACTTCTTCAAACTGCTTTTTGTTTGAAAAAGTTTTGCTCGTATGGAATCGGTTAAGTAGGGGGTTTTTCATTAAATAAATGTCTCAGCCCCTTGCTGTATATATTTTTGAAAATCTTTGTTGATCTTACACGAAAGGTAAATTTACTTTGCGGATCGAATTTTGCTCAAAATTGACTAGAATATTCTTTGATGTATCCGTTGAATATCCTGAAATTCTAAACCTGCCCAACTTTCTAGTTTTTCGAGAAATAAGGGCTCAAAAAAGAACTTTCGATCTCTTCTTCTAGTATATCAAGAAATGTTATGACCAAGCTTTAGAGAATTCCAAACCTCAAAGTAAAATGACAATTCTTGTTAGCAGTTTGAGAAAAATCTTTTCATTAAAAAAACTATTTGAAAAAAATCGAGTGGAAACGGCTTTTAAATCTTTATCTCTTCTTTGCTGAGACTAGCGAATAAGTTCTAACTTCCTATCATTTACATTTGCCGAGAAAACTACGAGCTATTCAAAATATTGTCAATTCTTGCATTCTCCTGAGAATTAATTAATTTTAATGAGAATTTTTTAGAAAATTCGGGTCCCCGAAATTACACACTTCACTTAGGCCACTCTTCATATTTTCTGGAAAAAAATCCAATTAGATAAAAAAAAAATTTAGTGTTTCCCTTATGCCCATTATCCATTACAAAAAGTAAAACTCAAAAGGAGTTGAAGTTATCCCGGCGTTATCATTGAAGCTTTCGGAAACCAGAAGAAAAAAACAAATTGAGTTACAAAGAACATTTGTCAAATGATGCACTTTTCTAAAATCTTGAAGTCTTAAACGTGTTTACGCTTTTGTTACCGCCAAAAAGAACTTTAAAAAGCGTGTTTTGAAAATCTCGGTGTGCAATATAAACGGCATTCGATGCTCCATTGTCCGATTCAGGGCTGGTTCTTTTGTAAAGGAAAAACGAAAAAGGCTAGTGCAAAACACTTTAATTCGGAAAAGTATTATAGGTAAAAGGGAACGTGAGAAAAAATCTGAGGTCTTATTGATAAAACTTTAAAGGAAGAAAACGATGAAATGAGTTCACGACTCTTTTCTCTCTTATTTGAAAATTTACTTGTTTTCTGAAATTCAACTTTAACATAATACATTTAAAAAAGACTTCTAAGTAAAGATGAGCGTGGACTTCGATTCAATGTTTGGAGTGTATGATTTCAGCTGAAATAAAATATCCTCAAGTCGAAAAAAAGATAATGAATGAAGCAGAGTATGGTTCTTTTTCTGACGATTTTGTTTTTCAAATTTGTTTTCATCTCAAAATAGCCTAGAATTCGGAAATTCATCAACCAAAATCGAAAATATCGTCTTTTCTCGCCCATTTGAATGATTCAGCTGCTGAGAGAAAGAAAAAGAATATTGAAAGCGTACATTTTCATTGATCAACGACAGTTTCGCGAACCGACAAACAACTCTTCAAATATTCCATCATTCAGCAGATAGCCTTCTCGGAAGACTGAATGAAAGTTTCAAAGTTTCAAAAGTACATTTTTTAAAGTTTTTTTTTTGAAATTCAATCGAGCAGAAAATTAGAAGGTGAAAAACAAACTTTTCAGATAGAGCTATCCTCAAGATTTGCTCAGAAAGAACAGACCTAACAGGATTCAAAGACTTACCTGAGGAAGAAAAGCAGGGGCTCTCAAGCTTCATTTTAAAGAAGTGTTCAAAGGTCATTTATACGTAACGTAACCGCGAAATATGCTTTGAATAAACCTTGATTATGGAAGTAACTCTCAGGAAGTGACGTTCGAATAGGGCGAGTAGGAGGAAAGATTTATTTTTCGATGAATTATTATCGTCGAGAACAAAAGAATTGGAAGCCGGCCCTGGCCTTTTGCAACTGAAGTCCGAAATTTTCTTTTTTCGAACGCTTTAAGCAAAAATATGTTTTCGACGCATTTAGGGGAAATAAAAAAAAAGAGTGAAGAATTTTTTCGGTAGGTCGTTGAATGACTCTCGATTGTTTTCTGATGGTAGAGAAAGCGTTTCTGAACACACTTGATGCCAGCCACTCATCTATAGTTTATTAATTGTTTTCGATTAATAAAATAAAAACCTCAGTTCTTCCCAACACTTTTTGCCTTTCTTTGAAACGTTGAAACTTTTATTCAGTCTTCAGAGAAGGTACTCTGCTGAACCATGGAATAATTGAAGAGTTGTTCGTCGGTTTGCGAAACTGTCGTTGATCAAGAGTAGACGGCGCGTAGAGCATCTCGCTCTTCTTGTGAAAGTAGTAGACGGTTTTCGAGCGTTTCCGACGATCACTGCTTCTCCATGTAGGAACAGTACGGCGCCCAGCTTGTCCAGGGCTGACGGGCGTCGGATTAAATCTCAGACGAGAGCGGAAAATTGCCTTTCAGTGATAGTAAACTCTTTTATAAAATTTGAATTAATTTAAAGAACTGCGGCCGTTTTCAATACTATTTTTTTTTCATTTTTTTTTTTCAAACTCCTTAGAGATTATAATCAAATAACGCATCTTTTCTATAATTGAAAATTGCGATAAAACCTCATAGTAGGTAAATAAAATGAATTCGAACAATTAGAAGAAAATTTCGCGCAGTCAACAAAACTTCATAAGATTGCGGCGGGCGATAAATCTTGAAAAAGCGGGAATAAATTACTGAAGCCCATTACGCATTGCAATGGATCTGAAAAACTTTTTTTTCGTTTAAAGACAATCAATAAAAAGAAAATCTTTAAGTTTTTCTTTTTAGTCATTATTTCGAATCTGAGAACCACGGGTCCACTTTTGAAAGAGTGCACGGCGTTCCAAAAGGGAACCTCGCAGTAGAGAAAAATGAGGCAGAAAGTACCGCGCCTCAATTGCAGAAAACTGGGCGTGGTTTAGTTTTGTATTGGGAATTCAAAACCCTATTTCTTGTTACATTTTCGTTTCTGAGTGTTACTGCTGTGTTTATATTGTTCGTCAGCTCTGACTTCATATAAGTTGGTTGTGTCATGTCGCTCCTTGGCCGTTTACCGCTTTAGTTGAGGCAAAACGAAAAAAATGATAATTCGCGAGTTTTTTTAATTTACATGCCATGTATTCGACATCTTTCTGCTTGATTCATGTGCAGAATGAGTTTTTTTCTACAATCTAAAAATTGTTCAAAACAAATCTTTGTCGGCAAAAAAATAATTTTTTTAAACTGAATTTCATGGAATCTTGTCAAATTTTTGGGTGTTCCGCGCGAAAGATTAAAAACTTTGTGGTATGTCGGTCAATCTTTTTATTTTGATAGCTGAAAAATGTTCACACAGGTTCATTCGAAAGAACATGGTTAATTAGAGAATTGGAAAAAAATTTTTTTAGAGAACACCTGCGAAGATCGCAGAACTACGCAACAAATGAGCGTTTTTTTCCATTATCATTCTATGTGATTTTCGTCAAAAACTTCTCAACAACATTCATTCAAATTTTTTTTGTTTTTACGTTTTACTATCATTCTTTCATCTTTTTAAACAACGAATACCATAGGCTTATAGCTGAAAAATTTTTTTCGTAAAAACCGATTTAAAGGTTGAGAAGCAAATATACGGATAATTGTCAGTGAAACTTCATCGAATTGCTTCTTTATGTTTTGAAAGCTTCCACTTTTCCATGGACATCATGATAATCACAAAAAATACCCTGAATTCAATCGAAACATCTCAATTTCTTAAAAATTTCGTTTTTTTGACATTTTCTGTGAATTTTTCAAAAAAAGTTCTGTTGCGCAAGTACGCTCCAACGAACGCAAGGGCGCGGTAAAATGACACGCCTCATCGGCTCGCTTGCGAGTTCCCTTTTGGAACGCCGTGAGTGATATAAAATTTAATTGAACTTCAATTTTTTTATTTTTCAGAGTCAACTTGAGAGTAGAAAAAAATATCCAGAGAACTATATTCTAGAGATATTTAAAAAAATAACTAGAAGAAAAAAATTTGATAATCATACATAATATTTTTTTATAATAATAAACGATTATTTCAAAAACGTTTTAATAAACCTTTATTTGCTTTTTTTGATTTTTATCTCTCGGCTTCGGAATACTTCTCCCGGTAGGCGAAGTTGTTCCGACATCAACCTTTAGAGCTGAATAATAAACTAATAGGCCAAATATAACAACAGAAAAAAATTGAAAAATTTTCTGAATTCACAAAACTTAATGTCGTCATGTTCTGCGTTTGCTGTTCAAATGTGTAAACGTAATCCATGGATACTGTAATTCATACCAACAATAACCTCGTCCTGGCAAAAAAAGCATTCGAAGTCCAACGATATTTTTTTTCGATCTTTTCATTTTATGAACACGAGGAATTCCCAATTTGAACGATCCATTCTATTTTAATGACTCTTGAGTTTCACTGAAACTCGTTAATTCCATGGCTACACAGCTTCGAAGATGTTCTTCCGTCTGTTTGTTCAATTCTTTGCCGGATCGGAAAGGTAGAAGGGAGCAAGAAGAGCGATTTGGAGCGGAAAGGACGCTGGCTTAACGTTCTTGTAATGCCGAGGACACACAACCTCCAGCACAACACCGAGTCCGACACTTTCTGAAACTTTTTTCTTCTGTTCCTTCTGAACTCTCAAATTCAGCCATAACCCTGAATTTCTGAGCATTTTCAATCGCTACTTTGAAACTAGATGCCCACGAAAATTGAAAAAAATCGAAAATTTTAATCACGCTTTGAAAAAAAAAACTTCTTTCATATTCATAATGTAGAAATTTTATTTGTATCTCTCCACTGAAATCTTTCCAAAGATTGCCGGATAGCAGCACGGATGAATTCAAATGTCGGAAAACATACCTATGCATAATTGACGCAGTTTTTGTTTGCTACGAAATTGACCCAATTTTTTTTATGAAATTCCATGGCTTTTGTTAAAATGAGTTCGAAAGCTATGAAACTTACAACGAAAAGACTTCTAAGAAAAGAGAAACAGGCGTGAAATGGCTACTCATAACATCTTCCTGCCTTCTTAGAGATTCCCTTGCGAAATATTTTTATTTAGTTTGGAAATTTCTTGAGTTTTTCGCCTTTTCAATAGAGGCGGCGCTAATGGACAGTGGCGACTTGAGTAAGGTTATGAGGCGTCGACGGCCGTCTTAATTTCATCTTTTCATCATACTTCCCATACGACGGCTTTCTTACTTCTTGGTTTAGTTTTGACTTTTTCTTCCTTCAGAGCGGCTTCTTTTCGTGTAAAATGATTTTTTACCGTAGGAAACGCTCTTTTTTACAAAAGTTCTTTCTTATTTTCATGAGTTCAGAAACACATCGAAAGTCCATGGAGCTCCTAAATTGAAGTGAAAGTTTGTGTAATATGATTACGTAAGGTAATCTTGATTATGATCTCAAATTTAAGTTTTGATCAAGTTTTTGATCAAGAAAAGGTTCATTCCATGTTTGAATCCCCTCGGAGTTTGAAAAGCAAACGTTTAAATCAAGATTATAGCGAAAATGAAATTGAAACTTACTAAAAACAATATTTTCCGCCATTAGAAAGCCTCTCAAATGATAAAAGCCAATGTTCCGGACCGATATGATTTGAAAGCACGACAAGCCTTGTGACAACTGTCAGGTAAAGAAACGAACCCTCGAAAGCCACACCGAAGGCCTTGTTCTCGACTGTTTCTCGAGCCGAGAGGAAAGACAGTGCGCGAAGAGGCTCCGCCCGTCGCCGAAGGCTCTGTTCTCCGGTTACCGTGCTCCGTCAGCTTATTACTACTCGTCAAACATTACAAGACGCTCCTTTTATTTGTGTCTGCCCTTTCTTTTTTTTTTGTTTCGCGTCACGTTTTGTTTTCGAACCAATTTTTTTAAAAATAAATCAATGGTGGTCGTAAACTTTGAGTCGAATTCTGTCGAATTTAATAAAAAGGACCCTTACTTGACGAAAAAAAGCATTGTAGTTTTGAACGGTTTGAAAGTGTTTCTTGAAAATTACGTCGATACATAAAGTAGCACTGTCCAACGGATTGTTCCTGTCAATTTGATTTTGCGAATAAATGTTTTGAAAAAGTGAGAGAAACAAAGAGCAACCAAAAATAAAAAAATAAATTTGATTTTTTTATAGTTCTATGGAAAGTAGTTTGTAATGTTCTTACACAAAAAAATACAACAAACTATAAACATTTAGAAGGTAATGAGCGAGGAAAAATTGATTTGGATACCCTGAAGGTGCTGGCGAAGTCTATACTCAAAAGCTCAATTTCTCATTGGAAAAATAATTTTCTTTTTTTTCCATGATTTTCCAAATCAAGCGGTACTGACGATACTTGTGGACCTCAACCCAAATATCTAGTCTGAAAGTTTTCTGAAGTTTACAATTTTGATGAAAACAAAGGTTTCTCGACAGAACAAGTTCAACCGTTTATAAATGTTTTCTTCTTCTTCTTTACAAGCAAAAATAGATTTCGGTAGCGAAATTGTTCGCTTACACATAGAAGAGTTGAGTCAGAGCCTAGTAGAAAAGAGCTATTCTTTACAGTTCGTGGGCTACCCATTTACATCGAGCAACGTCAAAAATGGTATTGCCTTTTTAGATTTTTTGTTTTTGAAATTATTTTTAGTTTCAGCTAATGTTTCATTTATTGGTGGAGATGAAGCGAGTTCCAATAAAAACTTTTAATTTGAAAGTTCTCATCTTTTCTTATTGAATTTTTTTTTTCAAACTCGGCTTATTACTTTTGTCCTCGAATTTCCATACAATCTCGATTGATTGAGGAAAAGAAGAATACATGTGAAAATGTTGAAAAATTATAATAATTTCAGGTAAAAGAAGACCAAAAACCGAAGATGGCGGGGCACGTGGGGACCATCACCTCGGTCAACGCCTTGATCTCCAAAGTCTTTCAACAGCCAAAAGGAGATCTGGTGGGCTTTTTTATGATTTGAGAAGGATTCACGAAATCAGACAATTTCAAGCCGTGGCTCATGTAGTGTATCATTTCGCCTAGAGTGCTGTTGGAAAAGTCAAAAAATTACGCTTTTTTCCATATATAACCGTACAAAAAGACATGATTGTTTTCAAAGAAACAGTTACTGTTTTTCGCAAGAAAGAGTTCGATTTGAGTCCTTATCAATCCTTCAGTCAAATAACAACTTTTTGAAATGAGTTTTTTGGAACTCAAGAGTTTGGGGAAAAGAAGGAAGAAGGGTTGGGATTGGTATGTTCTCGGCGTGTGTTTGTGTGTTGTATGAGCAATTTGCGCACGATGAACAAGTGCAAGTCGTGAAGTGGTCGAGGGTTCGTCCTGCCGAGGATTTCCGGCCTACGGGGTTAGTTTCAACTGTTCGTCATGGAAAAAATTAACAAAAAAGCATGTCACAGTGATTTCATCAATTTTTCGCTCGAGTAATCTCCAAAACAACGCTCCTAAGCCGTCTTTTAAAAGGTTACGCTCTTTTGGGCCTAAAATCGCACTTCTTTATTTTGTTTCTTCAAATATATTTCCCTTTCCGAAACCCAGATTTCAAAAAGTTATTCAAATTTTTTCAAAACTATTCTGATCTGTCACGGTAAACTTGAATGACGTCATTGGCCATCCGAGCTGTTTGAACAGCCTGAATAATTGTATTTCACGGCTCGTCTGTATAGGAGAGCGACCACTCCATGATATTCAACATGTTATTCAGTTGTTCAAAACCTTGAACGAGCCGAGGTTGGGCTTCTTCACCAGGAAATTTCGAACAGCGAGGAATTCAGAAATCGACTTTCCTTTCAGCCGCCCACCTGCCTAAATTGAAAAACCAGACGTAAAGTCAAAAAATAATATTATTTGTATCCGTGCGAGAGAAAACTCTTGGAATGAATTATGATTGGAGTATGGTTAAAACTAACTTCAGACTCATTTTTAGGCGGACCGGCTCAACTCGAGAGTGACGGTATGCGTCCTGGCTGTATCTTCGGCGATGCTGCTCTCGAGCCATTTCTTCGGCGATCCCATCACGTGCTGGACTCCGGCACAGTTCACCAAACAATGGTTCGTCTTTCTGCCGTTTTCAAAAAAAAAGTCAAAAAAATACTATTTCGCTCTGTGTAAAAGGCCAGACTAGATACGTTTCATGCATAACCAATTTCTAGGGTCGACTTTGTCAACCAGTACTGCTTCGTACATGGGACCTACTTTGTACCATTAGATGAACAGTTATCTTTTGAAAACGACGAAAGACACAAAATAACTATACAATATTATCAGTGGGTCAGTTTCCATTTCATCGTTTTCCCTTCGAAAAAAGAAGTTTAGGTACCATACGTTTTGGCGTTGCAAGCTTTTCTTTTCTATTTTCCCAGATTTGTTTGGAAGGCTTTAATTTCTTACAGTGGTGATTTTGGAAAATAAAAAAGAGATGGAAAATAATAATTTTTAGGCTACGACCTTGCCGGCGCCGTTAAATACGTCGACGCATTCTGGAACAGTATCAAAAATGACAATGCCAATTTCAAAGGTAATGGAAGTGGTTCGGATTCAAACTAGTTTGTATTTTCAGCAAGAATAGCAGCATTTGAAGGACGGCCGTCCGTTTACATCTGGGACGGGATTCGATTGGCCAGGAAAAAGAGGAGTAAGGACATGGCTCTGTTCTACACACTTTCCACTATTCTTCAGGCCATCAATGCTTGGATCCAGGTCTGAGTGGAAAACCTTGATTACATCGAAAAGAAGGAATTGAAAAGGTTGATAGCTAGTAATGAGGCCAGGAAACTTCCAAGAACTAAAGTCAGCAGATGTTGCTAAGAAAGTAAATTAGCACTTTTCGAAATTCATTCTCTATTAATAACATCATCCACAGCAAAGGAAAACAGTTTGCAAGCTTTGGATGATTTCTTAAAAATGAAAATAAAGCGAATGAAACTACCTAATCAACATTTCGTGTAGGGTCCTCGAGCAAAAACTAATTCTCTTTCTAAATAGTTGGTTGGGTTGATCTGTGTTTGTAACTGGAAAACCTCAAATTGGATCTCACTTTAACTGAAGTTGTTTTTCAGTGGTACATCTTGAACGCAATGCTCGGATCGCCTCACTACACATTCTGGGGACCGTCGTTGCTCACCGACCTCGTGCGGGGCAACGACTGGCAGGTAGACACGGAAAACTCCAAAAAATTAAAGAAAACCTAGAAAAATGAAAATTGGAATCAATATTAACCAAGCTTTTTTGAAAGGAAAAGGTGTGATGGTAAAATGAACAATTTTTGAAGCTTCACTTGTACAGAAAGCCGAAAAACGTTCTCTTCAGACGACAGGCCACTTCCCGCGAATCGTCCACTGCGACTTCAACCGACGACGTCCGGCCAGCGTCCAGATGGACACGGTTCTTTGCGTGCTCACCCTCAACATCTACTACGAGAAGTTGTTCGTCTTCCTCTGGTTCTGGCTCCAGTTTGTGGCCATCGTTTCTACGATCAACTGCATTAAGTGGCTCTACAGTCTCTGCTCTTCCACCAAGGTTATTTCTTTAAATGAAACTTGTCCCAAAGTTTTTTCACAAGCCCGCAAATATCATAGTATCGAGAATAGACTGTTGATTTTTAACTTTCAAAACTGGAACTTACTTTTTTTGGTAGGTCTAACCATTTAAATTTTAATAATAAACAAAACTGTTTATAAAAAAATTATAGTTGAATGGAATGATCTTTATTTTCCAAGACTTGGTCTTCATTATTGAAGTAATTATCAATTTTGACTCAAAAAAGAGATTTTTCTCGACAAAACTTCAGCTTTATCTGTTATTGTTATTAATTTTTCGAAGCCATATGAGTAATGGGAAAATAATACTACATATGACAATATTTGTTTGAGGCGCAGCAAATGGTAGAAGGATACCTGTCGACGGCGCCGATGAGGTCGAAGGTGACGGCTGACCAGTTTCTGGACACGCTGGGACCCGACGGCCTGTTCGTTCTCGAGCAGATGGCGCTTAACGTCGGCGACATTCCCACCAGGTTCCTCAATTGACCGTGTCCACTTCTTTTTTTCTTTCTTTCTTCCCACTTGTACGCCGGTTTTCCGATTTGATGACCTGAGGCCGACGCTTCTTGCGCAAATTATGACGCCATTCTCTATTGGCTTTTTTTATGGAACCGTTGCCAAAAAAATTGACCGGCTTTTTTTATGTAGGATTTACAAAAATTATTCGATTTTGATAGGAATCTTCATTCTTTTTACTTCGCGTTGCCTTGGCAGAAATTTTACTTGATGAAACAAAAAAATGAAACAAAAAAATGAAAAAAAAAATGGAATAATTGATAGAAAAGCCATTTGGAAGTAGTTTTCGTATAGTACAAGTCCAAACTTCCATTGCTAAAAAAATTCTTAATCAAACGAGAAATGATGAAGATTTAGAAAAAACATCTGGAATCCTCAAAAAAATAAAAATAACTTTTTTTAAAATTGAAAAATCATAATCCGATAACGTCTTCAGTTTTGCAGGAATCAGATAAATTTATAAATTTTTTTACCAAGTAAAAATTAAAAAAACTAAGAACTGAATCTGGAAATTGACGAACGTTCAGCTATCTCACAATATCGATGCGGAACATCAGTCCTGATTGGGAAGAGCTCGACCCGAGGAAACGCTACGCAGAAGCCCTCGAGGCCGGCGAAGAAGAGCGAACGCCTTTCAAACGACCCGACTACTCATGAAACTTCCCATATCGATTCACGTCATAAGGAAACATTTTCGTATTTTCGCAAGAACTTTTTATTAGGATTTTGCATTTTTCCTTGATTGTTTTTTTCTTCCATTTAGTTCCTCGACACTTTGAGGATCTGCCACAAACTTGGTTGAAGCTCAGGCCTTCAACCTTTGATTTTTTGAAAATACTTTTAGAACTTTCATGCATTCTCGCAAAAGCTCATATCATTGTGCCTTTTTTTACGCAACCAGTTGATTCGATTGCTCGTTTTGTTGTTTGAAAAAAAAAAGAGAAAAATGGAAATAAAAACTGAAAACTTCGAATTTCGTGATGAGGCCAACGTCGACCCCAGGGTCCTCAATCGACCGTGTCCACTGCGCCGGTTCCTCTTTTTTCCCTTTGCCGGCCAGTTTCTCGATTTGATGACCTAACGACGACGCTTCTCCTGAGAATTATGACGCCGTTTCAGCTCAGACCCCTTTTTGGAGTGATTCTCGGGCTGAAAAACTTTCTAGTCTGTTCTTGTAGTCAGAAACGAAAAAGCTTAAAAGAAGTCGTCAATTTCATTAGCGACCGAACATTCGTGCAATAGAAAATTGGCTGTAGACTATACTCGAGGTCATTCTAGATCCCAAAAGCTCATAATCTTGAAAACGCTTATATAAAATCTTTCAAACACGTCTCAACTTGGACTGGTCACAAACGCATATCTTGATTTAAGCACAAGCCAAACAGGAAAAAAGACCTTGATTTGCTGTTTTGTTTCTGCTTATGGAAAGTTTCGATTCCGTTTCGCGCAACTTGTGTCCAACTCCCGATAAAATCTGACATCCAAGTCACGTTGGAGCGCTTTTTTGCAGATATTGGCACCGATTCTCTTTTCGGCGTGTTAAACATTTGTTTCTTCTGGTTGAACTGCTTGGGTCAGCTTCAGGACCAGTGGAAAAGCTGGAAGAGTATGAAAGAGTCAGATTATACAAATTTGGATGAAGCCGATACACACGAGGCTTCAAAAAATATTTCTGATCATTGAAACTCAGAAATCAATTCAATTCAATTCAATTTATTCAGTCTTCAGAGTAAGATGAAGATAATCTCTGCTGAATCATGGTATAATCGAAGAGTTAGTCGTCGGCGCGGGTTACGGTTCAAAATAGTTGTCCAATAAGTCCCGGCGTGACAGCTAGCGTTGGGAAATAATGTTGGCCCGTTGGTAGTACCAGCGAATAAACTGCTTCACCATGTTGGAACAGTACGGCGCCCAGCTTGTCCAGGGCTCACGGGCGTCGGAATATTATCCCATGAGAGAGCGGCAATCAGACCGACTAGTCGACGGCATGGATTGAGATAATAATAATCAATATTATTGAAATACCTACCTTTCCGGGTACCTTTCCATTGGATTCAGAACCACTTAATGAAGTTTTATTCATTTCGATTAGAGTCCATTTGCAAAAAATTGTGTTCAAAAATGGATGTGAAGCGATTATGATGTCTGATCTAACTATTTTTCAAAATTGTTTTAATTGAAAGATTCTTCGATCGATACCGTTGTATCTGTTGTAGTGCCCTTAACTTTTGAACTTATCACTCCAGTGACAAAATTTTCAAATAAATGGGAATTCATCAGTTCTAACATGATTATCATGTCTCGTGAATAAGAGCCTCAGAAAAAAATTTCGAAAATCAAAAAAGCGAGAATTCAAAAAAACCGTCAGTTGAAAAATGTTTATCCTTGATAATCTGACTCATCCCAACGATGATACCAAACCCGAAGCTATTGGAGGAGATTCAAAAACTGTTTTGCAGCCCCTATCCCAATTGTTCAAGAAAGTCACTGTCCGTAACGATTTAAAAAGAAAAGATACCAGATTCGGAAGAACATCAGTTGTCGAAAACAGTTCTGCTAAAACTTTAGTGAATGAATATCACAAAGCGGCACCGAAAATCCATAGAGGCGAGTAATAAATCCGAGTTTTTGAGAGCGCAATTAACCTGGGAGACCCTTAATAACAAGACGCAATTAATTAGTGTTAGGTCAGGTTTTTGGGTGTCGTTTCAGACACGCTGCTTTGCACGGAATGAGTTGCGGCGCCGAGATTTCGAGGTCATTCTGAGGGTGAACGAGGCGGAGCTTCGACACGCCTCTTGGGGGGACAGTCGGCTTTGGGCTTCTACGCGCTTTTCTTTTCTTTTCCACCAGCGCCTCGGCAAGCATCTGGACCATTCTAATGATTTTACTGCTTCTGGCCGTTTTGGTCACTAGAGTTGATGCTCAGCTGCCCATACAGAACTTGAATCCGGTTCAAATCCAGCCTCCACCTTCAAACTGTATCAGAGGTCAGTTTTTTTTGGAACCTGATTTTTTATTAGCTTGAAGATTGCAGACTTTTGAAGGTCAATAGAGATGCTTAAATTAAAAAGAAAAATTTTTTTATTAATTAATATGGACCGATTGGTTTCAAAAAAATTTCATAAATCGAGAAGAGACTGTAGAACTAGTGGGATCTTCTATCTTTATGTGATGAATAGTAGAGATTTTCATTCTGCGATCAATGGATCAGTGTACCAGATGAAAAGAAAAGACGGTTATCACAACGTTAGTTCTTCTCTCAGCAGAACTCGTGAGCTGAGAAAAATATTGAAATACAATAAAATCAAACAAAAATTAAAGACTGAAGTAGTAAAAAGGACTTTAGATAAAGTTAATGGTAATCGGGAAGGACTCGTGCGGATTGGCGGATAATCCGCTCGTCGACCTCTTTCACCTCCAACTTTCTCTCGAACTCCTTTCGAAGGCTTAAAATTGAACAAAAAGTTGATATTTGTTTGATTTTTATTGAACACCGCGTTGATACGGAAAGTCCAAACAATGCCAAGCCAGTTTGCGATATCTCGTTTTCTGTTGCTTTTTCGTGTTCAAATCAAAACGTCGCGCAACAACGCAATCTATTCGTAGACATATCAACAGCCGTGCAATTATTCTGTTGTTTCAATCGGAATCTAATCTCGGAAAAAAGTCATCTACAATAGAAGATGCTGGTGAATCAAAGTAGTTAGAATGAATACTTTTCCAACAAAGAATAGTTTTCAATAAGTTTTTCAGAAAAACCTTGCAAGAACTGGAAACAAAAATAAAAAAAGTTAAACAATTTTTTTTACAGGAAACAGTCCTGCCACCACAAAAATTCAAAAATTTCAAAAGAACTTAAAATAAAACTTGTCTAAGACTGTTTTTTTCGTTTACAAATCATTAATCATATCTTGGTTCTGAGAAGTCTGACGTTTTTATGTCATCATTTATGTCAATCCTGAAAGAAACTCTATTTGAGTAAAAAAACATTTGAAAAAGTAAAGGAAAAAAATTTCCCGCAGGCGGATGTATTTCGCGTGGAAGTTTCAAACAAACAAAAGAGAAGGACACGAAGTTTCAGATGTGGACGAGGATGTTTGTCCGCAGCGCGAGGGGTTCGACGACGACTGCGACAGAAAATGTCTTCAGAACTTTCCGATGCGCGTCGGCAGTGGCTGCCACCTTCGCAACACAGGTAGAACAAGTTCAGAAGCTTCCAATTGGCCTAATTCTTCCAGTTAAATTTCTTTTTAACTTACTTTTTTTCTTTTTTTGAAATCATGTAGTCTTTATAATAAAGAAATGGTATTTTTTTCGCGAGTTTCTGATTTGTGGAAGAAAAAATTGAGCTACTTGTTTTTAACTAAGTGAGTGGAAGTATCTCAATCTTCTGGGAAATTACAGTTCTCGAATTACTAGCTTGGCAAACCGAACGCGTTCTAGCGGACCAAGTCCGTAATTAACCGGCCACACCAATTATATTTCTGAGGCAGGCCCCACCATTCATTGAAATGATTTACTAGGTAGGATTCGAAAGAATATCGGAGAACAGACTCGACTAACTTGCAGAAAGAAGACTTTCAGGTACACTCCTGTCGTTTTTCGGAATCCGCTCGTTCATGTGCAAATGCGAGCTGCCTGGCTTCGTCTGTTCAGCCCCAGCCGCCGCGATTCCCTTCATCCATCCTTTCAGAACGAATCTCGTCCAGCAACACTCCAGACTCACTCTTCTTCCGGCCACATCCATGCCCTGCAACGCGGTTTATATATTTTGTCCTTAGAAAAAGTTAATAAACTTTTTTTTTTCAGCCGAAGTACGAAAAGAGACTGGCGTGTCGAGAGCGATTCGACGACGCCGAATGCGGTTGGCAGCGGTCGTCCAACGTCCAATGGGCTCACGCCACGCCTACTGGAGCTCCGATGCCGTTTCCGCGCTTCGAGTCACCGAGTCAGTTTTATGTCTATTCTGAAAATTCTTTCGTTTTCACTTGTTCGCCTGTTGAAACTAAGCGGTGCGTTAATCGATTTGTGTTTTATACGAAGAAAGGATTTGAAAAAGATGTTAATTCTGCGCATGAACATTTTTGATTAACAAATTTTTTTTGTTTTTCGAAAAAAAAATTTCAAATTAAAAAAAAAGCATGCTGCTGTTCCAAATTTAGTTATAGATATTTTCGGAATAGAAAAGGAAGTTTTAGAAGAGCGTCCTGAGCTTTTAAACGGAAGTATATATGTTTCCCAAGAATCAAGTTTTTTTAAATCTCGGCTCAATCTTATGAATTTAACTTGTGAACGAATAATTCCCGCAGAAAACTGAGAAAGAAACTATAAAACGTGTGAAAATGTTTTTCCGTAACATGAGCAACATCTGTTCCTAATTCTCTATTTTCGCTTCCTTCCGTGAAGAGAAAAAGTTCTTTGATTGCCGCCCGTGCGGCACAAAAAAGAAGACGTCAAATCCCGTGGAGGAAAAGAAGTGAGGTCGGCCGCGTTTACCCAGTTTTCACGGCATTCTCGAACCACCACAATAGAAAAGTCCATGTAATTGAACTCCACTGTGACAATTTCCATTCAATTTTCTCGGTATCTTTGACGGAATACACCAAAGAGGTGTTTATGGATGAAGTTACAAGAAATATTCAAAGTCCATTTAATAATTAAAAAAAGTTCGCATTCTTATTCCAGTTTTGATGAGTAAAAAGCAGAAAAAGTCATGATTTTGAGATGGCGCTTACTTGGCCGTGACGACGACGTCTCCTTCTGCTGATTGGGCGACGCTGTCGACGTGCGAATCTCTGTGCTCCAAAGGCACCGTCAACGTCACAGTTCGCGTCTGGAGACCCGTCCACGTCATCGTGGAACTCTGCTTCCGGTACTATTATCGAGTCATTGTTAAAAGAGATTCAGAAAATCGAAGTTTGTGAGAAGTTTTTATTTTGATTGGCTGTCCCCCTGGTCTGAAAAGCCCTCATAAGAAAATTCCAAGTCTTATTAGTTTCAAGCAGTATTGACTGAGAAATTGCAAAAGAAAAGGGATTGAACTTTGTCCAATCGATGGCAAAAGAGCAAAAATTCTTAAAAAGAAATGGATTCCTTTATTTTCTTTAAAAACGTGATTAGTTTTCGAAGACGGAAAATATGAATTTTCCATTTAAAAAAAAGTAGTAGAACTGTTTTCTAAAGAATTTCAAACCAACAAAACTATGAGAAACAAGTAAAAGTTCAATTTCCGAGGAACTTACGAAACTTTTCTGTTATTTTTATGATGTAAACTTTTAAGAGAACAAGAAACCCTATTATGCGCACCAGTGAGGACAGGAAACGGTCGGATGGTGAATGAAGTAATCCCGGAGACTGAAAACTTCCAGGTGGAGTCAAAACTTACTACTGATGAGACAAACATGTTTCAGGTTAGTCTGAAGTTTAGCAACCTGACAGTAGACGACGTCGTCATGGTGGACGACCTGACAGCCATCTACGACGCTTGTCCTCCACTTCAGTCTTCTGTGTCGGGAATCGCCCAACCCCAAAAAATGGAATCCGACTCTGCACACCACGAGCATGACGAACTCGAAACAGAGCCCAAAATCCAGACTACAACAGAAATATCGAAAGCGTTCCCCTCAGCACCGCTTGCAGTTCCTATTCCGGTTGGTTATCCAAAAATCAAGAAAAAAATGAATAAATAAATAAAAATCCAATAAAGTTGGGATTTATAAGGAAAATAAATGCTTCGTATAGTTTCAGATGTTTTAAAAGTTTTTTGAAAACCTGTTTTCCCCGTTCGATGGCGTGTAGTCAATCCATCCCGACTTGAAAGGCGAGGGAGAGAAGATGCGGGACGCGTGGCGGGTGCTTACTCGGTTCTTGGCTCATGTACAATTCGCCACCGAATATTTAAAAAGCTCGTTTTCCGCTTTTTTTGTACCTACTATTTTTGATGCACAAATGAAAAAAAAAAAAATAAAACTGACTAAAGAAACGAAGTTTCGCTGTCTCATTTCAAAAAACAAAAATTTTTCAGCAAGTGAGCGGATCAGCTTCTCCACCACAACGAGCATCCAGTGTGCTGGTCCAGCCAAAGTTGCACATCGAGAAGAAAATCAGTTCAACCTCGCGTCGTAACTGTGTTGGAGGTTCTCTAAGCTATCAAGTTAGCCTTCACCCTAAACTTGAAGACGATTGCCACAGCCACTTGGGCTCCCACTACGCTTCGCACGCTGTTACCGCCGAAATATGTCGCGGCAGAGCTGGCCTTCTACTTTGCCGTGCACACTGCCGCGTTTCCGATGGAGCTGGGTGAGTTAGAAATTTACTATACTGGCTCAAATGGAAAAAAAAACCATTTTGTACTTGTCAACTCTTTTCCTCTCAGTCCCGACGTTTCATCACTACTTTCGACCTTCATTCAATAACGTTTTTGAAGCAACTTCATGAAGTTTCCAGTTACGCAGCAAGATGTATACGCGAAGGAGAGCCTCCGTTCTCCAAAAAATGCGTTTGTCAGCTGCGTCGGTCGCCGACAAAGAAGCTCGACCAGGGCAAGGCCCCACTCACCAAACGTCGAAAAGTCGTCGACGCAGCTTCCTCCCGCATGACCATGGTCGACCAGAACACGCACATGCGGTCATCTCTGCCAAATCCCAGCAGAAAAATATTCGGTGAAGAAATATATGTCAAAAAGGTGAAACTGAATCAAGCGAAGCTGCTAGTCTAAGGAAACTTCTAGTTAGTCCGCGAAACGTGTGAAAGGCCTGGCGAAAATGAAACCTGTGACAACATTTGCAAAGCGAACGATTCCGAAAGGTATCTGAATACTACTAAGCTCATACACAACAAAAAAAAAACAACTTTTTAGCCGTGGCACGTGCGAGGATGACGGCAATTGCTCATGTCGACACTGCAGAACTTCTCTATGTAACTTTGAGAGAAACACACGCTGCGGGTACTCCTTTCTCCATATAACGAAAAATGTTGTGATTATTCAGTTGGTCGGACTTGCGGATGCTCTCCACCCAATTCAACAACATCAGTGTAGCTATGAAAAGAGGAGACGGTTAGTTCAGTTTGGCTCAGGCTCTATATCAACTCAAATTTTCATAGAAAACCGATACGGTCTGACACGTCTGCGGCCTATGTCCTATTCGGGATTGGTACATCGACAGCCGCTGAATGGTCCGATCGTTCTCTCAGTCGACGCGTTTCCTTCGCACGCTATCGACGTCCGCATTTGTGTGCAGAATCTTAGAAAGTTTGTAATTTATATCACTGTCGCCCTATTTGTACCTCAATCTAAGTTCAGGGGACTTTATGAGTAAAAAAGAATGTTTCTGCTTTACTTTCTGCACCATCTAAGACAGTTTCAACTTTTTAAATTTTGTCGTTCTCGGCTGAAAAAACCATCTTTAATAACATTTCAGCCGTTAAACCTTGATGAACCGAAATTGCAGATGTCAAACACAAAGAATAGCAGCAAAATCATGGAACAGAGTCACCGCCAAGATCAAAGTTCCATCTGCAGAAAAGGCAACTCAATAAATCGGAAATGGAGTCGAAAAACTATTCAGGTCTTCATCGTCTTCCAAAACCGAGATCTTGTTGGAAAAGCCGTCGCTATCGATAACATCCTGATTCGTGGCGGAGACTGTTGAACGATTTCCGAGCAGTAGATGATCCTCCCAAACTTCTGATACATTCCATACCAGCCGATTTCGCAGTGGTGGCTAACTTTAACGGGTAAAATATTTAAATCTTCATTCATTACAAGATGAAAAAGTAATCTAAAGTTAGAGGTATTCTGCATATTTCTATTTGTAGAAAACCAGAATCCCAATTTTATTCCTTGTTTATGTACCAGCGACTCGACTCATGCGGGCTTTCACTTTCCTTCTTTGCTCATGTAAATACATTATTTATCAATGTCTTTTTGTTATAAGAATAAAATATTACAACTTTTCACCAGTTATTAGCATGTTACCTTTGTGTAAATCAAGTGTTAACCGTATCTGAATGAGAAAAAAGTTGAAAATAGCCTGGGAATCAGTAAAAAAAAAAACGAACCGTATCATCCGTTGAAACCATGAAAGGCTGAGAAAAGAGAAAAGAAGCGCAGAGATCCTTTTTATTATCGTAACCAGTAGAAGAAAACCAGTATAAAACACCGTCAATCCCACCGTTCGAAGTCGGTTTGACCTGAACATGAAATAAATGAATGACTTGGTGAATAAGATAGACTTTACCAATATTAACTGATTCTAAAAGAAAAGCGAAAAAAAAAAACGGGTTCGCTTATTCAAATTTCCCATCGCAAAAACTGTTCATCTTTTTTTGTTTTAGTAAAATTCAACCTTTTTTGGAACTTCAGTCGTTATTCACCTTCGAAATCAGATTGAATTTCAGATTTATTTATGAATGAGACAGCTTTGCCGAAAAAAAAAAAAATCTAACTCACATCCAACTGTTTATAAATGAGTTCATAAATCTTCGAAGCAATGTTCTCCCTTGAAAAAATCATCGTTATCAAGTCGAACTCGTCGGAACAGAAAAAAATGTCACTCCTCGCTGCAAAGTCGAGAAAAATTCATAAAAAATGGAAAAGTTTAAAGCCGAGAATATAATCTCTTCGGTGTCTAAAGGAACTGCGAATCTTCTTGTCCGCTCTTTTAAACACCCAGGCAGATCGGGAAACTTTCGACACGTTGACAGTTAAAAAGCACGACTCACCAAGATCAAGCTCGCGGTACTCGAAAAGCGAGTAAGTCGATATGGGAGACAAGTCGACATCTCCATGTTTGGAAGGATCTGGCCGCGAGAGAGCCGCCAGGGATTTAGAGGAAAAAAGACATCCTCGAATAGTAACTGCCTCTGTGAAAAACCGATTTCTCTGAAAAATCTCACGGAATTTACCTGGAAAGATTCTTTGAACTGTATTGAAATCTGTTTCGAAAATTTGCCGAATCACTCCGTCGTCCAAACTGCCGTCGTAAGCCCCTGGCCAAGCTTGAAAAATCTTTAAAAACCAGTCAGTCAATACCGGCATACCCAACATCGTCGTATAATGTTTCAGTTCGCCATTTCTTCTTTCTTCCTCTTGGTTCATAAATGGCTCCAACCATCTAAAACACATAGTGCAAAGGAAATTAAACAAGTGATAGAAAATCTCTTTTACTTGCAGTAAATCTTATTCTGGAAAAAAATTCATAACCTAGTTTACAACCAAGAAAAACTCTCAAAATTTTCCACAGAAGGCTTTCGATAAATATATCTAAGATGATCTATTAGCTAATTTTTTTCCAGGCAGGGAACTTTCTGACTGTGAAGTTTCCGACAAATCCTTTTCCGACTTTTTTTAATTGACAAACTATTCGTTTTGAACCTTCCTATAAGAAATAAATAGGTTATTCATGGTTGAAACACAAAGTAAAAAGAAAACAATGTAATAGATATTTTATAAACCGAAAAACACAAAGGAAAAAAGTAGGGAGGGATCATTCGGAAAAGTTTGAAAGCTCGCTGGCTTTTTTTTAATAAACCCAAAATTATGAGGATATGGCAATTCCGCTACCATCAGCTACAGTTTCGTATGATCAAAGCGCAAGAAAACCAACATGTCAAGAAGTCGAAACTTTGTGCAATTGCGGACTTTGTCCAGCGGCTCATCTCGGAGTTGCTCAAGCAACCATTCGCACGTCTGCCGGTTCTCCATCCGCAGCAAATTGTCCACCAAACGAATCCTAGGGGCGATTTCCTGCATCATATCTCGGAACACCGTCTCCTAAACTTTAGATCGAAGAATTTCCTAACCCGGCTTTCGTTCAGGTACATGGTATATACTAACTAAAAGTACCTCAGGATAGACATTCAGAAGATGACCGTCAAGGAGGTTTGCCACGACAGGAAGATCTCCGCCTTGTTCAACTGGCACAGCAAACGCGAATGGATAAATTCCTTGGTCCCAGCAAGATCCGAGCTCGGAAGAATCTAATTCCACGCCAGGGGCAAGTTCTGATCTGAAACCAGCTTCATTTTAAGTACATTAAAACCTATAAATTGAAGAAACTACGACATTCCTAGTCATCTTTAGCATAACATCATTCACGCGCTCAAAATATTACACATTCTTTTTAAGCAGCTTCGCGGAGAAAAATTTAGAATTATCGCATCTAATAAGCTTAAAGTAGAAAATAGCAAAAAAAAAACTATTTAGCATTATAACATCAACTTTTAACGAACCTAAAATGTACGACCAAAAAATGAGCGGTTCCTGATGCGACAATAGGCATAGGAAAATGTTTCTCAACGTTGGAAAGGCTTCGAAGAGCACTCAAAGATTGAAAATCAACGTCGATGAATGGAACGGAAGGTGAAAGGTATCTTGGATTGGGCAAGTCGCTGACCGTGTGGCACCAGTAGTCGCCGTCTCAAAAGAATAAAGTTTTATCTCGTCGTTTATTGACTGCCTCAGACAGCTTCTTCACCGGAAAATGGCGAAACTAACCTTCCTCGGACAATCCGCAAAACTTTGAAATATATCGACGTCCCTCGAAATCTTTAGAAAAATTTTTATACTCTTCTTCGCATTCGAGTACTCTCAAATAAACCGTTGCCTTCAAAACATTTTTCGGTTTGAGAGCACTTAAGAACTCACTTTAGAAGGAATGAAAACAGTTGAAGGTTTGGCCAATCGCTCGTGAGCTGAGATGAAACTCCGCACCACATGCTCACCGAAGACACAGCAGTCGAGAATCTCAGCACAGATAACATCCGCCTCAAAATAAAAACTTGAGAAAGAAAAGAAAAACTCTTGCATCGTTAATTTTGTCTCCAAAATCACAACCGACTTCCTTAAAATACCTTTTCATCCAAATACAAATCGTTGGAGTTGCCAAAAAGAAGGCTGACACGGTCTGCCACTGCATTCCTTGTAAAAACTTTTTTCGCGATGTCTAAGAGCGCCACGTTCTCTTCAATAGCCCGAACATTCTTCGAGCATCTTTAAATGTCAATTTTGAATAGATCATGACGCCTAAAAAATGAACCAAACCTTGCCGCGTACACAGAAAGAAGCCCTGACCCAGTTCCAATGTCATAAACCACGTCTTCTTCGTTTTTTATTCTCAGCTTCAAAGCTTGTTCAAATTTCCGATTGCGATCCTGAAATCGGAAATATTCATGAGACTCAGAAAAATCGTTTCCACCTCGTCGTTTATCATTCTTATGTGCCATTGATCGAAAGCGCCAGATCGCAGATTGGCCTGCATGATTCTAGCCACAGTCCTCTCTTCTGCGCTCGTCGCGATATGGAGGATTTCACGGCAGAGTTTCAGACATTCGAACAAATGCATCTCGTTCCGACTATTATCATAAAGATGCTTGTTGACTATGAACAGCACCCGACAAGTGTTGGGGAATAATTGGCGGAGGTTCGGAAGGAGGTTCAGCGCCCGACTCATGTCTTCGTTTTCAGCAAGTAGCCACTTATAGAAAACATCACAAAACTCGTCTAAATATTGAGTTCTTTCGGCTAACGGCAACTGAAAACAGTTTATGAGGGAAAATTAAAAAAAAATCCGTAATATAGCAAAGCACTGAAGAATAAAAAAAACCTGATACAAAGACCCTAAATAGTTCGGCAAAGCGGTTTCATAATCTTCTGCACTTGCTGCTTGTCGAGCTGTTACTAAGGAGAACACGCAATTTTCTCTTCCGGCCATTACCTTAATGAGAATAACGTATAGAAAGGTCTCATTGGGCGAGAAAAAAAATTTGAGACTTCTTCAGTTACTTTTTGAAAACTCGTGATAAAATTAAATGGAACAAAAAAGAATAGAAAAACAGAAATTGTCATTTTAAAAAAAGACGGAAAAAAAATATTTTGAAAAGGCGCTATTCCGACCAATGGGGGCCGCTCTAGGACATTCTCAACGAGCTACTCAAGGGAAATTTCCCACTCGGCAGGGCATACTTTACCTCTTCCACGACGACATTCTTTTTTTGCGCTTTGACAAAATTTGTATTTATCCTTTTTTTCCTTCATAAAATTTTATAAAATCAGTCTTTTAATTTTTCGCATTAAAAAGATCGTTCAACAAAAAAAAAATTATAACATTATGTGTGCAATTTTTTCGGTGGTTTTTTAGAGGTTTCAGAATTGTTTTTGTTTCGTACTGAACATTTTTCTAACAAGATGTGTAGTAATTTGAGAGAAAACTCATTATTTTATGTATTTTCAGTGTGATAATCATCGGATGTCGACTAGTTCGGCAAAAGATGAGATCTCATCGCCCCGTATCTTTGCTTCTTCGGTGTTCACCATCGATGAATCTAAGTTATGTTTCAACAAATCCCACTTCAGTCGACCAGACTTTAACGTACAACGGTTCATGAACCTTGCGAGACAGTTAGTTGTTGACGGGATGAAACACGGAGTAGTGTTTTTTTTTTTTAGAAAAGCGGAACTGAAACAAATTCAACAAGATCTCAGACTCTACCTGAAAAGCGTTCAGAATTCTATGATAGAACTTATTAATGACGATTACGCCGATTTTGTTCATTTGTCGTCGAACCTCGTCAGTCTTCAGGACACTCTCAACAAAATCGAAAAAGAAATCAATGTGAGTTTTTCGTCAACTCTCTTCAATAGATAAGAGTTTTCAGGCAGTGTGGAACGACTTTGAGCAGACGACTCTGGAAGCTGTTGGAACTGCTGGAAAAGTGGAGAACTGTTGTGAAGAACTGACTTCAAATCGAGAAAGGCAGTCCTACGTGAGAGACCGCATTGCCTTTCTATCAGCACTCGAAAAGTTATCTACTTTGCTTCGAACTGCTCCTAAAGAGCCTAACGTTTTATGGTTTGTTTGGGGTTTAAAAGAAAAAAAAACTTTTTTTTGAGGTTGGAAAAGGTGGCTTCCTTTGTTGTTGACGTTGCTTCAGCTCGTTCACAGAAGATGATCACGAACGAGCGCGAGGAAAAGTGTCACCAATTGGTTGGTTTTCTTCTTCTTCTCTTTTAAAATCCACTTGTTTGTAGGACAACGTAAAAAATCAATTGATTTTTATTTTATTTTTATTTTTTGGTAACTTCTCTTTGAGGTGCTCTCGAAACTGGAAGATCTACTGTGCAGCGAAGGCGTCCGGAGTCTCTCTGGAAACTGTGCAACTTTGCCTTTGGTCCTGTCGATCTTGACGTTGACGGACAGCACCCACGCCTTGACGGCCCGTCTTGTTTCCGACCTTATCTACCCGAAATTGGTGCGACCCAACGACGACAGCTACCAGCGACTCACCGACGTCTTCAGCAGCATTCTGGAGGCATCTGCCCATTCCCAAATCTTTGTAATTATCCAGTTTAGATGCGCGCCAACTGGTCAAACACCCTTGGACACCGTTTTCATGGTCCCGTACGCGTTTTCCTCGACCAGACGCTTCTAACATTTCTTCTCACTTTCATCGACAAGGTTTAAAATTTTTTTAATGAGCTTCAGGAGAGCTTTCATCGATATTTTCAAGATCGGTTGTGTTGCAAAAAAAGTTTGTTTATGAGAGCATATTTTTTCGTCAGAAGCTTGATGTTTAGAAGGCATTAGAACATTTTCAAGAAAGGATACTATGCGAACATTTAAAACAAGAAGTTGCTCTATTTAAAAAAAAAAGTCGATGGTAAATAATTTCGTTTGATTGGAAAACTTTTTCAATTCAATTAAACCCAATAAAACAGCCCTTCCAACTACGCAGATGTGGAAAAACTTCAATAGCTTCCAGAAAAGCTTCAATTTATAAATAATCTCTCAAAAGGATTTCCTTTGCTCATGGCCGATGACGTTCGCTTACAGACCTTTTGATTGGTTAGGGGTGTAACGGGAATTATGAACTTTCTCGAAATTTCTTTTCGCGGTTTAGTCTCTATGAAGTATTCAAGTTTGATCTATTGAATATATTCACAGTGCATGGGAACAGTGGCTGTGCCTAGCGATACCCGTTTGTTCCATCGCTGCTACCTTGCAACACAGGACTTTATCGGAAAATGGCCCTCGGGAAGACATTCCAGGTTTTTTTTCTTTTTTTTTTCTTTTCGGAAATGGGGATGCATCAAAATTCCCTTTGAATGCGAAAAATTTTCGGGGATTGTAGAAATCCTAAACGTATTTGAAAGATACACAAGTTTCCTAGTCTTTTGATAAAATCGACCTTTTCAGAGCCATGTTGAAACTGATTCGGGAAAAGTTCAACCTGGTAGTGTACTTCAAGCTGGAAACTCACAAGCACACGAGAGCGATCGAGGCGAACAGTTCCCTGGAAAACGTCGCCTTGTGTGAACAGCAGAATAGTGAAGTTTTCACGGCTTCTTCTGAATCTCCTGATTTTTTTTTTCCTATTTTTAGAATTTCTACTACAAGCTTTCTCTGAAAATCTTCGATGCGGTCGAGAGTCTCTGGGAAGAAGAAGTTTATCTTCCTCCCCTTGTTGACAAACTCTGGGACTTCACATTGCGTTTGATCTCCAAGCACTTTTCCTGGGTCAAATCCGCTCAAAAGTAAGGAATTTTCGTCGAAAAAGCCTAATACTTTGGAATGCAGGCATTTCGGAGAAGAAGGAAATCAAATCGAAGGGGTTCCTCGCTGGAAATGTCTTTTGTGGCTCAGAGGCGACGCGTCTCGACTTCAGTCCGAAGCTTTCGATTTCGCTTTGGAAAGTGTTTGGCCGAAACTGAGGTGAGAACTTTCGTTTTTCCGTTTTCGCCGTGGGGGAATTAATATCGAGAAAAAAGACCTCATTTCTTAAAAACAACTAAATAATTACACTGCCTAAATTTATTCTTGGAAAAAGGCAGGGAGTGCTCGAAAAGTTCAGTTTAAACTATGGAGTTTTCACCTGAATTTCTATTTTTGTTAAAAATTTTTCCAACTTCTTAAAAATTTGTCTGTATCAGATTGAAATTTTGTTCGGTAGAAGAATGATTCTTATAAGGGTAGATCCTTCCTACGCAAAGTTTCACATGTGAAATTCAGCAAATCAGTGAAAGTTCCATAGAAGTGCTTGGGAAAAGACAGGAGAACTTTTCAGAAAATTTGCTTTTTGAATGTTGACGAAATCATCTTCTTTTCAGAGATCTCGACGTAGACACGAGTTCTTTCGGCCAATGCCTGACGAAGCACGGGAGATCAGTGGACGCCTTGTGCAGCAACATCGATTCCGACGTTGTCCAACTGTTTTCTGGCCTTGTCAATAAAGTGAAAATAACGACTAACTTCCGCTCAAACTCGAGAATCGCAGGAACTCACGCAAGTGAACGACGTGCCCAAGCAGTACCGATGGACGAAGAAACCGCCGCCTTCAACTCATTCGGCCTATGTGTCTACGGCAGTTTCGATGATTGATGAGTTTGAAAACGTCTTGAGGTCTTTTCCCTCTTAGTTTTTCGTTGACTTCTCCCTTTTCAGACTGCAGGAACATCCAAATGTTCAGAAACTTGTCCTGGATATTAATCAGAATGCGCTGGATTTTTTCGCTTTAAAAGCAAAGGAGGTGAATAGCTAATTCAATAAGTCGATACTTTTTCTTCGAGATTCTCAGGTTCAAGACAGTGTGGAAGCCACTGGTTCCAGTCTTTCACGGTTCAAGAAAAAGGAGGCGTCCGACGGCACAACGGATGACGATAAAATCAAAATACAGGTAATATTTGGAGAATGGACTACCTCGAAGTCAAATGAGTTTAGCGAGATATTAAAGTTTGATTTTTATTTGGGTTTCTGGGAATATTCCATTTTTTTAAATGAATATGACCATGAAAGTTTTTTTTTGTATTGAGTTCAAAACATTCCATCTAGGGGAATGAAAATTAGAGATTTTTTTTTAAAAACAAAGCCTTTTTTTAATAGTTTCGCCTTTTTCGACCTTGAGATTTTTGCACTTCTCGCGATCTGTTTCAGATCCATCACGACGCGATTCACTTGTTGGAGAGAAGTCGTCTTCTGGGAATAACTGTAGATGGCCTCGAAACTTTGTCCCAACGCTACACTGCTCCGATCTCCAAGGATTCTTCTCGCGCATCTCCGGCCTTCGATGCCCCCGCCGCCTCCATCAATCTCGAAACTGTTCAAACCCAACTTCCACCGACAAACGAGGAAGATTCAACCTGATCTTTTTGGCTTCAGCCCCCTGAAATAGAGTCAAAAACCGCATAGATGTATTATTTGCTGCATATAGCTTTATTGACATTATTTCATTGCCTTTTTTTTTACCATTTTCTCTTGGACTAATACGGTTGATATTTCTTTGGGAATCGGTTCCAATTAATCTGTGATGATCTGTGTTTTGTTTTAGTTAAGAACTTTTTTTGCTTTATCTATGATAATGAAATTTATCCTTTTTTTACACTGTTAACATGTTTTTAAGGTTTATTGCCATGATTGTACCTATTAACAAACTTTTTTTTCACAAGGAATTTTTTTATAAAAGATGACGAGTTGGGCGGATATCCAGCGTCTGGCGTCGGATCTTCAGCGCGTCCAGCTCTCCCAGTCGTCGAAAAAGTGTTTTATTTCATCTGAAAGTCTCTGGAAAGTCTTTTTAGGCTTTCTGAAGCGAATTGTGTGGAAGTGGTGACGAAACTAATCGAAAAGTCGCTCATCAATGTGGTTTTCACGCGAGACGGCCAATCCTACATAACGAAGAAGCATTTGGAAACTGAAGTTGGAGAATTGTCGTGCTTTTGATCATTTCCATCTACACCAGGTGAAAAACGAATGCGTTGCGGCTGGAGGTCGCGCTCCCTTGACCGACATCGCGACTTCGCTCAACGTCGACTTCGATCATGTCGACCGAATCGCCAAACTTGTCGTTGTTGAAGACTCAGCCTACACTCTCTCCAATGGAGAGATTTTCGCGACGTTTCCTTCGATATTTGAGCTCCTCAGGAGAATTGGTCTTGAAGGGAATACGTCCACCAATTGCAAAGCGAACTTCGCAATCTGCTGGAGGAACACGGCAGCCAGACGCTTGCTTCGCTCTGCAAGCAATGGGACTTGTCCCAGGTTCGATTTGTACCAATCAACATTTGTACCAATCTACTGTATCAATCGAGTTCGAATAATTTTTGGAAGATTTTCTGTAACTATAGTCGATTTTATCAAAAATTTTTTAGACTTGATTTTTTTTTTGAAGTGAGCTTGTGATTTCTGATAAAAATGTAAATTATTTTATCCGCGTAAAAAACGAGAAATAAAGCGACAGATAATAGAAACTCGAGTTATTTACTTTCTGAAATAGACCTTGTTTGTTCGTTTCATAGCTAATGTTTCCAGGAACTACTGCAGTCTCTTCTTCTCAGCAAATTGCCACAAGACTTCAACGGAGTGATCGATGGAGACACGATCTACACGAAAGAGTTCCTCAACAGCCGGAAAATGTTGCTTCGCGCTGTCCTTGTCGCCATTACTAAGTCGGCTTCACTCCTCTTTCCTCCAGAAAAAAACTTTCAGAGTCACGCCTATCAGTACGATCCAACAGAGAGTCGCCCTGACCCCGAAGAGATTCTGGATGGCTATGGATGAGCTAATAGAAGAGGCAGAGGTCGGTTCAGATCGATCTCCTCAAAAACTGGAATTCGCAGGTTCCCGGTCGGATCGTCGGCTCCAGAACCTCTCCCTCGTGTCATTACTCGCCCTTTGTGCACGAAATGCTCGTCAACATCTGTGTTCAGAACTCTCTCCGACAGAATGAATATCTTCGTTTGTTACTACTCGGAAGGCAATTTTCGAAGTGCAACTTTTGAAGAACTCGGCGAGTTGAAGAAATTGGGAGTCGACGGCGTGAATGGAGTCGGGCAAATTTTGGGCAAACAAGCGCCGAAACTTTTTGCGTTTTCTTCATTACTTCTAACTGAAAGCCTCCACGAACAATGTGCCGCGGCTGTCAAAGGTGGGCCGCAGATGAAATCGAAATTTGAATCAAATAGCTTCGGGAATTTTATTTACGAAATGTTTTGTCCGCGGTTTTCTTCTACTCTTTTGTCAGTTAAAAGACAAAAGACTCCAGCGCGTGATTTTTGAGACTGAGTCATTTTTCACTTTCAGTTGAGTTGGGATTTTTTTTCAGAAGAGCTCCAAAAGTCGAAAATTTGTGAGGTCCGAAGCGTCCTTCAGGCGATGGATATTCCTGTGGATGATGCTGACGCCGACAAATTCGGAGAAGCGTTCGCTTCGAGGGAAAATGTTTGCTTTATTATTTCTGTCTGGGCTTAGTTTCTATCGATTATCAATTTCAACTAAGGGCAGCTTATAATCTTAAGAAGTTCATTGAAATTTCGGATAAAGAGAGCTTTGGTTATATTGATATAGAATCGATTCAGAATGTTTTGTTCGCCGAAGGTTTCTTGTTTTCGAACAATTTGCTGAGCGATGCGACGGCAGCTCTTGAAGAGCAGATTGAGAAAAAAGCTCATGAAGAGGTTTCTCTTTTTCTTGTAAAGAAATCACGAATAATTAATTTCAGTTGGACCGTATCGAGAAGGAGAAAAAAACTGGTTCTGGTGGCAAAACTACTAAGAAAACTGAGGTTTTTACCAGGGACTATCTCTTTTTTTTCTATACCATCTTCAGGACGACGAAGACTGGGGCGATGGGAAGAAAGGAGGAAAGAAAAAAGGGAAATCTGCCGGCGGCGGAAAGGCGGCAAAGCCAAAAGGAGCCGAGAAAAATGAACCATCAAGTCATAGTGTTGCCATTTCTTCGGAGGTTCCGCTTTAGAAGATACCTCCTGAAGCTGGAAGAGATTCAGGAGCTTGAACAGTGGCTGAGAGATGGAGCTGTCGTTCCCGAAGAGATTCTGGATACCGTCGTCGACCGGATCTCTTCTGATGTGAGTGAAGGCAGAAAAGATTCAAGATGAAAGATTTTTGAGTAGGAAAAAGCCAGCTGGTCAATTATCTAAAAACTTTTATGTAAAACTGAAATTTCACAATACATTTTAATGTTTTTGTAGGTGACAGGTCAGCTGAGAAAACGCGTCGCGGAGCTGGCCGCGACTCAGCTGACGGCGAACGCGCAGTCGCAGAAGCGAAACCTCGCAGCGATCGCCGATCGCGCCCAGCAGATCTACACTTCTTTCTGTTCTTTCGAGGCTTCAACAGAAAGCTTCGTAGGTCTCAGAGGAATATCTTTTCCATGAAAGCGGAACTTTTTTTCAGATCCTTTACAGTTCGACTTGAAAAAGTATCTTCTGCGGAACGTCGGCGTCGAGCTTGCCAATGGTGTACTCGCCTACGTCACAGGCATCGACAATGCTCACCAACTCAAGGAGAAGGTTCGTTGCAATCTGAGGAGTTCAACAGAGAATCGAATGCTCTATTTTCAGCAGAAAGAGGAAACTATCGAAGAACTGCCTGACGTTGTTCGGGAGCCACTCAAAAAGCTTTTTTCGTCGGTCAAGGCTGAGTCCCTCGACGATTTTCACGACGCCGTACACGACTGCAGCTTGTCGTCGACTATAGGAATCCGCAAGGCCGACAAGAAAGCCAGGTTTGCTTCTGATTTCAACTCCCTTTGAGTATACTGAAAGGAAAGGAAGAAATTGCGGCCAATTGATATAGTTAATATTTCTCTGTCAGCATTTTCCCTTCTCCCGAAAAGTCAAGTCGCTTGAGACTTTGAGACTTCTCTGATGTATTCTCTAGAACACCAGACAACAGCCGAAAAGAAAATTCCCTACTTTCGTTTCCGAGTCAAGTCATGGTCGTCTGTTAACATAAATTCTACAGTTAAAAGCACTTCAAGAAATGCATACTTCAGAGTTTCTTGGCACGACTTATCATATAATTATCAATCCGAAAGGTTGACCTATAATCCGTATACTACTCTTTTAAATATTCCTACAAATCGAAAAATAAATTGGAATTTTTTTCATAATCGGTTGATAGGTCAACGAATTGATAATTACCATATTCGTAAAGAATTAATTCGATTTAAAATAGGCCAAATTTCATGAATTTCTCAAGATTTTTTCATTTTTTTCATCTACTTTCCTCAAGGTTTTATAGCTCAAAGTTTTCCGAGCATTATAATGTGGAGATGAAAGTAATGACCTGACAGGAGTGATTTCAACGCGAAATTGCTCTCGGACCTGCGACAACAAGTCGAAGAACAGAAGGAGCCGGCGGCATGTCTGCTGCTCGTCGTGCTCTTTTTCTTCGCTAAGGCCGGAAAACCGTTGACGGCCAGTGGCAAATTCGTCGCTTCCCTCATTCCTCAGCTCCAGGAGTCCTGTACCGAGGTTGGTTCTTTGACACCTTTTCAGCTCAGAACATAGTAAAAACAATTCTTGTTCGCTCACAGACAAATTTGTGGCGTGGAAGAGCTTTTGCTTAAAACCGTTAATCTTAAGACTCAAGAAGAAGCTCCAGTATGAGAATTAAGGAGACGATGAATCTTCTGACCTCCTGTCAGAAGTTGGTGGTGACGTGCATGAAGAACAAGGACAACGAGGACGACAAAAAGCTCCTCGACGAGGCCATTCTTTCTTTGAAAAATTTGGATCGTAATTAGTAAATTTGTCTATATTTTATTCGTAAGGCGTTCCACTTGTATGCGTAAATGATATGAGAAATAAAGAGCTATTGAGTTTCTTTCGATTTTTTGAAAATTGCCTTGGTTTGACGTACAGTATCCAATTGTTTATTTCATCGGTCTGTTCGAAATATTGCAAAGTAAAGTACAAAACGTATGGGGTAGAAGGAGAAAAACCAGCTTTCTCATCAGTGGATTCTGTCTTATTATAAAAAGGGAGAGAGAGAGAGAAATTTATAGTTCCGCTGAGTTAGAGTATCAATCGACACGTTTTTATGTGTTAAACGACAGTGCCCCCGAGAAGGATTCGATTAGAACTTTACACTGAATCACAATATTGGTATTTTTGTTTTCTTCCCGACAGATAGCTTTCAGACATGGGGAATATCGACGTATAACAAGATAAATAAATACATAGCAATATAGTGAGGATATTGAAAAGAGGACGATTCATCGGTGCATAACCAGTCAATAAATGAGAGTAGGACAGGAGTCAGAGTTGCATTGATGAAAGATACAAAACAATTTTTTTGATTGCAAGGAGGTCTTTGGCATATTAGAAATTATTAATGGAACATCCTGACAAGAAATCGATTTTTTTTTTCGTTCAAACACGATATGACTGAGCTACGAACAGGTGCGGGCAAATTTAGATCTATCATCAGTCGACCGTTGGCCCGTGAGAAATTCTCCAGAAGTTTCGAAGGCTTCTAAAACGGAGGGATTTCGGCGTTGGCGTCAGCGGAAGGCGCCGCGCATGTCCTGTAGAAGATGAGGTTGTACTCTTCGTAGCTGCTGTGCAGGTGCTCCTCGTTGGCGAAACAGGCCTCCGTCGTGTGGGCCACGCGGAATCGGTACGCCGACTGCATGTATGAACCGACTGACAGCTCGAACATATCCTCCGTGATCTGCAAAATGTTTTCCTCCATTTAATGGGCAGAAAAAAATTCGATTCTTGGTTCTGAAGGTAAAAATATATAGGGTATTTGAAGGATTCTGATAAAGGGATTTATTCAAAGAGAAATTTGCCTAAAATCGCTTTGTAGAAATATTAAGGATATTAATTCTATACGGAAAAATTTTGTGCAGTTTGTGATTGGAGATTTCTGTTTGTAGATATCTTCATCTTTCACTTCTAATTCAAGATACTTCTCTGAGAAAAATTATTTTTTTCTAAAAAAATTTTAGATTCATTTTGCAAAAAAAGCTACTGTTGTTTGTAGGAAATGTGATTAGAAACTTTCTTTTCTGCATCGTTTTAATTTGTAGCCTTCATAAATATGAAAATTTTATATTCTTCCAATCAGTTAAAATTCTAACCTGATCCGAAACTGGGTACTGGTTAGGGTCCTTGTTAGGATTGGTAGAACAGTCCTTGTGCTGGAACTCGGACAAGTAGCCGCAGTTGTTGACGATCTTGCTGCGCGGGACTCTGAAACACAGCTGTCAACCGAGTCCTCTGAATATACGACTAACGAGAAGAAAATCTCGATGGGCGCATCAGGCAGGAACGGCGAAACAGGGATGTAGAGGTTGAAGATGCCGCGACGACGACTGCAGCTCTTCTCGATGCAGTAACGGCTGTCGATCGTGACGTTGTGGCTCGGGATGGCGATTTGGACGCCGGAGCTGAACGAAGAGCCGACTGGACCTCGCAATGGAGCGCTTCTTTGCACGATCATCTTGTGGTCCGCTACGCCGGCCGCGTCTTCCAGCTTCAAAACAAGTTGTGGGGCTTTTTTCGACGCAACACTTTCATGGAAGTTCTCAAAAAAAAAAAAGGAATTCCAACCAAACGTTATTTTTTACAAAAAAAAAGTCGCTGGTTGATTCGTTCAAGGGATGGTTGCAAGACTGTAGATGAAGTTTGAAAAGAATAACTAATAGTTTGTATAACATTTGAATGATTTTATTTTGCCTAGCCATAGAACTGTAGAGCTCGTGTTTATCTGCCTGTTCTCAGAACTTACTTCGTCCATTGAGCTGTAGTCGAACTTTGCCTTCTCGGGAGAGCAACAATAGGTTCGACATGTGTTCGATCGACATTTGGACATTAACGGCGGCGCATCAGGTTGGCTAACAGGTAAGTCTCGATTTTCTGAAAATCCGAACTTGAGAACGTTTTCTACGAAGTCATCGCACCTGCAGGAACCACCATGTTGGCCGGTTCTTCCTTGGCGGTGGGAGCGGGGTATACGTGGTGATATCCGTAGTTGCGATTGTGCCAGTCGAGAACATACAGAGCGGACATTCCGATGAGGCAAGTTGCCATGACGACGACCAGGGTGATGATAGTGCCTTGGGTGAGTCTGGAGTTGCAGAGCGGCTGAGGAGCATCACGCTTTCCGCTTCGTCTGCGACTCTTGTCGACGACGGTGGAGGCGAGCGAAGACCGCGAGTAGGAGAGCATGCTACGCGTATCGCCGTTCAAGTTCGACGCCATCGATCCCAACAGCTTCTTGTGGCGGGCGTATCGAGCCAATCTTTGGCTGATTTCCTCTACCTTTTCGTCGATCTTGCTGTCGAGGTCGCCGGTGAGACGACACAACTCCTGAGTGGCAAGCACGGTTTCGTAGAAAACGCGTGATTCGTTGACCGTCAGGTAGTCTCCGATATCTTTGACTGCGTCAGGCAGGACGGCTGCCAACTCCTGTGCAATCACACCCGTCCTTTTCCGTTGGTCCTCAGTCAAGCCCCACTTCTCGGCTATCTCGGGCTTGTAGAAATAATCAACGACGCGAAGTTTGCAGAGATTCTCGAGAGCATCGCGAGCCTCTTTTTCTGCAATACCTTCCTTCAGTCGCAGATCTGATGGACAGATGACGCGGCCGGTTGTGTAGATGTCACCATCAACTGTGAGTTTTCCAAACGAGCGGTCAGTACCGACGGACACGGGTCCTGCGCTGGTCAGGATGTTGCCGTTTCTGGCCCAGGTGACGTCAGACTCTGGAGGCTCGAAGGAACCAGGGTTCGTGGCTCTGACGATGACCTTCTCTGATCCGTAGGACTGAATGAGGATGGAAGTGTCGTCAGAGACGCTGGCAAGCAGTCGAACGACTAGGAGGAAGTATTTCTGGTCCGGGTTCGGTCTGTAGTTCTTGCGCTGGTTGTTGAGGGTCGTCTCGGAGAAGTGAAGTCGTGGGACGGTGACCTTTGTCATGCGGCGTTCCTGGATCTCGAAAGGCACCGGATTGTGAGGGTGAGGCTTGCGATCAGTCCTCGACTGCTTGATGCATACTTCCGAAGTCGGCATCTGTCAAATTCGTTTCGTTTATTTGGGAATACTTCAAAATAATCACCTCGGCTTTGACGCCGCAGAAAGACAGTTTGAAGTCTTGAATAGGCACCAAAACCCCGTTATATCGGACATTCTTCGGCGGCATGTTGTCGCATGCTTCAACGTGAACCGAAATCTAGAACTCCCGAGTGAGGAGACCATTTTTCTCGCAATCCTACCTGGAAGTGATTTTTCTTCTGATTGACGAAGCAGTTATCGACAGAGGAATAGTTGAAGCCCTTGTCGGCCACGACGTGGACTTGCAACTGTTTGAGTTCTCTTCCATTCGCATCATACAGTGCGTTCCATTGTTCTTCTTGGAACTGATTGAACTTGATCACCTGAAATCCCAGAATATCGTGGCCGAAAATCACTAGATGAAGATTCCAAAACTTCCAACCTTCGTCATTTTCTTTTTCTTTGAGAATAAAAAGCTTGAATTCGAAATGAACTAACTCTTAAGAAACGCTGACTAGTGAGTTTTTATTTTATTCTAACTAAAAATAAACTAGTTGAAACTTTCAGATATGTCAAAATTCAGGCAATTCGTGAAACTTTTTCTCAATCAGTCTTTCAACTCTCTCGATTATATGTTCATCAAACCTTGATGATAAAATTCAATCAAAAATCTAATAGTTTTTTATGACTATTGTAAAAGAGATTTGATTTGAAAAACAACTCCCAAAATAGCAAAATTTTCAAGAGGTGAATGTGACTTGGAACATTCAGTACCTGCTGGCCGTAGGTCTCATCTGGATAGGATCCATCGATAGGACTGGAAGCCATCGGATTGCCCATCGCCGGCATGAACTTGTCGATTTGCGAGTCGACTCGGGCCCTTTTGCGGCTCATCGGCGCGTCTGGATTCTGGCTGTCGATGCTGCCTTCGCTCGAGCCGTTCAACATGCTGTAGAGATCCATCTGTCCGGAGTTGTACTGACGGATCGAGTAGTTCTCGTTGCACACGCCAGGTGAGGGAGACACCTGCAAATCGAAAAATAACCGAGACTTCTACGGAGAATGCAGACCTGGGCATTGCTGGCGGGAGTCATCTGACTGTTGGGGTACGGCGACATGAAGCAGGCGGCGCTCGGCGGCGAGTTCATCTGGTTGGCGTGTTGTCGGGCCATGAACTCCTGCTGCATCATGTTCGGCTGCAGGTCGTGCACTCCCAGGATCAATCCGTTGTTGTTCACCGGGTTGCCGTTCACTGAAAAGTGGTCATTCCTAATGCTTGTACATCGTCGTTTTTTTTTTTGCACGCAGTCCAAAGGTTTGACCTATCTTCCTTTATCCAAGCATTTGAGACAATCAGAATAATATTAAAAACCGTCCCTATGAAAGTTTTTCAAGGTCAAAGCTAAAAATTTAATAAATAAGTAAAAATTTGAGAAAATTATAGAGTGAAGTAGATTTTAGATGTTTTTTTTTCAGATATTAGCCACATTTCTCATCGATCGGAATTCGAAAAAAAGGTCAAGAAAATGGCCATCTGGCCTTGCAGAGGTTTCGATTGAGACAGACGGCGCCGTTTTCGGAATTTGAACCAATCATGACCTTACAAGGGCATCTGGAGCAAAGGCCACAAGTCGATTACTCTTTCTCCGAAAAAAAAAACAGAATTAGTAGAAAAAATTTATCTCCCGAATATATTTATAAAACCTCGGAAAATTTCTAAATTTGATACTTCCGTTGCTGACAAAATGGAAAAATATTGAAGCTAGCAAAATAAGTTTTGAAAAACATTGTTTCATTTTTTTATCTGACAATTACAACTCAAATCACAGGAATAAATAAAAAAATAAGAGTTAATATTAAATATTTTTCAAATCAATGAACCAATCTAACACCTTCACAGTTTGAAAAGCGATTTTGATATCTGAATTCAGAAAATCATCACAACAATTCACAATTTATTCAGTCTTCAGAGTAAGATGTAGAAAAAAAAATCTCTGCTGAATCATGGTATAATCGAAGAGTTTGTCGTCGGCACGGGTTGCGGTCCACAATCGTTGTCCAAAACGTCCCGGCGTGACAACTAGCGTTGGGAATTTATTTGGGCCCGTTGGTAGTACCAGCGAATAAACTGCTTCACCATGTTGGAACAGTACAGCGCCCAGCTTGTCCAGGGCAGACGGGCGTCGGAATATTATCCCATGAGAGAGCGGCAATGAGACCGACTAGTCGACGTGATGAAATGAGATAATAATAATAATCCTCAAAAACTTCAAAGAAAATCATCAAAAACTTCAAATTCAATCCAATCAACTTCTTTTTTTTTCTCATCGAAAAGTCCCCATCAACCGGTAAAGAAGGCCTAGAAATCGGCAGAAAAAAAAGAAGAGGAGCGGATCGGCGGCAGACGAAGATTTTAGCATTTTTCGGTGGTTGACACGAAATTGTGTGAAGGTCACGGACACTCGGACAAAAGCGAGAGAAAAAAAAGGAGAGGTCGTCTCAAGATGATCGGAACAAACCGGCGTCTTTCCCTCTTCGAAAACCGACAAATGACGTGAAGCTTCCAACAAACAACCCGAGATCTGGGTCAAGAAAACATGGAAGGAACAAAATAAAACGGACCGGAAAAGGGATAAGCATCAGGTGAGAAAGGCGCGTCCGAATTGCTGGAGGGCGAGCCCGAAGATCCGTTTCCGGAAAACTCAGTGATGGGCGGCGTGTCGGGAAGACGATTGTGGGACATCTGAAATCCTCAAAAAAATGAATGAACATTGATAAAAAAATATTTTTTTTGTCTTTTTTTAGGGTGAAACATATTCTGGTTTTTTTGAGCTTGCAAATGCACTGCACAAAAAAATCCTCTTTTTGAAATCATTTCATATCTCGAAGTAAAACAAAAAAATCAGAAAGCTAAAATTGATTATGCAATTCATAGAAAGAAGAACTGATCAGAAGTTCTTATTCTTTGAAACTTGAGTTCAGAATTTTTTTGCAAGCGTTTTTTAAGCCCTAATAACTTTCTTTTCATTGAAATCCATGAGCTTTTCAAAGTTTCAAAAATTATAAACTCTTTTTGGAATAATTAAATCATCTTTTTAAATATTAGAAAAAAAGCACTTTTTTTCAATTCTCAAGCAGATCTGATCGAGGATAGGAGGGAAAAATGTGTATAAATGAATGGAATGTTTTTTTTTCAAAGGTTGAAAGAAGGAAAGGTAAAAATTATACAGATTTCTTGTCCTTCGTGCCGAAAAAAAACTTATCACGCTAAATATCCTTAATTCGAAGAAAATAACATGATTTTGGTTTCATCTTTCTCTAAGCGTTCATAGCGCTTTTACTTTCTGATTTCTCTTCGAACAACATGTGCTCGCAACTCAAAAAAAAACCCCCATAACACCCAAAAAATTCATCAGATAACTAATTTGACAATGAAAAGATTATCAGTGGACCTGGTACATTCCGTTGTTGGTATTGTGCTGTGGGTCGGGCACCACGTTCTGATGGTGCAAATGACGCATTTGTGAAGGCGGCTGGCGATGGAGGCGGTTCGGATCCTCTTCTACGTTGCCGAAACTGAAAAAAAAAAATACAACTTTCCTGGAAAAATTTTGAAAATTCAAAAATTGTGCAAGGTGAATTGAAGTTCTAACTGTGTCTAAAACTCCTCGAGACCCTCAACACTGCAAAAAAATTAATTTTTTGGTTGTTTTGTGAAATACAAAGTTAAAACGGTTTGAAAAACGATTCAGACTTCTAAACAAAGACTCTGGTTTTTTCTTTTTGTTTATTGTTCGTAAGTAACGTGAGTCTTATCAAAATCAACTAAAAGATTTTCACACAACGATAAAAACAAGCTTTCTGATGAGTATTTTGAAATTCTCAGAAAGAGTTCGAGATAAAAAGAAGATAAAACAAAAAAACCAACCCTTGATCGGCGGCGAGGAATTCGACGATGTCGAAGGCCTGGTCCTCAAAAGGATCTACCAGCCGCTCTTCTGCAAAAATATTTTTCATCAAAAACCAAAGAAGTTTAATTTGATGAAAAAAATCATATAAATATCAATACTTTCAAAACTTATTTTATAAACTCGAACTTCCTTACGTTAAAATATGACTCAACAGGGATAAAAACAATGGAATAGAAGAGACTTTAAATTTTCCGAAAATATTGTTTTCGTAGATAAACATTTTGCAAAATGCGCTTGAAGCTCGCACCATGCCAAAGACCAATCGATAATAATAATGACCCAAAATAACCCATCGCTTTCCTAAGAAAAAAGGCAAAATTAAAAACGGACCTCCTTGATAATTACGTCGCTTGTTAGCCATACAAGATCATGGGAAAAAGCACAAAAATGCGTGTGATTTGCCAAAAACGAACGGCGGCGCAGGTAGGCCGAAAGAGAAGGATTTTTAGCGAAAAACGGACCGACTGGGTGGTGCCGCGCTGGCGCTCACCCGTACCAGGCAGCGACTCTGCCGGTACCACTCTGGCACCCTCTCTCCTTCCCAAATCTCTCGTCCTGCGGCTCTTTCTGCCTCGTCGTCTTGCAAATATCAGCCGTTCTTCCTACGTTCTTTATGCCCCCTTCTCTTCAATTTCGTCGTGCGGCAAATCGCCAGTCCTTTTTTTTTCATCATGATTTTTTTTTCGCAAAGAAAGAGGGATCGACTGCTTCTTTTGCTCAGCTCGTGATGATCACTAGAGTTCCTAGACCAAGATTCACAGCCATTTATGGAATGGGAATTTCTCTGACCTAGCTCATTGTACGAAAGCCAGAGCTCAGTTGCTAGAACTATTTTGTATTGCTCGCAAGATTTTCTGCTTTAAGTTCTCCCAAAATTAAAAAAGGAACTTAATACATTTGGGATGGTCCAATATCTGCTATTAGTAATTGATAAGGTTTCGTTTCCTTTTCGTGATAACCTCGAAAAAATCCTTTCTTAGGCGTTTCATGATAAAACTGATGCTGGTTCTGAACTTATAAAGAAGCAAGAGTAACAGAAAAAAAAATATTTAGCTTGTTTTTCATATTGAAAAGTTTATCAAAAAGTTCAATAAAGAGACTTCAGCTTTAGCATATCAAGTTTTTTTATTCAGTAAATGAAAGTTATTAAAAAAATACTTCATTTTTTTATATAGAAACTTTTAATTTATTTAAAAACTATGAAAAAAATATAATTCAATATCGTTATTAGTTTATTTCAAAATGTCTTAATTGTGATTATCAAGCCTTATCAGTCATATTTTATAATCAAAGACAAAGTTCGTCGAATGGAACTTGCGCCGCATCAAGCAAACAATTTAGGAGATATCATTTTAGTTGGTTTGGGCGGAGCGAGGTCAAGGAGTTTTGGTCTTTGGAAGGGAGCGAGGCGAACGCAGCAAAAATGTTTTTGTAACACCCAGTGCCGTGCCAGGCACCGCATTAAGAGCCTTCATGAAACAGCAAAAACAAAAAGCTAAAAAGCGCGTGGGAAAATGAAAAAAAAATCATATATAATTATCTGAATATATACCTCCTTGGAAGCCTTCGAAGCCAGGTGGGTAGGGATTTCTTGGCAGCATTTATCAAAATCCTCTCATCAAACGACACGAAAAACTGAAAACAGAACGCTTGGAACAAATACTTATAAGCAAGTGATAACGGGATGCTGACACAGAAGAACACTAAAGTAGAAGCAAAACAAAAACTTTGCGAAAAAGGAAGTTGCGAAACCCTTGAACACAGGAAAATAGAAAGTCTTCTAGAAATTCTTCTGGTTCAATAGAATGCGCAAAGTTACAAGATATCTCAGCATAAATAGCCTTCAGCCAAAGTAGCCACGCCCCAATTACACGCTTCTGGAGAACCCATCACAAAAAACTTTGATCTGATACTTCGAAAAATTCTGAGAACACCTCTAATAGGTTTTCGAAACTTAATCAGAAAAACCTGGGAACAGGAGTTGAAAACTTTAACTTAGTTATAAGATTGCATGAGATATCATTGGTCACCATTTTCTCGCCCGAGAATTAGCAATCACTAGATTTGCTGGCTAATTAGAAACAGTAATCTACACAAAAAAAACATTATCAGATTTGAAAACTTTGAAAATGTCATGAGAACGTGTTAATAAATAGATGAAGTTGCATGATAGAACCCAGTAATGAAAATTTGAAACTGCTTTAACGCCACGAAACATTGTTTAAACAGGGTATGATTTATCATCATTTTCCCACCAAATAATTACGGGATACTAGATTTTTCCACCAGTAATAAATCGTAATTTTGATAACTGATGTCAATTTACAAAAAAGTTCTCTGAACTATTTTGTTTTTGATTACTTTACAGATTAAACTTTAAACAAAAAAAACTATAAGAATTTATAATTTTTGTGAATTATTAAAAATAGGTTTTCGAAAATATTTGAGAGTTGGAAGTCGGAAAGAACTGCAGTGGACCCACAGACTTAGAAAACTAAAATTTGATGAAGCCACGCCTTCTGGTTCCCTGCCAATACATGACCAAAAGCATGATGAAACGCAAAAAGAACGCTTCGATGAAATGAAAGCGCAGAAAGTAACTGAAACGAAAAAATTGGAGGATGGTGAAACGGCGCGGCGCGGGAGAAGTTTTTTTTTGGCGCACGGTTTTTGCCTCTTTATTCTTCGCCCAGATGGTCGGAAAAAGTCCCAAGGACGATTTCGTTCCGTTTCCAACCTCTTCGAAGGCCACGGTCTCTGCGTAGAACGCGCGAGTCTCTCTGTGTGTTTTTTGACGGGGCACTCGGCTGCAGAACTGCCAGGTGCTGGCCACGTTCTTTCGTCATTTCCGCCAGCTTCGACAAAATGAGCCGTTTCATCCTGAAATGGGAAAACGTATACTGTGTGATAATTTCCAGCCTCAGAACATATCATTTACATACATAGGTATGCGTATTTTTTGAAACAAAACGTCTTTAGTTCAAAAAATAATACAAACAATCTCAAGAAGCACAGAACATTTGACTTTTCAAATAATAACCTAGCCAATTTCAAAGAAAGGGCAAATTCATAGCAAATATTGTTTAGTGTAGCACAGTGTTCCCAAACGGACGGCAGCTGCCACCCAACATAATTGCCGATATCGCAGCGGGCCGCACGCGATATAGCCAAGGCTTCTCGCTGCGATCTCGTCAACATGTCACTGCGACCTCGTCAAAGTCTCGCTGCCATATCGCTCCCTCTCAAAAATTTGAAATTTGAACAACATTTTTTTGCTTTATTTTTGACTTTTATGATGAAATCAATCAAATACAAGAAAAAAACTATTTTGAAGAAAAATTTTTCAGAGAGCGACGCAAGGCGTTTGCGAGGTCGCAGCGAGAGGCGAGCGATATCGCTCGCGGCTCCCCCGCGGTATAGCGTTACTCTCGCTGCGATATAGTCCACAAAATTGGGTGCGTGGTCAGTAGGCGTGGCTGACTGCAACAGCGGCACGGTTTATTGCAATAGGGGCGCGGGGATGGGAGTCAAGTTTTGTGGATTTAGTGGTTGGAAAAAGACCATTAAATGATGTTTTTCCTAGGTTCTCGCAAGTTTTCAAAGATTTTTAATGTGTATTAAATTACAACGAACAAATTTAAATGAAAAAAAGAGACGAAAACGTTTTTGCAAAACAAAATATCTCTCAAAATGTCGTTTTTTAGGAAAACTCGTCAAATCGAACTTCCAAAGGAAAAATTGAGAAAAAGCTCAAAGCACTTCTCTTAAGAAATACCATTTGAACGTTTTAAAACAAAAACAGACACATAATAGCAGAAAAAACTCGCGTTTTCGCCCCATTGCGACGACCTTTTTTTTCGCTTGCCGCCGTCTCTTATGGAACACTGTGAGGCGCATGAACGCATATTTCGAACCCATTTATTAGCCTAAGTTTCAGATCTTCATCAAACTCTACATGTAGGCGCGCCTGTTTCCGAGAGGACACAAAATTTTTTTCCAACGGCTTGATAAGTAAACGCATTATAAAAATTTGAAAGTGAGTAATATAACTAGGCTTCAAAAAAAGGGGAAGGTTGAACATAATAAGAACGTCTCAGAAAAAAGAAAAAAAAGCTTATAGCCCACACCAGTTCAGACCTACGGGGACCCGTCCGGTTTGCACTGCGCCGTCTTCCATACTAGACCATTTTTGATCATTTTTTGTATTGAATACAATTAATAAGGCAATTTCTGACATTAATAGATAAAAAATTACAGAAAAAAAAGACTTTTCACTTACTAAAGACGCATTTCCCAAAGTAGGCCATTTTTCAAGGCTTGCCAGCGTTCGCAAAAACTTGATTATTAAAACTAAATTTGTATCTTCGAATGTCTTATATGTGTTTTTCTTCAAATTTGTTTATTTTTTCGTACAAAAAGTCGCTATATAGCGAAGATATCGCCCAAAAACCGCTATTGGTGTATGCACAATTTAAGCGTACTGTGTGCCAAATCGGACGGGCTGAACAGATGTGAGCCTATTCCGCGCCAGCCTGTCACGTTTTTCTTTCCGCCAAAAAGACCGTATGCCAAATTAGATCAAATTTCTGCTTTTATAAAGGCAAGAAACAAAGGTCTTGAAGCGAAAGTTGGTTAAATTTGACAAAGCATTTTGGCGGAAAGAAAAACGCGACAAGCTAGCGCGGAATGGCCTCACGGCGTTCTGCGCAGTGGAAGAAAATGTAAAATTTTTGAAAATGTGGAGCGGCTTGGAAGGGTTGCTCCACCTAGATTTACGGTAGACAGCTTGCGCGCGAACATTTGAATTTCTTGTTGCTCAAGTGCTTCACGTGATTTTTCATGTTTATTTCAGCTGTATCTTTATCTGTTTTGTACTGATTTACGGTAATTGTTTTTTATTGCGACAGCAAAATGCGAAGGAACTTTTTTTTTCAATTTTCAATATTAACTGCTGTGTTTTGACCAAATTCTCCCTTTAAATAGCGTTTTGAAAAAACGCTATTTTTCGAGGAAAAAAAATATTTTTGAATTTAATGAGTATGCGAGTTAGCGTCGTTCTGTGTATGCACCAAAGACGTCAAATATTACGGAAATTGTGGGAGGGGCGTCGTCAAAAGAACGCCGTGGCCTATACATAAAATGAAAAAGGCTCTGAGTCAACAGGAATCATAAAGTTGAAGAAAGAGAACAGAATTCAGATAACCGGAAAAAAATATTCAATCTATTTGAAAATATATCCTTGTTATCAATGAAATTCGCTACAGAGAAAACTGTTCTGCTCAATTAAGAGCCGATTTGCGGACTGTGTCTGTACACTAGAGCAAAACAGCTGGAAATATGGTCTCAAAGTCCCAAACACGTGTTTTATGCAGTGTCTCTGTTTAAAAATTTATTTTTTTGAAGCTATAAATTGATTACTTGCTAACTTATCACAAAATTTTAATCTCGGGCAAAGTCGGAATGGTGTATAATGGCTGCTAAAAGGGAGAGGCTCAAAAAAGGCCGCAGACAGGCAGCAAAAAGGCAGCGAAAGGCAGCAAAGAGACTCCCTTCATCGAGCCTTCCATTTTTCTGGGATTTTAAAGGCTCGAGAAAAGGTGGAGAAAGGGAGAGGCAGCAAAAATGGTGCACAAGGGCTGAGAAAATGGTGCAAAAAGGCAGCAAAAAGAGAGCCTTCATCACCCTAAAAGGAACATTTCTATGGTCCTTTATGGACCCTCGGAGGGTCCTTCCGACTTTGCCTATGTATAGCACGCATGTTCAAGGCGGCCGGCCGTATTACGGTAGTCAAGCTAGGTTTTTCGGTAATAAAATGAAAACCTGTGTACTTTTTTTGTGACTTAACTTATCTTGTAACCTCGAGAAATAGGTCCTTAACAAATTGCAAAAAAAGATTAAAAAAATTCCTGGCTCGAAGCTGACGGCGCAATATTGACCGGCCGCCGTAGCACTGTCTTAAACATGCGGTATAGTCTGTTCAGATTTCGAATGTCAAGCAGCTCCCACTGACACAGTAACGTTTCGCCTAGATTTATTATTGTGCGCGACGATGATCCTTGAATATATTGCTACACTTTTCAAACTTTTTTGACCGAACAACAAGAAAAAGGAGTCAAAAATGCAGCGCTATTGAAGGATCATCAAGCGTGAAAAATTGACGCGAAAGATATTGTAGCTACTAAAATGATTTTTAAATTTAGCAAACTGTAAAAATAGCACTTTCGATGTTTATGAACGTTTCATCTTAAACTCACGTTTTGTTTAAAAGTTTAAATAAATGAAAGTAATAATGGAATGGCGATAAATCAGCTAATTACTTTGGCCCTTTCCTTCCCAGTAACTCTGTTTTCAGCAGTTTCATGTCTAATTCTGAGCTGACTGAGAGCCTCCATAGGCGAATCGAGAAAGGGTATCACGAGACCCTCTGAGGTATATCGCAGGCTCTGAAGTCTCTCCTCGAGCATATCTCCGAGGATTTTGAGCAACATAAGATATACTTGAGGGAGGCTCTGAAGTACCTTCGAGATGGCTCAGATATAGCTAAAAGGTATGCTGGAGGTCTCACGATGGACATATTATGGGGTATTCACGATCTATTTTTGAGAGATATCTTTGTGGACACATTATGGTCCCCTCCCGATTCGTCTCTGTTGTAAATTTTATTTTTGAACGTATTGCAAATGTATTTCATTATAAAAAGTTCTTCATAGGCGCGCGCCTCGGTTTTTCGTGTTTTTCCGTATTTCGTCCAAAAAAATAACAAGCTTCTCTTGGAAATTTCAATCCGTCGGATTATTTATCTTTCTTTTTTTATTATCTGCAATTTTTTTGGATTTTTGGTGTAATTATTATTTTATCTTAAGTTTCTTGGTTATTCGAAGAAGATCACATTTGAATTTTTTGCTTTTGCTCTTATTCGATATTTTTATGTAAACTTTATGTAAACGAATGTTACAAATATAATGAACTAATTTTTTTTTAATGTTTCAGAAAATTTTTTAATTGTTTGAAACGAGTCATGAGAAATGAGGAAAACGCCAAAAGCTTTTCAAAAAAAGTCACATGAACTGGTTGATGTTCGCCTCACCTTCCTTGAACATATGATTAGTGAAAAGGTTTGAAGCGAGTTGTTGAGCAAACATTAGAAACCTTGAAACACTGAGTCGGGTTGTCGTTCATTGTTCAAAAGAAAAAAATTGATTGTTTAGTTTTATTGCCTCGATACTAATTCAGGCCGTCTCATTTTTCATAAGATTTTTTTTGTTTAAATTTTTTTTGACAGCTTTTTTCGTGCACCACCGTCGTTTTGGAGGTTTTCCCGCATTTTTCGCTGCTCCAAAAAAATTGTGTCGACACCGACTCAAAGGTAGATGCCTCCCCGCCACTCAGAGGATGACGTGGCTGGCTCGCCAGGGGGAAAGGTCCATTAGGAGCTATTCCATTACCTGTCTAGCCAGCCACGTCGTTCGCCCCCAAACCATTTCTCCTCTTTCATTATTTTTCATTTCACTCAATTTTCCATTCTTATTGTTGATTTAAATTTATTGCTTTATCGTTATAATCTTGTTCGCGGAATATTTATGATAAAGGTTTAATTACCCAAGTTTGAGGTTGAACGGATCGCTGTCCGACCCGCACTCAACGCTCACTCAGGAAGACCCGCGTGGCAGGCAACAACACCGCTAAGCAGGGAGCGGCAACGAAAAGAGTCAGTTTCTACATTTTCTCAAATCAAGAGAAATTCAGTAGGACTCCAATTTGACTCTTTTCCTCAACCTACTCATCTAGCTCAGACAAAAAACCATACTCATCCCCTTTTTATGGTGCATCGGCTAAAGTAGGAAAACATCATGGCGACTCCATTCAGACTGTTCAAAACACAGCTGACAAAGTCGGATAACTGGTTAACTCAATGCGAAAAAGAAGCTCAACAGTTGCTGGACTTAGAGTCACTCACTCAGAGCGTGGCTCTCTCAGATCTTCGCAAAAGGGAGGACATACTCAATCAACGTCTAGAAACGGTTCAGCATGCGCTTGAAAATTTTGCCACGGCGTTTGATGAAGCTTACCCTCAACCAACAGCAGACGAGGAGGAGAAATTGGAAACTCGAATTGACGCAACACTTCGAATTCAAGAGAAGGCAACATCGACCCTCGTCAGCCTCAGAGCTCACATCCAGGAACGAGCTTCATCAGAAGGGAGCAGGACGACAACAAGGTCAAATCAACCATCGAATCCCATTTCAACTTCAATTCAAGCGCCAAGTTTGCCAGCTTTAAAAATTCCAGTCTTTAAAGGCGATTTAGAGTCTTGGAATACATTTTGGGTCATATTTGAAGAAACAATTCACAAAAACCCACATCATAAAATAATCAAATTCAGTCACCTTTTGAACTCACTACAAGGTCCGCCATTAGATCTAGTACGTCAATTCAGGGTGACAGAAAACAATTACGACCTGGCCATCAAATTGCTACAGGAAACATATGGCAACGAGAGCAGCGCCATCACGAATCTCTACCGAGACTTCTTGACTATTGAAGGAAAAAGGACTCGACACAAAAAGCACAGAAAGAGCTCCTGCAGTCATGCAAAAATCATCATCAACCAACTAGTGGGATATGGAGAGAACCTCAACTCACTGCTCCACACTCAAATGATGGTAGAAAAGTTCAATACTCAGATCCGCCGAGACGTCCTAGCCCATGAGTTAGCCATAGAAGAAAAAGATTGGACCATAAATCTTGTGTGTACTGCGTTGGAAGCAGCAATTCGTAGAGAAGAACGCGTTCGAAACCAAGGAATCAGAATCGAATCCAAGACGACGAAAACTTCTCAAGCTCCAAATTACTCAGACCACAGTCAGAGGGAGAGCAACAACTCAAGCTCAAACCGTCCAATGCAGAAAGGCAAATCATCCATGGAGCAGAAGACAGGAACAGGACTTACCTGCTATTTCTGCGAAGAAAAACATCTCTCATACAAATGTCGTAAGTTTCCTGACGTGCAATCCAGGAACGACCAAATCATAAAGGTCAAAAAATGCATCAGATGCCTTCAAAGGGGCCATCTTTTCAAAGACTGCAAGGCACCCTTGTGCAAAAGATGTACTGACGGGAAACATCATCATCTTCTTTGTAAGAAAGATTTATCCAGTTCAGTCCAAAGGCAAGAAGCAACAGGAGCAACTCAGGCCACAGTAAGCCGCAGCAGCAGGACGCCTACGCTTTCACTCAAAAATCGAGCAGAAAAACAGTCTCTTTCGAGGAAAGGGAAGGACGCTGATTCATGCGGAGCACTCAACGCGAAGACGGTAAAAATCAAAAGACAACCGCGCGACGCGACTGACGAAGAAGATAAAAAGCGACACGTCAGAGGAATGCTTTTAACAACGTCTGCAACAGCCTTCAACCCATCGAAACAACAGTGGACGTCAATTTCCATCATGTTCGATTCAGGGGCCGATTTTTCTTCGATCAGCTCACAGTTGGTAGAAGAATGGGGCTTGACGGTAACAGGAAAGCAAACATTGATGCTCCAAACATTTGGAACTCCTGAACTCAGGAAGACAACACTGAAAGAATCAGAAATCATTCTTCGAACGGTGGAAGGCAAAGAACTCACAGTACCTACTCTACAATCAGAAATCCTAGTGGGTACAGTCCCGAAAGCCGACCTATCTGGGGAAGACAAGAAGTTCATATCAGATAGGAAACTACACATGAGCGGAGATTGGTGGTATTCAGAAGTGACACCAGACGTCATAATTGGAGCAGACTTCATGTTTGACATGATCGACTCAACGCAACCTCAGCACAAACTCCCATCAGGGACGATCCTGATACCAACCGTTTTCGGTTATTCAGGAACAGGTCGCAGCACAGCTCCAACCGATAGAATTTTCGCAAACGGTATAATTTCCAAAGAATCAAGTGACCCCTGGAACGATTTCTGGGACCTCGAAAACGCAGGAATCGAAGACCATGCCCACGGCTCACTCAATTCAGAAACAGAAAGGATCAACCAGAAAGTTCTGAAAGAATTCAAAGAAACCGTTCAGCGAAGGGAAGACGGATACTACGTGAAGTTCCCGTGGAAATCAGATGAAACTCCACTCCCGACACACTACGCGATTGCAGAAAAACGCCTACAAAGCGTTATCAATCAGCAACCATTGGAAGTCTTGAAACAGATAGACGACATTTTCCAAGATCAACTCGAAAAAGGAATAATCGAGGAGGTCGACACCCAAAAGAAGACTTCAGATAGGATTCATTATAATCCTCACCAGCCGGTCTTGACACCTGGGAAAGAAACGACGAAGTGCAGAGTGGTCTATGACGCAAGTTGCCATTTTAAAAATGGACCGTCAATGAATGACCTCATCAATCAAGGACCTACTCTCATGCCAGACATTTTCGCAATGCTTCTTCGGTTTCGAGCAGGGAAAATAGCACTGTTGGCAGACGTCGAGAAAGCTTTTCTTCAAGTTCGTCTTCAAGAGTCAGAAAAAGATTCGACCAGATGTTTATGGCTCAAAGACTACAAAAAGCCTTTCTCGAAGGACAACATTATCACATATCGATTCACGAGGGTCATCTTCGGAGTCAATGCTTCTCCATTTTTACTGGAAGCAACCATTTATCATCACTTGGACAACGAAGTTCAAAACTCAATCCTGGCACAGGATATCAAAAATAACCTCTACGTCGACAATCTGATCCTCACAATGGACAGCGCAGAGGAAGCACTCGACACGTACAGCAGTACGAAATCCATCTTCAAAGACCTCAACATGAACCTTCGAGAGTACTTGATCAACGACGAAAAAGTACTCAGTCAACTTCCAGAAGCTGATAGGGCGACGCTGAAGGAAACAAAAGTCCTAGGGATACCTTGGGACCCCAAAGAAGATAAGGTCACGATAAAATGTGATCTCGGATCAGCAACAAATCCAAATCGCAGAACGATTGCCAGCCTTCTCGCATCCAACTACGATCCGATGGGATGGTTAGCTCCATTGGTTCTTCAAATCAAATTGTTCATTCGAGAACTCTGGAAACCTCCATACGACTGGGACACTAATCTGACCAAAGAACACGCCCACCAATGGGAGGAAATCGTGACTCAGCATTCAAACTTTCAACATTCTTTGCCAAGAGAAATTGTCTCTTTGGAGCAAGGAAATCGAATCATTACTTGCACCGACGCAAGCTCAGTGGCGATGGCAGCTTGTACTTATGTTGTGCAAAAAGGAAAGAGCAATCTTCTAATGGCGAAGTCAAAGCTAGCTTCATCAAAACTACCATCTACAATTCCGAAACTGGAGATGCAAGCACTCACAATTGGAGTTCGACTGACAAAATCGATCTGCGAAAGTCTAGAAGCAAAAAGAGTACGTTTGGAAGAGATAATCATTCTCTGCGACAGCGAAATTGTACTGAAATGGCTGAAAATGACACCAGGATCAAAAGAAGTAGGAGTCCTTGTGAAAAATCGAATCCATGAAATCAGAAAAATCGTAGCAGAACTGGTCAGAAAAGGATTCAGAATACGATTTGGATACGTTCGCACTCATCTCAATCCTGCTGATTGCGCTACTCGAGGATTGGTCAACTCCGAACTCAGTCAGCATATTTGGTGGACAGGTCCAACATTCGCGACAACTCCAACGGAAGCATGGCCATCTGAAACAAATTTGTTCCAACTTCCGGAAGAACCAGGAGAGGAAGAAGAAGATTCACTCAACACTTCAAATGACGTCTACATGGCTAATGTCGTCGTTAGCGAAGGAAAAGAGACAACCAAAAGGTCAGAAGCGCTATTCAAATGCGAACGCTACTCTTCCTTCTTCAGAGCTCAGCGCATAACAGCTCTTGTTCAGAGATTCATTGGAAAAATCTCCAAAAATCTGCCAGAATCAAGAAAAAGAGAAATTCAGGCAAAAGTTCAGTGGTCACAAGAACCTGAGCTCGGAAACCCAGCCAGAATTGACATCGATGAATTGAGAGCGGCGAAACAAAATCTCATCCGAGATCATCAGAAACATGAGTTGGACAAGACCAAAATCAAGAAATGGAAGGACTTTCAAGTCTTCAAGGACACACAGAAAATCTTCAGATGTACAGGTCGATTGGGGCATTCCAGCCTGACAGAAGAAGCAAAGCAACCAATACTGATAGCACCAAACTCAGCATTGGCACAACTCATCATCATGGAAGCTCATGGAGAAAAACACGTCTCTCTAGCTCATACAATGGCTGAAGTCAGGAAAACCTACTGGATTCCTAAACTTCGTCAACAAACCAAACACATCATCAGTCATTGCTCAGAATGTCAAAGATTCAATAAACTGCCGTACAGGTATCCAGATATGGAAGACTTGCCCAAAGAAAGAGTGACCAGAGCAACACCCTTTCAGCACATTGGACTGGATTATTTCGGACCTCTCAATTTTGAGAAAGAAGACGGAACTCAAGGAAAAGCCTATGGAGGAATCATCACATGTTCAATCACAAGATTGATCTACCTTGACCTCATGCCAGACTTGACCACAGTCTCCTTCTTGGGATTTCTCAGAAGATTCTTCTCCAGACACGGAGTACCACACTCCATTGTCTCGGACAACGCACCAACGTTTTCTCTGGGAGAACAAATCATTCAAGACGCAGTCAAAAGTGCAACGAGAGATGATATCATTCAAAACCTTATCGAAAGAGAAGGAATCCGATGGAAATTCATAACGCCGTATTCTCCGTGGCAAGGAGGATTCTACGAAAGACTCATCAGATCAGTGAAACTTTCCTTGTACAAATCACTGCGAAACAAGACATTGAACTTTGATCAATTGGCAACAGTTCTCATCGAAATTGCGGGAACACTAAACACTCGTCCGCTCACCTACTTGGAGTCGAAATGGGAATCATCCCCAATACTCAGACCAATCGACTTTCTACAGAAGGATTTGGAGATCAAATTCCCATGGGAAGATTCCAATGCCGACTCAGATGCAGCATACTTACCTCCAGAAGAAGCTTCCCAACTTCGAACAAGAACACAAGCGGTGGCAGCGCTACAGTACTCACACGAAGCAACAGAAAAATTCTGGAACATTTGGCAGACTCAATACCTGACAAATCTGAGAGAACATCATCAACAACAAATTGGAAACTCCAGATCTACGCAGACCCACTGAAGAAGGGGATGTCGTTTTTATTGGTAGACCCGAACCAGACGAGGAACAACTGGAAAACCGGTCGAATCACCAAACTTCAAACAAGCAAGACAGGAGCAGTACGAGAAGTGGAAGTCCTACTTCCTACGAAAAGGACAGTCCGCAGACCAATCAATTTATTGGTGCCCATGGAACTTTCCGACCCAAGAGAACCAACAGCCAAATCAAAAGTCCTACACAACGATCAGGACATCAATCGAAGGACCAAGGAAGACACTTCAGACAAAGAAGAAATTCACGTCCAGAGAAGATACAACCTTCGACCAAAAACATCAGTCAAATACAAAGAAGACTCAGACTCAGAGAACGAGATTGAAGCTGAACCCACAGAACCAGATCCCAGGCAAAACGGATCAAGAAGGTCATCTTTCGCGCTCAGTTCAGCAATTTTTCAAGTCTCACTTCTTCTTTGTGTCACATTAGCCAGTGCCAGCCCAGTACTTCCATCAAATTCATCAAGTTGGAGCTGGAAATGTACCGCAGACGGAGTCAGAATTCAAAAACCACACGTTTTTTTGAAAAATGGAAGTGTGCGCAGAATCACATTGTTCAACACACTACTCCACCAGAGGCGACACTGAAATATGGATTCCAGCGTCAGTACAACTTCATCGTCACACAGTCAAGCTGAAAGGAACAGATGGGAAACTAATTCAGACAGCCGAAATGGACTGCGAAGCCAAACCATTCTGCAAATCATTGGATTGCACCCTTTGCATGGACAACCTAGCGAATCCAGAATGTTCTCCAACATTGGCCATTTTGGGAGCCGGCATTGTCATCTACGGGATCATCAGTTTCATATACTGCCTCTTCTGGGTCCCAATCCGCTTTGGAGCTCCATTGGTTTGCTCACTCAGAGGAATAAAATGGATAGCTACTCTCATAGCGAAAGGAATCTGGAGTGTCCTAAAATTCATGACAAAGGTCGTCTACGAGACTCTCTTCAGATGCTGGAAAAAAGAGAACAGACGTTCAAACACCAGAACAAGAATGTGGAAAGACATCTCGACCTCTACGACTTCACTACTTCTGATGGCATTGATTGCAGGAAATCAGGCCTGTCAAGAAATCGATGTCATGTCCCATCATTCGAAGATCTGCAACGGAAACGACTGCGAAGTTCAACTAGAAGAAGTTTTCCATTTGAATCCATTCAAACGAGAAGCTTGTCTTCAAATAACTCACGACAACACGACCCTGAGAGAAGTCAGAGCAGAATGGCTGAATTTGACGCTAGAGTGCTCCAAAGAAGTACTCACATTCACGAGAGAGGCCGAATACAACGTTCTGAGTGTGAAAAGGTGTCCCAGAATGGGCTCTTGTTCTGGAGAAAAATGCAGCAACATAACCAGACAATCATTGATTCCAGAACTTGCACAAGTCAACAACTTCACTGGAATAACTGGATGCTCCGAATCATGCGGAGGACCAGGTTGCGACTGTTTTTATCTCAGTTCCGGATGTCTTTTCTACAGGATCTACATGAAACCAGTCAACAATAAAATTCACACTCTGTTCCGCTGCTCAGAGTGGAAAGAAAAACTCTTCGTGAAATGGACAACGACAGAAATCAACTCCTACAAGCCAGCGTCCACATCAACAGTACTAGTACTTCGTCCAAACATTGAAGTACTTACTCGCCATGCCAAAATAACTCTCAGTTCCCTGCATACTCCAAACGTGCCCTTCACGAACTCCTGGTTCATACAAACCGATCAAAGCATCGCGACTTGGCCGCAGGAGAAATGGCCCGACCTCAGGTGCAGAGACTGGCTAGCCGCAGAAAACATGAACTGCACACTCATTGAAAATTGCAGATGTTCACCTGCAGAGACAATCATGCGTTGCACTTGCAAAAATCTCAACATTTCAGCCCATATGAGCTCATTTGGAAACCAACTTCCAATCAACACTCCGAGCTGGACAATGAAGTCAGCGAAGAAAGGACCGAAACTGTACTTCGACTCAGCAACCACAACCGAAATCACATTAAGAACGACGGAAAAAATCGACGTCACGATCATCAGACATGAAGACAACTGTCAGATTGAAACCACTCACGTTTCGGGATGTTATGGATGCAAAAAAGGAGCAGAAACAATGGTCACCTGTTTCTCAGAAACCAAGCAACTAATGGGCGAAATCAAATGCTCGGAAACGGCATTTACAGTTCCCTGTTCAAAAACAGGCTCAACAACACAGATTCGATTCTACGTCGATCAAGCTCATTTTCAAGAAAACTGCACAATTCAATGTGGAGGAAAAAACATCAATCAGTTTGAAGTAATTGGTGTCCTAAAATTCACAGGATCTCCTCTTCAGACAGTCCAAGCGCTTTTAAAAGGAGAAAAGATCAATCTCAACGAAATCACATGGCCAGACTTCATGCATATCATGGAAGTTTATCAGACGTGGATTAAAACTACGATGATCACACTCATTGCCATTCTAGCAGCCCTGGCGATTTCATACATCTTTATCATACCACTTCTTCCAGGACTAGTGAGGAAAATGGCTAAAACTGGCTTTCTTGGGTTCCAGATCATCCTATGGAGTCTAAAAATTATAGTCAACGTCACTCTAGTCAAACCAGCAACCATCATGTGTCATTTTTTTGGGTGGCGCCAAAGACATTCCGGACACGAAAAAATGCCACGTCATATGGTCTAAAAACTCACTCCAAAGCGCCTTCTACACATATTTGTCAACATTTTCTTCACTTCATTCATTCGAGATCCATAAACTCCATTATACCAACAATCAAAACAGTCACCCAACCACAAAAATCAACGCAACCTCAACAAGCATTCAATCCGAGGCGGGAACCGTCGGACGACGACCACTCATAGAACTCAGAGAACAACGCTAAGGAAAGCGGAAAAGCAAAAATTTTGTGTTCATTTTTTTTCCTCATTTTATTCATTGATTTTTCTCAATTCTTTGTCTCTTTTCCGTTCATACTTTTTCACTCATATTTTTCATTTTAAAATTCAATTCTAACTTCATTCCTCATCCATCCTAATTCATAATAATTCATCTCAACTCATCTCAGGCGGGGAGTGTCGACACCGACTCAAAGGTAGATGCCTCCCCGCCACTCAGAGGATGACGTGGCTGGCTCGCCAGGGGGAAAGGTCCATTAGGAGCTATTCCATTACCTGTCTAGCCAGCCACGTCGTTCGCCCCCAAACCATTTCTCCTCTTTCATTATTTTTCATTTCACTCAATTTTCCATTCTTATTGTTGATTTAAATTTATTGCTTTATCGTTATAATCTTGTTCGCGGAATATTTATGATAAAGGTTTAATTACCCAAGTTTGAGGTTGAACGGATCGCTGTCCGACCCGCACTCAACGCTCACTCAGGAAGACCCGCGTGGCAGGCAACAACACCGCTAAGCAGGGAGCGGCAACGAAAAGAGTCAGTTTCTACATTTTCTCAAATCAAGAGAAATTCAGTAGGACTCCAATTTGACTCTTTTCCTCAACCTACTCATCTAGCTCAGACAAAAAACCATACTCATCCCCTTTTTATGTTGCTTCCAGTAAAAATGGAGAAGCATTGACTCCGAAGATGACCCTCGTGAATCGATATGTGATAATGTTGTCCTTCGAGAAAGGCTTTTTGTAGTCTTTGAGCCATAAACATCTGGTCGAATCTTTTTCTGACTCTTGAAGACGAACTTGAAGAAAAGCTTTCTCGACGTCTGCCAACAGTGCTATTTTCCCTGCTCGAAACCGAAGAAGCATTGCGAAAATGTCTGGCATGAGAGTAGGTCCTTGATTGATGAGGTCATTCATTGACGGTCCATTTTTAAAATGGCAACTTGCGTCATAGACCACTCTGCACTTCGTCGTTTCTTTCCCAGGTGTCAAGACCGGCTGGTGAGGATTATAATGAATCCTATCTGAAGTCTTCTTTTGGGTGTCGACCTCCTCGATTATTCCTTTTTTTCGAGTTGATCTTGGAAAAATGTCGTCTATCTGTTTCAAGACTTCCAATGGTTGCTGATTGATAACGCTTTGTAGGCGTTTTTCTGCAATCGCGTAGTGTGTCGGGAGTGGAGTTTCATCTGATTTCCACGGGAACTTCACGTAGTATCCGTCTTCCCTTCGCTGAACGGTTTCTTTGAATTCTTTCAGAACTTTCTGGTTGATCCTTTCTGTTTCTGAATTGAGTGAGCCGTGGGCATGGTCTTCGATTCCTGCGTTTTCGAGGTCCCAGAAATCGTTCCAGGGGTCACTTGATTCTTTGGAAATTATACCGTTTGCGAAAATTCTATCGGTTGGAGCTGTGCTGCGACCTGTTCCTGAATAACCGAAAACGGTTGGTATCAGGATCGTCCCTGATGGGAGTTTGTGCTGAGGTTGCGTTGAGTCGATCATGTCAAACATGAAGTCTGCTCCAATTATGACGTCTGGTGTCACTTCTGAATACCACCAATCTCCGCTCATGTGTAGTTTCCTATCTGATATGAACTTCTTGTCTTCCCCAGATAGGTCGGCTTTCGGGACTGTACCCACTAGGATTTCTGATTGTAGAGTAGGTACTGTGAAATGGTGTATAATGGCTGCTAAAAGGGAGAGGCTCAAAAAAGGCCGCAGACAGGCAGCAAAAAGGCAGCGAAAGGCAGCAAAGAGACTCCCTTCATCGAGCCTTCCATTTTTCTGGGATTTTAAAGGCTCGAGAAAAGGTGGAGAAAGGGAGAGGCAGCAAAAATGGTGCACAAGGGCTGAGAAAATGGTGCAAAAAGGCAGCAAAAAGAGAGCCTTCATCACCCTAAAAGGAACATTTCTATGGTCCTTTATGGACCCTCGGAAGGTCCTTCCGACTTTGCCTATGTATAGCACGCATGTTCAAGGCGGCCGGCCGTATTACGGTAGTCAAGCTAGGTTTTTCGGTAATAAAATGAAAACCTGTGTACTTTTTGTGACTTAACTTATCTTGTAACCTCGAGAAATAGGTCCTTAACAAATTGCAAAAAAGAAAAAAAAAATTAAAAAAATTCCTGGCTCCGAAGCTGACGGCGCAATATTGACCGGCCGCCGTAGCACTGTCTTAAACATGCGGTATAGTCTGTTCAGATTTCGAATGTCAAGCAGCTCCCACTGACACAGTAACGTTTCGCCTAGATTTATTATTGTGCGCGACGATGATCCTTGAATATATTGCTACACTTTTCAAACTTTTTTGACCGAACAACAAGAAAAAGGAGTCAAAAATGCAGCGCTATTGAAGGATCATCAAGCGTGAAAAAAAATTGACGCGAAAGATATTGTAGCTACTAAAATGATTTTAAATTTAGCAAACTGTAAAATAGCACTTTCGATGTTTATGAACGTTTCATCTTAAACTCACGTTTTGTTTAAAAGTTTAAATAAATGAAAGTAATAATGGAATGGCGATAAATCAGCTAATTACTTGGCCCTTTCCTTCCCAGTAACTCTGTTTTCAGCAGTTTCATGTCTAATTCTGAGCTGACTGAGAGCCTCCATAGGCGAATCGAGAAAGGGTATCACGAGACCCTCTGAGGTATATCGCAGGCTCTGAAGTCTCTCCTCGAGCATATCTCCGAGGATTTTGAGCAACATAAGATATACTTGAGGGAGGCTCTGAAGTACCTTCGAGATGGCTCAGATATAGCTAAAAGGTATGCTGGAGGTCTCACGATGGACATATTATGGGGTATTCACGATCTATTTTGAGAGATATCTTTGTGGACACATTATGGTCCCCTCCCGATTCGTCTCTGTTGTAAATTTTATTTTTTTTTGAACGTATTGCAAATGTATTTCATTATAAAAAGTTCTTCATAGGCGCGCGCCTCGGTTTTCGTGTTTTTTTTTCCGTATTTCGTCCAAAAATAACAAGCTTCTCTTGGAAATTTCAATCCGTCGGATTATTTATCTTTCTTTTTTTATTATCTGCAATTTTTTTGGATTTTTTTGGTGTAATTATTATTTTATCTTAAGTTTCTTGGTTATTCGAAGAAGATCACATTTGAATTTTTTTGCTTTTGCTCTTATTCGATATTTTTTTATGTAAACTTTATGTAAACGAATGTTACAAATATAATGAACTAATTTTTTTTTAATGTTTCAGAAAATTTTTTAATTGTTTGAAACGAGTCATGAGAAATGAGGAAAACGCCAAAAGCTTTTCAAAAAAAGTCACATGAACTGGTTGATGTTCGCCTCACCTTCCTTGAACATATGATTAGTGAAAAGGTTTGAAGCGAGTTGTTGAGCAAACATTAGAAACCTTGAAACACTGAGTCGGGTTGTCGTTCATTGTTCAAAAAGAAAAAAATTGATTGTTTAGTTTTTATTGCCTCGATACTAATTCAGGCCGTCTCATTTTTCATAAGATTTTTTTTGTTTAAATTTTTTTTGACAGCTTTTTTCGTGCACCACCGTCGTTTTGGAGGTTTTCCCGCATTTTTCGCTGCTCCAAAAATTGGCAATGACAACCAAGGTCAGTGGGAAGCCCCTTGGCAGAAGGAGTGCAGGTCTGCATTCTTGCTGACTCAGAGGGAGGCGTTGGCAACCGATTTTTCGAAAGTTTCATGGGTCAACATGTAGAACACGAGGCGAACGACCAGAATAGGCAAAGGCGTCAGAAGAAACGAAAAAACGCGATTCTGCGCGTGGCGGCCGCCCACCGCTCGTCGCGTCGTCATTCCCGTCGACGATGTTCCGCGTGTCGCTCATCTTTCTATGGCTGGTGCAATGTTCTCTGCAGAAGCTCGAGACCTGCGCGACGGTAGACGAGAACGAGTTACTGTCGCCAGGCCAGATGCGCATGGTCTGCATGCACCGACAGCAGTGGCTCCGTGATCGAGATACCCACGCCTCCAAGGCTTTTGTCGGCCACACCTCCGGTTCGCCCAACTTTTTTTTGTCGCTATCAAACAAAAAATAAGAAGTTTTCATATTAACATGGGAAGATAGGTGATACTTAGTTAATTATCATATTCATCAAAGAGTATGTCTAATAACTCGGACAATTTTTGTTGGCATCGACTAATTAGATAAGAAACGGTTTATAAATATTTGATGACATGCAGTTTTGAATACTTTTTTCTGAGGATTTTATTTGGAAAAGTAGTAATACTCTTGGATACATGTTCGAATAATAGAAAAACATCGGACTTGCATAATCGAAAAATGAAGATGACGCAGTTTTCCATAGTTTTAACTTCCAAACCCGTTATGGACTTCGGGAGATTTTTTTTCAATTCTATAGTTTAATATTTATTGCTGATTCATCCTGCTGAGTTTTTGTATTTTTTTTTTTTGGAAGAAGTTGAGTAACATCAAACTTATCTCGAATAGAGAATTGCTTTTGCACTCTCAATTTTTCTCATTTTTTTTCCCCATTTTTGCTTTGTTTTTCTCATTTTTTTTTCATGTAATTCAATTCGTTATTCAGGGTTCTTTTTTGTCATTTTTCACGAGAAAATTTCCTCTGGGCTGATGCTAACTAAAACAGAAATTCCAGCTAGACATAAAATGTTTCATACATAACATTTCTGCAAATATTTGTTTATAACTTGATTCTACTATTTTGGTTTTTAGGTTGGATGTTGATTACACTTGATTTCTGATAATTTTCTCATAAACTTCCGAAAAAGAAAACACATTTTCTGACAGTCGGTCGTGATTCAATTTACCTACTTTTTCGGGTGATAGCACGTCCTTCCAATCAAGACGACCGGTTCTCATCAATTTTTTTCTGTTGTTCTTCTATGGTTTACTGTTTCTCAGAAATCTATGTCACGGGACCGTTTTGAGAAATTCTAATCTATTCAGCAATATTTATTTATTTATATATATTTTATGTTTTGTTTTTTTGTTGTTATTAACATATGTTATCTGTATAGGCGAGAAACTTCTTTTCTTTTTTTTGCACCCCGGTCATCTTGTAAAGACTCAAATCAGCGATGACTGTACTTTTTGACGGCCCGCACAAATAGACAATATTTCTGAAACGATTTTTTTTCAAATTGCTATCAACAATTCGTTTCAGAAATGCCAAAGTTATAGAGGATGGTGGATGTTTGTTTCATTCGCTGAATGAATCAAAGTACTATTTATGTTGAAGCCTCCAGAATGTTGTTTATTCTTCAATTTTCAGATCTACAAGCGGCATATCTACGAAGGATCGAATTATGTACGCGCGAGAACTGCGTGCGAGACGCTCGAAGAAAGGTAAAAAGAAAAACACTGAAACGAGCGGGAATCCAACACTGGGCTTCAAAAACCGGGCTGAGCGTTCTGTTTCTGGGCCAAAAAAGGGAGCGAAAGCTGCCTTTCGAAATATCACGTTCCGTTTTGACCAAATGGCTTGCGACAACCAAAAAAGGCATGACAAAGAAAGATTTCTCGCTTTATTTATTAACGTTTTCATTCATTAGAATTTCATTGATGACCGGTAACGTTATCGAAATTTTGATGGTTTACGCTTTCTCAGACTTGCTTTTTTTTTACCTAAAGGGTTTTGTATCGTCAATATTCCAGTTCAACTATAACAAGAAGTGTCAAAACAGAAAAAAAAAATGCTCACATTGACAGGTCCTATTAATCTTAGTTCAAAAATAATTATTTAGATAGTTTTTTTCAGAGCGCCGTGATTTATTTATTTTTTTCTATTCTAGAAGTATTCAAAGAGGAAATATTTTACTTAAGAGAAATATTTGACAATAAACAAAAATATACTCACTACTGTAGTTTTTTTATTTGACGTAAAAAAATAGAGCAGTAGCGAAGTAGAGCCTGATTAGAGTGGTGTTTCAGAAGCGCACTGCTTCGAAATCCATCCGGAAAGAGATCCGGATGATGTCGCCAGAGGAGTTGGAAGACCTCGGCAGAGCGATGAACGCCCTCAAAAGCCGTGTCATCGACAACATCACGGCCTGGGACCTTCACACTCTTGTTCATTACCCTGATAGTGCTCCAGGTTACTTTTTAAGACTTTTTTCTTCTCTCCTTAAAATCGTTTAAATTCATTTGGGAGTCTCCAATCGGGACCATGATTTCTGATAGAAAAAGGAGTTTTACAATTTAATGTTATTTTTTCTTATGAAAGAAGAGAAGTTAAACCTGAATGTTCTTTACACAAACCATTGCCTTTAATTTTCCCGTTGAACTTCAGGATAGTTTTCCTTCATTTTTCTAGCATGACGCGTTTTTCAATTACGGATGATTTTTTTTTTCATTAAGACGGAAAAAATGAAATAGAAATTTTTTGAAAAACCTGAGAAGCATTAAAAATAGGGAAAAGGGAGGTCTGAAATTTTACTATGAAAACAAACTCACGGTGGTCCGTGAAGCATACTTCTTATTAGATACGTTTGTTTTTGTTTTTGTTTTTTTTTTTGAAATGCCAAGCAGACTTTCTTGACAAGTATCAACCCATAAAAAAATTTATTCGCTTTCTGCCTTGTATTTCAACGATTTAATAGAAAAAAATTCTTCAATATGTTTTCTAAATATCTCTTCAGGAGCTCACTGGGGCCCGGCCTTTCTTCCTTGGCACCGCGAGTTTTTGCGGCAGTTCGAGATCGCCCTGCAGACGGAAGTGCCCACCGTGACGTTGCCTTACTGGGACTCGACTCTCGACCAAGGTCTCTCCTCTTCAATTCTACACAATCTCGTTCTTTTTTCTGTTCTTAGCTGATAATGAAATGATAGTAGGGTGTAGTAGTAACATTCCGCTGTGATCGCATATTTGCGCGTCGATACACAACAAAAGGAATGGTTGATTGATCAAAAGTAGCTGTTGCGCAAGTTTCTTCTGAAAAACGGAAGCTATAGTTTTAAAAAAAGTTGAAAAGTTTGAAAGGAGTAAATTATCTACGTACAGTTCTAAGATGAAGTGCCGTTTAGATTGTTCTTTGAAAAATTCTGCTCTTGAGAAGGATTTTAAAATACCCTTGCTAGATTTTTTTTTGTGCTGAATTTGAATCGTTTTCAACACCAGCTCATTCGTTCTTTTTTCGTAACTAACTATGCTCTCATTGCATGTTCAAGCTCGTTTTTCACTTTGTTCAATGGAACATCTAATAAACATGACTAAGTTGAAAAGATTTTTTTCTTTTTTTTTGAATAAAAAAAAGCTATAGAAAGGGCTCACAAAAAAATCTGTGTTGCCGAACTGTTCGCGTTTTTATTAATGAAGATGGTGTCAGAATGAGTTGAAAAATGGTTTCAGGACTTCCGGAGGAGTCTGACAGTGTGTTATGGACCGACGAATTGATGGGAAACGGGAACGGGTACGTGAAAACAGGACCTTTCAAGGACTGGTCCACCAACGTGTTCATGCCTCTCAGCCAGGTGCCAGTCAAAAGATTATACAGGTGTGCACTTTTTTTAAATTGAATTTACAGCTGAGGCTCCGTCTTCTCCTTTATTTTCCCTTTGTTAAGCTTAAGTTTTAATATTTCGACTTTGAAGTTCCATTTTAAGAATATCATCAAAGAGATGCCGAAAAACTTTTACATATTTATTGAGTCGTTGCATAATCAGTGCTGAACTCATTACTTCGAAACTTCCGCAGGAACCATTAAAATTTCCTAATTTCGAATGCAAAGAAAATCTTCTGGACACAAAGACGTCATTTCCTATTGTCGTAGGCGGCGGTCAAACGAGTTTTTTGCGCAAAGTGTTTGACTTGAAACATCGCTTCACGCCCAATATGTTCTTATGTAAGAGTGGAAAGCGAGGCTTCCAACTAGAGGAAAAACTGCGAGCTGAGTGGATCAAATCGCGGCGAATCGATGACGCGACTGTTGCAGATCAACGGGCGGCCGCGAACACGACCGGCTGATGACGCCACGAGACGTCGACTGGATCGTCACTCGCAAGAACTACAGGTCATCCGCGTCCACTACTATATCTAAATTATTTCGAATCTTGATTTTTCGAGTCTTGTTCAAGCTACATCTTTTCATTTTCTCAGTTATGAGTAATATAAAGCCAGCTCAATAAGTTATCTGAAATCTTGTGAATATCAACGTTATTTTTGGGTAGGTCAACAAGAAATTGGCGGAGATATTCAGATATGAAAAAAAAGACTAGGAGACGTTCTGAAAGTTAAATATCAAAAGGATGTCGAGAAATAATATAAAGATTTGTTAATTTATGAAAAAAAAAGTGTTGAAACTTCAAAGGAGCATTAGAAAACCTACAAAAAGATCTTGACGCGAAGATTCTTTCCAATTACAAAAAACTTCGCAGAAATTTTGGAGTTTGTTCTCCTTTTTCTAAATTATTTTTTTTCAGTCAATTGACGTTTTGTCATGACAAAACCTTCGAAAGTATGCATGGACTGAGCCATGTCTGGGTCGGCGGATTCATGTTTGTCATACGGTAGACTCTCCGACTTTAAATAACCGTTGCAGTAGTCTTTCAGAGTGAGTCCGAACGACCCGACGTTCTACATGCATCACGCGTTCGTCGACTACCTCTGGGAGCAGTTCCGACGGAACAGTCAAACGAGAGAAGAACGCGAGTCGCAGTGGGCCAAGGTATTGTCTCGGTCGGTCGAGATTGTGCCAATCGGAGGAACTTTCAGAAGACGTGCAACGACAATCACGGCTTCGACGTTCAGATGAAGCCTTTCACTATTCAGAACCGCGACGGCCTCAGCAATCAATACACTGACGAATGGTTCGTTTGACTTCAAACCTCTTCGAAAAGAGTTTGAAAGAAAAATCTACATGAAATTTAGTTCAAATTTGGAACACGACTGATTAATTCGAAATAATTTAAAGGTATGAATACCAGCCAGTGAGACATTGCACTCCTGACGAGCCAACTTGCGAATCTCCTTACTACTGGTGTGACCAAAAGCTGTGGCGTTGCCGAAGTAAAGTTTGTAACTGAAAGCTTTTCTAGTTGGCGCAATCTTGATTCAGGTCGTTTACGGAGGAAACTGTACGGGGTATGAAGGCTCTTCCATTTGCTACAACTCCGTTTGCAGCAAGGTTTCGAAGGACTTTTGTCTTGTTTTTATCAGAACTTGCAGGGCGAATGCGTCGTTCCACCTCGTGTCAGAAGCGCGATGAAAAGCCGAATGGAAGAGGAGACGGTGCCTTGGAACGACGTCGTCTGGACCAAGACGATGTTCCTCGACGCCGTCGGCCAGGGGATCGACGACGAAATGGCGCACGTCGTCATTACCGACCTCGACACCAACCACACCACCACTGTGTTCAGCTTTGGGTCCACTTCTTATCCAGAGCTGCCGGTTTCGATGTATCTTTCGACTGATCTTGCAACGAGATGGTTCAGGGAACAGTGTACCTGAGCATTCCGAAGCCGTTGAGCGGCATGACGACTCAGGTGTTACTGGAGGCTCGAGACCAGCACGGAAGGTACTGTCAAGCCCAGTGCTTCAACACCACCATAGAGCGCTACCAAGTCTGTCAACCGACTTTGAAAATTGGTTTCCGAACAGATTCTTCGTCGCCCATTGCCTATACCCATTCCATGTCCTCGAGGAGGTTTCTAAAAGAGTCACTGTTGACTCGATATTTTCATTTTAGGTTTCTGGACGTCGATCTTTCTCTCCATCCCAGACAACCTGCCGTTTCACCTCCTTACATCGTATTTGCTTGCGCTAGGAAGGTCGGTGTGTTCAATTGGCAGACCAATTTCCGATTCTAGAGATAATTCTTGAGCGAAATATGAAAATAGAAAGCTTGAGTCAACTAAAAAATTTTTTCTGTCGGATATTTTGTTTATTATTTATTTTTTTTTGAATTCGGGTTTAATTTGGATTTTGTTAGTGAAGGAACTTCTCTTGGCTGTGTAGTCATGCTAGTTGTGTTTTACTTAAGTTGAGGTTAATAATCTGGAAAGAGTAAAGAAACAATCGGTTATGTTTCGAATGATTTTCGATCGAGCTATCCATGCGGACAATTATGCTCACCCATCCCTCATTCAGTTGGTGACGTCAGCGATGATAATGGCGACAGGAGAGCGTCTGAGACCGCCCGTGTCGACAGACGAGTTGGTGTGGTTCCGCGTCGCAGTGCATCGCAGTCCTTCGCAGAACGTCCAGATCGAAGCGACGCCGTCGGTCGGCGAGCCCTGGTCTTCCTCCATCCAGAAAGCCGCCTCCTCGTTCGATCCAAACATAGTCTTTGTCCAGGTTCAGCCGTAGATGTCTCAGTTAAGAAGAAGTGAGTTCAGGCTCCGAATCCCGAGATAAATCGCGGCGGCGTCCGAGTCAAGGTTTCGATTCTGGAGGACGGGCAAAGGATCTCTTGCATTGTCAAGTGTACGGCGGTCAGTTCCTTCTCCATTTCTGTATAATAATTTTTGTCGTTTTTCAAAAGGTTCAAGTTATACCAACTCTCGAAAAGTTTTATAAAGGTTGAAAGGGCCATGAGTTGAAGTATAGAAGTACGACACAATCGGATTGTTGCAGACCAAACTTAAAATATCTAGAATGTGACATTTTTTTTTTCTTCGTGTATTTTGACTAGAGACGATTTTCTTCATTGGCATGGAAAAAATATTCGCGTTAAAAAATTATTTCCAACAATGGAGAAGAGACACTCGACTTTTTTGAAGAATGTTTTTTTCATAATAAATCGAGTCCAGAACAGTTGTTGAACGTTTTTAATTGAAATGAGTGATTGGTTTGATTTGGTTGAAGATATGATCGGTTAGGCTGGAACTCACACTTCATCGAGGAATCTCACCCAAACGGCATAAATCTGTTCGAGTTTTGATACCATTTTCTTCTCAGAATTCTGATTTAAGCCCGAATTTATTGAGAAGATCGTTGAGGAAATCGGATCTTTTCAGCGCGACGGATCGGTGAAGACTTGCGACGGCGAGGTGGAGCTGCACTCGGACCCGAGTCGCTCCGAAGAGGACGTCTTCACGACCGACGCCTCGGCCCTGCCTGTCCTTGGCTGGAACATGAAGGGCCACCCGACTCAATGGCGACATCGAATGCCTTATCTCTCTTTCACTTGCTGACATCTTTCTCTACTGGTTCATTTTTTGCAACTGCTGCCTGAAACATAATCTTAGTGCTACCTCGACTGCCTTTGACCCATTTTGCAATGATTTTCTTAGCCACAGTTTCATGCGTTTTGTTAATTTCGACGGGTTCCTCAGTATACACGCTAATCTGGTTATATCGCTAGATCAATTGTTGAAGAAAATGAAATATATGTGTATGTATAATAAGGACTTTGATTGAGCAAAATGCCTGGAAAGAATGTTTATGAGAGGATTGGCGACAAGTGTTTCGCGACGGCTTTCCGTGCTGGACACCCGAGAGCTGACAGTTGGTGCGACGCTCTCGCCGAACTCCCTCGGAGCACCTTCTCCTAAGCAAAAACTCACGATTTATTACCTTTCGACTCTGGGTTCTGTAAGCTTCTCCAGAGAAAGAACTTTCAGCGTCGAACGCAAACTTTTGAGAATCAGAGATTGATTTGGGCGAAATCATCCCACATTATTTTCGAGTGTTGCAAAAGTAGTTTAATTCTCGAGGAGTATGATACTTTTTGCCTAGTTTTACTGAAATATAAAAATTCAATCAAGATTTGAAAATATTCATAGCTAGTTATTTTTTGTTTTTTCGAAATCCGTGTGAAGCAAACAGTAAAGCTTATATCTACGGTGTTCATTGTAATGAGCTTCTCGACCAAAACCCAAATTATTCAAAGCTTTGTGAATGTTTTCTTAATTCATCTGGGATACGTTCATGAGCTCCTTGATATCACTTGTATTTCTTTGCATTTATAGAGTTTTCCCTAATTCGCAATAATTTTTTTCTGCGTGACAAAAAAGATCAAAGCTGTCAGAAAACCATATGCTTCAACCATAGCTTCTGCAGACGCCGCCAAAAGCGCAATTAATCGAAATTTACAAATGGAATCAATTGTTACGGCGGCCGATCCGTCTTCCCCAACTGAGTTCATTCATTAAGCACCCGGTTACGTCATCATCCATCACAGTGGACCGGCGGAGCTTTCCGGAAACTCTGCCGGCCAGTTGCTCCGATATGATCGATGATGACGAACTATTGGGCCAGCTTTATGTCACGAAATCATAGCTTCTGTACTTTCATTATAACTTACTACACTTACAGCTTGGAAAAATTTTGAATTTAGTCCCCAAATATTCCTTCGTGGATCGAATTGCGGTTGACGGAACGGAAAAAAAGCGTGTCGCGATGTTACAGCAGCTAGTCGTACAGATGACCGCAACATTTGCCGAGCGGACTTTTCGCTTTCAGCTGCAAAAAAAACGATTTGATCTTCGGTGAGTTGAGAAGTAGACCCGAAAAGACTTTTACTACAAAACTAACTTATAAATATCAGATGCACTTAATTTTGAGTGCTGCCCTACACATAGGCGTAAACTGGAGCAATTGCTCATAAAAGTCTTCGCGTCTGGTCAAAGTTTGCGGCGACTTCCTTCAGAAATATATTTTTCAAAAGTCTTCAAACTTTTATAATAATCATTAGAACATTTTTTCCTTTTTTTCTATCCGATAAATCAAACCGAATGAATATCGGGTTCTTTGACCGGTCAGGAAACTGGAAAGAACAAAAATAATAAGAAAAAATTGCGCTTTTGAGCAACGCAAATAAATCTGCGGCCGCAAAGTGTAACAGTTTTTTCGAGAGTAAGTCTGATACTCGGATGGTTGTAATAAAAATGGATTGGCGCCAAGTTGGATCCAGCTCTTGACATCGGGCTAGAAATACGTGCAGTTGTTTAGGAAATGAAATATGCATTCAGAACTGAAGAAAAAAAAAGAAAAGATGGCAATCATATTAATTATGATTCAATTTAATGCTGTTTTTTTTTTCTTAGATATGAAATTCAAACTATGTATTAAAAAATGAAAAAAAAAATTTATTTAAACTATGTAATAGCTCAAGTAAAAAGTGGGAAGCTTTCCACAAAATGGTCAAACGTCTTCCACATAACTTTTCAACAACTTCCCAGGATTTTCCTGAGAGTTGAGGTTATTAAATGCTGGTCTCATTAGGATCGTCCATTAAACAACTGTAAAAATGGATATTTTTCAATGACCCTCGCTCGAAGTGAGGTAATATTCGCACTCTTCAAGCCACTGATATCTTCCTGCTTCTTGATGACTTTCGTGAAATTAGGCGATTAGGCGTAAATACTCTTTATTGTCCACATGTGTGTTTTTCCGTCGATCTCAGCTGGAAGACGCGTTTTTGTGGGCCGACTCCATTTCGCGACACATCAGCCACTAAGAAGCATAAACAAGCGAATGGAGCGCATCTGGCGACCGAAAAATCAACCGATTTCTGAGCTCTCCGACAACTTCCAGCTGCAACACACCTGTAAACTTTTTCTTCCTGTTTCAAAGTCTTCGAGAACTTCCTATGCACTTTTCGTCGCACCCGTAGTTGCAGCTGTTGTTTTTTAGAAAACTGAGGACCTTTATCAGAAAGTGAAACTTCATTCAAACTTCAAAAAACTAACTGACGATGTGGATTATTTTTTTTGCAAGAATTTTTGTTCCCTTCTGATGATCCCTACGGAATCACTCCTAAATTTTTTTCCTGTAGCCCAAATATCAAAAAAGTTATTCTCATAGTCCTAGTATGCCAAAAAACGCTCAGCATGTTAACGGAGAACACAAAGGATTTTATTTTATTTATTGGTGCAAAGAAGGTTTAAAGCATCTTTTTCTTGAAAGTAGGTTGATTGAGATCGACTTTATTTCTGCCTTTTTTGAGGCCCCTTCAAATCAATGTGAATCCACGACACTTTTAGTGCTTCCGGAATTGCTTGGAATGATCTTGGAATAATGAGATTTATGATTGAATTTTAAACAAATTTCAATCGTGTGAAATTCAAAGAGCAGTCTTCATTTAAAAAAAAAAAGAAATTGGGATAGCGCTCTCCAAAAAAATCTGCGTGGTGGGAAAAAAGGTTGCCACTCTGGCTTAATTTGAAACCTTACTTCAAAAACAAGTTATTTGAAAGTTGAATTTTCCCAGGTTAGAAGTGCAACCGTAAGCCGAAAGTGAGTCAGCGCCGAAAGATCAGCGAGCCTCGAGACCACGCCCACCGAAGCTCAGAACCGAAGAAGCTCCGCCCCTTGAGCATCAGTTGCTGCGACGATGCGCTCGTACGTCGCTCTCTGCTTGCTCCTCGCTATCGGCGCTTTCGTCGTCGACGCCAAGAAGGTCCGTTATCCTCACCGTACTCACCAGGACTACTGTAAAACAGCTTTTTGTCACTTAATCGGATAATTTTCATAAATGGCAAAGATTTCTTCGTTTCGTGGTTTTTTCGGACCATTTCATTGTAATAAAAAGAAGCGGTTCTATCCAAACTACTGAGGTGGAACTGTAGACAGTGCTTTGAATGTTACTTCGAACTCATCCGTCTTCAGAAGGACGTCGAAGATGAACTCGGCGACCTGCTGGACAACATCGACGCCGCCGAGGAGTCCGATGACACGCCGGTCAAGAAAGGTCCGTCTCTTATTTCTCAAGTGTCAGCTGTTTCGCAAAAAAAAAATTAGAAATTGAAAAATTGACCAAGGAAGTCTCCTTTGACATTTGGCGAAAAAAATGTTCGATAGTAGTTGAATTTAACTGTTTTGAATAACTATTTTGAAGTTTATCGCATATTAAAAACCTGCGGTTTTTTTACTTAACAGTTTTTTTATCTATATTATTTTTTTCGAAAAAAATTGAATTTATTTTCAAAAAAACACTTTTTTTGGGACTTACTAGTTAGTCTAACAAGTAGGGTTATTTTCAAATTTTTTTTTATTTGATAACTAAATTTCTCAAATAGTTTCAATTTTCTGAAAATCTTAACCACTCAAATGAATGAGAAAACTTTTATTTCCGGTGTCATCATTTTCGAAATTTCTCACTGTGAAATCAAAAACAAAAATTGTTTAGAAATAGCTATCAAGTGGATTTAATTTATTGAATTTACTTGATTGATTCCTTGCAAAACGTAGCTTTTCGAGACGTTCAATTTTAGATCCCACACAAAAGATTTCAAAGGGTTTCTCGAAAACAAACTATTTTGAAAGATTCACTTATTTTTGCAAACTTGCGGCTTGAGTATATGGGGTGACGCTGAATTGTAACAGTTTTGTCGGTAGCTTTCAAGTTTCAAACGGTGGGTCTCCTGGCCACGTAAGATTTATAATGGACGAGCGGCGAGGGAGAGCGACAGACGTTGCTCAACAGGCCGCCGTTGTAATCCTGCAGCCGCACTTGTCGCTCAGAAGACCGAGCCAAGTGATAAGTGCATCGTTTTTTCAGAAACCGTGAAGAATCCTTGCGAAGATCACGCTTGCGGCTGGGGCAAGGAATGCGTCGTCGGCAAGAAGGGCGAGCCCATCTGCGAGTGCATCTCCAAGTGTCCCGAGCTCGACGGAGACCCGATGGACAAGGTCGGCGGCCAATGAGACCAGATCTCATCATCTGACAGAGTTGCCAGAAAATATGCATTTATCAATATTTTCCACAAAGAAACCATCCAAAAACCCCCCATTTGGCGCCTGTGCAATTTCTTCAACTTAAATCTTGTCTTAGGATGTTTTGTCTTGTTGTTCCCTTTTCAAGGTGTGCACAGCCTTTCTTTGCGTTATCTATACTTTTTTTTATTGGAAAAAGAATTTTGAGAGTTGCTTCGAAGGATCAGTTAATAATAGAAAGATATCTTAGTGTGCATGATTTCAAGGTAAGTACGAGTTCAAAACGATTGTTTTTTTCTAGAAATATATTTGTAGGATTTCTATGTAAGAGGTTCCAGAAAGAAATTTGAAATTGACAGGTCTGCGCCAACAACAACGAAACCTTCACCTCGCTCTGCGACCTTTACCGCGAACGATGCCTCTGCAAGCGCAAGTCGAAGGAATGCCAGAAGGGCGTCCACGCCAAGGCCCACCTCGAGTACCTCGGCGAGTGCAAGAAGCTCGACGAATGCACCGACGAGCTCATGGCTCAGTTCCCAGACCGTATGGCTGACTGGCTCTTCCAGGTGACACTCTCCCTCATGCATTCCCTCTCAACTTGGTAATCACAGGTCATGAAGGAGCTGAAGAAGCGCCGTGAGCTGCACAAGCTCGAGTGGGAGGAACTGCTGCAGGAGGCCGAGAACGACGACGAGAAGCGTCACGTCTACCCCGTGATCTGGAAGTTCTGCGAGCTCGACACCAAGCCGCACGACAAGGCCGTCTCGCACCACGAACTCATCCCAATCACCGCTCCAGTCATCCCCATGGAGTCGTGCATCAAGCCTTTCCTCGAAGGCTGCGACGCCAACAACGACGGCAACATCTCGATCAAGGAATGGGGCAAGTGCCTCGGACTCAAGGAGGGCGAGATCCAGGAGCGTTGTTAGACGTCTTCTCCCTCCCATCTCAAGCTATCAACTGCCAGAAAACTTCTCCCTTATTCGCACCGTGTGCCTTTCCTCTTCAATTGTCAAACTGTTTCGTCAAATTATTTATCAGTCTCTCGAATAAAAAGCTCTTTCTTCTTCTAATAATTTCTAAAAAAAAATACCGGAAAGCTTGTCATGGCACGTAATATGATGCAAAAAGGCCTTAGGTTTTTTTTTTCTGGTGAGGATATGTACAAATTGAGCAATGAGTACCTATATGAAGTAATATGAATTCTACTAGGTGTTGGTTACTTTGAGTTTCTCGTCGACGGCTTCGAACTTGACGAGTTGTGCGTTTTTGGGGACGTTCTTGCCCGGTTTGCAGTTGACGGCGGTGATGACGCAGTCGATCGGCGCGCGAATGATGTACTCCATCTTCATGGCGGTCATCACGACCAGCGGCTGACCTCCTCTCACCTTAAACGACATATGGAGTTTTGAAGTCTTTCCAATCTGAAGAATCAGAAACTTTCAAGTCAGAAAGAGAACCTCGTCGCCACTTCTGACAAGAACTTTTCTCGATGATTCCGGGCATGGGAGCGTGTGCAGAGACGGCGGGCCCTGCAGCCGAAGTGGGACTAGATCCTTCTCCGTAAATGTCCGCAAGAGTGTCGTACTCGTTCTGACCGATACCATTCACCTCAAAATATTGATTTTCCGATTCTTTATGTTCTGTTAGCATTTTAAAAGTTATCCTAAGAAATTTACATTCAAAAGTTCAGTGGAAAGATTTTTTTGTTAAAAACCTTGTGAATCCGCAATAACGATAAAAAATACATCATCGAAGCTTTATCTAAAACTGAAGTTTTTTGTTTTTTTTTTTGTTCGTAGTATGAATGATTCGAAGGAAGAACGAACGATTGCTGAGGAGGCGAGTTGTGTTCCGACGGCCTTCCAACGGCGTCCGTTCGTCTCCAAAGTGAACGAAACTTCGTTTCCGGAATGTCTGACGTCGGCCGCTTTCACTTCGAAAGAATTTCCACCGTAGGTGACGAGGAAGTGCCGCGGATCGATAAACTTGACCGTCACATCGACATCGTCTGCAATAATGACCATCCAACAAATTCAGAGATTCTGGATGAAGATGCTTTTTTGAAAGCCTGTTGGATAGAATACTTAACTAGAAGGACAACAAGTAGATGAAGTACTATCAAATAAAATTTTTTTTAGAGAAAAAAAGACTTTAAAAGCATACTTATAATGGAAACCATTGTTAAATTTTTTTGAAAAAAACAAAAAAACTTTCTCACCAACTTTATACTTGTGGCTGTACTGCAAATTGGATCTGAAGAAAGAGAGAGATTGGAAGGGACCGTCTGCCGCTTTAGGAAGGCTCAGAAGGGCACGAGCCACGGCGCCTTCTATCAACACCTCGGGCTGCTTCTCAATCTGCTCGAACAGCTCTTTCTGATGGTCGGGAATGAAGTCCGTGTAGACGTTGCCCTGAAACCCGAATCTTCTTCCAGAATTGCCCTTCCGTTGATCTAGTCTTCGGACGAACCTTGATGAACTCCGGATGGGCGAGCACCGTTCTGACGAAGCTGATGTTGGTCGGAAGGCCGCTGATTCTCGTCTGAGCCAGGGCTTCGTCCAACTTTCTTCGCCGCCGATTCACGATCGTGGCCCCAGACGACGACCTTCAACACAGCGTTTTCGAGGAATCCTTCGAGGCTTCTGTACCTTGGCGATCATGGGATCATAATGGACAGAAACTTCATCTCCAGAGACGACGCCAGTATCGATTCGAGCAAAAGTTGGGAAATCAACATAGTCTAGTTTTCCTGAAATCGGAGAAATTGAAGAGAAAAAGAAAGTTATGAGATTTATAAGTTTGAATGATTATATATATATATATATTTTTTTTTCCTGTCTTCTATCCACTTAATTGAATATCATTGATACTGCCTTAAGGGGCGCGCCGTAGCGCAACAGGTTGTGTGCCTGTCTACGGTCCACAGGGTCACAAGTTCGACCCCCGCCCCGACCCAACCAAGGAGTTTAAGAAATGTTGGTAGTGGGAGACCACGACTTCAAAATCCCCAGCCGTCACACACAAGGACGGATATGTCACTGGAGCCAGTCCACTGATTATCACTGATTAGGATAGGACCTCGGCTAATCGACTTGGGGCGCCGACACCGCTCAAGCGGTACAAAGGCGTAAGAAGAAGATTGATACTGCCTTATTCACTTGAAAACTCCTTGAAATTGAGAGAATTGAAAAATTATAAGAATTCTCTTCGTTTCAAAAAGAAAATTTCAAAAAAACCCCTTGAACAAATTCAAAAAAAAAACTTGCCAGCAGTAGGCATGAAAGCGCCGTTTTTAGTGTCCTCGGCGTAGACACGGCACTCGAAAGCGTGGCCGTTGAGAGGAATTTGCTCCTGGTTCAGGGGCAACTTCTCGCCTTGCGCCACTCTCAGTTGCCATTCCACGAGGTCGGTGCCTTCAAAACCCCAATCTCAGTCGGAAGAGAGATCGACCCTCGCACCAGTGATGGCTTCGGAGACGGGATGCTCGACCTGAAGCCTCGTGTTCATCTCCATGAAGTAGAAGTCGCCACGAGGGTCCAGGATGAACTCGACAGTTCCCGCGCCGACGTAGTTCACGGCAGCCGCCGCGCGGACCGCCGATTCTCCGAGTCGAAGTCTAGTTTCGTGTGCTGAATAGAAAAATGAGGAAAAAAGGGCTTAAAAGTCTCTGGAGGCACAAAACCACGATTCATTTTTCTTTTTTTTGAATCGTTACAGTGTAAAACGCATGCTATTACAAACATATACAACTCGAAAGTTATCTCAAAATTTGAAAGGTCTATATATTTCACACTAAAAAGTTTTCGATCGAAATGATCAAACACTTTTTTTTGGATTTCCATTCACAAAAATATATAACTTTGAAAATTGATGAGAAAAACGAACAAATGAGGGGCGCAGGGGCCTCTTCGATGATTTTCTGATGACGTCGCTGAACGGAGCAATCGCGCTCCCACAGATGCACATAGTTTCCGTGATGGTCGCCAAATACCTAGAAATGTCTATTGACATTTCAAAAATGAAATGATCAGAAAATAAAGACGACCAAGATCAGTTGCCAAAACAAAAATAAATTTCTCTTCACTTTCTGAAATAATTTCAACGCCATACTTGGACTTCGACGTGTCGCGGCCGCTCAACGAACTTCTCAACAAGCATTTCGTCGTTTCCAAACGATTTCATGGCCTCGCTTCTTGCAGATCCGAGCTTCTCATCGAACTCTTCTTCGTTCCAGGCAATTCTCATTCCTTTCCCGCCTCCGCCATAAACCGCTTTCAACATCACGGGGTAGCCTGAAAAAGAGAGGAAAATACACAAATAAGAGCAAAAATTATTTAACACAACAAGGTGAGACATGAAATTTATAACATATGACTTTCTATAATGAAATCAAGCATTGAGAATGATAATGTTCGACGAGCCAATAACGGTTTAAAAACTGTAACTCAACTGAAAACTCAGAAAATTCCTATTTGACTAAAACTTATTTTGAAGAGTTTCACATTCCAGTATATTTTCAAAAACATCGAAGAAGACTTGTTTTGAAAATTTGAAACACACGCTGACCCTCCGAAAATACCTAATTTTGGCTGAAATTTCTGAGCAAATAACTCGATGATAAAATCTGACTTTTCCGAATATTTTCAAAAAATAATGAATTTCCAGAATAGTACGATACAACAACTATGAGAGAAGAACTTCAAAGCACGAACCAATCTTAGCCGAGTGACTCTTGAGATTCGCGTCAGACTGGTCTTCCCCGTGAAATCCTTCAACGACCGGAACCTAAATCAAGAAAATGTCATTGAAAATAGAGAACTACTCGGAACCTTGGCGTCCTGCATGATCTGCTTGGCTAAACTCTTGGTTCCCATGTCACGGATGGCCTGTACCGGAGGTCCAATGAAAACTATGCCCGCCTCGGCGCATTTCTCTGCGAAAGCAGCGTTTTCCGACAAGAAACCGTAGCCAGGGTGAATTCCCTGAAGACTAAAGTTCTACAGAAGGAAGATACGATCTCTTGGAACCTGTGCTCCTGCTTTCAAAGCTGTTTCAATAATTCTGTTCACGTTGAGATAGCTTTCCGATGCTGCAGGAGGACCAATGTGATAAGCCTATAAATTCAACTAAAAATATTTGCAGCTTGGAAATATTCAGAGATAAGTATGTATCGCAGATATCTTTGAGTACCTCATTTGTACCTTATTGCTTGCATGCAAGTACGCGACAACTTATTTTAAAACTTACATGATCGGCTTTTTTGACGAATAGAGAATTTCTGTCGGCATCGGAAAACACGGCAACTGACTCTATACCCATTTTTCTGGCTGTGTTCATGACTCGAATTGCGATTTCTCCTCTGTTCGCGATCAGGACCTTGTTGATGCGCTTGACTACAGGAGCGCTTGAGGCCCATCGTTTATCGATGCCTGCAATGACACCCCTGCACCGCAACATCTGCAATATTCCACAATTTTCCAGTCTGTTTTCGCCAATTCGTTAATTAAAAGAGAAATATGAGGAAGAAAATTTTTTTACGAAAGTGAGCAGCTGAACCAAAAACTCACATTGGTTTCTCGCGTAAAATTAAGAGGAAGGAAGGAAAAGTATTGTTTAATTCTAATTGAGTTTATTTAAATGAGTGTACCAATCTTATAAGAACAAGATATAAGTAAAATTCCGAGTTTTGGAGCTCTTGCGCGCTAAACCGACGACGGAGCGCGAAAAAATGGGCGTGTTTAGATCGGCAGTTCGCTCACGTACCAAATTATTTAGCATTTTCAAATTTTTCTTTCGAAGGTTTTTTCCTCTACAATGCAACATGATCGTTGAATAATATCTTTCGTGATTCTGTTTTCTACACCTTCTCTTCATTTTTGTTCTTTACAGAACCATGGATAGCTCTGCGCAACCACCGAAAATTGGTCCAGTTATTTACATTTGCGGCGGTATGTAATTTTCAGCTTTTCTGTTTTCTGTGAAGTTTTGATTTTTCAATCTTATTATTACGACTGTCTGTTAAAGTTCGAAATTATGCGATCGACTTATTCGCCATATTTGTTTTTCAGAATGTCACGCGGAGAACGAAATCAAGCCGAAGGACGCTATTCGCTGTCGAGAATGCGGCTACCGAATTTTGTACAAGAAGCGAAGTCGAAAACGTTAGTGACTTCTCTATTCAAACATTTTCCAATTTTTTCCAAATTCTTAAGTTACTCGTATTTTCAGTTATGGTCTATGACGCTCGATAACAACTTCGGATTCTGAAACTTTTCCATACGTTTGTTTTCTTTAATTATTACTTGTTATTGTTAAACCCTTGTGTAAATTGCATCTTGGTCTCACCGAAAATGTTGCTTGAAAATAAATTTTCTACGATATCGTTAGTATCCTCATGGAAGATATAATTTGAGCTTATTCAATTAGCGCCAGACGTGCCGTTTTCGTAGAAGCTTGCAAGCTTTTTCAGAGTATTAAAACAATTTTTGATCAAATTATAATATTGGTAACTAAACATTTTTAAACACTTTTTCTAGTCGAATTCTGTTTTTTTATAGAACTGTATTCCAGTGAGAACATTTAAACAAGAAAAAAAAATCGAATTTAAAAATTATTGTTAGATCAGAAATATTTTTTTATCATTAGATCAGATAGTTTAGTTGCTCATATTGCAAAATTTTTTTACGAGGGTTTTGTTCTATAATTGGTTAAACTTCGAAATCTCCCAGCACGCTTGCGGTAGCCTGTTACCATGGTAACCGGCAACACAGATCCGCTTTTTACTGACTTCCTTCCAAATCTGTGATCTTTATTCTCTTCATTTGAAATCTAACTTTAATAATGCGTCCTCACCTTATTTGGGTCGATAAGATATCCGGAGATGGTGTTGCTGGAGAATCAGGGTTTGTTTTTTTTTACCTTTTTTCAGTTTTGAAAGATATCAGTTACTCGAAAAACATGTATTATTGCGTATTCAGCGAGATATTTCTGACTTTTGCTTGATATTTATTCCTTGTTTGGACTTCCCTTGGACTCACGGGGTCAAGTTGTAGGTTTCTGTGTTGATGTGCTTGGGAAAGAGGCAACGGAAGTATTTTATTCAAACGTTGTGTGCCTTCCCCGTGGCATTCCATTAAAAAATTACAATCAAAAAGGATGAAAAATTGTTAATTTGTCAGTAGAGAAAATCAGTCTCTGCCCTTGTACCTTAGTTGTCGCCAGCGTGAAAATATTAATATATATGGAATAGTTCATTTCTTTTTCCTCCTCGCAAATTAACCAAATCGTAAGAAGTTGGGTTTTCTGGATTCTCGGTCGAAGTTTTCAAGAGCACGACCAAAACTGAAACTTTTAAAACTTGAATTAAGAGGGGAGTTTTTTGATGGTATACCGCAAAAAGTTGGGATCCGCCGACCGTTTTCCGAATCGCAGAAAGTTGGGATCAGCTGAAGATTTGCCGAATCTCAAGAAGTTGGGGTCGCTTCGACCTATGATTTCGACTGTGATATCTACTTGCTTCAATCGAATACCGAATCGAAGAAAGTTCGGGTCGCCACTGGCGGCCTTGCCGAAGCGCAAGAAGTTGGGCTGAGAACGTCCGAAGCGCAGGAAGTTCGGGTCTGAACCTTTCTTGCCCAACGTCATCGCTGAATTTCCTTTCAAGCTCTAGCAGCTATTCGATACTAGCAAGGATATGCTAAGGAAAGTCTAAAACTTCTCACGAAACGTCATTTCTGTGTATGAAGGAGGAGAAGGGTTACCTGCGGATCGACCATAGCGCATGAAGTTCGGCTTTCGTTTTTCCATCTTCTTCAGAGCCTGTTCGGCATCGCCTTCGCAGTTTTCACCTAGAAATTAAGGGATTTTGGGGAAAGTTTTGTAAGTGCTCACCGAGGTAGGCCATCACTTCGGACTGTTCCATTGGCGATAGAATAGAAAAGACTGTGCAGAAGTCGGAAGAGCCAGGTCCGCTGCAGCATTCAGCGGCCGCCTGGAAGTTTTTCTTCGAAGAGACTGTATGGTAGAGACTTGTGTTCATGATGAGGAAGGTCGTAAGCTCATATCCCAACTCAAATCTCGATAAGAATGTTCTAACATCTAACCACGGGTTTATAACCCAACAAAGATCAATTGGAACAAAATTAAACGACAAAAACAAACCTCGAGAGCAATGCCGGCGGCGAGGAGGAACCCCACTTGGAAGAGCAGAGTCATGACAAGAGTGACGTCCGCGGAAGCCAGAACGACTTATAAGACGCGGCCATAATTGCATAAAGTGGCGGTATCGTAGGAGTCCAGATGAGTCTCAGCCATTGTGGGGAGTGACGTCGTCGGCTTTCATCGTCATTTTTCCGCGTGGGGACCGATTTTGGCTTCAGATGCTGCATCTACGACCTCGCGTGCAAGTCGGACGGATCAGAGATCTTGGTCGCCGCCGACCACAAGGTCATCATCTACGACGGCTTCGACGGGACGTCGCTTCAGACACTCAAAGGTTAGAAATTCACGTTGAGAAACAACCGACGATATATTTTCAAGCCGGGGGTTTCAGGACACAAGGACGTGGTCTACGCGGTCGCCTGGTCCAACGACGGCGAGATTTTTGCCAGCGGCAGCGCCGACAAATCTGTCATCATCTGGAACGAACACCACGAAGGCACCCTCAAGTACACGTAAGTTTTATCATTTCGATCGGTTGATCACCTTTGAAACAGTAAACTTCTGATTCCGTTTATCAAATTAATGTGTATAGACATTCCGACGCCGTTCAAAGAATCGCCTTCTCACCCGTTTCATTGGTTCTCCTCAGCTGCGCTATAGGAGATTTTGGTGTGTTTATTTTTCATGTTTACACAAGATTAAGCCATTTTGATACGAAGAAGAAAGAAAAAATCAGAAGAACGAATCAATTTTTTATGAACTTCATGTAACATCGTCTCAGAAAAAAAAACTTTATCGAGAATTTATTATTTTCTTGTTTTCACCTAGACGACCCATACATTTTGAGGAATCTGGTCAACGACGGACAAGAACGTGGTGAAACAGCGGGTGGACGCTAGATGCTGCAGCTGCGCCTGGAACTCTGACGGCACTTTGTTCGCCATCGGCCACGGCGACGGGACCGTTCAGATCCGCAAGACAAGTACCGTCGTACGTCTTGAAATCTGAAGCCGGACGACAGGAGACCTTTCAGAGAGAAGTTCAGGCCGACGAGCCATTCATTCGGATCGAACGCGGCACCGAGCCGGTTTGGGCTCTTGCCTTCAGTTTTTACCGCTTTGGAAACGACTCCAACCTCCAGTCTTCTGAAGAGTATTTCCGTGTTGATATTGTCGATTCTGAGTACCTTTCCAGATCTGCTGCCGAGATCTTGGCTGTGACCGACTGGCATCACACTTTATCTTTCTACGACTTGAAAGGAAATAAGGTGTTTCGAAACGCGCTCCAATTTCAGTTTTGTGTATTCTCAGATCTCGGCTGACAAGGACCTCAGTTTCGAGCCCCAGTGTGTCGAGTATTTCAACAACGGACAGTTTTTGCTCATCGGCGGATCCAACAACCAGCTTCTGATGTACACGCGCTTCGGTCAGAGACTGGCTTTCGCCTCCCGAAAGATCAGATACTTCCAGGTCTCCCACTGGGTATCGTCGCTCAGATGGACACCTGGGTGTGGAGCGTCAAGTCGAAGCCAAACAGCACTTCGGTCGTCATCGGCTGCGTCGACGGCACTCTCGCCTGCTACAACTTGATGTTCAGCACCGTTCATGGCTTGCACCAGGAACGCTACGCGTACAGGTTGGGGTCTCTGCAGTCAAACCTTTTTTTTCGAACTCGTATTTTCTTTTTAGCCATCATGATAACCAATGTTATAGGAAAGTAGCTGAGCTGCTCAAATCTGTAAAAGCTCCGAGATTTTCTGAATAAGTGCTTCAAACTTCCCATGTTCCCTTGATGTCTCGTTTTTATGGAGTGCTCATAATTCTCACCTTGAACTTGCTGTTTCAGGGAGAATATGACGGAAGTAATCGTCCAGAATTTGGTCCACCATACTTCAACGCGAATCCAATGCAACGATCACGTCAAGAAAGTCGCTCTATATGGAACCAAGCTGGCGGTTTGATCCTTCTCGCCTCAAGTTTTCGATCAAAACGGCCAGATCCAACTCTCCGATCGACTGAACATCTATCGACAGTCTTCTTCGGATTCAGAGCCGCTCGAGTACAAGTTAGCGGAAAAAATCAAAGAGTCCTTCGACTGCTCCTTACTGGTAACATTTCGTAAGAAGGAAGTAGCTAAAGATTTTTCGGGGAGGTGGTAACTGCCCTGCACATTATTCTGTGTCGGGACGAGCATCTGCTCTGCTACGACCACAGAGGTCTCAAACAACGCGAATGGATGCTCGACTCCCAAATTCGGTACATCAAGGTCTTTTTCACGAGGAAAAGAGTTGATTAATAGAAGGATTGAAGGTTATTGGCGGAGCTCCAGGAAGAGAAACGATAGTTGTGGGTCTGAAGGACGGACAAGTCTACAAACTCTTCATTGACAATCCTTTCGCCATCGAAGTCCTCAAACTGACCGTTCCGATTAGATGTGTTGACCTCAACGCCGATAGGTTAACTTTTCAGAATACTTTCCACAAAAAAAAGTTTTTTTTTTGCAAAATTATCGAAAATCGGAACATACGGCAACTGAAAGTATTCATTTACAGAACTCTAGTGGCAACTGTGGACGACACGTCTCTGTGTTCCGTTTACGATATCAAAACGAGAGAATGTCTTTTTCAAGTTGAAACCAAGGCTAATCTTGAAGTCGATCGGTTTTTCCAGGAACCCCACTGCAACAGCGTGGCGTTCAACACAGAAAACGAGAATATCCTCTGCTACACCACCAACACGACGTTGACCATCCGCGCTCTCAACTACTCGGGTCATTCACAGCGGATGATGGTAGGAGGAGTTCATGGTTCAAAAAAAGGTTCCGGAAACTTGAAATCGGCAGTTTTATGCTGTCAGTTCATTAATGGGCTGTTTTGAAATGGGCTTTTATTTCCATGGTCAGACTCCATAACCGCAAAGCTCCCAATTCATCATTTTAGTAGATCTACTTTTTCAAGGCCGAGGAACGTAGCGGTTTGACAAGTTCAGTCAATAAATGAAAACTATTCGAAAATGAGGGAAAGTGGTTACCAAAAAATGCGGTGACCCTGCTCGAAATTAGTTTCGCAGGAGAGTTTCTTGAAGAATGGTTGGACCTCTTGCAGGGCTTCGTTGTGGGCTTCTCAGGAAACAAGGTGTTTTGTCTGCACATGTACCAGATGAACGCCTTCGAGGTCCCTTTCTCCATCCAACTCTATCAATACATTGAGGACAAGAACTTCGAGTGAGATGCTCTGAAAACCGATCGAAAAAGTGAAAAATGCAGACAGGCCTTCCGATTGGCGTGTCTTGGCGTGACCGAGGAGGACTGGAACTTGCTCGGCCACGAAGCTCTCAGAAGCGGCGAATTGGAAATCGCGAGCAAGTCGTTTGCGAGGACCAAAGACATCCGAGCTCTGCAGTTGATACACGAAATAAAAGTTTCTTTTCACTTTTCTAATAGGACTTTCAATGCCAATTTTTCTCTTTCAGATTTGTCCTTTCAATCTTATTTACACATACCACAAAAAAGCAGCTCTCAGTTAAAGCAATTATTCAGGAGATGCGGAAGAATGGAGACCCGGAACTGCTCGTTCAGGCTCACATCATGGCCTACGACGGCAAATTCCGCGAAGTGGCGCAGATCTATCGCGACAACGGCTTCGAGAACAAGGCGATGGAGTTGTTCACCGACCTCAGGATGTTCGAAGAGGCTCAGGTGCCCCCTTTTCGAAGGAATATCAGACGGTGTTTCAACGAAGAAATGGAAAAGAGAGACTGAAGTTCTTGACAGAGAGATTAGGATCATGATACACGAGTTCGCTCGCTCGTTCATAAGTTCAAATTTGGTATCAGAAACTGCTGAAGAAATCTTTGAACGGAGTTGTAGTCGGGAAGTTTTATTTCCTCGGTTTTGATCATTATTCGGAGGGAAAATAAACTCGTCGCTGTCCTTTCCCAATCTTCATCATTTTCCAAACATGTATAAATTTGAAAACTATCCTCTGCTAAAAGATTTCAGATTAAACGTTCTTGATACTTCAGATTCTAAGAAACAAAAACTCGTGAAAAAAGATGATAATGTTCTAAATTCACTCTTTGAAGGAAGTCATGACGACGGCGTCTGGAGAGACGCAGAGAATGTTGATGCGCAAGCGGGCGATCTGGGCGAAAGACTCGAACCAGCCCAAAATGGCAGCCGAGATGCTCATTTCTTCTGGAGACCTGGACAAAGCGATGCAATTGATCATCGACAACGACTGGATGGACATGTTCAGTGTCTTTTTTGCTCATAAATACTAATAACGACGGAAAAAAAAATAAAACACAAAAAATAACATGGAAAAAGGTATTAGGAACATGTTGCGAATTACATGTATGCGGCATACAGTATGCCCTATCAAAATTTTCAATTTCCAGGGCCATCGATATAATGAGGAAGTTGGACAGAAGCGATTTAGACACGATTAGAAAATTGGCCTCGTATTTTGTGCGGGTAACATTTTTTGCATGGACATTTATGAATAATCGAGCTGTTCAGAAAAACGAGTTCGGACTTGCTTCAAGGCTCTTCGGAAGCATCAACGACACGAAAGCGATCGTCGAGATGCACGTCAATGCCGGCCATTGGACCGACGTCGGTCATTCTGAATTCTGGAGAACTTCTGAAAGTTCAGGCCTTCGCCATCGCCGACCGCAACCCGAAGTATGTAGAGGACGTCTACCTACCGTATGCTCGACATCTTGCCGAACAGGATAAGTTCGAAGAAGCCCAGAAAGGTGAGAAACCTGTCGACGGCCAGGTGCCGAGGTTTTGATCGGCTTGCTTAGTCTTGTTTCTTTAATCCGCCGACGCTCAAGGAAGTAAGTTCTCGGGTTCATTTTTTTCTTGTCGTTGTTTGGAAGTACCATCTTCCAATAGATAACTAAATTGAAACTCTTGAGCAAAGCCGGTCAAAAGCGCTTCACAATATTTGATTGAACTCCATTCAAATATTAACTACCTTTTAGTTGAATCGAAATCATTTAATAGTTCTAGATTTAAAAAAACAGGAAGGTTTACTCGAAGTCAGAACCTGATAATATTCGAAAAAAGTTCAGTTGGAGTTGTAAAATTTACGGAATAAACTAATGGCATAACATACATTGTCGAGAAACGATTTCAGCATTCCACAAGGCGGGAAAGGAACAGGAAGCTTTGTATGTCCTGGAGCAACTCACCTCAAACGCGGCCAATGAAAGTCGCTTTGCCGATGCCGGGTTGGTAATCCCAAGAAAATACCGAAAAAAGAGGCCTTAGGTACTACTTCTGGCTACTGAGCATGCAGTTTCTGGACCAGTGTTCGGAAAACCCCTCTCTGATCCCCAAATACGAACAAACGGCCAAACTCGCCGAGGCCTACCACGCCTATGATGCCGTCTTCCTGTACTGTGTAAGTTTTATGTTTGCCTAAAAAAATTAAAATGAAAATTTTCTCAAGAAAGTTCATTGTTTTTTTGAAAAAAACATGTGAACTTTCACTTTTTATGGAACAACCCTTCAGCGATGCGAAATCATGATTATGTAAAAAGTTTGAAATTAAGAATAGATTTTTCGGTTTTTAGCCATGACAAGTTCTTCCAATGTTGGTGCACCCCAGTTATAGTTTTGAATAACTTCAGTCATATTCAAATTGGACTGAACTAAAATCTGAGCTACGAAACCCATTTGGACAGTCTCAAGTTTCGAAGGGAGCTAGCCGTGTTCCGTTATGCTCTCGCATCCATATTCATACCAAAATTGTGAGATTATAGTAGAATTATTTGAATAGGTTTATATGTCTCCTATTCGGAAAGAAAGAGTCTGGTTGAAAGTAGAATTATGGCTCAAAACACATGTTCCAGAATCAACCGTTCTCCGTGCACTCCCACGAGACTTTGCTCAACATGGCGCGGTATCTCGCTTTCCAGCCAGTTCTGCCCTGTGTGTCGCGTGTGTAAGGACTTTCTCCCTCGAAGTGATTCAAATTTCAAGCTCAGTCTCATTTTCTTCACGATCGCGCGGATCGGCATGGAGTTGGGAGCGTTCAAAGCGGCACGGGAATCTCTCGAACAGCTGACTCGGCTGCGACTTCCTTCGCGGCTTGAGGCCCCCACGGAGATCATGACGCTCAATGTTCGTGCTAAGCCGTTTGCTGACGTCGAGGAGCTCCTCCCCATGTGTTATAGGTCGGTCTCATCGAACATGTCTCGGCTAGTTCCGTTGCAGACTTCCAAGCCTCTTGACAAGACCTGATTACTAATCCGGAAGATCTCAGTCAATTCTTGACTTTCTTCCGTGGCTCATTTCACCGTGAATACGCAATTTGCTAGACTCTTACTTATTTGAGAAGTAACTGACAGGAACAAGGGTAATGGAATGACTGAAAAGAAGTAATAATATAATAAAAAAGTTGTAGAAACTCTTTATGACACTAGTCACCTGAGAGCTTGATCGATCCCAAACTGAATCTTTTTGGGAACGTGGAGACTTCCTTTGCATACAAAAAATGAACTTTTATCCACTGTTGCGGAGTAAAAATCTGCGACTACCTCAGTCTTTAGAACAAAACCCATGTATTGTGGGAATTTCCTCCAACTTTTTCCTACCTGCGTTAAGTTCCTTTCTTTTTCCTGTGTTTCCTGAGTGTAAGGTGTCTAGTTCGGTTGCTTTTCTGATTTTTCGTTTCCAAAGGCTACCTCTTTTTACTCCTGTCTTAGATTAATCATTTGCTTCTCAGATGCGGTCTGAACAATCCAGTGATGGGCGGTCCGGCCTGTCTCCACTGCAAAACGCCCTTTGTCTATTCATTCGCCACTTTCGGTCTGATCTTTCTATTTTCAAAGCTCAAAATAAAAATTAACAGAAATCCTGCCGTTGGTCGAATTCAGTGTAGCTCAAGACATTTCGAGCGAAGAAGCGTTGCAACTGATCCAGGCAGAGCCGCCTTTAGAGGACGCCAACTTCAATCCTTTCCACAATGTTGTTTTTTTTTTTCCTTCTCAAGGCTTTTAACATTCTAACACTTCAGAAAAAAGGAACACCTGTGGTTTTGGATCGAGAGAAGTTGGCTCGATTGGAGCAAGGCCAAGTGGTGGTCATTCCGAACAGAGAGCCGCTCCAGCCTCGCTACTTCTTCAACACGATGCCGACCATTTCCATCGCACAGTGCTCGTCGTGTTTCAAGGTTCAATAATACTTTCGATGTCCTTTTGAGATAGCTTTTTGGCAGCTTTTCCACTTGGACGACTTCGAAATGGCGGTTCTGCAGAAAGGATACTGTCCTTTCTGCAGAACTTCTCTTCAAAGAAATGCCGGCTTGCAGTACGACGAAGAAGACGACGAACCACCCAAAATCCCTTCTTTTGGCCAATTCTCATAAAAAAAAACCGTGCCTTTGAAAAATCTGAAAACTCTTCGGGTTTAAACTATTTTTCATTTCAAATCAGTTCATAAGGAATACAAGCAATTTCGGGACATTCTCAACAAAATCAACAATTTGAAAAACATCAGTTATTGAGGGAAAAAAGGAATAATACAACCGTCGCCGCTAATAAAGAAGTGAGCCTCGAAGATCCTGAAAATAATTGATTTTTTTTTAAAGTTGAATATTGAGGATGCCTTGTGTGGTGGTAGGCGGCTGTGGTGATTGAGTCGGACCAGTTCCTTTGGTGACGTCAGTCGGACCGCCTGGGACGGCGGTCGTTGGGGGCGGGGGCGCATTCGACAGCCACTGGCCGATGTTCGTGTCGATGAGAGCTCGGACTTTGGCTAGGTCTGGCACGTCTGCGTCTCTTGCTGGGTACATGTCAGCACAGTGGGCCGTTCCTAGAATTTATCAGTTCAATAATCAGAATTTTCATGGAGTTCAAATTTTGTTGTAATTAGAGTTCTGCGCAATGAAAAATAACAAACTCGCCTGGCACATGCGTTTGAATATCTAGAGACTGATCTAATATAAAATGATCTACTATAAAATATATCCAGTATGAATATTACAGATCTTTTTCTTACAACAAACTCAACAAACCATTTATAAGAAAAGGTACCACAGAAGGATCGTTCGCTGTATATTTTCCTAGTGCGTGCCAAGGATCCAGTGATCCATTGGGCAGAACGACGTTCGTTCCCTCAAAATCATTCGTAAACATAATTAACAGTTTGAAAAAAAGGATTTTTTTTTTTCGAATCAATAGAAAAAAATCAATGAAAGTTTCTTTGTTTTTTACGAAGAAATTGAGGCAGCATTCAAAAGAGTTAAAAAAGGGGTTTTTTCTGGAAAAAAAAAACTAACCCGACTTTCTTATGTTGATTAATGTTCTTTCGTATTACACCGTTTTGAAACCTAACTACACAAGTCGAATGAATTATCGTGTCAGGACCCGTTTTTCGATGACTCAAGCCAGCCGTGAACCAGCTATATCGTTTTCATTGAACCAACTCTATATTTGTCCCTAGATCCGTAGACCCAATTTGTGTGCTTGATGGCCGCTTCAATCGTTTCGGCATTGTAGGCGTTGCCGAACACATCCGTGCACATTTGAGTGTACATGCTGAGAAGGAAGGTTACTCTGGATCTGAAAAAGAAAAAAGAACTTGACAGGAGTCGGGCTTCCGAAGATGCTGTGACCACTGTCCGTCGACTGGAAATAGCCGAACTCGGTGCAAGTCTGCCAAGTCCACAGAAGACTCGCCGCCGAATCTGAGATTTTAGAACTTGAGAGGAAAGGCGGTCTCCAGTACTTGGTCCGTATTTCTGAGCGTTCTTGAGGTCGTCAATCATTCCCTGGTAGTTGTTGTCCGTGTAGCTGAATGGTCCAACCCTGCAAAAAAAGGAAATTCAGAATCGATTCTGCTAAACAAAGCTGGAACCTCATAAAACTCCGTCATGAACTCATTGAACTTGGCCACGTTCTGAATGGGCGTGTTTGAGTCGTTCAGCATGATTTTGCACATGTCTGGGATTCCATAGCCTATCGCATAAGGCTGAAATACAACATATTGAAGCAGCGTATTCGAATTTCAGGTTTTTTTTCGAAAAGAAAATGTTTTTGAAATGTTAAAAATAGTCGACAATCATGTGGATGGGAGATATCATTCTCCATTTGCGTTTAAAATCGTCAAATCAATATCAGTCTCATTCTTTTCGATAAATTTCTTAGCAGGATTTACTGTGAAACTTTGAAAGACTTTTTTTTAAATATTTTTTTTTGTTTTTATTTTTCGCTACTCTTATAACTTACACCAGTGTTGTCACCAGAATACTGGACGGCGCCTTGATAGTTGCCGTAAATGTTGGAGAAGAAATAGTGCTGGCCAAGCTCAGAAACTACCGAATCAGCTTTCCAGGCCGGTTGTAGCCTACCAAGATTTCTGATTCAAGTTATTCGAAGCTGAAACTGACGAGAATATGCTGGAGAGATTGACTCGGCCCTCGGGAGTCATGAACAATTTCTGCATTTCCTCGAAGCCAGAAGCGATGCGATTCGCGCATTCGTCGTTGTAAGTGCGGATGGAATTCTCGACGACCATCAGATATTCTGAAGTCGATTTTGGAGATTTAGAAGCTTTCGACCAACCGAAAAAGTCGATCTTGGCGAAAACGGGTCCAGATGAGCCAACAGCGCCGAGCACAAGATCTGGGAAAACTTCGCGCATCCAGGCAGACATTGCCCCTAGAATTAAGAGGAAAAACATATTTCTTTAACAGAAATTCTTGCTCTACGAGACGACTAACAAAAAAACTACACGCGGATGCGACTGAGAGAGAAACAACTTTATCATTTTTCTCAATTACATTTTTTCTGAGCAAGAGATGGTCGGAACTCACAGTGGATTTTCTGGTTTTGTCTAGGATTTCACAATTTTGCTTGACACCAAATCTGTTTTCAAAGTTTTCCACTCAAAGTTAGAAACCTCGATATCTCCTATTGTGCTTCCCGCTGTTTCGTCAAAAAGTAGCAACTACTTGTCTTTGAACATTTTTGTTTTAAAATATGAACTTCGACGCTGTTCAAACCAGCATGGACTATGCCATTTGAAAAAACCGAACTAAAGAGATAGAAATTTTTCAAAAATTTCTCCAGCAATTCCAGAAACCAGGTTAAAAATTGGCAAAAATTGTTTGCCATCATGCTCAGCTCAACATTGTTCCATTCAGAAAACCAACCCGAGTAAGATCCTCCGAAAGTGATCCACGGAGCAGTGTTGCCGGTCTTCAAATTAATCGCCTTAATGAAATCGGCGAGGTCGTAGAGCATCTGCAGAGAAGAAAGGAACGTCAGGTCGTTGTTGTCTCTGAAAGACTTGTTGACCGTGAAACAAAGTATATATTCATATTTTTGATGTCAAATCTTTTTTTAAAGAGCTCTCAGAATAATATTTTTTTACAAATGTCAAATTTTTGCTGAAACAGGTCGCAGTTGTTCATAATTGGTTGGAGTTTGATCAAATAACGTGAAACAATATTGGGATTGCTTTTCGAGTCGTTTGAGATTTCGACTTCAAGTTTTTTTCCTTTCTTTATGTAGAATGAAAAATTCCACAGTATTGACAAGAGTTATTCATATTCAGTTTCTCAGTCAAAAATTTAATTTCTATTGAATCTTTCAATATTTTTGAGACGCCAAATAAACTACTCTATTGAACTCAATAACTTTAAAACAACAGTAGGGAGAATGATTAACGCAAGCTTCGGCGGACCTAACGCACAGACGAATCGGGAAGGCACCATAATGTGTCCACAAAGACATCTCTCAGAATGGATCGTGCATGTCCCAGAAAATGTCCATTGTCAGAGCGTACCTTTTAGCTCTATCTAAGTCATATTGGAGGTCCTTGAGAGTCTCAAGTCTACCTTATTTTGCCGAAACCCAAAAAAATCTTCCTCAGTGATATAAAACTCGTTAATAGAACATAGATAGAGATAAACAAAATGAATAATTAGAGGGAATGAAACGGACCCAACGACGCTGTCTCCATAGTAGCGGTGCTCGAGAAGATAGACGGTGGCGCCGTATTTCTGTGCCCAGAGGAGGTAGGTGAGGTTCTCGTTGAGGACCCATCGGTCCGATTCCGGGCCTTCGCCGCCAATCATCAGGAAGTTTGGCCCGCCACTTTTCGCCCATTGCGCGTTTTTGAAATACTTCTGTAAACCGAATTTCTATTTTTTTTTTGACTGAAACTCGAAAATGGAGACAGCAAAAAAAAAGAAAAAATCTGAAATCGATAGACCGAGAAGCTTAATCTGAGAATTTGAAGCTTACCAACAAGGTTCCACAGGAAAAAGTGAGACATTCGAAAATTTTAGACATTAGAATGTGAGCTCCTCAAAATGAGAAAAATGATTATTTTTTAACCGATAGTCATTAGAAAGTTCTATTGTGTTCGAGAATAATTAATCATTTCGGTCTAAACAGCTCCTTCACTCAAGATCTGGAAAAATGAGTACTGTAGACTATTTTCTGTGTTAAGACCTGCTGGAAAGTGTTGGCGTTGGTATTGTCAAAGTGGTCGACGCGCTGTCTGAACGTACCGGCTTCGTAGCCGGGAGGGTAACCGGCGAACTGAATACAGGAAACTGTTTTAGAATGCAAAAGTCTGTAAATACTTCCGCTGCTGCCTCGGGTGCGGGTCTGAGTCCGTGTGGAGGACGGCCGAGCCAGACCTTCCGATGTTTTTTCCACGGGGGATAGGTCTGGGTATCAGTACATTTTTTGCCACGTTTAGTTTTTTTGGCTCAAACTTTGACCTCTATAAATTTAATATTTTGGATGCTACTCGTTTTGAATATTCATGAAAATATTATATCTGAAATACACCTTTCAAATGTTCGGATGAAAAAAGACGCGCTGTCAGGATGTTCTCAAAGCGAATTAGTTTTATGGTCCAAGCTTCAAACTTTTCCAAGTCTTTCATATTTATCTTTGAATCAAGGTGATTGAGAGTACCTTTTTGGAAGGAACGTCCTCCGAAAGATGAGCGAAAAGTTGAGAATTGGTGGCCGAAGACCGCATCGATCTCGCCGCCGCGCTGCCGGCCGAATTCGGCCTGGTCCACGGATCCGTGGTGTTGACTGAAGAGGTTCCTAGGAGCTTCTCTGAGGTCAGACTCACTGCTCGTGACTGGGTTCGGCGGTCCGTTGATCCAGTTGAAAAGGTTGGCCTGGATCAGCGCCTGTGCGTTCTGGACGTCTGCCACTGTGAAGGAGTTCTTCGGGAAGACATCTTCTGCATGGGAACCGTCTTAAAAGGAGGAAAGTTTTAAGTATTGCCGGGAATTCAAACTCTTGATTGTGTAGCAGACGACGGAGTTGTCCCTAGAACGAGTCTTTCCAATCCTCGAATACGGATCTGCGGCCCCGTTTATGAACACCACGTTTGTACCCTGAAACGGAGATTTCCATGGAGCAGAATTGGTCAACGGATACTGGATAGTTTTCGATACCGCCGTAGTAGGCGTTGGTCGCCTCGACGTTGTCGCGGATTTTCATCGCATCGAAATGGTTGCCGAATATGTCCATGCACTGGTTGATGTACAAACTGAACACACTATTTTCATTTTCTCCGCTTGGAGGTCACCTCGAAGGAATCGTCGCCCCGAAAATGCCGTATTCGCCGCCGTCCGTTGATGGCAAAAGACCGAACTCGTTGCAAAGCTGCCAAAACCAAGATCTACTGCTCGCTGAGAAAACTCCGATGATTCTGCTTCTGAAGAACAGACCCACCGAGATCAGGATTGTCATAGGTCTCGTTCAGCAAAAGAGTGACGACGTCATTGTAGGAATTTTCCATTTTTCCCAGTTTCTGTGTATCTCCAAGGTCACCTCAAACAACTCCTGTCGATATATCAAATATATTTCCCAACACTCACCTTGCACTAACCAGAAAACGTCCCTTAATTTTTCCACCGGTTTTAGAGTTGCATTGGTCATGACTTTACACATATCAGCGATAGAAAGTCCGAACTAAAAATAAAGAAACTCTAAAATCCCTGATGATCCTCGATGACTTACCTCGCTGTTGAACTGGACGACAACTTCGAAACTACTGAACAGTGAGTCGTAGAACTTCTGGATGTCGTTGTAGGTCAAATTGGTTTGGTCAAGAGGCAACTGAAGTCTGAAAGAAGAAGATGAACAGAAACAGCTGGAGAAGGAAGTACGGACGGCAGGACAGTCGAGAGAGTGTGGCGACCCTCGACCGTGCTCATAGAGGTGACGACTTCGGCTACCGAGGCCGAGATGTTGGCCGCGCAGTCGTTGGATCCGAGAAGCCGAATCGACTGCTCCATCTGATCCATGTACTCTGAAATCGTGCGAAGACATCAACCAGATTTGATTGGAGCAATGGAAAGACGAGAGCTGTTCTCCCAAGGAAAGTGAGAACGCTCAAGGACTACTCACCCCAATAGTCTAGTTTGGCTTGGATGGGCGCTGAACTTGACACGGCTCCCACAACCAGCTCAGGATGTTTCGAACGAGTCCAGGCGGCCAGGTTACCTGAAATGTTTCGAGATCCTCAAACAGAGGCTGAACACATTTCAAAAACAAAACTTCAAATTTTCTTTTATTTCCTTTCCATCCAAATATTCCTAGGTTTTGAATAAGGTACACTTTTAAATATAATTAATGTATGCTTTGATCGTTAAACTTCGAAAAATTAATAAAAAATCTCAGTTACTTTTTTTCTCACATGGTAGGTCTATTCCAACCTCAGAAGACATGGCCATATAAACCACAAAATGTTTTTTCTCAAAAAAAAACCGGCGTAGGAAGCTCCAAAAACAATCCATTTCGTTTTAGGAGCCATGTTGTACTGTTTGGTGGCAAAAGTGATGAACGAAGCGACATCCTCGATTGCTTGCTTTGACGTCAAATAGACAAGGTTTTCCACAGATTGCGTCCTTCAAATCTCTTTGAATATTCTTTTTTTTTCATTTCAAAACTCACGCAAAAGGCCTCGACAAGCCGTAAAATCGATGTTCTAACAGAAAAAGCGACGCTCCGTTGTCCTTGGCATATTTAACGTATGGAATCGTCGTATTTTCCATCTCAAAAGCATCTTTTCCAGACGTTTCCTTCCATAAACTCACATAAGACCCATCAACAGCTCCCTCACCTCCGATTTCCAAAAACGCGACATTATTCTGAGCGAACTCAGTGGTGTAAAAGTAGCGCTGGAAAAATCAAACTGTACCAGAACCTTCCCTTTTCTTTCTCCCACTGGCTATTTTGATTTCGCTGTCATTTTAGATTATTTCTGATCTGAACTTCATTTCATTTAGTATTGTTCCGTATGTTTAACTCACCAGTTTTTCTAATACTTTTTATCAGCCGTAGCTTGAGAAGATTCTAACTTTTTTGATCAATTATTAAAAATGTCTTACCTGTTTCATCTAAGTGTGTATATACCGAACAATAAAATATGTCAAGACGTTTTTCAGAATTAACATTTTTCTTGCAAGATAAACAGGAACAAAAAGTTTGATTGAAATTTTTGGCTCACTTCATATTTCGTCATAAAATATTTCGAAAATATAAACGCAATTGTACTGCCAAAGTCAAAAAATCTGCTTCTTCGTGTATTATTTGCCGTTTTGACAAATTCTGTTTTCTTTATTTATATACATGTTATTGAATATTCAATCCAACAATCTACGATAAGTTTCCTAAGATAACTCTGCTATCAGTGACGGAGTGATAGCGGAATTACGCATCATTCTTATCAGCGTCTCACAAGGGTTTTTTGCCCGTTATATGACGCTCGAAAAAAAAAGAAGCGGATTTTCACCCTGATAATTCAAATCGATCACAGAGAGAAACCTGAGTGAAAGTTTGAGTATTGGTGGAATTGAAATGGTCGAGCTTCTGCGTGAAAAAAGCCATCGTGGCTGACGTCTGCGCGGATTCTCCGACGGCCGCCGGAGCTCTTCTCTGCGCCCATGTCGTTGGTCGCAGGCATGTGACCGACTGTAACGAGAACACTCAGAATAAAAATTTGAAAACGTTAAAAATTCAAAACACATGATTTTTGACAGTATCGAACAGTTTTCTTCTGAAGTATATACTTGGTATATACTTGATAGAACGTTCAGATAATAATACTAGTATTATATTCTGAACGTTCTATCAACATACTTGATTATCTATAGTAAAAAAGCGCTCTGCTTAAGCTTAAAAACGCACAAAATTATTAAATACTAGGACAAGAAATATCATATAAAAATATAGAGAATTTTGAGATCGAAGAGCTAGACTCAGGGAAAAAAATTTTTCCCTCATGAGTAAAAACTACTGAAAAACTTATTTTTTTGCCATTGTCATTTTTCATAGAAACTTACAAATAAACTTTTTTCCTGGAAATTTCCAAAAAAATAAATATTTATTTGTTCACTAACGTGATTTAATGCATGAATAAAAAGGGACTGTTGATTGAAATTAATTGGAAAGAAACTATCATCGATGATCGTTTTTTTAGAATTTTCTTCGATGATCATATGATCAGCGATATCGCTGAAAAAATAACGAAAAACTTGAAATGCAGATTTGTTTTTTGTGCGTCACGTTGCGTAACAGCTGTGAAGTTACGTCGTTCCGCAGAAAAAAATTTTTTTTTCGAAAATTTCTTTCTTTTTTCGCGATCTCATGCGTTTATTATATATTATTTTCCATCTATTTTTTCATCTATTTTCATCGATTTCAAGGTAATTTGGAAAAAAAAGGAAAATTTTAGCTGGGTATTTATACTGAAAAGTTATGTAGATACATTGGCCGGAAGTAATTTATTGTTTTTTTATCTAATAAACTATTTTTTTTACAGGACTTTTTAGTTTCAGATGATGCGATTCTCAATTGTCTTACCGTCGCCCAAAAAAAGTTCGAAAATTTTACTTTTGCTTTCTAAACTTTCGAACCTTGTTTCAGGCATGCCGTGGTTCGCTGAAAGAGAGGATAAGCACCATTACGAAATGCCTCGAGAACATATACAAGGTCTGGATGTCGCCTATCTTTTCATGCAGAACTGTTTTTGGTAAGATTTCGTTAAATTTGAACAACCGAAGTAAAAAAAGGAAAAGAAAATTTAGAATTAACTCGCTATCTTGAGTCATAACCTCAAATAAAGGAGTTTCATCTTGATGGTGAGAGTGATAGCGTATTAGCCGATGAGACTAGGATTTATAACAGTTTTAAAGGCTTTTTAAGGCGGGCAGTCCTACTACGGTAATTTAGAAATGTTTTTTTAAGTAAAAGAGTAAAATTATAAACAAACTGCGGGAAGGGAAAAAAAATTTGAAAAATATCCTGGCTTTGGAACAGTCGCCGCAATTTCGACCTGCCGCCGGCGTCCTTAGTACTGTGTCGATCATGCGCGAGAATTTATGTGAAATTCCATAATCACTTGCTTTAAAATTAGCTATCAAAAACCTAGTTCAAAAAAAGCTAATTTTTTTTTCGTGGAGCTGAAAGTTCATGGAAAAGGGGAAATAAACGTCCAAAAAAGGAGAACGTTTTGAAGAAGAGCAGATTTATCCCAGTATCTGGTTTAATATAGTGTTTCCGTATCTGGCCGATAAGATGAAGTCAATTTTAAGATCTCAGTGTTGTTTTTTGGTTTTTCTACAACATTTAGTTCATTATTCTAACTATACAAGTTATCTTTGTAACGTACCGGTACATAAAAAAATAATTGAAATGGAGGTGACTTAAAAATATAAAGTAAAATTCATTTATTCATATAATTCTTCTCGAGTTCGTAATCTAAGAATGGAAAAATACTAACAGTGAAGAGGAGAAGGATGACGGCTCCGCGGAGATTTCCCATCACGACTCGGCGGTCGAATGGCGCCTCCTGATTATTTTCAAACGATTACCTCCATCTTATCACCTTTTCTTTTCGATAGTGAAAGTTGTCTTTCTTTTTGCATTCTCTTGTCTGCTGACAAATTTCTTGCATCTCACACTATTAAGCTCTGATTAATCGGCTTTTCTAGTTTCTCATTTTCAATTTTACTTTGACAATCAGCTTGATTCAGCGTTTCGAAGTATGCTCGAAATTGGAAGGCTTTTTTTTTCTCAAAACTAGCAATTGGAATGAGTTTACATGAGAAATTTCTGGGAAATTCTGGGAAAAAATCCTTTATTCCCTATTTCACCTTTATGAGCTCAGCATGCAAAAAAAAACCAGTTTCAGTTTTCCTTTTTAGAAAAACCTTTCGATTCATTAGAAAACAGTTGCGACCAAAAATTGAAGAATTAAATTTCAAAAAAGCAGGTTTTTTTTTTACATATAGTATCCTCACTCACGACATGAAAAGAAACTTTAGGAAAAAATTTATCAACGAAGGTGAAAAAAAAAATGAATGAATGCGATTTTGGATTGAAAAGGTGTTGTGTGCCAAAAAAGCACCAAAGACGTTTGCACAGTTATAAAATGTATCCGCCGTTTTATTCTTCTGCCTTATCAAACCGTATATTTCTGTCAAGTTTGGCACGCCTCGAGCACGTCACCGATGACTCGCAGTTTCGACATCTCAGGCCCTGGAGGATTTGAAAAAAATTGAACAAAAAAATCAAAGGGAAGCCGCAAAATAACTCTTTCCGATGACAAAAAGTGGACCCTTTAGCATTCTAAAAACGATTTCAACTGCTATCAAAATTTTTTAAAACTTGCAGTCAACCTGAACGCCTTTGGATGACCGTTTCGCAAAGACCGTGTCGTCTGAAAAACGTGTGATCCATGCTGGGAACATCACCAGCGACGTTGGACCATCAAAGTATCAAAGTAAAGTAAGTAAGTATCAAACTCTTTCAAATTTTCCCATCAGAAGAAACTACTACTTTTTTTTGCATTCTTCATTTTTTGAATTTTCTATGAGTTTCTGAAATTTTGAAGAATTATGAACTAGAAAATCACTCCATTGTTTAAACAAGCACTATATTTGTTCGATTACTAGTCGATTGAACGATTTCATACCTAATCACCAGTTTGGAAAAATTAGGTCTTCTTGGATCTTTAAACGAACATTCTCAGAAGCTGAGGAAAGTTTTTTTCGTGCGAGAAATTTTCAGGAGACACCGAAGAGCAGCTTTTTGGCTTCTTCAAAAATACGTTTGTTCCTAATTTAGAAATTTCACGTCAACGTTTTTTAGTTGGTGATTTACTGTGGCAAGGCATGAGGAAATCGTTTACGAAGTATATATTTTATATGCAATATGAGCTAAAAACACAGTTCTTTAATTTAATAGCATGAACATACAGAAGCTTTGAAATAATGTCTATCCCTACTTGTATTCATAAGAACAAAAATTGGAAAAAAAAAGTTGTTGAAAGCCATAAAAATTCCTGCACATGGACCACATAAGTTTAGAGAAAAGGTTCGAAAGAAGAGAGTACAGACATTGGACTACTGTAGCTTTTTTGTATTTCAATGTTTCAACAGCCATTTCGACTCCGAAATTTAATATTCAATACTATTTCAAAAATCGTGAAAAGCGGAGGAAACTATGAAAAATGTTTTTTATTGGTTCCTTTTGTTAATCGGTACTACTTGATCTCTCTCTCTATTTATGTTAGCCTCTCCTTTGTAAATACGCAAACAGACTAGTAACAAATGTTTAAATTTTTATTGTTTTCGTATATTTCATCTTTTTTTTCTCTCTTTGAAGACGGTAGGCTTGGGCACCCGGCGGCTGTGTCGGGCGGTACATCTCAAGTTTGTTCAGCAAATCTCACAGTAACCTTCGTCTGAAAGATGAAGATAAAAAATATTAATGAGAAATAGGCAGAAAATTATATCCGCAATTTGCTGTTATTTTCAATGCAATGTAAAAGTCATAGAAAAGAAAATTTCAAGCGCGAGCTTGTAAGTGGTCGTACTTTTTATATACGCAAAGATTTCGTTTAGTGTTCCTATTTGATTAAATTTTGTGTTACTTTTTCCTGAATACAGGTCTTCAAATCGACTTTTTCCACTATCTTATGAGAATGAACGATTAAAAAAAAAATAGAAAATAAAACGAACCGAAAACGAGCGTCACGACTCCTTTCGAGTTCCTTGACTTTTTTGATTCCAAGTAAAAGTTGTTCACAAATCGGCGTCGCATTTTTCACTTGTTCCTCGCTCATTCGTGGTTGCATCTGAAAAAAAAAATCATCTTTAATACTTCAAATATTCTTTATGCGAAATAAATTAAAGTGATTTTTCAAAACCTATCAGAAAGATTCATAATAAAAAAATAATTGATAAAAAAATGTTTAAAAAAACCCTTGTGAATGATATAAATATTATAAATGTTTAAAAAAATAAAAAAATGACCGTTATTATTTTCAAGCTAGCAAGATCAATGATCCTCTTAAGCAATAAGGAAGATCTAAAAAAAGTTCAAAAATAATCTTTTTGATTGTAATCTAGGCGGATTATCATCTTTCAAGATGTGGGGCTTTTTCTGAGATATCTCTCAATTACTTTCTGATGCATATGAATACAAATAAACAGCGGAACATACAAACTCAAATAGTTTGCAATCTTTGGCCTTCGAGCAAGTACATTCTAAATTCGGAAGCTGAGCAAAGTGAACCAGCTCCAGGAGGTCAAAATGAAAACAGAGAGTTTATCGAAACAAATGATCAAAAAGAGGATATCCATCAGCAAGTTACTTTCGACCGGGAGGTATAAAAAAACTGACCCGCTCGGGAAATACAACCACCAAACGGCAAAAATCGTAAATTGTTCTCCGGTCCTCAACTTTTAATTCTTTTAACATAGTAATATCTCGTTGGTCGAGCTTTTGAGTCGCTGAAATTGAAACGAATGAAATGAGATTTTTGAAGATGAAAAGACTTACTTCCTTGATAAAGAACAAACGGCGAAGAGGGTGGTAAGCAACAAAGAACAATTATACAAAGCGTCGTAATCCGTTGCCGCGAGTCCAGAAACCAATATCGAAACTGCAATAAATGAGTAGGTTTCACTAATTTCCGTGAATTTTCAACTGATCTGAAACGAACTCGAGGACTTTATTGATCATTATCCCTACTTTTACTAGCTTCTAGGCACCTTTTTCTACATGATTCACGATAATGCTAAAGAGGTTAATCCCGCTTAAAAACATAAACTGATGACTTTTTCTTTTAATTTTTATACTTCAGGGTTCTTAGTGCGTCAGTTTAAATCGAGGAAGACCCGGAAATCTCTTCCAATAAGTTTTTCATTTTTATTTTAGATGTTATTAGCCGTGACTAGACAGCTTTTTTGAAGTTTCAAACGTCTTTGACTAAATGTTGCAACTTCTTTCGGAATTTTTAGCTTGAACTTTGGTCCTATAAAACTCCACCTTTAAAAGAGGAGCCTAGTTTCTCTACAACCGCTAATTTATTAATGAGCTTCGAGTGTCGAATAACAGGCAGCTTTTCTTCTGCGTGACGCAATGAGTCCTAGAATACCTGGTCAAGCCTCAAAACGTTTCCCACCCGAAAGCACCTCTTCCTTTTGCAAAAAGAGGAAGTTCTCATCAATTTATCCCTGATTTCACCTCGCTACCCAAAACAATTAGTCAAAATCCCCAGGGACCGTTTTTAGTCGTGTTATTTTGTGTAAGAAGAGGCTCATGTAGTAATCGCTTATTCTAACTGACGTGGCAGACAAAAGCGGCTGAATAAGTGAGTATGGAATTTTATATCACTTCATTTTTTTTCTTCGGCTGCTTCAAAAACAAGAAGAAACGACTATGTTGCTCAGATTGAGTAAAAAGAACAAGTTCTACCGGTGAAATAGATCGTTTTCTATATTTTGTTTTAAAAAAAACCTGAGGATTCACTCGGAAGGTTAATAATATCTCTTCGAACGCTAGATAGAAGATCGAAAGAAAATTGAACAGGCAGAGATTGAAAAAATTGATTGTTTCAGAAAGCTCACCAAAAACTGGAACCTATCAGAAAGCTTCATATTCATAACGCCTATGTTCTGTTACCTGTGCCCCTTTATCAGCCTACTCAAAAGTTTCTGAACTACTTCAACTTTGGAACTTTGCTCCGATAGCACTCCAAAAAATTCGAGACAGGCTCAAACGTCACACCTTTTCTCCCTGTTTCTAGGGAGACCACCGAAAACGGGCGGAACCTACCGTAGAGGTGAAGAAGGAGTTCAACCAGCAGCAAAGCATATCATCTGTGCACATCCAGGCAAGAGCCCGCCAGCGAAACGTCTGCAACACGCAAATGATCCAAGTGGGTGGAGCGTACAACAGAGCGACTTGGTCCAAAAGAAACCATACAAAAGAAGCAAAAAAAAAAGCTAAAAGAAAGACGAAATCTCGAAGATTTCGGGTCTTCCTGATGTGACGGTGAATGGGGCGGAAACATGCATGTTCGTCCGGAAAGATTTTGAGCGTTTGATAGAGTGATGACGTCATCCTCCCACTTATATAGTCCATAGAAATCCGATTTTGGCACGGCTAATTGGCCTTGGACACCAGAAATGAGCTCGTGTTTTTCGAGTACTAATCTGGAAAGAAAAGAGCCAAAAATAGGGTCAAAACAAGATTCTTCATCACTCATTCATAGTGTTGAAAACTTAAGGTCGTAGAAAAATGTGAACGGAGAGATTTTTGTTTTTTGACAGTTGCGATTTCGAAAGGATTTTTCCTTTGATATGAGGTACTGTATAAAAATAAACGAAAACGGTATCAAATGGCAGATGAAAGAGAAATACAGTTCAGGTAAAAAAAAAATCCGCTTTGAGTTGAAAATATTTTTACTTTAAAAAAGCGAAGAAAGGAGATAGCAATCGGAAATCTTGGACGATTAAAATAAGAAACTTAGTGAACGTAAGCCACAAAATAAGAAATTGTACGACCACAAAAAGGCTTCTCTTGAAAAACTTGGAAACAGTGAGCGTTGATCAACGGAAAGCGATGACGACGAAGCCAACGAGGAACTTTCCGAGATTAACTCGGACAGCGCATAACTAGTCATTTCGGGACACCTTGTTTGAAAAAAAAAACTTTTGTGGCTTCTTCTCAAATTGGAGCGAAACGGGAAAAGGGACGCGAAGATCACAAGAAGACAGATATACACAAATACATGGGACGCCGCCTACGTAGAACCTGCGACGGCTTCTTTTTGGCGAGCAGAAATCGGTGCGGCTACAAAAATCGGCGGTGTCGACGTCGCGTGTTTTTGGGAGCAATTGAATGAGTTTGGAGCGGCACGAGGTATTACGACTTTGTTCCGGATAAGAGTTGCACCGGAAGGATAGCTTGTGATCAAGTAGATTCCAGCGATAAACACTGATTATTCGCTGAAGCAAAAAAAGATCTCGGTATCTGATCTAGAGGAACTCAGATTTAGCCACAAATATCACATGATGAATGCAGCTTGAATGGAAGGGCGACAAATTCCTCTAAGCTTTAAGACTTTTCGAGCTCAAAAACACTAAAAACCGAAGTTTATTCCCTAAAAGTACGTTCCAAGAAACAAAATGAAATGAAAAATAAAGCAGGAAACACTTTAAATAAGGTTGAGAACATTCAATTCGAGGAGTTGCTGGTTCAAAAGGCTCCGAATTCGGAAAGCCTCCAATTTCAGCGGTTGACCTTTGTAATCCTATCATCGTTAGCAGGAACTTTGAAGGCTCAAATTCACTACATATTTTTGCCTCACAGATAATAGAAAATATTTCGAACTTGAACGAACAATTAGAAAATAGCTTTTATATCCATTTAGCATACGTTTTGAATTTTAAAAAATTATGAAAGGTCGTGAAAAAAGGACTCTACCGAGTTGAGATCTGAACAACCTTTTGAAAGAGGAAAATGAATTTGTTCAGTTTTCTAATTTAGTAGATACAAAATCGAAGATGGGAGTAACATTTTTCACTGTTTCACTGCAAGATCTACATAATATAAAGAAACTGAAAAAAAGTTTGACCTTACTTTTGAAGTTCGAAATTGAAAGGATTCACCAAATGAAATCAACTAATCAAATCTTTGAGTCAAAGTTGTAGTAAAAGGGGATGAATAACAATGTGTAGGCGGATAACCAGGGGCTTGGAAAGGTAGGCGGAAGCTTTTTGTGAAAAAAGAAGTTAGACCCAAATTAATTAGGTAATTAATAGACGAAAAGTCTCGCAACGCTAGTCATGAGTATTTATCATCAAAATAAAAAAAGGTAAAATTAAGCATTTGTAAATGCATCACTCAAAAAAACGGTTGAAATGTATTGCTTGGCACCAAAAACTAACTGAAAAATCGAATAGTTCGAATTGCCGAAAAATTGCTTATGATAGGAAATTGAGTGAGAAGGTGGTTGATTTGCTGAAACCCAACGAGAAGAAGAAAAAATCAGGTTTTGTTAAAAATTTGCTTCGAAAGTTTAAGAACCTTTCAATAATACGGAGTATCGGGTTCTTTTTTATCTCTTGACTTTTTCCACTGTGAAATAATCACTTCGTGAACAGATACATCCAAACCCCGCCCCGCGCCTCAAAAATAATACCCCATTTTGTGATTTTCTTTTTAATAAACTTATTCCCACCGAAAAAAATTATGTTTACCTGTCTTACCTGGTCGTTCCCTCAGCTTTCAAAAAAAAAAATCTAGAAATACCTTGAAATAGGCAACATCTAAAATTAAGAAAAGTAAAAAAATGTCTCCAATTCATTTATCATTCATACTTCAGATGCATAACCAAACGGAAAGTCAATTTTTGAAGCAGAGTAAAGAAAGGAAACAGGAAATGACCAATAAGTCAAATGATTTGAATTAACAGGATTTGTAGCGGAGTAGGCGAGAAGGGTTAGCGAAGCACCAGAAAGCAACTGGGGAGGCGGAGCGGCTTCCTTTTCAAATTTGCCGCCCAAATGGCAATTATAGTCAGTAAGTGACCGGGTTTTGAGGAGCGACAAACGCTCTCTGAATTAAATTTCAACCGAAAAAATGACGTTTTGGCTGCAAATCAAAGAGAACGGAGTTAAGGGAGCTGGAAACGCATAAAGTACTTGGGTTTGTAAACAGATAAAAAGAGCTTTACGACTTGTAGTCCTAAATATTTTACTCATAAACAGAAATAAATTATTTCAGAGTACTTCGCTGGAGAAAAAAAGTGATATTTCCTTAGAGCATGCTTGAAAAGCGCCTTTTTGGTCGTTATATATAATTTTTTTTACTATCACTTTAGAATTAAATTTTCTCCGTTTTGGTCCAAAACTCATCCAAAAAAAGAAAAGTTAAAAAATCTGAGATGTGAAGATTAGCACCCTGGAATATGGAATAAAATCCGTCTTCCTCATTCAATTTATCCATAACTAATTACGGAGATAGCTCGAAAATCCTGGCAGAAAAAAAAAGAAAACTCAGGAGCCTAACATGATTATCTCATCGGTGAGGTTCACTAGAACAAAAAGCACAGGAGCATTTTCCGATGACGTCTAAACTCGAGGATACAAAATTTGCAAAACGTTTCCAAAAGGCTGAATTTCTTCTCACGGAAGTCATTTTGTGGATTTTTCGCATCTTTTCGAAACCTCTCTAAGAGACCGCTCCGTTCAGAGTATGATAGGGGCTGTCGTAGCCTAAATTTAAGCAAGAATCTGATATATCACTTATTATGACGTTTATTTCGAGCTAAGCGTTCAGAAACCGGAATCCCCAAATTGGCAGTTGTCGAAATGCATCGAAGAAAAACAAAACGCGTTTCTTCACTGGTTCCCCTGATAATCACGCAGGAAAGGTCAGCTAACTGCTGGGGACCGTGCTCCTCCCGAGTTCTCAATGTACTCAAGTTCACAGCTTGAACAACAAATTGAGTTTTGGAATTGTAAAACAAAAACGAAATTAAAAATTTATTCACCGATTTGAAAAATTCATTGAAAGTTTTTTTTAGATTCAGTTAGAATATCTTTGGTTTGTAAGCATATTAATTAACCTGTTCAGAAAGAATAAATTTCAGTTTTTTTAAAAAAATAAGTTACATAGAGAAAAAATTTTCAAACTTTTCGTAGCAAATTATTCAAATCAAAATAATGCACTCACGAACAGCTGTTTAAATTTTGAGAGGTGCTGAAAGAAGTAAAAAAAAATGTGTTGCGAGAAATGATTTATCCGCTTGTTTGTCTGCATCCTCCGGAAGAGATCGAAAAAATACATAAACTCAGACAAATTGCGAACAAAAATAAAAAAATTTCGGACTCGGTCAACCAAAATTGAAAAAAAAAAGGTGCAACTATTCTAATTTTCCTTTTCGAATCCTGCTATTTTTGCATGTTTTATGGCTAATTCTCTTCTTTTTTGTTCCCGTCACCGCGGCTATTTTAGTTACACGTGCTTCAGTGACGTCATCTTTCCAATCTTTTTTCGCTCTTCAAAAACCTCGCTTTTCGTGGGGTCACTGCACGCAAAGTTTGGCTCCAACTCTCGAAAAAGGCCAAAAAACTGGAGGCATAGAAAAAACAAATGGTGGACTAAAATATTTCAAAATTGAGAGCAGTAGTAGAGGATTTCTGGCTGCAAATATTGAACCGGACTTCCAATTTTTTTTTTGGCTATGAAGATATAGCCTGTGAGCCACGACTTGAAATTTCACGGAACGACATTCCGCTGTGCCGCTGTGCGCCTTTGCGAACCTTGGTCGCGCTTTTAATTTTCTTCTTCTTTTATTCAGGTACTCTATTTTCATGTGCTCCCACAGCCTTTTTTGAAGCCTTTTTGTTAACATATTTTCGAATATAGAGTTGCTCAAAAATAAAAGATCAAGAAAAAAATTATCAACTCTTCTTTTTTTCAATCCATTTTATTCTTTAATACAAAGTGAGCTTTTGAACTCTGGTCTAGAGAGAAACTGATCTCCGCCCGAAAAAGAACAATTCGCGTCGACCTTTTGGCCCAAAAAACGATTATTATGGCTTTTGTTAGAAGGTTTCCTAACACCTTTTCGAATGAATAGAGCTTTCAAATTCATTGATGTTGCTAATGTCAGATGAAATGCTTCCGCGAAATGCGGATGTTCGGACCTCGAGACTACGCCCGTTCTCCCAAACAGCCAATGGGAGAATGCGGCCACGCCCTCTAATATGCATTCTGAAAAGCAAGGCTTTTATTCCAAAGCAATTAGCAAAAATTTATTAATTTTTCATGGGCGGACATGTGTAAACGTTCCATTTCTTTCGTTTTCAAGAAGGAACCACGGATTTTCCCACGCTTTATTTCTAAAATGGGATGCGAAACGAGTGGAAATGGCAGCGTGTCTGCCAAGTTCAGAAGTTTCCCAGGTTCTTTGTACTTTTGTGACGTAAAATGTGTATAAAATTGCTTCCTTTTTCATAAATACTACGATGAAGTAAGGTTTGAATGGAAAAACGCGATATTTTTAAAGTTAGAAAGTTGAAAGGAAAAAAAATTATGGGGCATCTGATTTATGACACAGAATTACGTTATAATTTCTTTAAAAAATATGGAAAATTATATCATTTTTCTTTTGGAGAGAACTGTCAATAGAGTGAGAATTCAGTTTTTTCAATGGAATTCCACAAAAGCCAAATTTCGAGGCTCTTTTCTGTTTTTTTTTATCCTTGCCGACAACACATAAACAAAGAAAAAGGTTCTCAGCACGGATGGCGCACGGTGCATTCTGCTTTTTTGCACTCTGGTGCGAAACTGGAGTCTGCACCGTGCAGTTTTGGTGCTTTTTTGGTTTCGCACTGGTGCAGCACGCTGAAAGCACTGATTTGACACCTTTGCACCAAAAAATCACCGAAATCGCACGGTGCAGAATTACGCACCAGAGTGCAAAAAAGCAGAATGCACCGTGCGCCATCCTTGCCGAGTTAGACTATTTTTTCCATTCAAGCAAATAATCTTAAGTCTGGTCCTAGTTTTGATTCGTTTAACTTTGTTCTTGAGTTCATTTGGGACAGATCAAAGGTAATGAAAAGACGCGACTTTTTCAGAGAAAAGCTTAAAACAAGCTCACAAGGTTATACACTACTGACGAGCGGACAATACCGACAAAAAAAATAAAAAGTCTGAAACATCAAGTGAAGACAAAGGATGACTAAAAATGAAATGGGCGAGGCTTGCCAATTAAGCCATTCACAATAAAGGTGATTTGTGATCGGCTTGTGACGCCGCCAGGCTCAGGATCATTATCGCTCGCCTTTGTTTTGTTAAAACTTTGTAAGCAAGGCTTTGTGACAAATATAATTACAGAGCAATCCAAGGCTATCGCGTCTTGAAAAGACTTGAGTTACGTGAAACTGGAGAGGTTAGATCTGAAACTTTTCACAGTAAAATAACTGCCTACATCTTCAAAAAGCTTTCTCAACAACGCGAAAATTTTCAAAATTTTGAACGAATACTATTTTTTTTCTGACTAATATTGTATGTGAGTATAAAAATTTTTTTTAAAATTCTTTTTTTCCTATTTACTTTTTCTCAAATCACTGTTTGAGCGTAAAAAGTTAAGATTGAAGCAAAAATAAAGGATATTCATAAGGAAATCGTTGAAGAAGCCCAAATAGCCAACTTTGTAGCGAAATTTTCGTCCAACTGATGCCATGTAACGCATCAAACAAAATCTCTTGCATTTTAAAGCCTAGTGAATTGAGAACAAGTCTTTTCGTCTTGAAAAGAAGCGTGATCGAAATTTGCATTCCTCACGGCTCGGTCTTTGTCTTCGTCGTGCAACAAAAAGCTCTTTGAACTCTCGGCTTCCACTTCCCTGTTTCAGTAAAAAACTCTCAAGACTTTTAAACTGTAAAAAATTTTATAAGACTAAGCTTTTAGCAATATCTAAACATTGAAAACTCGATTCGGATCACAATGCATGAAAAAGACCAGTTTGACAAGAGTCACAGGAAGTGAAATGTACACATGAATTGAGCGATTAGGAAAGAGGATAGATCAAATGGGGATTCATGAGAAATTTTAGTTCCATCAGTTGTCAAATATGTTAGTATATAATGACACAAGAAAAAATAAATGAAAAAATAAAACATCTGAAATTCATCAATGCCGTAAAAATTTAGAGCAGAGTCTTATCTGACTTATTCACATAAATTGGAATTAAATGAGTTTCATTTTCACTTTAATGAGGTAAGTTCGTGAAATAATAAGAAAGCCTCTTTTTTTCAGGGAAGCATTAGAGAACTCAATTTCTAGCAAAAACTGAAGAAAATTGAAAATTATGACTCTGTTTGGAGGATAGACTGTAGGGCAGTTGACCATCTGAAATAGCTGTGATTGGAATTATCCGCAGGGGAAACCGACTTGGCGGAGCTGTGGGCGTCGACGCGGAACTGCACGATCCTGTCCTTGGTGTCGGAGGTGCGTATCTGATTCCGATGGATCAACTCGAAGAGAACGCCGCGCTCGGCATTCGACTCCCGCAGCGTGAACCCGTGCACCAACACTTCCTCTACCGCTTTCGAGTCCTTCAAACCAGTTTTCAATTTGAAGTCGTTTAACCGCGTCAGATCGGAAAAAAGTCAACTCGAGCAATAGTTTATTCGTGAATTTTTTCCAAACTTGTTAACAAATAAATCAATTCAAAAAAATTTAAATCGTTCGATTATTAATTTTTTTTTTAAATCTGCATTCTTGTTATATTCGAATTATTCATGAAGAGAAGTTGAGAACTTCCGACTGCGCTCCAAAGGACAGCCTGACACGCAAGTTAACGTGCTTTTGTCCCAAGCCCAGAGTCCATCACATTTTCTATAGATAACTTTTTGGAAACGAATTTTTGAGCGATTGAAGCGAGAAACTTATTGAAACGAAATAATGTGAATTTCATTCCGTTCAATATTTTTCGAATAAAACATTGTTTTTGTAATCTGAAACGTTGCCTATGACTTTTTTGCAGTTATCAAAATGTAACTTTAGAAACTTTAGAAATATACTCTGAAGTCAATTTACTGCCAGGAAAAACGCATTCAAAAAAACATTTTTAAGTGAACAACTACAGTGAGCGGCAACGTCAGAGACATCAGTAATCAATTAAATATTATGCAAGACGATTAAAGCTCAGAAAATCAGGAATAACTCAGAAAATCGCGTAGCAATCAAAAATTATCCAGTTAATCATGAGACGTCACAATCATGCAATTAAGGAGAGTCGAACCTGCTCGGCTTCGTAGAAAAGCAGCCGTTGGTCTTCCGTCAACAATCCGTATCGGAGAACCTCGCCGCCTTTTTTGTTTCTGAAAATATTCCTGTCACAAATGTGAAATCATTGAGAAAGTTCTGAGTCGGTTCTCCATTTTTTCCAGATATTGAATTGAACGAAGTCATTTAAATTTCGAATTTCACATAAGAATAAGATAAATAAGAATAAAAAAACCCAATAATTTCTGATAATTTAGGAAACGCAACTCTCGAAAACAAGTTCATTGGCCCCTTTTTTAAACTTTCATCAAAGGTGTTTTTTTCGTTTAGTAGTGTCAGCAATTACAGCGCTTCTAATGCGACAAAGACTGATCGAAAGACCAAAAATACAGCAAATCCGAAGGTGGTATGAGAAAAAAAAAATCAGCGTATTTTTGAACGGCGTCTTTTCCGATTTGTTGATACTTTCCGACTAATCCCGCTCCGACTTTTTCTCTAATATTTTTCGGTTTATTAATGATCTTATTACAATTTTTCGCTGTTTAATCTGTTTTAATCATGACTCACCTACCTATTTTATATAGGAAGATTCAAAACGAAAAGTTGATCGAGGAAAAAAATTCGGAAAAGAATTATTCGGAAACTTCGCAAAGTTTCCTAGCGACATGATAAAGTGGTGATGGAGGAAAAAAGCCTCTCTTGTACCTGATGTTCTACGAGCGAAATTCAAAACTTCTCTGCTTAAGCCACAGCTCCTACCGCCGTTCAAACACAGTTAACTCAATGAAAGTCGATTGCACATGTATTCTTACATTGAAAATGCAAAAAACAGGTGAACCTGTCTTGAAATTTTCAGTAAACGACACGAAAATGAAAAAAAAACGATATATTTTGTTTTAAAAAAACTTTCATTGCACAAACCTGATGTAGACTTTACCGAAAGCGAGTCCCAACTCCTGTTTCTCGTCGATGTTCTTTTTTTTCAGCCTCCTATTTTGCGGCTCGCGAAACAATGATCGCGGATCGACAATTTCGTTCTGCTGAACTCAAAAAAAAAGATTGCTTCAACAATAAGTTAATGAAGACTAGGGAACGGTTTCAAATCTCACCCCTTTGGTCTTTATTCGAACTCTAACACTTCCGTCGCCCATTGGAACGAGACGAGATGGCGGAAAAAGCTCGCCGTTTCTATCTGTAAAACAACAATGAGCAAATTCAAATTTCATACGAAAATATGAATCTCAGAAAGGCGTTTTGAAAGGCGAAAATTTCATTCTACAAAATTGACTAGTTTTTAGTAAAAGCGGCGAGATAAAAAACGAAGCCTTTCAACTCCTCCTTCTTCTGAACACGAGATGAAGAGGTTGAATGGTTGAAATGAAGCTTACACGAAGTTTCAACGCGTTCATAACACTCCGGACAAACGTTCAAAGCTTCAAAGTGGAACTTGGACAATGGCGCAAGCCCTTTGCACCTGCTGCAGATCAACTGTAAAAATACCGTTGCGTTTTTATTTCTTTCTTCGAAATTGAACGAACTCATATTTTTCTCAACAAAGTTGTTTTTTTGCAATTTAAACAATGAATATAAGAGAGTTATTCAAAAAAAAAAATTTGTTTTAGAAAGAGATTTTCCTACCCATCCGCAGTTGCGACAGTGATGTCGTCGTCGCAAAAGGCTGAACTCCGTTTCGCAGCCTCGCATCAGACAAAACTTGGATATTTTGTCTGGCAGCCAAAGGGGTTTCACAACCTCAGACACCGGTTCTAAGAGAGAAAAATTGAGAAAGTATTTATTAAATTTTGTTCATTTCACCTCATACGGTACATTTTTTTCATATTGAAATTAAAGAAATTTTTCAGGCGCAGACTTGTTCTGCGCCATTTGGAGTTTAGGCTGGGTTGGAAAAAAGGGTTATAATTAATTTTGAATCGATAATCTTCCATGGAAGACTTACTTTTTTTCCGTCGTCCTTTAACTGTTTCCATTCCGGATGGGGGCAGCATCGCGCCATAATTTCCATTCGAAATATTTATTGTGTCATCTGAAGAAAAAGTTAATGAGTTAAAGTTGAGCTGAATTGATTCATGTAGCATCAAATGAAAAAGTTGAAACATGAGATTATATATTTATATTTTTTTACGTTCACTCTTTTTTTGACATTTCATCGATCAGAAAGCATCTCGCTTTATAAAAAACTTCACGAAATAGATTCAAAAAATTTCGATATCTAAGCCTTGCGGATCACTCTTTTGATGATTTTGTTTTCACAAAATTTCGCTTCTCTGAAAACGAACCGATAGGGGTGCTAGGGACGGAAACCTCTTCTGAAACTCCTTCGTTCAAAGACGACTGCGAACTGGAAAACCACTTGCTCTAATTTGTTCCAAATACGAAGAATTTCATACTTGGCTTCGTACTGCGCAAGTCTGGACGTGGAAGTCGGTCTCGAAATGTCGTTCTGATCTTCGTTGGCCGATTGAGGTAGTTCAGTATCCTACGAGGTAAATATTATTCTTTTGAACAAGAACTGGTTTACTCCAATCATTCAAAATATTACTCTGAACTAAATTTTGGAAATTCATAAAAAATGTCCCTCACCTGCTGATTGTTGACTCTCCGACGGGAAAAGGCTTCACTTTGCCTCCTGAGGTAAAGTCGTCGACACGAAAAAGCCTTCGAAATCTCGTCAAACCATTCGTCTCGTTCCTTTTGTGTACTGTAACAAGGCGAGCATCAAAAAAATTGAAAGAAAAATAAAAAAATTCTATACGACTTTTGAAGTCACTCGAAGTAACCGACTGGGCGAAAAATGAGCTTTAGAGCTGTAGTAGCAAGCGTCTGTGGCGTACTTGTTTGGAAGAAATCAAAAAGATATTTTCTTTCTTTTCACTCTTTGATTGGAGGAGGAAGGACTGTACCAACTCGAAAATGACGGTGGCACTCTTGACTTTGCTGCGAATGAAGAGATGGCAGGCGTAATCGTCGTGGGGCCGACGGTCGAGGCGGCAGCCGCTGATCGGGATTCGGTAGGATCGCGGCATGTCGAACACTTGAGAGCTCGTCGTCCGGCACAGCCAGAGGCAGTCGGTGAACTCAAATCGAGGGTTCAGAAGGAAAAGTAATTTCCAAGGTACCAGAACGAGATGCCGCGGCTGCGTTTCTTTCCGTGTCTGCTTCAGAACTTCCGCTTGTCTGAGGAGTAGTCGACCCGGTTCGAAGACGTTGAACTGACCCTTGAAAGCGCAAAAAACAGTCAAATCGTAATTGATGGCAAAAATGGCCCATTTACTCTCAAAAAATGTCGTGGTACAGACTAACTTCGCCCAAATATAAAAACTTCCCTTGTTGTTTTTTTCAAGTCTGTGAAAAAAAGAACCTGGAAGCGATCGTAGAGCTGCAGAAGGTTGCTGGCGAGGCCCAGCTGATTGCTCACTTGCTGAGCAATGTTCTCTAACTTGGTGACTACCGCTGAGAAAAAACGATTCTACTGACAGTCAGAAAAAGAAAAGGGAACCTGCGCCTTCGATACTTTCTCGGCTGCCTTTCTCCAAGTACTCGTTATAACGTAGCATTAGAATTTTATACCTGTTGGATTAATTATTATAAAATTGCCTTGATTTCAACAGAAAAACCTCAACAGATTCTGATGCACCTGATCGAGTTGCTGGCCAACTGCGCCTTTCGTTCCGTGTTTGAACAATTTCGTTTCGAACTACAAAACAATATTTTTTTTTAGACAACTCAGAAGATTTTCTTAGACAAACCAAAGTCGTGGCTTCATCGAACTCTTTGTTCTCACTTCTCATAAGGGTGATTTGTTGGAGGAAATCGCTCTTGCTCGTCACGAAAAGCATGCAACTCTTGAGAACATCTCCGTACTTCAACAAAACCCAAGCCAGGTTTGGATTCCGTGAATCCCTGTAATTACCAAAAAAATGTTCAAAAAAAGAGCTTTCACGTTAGAAAAAAAAAAGACTTTTTCCTGACGTTTTTTTCTCATTTTTTTGATAATGTAAAAAAATTCTTTCAAATTTTTTTGAACTTTATCCTTTTTTTAGTGCAAAAAAAGATGTAGTCGTGCATGTCAAGGTAAGTCGAATGTTCGAAAAAAACGTCAGCAGAAATAACTAAACAATACATTTCTAGTTATTTGTATTTTGATTAACTAAAATTTTTCAAAAGAAAATGTTAAATAAAAGCTCAGGGATAAAAAATGCTTTTTAACGATCAAGTAATCTCTGAAAACTCACACATTATTTTTTCTTTCTGAGAAGTATAAACAAAAAAATGTCTTGATTTCCAGTTTCGTTCTGCTTTCTCTCCGTTTTCCTCATATTATTATACCCAGAAAGAAGTTTTTTGTAACTTTTGAAACCTACCAATTGGACGTGACTTTAACTTTTGTAACTTTTGAAACCTACCAATTGGACGTGACTTTGGTGAACTGCTCGAGTAGAAGTTCGTGAAAGGGTTGCAGTTGGAGAAGAATCTTCTGGATCTGCCGAACAACGTTTTCTTGTCCGTTGGGGAGCGGCGCAAGAAGGTCTATGCCCATTCTTTTACCGTATTCTTCGAGATAGTTTGGATACATCTGTAAGAAGCTCACGGAAATGGTCTTATTTCGGAGGAATATTATATTCACCCCGGTCATGTCTCGCAGATATACGACGAAAGCTCTCTGCACGGTGGTAAACTCGATGGCAGCATAATGAAGTCGTTTCAAGCGTTTATCCTAAGAGAAATTGTTCATTTTCCTACTTTTTTTAACATTTGCAATATTTGCACTAAGTCCAACTTTTCTCTAAAAAAAGTTCTCTGAAAATTTTGATAAAGATAGCTGAGCACACTTCAAAGCAGAGGTGGAGAAATGGCGCCCCTAAGCGTTTTCAAGCGTTTACATTTCTAAACCGACGTAGGCCGCCATGGCCATTTCTTGATAAGTCGCTGCCCAGGGCGCCCGGGGCCAAAACCGCGATGGCAAAAAAACGCCATCGGAAGAAAAAGAACGCGCAAAAATTGGAATCTTCTAAAATATTGTAAAATCGTTGTTTTCGAAGCTTTAAAACAAGGTTTTTTGAATTTCCAATTTGGTGGCGACGGAAATTTATTCTCTCACTAGTCAGCGGGTTCGTAACCATTAATCTGGAACATTTCGCCTAAAGAAAAGAACAAATATATCCGTACTTCACATAAAAAAAGTTCAACTGGACATCATATCCACTGAAAAAAATTAATAAAAATTATTGAAAAAAATTGCGAAATCCACGATTTAATGAAAAAAATGAACAAAAATGACCATTTTCGCCCTACTTTTGCAACGTGGTATTATACGCCATCGACACATAATGACGCGGCTCATTTCTTCTCAGAGGCCTGATGGCTGAGGCGGGCATGTTGCGCCCGGGAGGGCCCCTCATTTCTTCCACCCCTGCTTCAAAGTACTTCTAGTAGGATATTATGGTTGAGAGTTGCGGATTTTTCATTGTTGGTCTAACTTCGTGTTGTACACAAACAAAATTTTCACCATACTAACTAGAAGTTTTTGCACAAAGCGACTATTCATAATCTTCATATATATCTTGAAAGAAATTGGGGAAAAAACTGCTATCGAATTTCAAAATCCACACAAAAACTATCAGTAGACAATAATCTTTTTCTTATTGTTCTTGGAGCGAATTCCGATCAGAAAATTTTATCAAGTCATTTTTCGAAATTTTCTTGGTTTCACATATTTTCACTCTCACTGAAAAAATTTTCTTCCGAGAATTTTTAGACTCTGGTTTTAATCTTATATCTCTTATCTCTCACTTCTTCGTGATCCAACTAGTTTTTTTTATGTGATCAGTAGATGTTTTTCTGATTCTGAACAATAAATATAACCTCATCAGGATCGCCGGTGTCGTAGTCAGGAACATTTTCACTGAAAATGCTCTGGGCCGTGGAAATGCTGCTTCGGTCGCTCATCATACTGTCCAGCCTCGAACTATCATCGGCGAAATCCGCAGGCGAAGAAACCGTCAGGTGATCTTGGCGTCCCTGAAGTCGAGCAAATTCCACTTTTTGAGAAGAAATCGAGTCTAAATAATAACTTCAACATTAAGTTCAAAGCATCAAACCTTCGAAAAAACTTCTGGGTTTCATTTCTCTAGACAATTATTAAGAATAAAACAATAAAAATCAACGAAAGAAAACCAAAATTATTTTGAAATAGATGAAAATCTGATTATTTGAATTTGATTCTGATAAATTTCTGGACGATCATCGAACCTTCTCCTCTCTTACTCGTCCGACGTCACTGGGAAGCTCGATTTCCTGAGCAGAAGACGACGGCTTCAGCTCTGACTGAGTCAGACTTTTCCGCCGTCGATTGTCCATATAACTATTTCTGGAACGTGAAAAGTTAGAAATGGTCACAGTTATATGGAGAACAGGAAAAACAACCTGATGAGGCCTTTTCGTTGCATTTCGTTCATAATATCTGCATGTCGAGAGTCAACTGTGGTTTTCCTGAAAACATCTTGGAATAAGTGGAATCAATTACATAATGAATCTCATGTGATAGAGAATTCGTAAAATTGAAAGTGTTCAGAACTTAGAAGTTGAAAACTCTGAAATCGAGATCACATCTTTTTGTCTGCTTTAATTTCAATTGGAACATATGCTTGTTGCCCGCCTACAAAGAAGTAAAATAACTAAAAAAGTCAGAAAAATGTTGAAGATATTCGTGAGAAGTTTTTATTGCTGTAAAAATTATAGAAAACTAAAAAATTAACGTTTCCGGCAGTGAAAATGCGACGAAAGTTTGGTCTTCGGCTTGTCTGGAGAGGAAAGATCCCCGACGGAGTTTTTCGTCTTCGCTTCCACTCGACTCGGCGTCGTAGTCGCCAGCGCTCGTCACAGAAAGGGTTGAGATTTCGGACAGAGGCCTGCAAATTCGAAAAAAAAAGAATTAAAAACGGGAATATAGTAGCTATTTAATGATTGAAACTGAAAAATTCTCCACAAAAATACATTCAACGACTATCCTTGAAAAAAAGCTATTTTTTTAATAAAAAAATTTTTAAAAAAACACTAAAAAAATCGGTAATTAATTTTTTTAAAATGAACCTATGAAAAAAAGCTTTTAAAAATATTAATGAAAAAAGTTTCTCATAATTTGAAACAAATATTGCCCTTGGAAAGATACCTTTCGTTATTGGCCGATGGAGGTGAGCGCGGGATGAAACCCATATCTTCGAACATTTTCGCTCTACCGCGAACATCGCCACAAATCTTCAAAAAAAAAAAACTCGAAATTGCGGCCAGAAAAAGTACAACAGACAGTTTCGTCGGCCCCGGTGTCTTTGACAGGACAAGACTCGACTTCAGGAAACTCTGAAGGAGAAACGACTATTGAAGGCGGCGGAGACGTCTCCAAAGCGCAGTTTGCGCTCACCGACGTCGGCGTTTGATCCGTCGTTTTCTTTAATAGGATAGTTGAAAAACTTTTCAAGATATGTTCTGAAAGAATAACGATGAATGTTACAGTACAACGTATAAAATTACAGAAACGTTTTCTTATTTTCAGAAACATATATCCACAAATCACTATTTATTTTAACATCCAAAACGCTTTTCCAACAGCTCCGAAGCTCTAAAAACTATAGATTTGCTAAACTAGGAAATTGGGAAAGGAAAAGAGAGAGATAAACTTTTTTTTCACGCGTCTCTAATGCTCCACTCAATGATTAAATTTGTCCTTCCTATAAAATGTAGTTTAAATTATGTTCAACTGATGTTTGAATATAAAAAGCTCTTCATTTTTTGAATGCGTAAAAAATTTAAAATTTTTATCTAGCTTACTGAAACAATGAAACTATGAATATCACCAGAAAACATTTTGAAGTTTTTCAAACTTTCAACTTTTTCAGACACATTTCAACCACTTTGTTTCCCATCACATGATATCAGAAATTATCGTTCGCTCCAGTTTTCTCCCCCAATCTCTTTGAAGCATCATAAGAAAAAAATTTCTAATCTCTAGAGTGTTTAAATTGCGTGAATCGAATAAAAATAACAAAAGCAAAGATCAAGTTGACGCAACTTCTGGCGAGAGAGAAATAAAATGAAAAAAACGAGACGATCAGTGAAAAGTCAAATGTAAAGTATTGTCGAATCGATCAAAATGGAGGCATCATTTCCGCCTCGGAGGACACTTACTAGTCACTCGGATCGTTTTTTTTTCAGTGGCGTATTGACACACCTGCCAAGGGTCGACTCGCCCGTGGATGTTTGTTATTTTCATTTTGCCTTTACGATCCTCTCAAATTCACCTTTGCGTGCAAGTGAAGCGGCTTTGGCGCAATTTGCGGCCTTTTTCCGCTTGCGCGTACCCCATTTGGCGTCGGAACTGGCACCGGACTCCTATGAGGAGGCACCACCGGCGCCGATCTACTTGGCCGTGTGAATTCTGAAAAAAAAGAATGAACTTTAAAAGATGAATGTAAAACTGACGAAAGACAATTTTCGTTTGAATATGACATAGATACGAGCTAGGTATGAGCTCCGCTCAGAATGAAAAAAAAATTTCACCAGTAAATAAAAGCTCAAAAAGTGGAAAAAGATGAAAAATTTAATTAAAATTATTTTCTTGAACATAGTAGTTATTCAATCAACCTAAAAGTTCTTCTATTTCGGATTTCTTTCTTGACCAAAGAAATGTATACACAGTTCCCAAACAAGGGGCAGCTCACATGCTGGTGAGTAGCATCCGTTGGGCTAATACGTCATAATTTTACGACGGGGTGCTACTCTGCCAGAATGGCGCACGGTGCAGTCTAGCCTTTTGCACTTCCGTACGTAACTTGGGCGTGCACCGTGCAATATAGATGATTTTTTGGTGCCGCACTGGTGCCACATGCTGAAAGCACTGTTTTGACACCTATGCACCCGTGTGGCATCAAAAAATCAAGTGAAAAAGGCTAGACTGCACCGTGCGCCATTTTGGCAGAGTAGTGCCGATCACCCGGTGTTTTTTTTAACGTTTCGGGTGATCGCCTGGGCCTAAACAGGGGCTCAGCGCGTGAACTGGGCGTTTGCGTAGATCCGCTGGACTTCAACGGGGTCTATTCGCGGCTAAAAATTGCTTTTCGGGTGCTCGGCTGGGGTTAAACTGGTGATCAGCACTAGCAACCGCGAGTGCTACTCAGCAGCATGCGAAGGCTCTGGTCAGTAGGGTGGCTGAATGCAACAGCGGCGGTGTTTATTGCAATTCCGCCGCGTGGATGAGATTCAAGTTTTGGATTTAGTGGTTGGGAAAAGACCACTAAATGATGTTTTTACTAGGTTCTCGCATGTTTTCGAAGGTTTTTAACGTGTATTAAATGTTAAAAAATCTATTTAAATAGAAAAAGAAATGAATTAGCTTTTGCAAAACAAAATATCTCCCAACTTTAGTTTTAGAGGAAAATTCGTCAAATCGAACTTCAAAAGAAAAAAAAAAAAAAAGCTCAAAGCACTTCTTTTATGTAACTCCATTTGAAGATTGTATGGGCAAGTCCAAAATCATCAGAAAAAAAGGTGGTATAAAAAAAGACCAGCGAAAATTCAAACGGCGACTTTTCCGATTTTTTCATGTCGCTAGGGAACTTTCCGACGGCCACCTTTCCGACGAATCTTTTTCCGACTTTTTTTCTCGATAAAATCTTTTTTTTGAATCTTCCTATATAAAGTAGGCAAGTTATTCATGATTAAAAACACAAAGAAATATGAAAAAGATGTTAATAGATAATTCATAAACCGAAAAATTTAAAGGAAAAAAGTCGGAAAAAAAGATTCGTCGGAAAGGTGACCGTCGGAAAGTTCCCTAGCGATACGAAAAAATCGGAAAAGTCGCTGTCTTTTTTTCATACCACCGAAAAAAAAAATTTGCAGGTGAAGTTTTCAAAGACCCAAAAACTACACGAAGAAAAAACATACGTGATTAAGAATATTATAATCTTTTTGTACAAATACCTAGATCTCCGAAAAAAATCACTTTTTAATTTTAGATTTTTTAAAATAAGTTGAACATTTTTTTTATCAGTGATTGAAATAAAAACTAAAAATAATATCAAGTTGAGTCGTATCTGAACAAGTAACTGGAAAAGAACACAATTGGAGAAAAAGATCGAATGAATGTTCAAATCAATTTGAGATAAACGCATTTCAAAAATATAATAACGATTAGAAGAAAGTTGAGCAAGATTGCGAATAAAAACACATCTCCTACCTGTTGCAGTAATCTTGAATTCAGCGACAGTCTCCCCAATTTTTTCTTGAAGCTTCGCTCTGAGTTCACGCACTGAGAAGGTCTCTGAGCCGTTACCATTCATCAATTAAATTTGTTCTTCCCATAAGTGTTTCCTAAAAGAAAAAAAATGACAACGCTAAATGAATAATTTAATAAAATACAGATATCACAAAACGATTGAAAGTCAATCAATGAACTCAAAGAATGGGAAAACAATAAATGGGTGGCGGAATTGAGATGACTCATGTTCTCTCGTGTGAGAAGGGCGCGTCACGGAACTCACAAAAGCCTAGACGCAGACACGACGACAAAGTTTGTTTTCTTTCATTAGCTTCTTGCAAAATTTAGATATGTTCAAAGAAATCGAACAAAAAATTATGAAAAAATAATATCCAGGTACTGACTTAGGGACGAAAATCCAAGAAGTACAAACTTTGCAGAAACGAAAAAAAATCACAAAAACTGAGAAACAAGTGTGAACAGTTCAAAAAATGACTGATTTCAGTGCTAGCACTCCAGCATGCTGAATAGATATACTAAAAATAATATATATATGAAGTCAAAAATTCCGATCTTATTCAGTGTATTGCATTATTATTCGTTTAAACGCGTTTTAAAAAAATTCCTCTTTCATAAATTTTTTTCATTTACTTCGCTGTAAAAAAATCACTCAAAAATTTATTTGAAAATTTTTTCGTAATATATCGCATGCATGTTTAATACATTGCTACGACGGCCGGTGGCCAGTTGATATTGCGCCGTCAGTTTCGAAGACAGGAAATTTAAAAAATTTTTTTTTCTTTATTTGCAATTTGTTAAGGACCTATTTCTCGAGGTTACAAGATAATTTACGTCACAAAAATGAAACAAGTTTTCATTTTATTATCGAAAAACCTAGTTTTACTACCGTAATACGACCGGCTTCCTTGAACATGCGTGATCGAGATATATTTAAAAAGTAAGCTTAATATAGCTTTTTTGATTTAAAAAAAAGTTAGGTCTGACCAATACCAAACGGCCACTCCGAAAAAAAAATCGAAGATCTTTTGCTTTGGTGAGCAAGTATTTGATCACTGTTAGAAAGTGAACACATAGATCGTAGTTAATTGATTTTTTGAACAACTTTTCATAGCTAAGATTTTTCCACAAGTCATCCGCCAAAAAATAATAAAAAAATATTTTTGAAATCTTATGACCCCTATCATACTATTCCAAACAGCGAAAAATTTTATATATTTAATCAGTTATTGCTTTGAAATTAATTTATAAACATTAATCTTAGAACAGTGAACAAAGTGTTTAAAGGCGCATAGTCAGGGCTGAGGTGCGTCTTTCGAAAGGCAAGGGGGTGTTTACGCGCCAAAAAAATATTTCAAATATACGAGTTCGCGTTCGATCAAAAAGTATTCAAAAATCTGTTTTTTTATTTTTTTATTTTTTTCGAAGTTTATTTTTTTCTCACAATTGATTTTGCAAAAATAAAGGGACATTTTGTTTCAGTATTCAACATTTGAACTGCATTTTTCATTCCAATAACTTACGTGTAGCGAAGTTATTTTTGAATTACGTACTCATCGTGTCGCGTTTGAATTTTTGGACTATTCTTTTTCTTATTTCCTTTTCTCTAAACTTCATTGCACATGAGATACCTGTGCCATGTAACCGGCTACAATCCGTTTTTTTTTCTTTTTTTTTTAAATTATTTTTGAATCTCTTCAACTCGATAATGAAAATTTCTGCTGAAAAAATTTCTCATATAGCGTTTTCTTTTTTAGGTTATGAGCCCATTAACAACAACAAGCTCTAATGAGCGTTCTTCTGAGTTTCAGCTAGCTGACGACCCAACCAAGCCTTTCGTAGTCACAAGCAAAGTATACGTGGGTTTCTTTCTTGTTTATTGAGAAGTTATAAATTTTTAGGAATCTCATTCAAAGCCAATTTACGCGGTGGCTTTCAATAACTACCTACCAGAAGATGCCCCACCTATCTTTGCGACCGCTACTGAACGTTATGTACGTCTAGTTTACTCGTGGTGATTGAAGTATCAAAGTTTAAGGTGAATGTCTACGAATGCCCGCTAGACTCTAAAGATATTAATTTATTGTTGAGTATGAAAGATGCTACGGTATGTATAAGTATTTTTAGACAATTAATCATTTGATTCAGGAAAAAGAAGATTTTTTCGCACTGTCATGGTGTTATGATACTTACGAAGAAATTAATCCAGAAAGCTCGCCGTACATGTTAGCTGTTGGCGGTCTTAGTGGCGTTGTGAGGATACTGCGATCAAATGATGCGAAACTTGTTAACGTTGGTTTGCGAAGAAATAAAAAAAACTATAGTTTTTTCTTTAGCATTTACGAGGTCATGGGGAGTCAATAAATGAGATCCGCGTTCATCCATCAAATTCAATGCTCATTGCGACGGCTTCCAAAGACTACTCTGTATGAGCTTTTCATGTAGTTTCTGAACTCAAATTCTCAGCAGTTTCATATATTTATGAGCTCCTTCAATCTTATAGATACGGGTTTGGCACATCCGTAACGACTCGTGTTTGATGGTCTTAGGAGGTTTCTCAGCTCATAAAGATCAAGTTCTATCAGTAGTAAGTTTTTTCTCTTTTTTTAAAATTTTTTTTGCTTTCGGTTTAGGACTGGTCCCGTTGCGGTGATTTTTTGGCATCATGCAGTATGGACCACACAATTCGATTATGGAAAGTAAATACAGGAAACTTCGAGAATAAAATGAACAAGGTTCGTTTTTTCTAGATATACTAAATCATTATACTATTCAGTTAATCAGCGGTTTGAGTGAAGGCAAGAAAAATTTCATGCACAACCAAAATGCTATTGAATGTGTCAAAAATCTAACGTCAAGCGCTAACGAGAATCAGAATTCGTTTGTACCTGATCAGTCTCAAGAGCGCTCTATTGTCAGTTTGTACAGTAGGATAACACAGTGGGTTCCCGATTCTGATGCCAGGTATCTAACTTTCGGTTTTCAGAACTCATTTCGATGAACCGATAATATCTCATTTCCCCATTTCAATGATAGATGATTTACACACAGACTATGTTGACTGTATCCGGTTTATTGGAGATTTCTGCCTTTCGAAGGTATATATATATATATTTTTTTTTTTAAACAGTTGGTTTTAAGGGTTCTGGCGCGGAAAGAGTTATTCAATTATTCCGTTTTTGGTTCTTTTGAAGACCCTTATTTAGATTTGCAAAAATCAGGATACAGTCAAGGTAAAAAAATCTTCTTTTTTTTAATGAGAAATTTTTTTATTAGTGGGACACCTGTGCACTCAAGCTTTCCGAAAAGAATTTACCTCATGGAGATGTCTGGTTTGTGAAAATGGAGATCGACCCCCAGAATAAGGTTTGATCAAATATTCAGAATTATTTTATTCTCATAATTAAGTGGTTGGCTTGTGGAGACAAAATCGGTGTTTTGAATTTTTTTATGATCTCCGCCGAAGTGAGCAGAAGTGTGACCCGTATGTTTCATGAATTAGATTTTTTGGTTTAAAATAGTTCTTTTTCAGAGACTTTGTTCTGCGGGTTTGTTCTGAGAAGTTTGTGGGACCTGATGGGAGAAATTCTGCGAATTTGGTTAGAAATGTTTCGTTTGGCGCATCGGGTAGAATTCTTGTCGCGGTAGCCGAGGATGGTTCGATAACTAGAGTCGATCGAGTATTTCAAGGATCTTCAAGGTTTGTTACTCAATACTTTCTCGGTTCATTACACTATAGTTTTTTTTTCTATCTTCGAACGGCCTACAATAAAACCAAAAATAATTTTTTACCGTTTTTTTTTGAGTACGGGGCAAATCGAAAGTGCGGGATCTTCAAAAGCTGCTGAGAAACTTTCGAGTGGAAGCGGATACACTACCGATGATTGGGATAAAACTGATGCTGATTGCGGAGTTAATGAGAGCTTCTTTAGTGATAGCGACGAAGCGTAACGGTTCTTAATGTTGTGACTACTCTGCGTATTCTTTTCGATCTTTCCTCTCATAACCCACTGTTATCTAGAGGAAAGTTTTCCCTGAAGTTTATTTTCTTCATGTCGATAATTTGTTCATTTACCTTGATATACATAAGCTTTTTCGTCCTTTGATACACTTATTTTTTCGTTTTCACAAGTGATGATCATCAATGTACTAATGACGATTCGGGTTAGCGACTACTAGCTCTTTTTGGCGGAGTTGGTGTTTTTTTCTTACGAGAATCTTCTTTTTTTACGGTTAAATTATGAGAAAAGAAAAGCGGGCTACTGATAATCTCTTTTCTCTGATAATTTGCTCCAAAACTTTCGCAATCTGCTAATCACTGTTTATTTTTCTATAGAATCGTTTTTTTTTCCTAAATTTTGAATTTTTTTCTCATATCATGTTTTATAAATTTTTTTTCTATCATTCTTTTTTTAAAATTAATGTTTAGTGTATGGTTTTGTTCCGTATCACATATTTGGAAATGAAAATATAGACAATTCAGCAAGTTTTCAGCTTATTTTTTCTATAATGACGACCGGATCGAACGATTTTTTTACTATTCTAACCGTTATCAAGACGATGAATTCGAGTACCGTCATGTACACGTTACAAAGGTGAAAAATTTAAATTTCAAAAATAATGGTAGTAATTCAGGAAGTTGCGAAACTCATCCCCAAAAAAACCGATTGATGTCTGAAAGCGAATGGCGGAGTCTTGGAATTCAACAAGTGACTTTTTTTTTTTAGAGTTTTCAATGATACATTCTCCAGATAGTTGTTCAATCATGTGGTTTCATACCTGTAACAAGACACGACTTTCAGTCAGCCGGGTGGATTCACTACATGATCCATAGCCCCGAACGTCACGTTTTATTATTCCGTCGACCTATCACCACTACTAACACAAATGCAATGAGCAACGCCAACAGCAACGCGGTTAGTTTTTGGGAAGATGTTTGTTTTATCAAGAAGCTTTTTTTTCTTATTTCATAAGCTAGAAATTTCCATTTTTGTCTTCTTTTATTTTCATTTCTGATAATAATTTTCAGGTCGGTGTTCGTTAAACCAGTCTACTTATTTGCCTCTCCTTTGCTCATGATGATCTTGACGTGTTGTATGGCCTTCTATCCCCGAAATTTGTGTATTTTCCGCATATCCTTGTCTATGATGATGTCCCAATTGCAATGTATTAAATAAACTATGTCGAAATTTTCGAATCGAGAAGTCCAAAAAAAGCTGCTTAGTTATAAAAAAAGTAAAAAGATGATTAAAAAAATAATAAAAAAAGGAATTCTAAAACATCATATTGTGACTAAAAACTGGTATCATTAAAATCCTCTCTGTCGCTTTCTTTCAATCGTTTATTTAGCCCCAGGGAGATATTCTCATTTTCCACCCTTCGCATTCTTCTTCCAAATTCCAATATTGAGCCAGAGAGATGCGCTTTTTTCTGTCCTCTTGTTACTCATTCTGTTTAAAATTTCCACGAGTAAATAGCATGACAATTGGGGGGCGTTTAAAAATTTAAATTAAGCTGCTCGCTCCGTGTTTCAAGAGCTGAAGCGCTTTTCATTTGTCTTCAACTCGATAGCCTTTTTTTCATCTTCAATCTTTATATTTCTTTTTAGATAATTTTTTTCCAATAAAGTCGAAAAAAGAAATAATAATGATGAACCTTTGAGAGAGTTCGATTATTCTCAATAGAGAGCTTCTTACTTTAAAAAAAAAGTATATGACAAAAAAAGCGAAAAAGAAAACCGTGAAAGGTTAGCCGAATATTAATAAGCTGCAGAAAAAATTGCCGACGAGAAATGAGCGTTGCAAGCTTCGCCGGCTTGTCCAAAAATTGGTTCTTGAAATGCGCTCCATGGAAAAACGTCTGAACAGTGAAAATTGCATTTTATTCGTTTATTCGAAGCTATTATTCCAGGGCAATTTTTTTTCGTTCGGCCGATTTTCGTCTACAGTAGACGGCTCGATCTTCGCAGCCTTTTTATCACACACCCCAAAAAAGCCATGTTTATCTTTGCATTGTTTTTTTTTTTTTCAAAATGTTCATTATTCATACGTCTACGGGCTTTCAATACACATACAATTCTGTCTTCAGCGATTTATTTGTGTCCCCATACTCTATTTATTCCTAGTTTCATCATTTTTACGACAACTTTCACGTTCGAGAAGAGAAGTGACCTAATTTTGACAAAAGCTTTTGACAAATAAATTTATCGCTCTTGAGCTTTTTCTTTGAATTTAGAACGAAGCTGAGTTGAAAACACTTGCAGCGAAATTAGATTCCGTCGCGATTCGTGCATTGAACTCTTCTTCGTCGCGGTTCCGTGTTCGTTTTGTGATTGTGGGAATCAGAAGTAACGGTGAAAGGGAATATTTAGACCTCTACTTGATCCTCGGTTCAAAACTTCATTTGATCATTGAACGCGCTATAATATTCACGGGCAAAGTCCAAAAGGTCTCAAAAAGGATTTTTGGAAAAAAGGCCTTTAAAAGGTCTCAAATGCGCCTTTTTTTCTAGACCTTTTTCTGAAAAGGACCTTTTAAGGAGGACTAGAAAAATAAGGTGAAAAAAGATGGAAAAAAGCAGATTCCGAGAAACTTTTGACACCTTTTTTGGAACTTAAAAAGGAGCTTTAGCCTCTTCTTTTTTAGGTCGTTTGGACTTTTGCTGTTTGCTGTGTTGCTTGTTGAAATATTAATCTAGCGCTGTGTATATTATATAGTTCAAGGATCTATCAGAGCTTGAGAGTTGTTCATTCTGAAAAGATGCAGCATAAACTTAAAAAGTTGTTATTTTGCAGTTTCTACTTCGCAATTCTTCGCAAAACTTCGCAAATCCTGTGGCTTTATATCTTTTTATGTATTGTGTGTTCAAGAAGGAATGCTCAGGGTTTTCAAAAGTTTTGCTCCCATTCCCACTTGGCATCTTTCCTAATTATTCATTTCGACTATACAACCTGATTTTGGCTTTTTTCAGCGAATGCAATGTAGAAAACAAAAAATGCGCGAAGTGGCAGGTAGCTCGAAAGCACTCGATTGCGGCGTCAATTTTCGAGAATGAATTGGCCTGCTATTTGTAATACCCGTTGAACCCATTGTTTAAGTGCGTTTCGAGGGCTTTTTCGCTTTCCGAAATAAGCTCCAGGTCCCAGGACAAATGATAATTCGATTTAGCAAGGGCCGACTTGTAGAGAACGTCTTTTCAGTTTTTAGTCATTTATTTCGCCCGTTCACCCCAAATTTTCAACTGTTTTAGAGCTGACTTCAGCAGAGGTCTTTTTTTCGGTTCTAGGAATCAAATTGGTTTTTGACTTATCTATATTAAATTCATAAACTCGAACTTGAAAAATTCCAAGTTCTGAGGAGAAGACAAGATCTTATTTTGGGAGAGTAATCCTGGTTAGTGTATTCCTCTCCGCTTTAAAAAGCCAACAGATCATCAATTCACTTCCTAACTCGGAGCGCGAACGAGTTGCCCCGCCTATTACGTCTCTGGAGACCTTCCGCGACGTCCTTTTTGGAAATCGCGCAGATTTTCTCTTCTTTTTTCTTTTTAATATTTCATTTCAGCTTATTATCTCCAAAAAAGGTCAAATCAGGGTCCAGCACACATTTTCTTGCTTTTTCAGGACAACTTCCTGTCTAGCCAATTGGATTCCCGACTAATTCATCCAATTATGCTGATAATTATGACCTCGCGTTTACTATATTGGAAAATTTAGACGGAGAACGCGCATTAAAAATTTTTATGGGGTGTCTGAGCTAATGAGCGAGTAGATTGCTCCATATTTTCATTCGAAAAGAGTGGGCACATAAGACGGCTTCTTTAAAAGAGATGGTTGTCTCGTTTCCCTGATTTCAGGGTTTCAGAAAAGGAAAAGCATCCATTTTTTTTGGAAATTTATAAAAATGGCTGAACTTTGCGGAAAATAAAAGAGGCGGAGTCATAATAATTAGGCCTTTTTGGCCCGTTTGCTCATTAGCCGTCTTATTTACCATCTATTTTTCAAGGTACCTGCTCATCTTTTGCCGTCATCCGAAAACAAACCGACATTCGGGTGGATAGCCTCTGGAGCGGAAGGCTTTTGGTGGGCAACTTGCTGGAATTTCGCACATTTTCGATGCGGTTCTTTCAACCAAAGCCTACCTTCATTTATTAGTTACGGGTGGCGCCGGTGGGAACGCGTACTTCTAAGCTTCGTCCTTTATCAACGCGGGGCTTTAGTCTTCTACTTTTTCATTTCCTTCACGTTCAACTCGAAATTTAGATAGGAAAAAGCTTTTTTTTCTCATTAAAAACTCCCTGCGTCTATTTGAACCATTTCGAATGGTTCTGAAAAACAGCGGAAAATTTTCTTCACAGGAAGTCAAATTATGGGAAAAGGTACCTCTAGAACTTTTATATTGAGGAAACCCAATTTTTTTCGAAGGTGTCCCCTTGAAAATATCTGATTTTTCTACACTTTTTTCAAAGGCTCTCTTATGTAGGGACCACAGACCTATTTTTCGAACTCAAGCTATGTCCTCGTTTTTTTTTATAAAAATAATGATTTTAACATTTAGTATGCGAAAACAGAAAAGAAAAATGAAAAATATCAAGAATAAGAGGAGAAAACAATATTTAAAAGTAATCGAAAAGCAAAATCTTTTGCATTGAAAATTTGGTTTTCCGAATTCTCATGCAATCTGCGCGCTCTTTTTGCAAAGGCGGCACGGTTTCAGGAGCCAAAGTAGAAGGTTTTACGAGCTTTAATTCCACTTTATCATCACTTTCGTCTCTGTGACTGCACAACTACAGCCTACAGTGCTCTTTGAATCCCATGAAAATGTAATTTCGCCGACTTTTATTCGCCTTTTTTGTTGAAAAAATTTTTTCGGCGACCTTGAATTTTCGATTTTATTGCTTTATTTGTTTGAAAATTGAAAACTCTCATGAATGAGTCAGAAAAAACGCGTGTCTTCGTCCTGGAAATGTTTCAAAACAACTCGCAAAAACTTCTCCAGCTTTATTAGCCTTTAAAACAGTGCATTTGCTTGTAGTTGTCAACAAGTATTATTTGAGCAATTTTTTTCTCAATATGAAAAAAGAATAAAAACTTTCCAATGCTCCATTGCAATTGAGAAAACAATTTTCGACTTTGCGCGCCACTCAAACTTTTCGGAGACCATAGAATTATTATTTTTTTGGCTTTAAAAATTTCATTCACTGTTTATAAGCAGTTTTCAAAAAATCAACTTTGTCCGCGACTTACATGAATATCAAAACGCAAAACTAAGTTTGGTTTTCGAACTCGCATCACTATTCCGTATGACACTCCGTTGAAACACATGGAAAGTATAGTCTGTGTGCCACGACTTGAAATTTCACGGAACGACATTCCGCTGTGCCGCTGCGCGCCTTTTCGAACCTTGGTCGCGCCAATAATTTTTTTTTTCTTTTATTAAGGTACTCTACTTTCATGTGCTCCCACAGTAATGACAATCAATTGATAGCGTGACCAAGATTCGAAAGACGCTTCGCGAACACACACAGCGGAACAGCGGAATGTCGTTCCGTGAAATTTCAAATCGTGGCACACTGACTATACCTAAAAACCTTTTCAACGGAAAGAGGAACCTTTGCTACATTTATGGTGAAATTTTCATCATTTTTCATTGTTTCTATCGGCTGTACGAAACAATCAAAGACGGAATACCAAAAAAATGGTCTTTTTTCCATCGCGGAAAAGGGGCGGGGCTTTGCATGCTTACTTGCTAACTGCATGTTTCCATGATTTCTACGGTAAAATAACAGGATACACAGACGAATAAAAACAATTTTAGGTTTTGTATATGAAATCAAAAATTTGAAGATGAATCAAAAAAAAAATTATTCATTCATTAGAATTTCTAGATATGCATGACATCGCATAGGTTTGGAAATAAAATAATGTTCCCCTTATTTGGATTTCGAAAAACTCAGAACTCGCAGGGGACAAACTAAATAGTCGGTCCTCTCTATGTCATTACCGGTAATTACCAGAGAGAGGTGAAATTTCATTGGATTGTAGCTGATTCCTTTTTGATTATCACTTACAAAAATTTCCGACTCTTACGCAAGAATTGTTGTTTTATCTGAAGAAATATTCTTTTCTTTGAAGAATTAGAAAAAAATTTCACGAGATTAATCATTTCTATTTTTGACAAGCCGCCTTTTTTCACTAGAAAACATTTCAAAAGTTTTGAGTTTGCTTTTGAAAAAAATGCTTGTGATCCTCGAATTTCATCTTCATTCCCAATTTCTAAAATGAAATTTTGAATTTTAAAGTATTATTCGAAATCGGCTTTTTCCCAACCATATTTTCTTGTTTCTCTATATTTAATGTTGTGTGGACCTTGCTGTTTTGTCCCTTCTTTTCATTACCCGAAAATTCTTGCTTTTTCGGAGAGAACGTTTTTTTGGGGGTTTCGAAACGACTTTACTTTTCGCTCGCGTTTCATTGATGCTTGCTCTCCCTTTTTTTTGGCCGGTTTTCCAAATTTTCTGAAAAAAGATGACGTCATGAAGGACTTGGCGTTATAACCTGAAATTTTCAGGACTGTGAGAACTCGCAGAGATGGACGCATTCTCCCGGGAGGCGTTGCTCGCCGAGCTCGAGATGAAGGATGACATCATCGAGCAGCTCCGCAAGGTTTGCCAGGGAGTTCAACTTAGAACCTGTGTGGTCTTCAGTTTGATAAGGAAGTTATGAATGTTGGAACCCAGGTTTCTGGACAGTGCAAACCGAAACTCTCTTCCTACATGAATCATTTTCTTGCAAAGAACATGTAATTCAGAAAAACTTTTCAAGGATCAATTGGAGTTTGATAAATAAAATTTCAATTTTATTTAAACTAATAAAAACAGTTCATCTGTACTCAGAGTAGGAAACCAAAGAGGATGAGAAAATCCCCATTTCTTATGCATGTAGAATTTCAGTTCATGTAGTAAATTTTTATACAAACTTTCGTTAAAAACAGATGACTGCCATGAAATTTTAACGTTTCAAAAAGTTTGATGCAAAATTCTCCATTACAAATTATTGGCCATCGCTATTAGGAATTTCTGGGCCCTCTTTAACTTCGGGTTAATTTAAGTAAGTAAAAATACTTATGGTTGTTTCTTACGGGAAAAATAAGCCGAATCGAAAACAAGTTCTGATGAAAACTTGGCAGTCTTGCAAATATTGACGCCAAGACATAACTAATCCAAGAAATAGTCGTCTTTGTGTGTAGTCTGGCCATTATTTAAGATTTTTCAAAAGTTCAACAAAATTTTTCAAATTTTTCGCAGTGAAAACAAACGCGTCCGATTAGTAGGAGTGAAGTGTTTTTGCATGTTTCAGAAAAGGCTTAAAACTTTCAAAAAACGTTGCTCCTAGACAAACTTTTGCCCTTTCGACGACGTAATGGTCTCGGTCTGACCAGGACAAATAAGCTCGGAGTTTCCGCCTCATTCCCAGAAATGATGCAAAAATGAAAATAAAAGATAACTTGAAATTTTATCGGGAGAATAAAAAGAGAATAAATAATCCCGTTCAAGTCAAAAAATATAAAATATATTGAAGCTTGATTGTTGAAAAAGCTATACAGGTCATAGAAAAGTAATTTACTAAAAGTCAGGCTCACTTTAAATATTTTCTTCTGAACAAGAGATCTCAAGACTGATTAGAAAGTGGAAAAAATCAAAATCAAAAATAAAGGAACCGAAAATTTTTATTTCAGTCCGCGGAAGCTGTTTCTGTATACTGCTTTCAAAATATGACTTTGATAAGCTCAGATTTTTTAATTCTGATTTAGAACAAGAAAGTAGGGATAACTTCGATATTGGTGAAGGATCGAGAATGAAAAAGGATCAAAAGGGGAAAAGATGCGAGCCAGAAAAAAGTCTCAGACCATTAGAATATGAATAAACTGATTGAATTTGAAGTAAACTACAATTACAAGTAAATTACAGTGAACTGAAAGTAAAACTCAGGAATTGGAGCAGTACCGGATGCAGAATATGTCTCGAAAGACGGCCATTTCGTCGGAACCCGATGCCGTCGTCCAAAGGACCATCATCGGCAAGAGCGAAGAGTTAGTTTCAATATCTTTCTTTGGGATAAGTTTTATCGTGAACTTTCTCAAAATTTCTTCTTCCTCATCTTATAAAAAAAAATTAGATTAATAGTAGTTTTTTTTCATCGCATTAGATACGTATCGATACGTTTCTGATTGTTTTCGGATGCCGTGTAAATCGTTTGGACTAAATTTTCCGTGCACGAAATTTATATTTACTTGAGAAAAAAATTTCAAAAAAAAAAATGAAATGAACGTCACTCGCCGCAAACGGATTACCGCCGTGCATTGTTCCGTGCTCCGCCTTGAAAAAATTTCTCAAAAACCGTTCCTCTCAAAACTTTTCATTCGACTTCAAAAGCCTCGTGATGAAAAGTGCTCGCCGCTTCCGGGATTTTCGATTCCTCACTGCGAAATATGTTCCTATCAGGTCTGATTTGAATAGAAATTCGCGAACGGAAGCTGTTGGTGGGTGTGAAAAATTTGCTGCTTTTTGATGAAAATAAAATCGACATTAGGGGTACTGTATATGTGGGCGCACTTTCAGGAACCACTGGCATTTGATTTGACGCACATTTGAAAATTTTTAGAAAATTTTATGCCGTGCTCAAATTTGAGAGTGATTTCCTCGAAAGGCAATAATTATCTCTGACACTCTAAATTTTACTTAATTTTTTTCTTTTTTCTGGCGGCTATTTTGGATTGCGGAACCACTTTGAGCAGGGCATTAGCATCTACGATGAAATCTTCAATTTAGTTTTTTTTTTTACGATTTGTGTTTCGTCAAATTAAACCGGAAAATCCGGACAGGTGTCGCTATATAGCCGATACCTAGTATAGTTGAACTGGGTTAGATATCGGCTATATAATCGCTAGGGATGAAACAGCATGTTCGCGACAGAATAAGCACATTGGTAGCCGTTCATAAACTGTAGCTATTCAGCCCAAGTTGGTTTTAAGCGAGGTAATGGCAGCTACGGTTTTTCGGTTTGTCTACTGGGGGTTTTTTTTTTAGAATAGTGCACGTTTCTCAGTCGTTTTAACTTGAGACTTTCGACTTTTAGTCGTTCTTCAGACTTTTTTTCTCTAATTTTCTTTTTCTTCGTAACTTTTGCAGCTTCCGTCACAAGCTGAAAAGAAAACAAAGCGTTTGCAACTTTTTAAGCGATAAACTATTTTCCCTGTTCATCGATGAGAGCTTTACAGAGCGTTTCACAATATTGAAAAAGCCCTTCGGTCAAATGCATTTCTGAGGAACTTGGACTCCACCCAAATAGAAAAAATCGCTTCCGCCATGTACCCCGTCGAGGTTTTCTCAAGTTGAATGGCTTTATGTAGATTCGAGTTTTTCAGGTTCCTCAAGGGGCAACGATTATAAGGCAAGGAGACTTGGGGAGCATCATGTACGTTATACAAGGTGAGCTCGTTGAATTTTCCGTGAAGACCTCCTAAACAGTCTAGATACGAATTTTCAATTTCCGCGTTGAGTTTTTTTTAATACTTTTCATAAATGTTAATTAATGAAAACGTTCAAAACCTCGGTTTTCTATTTTATACCTAAATAGTTGTATATTTTCATACAGACGGATCTGTGCAAGTTATGAAAGACAATCGTTTCGTCCGCACCATGCAGCCAGGACATTTGTTCGGAGAACTTGCGATTCTGCACCATTGCGAGCGCACCGCCACTGTGAGAGGTATTCAAACTAGAAATAAAATGAATTGTTGCTCGAAAAACTTGAAAAAGTATTTTTTTATAAAAAAATATATTTTCGAAGCTTTATAATTTTATTTTTTTGGTTTTTTTAAATGAAATAATCGTAAATTTCACAGTTTGAAAAAAAGTCAACAAGTCGAAAAAAACAGGATAAATCTCCGATTTGCCCAGCTAGGAATAGGTTATTACTTTGATAGTAGGAAACTTTCATTTAAAATGTAAGAACATTAAAAAAAAAGTTTGTTTCTAGTTTTCTGGAGCGTTGACTCCGATTCTCTTCCATCAAAATTCCTTTTCTTTATAATCTCAATGTCAAAACACGTAACTTTCAGCTATTTGGCCCTGCAAACTGTGGGCAATCGAACGAAATGTCTTTCATTCCATCATGAGGGAATCTGCACGCGAGAAAACCAACAGTTACAAAAGACAACTGAAATGGTCTGTTTTTGAACGTTTGAGAGCTTCAGTTGAATAGTGTAGCTTGCCGTCGAAGACTTTGTACTCTTAATATCATCAATGTTGATGTTTTCGAACTGTGTTTGACGGTTTTTCCATTTTTCTCAAAGGTTAAAAATAGCGGTTTAGATATGTTCGCAGGATTTCTCGCAATAGGAAAGAAAACTGACCGGAAAAAAAATTTTTCTGTCTATGAAAAAACTAGTTTGTATAGTTCGAAAAAAAAGCGGAGAGTAGAACCAATAAATAACTTCAATATTATTTTTGAAATGATGGGAAAAATCAATGTACTTGATTATATGCTAAATTATCATTATATTTAAAGAAAATTCTCGAAAAAATGGTGATATGACGTGATAAGCGAAGAAGTTTTGCACAAGCATTAGACGAGTTTCAAAAATTTTTTGTTAACAAAACTTTTCCAAAATATTTCAAAGCACGGGTTCGTCCCAGAGAGTTGTTTCAAGCGTTAAATCAAAAATTCGATATAAATTCATAAGAAAATGATAAACGGATGAATTCGAGGAATTCCTCAGGTCGGCGCGGTTCGGCGGCTACTCTGACGAGTTTTTGCTGCGGGTCGCCGAGGTCTGCGCCGAGTCGCAGCATTCCGAAGGGGACCGCATCTCGGTCAGACCGCAGTACGTCTACCTCGTCATTCGCGGCGTGGTTAGATCCTTTTTTCTCGTTGAAGGCGGAAACGAAATCTCAACAGAAAATAGAGTTAAAAAGTTGTCTGGCGTGATTTCAAACAGGGATGCACGAGACACGATCTCGTCTCGATATTTTTCGAGATATCTCGAGACGAAATCTCGTCTCGAGATTCTGTTTTTCGAAGATGTCACAAAACTCCTCGGAGTCGTTTTCAATTTTTTAAGACGATGATTGAGTCGCTTTAGAACACTTTTTCTATCTTTGAAAGTTGCTGCTCACATACAGATCACCAAAACTTATTCTCAGACAGGAAATATATTCAACCTTTTTTTTTTCGTCGAAAGTTTAAAAAATCCAAAACATTTAGGAAATTCTAAGTCACTGGTCATTTATGGTTGCGTTATTTCGAGATTTATTTTTATCTTCATTTCTCAAAAGTTAGTGCCACCGTCGTTAAGATGAGAAGCCAAAATTGAAAGAAAACAGCCGAGAAATTGATCCTCAGTTTTTGATTCATCCCTATTCTGAGCCATTCGAAGTGCTTATAATAGAAGTCATCCAGGCCGTCATCGCTATGGAAAGGAGTCGTAGAAAGGTATGCCTTATAGTGTCATATCTCTGTCGTAAAATTCTCCAATTGTTCGATTTTTTCATTTGTTTTATTTGAAAAAAAGCCGAATTTCCCACTCATTTTCAATATTAATTTCCTGGTTTGGTTTATTTTATCTGCGGGTCCAAAGTGTCTCTGGCCACGAGTGGAATCCGAAGGGACGGTACCCGAGAGCACAACCGATAGCGACGGCTTAGCGGCTTATTTTGGTGCTTTGATTTTGTCACCGTCTTTCGTCCTCTTCTCATTGGCATTTATTTGGACGAGAAGAAAAATTTGAAAGAATTTTGAAAAAGAGAAAAAAAAAACTGAAACTATGAAGACAAATTAACAATTGGCTGAAATTGGAGGTCCAGACGGCCAACTTTTTATGCCTCGGATTATATTTTTTGTACAAAGTGCCGTCATTTGTCTGGTGAGTAAACCTCATCGTATGATTTGATTTATAACTTGAAGAAAAATTTGGAGTGTGTGAGACAGTAAATATGTGATGAGAGATGGTTTTCTCGAAACCGGAATTAACGTTATTTTGTTTGGTTTTTCGTAACTTTTGAGAATAAAGAAAGTGAAGCAAGTTGATCAAAATAATGAGTGAAAGAGGGAAAAAAATAGCTACATTTGGCCGTGCTGATGATCATTTTGCTACTCTGAATGAATTTAACTTAATTATTTCTTTCATAATGAAGGTTTACTATAGGTTTATTCTATTCGGATTAAAAACAGAAAATAGATAGAAACTTCGGAAAAAAATAAAATTAAACAGGGACCAGAAATGAAAGTTTTTAAAAAAATTAGTTTAAAGAGTCTGCAGTTTTTTTTCGCTCATTCTATCCTTCTTTTAATACCTCAACTATGTGAACATAAGCCGCAGCGAAAACTTTTGCATCGTGACCATTTGGAACATTGTTAAACTTCTGTGTTTAGGTTAATGAGTATAGTCATGCACTGTTTTTAAGTTCGAGTGACGGAACTCGAAGTTCAATTCCCTTCCTATCAGAAAAGGCAAATCATTCACACTTGACTGCTCCCGTCGAGAAAGTGTGGAAATGATCTGTCCCGCCATTCGGGCGCCACTTACCATGTTCTCTCAAAAAAACTTCTGTGAAAATCACGTGAACGCGAACGCGCCCTGCGGCACAGCTGCGGACTAGTCTTTACCGTATTCTGCGCACATTTCATCCGCAATCTATCTCTCCTGTTTACTTTTGTGCTGTTATCGGAAAAGGAGGTTCAGAGTAGACGTGACTATGGCGATTGATAAAGCTAGTTCTTGCATAGGCGATACGGTTTCATTAGCAGGTGATGTGGTCTCATTGGCTCTATGGCCGTTTTTTGAATGAGGATAGTCAGAGAAAATTCGTGGAAAAAAGGATAATTTTTTTTGTTACCTACTCGCCAAGACACGAAAACTTCTGAGTGTGCCCTATTTTTCCTCGTATTCAAGGTCTTGGAAAAATAAGAATAAATCAGTAGGTGTTAATAAAAAATGGTGCAGACAAGCTAGACAGTTAAGAGCCGAGGCGAACGAATTATACTCAAAGACTTGAATATGGAAAAATTCCTTATAATTTCTACTCAAAAAGACTTTGTAAACAAGTCAGAATAGGACATTTCATCGAAAAAAAGCGCATTACGTGATAGATACCACTTCCGCCCAGGCTTGTGCGAGGGCCGACCCGTCACCCTCCCGGCCCCCCGACCATTTCGTAAGCCCGGCCCGGCCCGGCCTTAGAGGGGCCTCAAGAAAAAAATGGCCCGCCCGGCCCGAAGCGCGCAATTTTTTTCTAGTCGGATATCAAGTTTTTACGACAAAAATTATTTTTTTGCTCATTTTTTTCACTTAAAGTTTAATAAAAAAACTATGATTTCAGAAGTAAAAGTCACATTTCGGTGAAAAATTTTTTTCAAATGAAATTTTTAAAATTTTTTTGAAGCCCGGCCCGGCCCGAGCCCACGCGGGCTTTTTCTTGAAAATAAGGCCCAAAGCCCAGGCCAGGCCGCCCGGCCTGACGCACAAGCCTGCTTCCGCCTCAACCGATCGGTCAGTACTACTGGTTCCTTGTTCTCCTTCTTCAGATGTTGACCTGGGCCAACGCCTTTCAGTGATAATCCTGTTGTGTAAGTGTGTCCTCCCTTCAAATTGATTCGATCTAATTTGTGTAGAATGGAAAAGAATCACGTGAATGAAAAACTTTACGCAGTTTTTTCTTCTTTTTTTCGACTGGAAATAATTTGAGTTGGTCCAATAATTTTTCATCTATAAGTGAAAACAATTTCGGATGTCGTTTTTTTAAGTGGGGACTTATTTTGAAATAAGGATTGAATTGATCGATCAAACTTCCCACATAATCAAGCTCAACATTCTTTGCTCCAGAGCTCAAAACGTCTTGAAATCAGGCGACGGCGTCACGCGTCACCCATTCATCAATAATCCCTTTGTTGCGCTTCACAAAGTTCAGAACAACGGAGTTCCGCAGTGCAAGAATTTGTACTCAATCTGTACCCATGGTTGAAGACTTGTTTCATCATTTTTGCTCTGATTGAGCAGATATTCCTGAAGGGCCAACAATCAAAAAGCTCATTTGAAAACGGCAATTTTTGATATAGTTTTTTTTTTCGAAAAAGAAAATGGAGTCATAGACGAATCGAAAAAGGGTATCGCGAGACCCTTTGAGTATATCGCATGCTCTGAAGTCTCACGATGGTACCTCGAGTCAACCTTTGAGGATTTTGAGCAAACTGAGAGAGGTTTGAAAGAGACTCTAAAGTACCTCCGAGATGGCTCAGATATAGCTAAAAGGTATGCCGGAGGTCTCACGATGGACACATTATGGTACCTTCTCGATTTGCCTTTGGTCATAGTCGTTCAAGAAAATATTTTCGCCCGCTGAAAAGAAAGATATTTCTCTCATAGGTCATTTTCAGTTAACTTATACTTGCAAAACAGGCGGTACTTTGATTCAAAGTACTCTTGTACCTACAGAACAAAGACTACTGTTTCAATGTATTTTGATCATAAAAGATGGGAACGAAAGGACACGTTGTCGTCAATTTTGCAGCCAACGCTGCCTCGACTTTTCGCTTTTCCCTGTTTTTCAGTTTCCGCCACATTTTGTTCGTTTAGCGATAACAGAACGCTCAAACAAGTCTTGTGTCACGAGTCCTTACCTTTTAACAACAGATAACAATCTTTTCAGTAGGTCTCTCTGAAAGCTGCAAGTTGCCACGGTTACTGTCAAAATGTGTTGACTCCTTCAAGAAACATTTTAGTTTCTCATTAACTTTTTTTTTATCAAATTCCGTTTAACATAAGAATAAAAAAGAGTGTCTAAATGAAAAAGGCTTAAATTAAAAAATAATGAAAAGTATTTAAACGTTTCAAACCGCGTTCAATGCTATAGGTATGAGAAAAACTGCAATAAAAAACAAAAGAAAAAAAAAAATTATTTTTTGCCTCTTTATGAATAGTATTAACACTTTGCCGATCAGTTTTGCGTGCCTATCTTTTATTTTAGAAAATTTTCGGAACTGTTTTACAACGGAACAAAACAGCTTGAACTCGTTTTTCCTATTTATTCTGAAGTCTATCGGGTCTATGGCAGTGATCAGTAGGAAAATTTTAGTCTGTATCAGTGATCACTTTGGAAAATATCTTATTTGTGGATAGTTCGCGTGATTTTCAAAGTTTCATCCGCTGTTTCGCATCTTTTTTGTTTTTCACCGAAAAAAACCAGATTGGTCTGTCTGAACGTCGATTTTTGTCAATAAATCACTGGTTGGCGGGCTGTCGTTATCATTTTTGCACGTTAATCAGTTACCTGCGTCTCTGACACTATTAATAGGCGGTTTTGGTGATTGAAGTGCAGAGCGACGAGACTGTTGTCTTGGCGTAGTCATTGCGTTTCCCACGGCGGCGCCACGTGATTCGGCGATTGATAGATGAGGGTTCAAAGGTTCTTGAGAGATTCTGACACCGAGGAACTGAACTCCGGAAGGGCCTGTTCAGGTGCGCCTCTCGGCTGAGAAATCAAGACAGTGAAAAATCTAAATTTCTAGTATAACCCGCATTATAAAGGTTTTGTTAATTTTTTATAAACTTTCGAGTGTCCTATTCATAAAAACCTGTATTTGTTTTTGAGAAACGAAAAAAGGAAAACAAGTTTAATGACGAAAAACGTCAAAATTTTGGTGTGAAGTAGTTTCAGATTGAATTTTAACTCTCTCTCTCTCTATGTGTTCGACCTCAGGAGACGAATTCGCAGAAAAAATTTTGAACTTTTTCACGTGAATTAAATTGAAGTTATTTCGTTTGGTCACATATTTAGCCTAGTCTTCTCTACTCGATATGAAATGAAATCTTTATAGTTCACTCACAGACAGATCTGGGGCGTGGAGATAGACAACCAGTAAAGTTATATTTGTCTGCACTTCGATAAACGTTCCACTTTAATTCAAAAATATTTTTGGTCGAAAAATTTTCGAATAATAATTTTTGAGACATGTAGATCATTTTTTTGCTCCATTGGAGAGAAAAAAAAGCAAACGAGCTAAGTTAACTGTTTTGTCAAGTTTCCTCGTTACAACACTAAGTAACGACTATTCTGTGATGGAGCTATAATTATTTCATCTCATTTATTTGTAAATCCAAATTTTTTTCTAAGAGTTTATAGTTCGTTTTCGGATGTACTGTTTCAGCTTTACGTAGTTCAGATTTTCATAAAATGCTGGAATATGCCAAGATATCATAAAAAAAAGCTTCAGCCTTTTCTATCGAAGTTTTCCCTTGACCGTTTTTGTGTAATAAATGAAGTCGCTGATGATTACAGCTGAAATCAACCAAGTGGAAGCCAGAAACTCGTTAGATTATGTTTTGCAAACAAAGAATCGGAAAGAACAATTAGTTTTTGCCTTTTGGCCTGATGAGCACGTGACAGGACGTCGCTGTCGTCTATACTTTGAGTGTTCTCAGTTTCTTCGTATCTTCTTGGTCCGGACTAAAAACAAAATACTCTGTTTTCCTATTTTTTTCAGTCGACACACGAAATTCGAATCCTTTTACAATGTATCAGCTGTTGGAAACGATCGAAGGATATGTTCAAAAAAAACCAAGAGACAAGAGCTTGAACTGCAAACTTCCATTTTCGATCGTTTCACACAAAGTGTGAGCTGTGCCGTAACTGCTTTTCACTTTGAAATAAAAATCATTTCTTTTGGCTCGATTTTCTTTTTGTAAAAGAAGGAAACTTGTACTTAAAATGTGCGCTCACAAGTATTTTAGAAGACTTTTCTTTGGCCATGACGAATGGAGTTGTTTATCAGGGTTTGTATCACAGACCTCAACTTGATAGAACCCAGTGGTTGCTTTTTTTTCGAAAAAATCTTCGAACAAAAGGAGTCGATCACTCAAGCTGGTTCTTCACTTTCTTATCGCACGCCTCTCAAAATAAAACGCATCTTCCCAAAAATAGCCTGGACGTTGAACATTAAAAGTTGCGGTTGGCGAAAACAGGCACTTTTTGTTGATGTCCTTGATAAGCCTATTACGAACCGTTTTCTATTTCGTTTACAAACACTAGACAATGATGTGACTAAGACAAACAAAAATAATAAATACAGTTTGAACCTTTAGTGTTGCAATTTTCAGGCGTTCGATTTCGTTTTAGTTTTCGTAGTCATGTGTTTCGGGATGAGAAAACATGAGAAAAAATTTTTTCCCCGCTAAAACGAATCGAACCACAGTTTCAAATGAAAGAAAAAAGCGAAAGTTAGCTTAAGTACTATCACAGTAGACTAAAGCAAAGGGAACTGATATATTTGGTTCATCTGCGGACTGCGATCTCCCTAGAACGAGTGTTGTACTTCCTCTAGAATCCACATCAAAGAAGGAACAGTCGAGTTCAAAGTTCTAAGAACGATCACGAGGCCACTCGTCGCGAAAGATCTCGATTCCTCCAGCAGCTGGTCGCCGCCATCTCTTTTTGCACGATTTTACGATTCTCACCTCTGAAGAACGATCATGTCGTTGCATAATCGGAAGGCTAATAGATTGATAGAAAGTCTCTGTCGTCAAGTTTTTAAACTCCCTTGGATCTAGAGTTTTGATAATATGTCTCTCAAAATCATTATTGCCAATTCTTGAAAAGGAAACGAGTATTCGGAGCGAAATGGACTTCATAAATTGTTCAATGCACAAAAATCCTTTCAAACAAGAAATTAGTTTTTGAGTTTCAACCAAGAATTTATGACGTCTCGATGTTTTTCGTTTTTGCTGTGAAGTACATACTTATCGTAACAAAAATCAGTTGAAAACGGAGGAAAAGTGGCAAAATTGGAGGAACTTCAGAGTTTAACGCAAATTCTTACAGGTTCTGGCCGAACGAGGCGGTGAAACGAGGCGCGTCAAAGCGGGACAGGACTTCGAGTTGCGTCGAGGGGTCAACGGAAAGTCAGTCACATTATATCAGTGAAGAGAACGCAACTTTAATCCGGAAATATAGAAAAATATAGAATAAGGAGAAAAAAACGGAAAGTTTTTTTCAGCAGTTTCAAATGAAACGCCAAAAAGACCTATAGAGGTCAGATTTTTTAGTTTTGTGAAAGGTACTCATGCCGTGTTCAAAGTTATCTTTTTTATAATTATTCCAGTGGAGAACCTTCCAGATTGACCTTTTTTCATGGTTTACTGTTTTCTTTTTCAGCACTTCAGTTTTGATAATTTCATTGAATTTCTATTTAAATCATTTTTTTTTCCTTAAAGCTTGCATAGAATGGCATTTTTTCCAGTAAAGTTTAGATATGAAACCTTTCATATTGCGCCGTTATCATTAGCGAGCTCACTTTTACTTTCGTTTAAATGTCAAATCGGGTCGACTTATCTTGTTCTAAGCTCCCAGCTATGGTTTTTTTCTCTCGATGTACGACTTTCGTCTGTCAGAAAAGGTTTATCGAACGTGTATAGTGTAATTGATGTACTTTGATTCCAAAATAATTCGGTTTTTTTGTATTTGTTAGCCAAGTATTTGGTACATCTTTTTGTTTTCAAACCCAACGAGGAGCAAAAAAAGGTTTACAGTTTAGATTGTCAGCGCAGAGACTTTAGATTTCACGAAGTTCTGTAATCTTTTTCAGTAAAAAATTTAAATTTTCACTCACACTAAACATTTTAAAAATTTGAAAGATCTCGGAAAAAAATAGTTGAAAGCTTCTTTTGATTAGGTTAATTCACAGTTTTTTTATCGTTTTTTTAACTGCATATTTTATCCAACAATCATCATGAAACCTACTGAAACAGAATCGATTTATTTCATAGCATTTATTTCCAGAATTACCAGGAATAAGCAATTCCTAAAAGTCTTATTGTTCAATATACTGTTTTAAAACATCGTCTGTAAGAGAAGTTGATTTTGAACGCAAATCTTTTTTGCAACCAATGTTCGAACGACAAGATGAATGCTTTGAAAAACGCTTTATGATCAATGAAAAAAAAATATATATATATAATTAGCACCTGTGAGGTCAGTTTTTTTGAGACTTTGATCATACTCTTATCTGGAATAGTCGAAAGTTCTTCAAAAAAAGCATGACCCGCTCCACCTGAAATTCTGATGGTTTGGACTATATATTGTGCACACAACAGAGAAAAATGCATTATCTCACGGGTGTGACGTCAGCTGTCAAAACAAGCGTTTTGGTGGTTTGATCTACGGACAATTGATGTGGGCGAGGTTTGACCCAACCTCGGGTTGATCTCCCCGTCCCGAGTTGATCTTCTCGGTCCGAGTCCTCTCAAGTTTCTCCTTCCAATCCTTTTTGGCCACGGAGCACAGTTTGCTCTTATGTAATCTTATCAATCGCCCGGAACGTTTTTAGATCCGGTCGGCTCCATTCAATTCCCGTATTGATTGCTACTTTTGAGGCGGTAATTAATTTTTTTTTTCAGCGTAGCATAGCGATAAATAAGAGAGGAGCGTTTGGATGTAATTTAATAGGCCTTAATTTTCACTAAGTTTTACATTTATGATTTATGAAATTTCATAAAATTAATATTTTTTGGTTGATAGCAGGGGGAAAAGTATTATCTCAATACTTTTCAATTGGACCTTTTTTTGGAAGCTTTTCGTATATCCATTGATGATTAAGCAGAAAGATTCTTGCAGTTGAAAGATAAATCTTTTCTTTTTAAAGATGCTTGTCTCTTTTAGTTCAAAAAACTTCCGCATTCAAAAAGTTTTTGCTTGAAACATTAATATGTTGTTTAAGTTTATGCATCACTCGCTCTGAAAAAGACTCCTAACTCTTGTTTTCAGTTTATATACAATATTTTTTTTCAAAGCATTCTCGCCACTTATTTCCGATTTTATAATCAAAATTGGCGGCTTTTTTGTTACCATCACATGCGCATACTGACCACGCCTACACCTTGTTCTCACCCCGCCCATTTAGACGCTCCGCCCCCTTCAGCCTAAACTTTCTTGCCTAGGCCATTTTGTACGTTGATTTATTCTTCGCGGCACATCTGCCGTTCAAAAAAAAATATTCACTTGTATACTTCTGTGATCGTACATATATTTGTGGAAAATAATTCGTAACTTCTCTCTTCTTCTATTTTGAAAGTTCTGCATCTGACAATTTCTTCGAATCTCTTGAGGTGGTTGATGAAAAGTTCGTAGAGTAAAAATTCTGTTAAAGATCTTCTCCAATGTTGATTGTATGCTTTTCATCTATTCATCCTTCAGAAACCTTTTGAAATCCTATTTTTGATCTCTTCCCTCAAGTTTTTCTTGCACAGTAGATCATGAAGAACTGCAACCAGATTTTATGTGGGTTATTTCTGCAATAATATGAGTTCCGGTTTCAGAACCCGTCACGAAACATTTACCGCACTGGACGGCTCAGTACACATCCTCAAAATGCACGTCGATCAACTGTGTAAAGCCCTTGATACGACAGATTTGGACGACGAGATTCGTCCCAGAGCAAGGTACCTTTTTTGAAACTTCAGAAGAAAAAAGGAATATAGGCGTATCGTTGCTTTTCAAAAAAAAATGGTTTGCAAATTATGCTACCCTCTTCATATTTCTTACAGCTATGTTTTCTTTTTTTTATAATTGTCTCATTGGCTCGCCATAAATGAACAAGGGTAATAAAAAGTCTTGTTTTATCGTTATTTTAGAATTGATATATATATGACGCTAAGATTTTAAAAAAATAACAAGGAAGTAGGAAGTCGCCAAAAACGGTCTTCCCCGCATATCAAAAACATTTTGGTCTATATTTTTGCCAGACAGTGGAAAAACATTCGCTTTTGAACCCTTAACACTTGCCAATAATCAAAATCAGAAGTTCACGTGTCTCCCCATCATTCAATTCCACTCTAGTTTATAAACAACTTTCGATAGTACCGACTCAGCCTCAAAAACTCAACATTTCGAACTGTTTACTGTTTTTTTCTGTATAATGTGACGTGTGGCATGTTCTTCTATTTTAAAATAATTTCGGTTTCTTCCGGGTTATCAGAAGAACTCAATCGATTAAAAATCATAAGTTATCGAGTTTTGTGAAGAAGGTTCTTTGAAAATCCAACTTTTTAGCCTTCATTTTCATATTTTTTTTTTAGAATATTTATAAAGAAGAATTTGAAATCTCGATAATCGATCATTGAGATAAATACTAGCAAGTCACGATCATTATTGATTTTTTTTTCTCCACTTCTCCCGGAGACCGAAGTTCGATCCAAACCGCACCGGAATGTGCACAAGAGATAGCCCAGAAGAGCGTCTGGGAAATTGAATAAACACGACGATTTGCTCCGATTCACGTGCATCTCTCTGTGTGCGCGTTTTAAAAGACCTCAATCATGTTCCTTCGCTTTTTATCATGAGAAATCAACAATTTCCCGGGACAAACAACACTTTTGAGGCCCTTAAAGCATGTTTACGAGATGGTTTTGAGCCAAATCCGCGTGCTCGACATCCTCCGTCGTTTGATTCTTTCAACTTCTTAGGATCGTACGTTTTTTGTTGTAAACTGGAGGAGCCTTGGGTTACACATGACTCACCGCTGTACGTTTTTTCTCCTGCCAAAAAATACTTTTCTTTTTTTTGAAGTAGAGATCCATTTACAAGTTGTTTTATTTCACATCCGAAGCTTTATAAGGGAAGTCTATTCCGCTCAATAAGCAAAAGATTGCCGAAGAAGCTCAAAACGATGAGTAACATGGGAAATCAACTTAGATTAGTTTCTCAAATGCTCTGCGCTACTCTAAAATATCAATAGTGAAACGAGTGTTCGCAGTGCTGAGTCGAATTCCGGTCTGCATTTAATCTTTCCTCAAACTCCGGACAAAACGACTGAAAAACCATGAGTTGAGCTGCTTCTGGGCTGATGATAAACAAATAGGCGAGACAAAGGGACGCCAAACCCAAACATTTTCCACGATGGGCGAGGTCAAAAACGGGTCTCCGAAGTTGGTTGTATAATGCGAGTGTGCGTAAATCAACAGATCAAACTGCCAAAAAATTATGCGAAAAAAAACGAAGTTTTAAGCTTTTAGCTGAACATATGAAGGTCTTTAAAGACAAAAAAATATATAAAACTTTGGAAAAAAAAAATAGTTAGTGCGATAACGACGGTTCGAACCTGTAAGTTTTCAGCGTGGCTGCGCTCGACGATGACGTGGAGTTGGGACAGCTGAAACGCGTCGCGACCCTCGGAATGGGCGGATTTGGACGAGTGGAACTCGTCAAGTCCAGAGACCACGTCTACGCCCTAAAGGTATCACCTCCCTCTTTCACAAATCTCATCTCGGCTGTTTGGTTTCAGATCATGAACAAGGCTCATGTCGTCGAGACGAAACAGGAAAATCACGTCGTCTCTGAACGTCGGATCCTCATGTGCTGCGACTGTGACTTCATCGTCATGTTCGTCTTTTCGAAGATTTAATAATATCTTAACAAAATATGAAATTTAAAAAAAAAGTTGCAAAAGTGATCTCTTACAGTTCCTGGTTGAACATACAAGTTTTTTTTTCGCAACTGACTTCCTTTTGAGATAGTTAGGTTCAAAGCTCTCAAAGTCCACAAAATAGAGGAAAAGTGTCCGTTGAACTTTTTGAAACGGCGTAATTCCAAAAAAGATCTATGGCAGAAAAAGTTCTTCTTGTTTCTTTTTCGAATTGAAGACTTCGAAAAATTGATTTTAATAAACTTTCATCAAAAACTAGAACCAGAAAAATTCAACGGGAACATTGAGATTTTTGCTCTTCTGAAGAAGTGGTTTTCATTAAATTAATTTTCTTAGCTTTCTACACTTTAATTATGCCCTACACTCTTTGTATTGCAATTTGTGCAATCATGTTTCTCAGGCTCTACAAAACTTACCGGGATCCTGAAAAGATTTATATGCTGATGGAGCCGTGCCTCGGAGGCGAAATCTGGACGATTCTTCGGAAAAAGTTCGTTTGACCGGTGTGGACTTTCTTCTCCACTCAAACTGAAGTTCATCGATCTTCTCCTTCAGGGGCAAATTCGACAACGACCTGACGCGGTATTACTGCGCCGGCGCGCTGGAAGCCCTCGAATACCTGCATCGGAAGTCGATCGTCTACAGGGACCTCAAGCCAGAGAACATGCTGCTCGACCGGTTCGGAAACCCGAAACTCGTCGACTTCGGCTTTGCCAAGAAACTCAAGAACGGCGGCCGGACGTGGACTTTTTGCGGCACCGCCGAATACGGTTCATTTTGAGTTCATTCCGAAATCCTGGAAAACAAGATACCTTGGAACATAATTTTTTCTCAGACAGTAGGAATGATAATTTTTTTTTCTCGAATTTCAAATTCTATTGAGTCAAGAATGAAAAAAACAAAAACAAAGATTTTACTATTCAGTTTTTTTTTCTCAAAAGTTCGGAAGACTGTTATTTGGATTCCTCGAATTCCTTTCATAAACTATTGGACTTAAACTTATCATCAGTTTATTTTTTTGGTTTTTTTTATTGGATCTTTTTATACACAAAGTCTTTTTTTAGAAGTTCTTTTACACTTTTGAGTAAGAAAAACTTTTCGCCGAATTTTTGATAAGGCTCATCTTTTTTTTTCCAGTGGCTCCGGAAATCGTCCTCAATAAAGGTCACGATTTGTCCGTCGACATCTGGGCCCTCGGAATCTTCATGTGCGAACTTCTGACTGGATCGTTAGTATCTTTCAAATTTTAAAATACTGGCCAATTTGAAAAAATTCAATTGTACATGTAGGAAAAACGGCTTCTCAGAAAAGCAAAAGCATGATTCTCATAGGCGATAACTAGACCGAAATACCACCAGAAAGTCGTCAAATTAGAAAATGATTAATCACTCAACTTATACGTCTTTTCATATTCTATTTCCAGACCTCCGTTCTCGAGTTCTGACCCCATGATCACCTACAACGCCATCTTGAAAGGCTTGGAAAAGTGGGCGTGGCCAAAGTAATATTTTTCCCGATCAAGCCACTGACAAAATCTTTTCTTAAGGTTCATAACTAGGGATGCGATCGACATGATGTTGAGTCTCTGCAAGTACGAAGCGACCGAAAGATTAGGTTACGGTAATATCGACGACATCCGCAGCCATCCCTGGTTCGACGGATTCGACTTCATCGACTTCCGAGATCATCGTCTGAAACCTCCCTACATTCCAGCGGTGAGATTTTTTTACCATTAGCCCCCCGAAAGTTGGTATTTCTCCCATTTTGAAACGCTCGGACTACAAAGTCTGAAGAAGCGTCGCGGTTGCGCTGCGGCCTAGAGTTCCAGAAGCCGTTAGAGCGTTTACCGAAAAAACGAAAAGTTTTTTTTTCGCTATTTTCGAAATAAGGTTGTTGTACCCTTATTTCAGTAGTCTATACAGAAATTTTTTGCCTTGATATTTTTTATTATAAACAAAAGTTTTCATTCAAAGTTTTAATTTCTCAAGTTTAGGTCCAATCCGAGTTGGACGTCTCTAATTTCGACAGCTTTCCGTCTTTTGACAATTTCGCTACGGGTACTGATGAAACCGGTTGGGACACCGATTTCTGAGAGCTTTCTTCGCCACTTGTCCGTTCCCGAAGGCCTATATGTTCGAAATAGTCTGATCTTCCGGATAAAAAAATCCACTAAGAACCTTTTTTATTTTTTCTCGAAAAATCGGTTACCAATCACGCTTTTTCCTTTTTTTTCATGTTGTTATCTGTCAGCTACCCAGGCCTCCTTTAATGGGACAATATGACGTCATCAATCGATACTCATGTTAATTACTTACTTGTTATCATATTTCTTCTATTAAGCTTGAAGCCTCTAAGATTGTAAATTTTTTCAAATGTATATTCATATCCACCTTCCTGTCTTTATGTACATATTGTCGACTCATAAAAAAATTGTTTTGTTCACAATTTTTTCCGTTGTATTTAAATTCCTGTGTTCTATGTATGATCTGAATTTTATGGTTGTGGCGATTTTGTGTGAAACGCGCGAAAATGAAACGTTTTGCTTTAAGACGTGTTTTTATTTGTCTCCTCTCATTTGGGGTTGTCCAGACGAAACACATGACTGATAAGTTCCCCCAGTAAAATGTTAGAAGACAAAAAAAAATTCAAGTGTTTTCAACTTTTCTGAAATTAGAATCTTCCATCAAAAGTTTTTTGAATCATCAATAGTTATGGTTTCACGCCCAGACAGATTTCTGATCTCCAAGTCATCAGAAGTCGCTACAAGGACACCTGTTTCACCTCATGACAGTTTTTGAAAAATTATCAAAATACGGAAAAGTTTTCTTTTTCTTGTTCTTACAGTTCCACTCTCGATATTTCCAAAAAACCTCACTCGAATTTCAAACTAGACGAAGTAGAAACTATAAATAATGGAGCTTCTTCTGACCGATTCGTCACCCTGACGACCGTTCAAGCAGAAGTCGTCTTGCTAGAAGTTCCTCTTCTTTTTTTGCTTGGAAGCATGTACATTTTAGTTATTTTGGAATAAAAGCTGGATAATTTTGTTCTTCTCATTTTTACGTTTTTTTTTTAATTTTTTAAAAACTTTCTCGAATTTCAAGAGCTTTTCTATGAAGACGGCAACCTGAGAGTTTCTTCTTTCAAAAACGAAAAAATTATAAGGTTGGATTTCTAAAGGAAAGTCCAAGGACTTCGAAGCGGGCGGTAGGGCCAAAAGGCCCCCAGGGTGGCCCACTTCGACAAGTATTCGATTGCTTTTGGAATAGTTTTAAACCTTTAATCCTATTACAGAGTTGACTTGACCTAATGAAAGCCAACGGAGACCGTTCGAAGCGCCGCGCAGCTCTGCGCAAACAGACACTTGTCCATGTGACCTCTCGCGCACGTTTTCCGTCCTTCGATGGTCCTTTTTGGCCTCTTTTCGTGTTTCATTGTTTTCTACTTTGTTTTAGGACATCAGAATCATCAAGTTAACGTTTTCCCTTGATTTATAGACGTGTTGAGGAGTCTCCATGAAATCCTTTCTTCGACGGTATTTCTAGAGGGATATGAGCTCACAAATTTTAATTTATAAGATCAGAGTTTTTGGAGGTTTCGCTTTCGCTTAGAGAATGTTCACACTAGACGTTCATTCCGATCTCAGTATAATCGGTTTTTTAGGCATTCTTCTTCTCAGGAATTTTGATTATTCTCGTTCTCTACAGTTTAGTTTGTTCTTGAAAATAAATTTTCACTTTTTTGCTTCCTTTTTTCTTTTCTTTTAACTGATCATCAGTTATCATAGAATATCGCCACATGTATAGCAATTTTACCAAGTGATAAGATGAATAATGAAAGCGATAACAGTTCGAAACCATTTTATACCTTTCTTTACTAACCCTTTCACCAGAAATTTCGTATTATAGTTAATCCGCAGAAAACTCGAGGGGAAACGAACACTCGTTTCATTTTTCTCCCCTTTTTTGATATTGATTCGATATTTCCTAATTTTCTATGGGTTTAAATTTTTTTCTGGTTATTGCGTTTCATCTCGATTTTCTCGCCAAAAGCAGCTTATAAAAGCAGCTATTTTTATTTTTCCGATGCTTCTCTTGCTTTTCATTCAGAATCAATATAGTTCTAGATGTATATATTTTCTATTCTGATTTCTTTTTGAGTTGTTCAACAGAGGTATAAAGTATTCGAGAAATGAGTCGTTTTCAGTTTCATTTTTCTTTTTTTCATAATGATTCATAATTAAACTATTAAACTATTTTCATTATTTTGATCATTTATCTTTTTCAAAAGTTGATTTTTGTAATTACCATGAGTCATTAATGTGTAGTAGGCACTATCATTTTATTTGTGCATTTCCAAGCCACGCCCACTTCTCTTTTGTAAATCGCTTTTCTTTTGGCATCGCTCCACATTGATTTTTTCTCGCCTGAAATTCCTCAACATTTTCCCCAACTTTACACCTACGTTAGGCACTGTTTTAGCAACTTGAAAACTTTTGAGGAATTTTTGGATTGGTTAATTCTTTTTTGTTAGAATGGCTCTTCTTTTTGCATCGCTCCACATTCCATCGTATTACTTCTATGCCACATTAACTTTTTCATTTGAATCACGATATCCTATTTCGAAAAAAAGTTTGAAAACTATTATTCAAGAGGCGATGAGTTTAAAAAAAAAGAAGAAGACCCTTAAATTCAAACTCAATTGGAAATAAATTTGCGCGTGAGGATTCTTGTCTGCATTTTCGCGTTCTCTTTCACAGACCGTAGAAATCGCGCACGCACGACCAAAAATCTCGAAATCTCATTTTTGTTATTATTAATATATTATATTTTTTTCTTCCACTAGCGTTCTAATTTATTGTAGAGCATAAAAAAATTTCGGTTAAAACTTCATAGGAAAAAAATTTTTTTTTGTGCGTCGTTTTCCAGACTCGAAACTTTTTAAAGAGCTTCTTTTTTTCTGATTTTTCAATGAACTGTCGTCATTTTGTAGATGGGTTTCTGGTCAGAAAGGTACTGGTTACCGCGTGAAGTCACTTGGGACCAAGTGCCGTCTCAGTTTTCGGATCTTGCGGTACCAATCTTTCTTGCCTTTCCTATGTTCATTATCAGGTTTGTTACTTTGGATCAAACTGTTGCAGTTCAATTTTTTCGATTAGTTTTTTTTTGCGGAAAGAAAGCCTGCTTTTCTTGAAGCACCGAAAAAAATTGTCAAATTTCCTGCTTCAATATGGTCAAAATTGCTTCAGTTTTCTGAATCTTTCGTCACTTATCGATCAATCGTCCTGTCCACCAGACATGGTGCAAACTCTGACTCACTTGGACCGCATAGTTGCAGTAAACCGCTTAAAAAGAAAGTGAACATGTGAATTTGAATACACTGAGAAAAGAGAATATCCGTTTTTTTTTTCAATCTAATGGAATTACTAACTTGTAATCTTCTCATTTTCAGAATTCTTTGGGAATCTTTTGTTGGCGTTACTATTGGACATTACCGCGGTTACTACCCAAAAGGAACCACCCTTAGTGGCAATGTAAGTTCGAAAAAAAACTGATGTGTTTAGTCATGAAAATCTAGATTTGGAACCACTTGACCGGTGGTTTTGCTCAAAATTCGCGACCCAAGCGAATCCTTGAATGTTTCTCGCGGTTTTGTTACTACACTGCGGCCTTCATCTACGGTTTCCATGTGCTGCGAGACCAGATTTGGCTTTATGACGTTAAACAATGCTGGGTGAATTATCCATATCATCCGATTTCAGACTCTGTTTGGTTCGTATTTCGTTGCATTTTTTTATTTCAAGCAAGAAGATTCTGAATTTTTTATCGACTTTGTGTATATTTTAGATATTTAAGAATAAAATTAGTTGTAAAAAATAGCAATCACCAACGTTTTCGTCATTCGCCACGTGTCGTCGAATTTTCTTCGTTCTGATAAGGAGTCTAGTGCGGTTTGATAAGCATGAAAGGAAAAAAGCAAAAAAAGATATGGAAAAAAAAAATCAAGTTTTTAGAGGAAAAAGAATTTTAAGCAAATTTCAGGTGGTATTATATGGTGGAGACGGGTTTCTACTACTCTCTTTTGTTGGCTACCTTCTTCGATACCCGCAGATCAGATTTTTGGGAACTTATCCTTCATCATATCATCACCGTATTGCTTCTTTCTGCCAGTTGGGCGATCAATTTTGTCAGGTTCGTCGCCTGGTGAGGGATCGAAAGCCTTTTATAGTTGAGAGCAGAATTGTTGACCCGCGAAGTGGTTACACTGTCAAAAAAAGCCGTTATTCCTAATTGTTTTAATAGCTGGTTTTTTACTCATTTTCAAATTGGCGGGTCGGGTCTCTTCGGGGTGACTGCTTTAAAACTCGGGGCATCCCGTCGGTAGCTCTGGTTGCGAGGGTCTTAGAAAATAATTGGAAAATGGAGGCTAGGAAACTTTTTCTTGTAACAGTTACGTGAATCTCACAAATTTCTTATGGTTTTTCAGTTTTAAGTTTACGATCTTTCATCATCATAGATAGTTTTGAAAAAAAAAACTCTTCTCAAGAGCTACATGAAAAGAAAACGTTTTTCTTGTGTTCTGCTCAGGTGTTTCAGAACGGAAAAGAGAGCATTTGAAGTAAATGTTTAAAGTAAAATAAAATGTTCCTCATTAAATCAGACTTACCTGCATCTGTTCCTTCCCGCTGAAAAATATCTCTCACCGACTTTTCTACCATGCAAAAGCTCTTTTTTTCCTTGAAAGTCCATATACCTCGAAATGTTGCTCAGAAGATAGACAGCAGGCTAGTCCGCATACATCATTTTAGAGAGTACGGTAAACTTGGAGAGTCCAGAACTATATGCTCCCCGTTCTACACACTGTCTTAGGACTTGCGCGCTCGCATGCCAGTCTTACGAAAACGGCAAGCCAACGTGCAGGCTTCATTTTTTTTTTCTCGTATATTTTTTCGGATACGCGTTGGTCTGCCGTCTTTCTTTCAAGTATTTCAAATCAGCGATGAACGAGTTTGAATATTTTTTTCAGAGTGGGCACTTTAGTTCTGATCTCGCACGATGTGTCGGATATCCTGTTAGAAGGCGGGAAGCTGGTCCGATACGACAAACACAACAAGACGCTGACGAACATAATGTTCGTTCTGTTCTTTGCCAGGTTTTCTTTCTGATATGAATTGGATGAGTGTCGAATTTGAAGTTGGATCCTAACCCGCCTCGTTTATTACCCTCTTGTCGTCATCCGTTCTGCCGTTTTCGAAGCGGCTGACCTCATACAAGATGACTATGATTTGACCGACTTCACTATGGTTTGTTGAATCTTTTTCTTTTTCAGTTTGGGAAAGGACGTCAAAGGCCGTGAAAAAGACCTCTAAGTACAGACATTTTCTGATGATATCAATGGCAGCCAGATCACTCTTTTGTGAAGGAGCGCTTCAAGAAAAGATCGATTCATAGGATATATATTTCTCTCTTTTTTTCACAAACTCTCGAATTCTTCAGTCTTGGCCATTAGTTCTGTTCTACCATATTTTTGTAATGTCTGTATTAGGTCACTGGAGTAAAAAAACAAAAGTTAAGTGTTTTCAAGTCTTCTGGTTTTTTTCTTCGAGGGAGCAACATGGAGAGCCTTTCAGCGACGTGAAAGCATCTCATTGGCTATTTCTCTCGAAAAAAATGTTTTCAGGTCCCTTACGCGCCTCGGTTGATCGTGATGATGCTGGTGATGCTTTTGTTCCTGCACGTCTTCTGGACTTTCATCATCATGCGCATCGTGATCCGCACGGTGACGGGCCGCGATGCGAAGGACGTCCGCTCGGACTCCGATTCAGATTACGACGAGGCTGAACAGGCCAGGAGAGCCAGTCGTCGCAAACTGCTTCGAAAAAAGAAGGCGAACGACGACGTCGACGATTCTGAAGGCGATAATGACGACGTCGCCCTTTCCGAAAGTCGGCAGAATGGTCAGGCTAGGAAACGCACTGTTCGCAGGGAATGAGACGTCTTCTTTCTTCGATTTTTTTGAAGTTGATCTCTATTCGAGTTTGCTGTTGTTGTTTTTTTTGTTTCTATTAACTGGCTCAATTTTGTTTTTCTTCTTTTCTCAAAATAGTACAGCCAAAAAACGACAGCCAGATTTCCTCAAATTTCTTCTGTCTGATATTATTTCAAGCTCCTTCTTTTTTTTTCTTTTTTTGATTTTTTGACAACCGTATTTCTTGTGCCTTTTTTAAACTTTCACTTTATTCATATTGCTTCTCGAGTTTATATCCCTCTGTTCTTATTTGGGTCAATCTTACCTGTATTTTGTTGAAATGTTCGTATTAATTGACCAATGTAAGAAAAAAAGCTTTTTGAATGTTTAGCTATAAAGCATTTTATGTTTTCTCTTGGGTTTTTTCAATCATACGTTTTTGTAAACTCGTCAAAAAAAGCAATTATCGTGAAAAATTTTTGCTGGAAAAAAATGCTATAAAAAAATACTGGGGTGATTCTGGGTTTTTTTGTCCATTTACCAACTTTCGATATATAGTTGTCAAGTTGGTAAATTTCTATGATCTTATCCTAGAAAAAAAGAGAAGCCAGGATAAATAAGTAGTGAATTCTTGTTTTATTTTTTTGAAATTAATTACAATTAATTTTTCAAAAAAATAAATTAAAATCCATTATTTTTTTATTGGAAACGTAAGAAATAGAAAAAGAAGGCATATATAGCATGCAAAACGAAGAGAATTCGGATGTGTAGAATCCGTAAAACAAAATAACAATAATATTCCATATTTTTCACCTAACTTTAACAGTTTCAACTATCTGAATCACGATATTTGCAAGTAACGAAAAAAGTTCGAAATTCGTACTGGGAAAAGTACAAACCACAAAAAAGATTCGACCTCTACCCGCTCCGATCAAAGTTCAGATTCGACGGAACACATTTAGAAAAAAGAGGAAGTATGACAATTGAAAGTTGGTCTTTATCAGAGCGGCAGGCATGGGAATGGGCCGACAAGAATGATTTCGGAGGCGTTGCTAGGGAGCCCGGAGGCACACCGGCGGCATGGCGGAATGCGTGCGGGTGATCACCAGATGTCGTCCTTTCAACGACCGGGAAAAAGCGCTCAGCTCGAAGGTTGGTAAATGAATGTCCTCATCAGTCTTGGGTCTTTTGATGTGGAGGCGGAGAAGATCCTTTCAGTAGACAAAACACGTCTTTGTAGTCGCAGACATTCGTTCCGAGTACAATTTTCCAGCTTTTTTCAAGTTTCCTTGCTCTCGAACAACGGAAATTACGGTTTTGTGAACGCCGTACTGATTTTCGCTTCGAAAAAATGATAATATGCTAATAAAACTTGATATCGATAGAAAGTAAAGTTTTGTTTTTTTGTTGCAAAACTTGTCCTCGAATGTTAAAAAAATCTTTCTTCAATTTTTAAAAATAAAAAGTCAGCGTTAATATTCCCACAAAAGGGGTATTTAAGTATAAAAAAACAAAAAAATCGAAGAGAATTAAAAATTGAGATTGAACTTTAGAGTGAAAACTTGTATCAAATATCCTGCTTTCAATTTGGAGAAAAAAACGATGTCTCAAAGGTTAGGAAATTTTCTTACGTATACTTCTTCTAGGAAGTATTTTTTTAAGCTCCTTTCAGAGGCTCCGATTTTTTTATCTTGATATTTTTTTGACTTGCTCTACTTTTTTTAGATTTTTTTCTTCTCAGTTATCCTTCTTCCCTATTCAAATTCAGAGTCTCATAAAAGAAAAACACGAATTCAAGGTACGAAAGCTCAACTTCTGCTGTTTGTATGCGCAATAAACCAAATTTCTCGAAAATCTCACCGATGAATACCTACAAAATTGTTTTTCTCGTAGGGTTTTATTTCTTGTTTTTGTGTTTTGTTTTCTGAATTTTCTTAAGAAAAGAATCGTCGCAAATCATGAGTCTCAAGTGAAGAAAACAGTTACTGAATTCGAAAAAAATGAGATTTCACTGCGCGCGGAGTCATTTCCATGGTGACGTTGCTGCGATTTTTGTTTCTCATATCTAATTTCCTTTTGTCATCCTCCAGACGCCGCGCTTTGGAGGAAAAAAGCAACAAAAAAAGCGAGGGTTTCAATCGTCTCGACATAGATTCCATAAAAAAATGATTGCTTTGTAAAAGAAAAAAGGAAAAGGTGAATTTTTTTCTCGCGAGAATGAATTTCGAGATATGTTTAGAGAGGGGGAAAAAATTTTTGAATCACTAAAAAAAATATGAAACCTATGTTTAGAGGTGTATGATAAAGAATAAATTATAGGACGAACTGAAAAAAATTTTTCAATAGTAGTTATCATTTAAAAAAACAAAAAAATAAAAACCGCTCTATGAATGAAAAAAATTGTTTTGTCTCTTCTGCAAAATACAGAGTCAATAATGAATGTCGCCTATAATTAACATATTGTCCGATCGAACGAGAGATTTCGAATGAGTTTTCAAAACGAGGATCAAAATCGTTGAAGATTTGAAACTTTTAGGTGGAAGAGTTGAACAGAATGAATTTAGTAGTGAACTGTTACAGCTATGCGTGGAAATGACGCCGTCGTCGGGGCAGGTGAGCCTCCAAGGGCCCGACGGGATCAACAAAGACTTCACCTTCGACGGCGCCTACTTCATGGATTCCACCGGCGAGCAGATCTACAACGACATCGTATTTCCTCTCGTCGAGGTACTTGTTAAGGGGAATCTCTTTTGGAGCTGAAATGGGAGTGTTAAAGTTTGAAAAAAAAAAGAGAAGTTCCGGTGGTTTTAGGAGGGAAAGTAGATGTCAATGAAAGAGAACCAAAAGTGAAAAAATAAAACCTTTGAAATAAATAAAGGTTTTTTTGATCTTGTTTTTTTCTTGATTAAAAAAACTCGAATTTTATCTCTTCAAGAGAAGAAAGTTAGGTGTAGAAAAAAATTATTTCTTCAATTAGTAGCTTTGAAATATATTAAGAAAAACTTGTTTGAAGCAGTCAAATTTGTGAAATACGTTTATGTGAATTTGTTGTGAAGATGGTTATCAAAGAATTTACTTCTTTGAGGTCATTTACTGGACTGAATTTTGAAATTCTTTCTAAATAAGAAATAGTTGAGCGAAAAAGATGGAAAGATAAGGTTTGAAAGAAAAAAAAAAAAAATCGAAAATTGACTTTTGAATGAAAAAAAAAGAACTGCGGAAAAGTAGAACTGGAATAGTTTTAGTAAAGAGCTAACATTTTGTCAATAGCTCCAAAAGCCAAAAAAAATTGCGCCTCAGAACGTTATCGAAGGCTACAACGGGACGGTGTTCGCGTACGGTCAGACGGGTGCCGGGAAGACTTTCTCGATGCAAGGCGTCGCAGATATTGTCTCCCAGAGAGGCGTCATTCCGCGGGCCTTCGACCACATCTTCACCGCCACGGCCACCACCGAGAACGTCAAGTTCCTCGTCCACTGCAGCTATTTGGAAGTTAGTGAAGGCGTCGGAAATCGTGAGAGAGTCTTTCTTGATTTTTCGGTAGGGGAAGGTGACTTGAGATGAGCTATGAGTGGAGAATGTTGGCATTTTTAATTCATCGTCACTTCATTCATAAATTTATATTCATTTTATCTCTCTTCTCAGTTGAAGTTTTTCATCGTATTTGAAACTTTCACCTAAACGTTTGAAGGAAATTTTTTTCCTCGGCCTTTTTTTGAAAAATTTTATCAAGTTCAATCATTTCTTTTTTTCCTTTTTTTATTGAAGAACTATTTTCAGATTTACAATGAAGAAGTACGGGATCTGTTGGGAGCTGACAACAAACAGAAGCTCGAGATCAAGGTAGCGAGGAGTTGAATCGAAGAAAGATTGGGACTCTCAGGAACACGCCGACCGGGGCGTCTACGTCGCCGGCCTTTCCATGCACGTCTGCCACGATGTGCAGGCTTGTAAAGAACTCATGGACCGGGGATTCAACAATCGACACGTCGGAGCCACGCTCATGAACAAGGTTCTTGATCTCCTCAACGATGGGCCTCGAAGTTTTTGCTTCCGTGGAGTCAACTGGAACCTTTTTCGGTCCTCTTAACCGATCTAGAACTGCTTTATACCATAAAATATGGAGTAGTAAACGCTGCGAATCTCCATTATCAGTAGAGAAATAAGGATGGGATTGCTGCTGTTTTCTCAAAATCTGGTTTTGACTTACGAAAAAATAAGGGCAAAAATGCGTTCTGAACCAGTGACAAAGATTATTTCTCAACTTTACTACTTTGAAGGATTCCTCCCGTAGTCACTCGATCTTCACAGTTTACGTGGAAGGCATCACAGAAAGCGGCTCGATTCGAATGGGAAAACTGAACCTCGTCGACTTGGCGGGAAGCGAGCGACAGAGCAAAACTGGTCCTGTTCTTTATTTTTGTGTGTTAGTATACTTTTAATCATCAGTTGGAATCAGATCAGATTGGATTTTTATAAAGACTCGGTTTTTTTAGTGAAAAAAAATGTCAAATGTTTTCAGCCTAATACGTAAGTGATTTTGAGGACAGATAGTTTTAAGAAAAGGGAATAACAATTAAAAGAAGGGATGAAGATCATTTTGCTTGGAAAACTCATATTTTTTCGATCCGAATCCATCTATTGGATAGTTCTGACTAAGATTTAGTTCCACGTTGACATGTTATGTGAAAACACCGATAAGGTGTTGTTTTTTCTTGAATACTCTATTCTCGCTTAATTTTTTGAGAGCGAATTTTTTTTTAAAATTGGAATTCCTCAGTATACTTTCGTCCTATTTTCCAGGAGCTACGGGAGATCGGTTCAAAGAAGCGACCAAGATCAATCTCTCATTATCAGCCCTGGGAAACGTTATTTCGGCGCTGGTGGATGGCAAGTCCAAACATATTCCTTACCGCGACTCCAAACTCACGAGACTGTTACAAGTTGGTTCATTCTGTTCACTTCCAAAATCTTTTTTTTTGTTTTTAGGACTCTTTGGGAGGCAATACAAAGACTATCATGATCGCCTGCATCTCACCTTCTGACAACAATTACGACGAGACTTTGTCAACTTTGAGGTATTTCTTTTTGCGACCTGTTCGAGGAGAAACATAGAATGCGTACTTATAAATTTGATTTTTCAAATTACGTAAAGTTTGAAAATTTTTATAATAGTGGATACCACGAAGCTTTTTCTATTTTCAGTAGATTTTTCACAATAAGAAAACTTTGGACGTGCTCGAATTTCCAAAAGCTCATTACACTATGTCTGTACTGCATGCCAGTGATTGATATCTTTTTCCTATACCTTCCACTTAGTTTTATGTGAAATTTTTTTCAGATACTTGAAAAGTGTCCTGCTTCAAAAGTTCTGGGAAAGTCTAAAAGTTTATTGAAATTTTCTGTTCTCTGTTCTCAATATTCTCTAATATCATAGTACCTACTGAAATTTTGTTAGAAGTTAATGTATTCTCTTTTCTAGATATGCGAACCGAGCGAAGAACATCCGAAACAAGCCAAAAATCAACGAAGATCCGAAAGACGCACTTCTACGAGAATATCAAGAAGAAATCGAGCGACTCAAGGCGATGGTCCAACCTCGCGCCGCAGGTTTCTTTTTGAAATCACATTTCCAGCCTGTTTTCGGTTTACAGTACAAACGAACGTGGATTTGGAAGAAGAGCGGGCCAAACTGCGGGCTGAGTTCGAAGAAGCGATGAACGAATTGAGGTTTTTTAGAATGATTTCTGCTGAAAGCAAGTTGCAGATGCGACTATGAGAAGGAGCAAACGAGCAAAGCAGAACTCCAGAGAGATCTCGTGGCCCTCAAGGCCGAGTATGAGCGGGTCTGTTTTAACCCTTTGAACAAAGAAAAAGAATGAGAAAGTTATTTATGCTAGTTTTCATCCTTTACTTGTAATACAGCACGTCATAAGTATAGGATCTCGGATGAACTCGAGTCTATACGGGAAAGCGAGCGAAATATGTTTTTTCTATTTTAATAGAGGTAACCCAACCTTGAAGTTTAGATTCTCAACGAACCTTCCTAGAACTCTAATTAATTAACTGCTACTTATGAGAAACATAGTTAGATACATTTTTACTTTTTATTTAAGCCCTTGTTTTTCGAAAAAGTTGAATTTTGACAGCCTTCGCAGATTGTTGAGTGCACGAAAAGAATTCACAATACGACTTCAAACATTTGAGGTAATATTTGGTTATATATGAAATTGTTCAGCCAATGTTCAGAGTATTTCCAATCCTGAAGTGAAATAATCTCTTTTTAATAAAAAAAAAACGAATAATAAGTTGTCTCCCCATGTAAAAATATTTGATGTCAGAAGCTTACAGGCCAGCGCAAATCTGGAGAATATGGGTAACTTGGATCCGGAAGAAGCTGCCAGAAAACTTCAGCAGCTTCAAGAACAGTTTATTGGCGGAGAGCAGGTTCATACTTAGACTTTATTCTGTCTGTCCATTTTTGATGCAAACACTTTAGACTTTATGATTTGATGATAACTTTCCTTCACCGATGGATCTATGTATTATTGAATGAGATCCTTTCCAAAATCAGCAAAAAGTTTGGATAAATAAGAGTTTTAGATTATCCTTAGTAAACTAAGGATGGAGTATGGAAAATGAATGATTCAGGCGAATAATGTCCAGCTGAAACAAAAACGAATGAAGCAGTTGCACGAAGCCGAGACGAAAACACAGAAACTGGCAGGTTTAGAGATAAAATTGAGTCGGAAAATCACTTCGTCGATTTTCAGCCGCTTTAAATGTTCACAAAGATGACCCGCTCCTCCAAGTGTACAGTTCAACGCAAGAAAAATTGGACGCCGTTTCGGCGCAACTGGAAAAAGAACAAAGACGGGTACTCTTTGGAATGAAACTCTCAAAAAACCTGCACATATAACTTTATTCTTTATACTGAAGCAGTTCTCAGAGCGGTCATCTCAAAACGGCAGGAAATCAACCATTTGAGGAAAAAAAATTAACAGTAGAATATTCTAGTGATCGGTTTGTGAAAAAAAACGCCGGCTAAAACGGAAAACTGTGCTTTGTATATGAAACCATGCGGTTTCAATGAAAAAAAATTCGCCTCTTTTTTTCATTTTAATGTTGACAAAGATAATGAGTGTAAGGTAAAATTAACGAGTTGAGCAAAACATATCATTTTCCTTTATAATCTTCCGCTCTTTTTTGTGGGGAATTCTTGATTCGTTTAATCAATTTTTTTTTTGAGGCATTCTATTTCCGCTGTTTGAGGTAAAAGCAATGGAGCGAGAAATCGAGGATCTACAGAGCGAATTCGAACTCGACCGCCTAGACTATCTCGACACGATACGGTACATTTTTTAGTTTGAAAATTTTTTTAAGCTCATAGTTTTTGCAGAAAACAAGATCAACAGCTGAAACTGTACATGCAGATAATGGCCAAAGTTCAACCGATTCTGAAAAAGGCAAAATTTTCTTTTGTCATTTGATTTATTTGCTTTTCCCAAAAAGTTATATCAATATTTATTATACGATGATAGGAGCATTTTGTAGGATACAAACTACAGTAACCTTGAGCGAATAAAGAAAGACGCGGTTTGGAATGAAGACGAATCTCGTTGGATTCTGCCCGAAATGAGTGTCAGCAGGACGGTTCTTCCTTCGGCAACCAATGGCAAGTTCCAATTGAACAATAACTTAATTTTTAAAAATAAAGGTATATTTTGAGTTCATAACGTAGAAGATGTTCCCCTACATCTTCTTGTCAATGTGTGTAGCGGTAGAAGGCGAATCGGCTTAAAATCTTCATTTGTTAGAATAGCCAGATGGAAATACGGCGTTACAAGATCTGTGAAAAATTAAAGAGTTCGGAAAAAAAAAACCAAGACGACAATACCCAATTTTTCGGATAATTTTTACGGAAATAGTTCAATAATTCTCTTCCTCTCCAAATATTTCAGTTAAAAAAGTCCTTTCGAACAGCATTTCTCAGGAAAAGTTCGAAAATAACTATTATTTGAGCTTTTCCGATCTTGTTTTCTATTATAATTAAAAGGCTTGAGTATTTGAAAAGGAACGTGTTTTCATTTAGGATTCATTTCTTCTTTTTCTAATTTAAACTCGTTCAGGAGCGATGTCAAGCCCCAACAAGACGGAATCGACGCTTCTGCGGACGGCGTACGACGACGAAGGCTCCAAGTTGCGCCGTCGTCTGGCGCGCAGCGAAGAGGAGAACCTCGCCAACAACTACTTCAAGCCGGTCAAGCAGTTCAACGTCCTCAGCAAGTACCAAGGCGACCAGCAACGCAACCTCGGTTTTCCGTCCACCGAAAACTGGCTGTAGCTGTCATTGTTCAGACGTGAAGTCGTACTTCCCGATGAAGTCGTCAACCTTCGACGGACTCATCAACGGCGTCGTCTACACGGACGACGTCTTTGGACGGACGCAAAGCGCCAAGCGACCCGCTCGTCTCGAGTCTCTCCACAAATGAAGCCTTTCTGATTTTTGAGCAACAAACCTTCCCGCGTTTTTTTACAGGAATGGTTGTGCTGCGAAATTGTACATTTCTCTGTTGCTGGTTCAAATACGAGATTCTATCCCATCCGTTGATCATTTTTCTTGTATAGTTTTTTCATCGCGGTCTTTGTTTTCCCTCAAAGTCACTTTTTTCTAGCCTTTTATGGAAAAAAATATTTTTTTTGAAAGCAAAGTCTCTAGAAATGCGGCATTTCAATGCTCTTATTGGTCCGCGTTTTACCACAAAGAGTGATGAGACATTTTCAATTAAAAGGAAATCACCTTTTTGTGACCAAATTGTGAACACTATGGCATTCATGACGGGAAATTTCTGCGATATGGTTTTGAAATTTTTAATATCAGATAAATTCATGCGATAAAAATTATTTACTGATTTCTCGATGTGAAAATTAAAAAAATTTTATTTACACTACGCACATACTGTTAAATTATTCACTCTTGCTTTTAAACGGTTGTTCGAAGAAATATCGTCTCAAGCCCCAGAAAAAGAAAAATGCGATTCCACCAAGTGCCAGGAAGCCGTAGATGAAGACGTCGAGGCAAAAGTACTGGAGGAGGTTGAGGTTTCTGCTGGAACTCTGCCAACGAGGCATCTTGCCAAATCGTCCCGCCATTTCCACTGTGTGGACCAGCTTCTCGCGCGGTCCCATCGGATGGCTCTTCAGAATCTGCGACGTCAGCTCGGCCGCCTTCTTGTACCTACCAGAGCTGTGAAGACATGACTTTGGTGAGAACTCACTTATTGTTGTAAAGAACTTCAGAAAGAGCCGCCGTCAACTTCTTTTCGTCAACCAGATCCAATTTGTCGTACACCACGGCTACAAGCTCCTCACAATGTATGAGAGAATATAAAAGTACAAACCCATTCCATGTCGCTTGGCGATCTGGGCGTTCCTCATCTGATCTCCGAAACAGGGCACGACCATGAGAGGAACTCCTTTCAGAGCGCTTTCAAGAAGACTTCCTGCACCTCCATGCGTCAGAAACATGGTGATTCTCTTGTCGCCTGCAAGTATGAATGGTCTGAGAGTGAAGAAAGAGAGAAACCTAAAAGATCGTTTTGAGGCATCCACTGGGTGACGACGATGTTCTCGACGTCTTCGGCGAGTTTCTCGTTAGCGTCGTCGTTCTTCCAAATGAAGGTGGTGTCTTTGAACCTGAAAGCGGTTTCCAATAAGAATCAGTTTTTTTTTCTCATTTGCGCTCATTATTTACTTGAATGGTAATGAAGTAGGTACTTTGTAAAAAACTCACGAAGCCAAAGCTCTGGTGATGGCGTTTTTCATGGCTGGTGGCATTGTCAAGGTTGACGCGAGACTTCCGAACGAAACGAGCACGTTTTTCTTGCGTCGGTTGAGAATCTCGCCCCATTTCTGACAACTTGTTCCAAAAAGGCCTAGTTCAATGGAAACCTCGTCGACTGGCTTCGGCGCCGTGACACTGATTCCTGCGATTTCGATGATGTTGACTGGCAACGGCTTCGGAAAATCGAAGAGCGGGTCTGAGTTCACCAAGAACCAAGTTATGTCCCGAACTCTCTCCTTCAAAAGAAAATTGCGGAACCTTGAATCTCAGAAGAAGGTACGAACCCACAAATCGAAGGACTTCTTTCCGTAGACTTCGTCAATGGCTTTTTGAGTGTCGGTCAGAAGTTGTTCATGGAATTTGTACGATTGGTAGGTCATGAACATGTTGATGAGCCTGCTCTTCAACGAGGTGCTGTCATCGGTGTACGTCTGCGAGCCTAAGAAGACGTCAGTTTAATCAAGTTTTCCAGCTGTTAAGCCCAATTCAAATACTTTTAGTACTTTGAGAGAGGCAAATAACTGAATTTTGAACTCTTTTTCATCATTATATTCTTTCATGAAGAGTTGAAAATTGGGATTTGATCAAAAAACTATCGTCCTGGCGCCTTTTATGCATTAGATTTGAGACGTAAAATTAGATCAACTGCGTTTTTGCTGGAAACCATCCCCTTGATAAGTTTTTTTTTCATAAGGCTCTCTTTTTTTTCAATTGCGAAAACAAGATTTCTGGGAACAAGCGGAAGACAAAAATTTTGCCTGGGACAAAAGATGGAAGAACAGGCGCGCCGGCGCTGAGCAGCGTTCCTTCGAAAACACTCGTCGTGTGTGCTCCAACCACGTTGTCGAGTCCGATCACGTGGAAAAGCGCTGGAAAACCTTCATTTCAAAAACCGAAGTATCTCCGAAAACCTAAGCAGCTGAAATCGAACAGCTCAGTGATGCCGATGTCGAACTTTTCAGCTTTCAAAGATTCGATAAGCTTTTGGTCTTTCAGAATTTCTGAAAACTCTCCGGTTTATACGTATATTTCAGAATGAACTTTTTGCGTTCAAGTAGGAGACGCGACTGAGCATGTTCGTCGACTGAAACACTTTTCTCAGAATGTTCTATCAGAAATCTCCTACCCAGTGGATTCCGGCAACTGAGTTGGCAGAGTGCGACCAAATTTTGGCGACGGCGCCATCTTTCTGAGCTGCAGCCATCAGATCGGCGACTCCTTCGGCTGAAACTCGAAGACTCAACAAGGTGTGATTGAATAGTTCACAGCACCTGTTTCGGTGAGGATGACGCGAGCCTTTTTAGTCCCGTTGCCGCGGAGTTCGGGGAGCACCACCGGCAAAAAGCATCGTCTAATAAGTGTTATATTTTATTGAAAATCTAATCTGAAAACGAACGACGTCATGACCTGCTTCGACGAGTACATCCGCCATCTGACCCATGAAGTTCATGTGACTGAAGCCGAACTTCGGCACGGCCACAAGAATTTTGTAGGCATCGCAGCAACTCAAGAGAAGTAGAAGGATCAGTAGAATGAACAGTCGAGACATTTCCCGGCTTCTTGAACTCGCAAGAAGTTTTTCCAAGAAACTGGAGTTGGTAATTGACCTGGAAAATGCTGTTCCGTGAACGTTCATTTTGATAAAATGAACCATGTGTAAAACTCAAATTTTAAAAATAGCAATATACTCTGAAAAATCTCCTCGAAACGGGAAATGAAAAAAAGAAAGTTTGGCAGAAGTATTTCTATTCAGAAGCAAGAATCTATGCACCTGCAAAAAATGTTTCCATCGGAAAAGAATTTATTGAAGTTTGAGTATTTTCAGCAGTGCGGTAAAAACCTAGGTTCTCTTGGAACTTGGAAAATTTTTGAGATTTTTGAAGGAATCTTCGAGAATACACACATTTTCAGCTCGAAATACGAGACAAAAATATGGACAAAAATAAAAACATTCTGAGGGACTAAAAGTTGCCAAATGAAAAAGAGGAAACAATTTTGGTCGGAAAGAAGAAAGTAAATACTATGCATAGGTAGCTCCGCCTTCAAATCAACGCTACTTCGAAGGGTTACATTTGGAGTTTGTAGTGACGACCTACAAAAACTCTTATCAGGGATCGTGATGATAAAACAGTTTAAGGAGAAAAAAGACTCGCGACAAAAAAATTTGACGCGAATCAAACCCAACCGTTTATTTTGTCATCCCTGACACTATCAGTATGATAGACTTGTTTTCGCTTTCGTTTCTCGCCAAGTGACAAAGTTTCTTGTTCACAGGAACTTTTTTCTGCACTTCCAAAACAGCTGTCACTATTATTCCAACATGCTAAATGAAAAAATTGAAGAAAAAAACAAATTCATTGAGTGGATCAACAATTGCAGAAATGTTCCTAAAGATAGAGGAGGAAAATAAAAATTTTATATTAGCGCCATCCGCAATACATTAATACTCGGAAAGGAAATGAATGAAGCGACTGAAAATGATAAAGTGACCCCTAGAAAGATTTCTCAAAGGAAAAATGTCACCCGAACAGATAAAAAGATGCCACAAAATATGGGACATATTAAAAAAAAAAGAAAATAGTCGCTCAAAGTGTACTGAAGGTCGTAACAACGCTCAATCACTCGGGAATCTAATCTAATAATCACTGAACCGGAATGCTAGAATTGGAAAGGCTAAAAATTAACTCTAAAAAACTATACAGTTTCATCGACTTTCGCACTTAATTTAATGACTTCAAACAGTTGCGAAAGCTGTACTGGAACCCGTAGATTAGAAAAGTTATCGTCATGAAAAAAAGATAACGGGGGGCAAAAAGGGAAATTTCTAAAATGAACAGTTCAGGCTTCGAAGATGAAGCCGTTGGTCTCGAGGGGGGCGTTGTTTTTCGCCGTACTGTTGCCTTTGGATTTGTTGTCTCCCAGAGTCGGCTTCACCGTCTTCGTGTGCCACACCAGGATTTCTCGTTCCTCCTGTACAAAAAAGCCTCGTTAATCCTTTTCGTCTTTTTTTCAAGCTTCTGAGGGGAACACAAGCATTTATAATCAACTAAATGATGAAGAAGAGGTGAGAATCTGCAAGCTGAAATTCGGTTGGCTAGGATATTTTTAGAATTCGTGAGTGTTTGAATGAAATATTGGGCGCAATTTAAAAAAATAAAAAAATAAAAAAAGACCTTCATTAAACTTCACTATTTCTTTTGTATCAAAAGTTCCTATCTCTAATCAAAGCATCGGAAAAAGTCTTACTCATTTTTTTCCTTTCAAAAAAATAAAATTTGAATTACAAATTTATTTCATACCGCCTTTTCAAAACTTAAATCACGCAAGAGGTTCAAACGCAACTAATTTTTAGATAAGGAGCGTTGAAATTTATTTCGCGACTCCATCCCCTGAAAAGGTAAGTACGGCCTAGTGAACTCATGATCGAATGTTCTCTAATCACGCGAAATCATTTTGAAGGGTTCATGAGTTTCTATATGTATGGTTAGCCTTTGAAGAGCCTTTTCGTATGGGTCGAAAGAACCTAATGAGTGGCCATAACATACAAGACTCCTTTAAAATGAACAAGTTTCAATGCGTTCTCATCATTTTAACCCCTCCATTTCCTCGCTTCAAAAGTGTCAACGCAAACAAACGAACTAAGTGAGTATTTGTAGAGAACAAGATAGTTTTTTTTTTCAACAAAACATCCACTCTTTAAAAGAAAGAACAACGAGGCCAAAAACAACAATTAGGTTCTTCCACCACTTCATGCGACACTTTTGTTTTGGAGCGTTCTATTGGAGCGCTAATCCCTCCAGTCAAATTGAGAGAAATAGCGTTTCAAATTTTAAACGAAAAAAACTTCTCGAGATCCTTTCGAACTAAAAAGGGAAGTATTCAACTGAAACTGTTTTTCCAAACGAAAAATCTCCGAGAACTCCCCACACCAAGGCAGTTCTATGAAGAAGAAAAAAGTCACTTTGAAGTCCTCAAAAATATGTCCGTTGAGATTTGTACGCGAAAGGTTATAATGCGGCTGGTGGGTCTTTGTGTGCCACACCAGAAGCTCCCGTGGCGGCTGTAAAATCAGTGAAAGTTTCCAACAAATGTACAGATCCCGAGGATAATGAAGTGTGGGTCAGATGAAATGAAGAAAAAGCCTGAGGGGAGAGGAAAATGGGCAGAAGGGAACCTTTTTGTCGTAACCAAAAGGTTCGATGTCTCCTCGCGTGAGTCCCATGTCCTCCAGAAGACAAGTCTCAGGTGCTCCTGCTCCACGAGCACAAGACGTTCCAAAAACGGCCGACGATCTGCCAAATAAATTTGAGTACCTTTTTTTTAGATGGCCTAACACAAGAAAATCGAAGAGAAAAATCCTAAAAACTTCAAATTAAAAAAATGTGAGAACATCACCAAGAAAAGAGTCTTTGAACTATATTAAACTTTCAGAAAGTTGGGAGCCAAAAAATCGAGCTCATAACAAATTATTTTCCTTTTATCATTTGAAAAAAATAAATTTTAATCACAACAATTAAAAAATAATTCTCTCTCGTTCACTTTTTCTCGTTTGATTTTTTTCGTTTTTCTCTTACTGAACAAGCTTTAACGAAAAAATCTCGCTCTAAAGTCAGATCAGATTTTGAAAGCCAAGTCGTCGCTCAAGCTCCGCCCCTATTGGTGCAATGAACCAATGAGAGAGCGAGCCATTCACAGAGCGTTTTCGATTGAATTTCAAAATATGAACTTGCCATTCAAAATATGAGCAGACTTTTTGAATCAAAAGTCGGTATAAAGTTATCAAAAAAAAATTTGAAAAAAGACAAATGCTAAGCCTTTAATATATGAATTTTTGTGCATTTCATAATTCAATCCACCGGTTTCTTGCTGGAGTCTTCAAAAACACAAATCCCTTTTTGTCCATTAGATTATCGATTTAAGATTATTTGACCATTTATCTATACTGAACAACACTGGCCAGGTAAACTTATTGTTTCACTTCAAAACTCAACTCTTCTTTTTCAATACAAGTGACCTACCCAAGAACGACGCTGAGGTTGATAGCGAAGCCGGCCATGTCGACGGCGAACTTCCGATTCGGATTCCACTTCACTTTGAAGCCAACGACAGAGCCGTTGACGACGTCCGGCGACTCGACAGCCGTTCCTCCGACCATTCCTGAAGTTTCCGTTTGTCCCAGGTCACAAATTTCGCGCAAGGAAAATACGGCTTCACATCACGTTCAAAGCTATGTAATTGATCCGAGTTCAGAAATCCTAGTTAGTGATACCGCGAAAGTCAAGATTTCGACCTTCAATCTTAGAAATTCGGAACAAACTACTGTAGTTAAGCTTCAGTTCTTTATGCTTAGGAGACCTTTTCAAGGAAAAAAAACTGACCAACAGCCCACAAGCCGACTTTCTTGACGTTGCGGATGTAGTTGGTGAACAAACGGACATCGTAGGAGTTATCGTCGTCCCCGAAATAGACGACGCCGTTTTCATGGCCGTTCAAAACCTCAACGAACTCATTTGTTCAGAGCATTACAAACAAATTATAGTTCATTTGAAAAAATATAAGCAATGATGAATTAAGAATACATGTTGGAAAAATAAATAAGCATTATTGAAATCGCCAAAAAGATTCAATCGCGAAAAAACTAGGGTAAAACATTGCATACTCCTCAAATTTCACCAATAAACATATGACTAAAATTCCCATGAAATTAAAAACTCTGGATATAAGAATTCAAAAAAACAGAAATTAATTAAACTAACTTTTGCTCCAAATCGGAAGGCTTTTTTTTTTAAATGTATACCGGACTGCTTGAACTCCCTCTCAAAAAATTTTTTTTTCGATTTTTAGAATGAAAGCTCATAAAACTTATCACAAACAGAATAGTTTCCAATACTAAGTATCATTCACATAGAAAAAAGAAATTATTTGTTAAATGCAAACCAAATTTCTCACATCAAGAAATGGAAAAAAACGGACTCACTCCAAAATAATTATATTTTGTCCAAAAATTTGTAACCAATTCTCAATTATCCTCATCCCTTTACCTTTAATTAGTGTCCAATTTCTGTATTATGAAAAACACATTTCTCTTCATTTTTTTTATTGCTCAGTCTAGCAAAATTTCAGAATAACTACAAACAAGAAAATAAACTATTCCTGTAGTTTTGATCTCATTTTCCAAAATTTTTTGCGAAAAACTCACCTCTGAAGTGTGTTCCCGAATATGCGTCAAGGCCATAGTTCTTTGGTACCACCCTCGTTCTGAAGATTCTCTCGGTTACTTTATACTTTATCCTTGATTGAAACAGGAATATGGGACATCTATCAAAATTTAATGGTTACTGTGAAAACCCGGTTTCTTGAGGTTGAATAAAAATTTTCTTTTGGGAGAAAAACTTTCATTTTTCCTTCGCATACTAATTTTAACACCGAAATTTCTTACGGAGGTTTATTTTTTAAAAATCGTCATAAACTTTTTTGGTTTAGCGAAAAGCCCTGCAGATTGCGAAATACTTGATATTTCCTTTTTTTTTTGATTCACAGCAGGTGTTTCTCATTTCACATGGTCATAAAATCCCAATTTTTGAACATAGAGCAAAAAAAGAAACTCGTGGTTTTTAGAAGTCGGTGGAGAAAAAGAACAGACTTGGATAGCCTGGAATGGTGCGGACGGCGATATAAGTGTACGGTAGCGTCGAGCGTTGGAGCAACTTTTCCACATGCTTCACTTTGTTGTGTGAATCTTCGACGACGATCCAGTGCAAATGGGGTACGTGTGACAGTGTGTTTGACATTCTGTAAAAGTAAAACTATTCTCGAAAAGCTTCTGAAAGTAAGCTCTATCGAACCATGTAAAATCATTATTGCCCTCGTCTTCAAAAGTGAGTTACAAGCCAATCAGAGATTTATCTTTGGAGCGTCTGTATGGGGTTGAAAAACTCTTCGACTAGTATGTAGATGATTAAATGTAAACAGAAAAAGAAAATCTATCCAAATTTTCATATCCTAGTCTCATCCTTTTTTCCGAAAAAAGTTTTTAAGGATCACTGCAAAAAAAGAATTATAAACCTTGTGAGATCAGCCAGCCTCGTCGGCCGTTTGTATGTAGGCGTGATGACGATTATGAGGGGCACTTTATTTGAAGAAAAAGGGGGAGAAATATTGGAAATGGATCTGAAAACTTTGACTCGTTCTTCTGTTTGTCTCTATATTTTGATCAGATGTTCAAAGGCGCAGGTCCAATTTTGAATAGTTTCATAGAACGTGAGTACTGTCCAATCGCCTTACTCTGCGCCTTTGACAAGCCTTGTAACCACGTCAAAATGTATTGATGAAATTTCTAACTGATCATTAATAGAACTGACACATAGTTGAACTTGTAGAGGACGAATAAAATCACAACCAGCGACACAACGATGAAAAGACGGTTTTTGCGCAAATTGCGTTGGTGTTTTCGCATATCACCTAAACGTTTATTACATTTTCCAAGTTTTGCAGACTTTTCAGTGAGTTCCCAAGGAAAAATCCGAACCGAAAACATAAAACGAGCTGTTGTTCTTTTCAGTGACACCTCGTTTCCATCCCTCCACTTCCAATTTGGCACCGTTCACTGCAAAATTTCAGTATAAAATTATATGACTTATTTAATTATGAAAATGAGTGAGTAAATAATAAAATGAGAGTTCACTCCTAACGATTACTATCAATGAAAACTGAGAAAGTAGGAAGAAAAGAAGAATTGGATTTTTCAACCAGCACAAAGTTTGGAACTTCGATTCGGAATATTATTTCACGAAAAAAAAACTCCTGAAATCACCTGTTCTGTTCGGAAAAACCACATAGCAAAATAATAAACTTTTAGAATATAATCAAAAAAAAGCGGAAATTCCACTCAACGTTGGAAAACCGAGAGGAACGGCCTACCTAAATGATGCGATAATCTCAGAAATGCATGAATTTCAGTGAAATTATTTACGTAAGGGCCGAATCTGCCAGTTTATGAATGAAAACACAAGCTCTCCGGGGGAATGCTCTTTTTGAATCTGAGCCCAAGAATCCATATTTTGTTCGTTTTGAAAGAGCTCGGGATATTTTTAATCCATTGAAAACACCAAATCTGCTTGATATGATTGTTGTTGTCTCGGAGAGTGGGGGAGCTCGAAAATATATCTTCAATTGAGCTCAAAAATACATTTTTTTCTTCCTTATTACGAAAACAATCAAGATCTGATACAATATTGAGGATTTTTGGACGAATGAGATCAGAAGAAAGTAATTAAAATAAAGTCAGTATTGGGGTCGAACTAAATCGATACGGATTTTATTGATAAGATCAACTATTATTCCAAGTCAAATACTCACATATTTGATTAATTATGGAACGAACGTTGTAAAAGAATGTAGTGTAGTCCATTTACTTGAGATAATATTCTATAAAATCCTGGAACGAGTGGCTAAAAATGAAATGAAAAAAGACCCACGCGAAAATCTTGCACGCCTTTTTTCGTATCAGTTAATTTTTTGAAAATCATTTTCAAGGAGCTTATCATACAATAAACTTGATTGATGAAAAAAAAAACTTGAAGCTCGTTCCAGCAAACTATGTAAACTCTGTTGAACGTTTGCAACAAAAAAAGGCGCGTTTTTGTAAACAACCTCACTTTTTTGATCAGTCTCGCTTTCCGTTGTATATCACTGATTTTTGCACAAAACTTCAGTAATTTAAAAAGCAACCCCTCGAAAGGATTTCATTATTTTGTCGCGTTTGATAAAAGACGAACTGATAAAACGAGGCTCTAGTCTTTACGTCAGCATAAAGAGTTCCAGCAAGTTATGATTTTCGTTTCGCCGTGATTACTTTGAACTTTTTTATTTCATGGAAGTTACTGTAAATATATGATACAATGCGACATCAAATATCGTATGAAGTCTGAGCTGCACAAAAAAAAAGTCAAAAGTAACTTTTTTTTACTACACGATCTCGCCGTAAATCAACGCAGAACCCGTTTGCTTCGAATTTTCTGTTTCACTTCAATTCGTTTTATTTGATTTTTCGTTCGTAAAAAAAAATCCAAATTCTAAACTGCGCAGTATATTCTAACGATAAAATATTGATAAAACGCAGAGAGATCAGTATCGGTAATAAGTTAGGAGAGGAAAAAAAACCTGAATGGATTTTGTGTTGAATTGCGAAAACCGTGTGCCCATTTTATGGAACTGCTTTTTTTTTCGCAGAGACTATCCTTCTTTTTTTCTTTCCAATTGACCGCTCTTAAAAAATTGAATTGATTAAACCTTAAAGAACACTCGCAATTATTTTTTATCGAAATTCTTAACAGATTTATTTTTGGTAAGGAATGATAAAGTGGCGAAGTATGCATTTAATTTTTAAAATTTTAATTTCTACAGATCTATGAAGTTTTGATTTTTTTTTCAAGCTTCACTTAACAAAGTGAAAAAATATATGCTCACCCCTTTCCCAAAAAAAGAAAAACTAAAAATGTGTTGGAACGGATAGAACTGTTTTTATCGGAAATAAAGAAAAACTGTTTTTGCACTTATATATCGGACTAATGCAAAAACGGTTCCATTATTCGATGGGAGAACAATCGGTCACGAAGATTGGCATTGAGGGCCTGTCGCTTGGGTTTCTGAATCGAAATCACACATCCGATCTATCCATCAATCAAGCATCAATTCCCAGGCAATCCTTCAGATTTCAATTATCCCACCAAGAAATGAGAGCAAAAAAATTCTGTCAAACTTACCCAAATTAAATAAAGATATATTAGAAAAAAATTTTTCTCGAATTTTTTTGAATTACAATATAATTTAAAGGGCCATCCTGGTGTTTTTTTCATCCAATACAGAGAAAAAATAAAATAAAAATAAAACCTACGGAAGAATTACTTCTTTTACTAATTTCCAAAACTCCTTATTGATGATTATTTTCAATCTCACTTCAAATTGCAAAAGGAGGAAATGAGCTAAAAGCACGGATTGACGTCTCACAGTTTTCAAAGAAGTTTTTTCAAAATCTGCAATTTGAGGAAATGAGAAAAAGGAGAAAATGAAGGAAAACATTAAAATGTTTTGTTCGGTGTCAATGTTTAGATTATTCACCATTTCCACACGAAAATGGAAGAGAGGCGTTACGAAACAATGACCAGAATTTGCGTTATATGGAAATAATCGAGTATCAAATACAATTTGGGATCAAAAACCCGCGGTCGGAACGGCAACAGCTCGATTGGACACGATAATCCGCTCGGAGGGAACCGACCGAGGCGACCAATCTCCATTCCAACAGAAAGAAAGAGGAATATTGCAAGAACGAGAACTGTTGAGTCAAGTGCCCTTTAACGGCAGATTTTGACAGTTAGCGAATGATGCTTGAGAAAAGGCTTTCCACCAACTTCGAACCAACTCTATCGAGAAAAAATGTATCTATAGGAAAAGAAACAAAGAAAAGAAACGACAGTGGCTTTCAATTCTTTTCTCTACACTATCCCATGGCAAAATAGGATTTATCAGATTGTTATGAGCTAACGCGTTTTCGTCATCAAAATTAAAACTTGCGCGAAAACACGAGTTCTGAACAACAAATAAATGAGAAAACTATCCCAGCGTGAAGGAAAGAAGAACGAAGCAAAACAATATTCAATATTCTGGGCTTTTCCGTTTTAATCGTGAAAGTTTACGGTGTAATAGAAATGTAACATCCACAAAAAGCTCCTCCAGTAAGTTTTCCCTAAAACTGAATTTTCCTAGAACTGGAAAATCATGAAAAAAGCAGAACTGAGATTTCATAAAATCCAAAACCAGAAATTGAAAATTTTGAATGAACTCAGAAAGAAAGATGTCCTATTTTAAATGGATTGAGTAGACAAAAAGGCGTCTGGCCAAACCAAGCGGAGGATTGAACCGAATTGTTTAGACTCAGAAACGGCGCGTCTTTTTTCTGTTTGAAAATCGTCATCGGCACCAGACTTCGCTCGGCCTTTGCATATACAAACCCTGGTTGCCATTAGAAATCCAGGGCTATTAAATTGCCACGAAAACAATAAAAAATCGTCTTAAAAAGCGAACCAAAAATGAACAAGAGGAAGAAATAATTTGAACATAGCTATCATTTCCTTTATTCTATTCACATCTAGTTCCACACACTAAACTCTCGCAAACCATGTTTGTTATTGATTGTACGTTTTTAAGAGATACTCAAACGTCAAAGAGGTCCGGTAGCGCAATTACACAGTTGATTGACAATTTTTTCGCTCCAATGCGCCTCATGCAGATACCATACGACGAACAGTTTATCAACAGAGATGGTGCGATCTTCTCTAGGAATTAAGTGCATTCCCATCAGCTTTTGGGTGTTTAAAAGGCGCCAAGCGATTTCTTATAAATAAATAATGGACACTGTCAGTTTCTTGCTGCAATCCATTCCACAAGAAGCCGTCCCATAACTATAACTTCTCGTCTCCGCCCTGTGCCTTTGAACAGCTTCAGGAAGTTGTTCGGAACGAATCGTATCTTTTTGTTCTCAGCCCGATTGTTTTCTCAGGACGTGTTTCTAATCGCACTTGGACTTTTATCCCTCACATTCGTTTTATGACATGAGCTGTCATTTCATTTTCGTTTTTCAAAACAGTTATGGCTGGGCCATATTCGAAGCTAGATTTAGGTCTGAGTTCGGAGATACAGTATAGATTTGAAGCTTCCGAGAAACAGTCAAATTCGTTCATGTCTTTTCTATTTTTCTGTAGTCTCCGTTTAAAAACTTCTTCTTACTCTGGATTAAATTAACTGATATTTTAGTCACTATCTACAAAAACTTTTTTTGAATATGAGTTTTCAAAATTCTCGTTTAGCACAGAGTGTAGACTCGCAGCAAATACCTCGCAACTTGGCATATTCAAAAAAAGTTAGAGACTTTGCGAATCTTCATTTTTTTCCTTCAGACTATTGGGCAAACTTCTTCCAGAAGATCAAGACTTTGACAACTCATTTTTTCGATTCTCTTCACGCACTAAGAAACTGATCCTGAGCAAAGAAGGAGCGACTCAAAACGTGAGAAATGAACATCGGGAAGAAATGAAAGCAAATAATGAAGGAACCCACTTCTCGGCGTGATCGAGCCCTACCGATCGTTCCAGATGCCGCCACCAAAAGTTCTGCAAAAACGGAGCGACGCGACAAAATGCGGCACCTTCTGTGCAAATCTCCATTAACGTGGATACATCCGCAAACACGGATTCCCACGTTTTCCGACCCTTTTTACGGCGGCTGATCTCAGCTCAGAATGGCTGAAAGCAATCAAAGAACATAAAAAGTAATAATTTTTTAAATCGGACAAAAAATATGAGTTAGTAGACGAGTAATTATTTGATGATTCTTTTCAAGTTTTTTTTTTCTATTATCTCAATCTTTTTTATGAGCTTAGACATGAATACCGGCAAAGTATCGAACATATGCCTTATTTTTTGTCAAAGCAGGCCAATAACCTTGCAGTTTTCGTGAAGTTCAAAGTTAAAAATTGGGAGAACTAGTCCCTACAAATACTTGATAGTTTATTGAACTTGACCTAAAATTTTGTTCCCGTAAGAGTTTAAAAAGGAAAAATATCTTCATACTTCATAGCCGTTAGTTGTAAGTAAAAAAGATAACTACCGCATTGAATAAAGAGAAGTTGTTTGAACAGAGTCGATAAACTTGAGCTGAGAAAAATGGAATTTTGATTCGATAAAAGATTCATTTTTTTTTATCTTACGAACAAATTAGATTGGTATGACAGTGAAATTTACATTTGGCATCAAAAGTAGGATCCAGGGAGCATAGAGAAAAAAAAAATGAAAAAAAGAAGATTTGAGTCAATTTTAAACAATTTTCATGCAATTTCAAAAATGCAACAAAAACACGAGAAGCCTTCGATAAAGAATTATATGGGATGGAGATGTCGAGAAAACCAGTTTTGAGGTCAAGAAACCTCCAAACCGCATGGATACAACTAGTTACTGGGTGTCTTGAACCGTTTCGATGACTTACGAAAACCTCACATTTAGTAAAAAATTTTTTAGTAAGGATTCTCTGACAATACAATCAGGAAATAGACTAACTTAGCGAAATCTCTGGGGTTTGGAGCGTAATTCTGAAATTTTTCGCAATAATCAAAAAGTTTTTTCGGTGAAACAATGAAAAAAATTGCCTTTGGCGCCGTAAACCAAATTTTTGTTAATATGACGATCTAAAACTTTTTTTGAACCTGAGCGGCAATAATAGTATCAAAATTTGTAGTTCTTGGCCCAGCTGAAAACAAGAGAACTTTTTCTAATAAAGTACAAAGCAGATTCCGAAAAGAAAGGATTGAAAAGAGAAAAGCCGCCGGAAAAGACACAAAACAGAAAAAAGCACGGAGCAAGGCCTCCAGACCGGATTGCCGCCGTGAAGCGAGTGGACGTCTTGGCGCTCAAAAAATCGCCGCATGATGGTTCTTGGTGAACGTTTCGCGAGAGAAAAGTTACCACGAAAAATCATGAACAAAAAGGATTTGTATTTGCAACTGCTTAATTGGGAATTAACACAAATCCATCCGAAGACGTTCAATATGCAGCCCAGCACACTTCGAGAAACAAAAAAACTTTTTTCAGATGCATAACGAAAATATTAGCGAAGAAAAATCAGACGCCATTATAGATAGCACTCCCAAAAGTCTCCTCTTGGCGCATTCCGCGTGCGTGCGCGCGCCAATTCAAATTTCGTCTCTTGGACTAGATTTACAGGCTTCCAGTATATGGTTCTTTTTGTATAATTTTTCTTACTTATTCATTTCCAGTTTTCTTTTATTTGATATTGACTCATTTAGGGAATCTAACTTTATTTAAGAAAGTTTTTTTCTTGTTTTAGCGCAAATTCAAATTTTTCGCCTTCACTCAATTGCACAGGCAAATGGGGAAGGTACCATAATGTGCCCACAAATATACCTCTTAAAATGAATCTTGAATATTCCATAACGTGTCCATCATGAGACGTCGAGCATAAATTTTAGCTCTAGCTGCCCAGGGAATGGTCTCTGGTCGTAGTTGGATTTCAGAATGAGACACAGTTCACTAGATGAAGTTTTTCATGCTGTTTCCAAATCTGTTCTCAAAAAATGCCGCGCAGGTCCGTGACAAAAGTTTTTTTTTGGAAACGTTTTTGAGCGGAGATACGATTTTTCAAAGCTCCTCGCATGATAAGGAAATGTGCTGCTGAAAAATTCATTTTTTTCGTTTCTCATGAGCGAATGGAGAACAACGTGTACAGCTTATACAAATTTCAAAGGAAGTCTGAAAAACAGAATGAATAAAAAAATTAGAAAACCGAAGTGACTAAAAAAATAATAATAATAAAAAAACCTGGGAAGCATTTCCAGGCTACTCGGTAGCAATCAAAAAAATTTCAGGTACTCTGCCCGTATATCCAGTTATCATAGATATGATACCCGGGTAAAAATTAATTGGAAGTTTTTTTAATGCAAGAAAAAAATTATACAAAAAAAGAACCATATACTGGAAGCCTGTAAATCTAGTTCAAGAGACAAAATTTGAATTGGCGCGCGCACGCACGCGGAATGCGCCAAGAGGAGACTTTTGGGAGTGCTATCTATAATGGCGTCTAGAAAAATCAGAAGTCTGAAAGGAAAAAAAAAGTTTGGAAAACTTTTGAGCAATGCCGCAGGTCAGGTATTTCGGTACGAAAAAGAGAAAAAATCTGCTTTAAATTTGACGTCATAAATATATAAGGCTGATATCGTACTAAGGCGTTTCTAAAGAAAATTAGCGAAATAAAAAATAACCGTCAGAGAGTGACAAAAATAAATTGTCAGGAAGGGAAAAAGATAGAGAAAAAACTGAATTTAGGAGAGTCAGAGATAGTTTTGAAATAACTTCGAACGCATAATTCAAATACAGAACAAGTTTTTATTTAAAAAAAGAGTTTTTTTCGCAAGTTTTATAAATTTTAACATTTTAAATTCACAACACAAAAAAGCGAAAAATAAAAAGTTGGCGAAAAAGTTCGCTCTATAGAAACTCGTCGCGCCGCTGCGCATGCCACCCAATTTTGTGGACTATATCGCAGCGAGAGTAACGCTATACCGCGGGGGAGCCGCGAGCGATATCGCTCGCCTCTCGCTGCGATCTTGCAAACGTCTTGCGCTATATCGCTCTCTGAAAAATTTTTCTTCAAAAATGTTTTTTTCTTGAATTTGATTGATTTCATCATAAAAGTCAAAAATAAAGCAAAAAAAATGTTTTTCAAATTTCAAATTTTTGAGAGGGAGCCATATGGCAGCGAGACTTTGACGAGGTCGCAGCGACATGTTGACGAGATCGCAGCGAGAAGCCTTGGCTATATCGCGTGCGGCCCGCTGCGATATCGGCAATTATGTTGGGTATGCCGAAATTTTGCTTTTTGATGCACATCAGGCTTGTGTGAGGACCGGCCCGTATGTCAGTCTATCGGCCCGGCCATTTTCTGAGCTCGTCTGGCCTTAGCGAGGCCTTCATCAAATTTATCAAGGCCGGCTCAAAAGCGCACAATTGCTTCAAGTCAAATATTAAACTTTTCAAGAAAAAATGTCACATCTTTGAGTAATTTTTCCACTCAAAGTTCCACAGAAACTATGATTCAACAAGTGAAAAGAATTTTTCGCTAACAATTTTGAGTTAGGCCCAAAGGAAATTAGGCCCAGCCTGATGCAAATTGGAATGATCGACTCGATTAATGAACGGTGTATACAAAGAATGTTAATTCAAGAATAGTCGAAAATATGGATTATAGGATTGGAACAAAAGAAAATTTAGTATAAGTTCTGTTCTGTAAATGCCAAACTGTGTCTTATGAGAACCAGATCGTTTATAAAGCGTTGTTCCATTAGAAATGGTCGTACAGAAGGTTCCATCGATAGTTGAGAAAGAAACCACTAAATAGTTACACTTCTCGCATATCTTCCTTCAAGATCCTCATTCACCAGTCAATGGAACCGTTCAAGACAAAATTCTCCATCTTCTGATGAAAATCTACTTTCAGTTATTTTTGACAGCTTGATCTGAACTCTTTGTTTCCATTTTTTTTTAAATTCATAACAAGCGATCCTATTTGCCCTGATTTGGGTTGGGCACACTTTTTGTTTGAAAATTCTTACACTCTTCTTTGATTGTTATGTTTTTTTTTCTCTACTCATTCCTTTCTTCAGTATATAGCAATCTAGGGGAAAATCGGAAAGATTAAAGGCCAAAACGAAACAAAAAGGTGCAAATGAGCACACAAAAAGCTGCGAAAGGGCAAATAGAAGCGGATGATGTCTTTCGTGATATCCGTCGCCGACCTTTTGAAAAAGCAGAGAAATTGGTGTTTCGAGAGCTCATCGGCCGCTTTTCTCAGGTTTTGGAAAATAATTCTCCAGTTTTCCGGGCTTGAAACGCGAGCATTTGCAAATAAGCAAACGCAACCGCGCACCTTGTTTCACCAATTGTTTCCAGGGGAAACCCGAACAACTGATGTTTGGACCTCTTTCGCACTCTAAAGATTAATAATTGCAAAAAAGGGAAAAAATAACATTCCATGTTTTGTTCAAAACATATCTCATAGAAATTTTAAAACTCACTCTTTATAATCGTATAAAGTCAAGACCTTCGTTTACTAACTTATCCTTTTTTTGGGTAGATCTAAATACATAGATTCCTGACTTTAAAACCAGTCGCGAGTTTATTTCACATTCAAAACTCAATCAGGACATAACAGAAAAACTAGAGAAGACAAATGACACTTGAGCACATTTCAAAAAGTTGAAAATAATTAAAAAGCTTAAAAAAGGAATTTTTAAAGAGAAAAAAAAAAAGTTAAAGGGCATAAAAAACGCCGCCTTTGTAGACGGCTTTTTGGAAAATCTTGGGTTTCAAATGAAGCGGATGCATTCTTCTGTAGAAGAGCGCCATCAGAAGGAAGGCCAAAGAAACGGTACAGATTTGCGTGACGATGACGTACCTGTAGCCAGAGTGCTGGAAGAGGAATCTGAAACTGTTGAAGATACAAAGAATTTCCTCGATGTTGAACTTACGTGGCGAGAATAGGAGAACCGAACTGAGCAAAGCTTCCTCCGAACGAGAAAAGTCCCTGCATCGTGCCCTGAAAGAATATATATTTTTCAAGTTTTTCGATTTGTAGAGTACTCAAATAATCTTCATTGCGGCTTATTTGATAAACTTTGGTCAGAGTTAATTATCAAGAATTTGCATCATATACCCGTTTACCTGCTTTCTTGGGCCAAGAATCTCAGAGTAAAGTGCGCTAGCCGGCGATTCGATGAACGGGAAGGCGATGCCGAAAAAGACAACGAAGGCAAAGATGTAGACCGGCAGTGGAACTCGCGAAGTGTGGGCACACCACTCGTAGGAAGGAAGACAGCCGCCGACGACCGTGGTGTTGCTTCCTGAGGGGCAGAATCAGTAGAAGATATTCTATCAGAACGAGAACCTTCTGGAATATAATGCAACGGATGAGGGTAGAAAGGCCATGGGTAGTTGACAAGGTGGTAGAGAAGGAAGAAGAACAGTCCGGTGATTATTTGCTTCCTTTTGTCACTGAATTCTTCGAATCTTTGCTGGTGAACAAATAAAGTTTGGAAGTATATATAAGACTCAGACTTGTAGAATAATGCTCTGTCAGGAATTTAATTTTTTTCAGATGCTCTGTCAGGGATTTCAAAAACGAAAGTAAATTAGAAAGCTCAGAAATTTTTTTCTTTTTTCGACTTCCAATCGCAAGTAAGCTGTGAATCTACGGCGGAAGTCTTCTCTATAGTCCGGCCAGATTTTGAATGTCAAATCGTCGCTCAAACTCCGCTCCTAATGGCGCGATGAACCAATCAGAGAGCGAGCCATCCATAGAGCGTTTTCCAATGACGTCGTTCTACTTGACATTCAAAATCTGAATAGACTATAACTACCTATAAACAGTGGTATACCGCTAACTCCATTTTTGACTCACATTTGACCAACTCTGGTGAAGCCAATCAATAAATTGATGCTGACAGAAACTAGACAAGTAACGCTTTCAATGATCCCATTGTACATCACTGATTGGCTATCTTTCCAATCGAACATCACCGTCGAGAGAGGTGTCGACATTCTAAAAAGACAAAAAAGTTGTTCCACTCTCGAATAGTTTTTCTAACACTTCGATATTCGTGGAAATCATACTGGTAATCATGTAGAGATAGATGCAAAGCAGAGCCGGCACCAAATCGTATTTCGGCACTTTGAGATATTCGTTCGCTGGAGCGTTTCATTCAGTTCGTCCGAATTCAATAGGAGCAAACCTTCTTTCTCCTTATCCTCAATGATTCCAGCATAATCTTCCTTGAAAAGGAAAAACATGAAGAAGCAGGAAAGAAGGCAGAACAACGACATGAGGTAGGCGACCAACGTGTACATGTTGATAGGGAACGGCCCGAGTTTGAAGCCAGTTTCTCCCAAAGGAGTGAACAATGCCTCAACAAATGTGTTGAATAAAGTTTTTAAGTTTCAACTAACTTGGACAACGGGACCGAAAGATAGGCCAAAAACGAAACCAGCGGTGCCAAAAGAAATGGCTTTCAACCTGTCTTTTGGCACGGAAGCTGTTGCCCCATAGGCTCGTAATGCTGCCAGATTCCCTGAACGAAGTTTGAAGTTTTTAGAACTCAAAAACAACCAACCAACGCCCAATCCCGTAATTAGACGAGCTACAAGCATGTACCATTTCACATCGTGTTTGAGTAGACTCACTAATCCATAACACGCTTGTCCTAAACTTTTGAATAGATTAAGATTCGAATCTTTCTTTTACCAATGGCAGCTATCAAAAACCCTGCGATTGAGGGCCATTTTACGGACATGGTTTTCTGATTCCACCAACCATAAATTGGATTTGACTTAAAAAAAATATTTGAAAGGAAATAAATAAAGACGTACAATTGTGCAGCCGATGTTGCATGCAGCAACTACCCAGCCAAGAAAATCCATGTCCGCGGTTGGATCGAGCTGAAAGAAGACATGGAAACGATCGAAAAGGTTGTGAGAACCATGCTGAGGAAAGGCCACATGGACATGTAGTAGATGGAGATCTGAACCCCGACGACGAACTGCATGATGACTGAAATCCACATGGAGCCCCACTCTGTTCTTCTCTCGTCCAGGATCTCATTTCTGAAACTGTCAGTGAGAAAACTCTGGAATGGATCAATTAACGTACGTCTTGGAGTCTTTGAGCGTTCCATCGAGGGTGAAAATCGACGAACGCCGCTCTTGGCCTTTTATCGGGCCAGGAACGGTCATATTGCTGGCGAAAAGTAAAACAAGACAGACCTCAATAAAGTTTGGCGATTGAAGCCTTTGAGTGTCTTTTTCAACACACTACAGCAAGATAAGCAGATATCATAAGGTTCATACGATAACGGTCCGCGTCATTTGGTTTACAAAAAATGTCTTTTCAAAACGTCATGCTACTTATTGATCGAATCAATTAGTGCTCCTTAATGTGGTTTATTTTCCGATATGTTCTTGTTCAGTTCAGTTGTTTGCACAAGCTTGAAGTTCGATTCCAACGTTTTTCGAGAGTTTCGCTTCGTTCTTATCTTCACAGCATGGCGTTGAAATCTATTAATGTTATCGAAAAAACTTTTATTTTTTTTTTTCGCTTTCCTCATGGTGGCGATTATATCTCTATAGAACCGTTAGAACAAATTATGGAAGATATCAAGATTCTCTGTGAAACGAGAAAGCAATATACAGCTTCATTATCAGGATTTGGATAAGATCTAAGAGACTTTTTCATTCTTTCATATTTTCTTTTTTTCTCATCTATTTTTTTTCTCTCTTCTCATAGTTAGATCTTAATTGTTTTTCTTTTTTGTGCTTTTTTTGTTGCATTTCTAGTTTTGTTCTTAAAAAAGAAATCCAATGCGGAAGTTCACACACAAGTCTTCTATGATTATGCATTTATATGAAAATCATTACTGAGAAGATTTTCTTCAAAGAGCGTAGAAAACTCCGCCCTTGTACACAGCCTTTTGGAAAATCTTGGGTTTCATGAGGAGGGGGTGAAGTCGCCGGTAGAAGACGGCCATCAGGAGGAAAGCCACCGACAAAGTGCAGATCTGCGTCACGATCACGTACTTGTAGCCAGAGTGTTGGAAAAGGAACCTCAAAAGATTCTTTTGTAGAGAAAACCTCACAGGTTTTAGCAGGAAACTGGGATGAATCTTCAAACACGGAAAGTTTCTTTCCAAAAAGTTCCTGTCGTTCAATTCTATCTCTACAAACGCGTGGTTTCCTTTATAAACTCTATTTTATTCGACTTTCTGAAGAAAAAAAACTCACGTAGCTAGAATAGGAGAGGCGAACTGAGACACGCTTCCACCAAAAGAGAAGAGTCCTTGCATTGTACCCTGCAGAACATATGTTCAGAGATTTCGAAGGATGACAACCTGTTTGCGTGGACCGAGAATTTCAGAATACAAAGCAGCTGCCGGCGATTCAACGAAGGGAAAAGCTATTCCAAAAAAGACGATAAAGGCAAAGATGTAGACCGGCAGTGGAACTCGCGAAGTGTGGGCACACCACTCGTAGGAAGGAAGACAGCCGCCGACGACCGTGGTGTTGCTTCCTGAGGGGCAGAATTAGTAGAAGAAGATTCGATCAGAACGAAAACCTTCTGGAATATAATGCAACGGATGAGGGTAGAAAGGCCATGGGTAGTTGACAAGGTGGTAGAGGAGGAAGAAAACCAGACCCACTATGATTTGGATCCGTTTATCGCTCAAGCAGCCTTTTTGACACAAGAACTCGAGACCAGAATCACATCTTTCCAATTCTGGTGAAACCAATGAGCAGGTTGATGCTGACAGAAACGAGGCAAGTGATGGATTCGATTATTCCGTTGTACATCACTGATTGGCTGTCTTTCCAGTCGAAAAGCACTGTTGACAGCGGCGTCGACATTCTAAAGATCCAGTGACAGAATCTGAGAGTTTTCGAAGCGACTCACACTTCGATGTTCGTCGCGATCATGCTGACAATCATGTAGAGGTAGATGCAAATCAGAGCTGGCCCTAAATCGTATTTCGGCACTTTCATAAACTCGTTGTCTGTAACTTTCTGCCGAATTGCCCTATATTGATAGGAATTCAACCTTGCTTCTCTTTATCTTCAATTATCCCTGCATAGTCCTCATGAAAGAAGAAAAACATGAAAACAGAGGCGGCGAGGCAAAGAATCGTCATGAGATAGGCCGCTGAAGTGTACATGTTGACAGGAATAGGTCCAATTTTGAAGCCATTCTCTCCAAGAGGCGTAAAAAACGCCTGAAGTTTCTTTCAATGTTTAAAATTTTCTTCAAAAATATTCTTGCCGAAAATTCCGAAAGCAAAAAACTTTGAAGCGAAGTTTAGCAAAAGGAAACTCTAAGAATAAATGTTTATTTTGATAGTGTTATTTCTTCCGAACTTTCTCTAATTAAGGTAAATTCATGTCTTTATTCGGTTGCTATAGATTTACAAGATAACTTTTTCAAACCCAATAAAAAAAGCTTGAAGTTTATTTATCTAATCTGAAACAAACGCGTTTTCTGATAAAAAAAGAATGACGTTTTGTTTTCGAACGTCTTTTATTTATTGACAGGAAATGTTTTTTTCTTTACTAAAGAAAAGTTATTGGAGATAAGCTTTTTTTTCCTAATAATCTGCTTCGAAATTTTCTTTAAAAAGGAATTTAATTAAATACGATAAGATAACTGCTGGAAGTTCGGGTGTTGACATCAGCAAATATATAATTTGGTTTATAACTGGAAACCGAACCTGAATAGCAGGACCAAACGAAATTCCAAAAACGAAGCCGGCAGTGCCGAAAGAAATTGCCTTGAGTCTATCGTGGGGCACCGAGGCCGTGGCTCCGTAAGCCCGTAAAGCCGCCAGATTCCCTCAAATTATCGTTTATTTCTTCTTTTTCAAGTTGAAATTTCTCACCAACACCAACTCCAGTTATTATCCGAGCTGCGAGCATGTACCACTTCACATTATTATCCAATACACCCACCATACCGTAAAATGCTTGTCCTGAAAAGAACTATTTTCCCAGTTTTACTTCGAAAAATGAAAACTTACCAACGGCCGCAATAATGAATCCAACAATAGTTGGCCACTTGACTGACATGGTTCTCTGGTTCCACCATCCATATATCGGGTTGGACTCAAATGGTTGACTAAAATAGAAAATAAAAATAAAAATGAAAACGTACGAATGTGCAGCCGATGTTGCACGCTGCAACTACCCATCCGAGAAAGTCCATATCGGCTGTTGGATCAAGCTGAAAAGAACTTTAAACTTTGTCTTAATATATATATGAAAAAATAGACGAATATTCGAGAAAGGGAGACCCTCTGAGGTATATCGTAGACTCTGAAGCCTCACGATGGTACGTCGAGTATACCTCTGAGGACTTTGAGCTAAATGAGATAGACTCGAGGGAGACTCTCGAGTACCTCCGAGATGGCTCAGACATAGCTAAAAGGTATGCTGGAGGTCTCACGATGGACCCATTATGGAGTCTTCCCGATCCATTTTGAGAGGTATCTTTTTTGTGGATAAATTGTGGTACCCTCCTGATTCGTCTGTGAAAATAGTGCACCTCAAAAAGACGAAATTCCTCTTTTCTTAAAAATTAATTAAAACGAAGAAAACCCCGCTTAGGTAAGGCCACATGGACATGTAGAAGATAGAGATTTGAACGCCGACTACAAACTGCATGGCGATGGAAATCCACATAGACCGCCATTCCGTTTTTCGTTGGTCTAGAATCGCTATACTGAAATACAGTTATGTAGTTCTTTCCTTTCAAAAATAATTTTTTCCCTATTTTTGTAAAAAAAAATATTACGTTTCGAGGTCCTTGAGAGTGCCGTTGATGGTGAAAATAGAAACACGCCTGGTTGCGTCGCTGGGCTTTTCATAGGAGTTGAGTTCGTCAAGGGTCATGCTGTATTCTCAGCACTAATTTACTTTAGTGATTCCTCAGCTGCGTCCCTCTACTGATAAGGGCTGGTCTCTTTGCTTTTTTCATCGCGGTTCGTCGGTAACTGATAACGATTCCTAACTGTATGCGATCAGTTATCATTTGGTCTCATCAATTCAAGTCTCTTGTCTTCTAATCTGACTGGATCCGAACAGAATCTTTGATGTTGTAACTTCTTAGAAAAGTGGTTAGGGTAAAACGTTGGAAGAATTTGATTTCTTACTAAAAGTTTCACAAAGGTGTAAACGAAATCTTCATCTTTTCAATTTATTTCATCAGGTCTTTCAGGCTCTAGTAGAGGACTGACCTAGTAATACTCGAGTATAATACCCGATACCCCGTTTTTCTCTCTCGCGACCGCCAGGTCCGCGATTCCTCTGCACATGATGCGCGTTTAAATTGCAAGCCTGTCATCAAACTATTTGCTTCAATTTTTTATTCTTATGCATTATTTTCAAGCTTTAATAACTAGTATTGTATTTACTATGAATATTTTGTTCGTATATCGAAAAAACAACCTGCTAGCTTCATGGACGGCACTTTGTCTCCTTCTGATTCGGGGAAGTTCATTGCCGAGCACGGAGAGTTCATCAAAATCAATCAAGAGGGCGTCGAAAAAGCGGCTAAGTTGGTTGGTTTTCCTTTTTAAAGCTTTATTCTCAAATCTCCGCTTTTTAAAGTATTATTTCAGTTCATGATAAGAAATATTGAATTGAATTTTTTTAAAACAGATCCTCGATGCTGTAAAAAATGATTCGATAAAGCAAGTTTTGTTCGCCGCTCACGTTTTACACCCGAAGACTGCAGATGAAAAAGCTGTGCAATGGTATTTTTCTTTTCCAGTTTTCTGATGATTGTGTGCTCAGGGTATTCTTCATGGACACTATCAACTTCTCTTTCTGGCCTGATGAAGGGAAGAAATACGACGTTTCCTACAAAGGAGTGACGTACACGGGATATTTTGCTGGTTGTGCGGCCTTGAACAAAGTGATTTTTTTTTCTGTATCTGATCCAAGAAAGCAATAATCGAAATGTATTAAAACACAGTCTTAAAATTATAAAGCCCTCGCAAAAGGAGAATCAGTTTTTCTATTTTTTGAAAAGTTCCTTTCTGATCGTTCAATTCTTTGAAGGCGTTGGATTCTGGTAAGGCCGTAACATCAGCCCAGTTTATGGCGACAGCAAGCGAAGAAGTTATCGACGAAATATTCAAATCTGATTCTGGAGAATCGATTCCTTTGCTGAAACAAAGAGTGCAGGCGATCAACGAGGCCGGAAGAGTACTGAGCGAGGTTTTGTCACGATTTTTCTTTTGACGAAGTACTATTACGATAATCTTCACCAACTATAAACATAAAATACTTGAAAAATGTTTCTGCGAGTTGGGAAATTGATCAACTAATGAATTTTGTGATCCTTCTAACCTCGTTATAGGTTCAACTTTTTTTTTCTTTCATAAAAGCTTTCCACACATAAACTCTGTTAAACGATAAAATTTAAAGGATGAAAAAGTTCAGAAGTTTGGCGGCTTGTTTTACAACTGTGTTGTGCAAGCGAACAGAAGCGCGCAGAAACTCCTTTCGATTATTGTTGAAAACTTTGAATCTTTCCGTGATTTCGCCGTATATAGGGGTCAGAAGGGTGAGATCTATTGTAAATATATTTGTAAGAATAACATTTAGTTTCTCTGCTGAAGCGTGCCCAAATCCTTGTGGCTGATGTTCACGGTGCTCTGGAAGGGTACAGTCCGGAGGAGAATTTCAACGACATTGGGTAGGTTCTCTTCTCGACTTGTTTCAGAAGAAAACGAAGTTCAGTTCACTGACAATGTTTGCTGATTATCGTGTACCTCAGGCGATGGCCTTTTTGGGTGTTCTGGAGTATTCGGAAGGTTTGCTGCAAAGATTGGGTGAGGGGAAGAGACTCGAAAACGGATCTCAAGAAGAAGTTGAACTGCGTGGATTTTCCATTCATGGCTGTCAGGTTGGGAGAAATCGTGTTTTTATCAATCGAAAAATTAAGAACGAGAAATTATCATCTTTTGTTTTCAAAAAACTGGATTTCAAGTAATTTAAGGGCCGATGTGTGAGAGTTCCATAAAAAAATTGATATTTTTTTCACGGAAAAATTAAAATAGAAAAAAAGTAGGGTGGAAAGCAGTATCATAATTCGGCTGGGTCCCACCCCTCGCAAACTGCGGTATATTCATTAAGCTTCATAAAACTAAAAAAATAAATTGTTTTTAATTTATCTCATTTGTCGAAAAAGAGTACTCGAAACTATAGAAAATCGTGGAGGCGATTCGGGATCTCCGTGAGAAAGATCCGAACTACGCGGATCTGCCCGAAGTCCCTGACGTTGAAGTCGACGTCTTCATTTGGGTTTACCGACGTCAACACGCTCAAGAAATCGAGGCGAAGGTGCGTTGTTGGAATGAAAGAATGTTTCGCACAACAATAAATAAATCTACAAAAAGAAATTTCGAAGACTTTTGTAGAGTTGAAGTGCTTGCAGGTGCCTTTCCATCGGACGAGATGCATTTACTACTAACTTCAGTGAAAAATTGTTATGCTAGGTTGAGTTTCTCATTTTTGTTCTATTACATTTTCCATATTGTTCATTTCGATCATTTTTTTCATTCAAAAATGTCGTTATTTTATGATATTTATGCGAACCTCCCATTCTTTCCCCTTACTGCATTCCTATACTACTCACGGTCGTTTTTTTTCCCAATAAAAATGGTTTATTTGAAAATTTAATCGATTTATCAATTGGTATCTGCCGTGATTATCATATCTCGATGAAGAGATGTCAGAAAACGAAGATAGCTTTTCAGAATGTTCAAAAAATTCGACGAGAAGGAAGATATTACGGGTGCTACTCAGTTAAAGTCCAGCGTTCAGGTTCTTCCCAGCATGAACTTCGAACGAAACGTTGAATTTCAGAAAGGAATCCGGAAGAAACTTTTGGAGAACTTCCCTCATATTGAGCCTTATTTGGAAGATATCCTGCCGAAGAAGGTCTTTTAATTAATGAAAATTAGCTCTGCTGAGCTTTCTTCATTCGAAAAGGAGAAGTTTCCAGGAGAACTTCAAGCTGATCAAGTGCAAGGACCACGTCGAACTGCTCGCCGACCACACTGGCGTCGTTCGATTCATGAAGACTCGAAATACAGATTTTGTCCCGACGCTCAGAACTCTTCACAAGTATCCCTTCTTGTTACCTCATCAGCAGGTGGGTTTCAGTCGGAGAGCTTCGAAAAAAAGCGTTTTTTTCAGGTCGACAAGGGCGCGATCAAGTTCATCCTGAACGGCTCGGCCATCATGTGTCCAGGACTGACGTCACCGGGAGCAAAATTGACGGCAACCGTGCCCAAAGACGCCGTCGTCGCCATCATGGCTGAGGTAATCCATTCGAGTTTTTAGCAACATCATGCATATTTGATAATCATATCAATAATGGTGAACATGTTTTAATCATGGTTATCGTTGGAAAACGTTTTTGGGCTTAAGATTGAGCGTCAATTTATTAGGGTTTCGACCCTTTAGTTAAACTTCTTCTTCTTCTTCCTACGCCTTTGTACCGCTTGAGCGGTGTCGGCGCCCCAAGTCGATTAGCCGAGGTCCTATCCTAATCAGTGATAATCAGTGGACTGGCTCCAGTGACATATCCGTCCTTGTGTGTGACGGCTGGGGATTATGAAGTCGTGGTTTCCCACTACCAACATTTCTTAAACCCCTTGGTTGGGTCGGGGCGGGGATCGAACTTGTGACCCTGTGGACCGTAGACAGGCACACAACCTGTTGCGCTACGACGCGCCCCATACCCTTTAGTTAAACATTTTTTTCAAATCTAATTTAAAAATTAATTTTTTTGGGGGTGGTGAGATCTTACTGATTGAAAGGTTAAATTTTAAAATTAAATAATTTTTGCGAAATTTCCGCCTAATACAATCGACAAGGGAGACATCAAAATGACGCTGATTCAATATTTTCTGTGTTTTTGTGACACAAGTCTACAGAATAAACCAAATTGGCACCTGAAAAACTCCGAAAATTTTATGAGGTTCAATCGAAATTAAAAAAACTTTTAAGCTTAAAAGCTACAAGCAGAATTAGTAAAATGTTATCACCGTTTCCATAAATTAATTTGATTAATCAGTAACCTGCTGTTCTCTAGACGAATTATTCCGAACCCATCTCCTCTCAAATGAACGTGATTCCAGCCATATGAGCCGTCTTTTTTGATACGGCGACATAAAGTTTAGTATTTGTCTAATTCTTTTGAAGCCGTACTTTGTATTTCTCTGCTTCGAATTCACCTAGCAGCTTTGATGACTCAACTTTTTTCTTTGTCTCATTATCTTTATTCATATAAGTCCCATTGTTCACGCGGCTTTTGTTTGCAGGGCAAAGAACATGCCTTGGCGATCGGCCAAATGCTCATGAGCAGTGAAGAGATTCAGTCTGTGAACAAGGGCTATGGAGTCGAGAACATCCACTACCTGAACGACGGTCTCTGGCACCTGGCTGAAAAGTCTATCAACTGATATTTATTGGATCCGCTTGTCTTTGTTGGACTTTTCTCTAGACGAAATCATAATATTGTCCTTCACTCGGTGTTGCTAATTGATTGTTGATTTCGAGTGACTCTTGCGTGGGTTTCTTCGCGTTAATTGCTCGCTGAGCATTATTCATTCCGGTTTTTCTCCTTCTGATGTCGGTTTTGCAATTACCTGATTGGAAAATGTCCTTTGAGTCATCCGATGGACGCATTCATTTTTTTCAACCCTCATCAAATCTTTTGTTATAAATAACGCACAATCGTTCTTTATTACTTATGACAATCCCTTCATTCGTTTTTATTGGGTTTACTCGTTTGTTTATTCCATTTTGTCTCTTTTTTCGATCCTCATCAATTCGGTGTCTTGTTTTATTTTTCAAATGTCTGACTGAAATCAACTCGCTGCTTTTTTTCTTTCTTCTTTTTGAATGAAATTCGGACGAAAAAGAGGATCTTTGAAGTTGCTGTTTGAAAAAAAAAAGATGGATTCATCAAACTGTAGATAAAATTAGTCTCATGAGATCAATTGAGGCTCAATGTTGCAGTGAAGAGGCGTGTCTTAACGATCTCAACCTATGAGCTCTAAAACTTCGAGAAAAGGGCGTAATTATGGCTGAAACTAGTCGGAATTCAGTTAAACGCGTCACTTTTAGAAGTTCAACCCATTCATTCGTGCTCCCGTATAGACCTTCATCGAGCGGCTTTGTTTCGGAGAGAAATTTCCTTTCTTCCCCTTTTCTAATTTTTTTTTGTAAAATTTTGCATGTTCTGCCCGTTAGTTTGTCTCGAAGAGTTAGCGTTTCTCTCTGATTTTGAGATGTTTTCGAATTTATGAAAGGTGACGTTAGAGTCGGTCTGTCGCGGCCTTCTCCGCCAGCTCCTCGTTACCACAACAATTAAGCCTTTTCCGCCTTTCATAATTGCCATAGCCTGTAACTCTGTGGCGCCTTCAAACTTTTCGGCTTGGATATCCAACGCTCATTTTCTTGATATCCGCATTACCTTCCTTGATCCTTTTTTTTCTTTTCGAGTATCAACGTGGCCATTGAGTCAGTAATCCTCTTTTCCAAACCTTTTACGCTATATTCTCGGGATGACGTCGTAAATTTCATTGAAGAGTTTTTTTTTTCGAACCGATTACACACTCCAGAACTTCTAAGAAACTATCGCAGACAAGTGAAGCACGAGAGGTTGTTCGAAAAATCGGGGCGGAGCCCAAAAATACAATTTTCGCCGGCCCAGGCATTTTTGCACAGAATTCGCTGCCAAAGTCCGCATTCCAAAGCCTTTTCCGTTTCTCCGAAATTTTTTATACTTATTTAAGACGTGCTCCACTATAACTTCCACTCATTAAAAATGTGATTTATGGTTAATAAGTTTTGAAAAACCTTCAAAGAAGACGAAAATTGCTGGTTTCAAATTGCCGGCAATTTCGGCAATTTTTGGCACTCTTTGAGTTTTCTATATATGTTCTCCTGCGAAATTCAAAAATATTTTTACTGATACTGTAGCGAAGTTCATCTTTCATGTCTACTGAACATTTTGGAGCCACAGCTGATTATCTATATATCCAAGCAGCGACTCAAACTCCGATTGCCGGTTTCGATTGCCGCACAGCCCTGGTACCGACTATATTATTACCAAAAGAGTTTTGCATCATCATTTATTAGATCAAAATATTTTGAGCTAGAAGCCATTATGAAGTTTGCAAAAACCTCTTGTTCGAACAACACGCATCACTTTTTCAAATATAGCTCCGAAGAGGGACAATGGAAAACAGAAAAGTCGAGTTGGAAATTGAGTTGGGGCCAGTCGTTTATCTACCCACCCCGCTCATGGATAAAGTTCACATTTAATTGCGGTAATCATCTCCAATAATATTCTTATGTCGACTGCGAAAATATTTTCGAAAACTCGTGTATATATTTCAAATGATGGAAGTTTGAACAGGTAAAAGGGAATGTTGCGTTTCGGACTTTTCTTCACGTTTCTTTTCTTTTTTCTGTTGGCAATCGCCGTCGAGGCCCGCTACGGCGACAGCTACTACAAGATGTTGGGGTTCGTTTTCTTCATTAAATTTTGAAATTTAGTAGTGGTCTAGAAATTTCAAAAAAAAATCCACCTTTTTGTATCTTTTAACACGCTACCTAACAATTGTAGACGTTGTTCTCTTTTTTTTGATAATAAAAGAGCAGTTAAAGAGTATTGGCTAAATACAGCCCGCCATTTTTTCTACTACGATATTCTCGTTTTTTTATTCATTGATAAAATCAGAGTGATCGATCTAAGAGAAGTCCCTGACCCGATCTGATATGATATTTCTGGCAAGAGCTTCAAGACTGTTTGCAGACGGATGCACAGTGCTGGCCGAGACCCGATAATAGCCAGTCGGGTGCCAAAAATGGACCGCAACTGCTTCTTCTCGCCAGTCCAGTGCATGCTCGACACCAGCCGCACTATCGACGAGAACTTCTAAAATTCCGTTGCCTTCTCCCGCAGTTCCATCGCCCTTCACACGAATGTATCTCGATATAAATATTTATTTTGTGGATCAGATCCGTCAGTTTTTACTACCGCATTGAAAAAGAACAGTGGCTATGTTGAATGAAAAGTTAGATAAAAGACTTTGAAGAATGTTCCAAAACGACTAGTTCAAGAGGAAGAAGGCACAGTGATATGGCTAAACAGAGTTACTTCATCATCAAACAGCTTGAAAGACCTGAAGCGCAAAAAACTGCCAAGCACCGTGTCTTATAAAGAACGGTCACAAATATTCTGCGCCTTCAATATAACTTCCAAGATGCTGTTTTAAGGTGAATTCTACACGGAAGTTAAAAAAGAAATCACAATTTTTGGAGTGTTGCCAACTAAATATTCCTTAGACGTCGGACTGTAGCCGAACCGGTTTGTGGGCGTGGCATTTGCAGAAGTACCGGATGAAGGCGTAGACTATGCTCAGTAGACACGACAAAGCCACGCACACGATCGCCAGCCTTGAAAGCCTGCCAATTAGTTGTTGCTCATGTTAGCTAGAGTTAGTTCGAAAAAATGGCTTTGCTCGTGCTCTCTTTCATTCAGATTGGATTTTCCTTGTCCCTATTTTTTTCTTGGTATACCGTCACATACAAACGAAGCCATCGTGTTTTGAGTTTTGGAAAGAAACATACAGTAGCCAAATTCGAATTTTGGGGCAGCATTTCAATGGCTTTCCGTCTTCGGATGTGCAGCATACATAGTAGAAAAACATGGATTCCTGCGGGCATCTGAAACTGAAATGTCACTTTTGATTTGGGGAGAAAAAGGTTTTTTTCTCTCTTTTTATAAGAGAATTCCCTTGATGAATCTCAGCTGTCAGGCAAAACAAACTCGATGGAAAAACTTGAAAAAGAATCAAGGACTTTGAGCTTCTTCTCATTTCCTTTTTGAGAAGTTTAAGAGGAAATATTTCGATCTCGGCTGCAGTCAGTCTCAATAAAATTATCACAGACCTTCTGAGAGTTAATTCTTCCCTTAAACCTTAAGCCAGCACGAAGTCGTCCTTCTCTCTACTCTACCCCAAGAATATCTTGCTTCGAGATAACCCCCATCAGCTTATTTGAGAAACATCGATAGATGAGGAAGAGGAACTAACAGGACGTCGGCGCGGAATGGCTGTTCCGGCAGTTTGCAGTAACTGGCAGAACCGTAGGAGTTGCCCTGGAGGCTGTTGAGAATGGCTGCGACCAAGGAGCAGATGAGCAGCAGCGTGAGGAGGCAGCCGAGGAGCCGCATCGAGTACGGAAGCACGCATAGAGTGTCTGGGTCGTCCAGCACGTACTTAAGTGGCCTTGTTACGGAAAATGATAGAAACAACTGGGCGATGATTTCTGATACAAGAACGCGTTCAAATATAGCGAGTCCTAACAACTTTGCAAAGTATCGTAGTTAACGTTGCAAAACTTTTTTCGAATTGCGTTTGTCAGAACTCAAAAAGGTATTGTCTTCGAAGTTAGAAAATTTTCAAATTTTAGAGAACTCAAAAAGAGTCTGAAAAGAGACAGGATTCGAACTCATATAAACTCTGAACTCGGCAACATTTAATTTTGAATAAGTTTTGCTGAGAGGTACAAAGGACATTGTTCCAAATCAGTCGAAACTGTGCCTCGTAGAGACATGGCCTTGAATTGGGACTCTGCCATTATAAGAGAGGAAAAGAGGGTTTTGAGACGTCAAGAATGTACTATAACATGAGCAGAAAAGTACTACTCAGCGGAGTTATACCGAATACTCGACCAAAATATACTGCACTTCTTGGTGATCACAAAGTGATACCTGGTGAGTACTCACCTGTCCTGGAAGAACGCGTTTCCCGCTGCGGATGGAGCGGAGGGACGGCGGCCGAGACCAGACGACGACCGGCGGAGACTCGGGCCCCAGCATGGCTGCAGCTGTGCTATCGTCTGACGAGCGGACTGAGGCAAGTTCTGCGGTTTTACTCGTGGGGATTAGACGTCGTATGTTCCTCTGAGGACATCAAACAAGTCGCGGCGGGTTGTTCCAGAAGCCATTCTTTGCACGTGTTGTCTCGCTTTTTATGAGCTTTTCTTGCACCGACGCAGCATTGAAAAAGCAGACAACTCGTGTTTAGAGTCATTAGAAAGTTTTCGTTTAGTAGGACTTGGAGAAGTGTAATAAAAATATTTACGTTTTAAGTATCACAATGAGAAAAAAAAACATTGAATAGCGTTTGTAAATGATTGACCAAAGAACTGTGTCAAATAAACTTCTACAGTAATCTATGAGTTTCTGTTAAAATCCAGGTAAATGAATGAAGTTTTACGTACCAAATTCACAACAAAATGAATTCTTTCAAAAATAACTTTCTGAATGTTATAAGAGCATCAAAAAGAGCACATAAACAGCAAAGTCAGAGATTTAAAAACCAAAAAAAAAGTTAAAGAATTTAGCAAAAGCTTTTTATACTTGGAAAGTTGTAAAACGCTTCGGAATAACCTGGTAAAAGAAGTTTTTCGAACTTTGACTCGAAATTTGGAAATATCGAACAGGCCTGTGATAGGAACCAACTGAACTCCGAGAAAGAAAGTAGACATTTCCTGAGAAAAAAGAACGAAGTAAGAAGAGCTGAGCGGAGGTCGGAAGAGCTCTCAATTAGTTGAGTTCCTAATTGAATCAACTCAAGAGCCGCAACTCACTTAGGTACTGACCAATATTGGCGGATCAAAAAAAACTCTGATATTAACAAAAATAAAGAAAGAGGATGATAAACGTGAAGTCTGACACGTGTTTATATTATTGAAATGGAAAAAAAAAGCCAAGATTGGTCATTTTGCTATAAAGACTCAACGGGGAATGCAGGCGAAGAAAAAGGAGCCCAAAGTCCCTAAAAGGTCAAAAGGTTTTCATTCTCACTTTTCCTGTAGCACTTCCTCTCTTTTCAATAGAAAAATCAACTTACAAAACAAAAAAGAAAAAGGAGTTGGAAATCATCCAGCAAGAGCTGGGACTCGACGACGTTTGGGCCGACAGGTTTTTTTCCCCTCACTAGGGAACTACGCGAACTCGTATTCACGGATCCAGTCCAAACTGTGGTGTTTTGAAGATCTAGGTAAGGGTACTTGAAAAAAGGCAATATTATCTGCTAAACCCAATAAGGTAGCGAGCAAAAACTTTTTGGAAATGAACACTTTAGGCTTGAAAATTATCAAATTTCTACTTTTCTCCATCTTTTAGCTGGAAAAAAGTTTTTTAGCGTTTATTATAGCCGATCATTCAAGGCGATTGTATTAAAATATAAAATAAGGTAAAAAGTGGTATTCCGAAAACTTTCAGGCCCTATCTGCACAATTTCCACAAATTCTTTCTCAGTTCTATATCGGGTTTAGCAGATATTCTCTCTTGTTTTCAAGTATTCTGACTTAGGTCCATAAACCACTAAGGTTTGAACTCGATCTGCGAATACGAGTTCGCGTAGTTTCCGAGTCAGCATTCTCGCTTCGACAAACATTCGATTTTTAGAGCCTACATGGCTGGATTCATCCTTCTGTTAGCCATAAACATTCTTCTGATTGTCCTGCCCTTCCGGATAACAGAAGATACTGTCATGCCGGTTGGTTTTTCAACAGGAAATTTGAATTTTCCGTTTTCAGGATTATCAAAGCTCCTCCTCGAAATGGGATAAGCATCGCGCCAGAGTCGCCATCTATTCAGAAAGCTTGCACTGCGCTATTTATATGAAGTATGGATTCTTTTATTGAGATTTTCGAAAGGCCCGAGGCGGACTCTAATCTTTTCCTGCGTATTTTCAAAAAATCACGGAATAAAGCAAAAATCTTTCTTGAGAAGGAGGCTCCAGCTCCCGCCTTGCGTCTTTAGCATTTTAGCCGGTTTTTTTCCTTTCATGACAATAAAAAAGCTCGTCAAATCTTACGAATGCGCTCAAACGCAAGTTCGAAACAAAGAAAAATGTAAGAGACTCAGTCTTTCATTGGCATTTGAATCTCCTCAACCACAAAAGCCGAATTTTTAGAATTTTCAGAAAAAATACTATGAAAATTTTTTTCGCTATTTTTTTCCAGCTTTTTTTGTGTGTGGCTATAAAAGTTATAACCAAAATGAGCAAAAAATAAAAATTTTGACAAAACAATTGACTCGCGAGCCACGTAGCTGAAAATTAGAAGATGAATGGGATATTTGAAATCGATAGTTTTGAATTCGCAAGTCCCGACTAGTTTTATGCGGTTAAGACGTTCGTCGTTGTGAAGGATCGGAAAACTCTAGACTGAGATTAGATGGAAACCAACTTTTCTCGAAATGAAGTCGTTTCGCGGCAGGAGATTGATGCTGAACGACGCCGGAATCGCGGCGACGTCGGTTCTGGGGCACTTTTGCGTCGCTTTCGCGTGTCCATACACGGCTCACGAAAACTCCAGCAATCTCCACTACACCATCGCCTCCTACGTCGACGAAGAATCTAGAAATGTCTGATCTTTTTTTTTCTATCAATTTTTTTATTTTTCAGAAACTGACTTTCGTCGATAAAATTTGGTATGTATTAAAGAGCGTACTTGAAAAAAACTTTATAGGGACCAACAAAAATTCGAAGTTGGGATTTTCATCGAGAAGGAACCACCTAAAGTGAGCTTATTGGTTTTTAGATTTGTACTAAATAAAAAAGTTTAACTGAGCGGATTCAAGCAATTTCAGGTTTTGCTCGGGATGGTAAATAATGAAACATATCCGATGATGCAAGCGACGTGGAACGGAAAAGCTCGAACTGGTCGTCAGTTGCCCTCTTTTATTTCCCAGTCGCTCTTTTCAGGTTATATCCCAAAGTTTGAAATCAGCAACGCCCTTTTCGAAGCAGTGGACATGGCGAACCGATCGCTCGGGTCAGGGAAATACATGGACCCCGTTTCGGCCAAGGCTGCCATCGAACTCATTGAGAATCGGACGAACAAGTCGGCCAAAGATCCTGAGTTGTACGACTCCAAAATGCAAGTTCTTCTAGAAAACTTTTCCGAACACTGCTTCCAACTTGAAAAAATTGAAGAATGATGCGAATTCGAGCGTAAAATAAAAAGCTTTGCGTACTGGCGGACTTTTTCAGGCTGTTGCAGCCAGGAGACCTTTTGAACTCGTCCATGAACTACAAAATTGATTGGAAAACTCTCACCAGAAGTCAGTTTTCAGCTCTTTTTAATTGGGATTTTATCATCAACTCATGCAAAGTCGTTGCATTATGTTTCAGAAGGACACTGACAAGCAAAACATTTTATTTTTTACCAAAACACTTTTTTATGGAGCTTAAATTTCTTGTAGCTTTGCGGCATTGTGGAAAATATATGAAAGACGCGCGTTGTATGATTTCCGATTCTCGAAAATTTATTTCTTATAATCATTTGCACCGAAAACAATTTGCGCATGTTGGCACCCTAAAAAACGCGAATCATGCATCATTGTCTAAATCTTGATTTTTTTCTTTCTGACTTTATTATCTTTTCAAACTTCAGGTGGGAAAGGCGGCGGATTATACACCTTGTCGTTGGGATTCAAATTCCAGCTTCGCTTTGCAAAAACCAGGTCCACCTCAGTATTAGCGGCCTTTTACGTTTCTCTCGTTCACAGTAAGTCAAGATTTTTTTGATCGAGTCCGTGTGAAGTATTCTGCGCGAGGGAATTTTATTTCTTTTATAGAAAAGCTTTGCCCTTTTCCAACATTTTTCCAAAAATTTCGTTTTCATGTCAATTTTTCCTCTATTACTTAAAAGAGAGAATTATAAAATTTTCATTGAGCTTTCATTTGATTTTTTTCTCTTTGACAGAAACGATGATGAATCTGAAGGACAAGAAGAATTTGTTGTGGCCAAAAGAAGAGAAAGGAAACGCTGGCCATTTGGCGCGTTATTACTTGACACGACTTATCGCTCAAAAAATGACATTGAAAGCGTTTCGAGAAAGCATTTTGTGGAAGGCGAATGGACTCTTGCAAGACAACGAAATCGTGAGCCAGAGCGAGACGCTGAATCAGAAAATTTTGCATACTTTCAGGATAGTTTCGTGTATACAGCGGATTCATTCGCTAAGACTTTGTCAGATTTCATCTCCGGGGAGAAGGAACTCGACATCAAAGCGATGAAAAACGTGATCAGGGTTTGTACCCAACCTTTTTCTTTTACCAAGATGGCCATGGTCACGCATGGAACGGTTGTACGCGTGACACCTGCGAAGCGGTTCCTTCAACAAGAGCCTTAACCGAAAAACGAGTATTCACTTTGGAGTCGGAGCTAAAAATAGAGTCTGACGGTTTTGAGTCCTTCCAAGTACGACGAAAGTGTGTCAAAAAAGAATAATTCCATTTTTTGCTTTCCATATCTTCGATCCTTATCAAAGATAACAAATTTTTTTCTCTGTAGAGAAACTCGGATCGAGTGACTAGTCTGCTGATTTGGGAGAAGACATTCAGGATGAACCGAATTTTAATATCCAATATTGGCCTTAATGACATGTGAGTTTCCCCCAAAATTTAAAAATTAACTTTTTTTTTTAAGATTTGACCTGCAAGGAAATAAAAAGCTACCTTATTTTCAGGTCAGTCACAATTTTGTCCCGAAGAATTTCAGCTCGTCTAGCTGAACTGCTTTTAGAAATAATCTCGCCAAAGTTGCAGGAAGAAGCATCTCTAACCTACGGTTGGACGGCCTCTTGTGCACTCATTCTTTACGATCATCACAAAGAAAGCTTCAGTGGAATCTCAGAGGTGGGATTTTGATCCTGTATATACCCATGAAGTCCAAAGTTTCTCTTGTTTTCTATTTTAAATGAATCTCTAGAGACTTCTAAGCTTGGTCAATAGGCGGAAATTTTATGTTTTTTTTTCCTATTAATACTTTTTACCATCCTCTTTCTTCTGTCACAATCTGAAACGCCGTAAGGCGGCGTTTGCAGTTTGAAAACGTTTAAAAAAGCCAACTTGTACATGTTTCACTTTTTAATTGCAAATAACTAGACTCTGGTGAATAGTTAAAAAAAATTTAAATTGAAACGAACTTTCGAAGTATATTTTTTTCAACTTTCCACTCATCCAGAATAAAACGAAATCGCGCGCATAAATTTTGATTTTTAATCCAAGTCGCCGTGAATCAAATATTTCTTGTCACTTGGATTCAAACGAATTGAACTTACAGCCGGTAGGTGCGGCGACCGCTTCCGGCTCGATCAGCACGCTTTCTGGCGTTGGCGACGCCATCCTTGGCATAATTATGAGCGGACTTTTGCCCTTTGAAGATCTGTCGCCCAGCGAGATTCTCAACTCGCCTCGCACTTTGTACAACTTCAAAAATAGCAACTTTTTCATCGAACTACCAGTCGCCGATGTCAAACACGATGAAAGAGTATTTTCCCGGATGAGATTCCTTCTAACATCTGGTTCAGATAGAAGATAGGTCCAAAGCTGTGCACTTTGTTGAGGCTCGCCTTTCAGAAGCAGGTGTGGAAGTCTTCACAATTAACCGTCAACAGCTGAGCAGCGGAATTCCTCCCTACATCAAGGAGTCAAGCCGAGTTCTCGCTCAAATCACCAAAAGAAAGCTCGGGTTCGAAAACTAATTGATTACTAGGGATCGAAACTCCGTTAATTCATTTTCAGGCGCATCACCATCTCGTCGGACCCTCGAGAAGTGGATGAAAATTATCCCACTGGCTACTGAGCATAATTTTCCATTTTTTTTCCTTTTTTTTTATACGAAAAATTAAAATTAAAATTTAATTTCATAAAAAATTTTGACAGGTATCGAACGAAGGAATCATTATTTAAAAATATTCCTTGACCATTTAGCTTAAGATAAAATGATATTACTTTACTGAGCCTGAGAAGTGTCGGTGAATTCCGTCAGGATCTCCGAAAAATGAGGAAACTTGAACTGGCCTTCTTGTCCGTTGATATTTGAAACAGAGCGGCGATCAGTCGAGTGTTTGTCTTTGTTGCATTTCTGTCTCGCGGTCACTCCAAATCTGGCCCGTCACCAGCTTTGTTCCTTAATAAATATTTTCCATTTCATACCCTTCACTTCACACTTATACCTATCATCGTCTTGAAACAACATATCCTGAATTTCTCCAACAAGCGACCTCTTTCTATGGACTAGTCATATACCTCTCTTAAAATTTTTCTTTGTATGTAAAAACTCAGACGTTTAAGCTCCACAAATAGGTCAAATTTTAGATTTTCTATATATTCCCTTCTATGTATCGAGACTTTTTAAATTTGAAATATAGTCAATTTTTCCCGACTCGAAAGGCGAATGAGGCTAGCAGGGGGCGGACGCGTAGCGTTTGCGTACGTTGCGTTCTTGGCGCCAGTTCAATTCAATCGCCACCGACTTTTTAAAAAGCCCGGCAACCGCTCTTTTTCTATATGTTCTACTATTTTTGATGCACACATGAACATAATCAATAAGTACTTGAAAAAGAAATGAAAAGAGCGAAAAACGGACTGTAGACGGCGTTTCATTCGAATTTTTTTTCCAAATAGTCGCTGGCGGTTGATTTGAAATTGTGCCAAGAACCGCGTGTGCACACGCTACGCGTCCCGCCCCTTGTCCCAACTATTTCTCTGAGCTGAAGCGGCCAAAGGCGCGCCCGAGTTTTTCTCTGCTGCATGCTGTTTCTTCACTCACTGGCTGCGAGAAAACGACGGAGTAGCGTGCGGCAGAGAAATGTTCAGGCACTCTTTCAGGCGCTCCAGGTCAGAGTCCGCCTTTCAAGTCGGGAAAAATTGACTATATATTGGGATCTCTCGCGAAAGACAGCTTCACGTAAAAAAAAATGTTAGGGTGCAGCTGCGCTCCAGTGAGAAGTGCCGCGAAATAGGTCAAATTGAATTTTCGAGCTGCAAACTTTTCATGTTTTTGTTTATTCTACTAATAAGTAGTTTTTTGAATGTATTTAATCTTAAAGAAAATATTTTAATCTATTCTCTCGATGCCGACTTGAATATTGAGAATGCAGATTTTGTTTTTCACTTTTTGCCCGAACAATATAAAAAGAAAATTTTTATTAATGTTCGTATTTGAGTTGTTGTTTCTTGTTCGCTCCGAACTTGAAAGATGAAGTAAAATGAAGTTGCTACGTGTTTCTTAAATTTCTGATGTTTCAACACAACTTTTTCATTATTTTCTCTCAGACTGTTGCTTTAGGCCCGTAGATGAGATGAGTACTCGTAAAGAACCTTCAAAAAGTAATCGTCGAGCGACAATTTTTGTCACTGGACCTCACAAGCGACAAACAATTTATCATGGAGACGGTTCGACGCCGATAAGGAAAACTTCCCAAGAAGCGGTGAGCTTTCGTTTGAAAAAAAAAGTCGAAAAATTCTGTTAAGAACGAGGGTATTGTCCGACATAATCATGTAGCTGTTCATACGGCAAGCAGCGTCGAAGTTTTGGTTCAACTTTTTCTCGACGAGATAGAATTATTGGTAAATTGGAGGTTTTTTTTTTTGGTTCATTGATAATCTTTTCAGAGGTTTCGAGTTAGGCAAAACGGCGCACGTATGCGTCATTATCTAGCAGCAAAGTTGAACATTGACTTTACTAAATTGCGAAACTTTCTTTTCTCTTTATTCGACAGGTTCATGCAAAAGTTAGATCAGGATGTTATTGGCTTCTCTTTTCAGATCAATTGATAAGCGCTTCATGGAATATCAAAGAGACGAGGCGATTATCTTGAATAATCTTCCTTCTCGTCCACCTTGGAAACCTCCACGATACACATTCAATGATGTAGAGGAGATGTTGACAGTGGACGACTACGAAGAAGGTAAAACTTCGTTTCGGAAATGGATGAAAATAAAAAGTGTCGCCCAAATTACTTTCTACAAACAAATATTTTAAAATTAATTTGAGCTCGGTTAATTGAAAAGATCACTCTGTGGTCTGATCGTGGAGGAACCCGCTTCGAGACATTGAAAAAATTATAAAAAAGTTTTAGTCGGTAGGAAAAGCCCGATTTGAGCTCCCAATTTTCATATCGTAAAATCGTAAATAAAATTTTGCGCACTACCGTACATAGTATCTCTTTCTTTGAGGAGTTTATCAACGGCGAAAGCCCAAATGGGAAAGTTTGCCTCAACGAATGAAGCCTGTTCTCATCGATGAAGACATTTCAGCGTTTCAGGTAAGCCTTTCATCAGAACTTCTCGAAATACGTTCACTTTTTTTTTACAAAGAAAAAACAAAAGAGAGGAATAATCACAGTAAGACGGTTGAAAGATCCTTTTGAAAGGGGGTAAATCAGAAAGCATCTTGGCGCGCAATAACTTGTGTGCGTTGAGAATAACAACATTTTGTATTTATGTTACAGTTCAATAGAAAATAATAGAAATTAGGGAAAGTATTAGGGTGGCAGGAAAGAAATGCGTGTTTTTGATGTCCTTTAATTTTATCATAAAAACAAGGTTATCACAAATCAATTCGAACTGTAATTTCCATCAGTATTAGCACCTTGTCAACATTGCTCACGCAGAAAATGGGTACTTTCTCTGACAGACTAGGCCGCCTACGAGCCAAAGAAGTTTCACCCCCAATTTGGACTTTATCGGAGTTTTTCAATTTTTTTTTTGGGCTGTTTAGCGATCCAATGATTCGGATGGATGATAAATGCGAAGAGCCATGTCTGAGCTTTGTAGCGGAAAAATCAGAAGTTTGCAGAACAATTTTTCTGATTTTGGGCTAACACATTTTCGCAAAAAAGCGATATTAGGAACCCATTTTTCATTTCTCCTTTTTGCACTCCGTTGCGTAATAAAACTGTTTTCTCTTGCAGCTATGGGTGTGTATTAACTGATGAGCCAGTTTCACAGGCGTTTGTTGTGAATCCAGTCTAATGGCCTTTTAAAATCGCCTTTATCGTCGATTTTTTCGTGTTTTTTGATTTCAAAGGTCTTTTCGCCTAGTGAATAGCGCTAAAGCAATTCAAAATGTTAACTATCAGAAAAAAGCATCAATGGTGATCATAATATTGAAAGGTGCCAAGCTTCTGAATTTGATTTGTACTTTTTGAAATAACGCGAAAACTAGGTCCGCGAATACAGTTTTTGAAAGGATGTTTTCAGAGCTATTTTTCTTATAGAAAGGCGGAATGAAAGTCAGCAAACTATATATCCAATGACGCACAAGGACAAGCCCTTTTCGACAAAAAATACCGTTCTAAATAATATTGCTTCTTGGATGAATTAGAAGCCGACAAAAACGAGCCGCATTTCTTTCATGCCACCCTAATATATTTTAAGAAGAACGTTTTTTTTTTCTTAGCATCTGAATTTGCCAATGTCGATGACGATGGAGGACGAAGATGACCGGCTGAGTTTGCCAAGTACAAGAACCGTCATGACCTCTGAAGATCAGGTACGGCGAAATACACTGGTCCATCGGGATGTCGATACAAATACGTACCGGGTAGCAACCGGCGTATGGTAATCGGTGGTCGTTTGTATGCGACCTGGTATTATCTCCGTGGTACCTGGATACTACCGGAAAGGTATCGCTATGCTACCGCGTATGCTCTCCGGTAGCTACCTCACGAGCGGTCGCTACCCGGTACCTACTTGCATCGACTTCCCGATTCATCTTAGCATCGACGAATTGGAATGAGATTTTCAGATGGCCGCGATACATCAGCAGCTGGCGATGCTTTCTAGGCAACTGCAAGCTTTGCAAAGACAGAATGTCCCTCAAGAACGGGAATCTTCATCGAAGCGGGAAGTCAGGGCGGAAAAGGTTTTTTTCCCGTTGTACCATTGGTTTTATATAATATATGATATCGGAATATTTGCGTTTCTAAAACAGATATGAGACAGTTAATGCTCCAATGTTTTTTCTTCTGAAAAATAGGCACATTTCTAAAATTTTATAAAGTCATTCTGGATTTTCAAAACCAAGTTAAACAATCCATTATTCTGCACCATGTGGCAGTATTGCACACAATATCTAGGGAATCTCGATTATTCTGTGTCAATCGCTACGTTCATAATTATCAGAAAAGCTTGCACACCTCGACATCGTCCTCGTCGCCATCTTCTGAAGATGAAGGGAAAGGGCCATCGTTATGCAGTCCGAATCTCCCGAGAAAGGTCTCCTTTTGTCTCTTTTTTTTCTCACTTTCATATAGTTATGAAATCATTTATAAGTCATTTTTCAATAAAAGTCAACTGGAATTCAGCTCTAATTTGCTCATTTAAATACCGGGACTTTTTTCCGTAATTGTGATCATGGATTTTTTTTTAAAATTTCTTTATAGAAAGTAGAAGCTGACAGAGCCCCGGTTTCAAAAATCGCTCCACTGTCCACCGGGGCTCCGCCCCCTCCGCCGCCGCCTCCTTCTATGACGTCATACTCCTTGATAAGTGGTGATACTGGGCCGACACCTACTAAAAACATTGTCAACAATTCGGTAATGTTTCACAGTTTTTTTTTTACAAAAGTAAGTTGCAGAAAAAGTTGCCTCCGCCTGAAGTCGTCACTTCTGACCGACCTTATCTTATCGAAATCGCAAACGGCCGAAATTTGCTCAAGAAAACTAGGTAGTTGTTTTCTCAACCCAATTATTGTGAGAAAAATAGTTTTGATGTTCAAAAAATACTATTTAGCCAAGCTCGGGGGTTTCCGTTCAAATCTAGCAAAACTGAAAGCCGCTTGTTAAATACTAAGAAAAAAATCTTTGTAAGGACTTATGACGCAGGATCATTAAAAAACCAGCAGTTCAAAAAATATTACTAAACGGAAAATTATTTTCTTCAATTAAAGATTTTGAAAAAGAAGTTTTTGAAGAATAAAACGTTGTTTCTGTGGTGCCGCAATATCGGAGATCGCGTAATTTTATAAATAACTACCATGAACTGACAAGGACAGAAGTATTATAGAAATTGATATTTTAATTTTTGATATTATAGTCTGTTCAGATTTTTGAATGTCAAGCAGCTAACTCTACCCCCAAGGCTACAATATCTTCCGCGTCAATATTTTATCCACAGATGACGATGGCCCTTTTAATAACGCTGCATTTTTGACTTCTTTTTCTATCTTTTAGATCAAAAAAGATCGAAAATAATTACGCGCGATAAAACATCGACGCGAAAAGGTACCGCCTCAGCCGGGGCGGAGTTAGCTGGTTGACATTCAAAATCTGAACAGACTATAGCCTTTGTTGAAAGTTCTTTTTGTGGTGTTTGAAGTGCCAGAAGTCTTCAATAGCCTAAATAGGCTCCGATAACGGCTTTTGCCTTGATAATTTCAATTAAAAAGTCGTGAAAAAGAAGAATGAATATTTGAAGACCAACGGGGGCGCCCATCTCACCGAAGCAGCCGCGAATGCGTCGACCTGTCTCCTCTTTCGAAGCGGCTCTCAAGGACCGCTTCCGCTGTTTTCACGGCGACACTTCGCTCTCCGAGCACGAGGAGACCGAAGAAGAAGCCAACGCCAACTGGGATTAATGTGGACCCTACCGTTCTTGTATATTCGCTTTATAATTTCACACAACTTCTCTCACGAAGAATCTTTTTTACCGGTATTTATCGTGTTTTCTTTTTCTTTTCTTCTTTTTTTCCTAGCTCTTTATTCACTTCTCGTGTTCGTTACTATAACTATGGCTCTATTAGTGAAAGTTTCTGTGTATCAACGTAGATATTTTTTCTTTGGAATATTCGCAATATTCACTTTATTTCGTTCAAAATGAATTTTTTAAATAATAATTATCAGGTTTCAAAAAGGCATACGCTCGCCGAACTTGCTTTCGTGGGCCGACGACTTGGCCGGTATGAGCACTTCGTTGTGGACGTAGGCCTCGCAGGGATAGCACCAGACTGAGAGGTCGGCCAGGGACAACGCCATCGGATGCGCCGTCTCCAGATGATGGAGGAGCGCATGCTCGTGCACGTACCGTCCACACTGAGCCTGCAACGTGTCACTGTCCCCTCCATTTCCCTGAATCGTGAAGAGACCCTGTAGCAAGTCAGACACAACCACGGCTCAGCGCCAAGATGACACGCTGTACAAACGCTATGCGCATCGATTCCGATTTCGGGTAGAGGTTGAACCTGGAAATTTGCATACTCTTTTTCCTTTGAATACCATTCTTGAACTTTTAGAAGTCTCAAAAGGTTTAATTTTTTTACGGATTTTCTTTGTTATCCTCGATGAAAAATTCTTTATTATTTTTTTTTTTGGAAAGATTCATCTTACAGTTCAAGAAAATCTGCCCCGACATCTCATTTTGAACCTACAAAGGTTGAGAAAGTTTTAATGGACTACAGCTTCAGTCAAGGAGTATGATAGATATCAACGCTTCAGGTCCGAATTCTTCAGACCCGAAACATTTTGGTCCAAAGTTGAAAGTTTGCAGAATAGGTCTCTAATAGGAGTGTTATTCATTCGTCGCTAACTTGGAACAGAAAGTACCGCATGGAAAGTGAAACCTCTAAGTTTCGGCCTATTTTTTTGTTGTTAATCTTTGAATAGTTTCTAAATTGGTTCAAAATAAAAGCCAAGTATTTATTAAAAACACCGTGAAAGGCTATCGCGGAACGAAGAGCCTCATTGTTATTTTGAAATACCTGCTCCAAATGAGGACACGTCGTCAGCGGAACCACCGTGTGCATCGCGAGTTCTGGTGGAATTTCGGGGTTGGTGCTCGATCCGGCTTCATCGTTTTCTGAAACACGAACTTATCATGAAAATATTTTCATCTTCACAATTACTCGACCTTTATTCCACATATCGATCTGAAGATGAGAAGCTGTATGTAGGAGAAAAAATGGCGAGAGTTTCAATCAAAATACAGAAAAGCTTGTCGGTGCCTATCCGATAGGCAAAAATGACGCGTAGAATGAGCTTTTAATGTTTATTATTCTTTTTTTCAATTGATTAAACGAGGAAAGAAATGCGTGCGATGAAATCGAGGGAGGTAGTAGCTAGTAAATTTCGTGATGGATATTTTGGCAATTGAAGAATATATTGTTGAATTTCAATGGAGATTGAAACAATTTAAAAAAGAAAAGCTTTCAAAGTTCTATGCAAATCTAAGAATCGAGCTTGTTTAAAATAGAATTACTCTACAAGAAGCGTGCTCGGTGCGAGCACTGATTTTGCACTTTTTTGTTGCTCGGTGCATGATGTCGTTTTGCACCTCGCAGTTTTGGGTCTTTTTCAGTGGGCATGAGGTGCAACACCGCACGGTGCTGACACTCCGAATCAGAAAACTGGGTATTCGAAATCCTGTCGATTCAGTCCATTTCTATCAGTTCTACATGTTATTTATACTTTTTTTTCGTTTTAGTGATGATTTTTTTCGTTGGAAAAGTCGGATGATGAAGAAAGAAAATGCCTAAATTGAGTAGCAAAGCATGTTTAGTTTTGTGGTCCAGAGTGTCAGCACCGTGCGGTGTTGCACCTCATGCGCACTGAAAAAGACCCAAAATTGCGAGGTGCAAAACGACAACATGCACCGTGCAACAAAAAGTGCAAAATCAGTGCTCGCACCGAGCACGCTTCTTGTAGAGTAACAAGATACAGCATTGAGATCGGTTCCTGAGTATCATATCGATTGAATCAAAGGCAGAAAAGAGCACAAGTTGAAAATTGAGTCCACTGGAGCCGTGTGGAAAGTTGAGCTTCAATTTTTGAAGTAATAGATAAAAAAAAGTATTCAATCCTTTGAAAAAAATTCATGCAAATGAAATTTATTCCTTACATCAATAACATTTTTTGTGGCGTAAGTAAGTTGATGACTGAAGTTCCTATATTGAATTCTTCTGGTCCATCTCACTATATTCACAGAGGATAAAGTGTGATACTATTTCGGGTTCATCAAGCGCGCCATCTCCTCCTCCAACTTCTGCATATCAGTTTTTTCGGTCTTTTTCTGGCTGGCGGCGATTCGTGGCGACCTTCTCGGCGTCGTCGACGGCGGCGTGGGCAGAAGTTTCTTCGAAGAACTCGTCGAGGTTTTCTCGGATTTCGGAGTGCTCGTGGGAGTCGGCCGGCCTTTCCGGTCCAGCAGCGTTGAGCCAGACGATTCACCAATCAGTCTCTAAAATGAGTTATTCAACAGGAAACAAATACAGAGCCATCACGACTTTGAACTTCATGATGAGGATTTCTTACGCGTATGGTGCAAAGCTTGCAAGCAAAGCCGCAATCTTATTTCAATTATTTGAAATTTTTGTTCAAAAACCCCTTTTTTTAGGGGGAATTAGAGGGAATGCCGCTTCGCAATCGCCCGCATCCCAGTTAATTCTTAGATCGATTATATTGACTTGGCTTCTCACCTGAAACCCCATCAAACAGCTCCAGTAAGATTCTTGTTTGTGACAAACTTTCCGCAAACTCGTCCAGGCTTCAGGGTGCAGCTGGGGCCTGAAGTAAGCCCGATTTGCTTGATTTCCTCCGCAAAATCAAACTTTTTAGTCGCAAACTGTTCTCTGGCAGACACAAGCTTCCGAACGACGGCTCGATGCAGTAATGTCTCGACGACGGCTTGAGCGCTCTCGGCGATCGCCGTTAAGTTGTAGCCTCAAAACTCGACGGCTAATGGGAAACACATTTATTCGAACAAAAGTTTGTTCTTATGGGTGCCGAGATACTTTGAACTCAAGACCCTTTTTCCAGAAATCCCTTCCAAACTTTGAGTCTGCCATAATGAGGCATGCTTTACCTCCTTCCAGAACAGCGATCGTCCTTCCGCCGGCCAGACCACAAAGCTCATACGTCATTAGCGCAAACGTTTCCGGGGAAACCTGAAAAAGGCGTGCGTCCGGATGAAGGTATACAAGAAGGCCCCATTCTTAAGCTTTTTTTAAATTTAAAAAAAGCTGCTTTATTAAAAAAATGCTCATTTTGTTTCAAGAATGATCTTTTTCGAGGAAAAAGCTGATCTCTTTTTGAATCATTTCCCTGACCCCAATTTTTTTTATACAAACTTTTTTTGAAAAATAAATATTGAGCTTGAATCCAGTAGTTTAGAAACTTTCAAAAATGTTTCGATAATGTTTCTAATTGTGATAAAAAAAAGTCGTAGGCATTCCATTAAAAAACCGTGGACCTTGTATTCGCCTAGAGGATCTCCAGCCGCCGCATCGAAACCAGAAGAAATGAGAACAAGCTCTGGATTGAACTCGTAGGCGATGGGCATTATCACCTGAACAGCAAGCTTTTCCGTCTTTCTCCTTCCATTTTGACCTTCATAAACGCTGCTCGATACTCCAAATCACCCATTTTCGCCGAGCTGAAAGGAACGTTCACCGAAAAACCAACACCATCTTCCTGAATATTCTCCTACAGTATTAAAATTCCAAGTCTAATTTTTTTCGGCTCAGGTCCATCATGTTATTTTTCAAAGTTCCTTTTCGCTTGATGACGCTTCCAAGTTTTGGAAAAGGTTTACCGTAAATTTTATCATATTTTCATATTATCAAAAAGAATGTTCAAACTTTTTTTGAAAGAGCTATGAAACTTAAAAAGAAAATGAGACAGGCAGTCAGAGGGTTGGCAAAACTCTTGTCCGTTTGACTTCTTATTTTTCTCTTGAATATACCGCAGACTATTGAACTAAAGGTATAATGATTATTTGATAAAATTGGGATGGTAGCTGGACACTTGAAAACAGTTGTTTGATTAACTGTATAAATTTCCAACGTTTTCCTTTGGATCGTTCTCAATTTTTCTTTTAAATCTTCTTTCAAGTTGTCATTACTATTCCAAGTACAACTGTGGAGTTTTCTCTCCGAGTACTTCCGATGTCTCTCAACGTTGAGAATGAACTTCAAGTCCCACCTCGCCGACGTCTGAGAAATCTTTCGGCTCGCCCATCGGATAGAATCCACCGCCGTCGTGTCGATGCAGAGACATGTAGAGGACATTGCGATCCTGTCAAGTCTTCAGTTGAGAAGGTCGCAGAGAGAGGCACCTGGTAGAAGATCTCCTGAGTTCCGTTGCCGTGATGGACGTCCCAATCGAGAATCAGCACGCGCCGCACGTCGTACCTCTCCATCGCGTACTATAATTAGCAGGGAGATGCGGCGGGAGTCCTGCGGCCAATTATTCCGACGAAACCCACCCTTGCGGCGATCGCCACGTTGTTGAAGAGGCAGAAGCCGCTCGACGACGAGCTCGACGCGTGGTGCCCTCAACTTCTCCGTTTCAAGTCTCATTTTTGTTGCCTCTTATTCACTATTCGCTGCGGTAAAATTACGACTAGAACCATAACATTAAATGTTACTTAACTGTTTGAAATTATAAGTTGGAAAGTTTAATATAGCATGAACTTGTTTTTCAGAGAAAGAGCCCTTCTCACTGTTTTTTCTAGTTTATGCGAGAAATCTGGACGAACACCGCACCAAGAAAATTTAAACGCAGTATACGATCGCTTTACAGAAAGAAGAAAAAAAGGAGTTGATATTTTAAAAAAATAATAACACTACCCTTTTGATTGGTTTTTATTATTTAATTAAGACACTTTTTTTAACATAATTTCACTTCATCTTCTCTTTTTTTCATTTTCTTCAAATCAGCCCATCCGATTTTTTTCTTCATTGAAACATTCGTCTTTCCACTAGATTACTTTTCAAATACTAAAAAAACTTAATAAATTTTTTTATAAAAAGGACATAAGATAAATAAAGAAATAAGCTTTCGATGTGAGTGAACCCATGTTTTTCATATACGGCTAGGTTCACATAAAATTAATAAAAAGATTAATCCTGAAATTTCAGGAAAATTAATTCGAAAATTCTTTGAGAGAAACGACAACAACAACTTCGATAGATGACTAATTCATCCGTGTTTGATTAGACTCACCAGGAGGCCGTGTGACAACAAAGGCGTTTTTTTCGCCAGCCGCATTTGCGAAAACGTCATCAATCGCCTGAAAAACCATCTATCATTTCAATACTTTTCTCAAGAACATTTGTAAGAACCTCCAATTAACTATGAGAAGGAAAATATTCAGGACGTCAATTCAGACTTATCCTGGCAGCCCGCAATTAAAAATCGCAAAATTACTTCTTCCGAAGTATCAAAAGCCTCAAAACTTATACTCAGTGCAAAAATAACCTAATTTTGTTCTCACCCTCTCTTTTGAAAAGTAATCTGTGAAGCAGGTCAAATTTGTACGTAGTCCAGGAAATATAAGTATAACGGGGTTTTATCCGTATGAAAGTACGCATGGATTGCTCATAGTCCATTTATTCTCATATAGACACATACTTGGTTGCCCTCTTAGTTCCACACGTTGTTTCTCATCGTTTTCCGTCTCCCAAAAAACAAACACTGAGTGTTTAGTCAGCTTGCATGGAGCTGCTCACATGGAGAACCACTGCCAACTTCTTCCTTTTCCACATTTCTCATAATTCCTTGAGATTCGGCCAACTCTTTATCAAAGTCTCGACTTCCAACCTGACTTTTATTTTCAAATTTTCTGAAGGAAAATGCATTTCGAAGGTCTCAACCAATCACTGATGAACCTGCTCATAGAACTGAATAGGACGAACAAGTAGCTTTATTTGCGTAAGGCGAAGAAAGGTAGAGATGATAAATGAACCGAACCAACATAACAATCAAACGTAATGAAGATAGCAGATCACTGTTTATTTTTGTCCTACTGGGTTTTTCGTCTCAATAATACTCTATTAAATGTATTTAGACGATAAATTCGACGAAGTTTGTAATAGTTTTCAAATTATCACTGAGATAGGATAAACCGTTTAAGCTTCCTTTCTATTCTAGGGCCCTAGGAAACTCCATAAAAACGAAACAAAAAACTAAGCGTTTACTGGAGCTTTCGAAACTGCTAGAAATTGAAACCTTTTTTTTATCGGTACTCAAAAATGCATAGGTCACACACGTTCTTTTTCTAAGTTCATATTAGGATGAAGCCCATCGAGTTTTCTGCATGAGAAAGCATTATTCTCAAATTCCAATTTTTTCAAGATTTTAATTCAAAAAAGAAACGTTGACTCGAATATTTAATACCCAAGTTGCACATTCGCAATTCACCTAAAACACGTGGCTTTTGTCTCTCTTTTCAATTATTTGTCGCCGCAGCGGCAGCGTGAATGGACGTGGCACAGCCCTGATGTCTCGCCTTGTTTCAACTCATTTTCATTTTTATTTTTATTTCCAGTCCTTATCGGTCACTTTCCTTTTCCTTGAATAATCAGAAACAGTTTGAAACTTGAGGTTGGCTCATTTCGAACTTTTCTTTTTTCGCTTCAGAAGTTTTGAAAAGTTTTCCAGCTATGTTTATCACACAAAGTCAACGATTTTCAAATTTTACTCGAAAATTCAACTTCTGGGTCAATAAAATTGAACAAGACTAAAAATCTCGAATTTTCTTTTTATACAAAAATAATAAGAAAATAATATCCATTTGTAAGACTCATCATCAGGGATGCGATTTCAATGTCATGGCTCTTTCAGACCACGTCAAAAATTTTAACCTCGTAGAAAAAAAGAAATTGAGGGAGTCGATTAATAGAAAAATTTCTTTTTTTTTTCAAAATTCAATAGTCGCTCCTTCGTCCTGGTTCTCGTCAAAACAGTTTCACAGATCATTCTATTTCTAAATTTTCAATTATTTGCTCAAGCCTTGTCATATGTTTTACCCCGGAGAGAAAACCTTGAAAGCACGCTCTAAACCAAATGTTGACTGTCAATTTGACAAACACGGCTTGAACCGTCCTATTTCTCCACTCTTCCAAAGTTACCACTATTTCGCGTTCATTTCCCCTTGGAAACTGGAAAAAATTTGTGCAAATTCAGGCTGATGCTGCTATCAGAGCGGTGAGACAAAGGGAGACTAATGGAGCCGCAAAGCGAAGAACTGCCGCCAGAGCTGCAGGCGCCTGACTTCACACTACTGTTCCGACTCAGCTTCTTAATTCCTTTTGCCGCGTATTTGGCCTTTTTCCGATACTCCAGCCAGTTCGTCTCCACTCACATGTGGAAGTCTTTCACAGGCTTCAAGTGAGTCAGAAAACAAAGAATAAATGAAGTTCCACGCCTTTGATTGGATCCCAAACTCTAACCTCATCATCTTCTAAGAAAGTCCGAAGAGTCTTTCACTGACTGAACCTTTTTCAGACGCTACCGACTGAACAACCTATCGATTTGCTTCTTCCACGCCCTTATAGTAGGCACATTGACCCTAGTTGTACTGTTTACTCATAAAAAGGAAGCATTCAACGATATTACCCACTACTGGAGTCCATGGGTAGCGCAGGTGCCCATAATGTCGATCGGTTAGTTGTCGTGGTTTATGATTTCGAACTAAGTCTTCAGCATACTTTGTGCAAGACGCCCTCGACATGGCCAAACACGAATGGTCTCGATGGATGGTCGAGCTTCTGATCCACCACTCCATCACTTGCGTGGCACTCGTCTCGCCGTTGGTCGCGCACAGGTTCCTTCTGGCGGACTCTTGGGCGCTGCTCATGGAGTTCAACAGGTTCATTCCAACTTCCTGCCCGCCAAACAGATCTAGTTCAGTATATTCCTGCATGCTCGGACGATAATGCAGTTGACTGGTCACTCCACGTCACATCCCAAAACATTCCGTGTGATTGTCTACTTGAACCTCGCTTCGTGAGTTGATAAAAAGAGATCTGAAGAGTTGTGAATTACGGAATTTTCAAATAGTAGAAACTGACAGCAGAATTTTAGGCTGATTCTGAATCTGAGTTCAAGCAACATTGTATGAACCTAATTGAAGCATAACGAACTTCCATGAAAGCTCAAACTTGCATTGTTTGTCAGAAATAAGCTTAACAGGAATCATTATCAAATCTCGAGCGGCTCTTTTCCCACCACAAGATAGATTCAGAGTCAGAAACAGTCCTCCTCTCATTGAGAAAGCTCCAAGTACCGACGACTTTTATTTTGAGAGAAACCATTGCAGATTCATGTTGTTTCGGATAGTCTGTCAGCTGATTTGGGTCTTCTTGGCATTTTCAATCAAAAGCCAAATGCACAACTTCTACATCATGATAGCTCTTTGCGGACCTATCATCTTCGCCTTCATCAACGGAATGTTGTTCCTGCGTCTCCTCGTCTCTGACGGTTTCTTGCCCGCAAAATATCAGAAATTCTTTTCTGTTAACAGGTTGGCTCTTGCTATTTCGAAATTTTAAAAGTTGAAGAAGATACTATGCTATCGGTTTTCTAATGAGTTTCAATGTTTTAGTCAAGTTCTTATCATCATTTTCATGCAATTGTTTTTATAATCTTAGTCACACCGCTAGAGGATCGACTAGTTCACTGATATTTGCCATACAAATGAATTGATGTACTTTCTTTCAGAGACGCCGAGAGCGACAGGGAAAAGGGGAAACCGACGATCGTTTCGAATGCCCAAGTAATCAACGGAATCGCCAGAACAGTCAGCAACAACAACGACGGCGAGAAGGCGAAAACCCAATGAATTCTTTCAAAATCAATCTTTCATATTTTTTCTACGAGTACCGTTTGGATTTTTTTTTCAACATAATTATGAAGAGCATTACGGGTTTTCTCTAAGTTAATAAAATTTTCACAATCATTCTTCGCATAAATTTCTTCTAAAACGTGGATATTTCTCCATTTTCCCCTTATCGTCCGATAAGTTCGAAAAAAATAATTCTAGCCTGTAAAGAAGCTCCAGCAGCGCGGGCGGCGACGTCAAACGTGTCGTTTGTGAGGAAAATCGAGTCGAGACGCGATTCTTCTTGTCGCAGTTCTTCGTAGCTCATCTGAACGACTTTCTTTTTGCAAAAATCTTTTTTTCACATTATCGACTTCCAGATTTTTCTTTCTGTATCTTCCTATGAAAATATTGAAAATAACTTGTAAGAATATAAGCAACCATCAAAAAACTCTGAGAGTTTTGAATGGAAGAACCGAAGATCAATCTTCAGTTCAAATGTTTTTACAGTCGTTTGAGTTATCATTTGATTGTGCAATGAATGTGAGCCGAACAAACATTTTTGGTCCGCCGAACTCTTTCAATCAAAGGCCTTTCATGGGCCAACTCGAGCTCCGCAGCCGTTGCCAAACGCTCGTTTTGTTTCTCGACACATTTTTCGAGGATTTGACTCGACCGCAACTTGGCAATAATCTGGAAAACAGTCTTTTTCTGAGTTTTGGAACAAAAAAAGAGACTTTATCCAAAAACCTACGCTTTCAGTCCTCGCCGGTCTCTCTGGATGATCGCATTCAGAAGAGTCTGCGTGCAAATAATTCTCCGCGTCGTAGTAAATCAAAGTTTGAGCTGGCTTATGAGTAGCTGCAAATTACTATTGTCATCTTTCATGAAAAACAGCTGCACAGCCAAAAATCTTTCTCTAAATCAATAAAAAAAACTTCAAAATTCCAAATGCATCGGTTCTGAACGGATTACGAACCTTCTTTCAACTGAACTTTTTCGAGCTTCTCTTGATCAATATTTTCGGTGTTCTTCCTTTCTTCTTCCAGTGGAATTGAGGTGAAGCATCTCGGATTATATCTGCCATCATCGAATTGAAACTGTGGAATATCCTTCAACTTACATATCCCACTGCGAAGTTCGAGGAGTCGATTTTATTTTGTAAAAATCAAAGCAAGGCCAAAAGTTACGAAGTACAGATATAGTTGAAAGACAGGAGGCGATGGTACTGAATAGAAAAATTGAAAGTCAAAAAGTGAGAAGAAAACCTTTCTTTAGCTTTTTGGGACAAACTTAAGGAGAAAGGTGAACTGCCGAGCAGAACGCGAAGACATCTTTGCGCAGTTTGAGCGGAAACCTCGTGATTGTAGCCGCCCTGAGAGAGTTCCAACGTATTGAAACGAGAGAAAAGGAAATGTTCCATTCAAAAACCTCCAAAATCATCAACATTTTCCCCTGAGCGAGAGATTTGAGCTGATAAATGAGATGAGAGTAGCCGTCGGAAGATAGCGACATCCCCCCAACTGGGTCGTGTTGGCAAGAATCGAACCCTGGAAACATGTTCAGTACCTCCAATTTCTCCCTCACAGAAAATAAAAAACGATTATAACTTCTTCAATCCGCGAATAGAGCTCAAAAGAAGACATATGCGGAGAAAAAAAAAAATGTATATATAGAATCTATGTACGTTTTATCAACCAGGATCGGGATCATGACGATATGTTTTGGGGAACGAGAGAAGAAGAAACTTGAATATACCTTATTTTTCATACCGTGTGGAAGACCATTTTTTTCAGGAGTTCTTCAAAATCTGTTCTGCTAATTACGATTTCGTTTTGATATGTAACCTGCAGAAACTATGACGAAATGGGGGTCGAACTGTGTGGCCAAGGGCATAAGGACGTTCCAGAGGATCGCCAAGTAGTCTGCGTCTCCACAGCCAGTCTTCAATTTTGTCTTTATCTCGCTTAAAAAAATTTTTCACCTCGTTGAGAGGAACATTTGCTGTGTAGCCAACACCGGCACCTTCTCCGATGTGGTCAAAATTTGATTCCGCAAGGTGTGGCCAGAATTTGGCGTTCTCGAAACGATGAATCGAAAAGTAAAGAACTCTAGAAGGAATATAAAGGACATCGATAAAACTTGAGTCACCTTTTATCGTCGTAGAATATCCGCTGAGTACCTTGACCGTGGTGAACGTCAAGATCCACTATTAATATTCTGAAACATCTTAATTTTCCTTTCCATTCGATAAGCGAAAAACCTGTCGGCTCCGAAGTTGAAAGCAGCTTCAGCCGCTTGGGCAGCATTGTTGAAAATGCAAAAACCGTTGGCAGAGTCGGAATCGGCGTGGTGGCCCGGTGGCCGGACAACGGCGAAGCCATTCGTGGCCTGTGATTCACTTTTCAAGCAGAAAAATATCTGGATATCTTATAGTAACCTAGAAAAACGTATCGGTTACGTTCTTCTCTCTTTCGTTCCTATAGTTCCCTAAAAACCTGCTGAATGTCCGCTCATGGAAAGCCGAAAACTCGGTGCTATAAAAAAAGACCAGCGAAAGTTCAAACGGCGACTTTTCCGATTTTTTCATATCGCTAGGGAACTTTACGACGACCACCTTTCCGAAGAATCTTTTTCCGACTTCTTTTTCTCGATAAACTCTTAGTTTTGAATCTTCTTATGTAAAGTAGGCAAGTTATTCATGATTAAATACAAAGAAATAGGAAAAAAAATTGTTAATAAATGTTTTATAAACCGAAAACCATAAAGGAAAAAAAGTCGGAAAGAGATTCGTCGGAAAGTTCCATATGAAAAATAGGAAAAGTCGCCGTTCGAAAATTAGCTGGTTTTTTTTTCATACCACCGAAAACTCATCAGGACGTACTCCGGAACTGTTTTTCTTTCAATTTATATTTACCTTTTTTTTTGCATTTCCATCAGTTTTGAAACCAATTAGAATGAAAGCTCCAACCTCATCTCCCATTATTCTCTCTGCCAGTTCTCTGCAGCATGCGACTCCTTCTTTAGCCGCTTTTACAGAGTTCCAAAAACATATCATTATGTTTTGTAGCAGCTTTTTCAACTCACTCCAGTCATGAAAACAGAGTCGAAATTGGAACAAATCGAATTTATATCTTCTTGGGTGCTTGTTGAGGCGTTGTTCATAAGAGTCACGTGCTTCAATGAGTGAGATTGAAGGAGATCGTTGTCGTCAATAGCGGGAAAATCCTTTAATAAAAAAAAAAACTTTCGGGGTCACACATGCTTTATTTTTTACCTTTAAAACTTCACAGTTCTGCAATAAACTTTCAAGAGCTTCTTTAATTTTAACAATTCGATCAGTTGACTCGGGATGATTCTTGCAAATGATGTTTCTGTGATTGCATTGGCTTTCATTGAACCCGACAAGTGTTTTTTTCTGAATAAAACTTTCTAAAAACATGTCTTCTCATTAGAAATGTCGCTTTAAACAATTTACTCACGGGGAAACGAAATTTTTGACCGCCATCTAATGATGAGATGAGAAAATCCATGCTTTGTATTTCTGAAAGAAATTATGTAATATGATAACGATTAAATAATATGTGAGACTTTCACTAAAAAAAAATAAACAAAAACAATTGAAAAACTAAAAAAGACCTCGTAAAAAATATTTGTCTCCTAATCATTCATGCCCCACGGTTAGACTTGGGCGCGCTTTCAAATCTCCGATTCATTTTTGTGACTGCACTATCGGTTTCTCTCATTGTCCATAAACTTTGGTCTTTTTTAACGTTTATTTAGCGCCCGAAGCGCCGAGAGACGTCAAGGAAACCCAACACTCAACTTTTAATGGAAATTTGATCCGTTATGTTTCGAGTCGCGATTAGGTAATTCTTGCCCATTTTTCGTCAGACTTGTTCGTTGTTCTCTTGGGTCAGCATTTTTCTAAAAAAAATGATGACAATTCGCTAATACTGCCTGCGTTTCTCTCGTGATTATTGAGATTCATTAGTTTTGCCGTTCTGTGATTTTTTTTTCTTCATCAAAAGTTGCTTATATTCAGGGCCATGTCATCTTCGGTGAAAGAATTTGACTACCTCGTTATTGGTGGTGGCTCAGGCGGCATCGCCTCGGCGCGTAGGGCACGTGAATTCAACGTTTCCGTTGGTTTAGTCGAATCTGGACGACTCGGCGGAACTTGTGTGCGTAATTTTCAACCCCAATCCGCCAAAAAAGTGTCTTTTTTAGGTGAATGTGGGGTGCGTACCTAAGAAAGTAATGTACAACTGCTCCTTGCATGCTGAGTTCATCCGAGACCACGCCGACTACGGCTTTGACGTCACTCTCAACAAATTCGACTGGAAGTAAAGAAACATTTTCAAATTTTATAGACGAAATGTAACTGTTTAAGAGTAATCAAGAAGTCGAGGGACGAGTACATAAAGCGTCTTAATGGGCTTTACGAGAGCGGCCTCAGCGGTGTAAGTATTCTTCGTAATTGACGGGGAGAACTTTTTATCAGATTTTTTTTTCAATATGTTTTTAGAACTTCTCGTTACATAGAATTTAATTTTTTTTTTTCTAGTCAAAGGTGGAGTTGATCAGAGGGAAGGCGGCCTTCGATGAGGAAGGCAACGTCGTTGTCGACGGCCAGAAGTATCGCGGAAAGAAAACACTCATTGCTGTTGGAGGTCGTACAGCTGCTTAATTTCTAAAAAAAAAAGACGGGTTTTCAGGGTATCCGACAATTCCCGACATCCCTGGAGCCGAACATGGAATCGACAGCGACGGCTTCTTTGAACTGGAAGATCTCCCATCGTTAGTTCCTGATCAGCAAGTTTTTCTGAATTATCTTTTTCAGGAAGACCGTCGTAGTTGGTGCGGGTTACATTGCCGTCGAACTTGCGGGAATGTTGGCCAACCTCGGATCCGACACTCATTTGGTCATCCGATACGATAAAGTTGTTGAGAGTCCAGAAAGTAGAATTATTCTCTGTTTGAGGTCCTGAGGAACTTTGAGAAAATGCTCAGCGACGAACTTACCGCGGCTATCGAGGAGGAGTCCAACCCGCTCACTTTGCATAAAAGAACTTTGGTATCGCATAAGAGAGTTTTAAAATCTAGCTGCTTTCCGAAATAGGTTACCAGCGTGGAAAAACACGAGAATGGCTTGTTGACGGTGACGACTAACACGGGCGTCATCGAGAACGTCAAGACTCTGATTTGGGCCATCGGTCGCACTCCTCACACCAAAAGCCTCAACTTGGACAAGGTTCGGCTCGGATTCCTTACTCAGAGAGTTTACAATTTGATGAAAATAAGATTTTTCTAAAGTTTTTTATTTTCATAGTTCATCAGGATTCAGGGTAAATACGGGAATATTGATTCAACTTTCGAGAAAAGATAATTATGGACAATTGTTAGCGACTCCATTTAAAGCAATTTTTTTTTGTGTTCACTGAAGACTGTCTTCAGGTTGGCGTGAAGACAACCGATTCTGGCTACATTGTAGTCGACGAGTACCAGAACACTAGCAACCCCGACATTTTGAGCGTTGGAGATGATACTGGAAAGTTCGAGCTCACTCCAGGTTAGTTCATTAGTAAGTAGTATTCTGATCCGATCGGGTCAAGATGTATATTATTATCTTCGGACCTTGAAAAATGAAACTTTTTTTTTTTTGATTTTTTGAACAATAATTTTTGAATTAAATGTTTTTTTTTTGTTAAAGTTGCAATCGCCGCTGGAAGACGCCTTTCGCATAGGCTATTCAACGGCGAAACTGAAAATCGACTAAAGTACGAGAATATCGCGACGGTTGTGTTCAGTCATCCTCTCCTTGGGACGGTCGGCCTCACTGAAGGTTTTCCAGATTTAGCTGGTGTCTTTTTCAATGGAAAATGTTGAAGAAGAAGCCGTGAAGAGATACGGAAAAGATGAAGTGACGCTTTACAAGTCGCGCTTCAACCCAATGTATTACGCCGTCACCAAGCACAAGGAAAAGCAGGCGATGAAAATTGTTTGCGTAGGAAAGGAAGAACGGGTTTGTTTTGACCTGTCATTCAAAAATAATCCATACTCCGTTTGGTAGAGGATCTTTCATTGAGTAATTTTCCAAATGTGCTCTGCGCCGAGCCTACGCTAGATATCAAGTTTCAAAGTTCTCCGTGGCTTTGTAAATACTCTCTTAAAAGATTGTGAAAAACCAAGAGCCTTTTTAAAAGTTAGCAGGAATTTATTTCAACAGGTGTAAGGCATTCTCCGCTTTTCAAGGGAATCTACAATAATCCATACTCATTCAACATGTCAGATATGTCATCAGTCCAGTTACATCTTCAAAATATCATTATCAGAAAGAGAAAAGATTCAAAGTTAGAAAATTTAATAGAAGTTTTATTACTCTTTAAACAGCTCTGAGAAAACACGCAAGCGAAAAACAAGAAAAAATTAACAAAAAGTAAAATCTGGAGGTGGTTGGCGTGCACATCTTCGGCTTCGCTGCTGACGAGATGCTGCAAGGCTTCGCCGTCGCCGTCCAGATGGGCGCGACAAAGGCTCAATTCGACGCCACCGTCGCCATCCATCCGACGTCCGCCGAAGAACTCGTGACGATGCGTGGCGGCGTCAAGCCAGAATAGCCCTTTTATTAGTCTTTTTCATCTGGTGATTGTGATGTAGTATTTATTATTTTGTCAAGAAACAAACAAGGCGATAAATCTCTTCATGTTTTTGCAATTATGACATGGAAACCGTAGTAGTAGAAGATCTTTGAGATGAGTTTTCTTTTTTAAAAGTCGTCTGGTTCGAAGGCCGGATTGTAGTAGCTGTTCGTTTGAGCGTGGAAGGCGTCTTTCAACTGAATGAAGGTCGGACGTCTCGAGGCGAACATTTGGAAGCAACCTTGCATTATTTTGTACCTTAAATTCACAGCTTCGGTTTCCTGGGGCGATTTAATGTTTTACGTTTGCTTGGAAGCGTATTTGGGATGTGCGGGAATCCGCGATTTCCTGATACTTTCGATGATTTCTTCTGGTCGGAGTAGATCTTCGTAGGGCTGATTACCCAGAGTGAACATCTCGTATAATAGAACGCCAAAGGACCAACTGCAGATCAAAATTTTCAGCTTTTGAAGCTTTTTGTAGGAGTATATCAACTATGGCAGTCTACCATGTGGCTGCTAACTTAGCTTGAACGCTCAGGTGGAGACAATTTTCTTGAAAAATTAACGAGATGCCTTTTGTCTTTTCGAAGACACAAGTTTCAACGTTTTGGTCGTAGCTTATTTTTTTCGTGCATTTTCAATTTACAATCGCATTTTACATAATTTATCCGTCAAAAACATTTTTAAATGAGAGCTTAAATCCGCTCGGAAAATCATCTCCAGTAAGTACGGGACAGTTGCGCTAAGCCACACCCACTAGCCACGAATATTCAGCTCCAGTTCTCAAAGGTGCGTTTACCTGTCGCTTTTGAAGGAGAACTTTCCTTGGAAGCACTCTGGGGCTAGCCACCGAACTGGCAAGTACCGGAGCGCCAATGAGTTCGCAGCAAACTTTGGGTCATCTGGCTCGGAGCAAAAGCCAAAGCCAGATATCTGGAAAATAAGAAAGCTTCTTCGCGGAGTTTTGAAGTGCAAACCTTCGCTCTGAGTCCAGTTGTCAGTAAGATGTTTCTTGCTGTGAGATCTCGGTGTACCAAGTTGCGAGAATGGATATAAGCTATTCCGTCGCACGTTTCGTAGATGATCTTGTACAGCATCTGATAAGGAATCGTCGAAGAGCTGGATTCCTCGGTCTCCCTTCAAATATACTCTGTTTTCTGCATGATCAATATAATTTTTTTACGTTTCTTTAATTTGCGCCAGGTATTTGATGAGATTCATGTGCGTGAGCTCAAGCAAACTACACACCAAGTCGCTTTTGTTTGTCCAGCCTGTAGGTTTGAAAATCTTCAGTAGTTTTAGAAATCCTCATCGTTTAGACGTACCGAGAAGCAAGGCGATATGGCCGTGATGACGGAGTTGGCGCATCGAAGCGATTTCTCGTTGGAGCTGGTCTTCTTCTGGCTCGTCAAAATGCCGAGGGACCTGAATCCACGTTTATTCATAGGTTTTTCGAAAAAAGTTAAAAGTAACCCTGACAGCGACCGCACAGTCTTGGAACTGCTTCATTTCGATACGATCAATCCATTGCATTATGGGAGCTTTTCCTTTCAGTTTCCCTGTAATTTGAAGAGTTTTTGTTGAAACTAAGCTGCTTTGAAACGATATTTGTTTTTTCAGAAGGTTTTTGAAAGTATTAATAACAAAACTTAAAATCCTTTTTCTTTCTTCCAGCCATGAAGCGCATTTTCATCATCCCATTTTTACTTCAATAAAACTGAACGAGCTTCTTTTGTAATTCCGGTTTTTGAATATTAAATTACCCAAATAGACGTTAGATATCGTTCCTTCTCCCAATAGGAATTCTGTGTCGATGTGCACGTTGTCTGACTTGATTTCCCAGGGTAGCCGAGCCACTTTGGCACATTCTTTCGGTGCTCTGAGAGTTTCAGAATAGTCATCTGAATCTACTGGAAACCTACTTGAATATCCTAGGCTGTAGCATGATTTCGCTGAGAATTTCGAGGTTCTGCTGATGCTGCCGTTTGACTCGACAGTACAGAATCGCTCCAAAAGTGCAGACGGATATGGTGGCACAGAGGGAAATGATGAGCATGTCGTCAAGAGCGAGATGTAGGTATTTTGGTCGATGCCAAAGTGTCGCCGGAATCAGCGGTACTGGAATCGAAAAGTGCTCTCGAGATTGAGAATTGCACGAACGGCAACTGGACACAAACCCAGAGGGATGGCGTCCCGACAGGTAGTCGTGTAGTTGCTCAGGTAGAAGACGTCACTGGACACGACTTGATTGTCGACGGTTCTGTCCAGGAATCCCAACTTCAGAAGCGGAGACGTCAACGTATCCCAGACCTTGATGAGACTGTCGGCTGTCACGAGACGGACGTGAGTCTTCAAATCTTGCTTCATTGCAAAGAAAATATTTCAAATCTGACTGTATCTTTGATGGTTGTCATGAGATGCTTGGCGTCGACGCATTCGTAATTGTCGATGTACAGATGGGCGAAGGTCAGATTTTTTGCGTTAGACGTGATTGTGATAAAGTTCTGGACGAGGCCGTTTTTTGTAGCCGTACAGTTTTTGACGGGCTCTAAATTTTTTCTAATCTTGAAAGGTTTTAAAGTTCAAACCTGTCTCTGGCAGATGGGCGAGGCAGTTCTGCAAGAAGCTGCGCGAGTTGAGTCCAATCCACGGCAACGTCAACTGCCAAAGAACGTCTCCCTGAGCGAGTTGAACGCTGATGTAGTTCGAGTACATCTTAGTGGAAGGCAAGGAGCAGACGTCTCCGTCGATTGCCGAATCGATGATCTCCAGCGTGGTGGTGCGGTTGAGAGACGTCAGGAATATGTAGATGTCGGCGATCGGTCTCGCTTCGTAAACTTTTGGAAACTCTGAAAACTGGAGATGAAGAAAGGCTCTCAGACTTAGATAACCAAAGTTGAGGTCAGCTTGGAAAATGCCACGAAGCCGCGTGACATTTTCATTCTCCATGGAAAAGACGGGAAAGTTGGCCGCGAGGTCGAAGTCAGTTGCGTTAATTTCGTGGTAGATGCCCAAAAGTTGAGTGTTCACCTGAAGGTTCCAATTTTTAAGATTTTTACGAAGCTTTTCACATTTGTGTCATCATTCATGACTTCTGTGACGTTACGTTGGATGTAGTCGGTGATCAGAACTACTTGTTTTTTCTTGGCCACCGTGGAAGGCTGTTGGTTTTCCTTGTAGACCTAAAACTATGACTCGTTCTCAAAAGAACATATTATCCGGGAGCAGCTGTGTGGCTTCTCAAAAGTCACTTCATATTGCTCTTACGGAGTTTGAAAAACCTACGTAGTCAAAGAGAGTCCTGACGACGTTACTCAGCGGATTGTCCTCTTCATCGTATTGGGTAGTAGCTGTACTCTGGACCAAGGAACTGTTGTACATGATTTGGATGTGTGTTGCGTCGTTGATCCAGCCCTGGAAAATCGCTTCAATATTTTCCTGGGAGAACTACTCTCACCGCGACTTCATCTTGAAGACAACTCGTCGTCACGGTTGTTGAGTAGTTTTGCCCGAAACGAAACACAAAGTCGATGGGTGACGTCGAATTTAGGGGCATCAACTGAAACAGATTTTGATCCTTTGAAATCATTCTCATTTCTTTATCTTCAGTTCTTTTCCACACAACGTCACGATAGCGATAAGTTTTCTGATTTACGAGTACAGCGCACTTTTTACGATCATAAGATTATTGCATTTTTTGAGTTTTATAGCTTCATAAGAATTTCGAATGGGTGCATTTTGCTTTTTCGGCTGTTGATCAGTTATTTTTTTATGCTTTTCTGTATTCCCCTATCTTTTTTGAACTCAAAATAGAATGCTTATCAATAACTCATGACTCTAAGAATAGAAAAATACGCTCAAAAGTTTACTTTCAAACTCTTTCAAACTGTACGTTGCTCATCAGTTTTTGATACTCAATTATGGAAGACTCGTGATTGGACACGCTATCTTTGATATGGGATTAAGTGATTAGCCAGTTTCATTAGGCAACGGAAGCGAGCGCGGCGACAAAGTCACATGAAGAGAATAAAATAACAGAGAAATGGTTGGAACAACACATTTGATGTTGGATTGGAAATTTCAGATACAGCACATCTAAATTTTTTTTTTCCGAAGAAGCTGAAGTCTTGCAATTACACAGAAAAACACTTTAAACGACTTGAAAAGCTCAAATATACTTATGCTCCTTTAATCTTACTTAGCGTAGATATTTGAGAAGCTTATAACAAGAGCAATTATAAAAAAATTGTTTAGAAGGCTCTGTTTAAATACAGTATTTCAAAAAAATAACCTTGGCGTAGAATTCTAGCAGAGAAGCGAAGGCGGAAAGATCAACCTCTGGCGTTACAGTCACGAAAATATAAGCTGAAGAGCCGATTGTGGGACAGTGGAGCTTGGCGTTGGGCGGAATAATCGGCGATGAGCCTTCAGGTACGGTTTCACCGACCCAAAAGAGCAAAAGCAGCACGGCGACTCTCGTTGCCGACGCCATTGCTCTCAGTCGGCATTCAGATCCAAAGGCGGCCGGACAGATCAGCCGAAGGAACTTCTTGAGCTTTGGCTTGTTCAAAGTTTGAAAAAAGCGGAACAACAGACGACACAATAGCACGAGCTAATTGGCTAGTGGACCGAACAGAAGCGTTGTCGATAAGGCGCCGATTGGCGTGATTGTGAGCACGATAAGGACTTGGCCCCGAGGTGCTTCTACGAAAACCGTCGACGTAACGCTTCGAGGCTTTTTCAGCGGTTTTCCTGGACAAATGAGCTCTTAAAAGACGTTCTTTTGTGTGTGTTTCATGGTAGTGCTGACCTAAAGGAATAAACAGCAGAATTTGTTTCTCAATAGGGCGTTTTCTGCTGGAACTTTCATCACTTACGATGGGAGTGTTTTTGAACGCCGGTTGAGAAATAGTTGCAAGGCTGTTGGAATGTGCCTTGAAGTTTCCTAGATCCAATAGAGTGATGGAGTTTTCAATGATTTTAGTTTTGAGATTTTCAGTTTTGAGAAACCTCGCTGGAAGAAATCTGAAGAATATTTCTATTGACGGTAGAATAAAAAAAAAAATTATTTATTTCTTTTGTATTTGAGCGATAAAAAATTTAGGTTTTTTTTCCATGTTAAAATGAAATGAAGGAGACAGTGAAATGTTTTCCCTTCAAGAAAACTTTCCTTTTTTGGTTTGACAGGTGATAAATGTTTCGGAAAGACCTCTGAAAAAAAATCAGCTGCTCTGGTTACGATATAGACTCAATGGCTGGAGGACTTCATTTTTGCTGTCGGCGCTATGGACGGCGACTTGGGCGACTGGAGCAGCTTGGGAGATTCTGGCGACATGGGTGATTACGAAGATTTGGGAGACCTGCTCGACCTTTTCTCTGACTACACCGAGCCGAAGTCGTTGCCGACGTCACAGATGCTTTTATGGATTCTGAAGTTTTTCGAAATCGGCATCTGCTGGATTCTCGCCATGCCATTCTTTCTTTTTGTGATTCGACTGTCTAGTGAGATTTATGCAGTGAGTTTTTGAATTATTGTCTGTGTGCCACGACTTAGAATTTCGCCGAACGACATTCCGCTGTGCCGCTGCGAGCCTTTGCGAACTTTGGTCAAGCTTTAAATTTTTTTTTTCTTCCATTAAAGTACTCTACTTTCATGTGGTCCCACAGCAATAACAATTAATTGAAAGCGTGACCTATATTCGAAAGACGCTTCGCGAACGCACGCAACGGAACAGCGGAATGTCGTTCGGTGAAATTTCAAGTCGCGGCACACAGACTATACAATCTCTACATGTTTCAGTGGTTTCACTTCGATTTTCATCAATCATTTCAGTTGATGCTTAGTCAGAGACATGTCTTCTGTTTCCACCCGGAGATTTTCAGAACGGCGTCTCCGCGTGGCTCTGTACCTACTACATTCTCCACATAGTCGTGCTCGGTCTTCAGTCTTACCTCGTAAAATCGGACTACAACGTCTACAGCTTTCCAGCTCCATTTGATAAAACAAAGCTTCAGGCAGCCAGGGGAGCCGAAGATCTTCTCGCTCTACTTGCCTCTACCGTTGTTCTTGGTGTTCGCGCCGTTTTCAAAAAGATTACCCTTTACGTTGTAAGTTCATTTTAAATTATTTCGAATGGTGTATGTATTGATGGGCCGATAATAAAAGAAGTTTCAGTTTCTCTACATCGTTTTCCAAAGATTCTCCTACTTTTTGGATAATGAAAAGCTGCGGGGCATGTTTTCCGGGTAGGATGTCGCTGTTCAGCGGGAGTCAGACTAACCTCTGAAATTCCAGAAAGTCTGGCTTCTGTACTTTCATCCTCATTCTACTGATCGCGATTCTTCTTTACCTGTTGCCGACGATGCCGTGTGTGTACAGGTCCCCTGAAGAAATCCAAGCCGATCTCAAGGACATGGCGGCGGCTGTACGTTTCCTCAAGCTCCCTTTGATCAGTTCGAACTGTATCAATCCTTTTCAGAAGGCGAAAAACCATTCATACTCGCCCGGCTGCGGGGACATTGTTTCTTTCGGCGGCATCACTTTCCACGTACCACTCCCATTTTGATTCCGTTCTTAGACAGAAGTTAACAGATTGACATTGCTTTCTCGCAACTCCTGTTCCCGATGCTGATCCTTGTGTATCTGGCCAACGCCTCGAAAAGCCGATCAATGAACCGATCGATAGTCATCGAAGTTCTCCCGCTTCTCGCCATCAAATCGGTTTTTGACTTCCAATATTTTTTATCCATTTTTTTATTTTTTTCTCCTTCAGATCATTGTCCTGAGACTGTTCATTCACTTCGTCCTCACTCTCTTCAACAATTATCATTTGAAGCCAACCGACGAAGAAGATCTTCAAATGTGAGATTTTAGGACTTATCAATGAAAAAGGCCCAAAGTTATGTATATATGTAAAATTTCTATTCGGAATAAATAATCAGTGCAGTGGAAATGGATGAAACTGAAATTGGCGTATTCAGTCGCCTGCTTAGTGTTCATAAACAGTGATCATTACGCGTGGATCATTGCAATAGGGGCGCGAAAGAAGGGTCGATTTTCGTGTATTTGATGGAAAAGTAGCGGTAAATAATTTTTTTTTATTGAAGTCTTTTTCAACGCTTAGAATAGCTTAGATGTCTTTCAGCGCACAATGAACCTATTGAAATAATCAAATCAACTCACTCAGTTTTCTCTTTCAACTTATTTTTTTTTGGATAAATAAAAATGGACATTACAAGGAAAAGTACGCCAGGCATCAACTTTCGTCTAAATGTTGAACATCTTGGTTTGCAGGATGTTTCTGTGGAGCGCAGCAGTTCCGCTCTCGTTCATGCTGGCGAGTCGCGACGGCCGAATTCACACTCGTCGAGTGATCGCCTTTCTGCCACGGCCTCCAGGCGTCATGATTCCTGTCAAGTACTGAGGCTATTCTGACTCATTAGATCTGCGCCATTTTCGAGACCTGTGAAAAAGAATTTTGCTCACGACTGAAAACGATGACGTTCAGAAGGCTTGCTGAGAATTGCGTTCTTTCTGTCCGTTATCTAAAAACGTCGTTAAAGAGGACAACTGATACATTGTTTCAATTAGAGCTGGGTTTTTTTTTCCAACGCGGCGCTCAGCATCCAATACTCATCCGAACTGTCACGGCGTTTCAACTCTTGCCAGAAGGAATACGTTTTGGCTACCAACAGGAAACATTTTGAAACAAAACTGAACAGAAGCCAAAATTTCGAAAATGTACATTTAACAAGATTGAATGCACTGATTTGAATTTTTAAAATTAAAAAAGTCGAGCCTATTTTCAATTTGATCTTTTACTTGCTTCCGAGGCAAAGAACATGTGAGAGACAAGAAATCTGTGTGAAACACTCGTTTCGCTGTTTTCCCACGATCTGTCAACTTCTCTGCTGTAAATGTTGTTTTCGGAGTTCCACCTGTCCTTTTTCGTCTCCATTCAAAGTTTCCTATGTTTTTTATTCCACTACCTGTTGAATAAAGTTGATGAAAAATTATTCTATAGAAATATGATTAGCAAAGTGTGTCTTCAAGTGATAAAAGTTGAAATATTTGCAGAGAAAACTTTGGAAAAAAAAGGAAAAAAAAAGAAAGCGCGGAGAAGTGAGAAAAACACGACGAGAAAGGCCGGTGCAAATAAATACAATGATTATCTCCGACAACTGCGCGCATAAAGGCGCCTCCTTCCCCGCCTAAAGGCGCCCCCTTCCCCGCCTAAAGGCGCGCACATCCCGCGCTTTCGTGGCGCAGTAGTGCCGCCGCGTCGGGGGAACTGCGCTGTTGTGCCGCTTTCGAGGCGCTTTCAATGCGGTTTTACCATTCAAATAGCCTCCTTTTCGCTCAATTGGGCTCAATTTTTTTCGTACTTCGTCAATCATGACTGATTGATAAAGTACGAAAAAAATGAAGCCAAAAGAGGTTTTGCCTTATTAGTTTACAAAACTTCAGATATCGGAAATAAATTTTAGGTAGATTACCTATAGCAGGATATAAAGATAACATTTTTTTGTAAAATATATATTTGAAGAAACTTCATACAAATAAAAAAACTCAAAAAGACTGTCCAAAACTTTTTTTGTAGAGAAAAAGAAATAGTAAATAGCTCAAAGAAGATTAGCGTAAAAAAATGACTAATGAATCGATAGCCAAATGAGAAAAAATTCAATATAGTTTTTCAATCGAGATGAAAAAGAAAAAAAGAGACAACTCGAATAATCAAAATGCTAACGGAATTAACAGAAAAAAATTTAATCTCCTTGATCGTCAACGAGAAACAATCCAATATCGCGACGCCTTCATCTAGACGAGTCGTTTTTACACGTTTCCTGTAAAAAGTCGCAATGAACTATTCGATAAAGCTCTCAGATTTAGTTTTATTTTTTTATTCTACCAAGAAAAAAATGTATATGCCGTGTTCAAAGTGATTCCGCGAAATTCAAAATACCCGTTAGAGAAAGAGAAAGATACCAAATTCTCGAGAGTCAGAGATAATTTTGCGTTTCGCCGAAATTTCTTTGAACATTCTATTTTTTCTTGCTTGGTTTTCTTATCTAATGTACACGAGCTACTCACTCGGATCACCCAGTTTTTTTTCTTCCAAAAAACGCTTGTTCACTCTGAAAATGTACTTTTCTCATGCAAACATTGACGTTAAACTTTTTCGTTCTAGCTTTTCATCTAAATATTAGGTATTTTTAACTTCCAATTCAGAATTTTCTTTTGATTTTCCCAAATATGGATGGATCCGTATAGCTGATTCACGGCTGGTTTGAGCCATCGAAAAAAAGGGTTCTGACACGATAATGCCCGAGATGGTGAGCGCAAAAATTTTTTTTGCATTTTTTTAAAAAGAAGAAGAAGAAAAAGTTTGTGAACAGCATAAAAAAAGTGAAAAACGTCATTTCTTAAAAAAATTGATTATCAAAAATTGAAGGAATTGAAAAAGTCATATTTCGCACTTCGATGCCTGTTGGAATTTTTCCTAGATCTCTCTGAAATTTTTTCTATGAATGACGCGAATTGAAACATACATAGTTGTAGAGCAAAAACAGACTATTTTTTTCATTAAGTTCTTCTTTGAGAACCAAATTAATCAAGAAAAATCGTTTTCATCCATTTTATGTCTTTTACAAGGTTTTTGCCTTCAAGGGAAATGCAGAAAACTTTAAACTCCGCAGATACCGTGGATACTCAAAAAAAAAAATCAGCGAGACTGCCCCAAGCTACCCTTGTGAAAGAAGGAAGTTCAGGCGCGTACATGACTCTTCCTCTATTTCTTTGGAGAGATTATTCTCAGAAGCCTATGGGGTCTAGTAAATAATCTACTTTCTTTCCTTGGGCGTAGGTTCATAAGTCGCCAAAGTTTCAACTCGACCCCTGCTCAAGCGAGTCGATTTTTGAGTTTTGGGGGTAATTACTATTTGAGTTCGTACGAGAATATTGGAAATTTTTTTAGAGTAAATTTTTTTCCGTTCGTGAAATGAAATTTATTCCATGATAGAAGCGCTCAGAAAAACCAAAAAAAGTTGGAGAGGCTTCGGAAAAAAAGATATTTAAAAAAAGTTAAAGAACCATCTAGAAAAAAAGCAGAGCTGTGCTTTGGGCCGAGCTAATGGCCGACTCAGCCCACAATCAGTCGCAATCGCGAACTTTTTTTATCTCACTTTATACTTCACATCACATAAGTTTTTCTAAATAACACATTCCCCGTCACTCACTTCCCGATTTACACAAGTAAGAAAAAGGGCTCGAATTTTTGAAAAATTCGGATTCATCTATCATTTTGTACACTGAATCGGATCACTCACAGATTTTCGACATCTTTTTTTAGATTCGCCAAAAAAAGTCCAAAAATCGAAGCGAGTCAGGGATAAATTCGAATTTCGCGAGATTACTTTTTAGCACAGTTGAGTTTTTTTTAATTGCGTTTTTTTAATGATATAATTTATGTTAGTTTTACAAACTCGATCGGATACCGGAGAACGTTCTAATGTATAACATTAGCGAATTAGAGTTTTTTTTCAAATTCGGCAAAAATCTTTTTTTTCACGTTTTTTTCACACGGCCTCTGGATTTTTCTGCACAAGCCACGCCAAAAATATAATTAAATGCTGTGAATTCGAAGTAATATCCGCAAAACTCAAAAATTACCCTTGACTGTCAAATTTTATACATTTTCTCACTTACTGATGGCAGTTTAAAGTTTTTGCGCATTCTGAAACGTTATAAGTTTTGAAAAAATCAATAGAAAACGGGCAAAGTAAGTTTAATTCAATTTGAATATATCGGAGTATTCTCGCAAATTCTCAAGTCATAGCGTGTAAACTCACAGTTTTAACATCGATTCCATTTTCAAGCCCAGAAACGCTGATCATAGTAGAAATAAAAAAACCCTCAGATTTAGTCAATCATTGATTCGACAAGTGACCTGAACAGAAATGAGATTATTCAACGAAAAAAAGGTAAACTTACCTCATATTGAGGATAACTAAATAAATAATGCTTCCCAAGAGAGGAAGAGAGAGGTCTATCAATCTTCGAATCAAGTTTGGCGAAACAAAAACCTGGAAACAATCGGAAAAAAAGTTTTTGCATGGCGGTAGCAATAGGAAAAAAATTTATTTAAATGTTTTTTTCAGCAAAAATAAAAAAATGAATATTTTCAACGATCATGACAATGAAAAAAAGAAATAAATAAAAAGAAGAAACGAAGTCCCAAAAAAACTTTTGAAATAAAAAAATTGTAAAAAAACATGTTCGCGCTGCCGCATTTTTCAATCTCGTCGCCTCAATTTCGGAGGTCCTCCGACTCTGCCGAGTTCGGGGCGCCTTTAGGCGAAACGGCCAGTTGCGGGCGCCTTTAGGCGGTGCCGTGT